AGCTGAGACTATAGTCTCACCTAAATAAACTCTTCTACGACCTTCAGCAGATAGAAAGGTGGCCACAATTGTCAACAATTTTTTCCGGGAAGTGTAAACCAGGGGTGCTTTCCGAGTCCCCAGATCTGGACCAGTGATCTTTGTGGCGGCTCCGCATGCTAACCAATTTGTGGATGGTGTGGTTCTTATGAACCAAGTGAAGCGTGAGGCTAATCGCCGGATTTCATTTTTGATCGCTGCCAAGTCCTATCGCCAAAAGTTCATTGGCCATTTTTCTCGAGTCCAGCAGTCTATTCCTGTTGTCAGAGCCCAGGATAATTTGAAGCCAGGAAGGGGAAAAATCAAGATTGATCTTGATAATGATCGCCTTCTCGTAATTGGAACTGGCACCAAGTTCACGGAAGATTGCTCGCCAAAGGGCATTATTGCCTTGCCACAGTCGCTTGGAGCTTCGGAGGTCGTGGAGGTGCGCTCCGATACCGAACTCGTCATCAGAAAAGAGTTTAAAGACACTCAGCAGATTCGCACTCTTTTAACTAAGGGCACATCTTTTAAGGCTGCCCACAAGGTGGACCAAAAAGAAGTTTACGAACGAGTATTCGAGCACCTTTCGCATGGAAATTGTATAGGTATTTTTCCTGAGGGTGGTTCACATGATAGAACGGACCTTCTTCCTCTCAAAGCTGGAGTAGCCATCATGGCTCTTGGTGCTATGCAGCATGACCCAGGATGTAACGTCACAATTGTACCATGTGGTATGAACTACTTCAATGCTCACAAATTCAGATCCAGAGCAGTAGTTGAGTTTGGCCATCCCATTGAAATTCCAAGAGAACTTGTGAAGAAATACTCAAATCCATCAACTAATCGTGAGTCTGTCAAAGAACTTCTTGAAATCATCACTACGGGCTTGAAGGCTGTCACCGTAACTTGTGAAGACTATGAGACCCTTATGATGGTTCAAGCAGCAAGACGTTTGTACGCTGGTAACTTTGCCCAGTATCTTCCTATTCCCTTAGTTGTGGAAATGAACCGCCGGTTGGTTCTTGGATACCAGACCTATAAGAACGAGAAAACAATTCAAGACATTAGAGAAAAAGTTATCAAGTATAACAAGCTTCTCTCTCTGTTATATCTCCCTGATCATCACGTTGAGGAGTGTGACGAGTCAAACAAGTTGAGAGTTTTGCCCATTTTTCTTTTCCGAATTTTCAAAATGATATTTTTATTTCTCCTTGCCTTACCAGGTTCCATTTTGTTTTCGCCTGTGTTTATTTGTTCAAAGATAGTTTCAGGTCGCAAACGGGCCACCGCTCTTGCCAACTCGACTGTGAAAATCAGAGGTAGAGATGTCATTGCTACATGGAAGATTTTAATAGCCATGGGTGTTGCACCTCTAGTATACAGTTTCTATGCAACTGTGGGAACGATTTACTGTTACTTCTATGGCATTCTTCACTACAAACTTGTATCCATTTGGTTTGCATTGTATATGCTAGGCGTGTTGGTTACATACGCCGCTTTACTCGTTGGTGAACAAGGTGTCGATTTACTCAAGTCTATGAGACCACTTTACCTCTCGTTAACATCTGGTTCATCCATTCGTGAATTGAAGATAATGCGCAAAGAATTGGCAGAGGAAATCACCAACCTCGTTAATCATTACGGACCAGAGTTATTTCCTGATGACTTCAATTTATTGCACATTCGTGACAAGTTGTATGCTAATGAAGGCTACATCGATAGTGATGAAGAAGAAGAACGCAAGACTCAAGAGTTGCGTAATAGACGTATGCGCAATCGCAAGGCTGCAAAGAAGCACAAAGCAGCCGCTACAAAGACCATGGAACTCAAAAGCGAATCCTCCTCGTCCATCAACGACACAGAGCTTTCGCTTCAGGATGAGGAAGTCTCTTCCATTTCCGACGGTATTTCTTATGTGAATTCTGAAAACTCTTTGAGTAATATTCCATTGTTTTCCGATTATCACTTGCATATGAACGCTTCGAACCCTGATTTACAACTTGAAGCTCAGTCCAACTTTCATCTGACAGCGTCTATGGCTGATGATTATAACCTGAGAAACATGGACAATCGACCTGCGTACTCGAGAAATAACTCTCATCTAGAGTTGAACTTTGCCAACGCCAAACATCGCCGTGAGCCTTCTGATGCGTTAAGGACGACACAGAAAATGAAGCTCAGTGACAAGATCAAGAACCAAGTCAGACAAGGACGCACACAGGGTGAGACCTAATATCAATGTAATCTACATAATATGTAATTTAATTTAATTAATTCAATTGTAATGCATTAGACTGATATTATTAGTTCATGTTTGCCTGCCTCTCATAAAATTCAGCAACTTCAGTAGAGCTTGTAGCGTCCTCGATTCCTTTATCGTCTCGAACTCTCAAAAATCTTGGAAATCGTAACGATATACCTTTGCCATATTCATGATGAGCTGCTTTATAGATTGGACTCAACGATAAATCGGCAGTCAAAACTTCAAATACCAATGTCGGCTCAAACCAGACATCTGGCACAGCATTTGAATTCGTTGTATCGTAGACGTAGTAAGATTTTGGTTGCTTGATCTCAGTTGGTGAAAGCTTGGCATGAAGATCTGCTAAGTCCTGTTCTGAAAAGCCAGTTCCAATCTTACATGTGGTCTCATACTCACCTGTGTCTTGATTGTACGATGCCAAAAGAAACCCACCGTAGCCACCAGTACGCTTACCTCGACCGATATACGCTCCAATAACCACCAAGTCCAAGGAATCTCCAACTCCAGCAAGATAATCTTTTTTCAACTTTAACCAATTACGAGACCTCTTGGAAGGTTCATAATATGAGTCGGGACCATGAAGCATTTTCACCATAAGTCCCTCACAAGCATCCTTCACCGACTGGTCAAGAAATGCTTGAAGCTCATCAAGATTAGAAGAGTTCTTGGCTGTAGCAAACTGAAACTTACCCTCGATCGTATCGATATGTTTGTGCATAATCTCTCGTCTATCAGCAAGAGACTTCGTTATAAGCGGTTCTCCATTATAATATAGTAAATCAAATGCAAACAAGCAAATGTGCACTTTGATATCTTTCTCATCAACATCCTTCCGCTTTCTGGTAGACAACACTTGAAACGGTAAAATCTTATTATTAACTCTGTCCCACGCAACAGCTTCACAATCGAGTACCATTGAGGTGATTTTTGTTTCCTCTGCCTGAGTTTTCACAAAGTCTTTCAAAATGGAAATCAAATCAGGATACCTTTGTGACATGTCTTCAGAGTTTCTGGAGTATATGCGAACTTCTCCTGTTTCCAATAAGTGTACTTGGGCTCGCTCACCATCGTATTTGTATTCGCAGGTAAAATCTTCACCTTGAAATCTGTCGAGGACTTCACTTATAGATTTGGTGGGCTTTGCTAACATCGGTTTCAAGGGAATGCCCGGCGTGAGCTTGCAATGCTCAAGGAGATTAAACACTCCAAACTCTGCTGCCTTTTTGATTAGCACCTCGTAATTTGGAGTTCTTGAAAACGCTTCACGAACAATGTCTTCCGCAGATGTGAGCTTTTCCGGATTTATCTTCTTACCACTGGAAGATAGTTCGTGGTTGACAAATGCTTGAGCAAGGGCTATCAATACAGTTTTTTCAGCCAATCCAATACGAAGTTTGCCCTCCAAGGATCGTATCAAAAATTTAGCCTCATTGCTCTTGAGATCACAAGCAGTAAGCATTTTGTTGATCATGCCAATTTTCTTTCCCTGAGAATCCTTGCCCGAGAATTTTGCAATCTTGGTCAAATTTTCAAAGACGGTGTCCACGTCCAATGAAGTAGGACGAAACATTGTGGGCTGGCCTGATCTCGACTTTTGTGCAACAATTCCCAAATCCCCAACTTCGTGATAATCCTTTTTGATCTTAGCAGGGGCTCTTCCATAACACTCACTGATTGCCTTAATGAGTAACGTCTCACCCAAACCAAGCTCAAGGTCAGGCTCGTAATCTGGACCCAAGCGGTTGATAAAGAGATAAACTATCTTGACCAATTTATCAGGTGAAGATTGCTCTAATATCTCCTGAAAGAATTGAGAAACAATTGCGGTGATTGCCAATCTGGAAGATTCTCCCTCAATCTTTTCAAACACTTCGGTAAGCTTAGCGTAAGGAATTTTTGGTCCTAACGTCTCGTTAGTATGTTTCTTGGCTTCGTTATCAGTCATGGTTATCAATTTAGATGCTTCGGTTTTTGTGGTTGGAGCAGACGCAGCTTTTTCGGGGCTCTGTGGTGGCTCACCGCTTTCAACAGGGGAAGATTTGTCCTCAGGGGTCCCATTTTTCTCATCAATAAGGGTATTTATATCTTCCTTTTTAATTCGCTTTACATCTTTCTTTTCATCAAGTTTGCGCTTCGTTACATTTGAGCCTCCGAAGAACCTGGCAATTGATTGCTGTTGTGGCATTAAACGGATATATTGTCTGGGATTGAAGCAACGGATACTAATCCGGAGCATACAAGAAGGATAAATATGTGTTAGTCGCGTCGTGAGACAGGTGAAATTTACTTCGCACCTCTACAACTTCTCAAATAATACATGGCTTAGGTATTCTATAGCGCTGAGTCCCATATGGCTTGTGGACCCTTGTACTTATACACCTCTGAATCGACAAACATCTCTCCTCCGTGGTTGGAATTTCCACCGAATATTTGCTTGGCGTAGATTTCTGCTCCAAGAAAATAGACATCTTCCCAGGATCCACCGCTCTCTTTTGGTAGCTTCCATTCTGGAAAATATTCCGGATGTTTTGCAAGCTTTATTGATCCAGGAACCTGAACAACATTAAAACCTTCGTTAGAGTCGTTTACTTCCTCAGCTTGTTGGTAAGCCAAGATTGCCGAGTTAACATTCTTTGACTTCTCTTTGTTGGAAACGTCGTTAGCAGGCCGCACAAGATAGTCAGCGGTAAGCTTCATAAGTAAAGCATGTTTCAACCCGGGGATTTTGAACGTGGAGCCCACGAATATCAAGTTATCGTAACATTGTTGTCTCTTTTCGAGGTCGGGAATAGATAAGAGAGATGTGTAGATGGCATGGGCAATGGTGTTAATGAAGCTTTTACAGCCTTGGAACCGTTCTTTTCCAACGTAGATTTTCTCTTTTGTGTCCGGGTCCAAGAAAAAGTTGGACTCAAGCTCTCTGTTCTTCTGTTTCGATGGCGCATCAGCCGCCTCACCGTCTTTTTCTTCGCCATTGGCGACCGCAGCGGTTTCTGAAGAAGACTCGGTAACCAACTTGGCAATGTCGAAATTATCGTCTTCCTCATTTCCCTCGCTTACTCGGTTCAAGTCAGCAAAGGAGTAGAAGGAATCTTCCTCGTCGTTTAACACCTCAAAGATTCCCGAAGTCTTGAGAGCTTCGATCTGGTTTGCGGTCAATTTAGGAAGAAGCGCAGCCAATTCTTCATTGACCAGCTTCCCGCCAACATCGGCAATATACTTTCCAGCATACTTCACACATTGGTTTCCCACTACCGGCATTATTTGAACGCTGTCTCGTCCAACATTGACGACACATGAACTTGTAGAGGAGCCCATGGCGAAATTAGATGCCAAAGCAATATCGATCACATTAAAAGCATTGAAATCAAGAGTCTCCAAGACATACTTTGTTATATGCTCCACCTGGTACCTCGACCACGCCAAAGATGGTGTTATCAAGAGCAATGGTATTTGACTGATGGTGATAATGGGGTTCTGAGAAATCACACTCTGGAGGATAATATTCAATAGGTATTGGAAAGCTTCCAAGTCAACTATGCGACTTCCTTGAACAGGTTTTATCTCTTTGTACTTGCCCTCTTCATTTTTAGAATGATACTCTCCATTTTCTGCCTGGAAAACGACCGATGGAACCTTATACTGAGGTGGTGATAACGAGTCCTGAAGTCCAAACAGGAAAATAGTATGTAGAGACCCTACGTGTATTACGAGAAAGTTCTCCTCTCTAAACAAAGGCATGGTGAACTGGTCTCGTGCTCAGGAATAATATGTGAATGGATTGATGAGGTGGTATAGACTCGATTGTCAACAGAAACAGTTCACGAAATTTTGGCGTGCGAATACCCAAAGACATCAAGAGTAAATGGCTGCGAAAGACCAAGTTGGGATGAATTATTATGTACGCTATTTACGTCTAATCGAAATCGTCATCTTGCACATTTGCAAGAAACTTGTTGTAGTTGGCCGTGGTACCCAAAATTGACTTTTTACTCATCATCGTATCCAGGCGACGAATGTCTGGAGCACCGCCAGCCATCTCTTCATGGGAGATTAGTTTGACTTCGTTGATGAAAGGCAAGTCATCTGATACTGGTGGAAGGTTTTTATGCTTATAGCTAGCCGAGTCAGACAGCTCCTGGCTGGTGTTTGTTCTGGGCCGCATAAGATCAAGCGATTGACTTGAATTCTGTCTACTTCTAGAGGGGATGACACCGGAAGAATGTCTCCTCGAATATTGTCTAGGATCAGTCGTGAAACCGCGGTTTAACTTGGGGGCAACTTTCTTGTCAGTAGGAAGTTCAGGGTTCGAGGAGTATTTGTCTCGAGGTGATGAATACTTGAACGGTGTAACACGAGTCAAGGTATTTCTGCGAACTTGCTTTGGAGGTATGGGCGTTGTTGTTTGCCCATTCAGTTCATCAACAGCTACATCACTGTCGACGCTCATCATGTCTTCTGAGTCATACTCCGGACTCTCTTGCCTGGGTTGATTTGTGGTGGGCAATGGACGCACGTAGGAGGAAATGTTGCGAGCAAGCTGGCGTAATGTAGAAGCGTCCTGGATCTTGATGAGACCACAATACCAGCAGATGACACCTAAAACTGTACCCCATAACACACCAAGCTTGGCGAACCCTAGGGCTATTACAGTGTAGTGAGCAAGAAGTGGCCAAACGTGAACAAGAACAACAGATGAGACTGCGCCCAACAAAAAGCTGGGAATGTGAAAATGAAGTCCAACCATTGATTTGATTTGAACCACGGGCGGGGGAAGCTCGGGTTCGATCGAGTGATCGGAGGAAGTGGGCAGAACTGTCCTTTTTGAATTTGCCTTTTTCGCATTCGGAGTGAAAGTATTGGGGTTTGCTGGTGAAGTATGGCGAGTTTGTAGCGGAGGCGGCTTACTGGAACTGGGTGGGGCCAGATCAACTGGCTTGTCATTGAGGTCCAGTTGCACTTCATATGCACATCCTATGAGCTCATTGAGGTAGTCATTAACACCTTTTTTTGCCGAATTGCCTCCCGCTGCCCCGTCTCCATCCTTATCGTCCACCTTCTTGAGACGGAATACACCGTCCGGGCCCTGCTTGTACACAAGCTTCTTCTTTGACGCTGTGACCGTCGCCATCTTATAAACCGAAATCGGCCACTGAAGAGATTAACTATAAGCTTAGCCGATGCTTTGGAATTAGGAGTTCAAATTTCTTACTAAAATTCACAACACCTCCAAATTTCGTTTAGCCATGTGACTGAACCTTAAATCTCAACTGGTAGGGATATAGTTGATCTGGGGTTCGATAGTACTTATACAGACAAACTCTGCCCCTATAACTCTCGTGTGTAAGAGAATGACTCGTTTGACGAACAAATCGGTGTCCAATAACCTGACCTAAAAAACTACACAATAGTATTGTCTACTTGGTCATTGTATTGATTGTTAACCCAGAATGGAAGCTTACATAAGTGAGGTACCGCGAGATTATGCACCATAAGGGACCGCCGCATATTTAATGCCTGCTTATGTCAGCGGCGGCCGCTCACTATCACCTGGTTTCTCCAGGCTACAACCGAAGACCCCTCTTTCTGTGACCTTTCTGCGGTTACCACTGGCCCCTAATACGGCGAGCGAGCTGGATGTCTTTTTGCATGATGGTCACACGCTTGGCGTGTATTGCACACAAATTTGTGTCTTCCAAGAGATGAACCAAGAACGCCTCGCATGCTTCTTGAAGTGCTAAAACGGCATGGGACTGCCACCTTATACCGTAATTTGCGCCGATGAATTCTTCGGCGATCTCTTTGACTAGTCGAGCAAATGGAAGTTTTCGGATCAAAAGTTCTGTGCTTTTCTGAAATTGTCTGATATCACGGAGTGCTTTCATTCCGGGACGATATCTACGCTTGCGTACAGTGCTCTGTGTAGTCCGAGTGGGAGGATCACCTGGTTGATTTCTGTAAAGTCCAAGTTCTCTTTGTCTCTGAATTGGTCGTACGACAGGCGAAGATTGGCCCGAACGATTTTCATAATTGGGGCGTCTGACAAGACTCAGGCCTGGCCCGAGACGGTTTGTTGTAGGTACCCGAGCCATTGGCTATGCGAGGATGGTTTGGTAGAAAAAAGGGGAAGACCACTGGGAAGGTTTTTTGACGTGAATATTTCCTCATTAATTTTCCTAAATGGGCGACCAGCCACGCTTGTGTGCAGGCGATGACATAACACCCACTTGCAACAAGAAGAATAGACTTCAGTAGTTCCGAGCCTAAAGTTTGGTGAAAGTCCTCAAAGCAGTACTTTTGTTTGTCAAAGCTTTGTGGTGTGCAATTGACTTACTCAATGTCATCGTACTTGCCCTCCAAAATGTCGTTAAGACCGTTCTGGATGATCTCGCTCTCCTCATCCAAAGGCATCTGTGCCAACTGCTTTTGCTTCTCGTAGCCTCCCATAACCGTTTTCATTCTCCAGCCAAACTCCTTGAATGTTGAGACATCCATCATCCAACAGGTTCCAAAAATGATCATTGACGAAACACTACCACACAAAACAGTACCTGTTCCCACAGCCACCGCTGCATCAGTGGTAAAGTTGTAGCTGGTTGGCGGCTGATGGTTCCCCTGGAAAAGTGTTGGAACATACTGGCGTGCCATAGTTGACTTGAAAGCAAATCTAGCCGCAAATATTGTCGCAGCACCGGACGCCATGAATAATGCCATCTGATATTTTCTGCGTTGCTTGTACTCTTCTGAAGCCAGGGCAAGCTTGAAATCGTACTTTTCCAACAAATTTGTGAATGACATCTGTGATTTGTTCAGAGTTGGTTTTCGCTTTTTACAATTTTCACCAGATTTTCCTGCACAGCGCTCTCTTGCTTGACAAAGGTGACCTTTTCAACATCGTGCTCTGAATACCATATTGAAACGTCTTTATCATCTTCTGCAATAAGTTTTCCCTCCAAATTGTTGAAATTTGCCCAGTAGAAAGTCCCACAGTCTTTATTCTGGTACTTATTCTCACAAGTCCAAAAGTACTTTCCTCTAGCCTCTACTGTCTTGAAAGATCTTCGTAAAGTCATTGCCATGTCACACTTACACTTGGGGATATTCTGTATGATATCTTCTCTATAGTGCCGGAATGTCAAGTTAAAACGACCATTTCCACTGATAGGGTGCAGTTGGATCGAGGCTCGCAACGCATTCACAGAATGACGATATTCCTCTTGACACCCAGGGTGCATGATTACCAAGCTATTGTGTGGCACCTGTATGGCATAGAGCTGTGAAGGAGAGTAATTCTTTCTAATTCTGAACTCTCTCGTGGCCCCAAGTGAAATCGATGCAATATAATTGTGGGGTCCAATGTGAGATAGTCGGTCCGAATGCCAGTCCAAATTATTGGACATATGTTCATAGTAATTGACCACACAAACATCACAGGTCCATTTCTCTTTGCTCTGAAAAGGAAGAGGAGTTGAATACGGTATAATTTTCTCATTGATGAACTCGTTGACAAAAGTAGCGGCTCGACTTAATTCTTCGTCAAATTGATTGATTTTGGTATGGCTCTTACCATTGTAGATCAACTGCTGATACTTTTCGTCTTTATACTTGCGGTCATGGAACAAACCCAGCGAGTGGTTTGCAACACACCAGTTGTCAAATAGAAAAAATTTATTCGGAGCCAAACGATCTCGTTTGCTCATAAGAAATTCCAATATCAGATTGGATAAATCCACCGGTAAAAAATTGCGATGTAGACTCACATAGGGTCCAAGATGAGCCGTCACATCCTCTGGGGTATAAAGCTGTATGGCTTTATTTTGTACAGTTACATTTGGTTTCCTTTTCTCAGTATGTTCACCTCCAAATATCGATGTAATCGACGTTTGGTACTTTCCCAAACCGGTCTTCTTTCTCTTTGGAGCACTTCCAGAAAGCAATTCCAAAACTTGATTTAGCGATCCGCCACAAGCATCGTATATCTCCTTCAAAACCGACTTTTCAAACTGCGGAAACCGTGCCTCTAGAGTTCGTAGTTTCTCATCAGACATGAAGACAGATTACTAAGATTTATTGTGGAGTAGGATAAAATGGGTGCGCTCCTGCATATACTGAAGGAGACTTAATACCAAGTCGAAGGATTATACAGCCATTAATAAACCGACTTTTTGCCGCCAAATTCTCAATCCTACACCTAGAAGCTAGGCAAACTTTAGTGCGCCGTTTTGTGCCAGCCGTGCTATAATCTATGCAGGGACAAACTTGCGCGCAAAGTGCATACATGGTGTATCAGGGCAGAAAGAAAGGGTAAGCTAAATGTTCACTCAGACCACAAAAAAGGCTGAAAGTTGGTACACATGTGCATTGACTACCATTTAATTTGCTGTACAAATTTCAGTCAATTTGAGAAACCCTCACCCCATTTTCCATGAGGTGCCCGTTACCCCTGCATAAGCTCTTCACGTCAATATGCATTCCGCCCACAACATGCGACGGAAAAAATCTAGATCTATTGTCTATGGAGCAACAGTAAGGGCCCCTTAGTTTGAACTTCCCTGTATTATTCCAGCTGTTACTACTCGCTACCACATCCTCCACTCTAAACACAAACTGAAAAACCTGTCAAAAACTTTAAAGTTTATTTCACTAGAACGACTTAACCACATTAAATATTAATCAGGAGTTAATCAGGAGTTTATCATTAATCATATATCATTGTCCACCATTATAGAAGTCATGTCAACACCAGAGCTCAAGGTTACACCAAATACTCCCGCCCAAGAAAAGAAAGATTTTGTTTCCAATGGAGAACAGTCGGGCTCAAATAATACAGTATCTTCAGAACCAGCACCTAAAGAAGAGATGATGCTTGGGGACCCAAGTCGGAAGTCGGAGGATTCCGATACCACAAGCTTTGGTGAGCAAAGTGGCAGAATTGAACCCGAGAACGAATGCACTGAATTTTGTGTGGAATGTAGTGCATGCTTTGGGTTGTTTGACAGCTGCTGTCCCGCCGATGAAGAAGGTTGCTTGACTACCGCTGCCACTTTCTGTGGAAATATTCTCTTCGGATGTTGTAAGGCAAGATAATTATATAGCTAGCTATCTTTCGCAGTTGCATTTGTACCTCCAAATCTCACGACTTTGTAAATCGATTAAAACATTTTGTTGCATTTACAAACACCTCACGCAATGAACCCAGCCGATGACTCTTCGGACCGTGTTCGGACCAAGTCGACGTCTGCAATCACATCCTCCAGTTTTTTCGAGGCAGCTCGAAATTCGTTGCCAGACTTACACAGTCAGCCTTGCGACCGGGGAACACTTGATCCCACTTTTATCGAATCCCTTCAAGGCAGCGACACTGATACTGTTATTAAACACCCCACGCTGCCCCAACAACAAAAGAAGGACGCAGGTTCTCCACCAATGCCAATCCCACGTCATATTAATGCCATTTCTCCCGGTTCATTGTCACTCGAATCGGATCGAATTGGAACAGACAAAGGCCAAAGCATCTCACCAGAGTCGGTGAATCCGCTACTTGTGAGGCATAGTTCAGACAACCCATCAAAATTGGAGCAAGCTCAATCACTTATTGTTGGTCCAACATGGAATAAATGGACCATCCTTCTTGGTCTCTATTTGATTATGGTTATCTTCTTTATAGTACTCACTATTCTTTCGGCTTTGACATTGAAGGAAAGTCGCAACAAGGTGAGGGATGTGATGCACGGGCTAAATGATGACGAACGGCGCCAGGTAATTGACTTGTTGAGCACCATTTATTGGAGCTCTAGGGTCCCGATCGTCAATGCAACATATAACGATATAGTCCTAGATTAGTAGTTAGTGAATATAAAGGTTGTATAATAACCAGATCCAAGTTATTGAGAAAATACCAAACGCAATGGTAGAGTTGAGTATGACCCATAAATCAGGGTATTTTTCTGGTGGAATGAGAAAGTTATCAATGACATGAAAGGCAGTCATCGATGCATAGGAAAGGCCAATGATAAGCTGCCAAAGCTTATTCCGCTTAGGAATCAAGAGATTTTTCCTTATGTCAAAGGTAAATCCACCCAACAACCAATTTGATAAGAGAACATGGACAGTGTACTGCAAAACCAAGCCATCTTTTTTTAACAAAGGCCACATACTGAAGATTGCAGCATTGTTGACCCACGACACGATTGCAAACCAGTCAAGATCATTGACCAAGTACAACAACGTAGTGGGGAGAAGAGGAACCAACACCGTTTTCTCGTGCACTTGAAACGAAAACAAATAAAAGCTCCACGCAGTTGCAGCAAAACCAAGCAAAACAGGAACTGCGTGTGGTCTAGGGCTTGCCTTCTTGCTGTAGGACTCCTTGAAGATTCTTTTGAAGAATATGATTGCACAAGGAGGCAATAATGATACTAAAGTCACTGCAAGTGAAAGTCTCGTCAACTCTGGAACCGAGAAAATCGACTTGTACTTGACCAACAAATTGGAGACGCACCAAAAGTTTGCAACCTTATCTTCGAATAATCCACGTTGGAAGGGGAAAACCCTGATGAATATCTGTTGTATAATTGGCCAGTGGTCTTTTTCAGGGACAAACAAAAATGGCAGCAATATCACAAGTATGGTCAATGCCACTGCAAATCCGATAGATAGTATTTGTTTCAAGTTAAAACTACGAGCAACTTTCCAGATCAGCGGGTTTGGGATATCATAGTAGTTAGTGAAGCCACTGGCAAGCATGAATGCGAATATGAACGGAGCATAATACAATCCCATTTGCTTGAAAAAAATGCAAACCACAAACCACACGGCTGAGAGTATATAATTCTCTTTAAGCAAGTCCAATATGGAGAAGAGAAATGATCCCAACATCACAGAATTGTACTGGAAGTGACCATGATCAATTAATACCAACGAAGGTTGGCAAAGTATAATACAAGTTATAATGATTTTGGTCCATTCTCGACACTCGAAGTTGCTTTCCAATAAGAGATATGACACCAAATAGTGCCGGTATGTAGAGCACCAATTCGCTGAGTAAACTTGAAATTCTCATAAATGTTTTGATTCCCGCATCTTCAATGCCTCTACTAGTGTCAAGAGCGAACCATTGCGGGTCGATGAACGAACCCAACTTGCCAAAAACGTACAGATGGAATGCTGTCAAAGGTGGGTAGTCGAGCCCCCAGTATTGTAGGTCGTAAAAGTACCATTTACTTATGGGTAGATGAATAGTAAGTTCCATCCAATGTCTTTGAGCTTCAAAGTCACCATTAATAGGACCCTGTCCTTGTCCCAGGAATGACCCCAAGCCTACAGCGGCTCGTAAAATAATAGCAGTGAGCACCAAAATGTATCTAGCAGCCCATTGATGGGGAGCCTTTTCGAATTCATGAAGCATATCGTAGATTGGAGTGTCATGATATATGCTATTTTTATTAGTGGGAGAAGTGGTTTTTTTCTTACGCTTATGGGAAGCTTTTGGAGAAGGTTTTGGAGAAGCCTTAGGGGAAGCCTTAGTGGCTACTTTTGGCGATGAGGCTTTCTTGCCGGCTTTAGCAGAATTTTTTGCCATTGTGCAAGGACATATGTATCACTTTAATAATAAAAATGATCGACTGCGAAAGTTTTGCTGGTATGGCCTTGTATACTCACTGTCGCACTTTTGGATATATGGTATGGCTAATTTACTTGGGTGCATTGAGGTGTTCCTCAAACCACTACACCCGTACAAGTACTACACCATTACTGAATTACTATGGAAAGAAGGAATTTTTGGTGGTCATAGCAATTTATATTATAGGCTGGCTAAGAGTTATGAGCTATTAATTCTGAAATGGCACAATTGATCTCTTTGAAATTTTCGGTGTCTGGAGTACATCCTTTAGAAAGCTTTAAGGTGAATTGCAGCAAGTTCAAGTTGCTCTGCTTTAAATAGGTATCAAGATATTCTGCGTACTGGCGAGTGGTCAAATCTCCATATTCTGGTAATTTCAAACTAGCTTCGATTAGGAAGATCACCCTTTTCCGACGGTAATAGGTGCTCGTTCTCCATTTGGCACCAAGAATTTGATCTTTTTCAACAACAGAAAGCTTTGAATCTTGCCCTTCGTACCACTCTTTCACCAAATCAACTACAGTACGCAAGCCCCTAGACATCATCCCTGACCGTTTTAGAAACAGCAAGTTATTATCTTCATTATTGCTATTTCTTTCGGCACCTGGAATAGCTAGTTGGCAATTACTCTGAGACCTCTCTTCTTCCTCTTCTCGAGCCGTCAGTGGTATATTTCTGTTGTTGTTAGAGGTATGCTGAGCTCCGTTCTTGGGTTGTTGATCTGTAAGACTTCCACTCGGAGTTTTATAACTTTCCACGTAATTCCGATTCACACTTCGGCTTTTTAAATAGTGCCTCTGCTCGCTGCGCTCCATCTTTATGACCAGCAAAATCTTTCTTAGGGACTCGTCTTTCGCATCATTGGATTTACGAAGCTCATCAATACGGTAATCCATGGCTTCCAATCTCAAAAGCACTTGTTTCAATTTTTTTCTGCATGACACCATTTGACTTTTTTGTCAGCTCTTGAAGACGAGGTGTAAGAACTTCGAGCAATTCGCCCTTGGTATAGATGTGGTCAGCAATTGACCACTCCTGATGCTCCAGTTTCAAGGAATTCTCCCTAAAAGTTATGTATTCAGAATCACGGCAGATCGCAAGGTGTGCAAATATGCTTTCAGTAGCCTTTTCTTCTTCTTCTACTTGAGGTTCAATAATATTATTATTCGTACGTGTAGCTTCAGTAATCTAGAAGAGTCCGATTAATGAGTATTTTCTTCTTCTCCCTTGCTCTAAGTTTTGAAGTTGAGAATTTAAGAAATTGATCTCTTTCTCAATTTGCAACCATGGTTGCAAAAAAAAAAAGAGACGCGTATAAAGTAACCATAGGGTCGGGGCAATTGGCTCCTACTACTCCTACTACTCCTCCTACTCCTCCTACTCCTCCTCCTCCATCACCACCATCCAAATAAAACCATAAATCATGGTATTTTATGTGTGAATTTTAAAATGTGTAAGATCACTGGCTATGAAAATTCTAAAATTGTCAAAATTCTCAAAATCTTCAAAATTTTGACATTTTCCTATTTTTTGTGAATAACCTCACATAGACTCAAGTTCAACTTGATGATCGCACGTGCCTTCTACAGCGAATTAATCGAGTCTGAATCGAGTCTGACTCGAATCTCTATATAAAATGGCAACTTGTCCGAGTGGTTAAGGAGAAAGATTAGAAATCTTTTGGGCTTTGCCCGCGCAGGTTCGAATCCTGCAGTTGTCGGTATTTTTTTTTTCCTCCACAACTTTAAACATGAACCATTTACAGGACTTGAAGAAGGCATTGACCGAGGCTTATGCTCAATCCAGCCTACAAAATGCTCTGAAGATCGCCCAGTCGAAAAGTTTGGAGAAATTGATTCGTAATCATCAGCAAGATCAACGATTGATCTCCACAATCCTCCATATGGCTGATGTCACTGACACTTATAACGACCCAAATGATATAGATTTGGCACTTGATACGATAGATTTGGGTAAGATCTACGAAAGAGTCGACGCAAGAGAAAAGGAGGACACCAAGCTTGCCTATCAGGACCTTTTGGTGATTGAATTGCTTCACTATTTCAAACATGATTTTTTCACTTGGGTCACCAAGCCAAAATGTCCTCAATGTCACAACGATGGCGGTAATATCGAGCCTCAGGGATCCAGCAGCCCGCCTAATCCAAATCCCGACGAAATCAGTGTGGTGGAAAATTATAGGTGTGTGGAATGTGGGGTAAATGTGGACTTTGCTCGAATAAATAGACCCGCCAAACTCTTGGAAACTCGACTGGGACGTTGCGGTGAGTGGGTCAATTGTTTTATGTTACTTTTAAGAGCACTACTAGGAGCAGAGGGCCATATTCGGTACGTGTGGAATAACGAAGATCATGTTTGGTGCGAATTCTACAGTGATAGTCAAAGTCGATGGATCCATTTAGATCCTTGTGAGGACGTATTTGATGATCCTAATCTATATTGCCAGAATTGGGGCAAGGAAATGAGTTATTGTATTGGATTTGGCGATTCTTATGTCATGGACTTGAGTGAAAAATACATCACCAACAAGGATAAGCAAATCGACAAAAAGTCAGTGGTTTCAGACTTGCAGCTTATACCCCGACTCATAAGACAGATCAATGCTCGAAAGCTACTCAAAACGTACGAATCGTTTAGATTCGACACTATCGCACTTCAACGCATTTATGACATTTTGGTGATGTTCAATAACGAAAAAGTACTCCTGGCACCAGTAGGTTCAAAAACAGAAGCTGTTGGGCGTCAATCTGGCACCGCAGAGTGGACTTCGGCTCGAGGGGAAGGCGGTTCTTAACTTCTTTTATCCAACTCTGCTTGTATACCCTTGGAATGTCTAAAGAGCTTAAGTCCAATCCATGAACTTATAGCCCACCACCATAACACAACGTATATACCCCATGCTTTCAAAACTGAACTTTCTATGAACCGAAAAATCAGACTCAATTGCGAGTGGAGATGGTCAGTAGACGATGATAAACTTAATGGAAAAATGATATAATCCCAAATTCCAAGTAGACTACAAGTGGTAACGATGAATATGATCCACGTAGCAGCCAAGATCAAATATCCATATGTTCGTAGGCTGAAGAGCTGATCCGTATCGTTAGAATACGACTTTATTGGATTCCGTGGCTTGAGAAGTGGTAGGGGCTTCACATTCTCCATTGGAGCTTCGCACTTGAGATTGATTTTCCAGAATGATTATTTCGCGGAATTGGTTTTCGCAGCTAAAGTTGCAGATTATGCAAATTGTTGGTAAATGCTAATTGTGTATTGTTCTACGTTTCTTATACTGTTTTGTCTGTTGTGTTACTCTTCTTTGACATTAATTTTTGAGGTGCCCAACAAGTGTGGAGCAATTTCCTGTAACCATGCAAGATCGATTACGGAACAGTTTCGAGCATAGCCCTTCGAAGTGTAGACATATTCGAGGTACATTATTCCCAGTAAGTTAACACGACCAAAGAGATTGGACGATGGGTGGATACTGATCAATTGACCTGCTGCTAAGGTCCGGTAAGATCTATCGGGCATGCCCACAGCAGTATTGTGAATGTAGCCTTTCAAAAATGATTTGAGAATCGAGTCTGTATCCAAGATCAGAGACTTGTAATTGTCGTCTGCTTCTTGCAGTAAGCTTGCTCGAAGATTGCGAAGTTGCTGTTGACGTTGTGTTTCATCTATCAGTTGGTCTTGTCGAACCATAGCCAACAAATATTCCAGAAGCTGTCTTCTCACTTTCAAAGCACTTTGAAATCCTTTGAAGCTGAAATGTAATTCTTTGCACCACTCTTTAGCCACTGACTTGTCTTTCGTTTCACAGAATACGTCAAAGTATTCCTTTAATGCAATAAGATCTCCCAATTTGGATCCCAATGGACAATAGTTTCTTCTTTTGAAATTGACCTCGTCTCTCAATTCGCCGTCTCTCGAGCCAACCGTCAATATAAGATTATCGACAGAAAGACAGGCAACAATATCCATTACTGGCTGCAAAACACCATACTCCATAGCTCCCAACAATACAACTGAAAGCTGTGGAGGTAATGGTAGTACTGAAATTTTATGACCCAATGGTGTGATTTTTCCTTGCTCATCCAAGGCACCTAGTTGATGTAAAGTATGCAATGCACTTAAGATAGCGCTTCTTCCCGGATGCTCTAACCACGACCAGTTAAGCAAGTCATCGACGTCGAGTTTCTTTAAAGTAAGAATTGGAAAGATCACATCGTTTCTTAATATTTCTGACTCCTGCTGCTTGGGTAACTTGTTCAAATAAAGATCTTCCAGGTATAAGCGGAACACTTTTCCAGCACTTTCTCTGCCTGCTCTTCCTGCTCTTTGAACTGCAGATGCTTGTGATATTGGTGCAGTTAACAATGTAGAGAGCCCTAGACTGTGTTTCCAAACCTTGACTTTTCTTAACCCGGAGTCAATCACATACTTGACTCCACTCACAGTGATGGAAGTTTCGGCAATGTTGGTGGCTAAGATTACCTTTCTCTTTCTTCCCTTGAGCTTGAGAAAAACTTTCAGTTGCTGGTTGGCCGATAAGGCAGCATATAACGGAAATGGTTCTATCAAGGGTGTTTCTTTCGGAAGATGAGGAGCAATAGAATTTAATGTACTGACACAATTGTCGATTTCTTCTTGTCCGGGAAGAAAACATAGTATATCACCTTCAGGTTCAGTAGTGTTCACCTGAACAATTGCTCGGATTGTGGTGTCGACTATATCATCCGACTTGTCTCGAAGATAGTATTTGGAGACGGGGTACATTTTACCCTCTATGAGCAAGATTGGTGCATTGCTGAAGAATTTGCTGAAAAGGTCTGCATTCAAAGTTGCCGACATGACAATGACCTTCAAGTCAGGGCGTTCCTTATTAACAATTAATTCTCTTAAAAAGCCAAGAATGAGATCTGTTAGTATGGTTCTCTCATGGGCCTCATCAATGACTATTATGGAGTACTTGGTGAGTTTTCTGTCAAGAATGAGTTCTCGCAAGAGCATACCATCGGTCAAGTACTTGAGCTTTGTCTTCTTTCCACTTGTCACATTGGAAAATCGAACTTGGTATCCTACTTCCTCACCAAGTCTACAGCCGTATTCTTGGCTTACTCTTGCTGCAAGAGAAGCTGCTGCAACTCTTCTAGGTTGAGTGACGGCAATTTGCTTAGATGCTGTGCCCATTAAAAATTGAGGAATCTGGGTAGATTTTCCCGATCCTGTTTCTCCGATAACAACAGTCACTTGGTTCTTCTCAAAATAGCTCATAATCTCGTCCTTGTGTTGGTAAATAGGCAATGTCTTTCGAACTGCAAGTAATTCTTCACTGCGTTTTCGAAGTTCAAACCGACTGATATTCTTCGATTCGAAAAAATCTCCTTTCTCGTCGTCACCATCCTCTTCTTCGTCACTGTTATAGACTACCTTTTTAGGGCCGTTTTCTGGCCGTGATTCAGAGGTATTTTTGTGCAGTTTCCTGCCATTTTCTTCAAATATCTTCTTAGTTTTCTTTCTTGGTGACTCGTTAATGGTTTCAGGATTCTCCTCAGATCTGCTGTTACTGGAATCATCGTTTTTATGAGCTATTCCGTTCGCTATAGCCGGTAAATCATTCTCTGCAACCGGTTCTGGAATTTCCTCATCGTTGAATATGGTCTTTTTATTAGCAAATTGTTTGGTTTCTGTATCCGCCAATATGTTTTTAACAACCTGCTTCCCCTTGTTTCTTCTCCTCTTCCGCCCAGATCGCACAACCTCTCCGTTAGGACTATTTCCAGCCTCTGTAATGCTCATGGACATGGCTTCATTCACTTCATCGCTCTCGAGATGCGACTTATGTGCACTACCATCGCACCATGAGAACCACGAAAGTGAGACTATCGTCCCATTCAGTTACATCAAAATGTCTAAAATAGCACGGATTGGAGCACGTCCATCGAAGTTTCTTCTTCGTAGTACCGTGCAGATACGAAACCAGTCCCAGGCAGCGACGGTCGAGGCCCCTCCAGACACAATCCGGATTGTACCGTCGCTCTCAGACCTCACTAAACCCGACCGTTTCGAATCCGATCTTCTGACCTCTTTGGTACGACATCTCCAGTCGAGATACCTCATTGAAGGAAGTACGCACGAAGAGCTTTTCCATCTCAGTGAACCAGGCAAATCTGGCCAACTCAAGCTCTATTGTGGAGCAGACCCATCTGCCAAATCACTTCATATTGGAAATCTATTACCATTTATGGTAATGCTCCACTTTAGATTACGTGGATATGATGTAGTAGGGCTCATTGGAGGAGCCACTGGTGCAGTCGGTGACCCCAGTGGCCGTAGCAAAGAAAGAGCACAAATAGAAAGCGACGAAAGAGCTGACAATGTTGCGAGAATTGAGCTGCAAATCAGACAATTTTTGAATAATGGTGTGGAATATGCCAGGTCCCGGAATTATCCATTTCCTGGTGATGTTGGCAAATCGGTGGTCAGAAATAATGCCGATTGGTGGAAATCTATTGGGATGCTTGATTTTTTGGCAAAGTATGGAAGACATATTAGAGTCACCAATATGTTGGCAAGAGATTCTATTCAGTCTCGGTTGTCTTCTCAGGGTGGTTTAGGATTCAATGAATTTACCTATCAAGTTTTGCAAGCTTATGACTTTTGGGAGTTGTATAAGACAGAAGGAGTCAATCTTCAAATTGGTGGAAATGATCAGTGGGGAAATATTACTGCTGGAATTGATTTGATTTCACGGTTGCACAAACTTGAACCTCAGACAAAAGAAAGAAAAGATAAAAATGCATACGGCATTACCGTACCACTCTTGACAACTCCCAGTGGTGAGAAGTTTGGTAAGTCTGCTGGTAATGCTGTGTTCATCGACCCTTCCATCACCTCACCTTACCAGCTCTACCAGTACTTCATTCAAACACCTGACGAGATTGTGGGCAAGCTTTTGAAGGTTTTCACATTATTACCATTACATTCTGTGGATGAGCACATCCTTCCCGACCATGAAAAAGACCCCGGTTCTCGTATTGCCCAGCGTGTTTTGGCCAGAGAAGTGGTTGATTTGGTGCACGGAGTTGGTGTGGGTGATCAAATGGCCTATATTACCAGCTTTTTGTTTCCTACTCCCGATCAACCATTTGATGACGAAATTTCGGCCGCAAAGTTAATTGAGAATTTTAAAAGATCTGGTATTTTGGTGCACCTTGATAGCACCCAAGTCAAGTTCAACGACCTCAAGATGAGCACCTTGTTGTCCAAGGTGATGAACAAGTCAAAGACTGAAACAAAAAACTTGATCAAAAATGGAGGCATATATCTCGGACTCGAGAGAGAACAATTACAGGATCCAGATGATGTGGTGCTTTTCGACAAGGAGAATCACTTGATCGATAATAAACTTCTTCTTGTTCGGTCCGGGAAGCAAAATTATTACGTCGTTGTTATCGAAGACAGCGATTAGTTGTATATATGTAAATAGTAAGGTTATTTTTCACTGTTCAATACTTGTTTGACCGCTGCAATTACTTGAGGAAACACAGCTTTGTTGGCTGCGATGACACCCTGCGAATTCAAATATCTTCCCTGACCAAAGTCAAGTTGTTTTCCAGTGATGTCTCCAACTTGTCCACCACTTTCAGTGATCAATATATTTCCAGCTGCGTGGTCCCAGATCTTCTCGCGATAAGTGTCGCTTATAGGTAAACGCAAATATATGTCAGCCTGGCCCTTCGCCAAAACACAATACTTGACCTGAGAATCAAGATTGATAGTTTGCGCTTCAACAGAACTTTCTTCAAAACCTAAAAGCTTCTTGACTTGTGATTGTTCTGAATGTGAAGAATGGCCAGATTCAACACCTTCAGCCACCTTCAATTCACTAGGTGAAGTACTTTGCTTCATCTTAAGACGTTCCTGCTGGTCAAGCGGCTTGAGTGGCTGGAACAAGCTGGTATAGTAGGACCCAAGTCCTTTGATAGCAGAGAAAAGTCCACCTTTTTCACCAGACATGTTGGAGTTGGAGATGATAGTAGCAGGCAAGTTGGGACATCCAATAACCCCAAGAACAACTTCCCCGTTTTCTACCAAAGCCAAACACACGGCAAACTGGTCACCTCTCAAGAAACCCTTGGTTCCATCAATGGGGTCCAAAGCCCAGAATCGTCCACTAGATCCACCTTTCGAATTGCCGAGATCAATGCTATCGTATATCGAATCCAACAGAGTAAGCGAGCCAATTTTTTCGTCCAATTCCTTTGTCTCGGACTGAACATCGTCAATGATCTGCTTAATACGTTCGCTCAACTTTTTGGCTTCGGCAGAATCATCTTTCAACCCATCCGAGTCTTCTTCTCCGACAATTTCATCACTGGGAAAATTCTTTTTGATGGCAAAATTTATGATTGCTTGGGCAGCATAGTCGCCCACCGTCACTGGTGACTTGTCCTCCTTTGTCAAAGTTCCAGATTTTTGGGTGGTGGAAATGGAATCACTCAACTTTTTCGTCAAGATCGAAGCTCTTTGTACCGCCAAGCTTGCTATTTCTATCTCGTGGGAAAATCTCGTCATGGTATGTATTGTACGGTTCAGCAAGATGTTCAATGCCTTGTAAGCTACTCGTGGGGTTATATATGCACAAAGAATCACAACAATTATTGATATAAGAGTTCTGAACGAATTCTTCATTATCGGTGTGCGGGTGCCAAGCCGGTGAAAACCAGGCTTGGATCATGCTCCAAGATACACTTGTTTTGCTATAATATGCCATGGATACGTCTCTCCTTGTTTTGTGGGTATTCACAAGCATATGTTTTGTGCTACAGTTGCTTCCTATAATGTCGGTGCCTTTGACAGGAAAAGCGGTTGGGTATAATCTTTTTCTTAGTGAGTTCAATGACCTCAAGTTTGGAGTGTTTGGAGTATGTAATATCACCACAGACATCTGTTCCCTGCCCAGAATAGGCTACCCAGCCAGATTTAACAACTTGGAAAACGCACCTTCATCTAGCGTTGATACAGGGTTCATACAACTCCCCTCCAGAACGAGATACACCGTTTCCAAATTGCTCATTGTCCATGTGGTTGGATTCGGTTTCAGTGTCATATTATTCCTTATTCTGGGAGGACTAGTGATAAACTCGCTTTGGAACGATCGACAAAGACGTCAACTAAAACAATCTCGTCAACTAACTTCACCAGACGCTCTGGTGCACCTGAAAAAACTGATTCCCAGAGCTAGGCCACCAAAAAAATATGACGGATGTCTCGTTCCTTACCTCACCATCAACTTGATGTTATCGCTCTTGTCATTTCTTCTGACTTTGCTAGCATTTCTTGTCGACATTCTCTTATTTGTGCCTCACCTAAGCTACGTTGGATGGGTTCAATTGTGTCCCGTTATAATCACTATGGTGATCGCCTGTATGCTTTGCTTTATGAAACGGTCTATCGAGTCACGAAGACTCTATGACAGACCCCACGCTATCGAGTTCGATGATATGAGGACAAAAAGAAGCAGTAATGACTTGAGTCGTTTCTCAACGGCCAGTGATGACGGTTTCTTTGTATACACTAATGGGTTCTACAGCGCTCAGAAACCAGAATCTACTGTCCTGGACTCTAATTTGCATGAACCACGGTGGGAATGGCATAACAGAAACGACCAGTCGTCTCCTGCTCCTACACCAAGTGAAGATGCATTGGAGAATTCGAGCAATAGAACATCGACCTAACTTCTATACTTTCATATGCTGGCGTATGTACATTATATTTTTGTCGCTACAGTAGAGAGCTCGTCTATAGTCTCTTTGTCAAGATTGCCTGAGGCTTTCAAACGTTCAACAAGATTTGATATCTTCAACGAGCGTACTGCCAATGGTTGGTCTTTACCTAATTGTATAGCTTTTAAGACTATATCCTTGCACAATTTGCTCAAAATATCATCTGTGGATCTGTTCAAAACTAGGTTAATGAACTGTTGCAAGTCAAACTCGCTAGTCACTATCTCATCCAAAATTCGTTTGGCATAAGCTGGTGTGATTCCCCGGTGAAACAATGCTGGCTTAAGTGGTTTTAACTCCCGCAACACTTTAGTATGCAATTGAGGGCTCAGCGCTATAGGGCTGACATGCTTGAGATAAGAAGAAAGGAAAAAGTCAAAGGTCTCAGCGCTCGGTGCAACTTTTCGCTCCTGAACTAGTATGTGAAGCATAGCTCTGGCTTCGTCGAAGCTCGAGGACATTGTGTGCAAGTATGCAAGTCTATCCAAGGTCGCAGAGTCCACTTCTTCAAGTACCGTTTTTATCGTTGGGTTGTTGGAAAAATTGAGCAAACCTTCGAGTTTGGCCCTGATATCTGATACATGGGTGTGATAAACGACATCCACAAGCTTGGTAACAAAGTTTTTAGTACTCGCAGCAGTCATCTCGTAGATGTGTTGATCTATATAGGTCAACAACTGCACTAGATTATGGCTACTTTCAACGCATTCGTCGGAGTGAAGAAAGTAGTTGGCCAAGGAGCCAAACGACATGCTTTGTGAACCATAACGAAACATATTCGAGCCTTTGAGAAGAGTTTCGAATAATTCACCGAGTCCTTGAGTTGTAAATAAGTCAGATTTTAGTTCCTTTCTTGCAGAGCTAATAAGAGCTTCAGTCTTGGAGTGAGTATCCTTGTTGAAAAATGACAAGCTTTCGACTTCATCATCTATTTCTCTCAACTCTAGGATCTCGTTATTGAATACTTCGAACCATTTAGTTGCAGTAATTGTGTAATACAAGTTGATCACTGTATCTTCTCCGTTCATAGTCACCATCTTGTGGTTACTATTTCCTGTGAAAGGAGCATCTTTTGCAAGTGTTGTCGTAAAGAGGTCATTAAATTGTGGTCTGGAGAGAAAATCAGCAACATTTTCAGGACTGGGAATCTCATGATGATATTTTGGAAGATGATCGAAGTTTGGTCTTCGAGGTATAGCGGCTCTGTTTTCTTCAGGAGTCAATTTTTCGCTCTCAAATTTGAACCTTTCGTCATTTGGGACGAACAGAAACGTTTGCTTCGTTCCTAGACGCCTGATACCCGTGGATCGTATGGCACCGATCATTGGTAGTATCTGGAAAAATTCGAAAAGTTGATGCAGTTCCTGCAGGTGCGAAGGAGCGAAGTGCATGTAGGGCAAGTGGAAGATGAATGGGTAGGGCCTCTCCAAATGAAAAAAACTGGGTCAGAACCCTTACGGAAGCCTTTCTATGAGCTTGATGCTTAAGGATTTCCACTTTTGGATCAATTGTGAAATAAATCAAAAAAGTGTCACAGGTGTGTTTCGAATTTGCAGCCATTTCTCAACTATTAAGATTTCATTATAGTGCACCAATTACCACGATGAAGAAGATTCTACGGCTAGTTTTCATTTTGGTCTACACTAATATCAGCACATTTGTGTCAGCACATGAATTGGAGGACGCAGCTAGTTTTACGGCTGATGAACTTGATAGACTCTTGGAAGATCCACCTGGTTGTATTCAGCTTGCTATGCGTCCCATTTTTGAAAAATGTGTGTTGAATGGAATTCATGCTGTTGACCCAAAGGATAGACGCTCACTGGCTATAGAAATGTCTGTTTGTGAGTTTGAAAGTGCTGGTGTCGAATACCCAGCAGAGTGTTCAACCACTGACTATGACACATGTATTTGGAAACTAGGCCTTGTACCTCAATATTGGACTACTTTTAGTGGAAATTACCGAGACATTGGATTGTTTTGTGAAGGTGTGTCTCGAAATAATGAAAAGGAACAATTAGTTTTACTCTACCTGAACATAACCAAGGTGTTTGCAGGATTTCGACATGCATTTTATGAGTCCTATTCCAAGTCACAAGAGATGAAAGATGAAATGGAAGAAGGTTTCTCTAGGTGGTCTGCGGATTTTGATATTGCCAAAGACCAACATAAGGAGTTTTATGAATTTGTTGCAAAACAGCAAGAGCACATCAAAATAGAGTTGATGAAAAATCAAAAAGTCATTTTTGACTTTCACGATGAGCAGGAAGTGCGATTCAACTCTTATTCCAATCATATTGTGGACGTAATAGACTCAATGGCAGTGGATCTAGATATCATTCTAGCCAAGTTGGCTGATGATGGTATAATTGAGGATATGGAAAATCAGAAAAGTAAGTCTCTTGACATCATGAAATCATACAGCGAGGACGCAGAGCTCACACTTTCGAGAATTGTTAGTGAGTTGGAAAGGGTAGGCATTATACAGAAGAACGATGTGTCTATCGTGGAAAACTTAAATTCTGGATTGGCGGATACGTCCAATAAAGTCAGCAAATTAAACAAGGATTTTGAGGATTTAGACTCTCACTTTCAGCACACTAAGGACCTTATTGAGAGCGAGGTTTCCTTCCTTTTTGCTAATCTCATAGGGGAAATGGAGACAAAGTTATCACAGGCATTAGAAAATGTTGATGATAGAATCGAATTGCATTTTGTTTCACAATTGGAGTTCCTAGATAAATCTTTAAATGAGACATGGGAAGCTATACTCACCTTCAAACAGGATTGGCAAATATTCACTCTGATCTTTGAAAATTTCGAAAACATACCAAAAAGCATTCTGCATTTCGTGACCAGTGGACTTTACAAAACCAATGAAATACTCACACAAACCAGCTATTTCTGGTCTACAATCTTGAACATTCCCGTTTCTTTGCTATCAAATATTCTTCGCTACACTATGGCAGCATCATGGATAGCTATATTGTTCATATTGATATCCTTGAGGTACGGCTCCACGAAACTGTTTCTTTTAGTAATTATGGTCTTGCTAGTGGTATTTTTAAATACTCATAGGTGGTGAGTGAGTATTTTGCACCCAAATGATTGAAGAGCTTCTTGATCGATTGCAAGCTGACGTAAGCTGACTACAACCAGAATACCTCGTAAATCAAGCAGCTTAGATAATGTCAGTTCAAATGTGGATGTTTCAAGTTAGTGGGATTTGTCAAGAAATCCCTCAAGTACCACATCTGATGAATAATGAGTATGGGTTCATCTAGAGCTCTACGAGTTGTCTACAAATCTTTAGCTATCAATTACCAGAACCCCAACTTAACTTCAATTTAAGTCAGAACTGGTAGCATTTCAACAGGGCTACTACGTTTAATGGATTCAAAGTGATACATTTTCACCACATTTAATGGAGAATCCAGCCGCTGATCCTTATGCGGCTTGGAGTTTGAAACCCCCGCTTCACCACCAGCTATAAATAAGAGCTAATGGAGCCTCAAATATTAGGGAGACAATTGCGTCAGGGTTTGAGTTCAATATAATTTCCAAGGAGTGCTAGTACTAACTACCCCTTATTTCGTGCTCATAACTGCTACTACAATACGTAGGTAGAAGAACCATAATTAACCACCAACCTTACGTGGAACTTACTTGCCCAGAGTTAAGCTGAATTTGCAACCAATGCTGTCATCAGATTCAAGCAAGAGACCGGATATTGGTTCCAGAAATTTCTTTTCTGATGCCAAATCAAGATCAATACTTCGAAAGGATTCTCCCGAGAGCCCAGAGTGTATTTTTCATGCTCGTTGGGCAACAACTGAACCAGACACTCCTACTCTGTCTGATCAGAGTGATGAAAATTATCAAAGACATGAAGAATTAAGAGTTGAAATGGATAGTGGTACTGGAGGCTTTGACAAAGATGCCATTTTAATATTGATGTCTAACATTGAAGCCAAACTTGCCGCTCTAGAAATATCAGTTTCTAAAGCCAATTCAGTTCCAGCGACCACAACTCAAGTTGACCCAGCTTCAGTTAGTCTCGCACAGGACAAACCCTTTCCAATCAGTAGATATGCCAACAGCTGGATGGAATGGAATTTTAAGGAATTTAGGAGACTTCCACAACTCATCGGTGATTACAAGAGATGGAGAAAGACCTTTGATGATTTCTTCAGAAAGTATGAAATTCTCGAAAAAATTATAAGGTTTGATTTGAAACTTGATGAAATCAACTTAACTACGAAGTTAAGGTACAAATTCTGTTTGAGCAAAATAGATGATGGTGAGTTTCAAGATTTTTTGAGCTTTATCATATCTGGCTTGAATACCACTTTGATCAATGTATCTGGAGCAGATATTAGTAAGGTGCCAGATGATACATTGCAGACGGTTGTCAGGGAGATCTACGAAAATTATGATTACTACTACTTTGATAAAGTGTCAACTCATGTCAATGAGTATATGGTATTCAATAATTGGGATGCAAAACCTCCGACAGATGTTGGAACTGATGTTCAATTATTCTTTTGTACACGCGACTATACTGATTTTCGTATGTGTTGTTCTCATATCAGTGTATATAATGATGCTTTCAATCACTTATTGAAGCTTATTGCTGATGAATTTAAGAAATATTCAAAGGGAGAGGAATACAAGTCTCTCCGTGAAGTTATGGCGGCGTTCAAGCTTACTGATCATTATCGACGATGTGAGAATAACAAATATGATTGGCTCACATTCAACAAGTTGTTTCATCAGAAGTACAACAAACAACTCATAGATGCTGCTAAATCCAAGAGTTTGAACAATTCCAAGAAGAAGTCCAATTCTAATCAGAAGTCTCGAAGAAGAAAGCGTTACCAGCTGAACAATCCGTAAGGAAGGTATTTGAGATACAATGTCATATTTCCGACGAATACTCGTTCCGTCAAAATTCGAAAATTCTCCGATGTGAATACTTGTCAGCGGTGCATCTGTCTCAATTGTTGATGATAAAAGATTCAGAAGAGACATGAATACTTCCCAAATGAATTAATACTTGTTTGGACTGGCTGACAATTCAGGTATGCAATAGCTAAGGTCGCCTTATCACACATTAGTGAATAAGTCTTGATCTAAAGTGCCTCTTCCCGTTTTGAGCCTGAAACCGTATATGATAGCAAATCTAAGCTGTTCAATAGTGATAGTCCTTTCATCATATCATGAGCACAGTTTGGTACCAATCAATATAGGTTCTGGGACTAAAGTATTGTAGGACTGACATAAGCCCATGTTATAAGTGCTGAGAAGTGCTACGTTGCCTATCTGTATCAAAGTAATATATCATCACCATCTGACCTCACCCCCGCCTAAGTGCCTATCTATTCAAAGGGGAATCGACTCGACTTTCACCAGCATCAAATTTAGAGTCTATTAGTGTGGGTATCGTAATCAGGTTAGGTGCTTATCGCTCACGTGAGAAATTTTGTGGGGTAAGTCATCTCCGAGATAACGATTTACACATACTAATGTTCCTCGGGTTCTACCTTATACTTGGTATCGTGTATGCCATAAACATTGTCCCGTTTCAGGACTCGTCACAACTTCCCCAACCCATTGACAGAAGCATATACAACAACTTATTCACATATGCTCACCTCATTGATATATCATATTGCATTTCTAGGTTTGGTCGAATAGAAGAACCTTTCAAATGTGACTTGCAATGTGAAGAAACTTTTCCTAGCATGTCATTGGTGTATCAGTGGTACTTTGATGATGCTGTCTGTGGCTATGTTGCAATTACTTATTCCAATATCTTCAACCACTCGGCTCCACAAAACTCATCGGATCCTAAGAAGACAATTATAGTTTCGCTAAGGGGAACTCGGTCTATTTTCGATACAATTACCGACACAAAGATAGAAATGACACCATATTATGGCGGAAGAAACTTTCTTCCTTATTGTGGTCCTTATTGCAAAGTTCACCGAGGCTTCTACGATGTCTACCGAAACACACTCTCAAAAATTGATCGTTATTTGTCCACAGAACTCGAGTTCGAAGATAATTATGAACTAATATTCATGGGTCATTCTATGGGAGGTTCAGTTGCTCTTCTTCTAGCTCTTCACTACCTTGATTTGGGATGGAATAATTTATCTTTAGTCACTATGGGCCAGCCATTGACTGGAAATGTGCACTTTACCCAATGGGTGGACTTGGTAATGGGAAGTTCAAACAGGAATTCCCGGAAATTTCTACGGATAATTCACAAAAATGATGTTGTTACTACAATACCAAAGTCAACGTCCATCTGGGACACTTACCAACAATTCGACAATCAAATTTACCTCAATTGCAGCTCTTCAGTTGTCGAGCCTTCCCCAGACCAAGTTGTTGATTGCTACAGCGCTGATAACGAATATTGTATTAGTGGAGACTTTGGTCCAGATTATCTGTGGAAGCCAGTCGACTCATTGTATGAAAATCACAATACCTATTTCAGGCGTCTTGGTATGTGTGGTATTTCTATTCAAATGCATTAGTTGCGCCGAAATGCAAATCTCGGCTGGTCGTCGTCGTCATCGTCATCATCCTCAATTTTTTTCGAGGCAGTTGCAAAATTCGTATTTGTAGCTTGAACCTGTGAGTCGTCCTCACTCACAAAAAGAGAATTATTGGGTTCAGGCTCTTGATTACGGAATGAAAACAGAGGAGCATCTTCCTCCATGTAGTATTGGTCCAAAATTCCTCGTGGTTCTACTCCCTTTACTGGTGGCATCTCACCTGCAAAGTTTGCAACTTCCGGTATACTATTGTAATCAATAGTCATCTGGTGCTTTTCTGTAATTGTCGTTGCTGAAACAAGTTCCACTTTCAGACGGACTCTAACATTCAGAGCAACCTTTTTGAAGTTTTTAAAATTTTTCCTACCCGAGTAGTCGGTTGGTGGTGCCTGTGTACCTCTCGCTTTGGGCCTGATCAAAGGTACGTATTCTACAACTGCAAGGTCTACCAATTGCAGGGAAATATCGTCTTCAATGGAATCGAGGCCCAAGTCCTTCTTGATAGACTCGGTCTGTTTCTCCTTTGTTCTTTTAACAGCTTCGTGAAAGCTAACTTGAGGCATAAACTTTCCAATTTTCTCATACTCAGGTGTTGGTTGTACCGGCTTGTTTTCGGTGTGGGATGTTGTTGGTTGTGCGGGTTCTGGGGCTTCATGGACAGAGTCTTCATCAGACATCATCATTGTAGTATTGTCTTCTGGCGGTTTTTGAGAAGATAGCTCAATCCCATTGGATTCTTTTTCCTCTTGGTTTTGTTCGTCGTTCTCAACCAGAGTTGGAGCCTGGGTTTTAGTGCTTGACCGCTCTATTTGTGGAGGTGCAGATGAAAAATTAAAAAACTCTGTTTTGCTGATTTTCTTTACCCGTCTTCGCTTGGACTGGCTCACTTGGGTGTCAGCTTTTCGTTTCACATCTTTTCTTAATTCAAATTGGTGTAGGTTCAGAGTTGAACAATTGCAAACACTCTCGAAAAGGTCATCCAAAGTAATGGTTTTGAAGTCGGTTAAATCTGAAATGGCCGAAAGACCATCTCTGGCTTTTGGATGCAAAAGATAGGTAGTCGATTGGCCCCACGTATCCTTCTGCAGTTCCAACCGGCTGAAGAATGCACTGGTGTCTTCTGGATTCAAATCAGTAACATCGATAAAGTGTACTGTTCCACCTATTGAGTTCACTATGGTTTCGAGTTTCGCAGTTGGAGATTCAAGAACGAGAACGACACAATTGTGAAGAAGTACACCTCTTTTCGGGTTAGAGAAGAGATAAAACTGCTCCTTTGTGCTACTTGGTAATAAGTCAGGAGTATCGATGTGGAACCACAGTTCATAGTTGTCCTGGTTTTGCAATACAAAATCAATCCACTTTTCATTTACTACCGAAATTCCTCGCAGCAAAGATATGCGTAGTCCATACGTAGGACTGTCATTAGCAGCAATGTAATGTGTGGCTTTTCCAGGATCTTGCGTTGTTCTCAAATCTATCTTTTCAGCCAATTTCTTCAATTGTTCAACAATGGGATTCGCTTGAATGGTACTTCCAATTTGAACTCTATGTGGAAAATTAAGAACTAGAGGTACCCAATGGATCTTGATTCTTATTTTGTCTTCTCTGAACTGCATGTCTACTTCATTTTTAGACTCTAAATCAATACCATATGGCTCTTGGCCATTGGAAAGTCTCATTTTTTCTCCATTAATTTTCGTCATTGCTTTCGATTGTATTATCACTTTCAATGGAGTCTTAGCACTCGTATTATCCAACTCTGTCACATGGCCAGTTTGTATTTGTAAGTGCTCTTTAGATATGTAAACTTCGTTAACACGAATAAAGTTGGGTCGTTCTACATCGCTGCGATCTCGGCCCAATTGATAGGAAGTATTTGGATGAAGCCATCGGTTGTTTACTGTGTTATTAGTCAGAGCCCTTTACTGGTTACTAATTTACATACCCTTTTCGCACTCATAATAGCTCAATATCCACATACTATTTCACTGTGCTCGAGTTCTACTTGTATAACGGGTGTACGGATTTTCCATCGTTTCAAACTTTCCATGCATTATATCTACTAATCTTACTTTTTGGACGACTTGGTCTTCTTCGATGGCTTGGTGACCTTGGAAACCTTTTTTGTGCGTTCTTTCAGCACGGTTTGTCCCATTTTTTTACCAATCAATTTTGCAACCTCATCGGGGTCTCCCAACTCTAACAAACCCTTTTCGTAAGTTGACAACTTGACTCCAGTAGATTCTTTATCTCCATTCTCCTCTGCATCCTCTTGCTTGACATCTTCGTCGTCGTACAATTTTTCGGTTTCAAACAATGGCAAGGCAGGAGAAGCTTCTGTCTTGAGTAAGATGCTCTTGAGGGAAGAAAGTTCAAACGAAGATATCACATCCGAGATATTTGCAGCTACCTCCTCATTGGAAAGAGGTCCAGCAAAAGAACCAACTTTAATGGAGATATTTACACCCACTGGAAGTAAGTAAGCTGTGCTCAGCAAGGCCTTTTCCAATTGATTTTTGACGGTATCGAGGGACAAAGTCTTTGGGTTAGAAGTGGAGGTGACTCTGATAGGGATAGGCAATTTCAGATTACCCTTGCCGTAAAACGTCTTCCCTAATAAGGTAGGCATGAGGTTCATTAATGCGTCGTCAAAAAGAAACATGTCGTATTCGGAATAGAATTGGCGTCTTTTTTCAAAGTTCTTGTATTCTTTCTTTAAAGTGTCCAACAGGACAATTTGGTGAAGCGATCGCAAATTAGCGTCTTCAACCTTCAGGAGTTGGTCCTCAGATGTGATCAATTGGTCACGCAATATCAAACACACTTTGAAGTTGTTTTCACCATCTTCGTACATCAGATGTGAGAGCTTAATGGTCTTGGGTTTGAAGTTGGGTTTGGATGCTTGAAACTTCTTGGTATTTATTTGCACAAACACCGACTTGTTTTCATCATTGTCGTCGAATAATTGAGCCTTTCCGTTACTAGACTCTTTTTCGTTGTCTGCACCGGCGGCAAACTTGGAGAGTGCTTTCACTGCCTTCAAAATACGGGCCGAAGATAAATCGTTCTCTTTTGGGGCAACTGGTTTCTTCGCTTTGGAAGCCTTTGGAGATGGTTTGGCTTCTGCCTTTTTGGACTTGGCAACCTTCAGTACCTTTGGTGAGCTCACAGCCTTTGCTGAAGGCGAAGAAGACCCCTTTTGAGACCTGGTCCGTGCCATAATTACTGTAGTGTGGTGCGATGAGATGCTCATCAGAAAAAAAACCAACCGTGAGGCCTGTATGCAGTGCTAAGATAACTAGAGCTATGGATCAGTAGGAGGCATTGCCGTCTTTGCGATCGTTCGTCCCTGAGTCTGTGGTTCCTCGCCCTTCTCTGCAGAGTCTAGGATTATTGCTGGGACCCCATTGTCTATATTTTCGAAAAGTAACATGGGTTCGAGATCGAGGTTGATTGGTGCGGCTCCACCATGAAATTTCCGGACTTGGCTACTATCTGCATTTCCCAAGCGTTCCCATAAGAGATGCGAGAGTTCGTGTGGAGCGTATACCGCCTGTTGATTCGGACCCTCTTCCACCTTGTCCCAGTGATCCCATTCCGCTGGAGGTGATAATGGGGGAGAAATAAGAAATCGTCTTGAACCGGATTCCAGAGGAAGCTCCAAATAATCCTTGTCATTGTTTGCATATTCCGGTCCGGCAGTTACGGCGAGAGCGACATCCTTTATGCTGTATGTGACTTTGAACTGGAAGTGGTCGCTCAATATAGATACTATTTTGGAGGAAACTCGCGTGTTCTCACATATTATTAATATCCGCTGAAATTTGGGTAAGGAGATGAGTTCAACAACAAAGTTGTTATTTGCAAGACATTGGATCACAGGCTGGGGCTCGAGCAACAACTGTGGATCGACTTTTGTGATTATTATCGTATTGGTCGGTTTTCGTGACATTGGAAAATTGAACCGTTGCTGCTGCGCATTTTGATAACCGAGTGTGCATGAAACCAGAACCGGGGACGCATGGAACCTGTCAAACACGCATGAAAGAAAGATGTAGCAAATGAGATAGGATGGAGCAGTAATTCCAGTTGAGAGTAGTTTGAAACTTTAGACCCTCAATGGTTGTTTAAACCTCGTGGCCTAAAGGTGGTTCATGCTCATGCTCCTATCTAAGAAATCCGTGCACCATTAGATGATCTCCTGCAGACCATTCCGAACACCTTTCATTAGCAACCTACAACTCAATGGCTGATAAGAGGGTTCCCGGTCGCAGAAGAACCTTGGGAAGCAACGAAGTGCAATTGCTCTTTGCTAAATCCAAGACATATTTGCATCCAACAACTGCAAAAAGCGACAATGTTAGCGGATTCTTAACCCTTACCAAAGGATCTGGCGCCACCAATCGTGACGTAGTGCTATCATTTACCGCTGAAGACCAACTTTCGGCTGCGGATCGCAAAACATACGAGGCTATCGATCTTCAAGATCTCAAAACCGGGGTGGAGTCGGAAATCGATTTCCCGGTTGTGTCAAAACCCCCGGTTCTGGTTTTGTCAGGATACAGTTTCAGTATCCCCATTTCGTTCATTTATTCGGTCCAAGTTCGAACTCCCACAGCCGGGTGGTGGCATGGCTCTGTTGTCATCAACTCGAGAGACGGCGAAAAGTTGCCAATTGTGTTCTTTCATGACAATGAATCTCCATCGACAATTCGCAACCAAAAGGCCCAAAAATCAGACATTTGATCCATTTGGAGAAAACGGAGAAATGTACTGGGGAGGAATTGATTTCATGAATGCTTTGAAAGCGTATGCGGTAGTTGAAAAGACGGCGTATGAACCATCAGTGTATTTGATCAACCCAGAAACCAAAGATTTGATCAATTTTGCACCAACTTCCAACAAAGATGTCAGTGCCAAGAGTACTGAAAAGTTCCAATTGCCTGACGTCAACAAGTTTTTCGCCAATGCCAAATGGAAAGTGCTTGAGACAGTGGCTACTTTTTCTGCTAAAACGAAAAACCAAGTGTTGGATATGGTGGAAGAACATGCACCGCTGCCCATTCGACACCTTATTACGCAACCTGAAGTTCAGCGCATAGGCAGTGAATTTGAAGGTGCTCGAGTCTACTTGGCAAAATGGGCTGCTCAAGTAAAGGAAGAAGCTGAACAAGCTAGACGCAACTTTAGCTTGGATGATGACATGTATGGAAAGATTAATAAGGAGTTGGGAACAGAAATCTTGACGAATGAAGAAGTTAGCAAAGTCACCAGACGCAAGCCTGTTTCTCAGGTTGAATGGGATACTTTTTTCGATCTGTCTGGTCGTTTGTGCATAACCGTTGACGAGGTCAAGGACAGAATTTTTCATGGTGGTCTTGAGGACTCTGTTCGTGGAATTGCATGGCTATTCTTGTTGGGTGTTTATCCATGGGATTCAAGCAAGGAGGAGAGAGAGCTCCTTCACAGCAGTTACGTTACCGAATACAACCGTCTCAAGAGTTTGTGGATCGAAGATGACGACAAACGAGCAGAAGAGTTCTGGAAAGATCAGAAGCACCGCATTGAGAAGGATATCAATCGTACCGACCGTTCTTTAGCCCTTTTCAAGAACAAGAAAAACGTCACTGTGACCAGCGTTGGAAGTAATGTTTCGCCAACCACTCGTGAATCTTCTCCAGAAACCCCCGATGAAGAGGAAAATGATGAATTCGATATCTCCAACATCAGAAACCCGCACTTGTTTGCCATGCGTGAAATACTCTTGACTTATAACGAGTACAATGTCAACTTGGGATATGTTCAGGGAATGACCGATTTACTCTCTCCATTATACGTCAAGTTCCAGGACGAGCCATTGACGTTCTGGGCGTTCACAAAGTTCATGGAGCGTATGGAGCGCAACTTTGTGCGAGACCAATCTGGGATGAAAAAGCAAATGGTTACTCTCAACGAGTTGGTGCAATTCACATTGCCTGATTTGTATAAGCATTTGGGAAGATGTGAGAGTACAGATCTCTTTTTCTACTTTAGAATGTTATTGGTATGGTTCAAAAGGGAATTTGAGTGGGATGATGTGCTCAGATTGTGGGAGATTTTTTGGACTGATCGGTACTCGAGTCAATTCCATTTGTTTTTTGCTCTTGCTGTTCTCAGCGACAACGAAAGAATCATTATTGAGAACTTGAGACGATTTGACGAAGTTTTAAAGTACATGAACGACCTTTCTATGAATATGAATCTCGAGCAATTGCTTGTTCGAGCAGAACTTTTGTTCTTGAGATTCCACCGCATGGTGGATATAGTCGACAGAGAAAGTGAACGCCGTGATGAGAATATCAAGGTGAGTCCAGATTTGCGTGGTTTGCTCAGCAGGGAAATAGTCGTCCAGAAGGAAGTGGAAAGACCCGAGGGAGTAGGCGGTGGTTAACGAATTATGTCGAATGAATGTGATTACAGCAGCTAGTTGCGTAGAGGTGGCTGATCAGTAGTGATTTGCAGCCACATATGCAGGATCTCTCAAGGCTAACACTACCAGGGTCGATTAGTTAATCACATCTCACCGTGTAAACACGTGCATCGTGCGCATAAGTAGATTGCGTTGCATGGTAAATCTTTAATGAATGAACAGACGCCACTTTTAGAAGATGAGTATGACATAGAGGATCATTGGATTCGCGACAAGAAAGTCAGATGGTCCCTTTATGGAGCAGGAGGTTTATTTGGTATTTTTGTTCTTTGGGCATTTGCATTTTACTTGCCGCTGCGCTTCATTCCAGAATCCAGGCCGTTTGATGGAATTCAAATGGTTAAAGATTTGAATGTTGTATTTGAACCAATTACCCCAGAAGATTCTGAAAAGCAGTTTGATCCTTCTTACTCGCTCAACTCAAAGGGTTCTAAACAGCGACTTATTCTCATTGGTGATGTTCATGGACATTATAAGCCATTCAGAAAACTTCTCAGAAAAGTTAATTTCAATAACAAGACCGACCATTTGTTGCTTCTTGGCGACTTTATCACCAAAGGCCCCCATTCCATAAAGATGTTGGACTATTTAATTGAGCATAAAGTCGATTGCATCATTGGTAACCATGAGTACTATGTCATGAACAACTATGCCCGATTCCATAACCTCGACCCTCCCTTCTTCGTTGGAAACGAAGATGACAACAAAAATGTATTTGAGACAAATGGTGGCTTCAATGATGATCCGGAGTACTTACTTGCCAAGAAACTCCAACCTCATCATATCGAGTACATCAACCAATGTGCAGTTATCAAGACATTGGGGCCTGTACCCCAACACAAGGCCAAAAACGAAGGCAGCCACAAGTACTCTGATGGCATTGCCGTGCATGGAGGCTTGAGATGGGACATTCCAGACCTCGAATCACAACATGCAGTGGAGTGTTTGGAGATGAGATCGTTGATTGGCCCATACTTTAATGAGTCTACCGATGATCCCCGAGCAGACAGAGCTGTGCTGTGGTCCAAAATATGGAATTTAAAGCAAAAGGAAAAGAACGATACCGATACAAAAGTTGTCTATTATGGCCATGATGCTCGCCGAGGTCTCAATCTTAAACGGTTTGCTAAAGGACTTGATAGTGGCTGCGATACTGGAGGAGATTTGAGTGCCATGGTTATCTGGCAGGAGAAGGCGCGGAAGAGAGTTATGTACAAAGAGCAAATCATTCAAGTACAGTGTGACGATTAACACCTGACTTGGTGGTATAATACTAGAGTAATGTCTATCAATCTTGACCCAATTAATCTTATACATAGTAACATACTAGTCTAATAATCTAAAAACATAGAAATAGAGTTCGTAAGTCTACCAATCTTCGATAACCATTATATAGTCCCCTACGATTTTAGTTGCAGCCAGATGAACTTCTGCTTCTTTTGGCGACTTGCATAAGTATACGCAGTCCGTCCATCCGTGCATCTTTTCTGGAGACGGGAGTTGTCGTGCTCATAATTACGCGTGACCGCGGCACCACTTCCGCGTATTTATAAGTCCGCACTTTGTACAACACAACACCCCTTCGCCTCCAAAAACCCACTAGCTCCCACCAACACCTTTCTTTATCGAAGAAGCTAAACACCACACCAATACACCATGAGTTTTCATGGAATCGAGTATTCCCCCGAAATGGTGGCCAATGCAACCACCGTAGCTGATGATGGAATGCCCTCTATATTCAATTTTCCAGGAGGCAATCCCATGTTATTTTATATTGCACCAGATGAACCTCTTCGTAATGAATATGTTCATAAAATCACGAATTATGGTGGTGTTATAGCTGATACAGAGCCACGTCCTTCGAATCAGATCATTTTGCTTTCATCTTATCATTTGGGACATCGTCTGGCCTACAAATTTCTGTTTGTTGATGACTCGATCGAGCAGGGAGCCGTGCAAAATTTGGATAATTACCGGTTTGGTTACGAAGGAGAAGCTGACGACGCGACCAACCACGCATACGAGGCAATCAAAGCGGTGGGTTCAAGCCCTGGAAGAACGGTGAGAAACGGAAGAATTACTCATCGGTTCAATAAAGTGAAGGATGACTATATTTTGAAGCAGGTGCGAATGCACCCCAAGTACCGGAACTCGCACAAGTTCTTTGACGATCTTGCCAACCACCCTCAACTCGAGGGGCACACCGGTAACTCCATTCGTAGTCGGTTCAGAACTCACTTGGAACCTAAACTCGATTGGGTTTACAAGACCGCCTCGGACGGAAGCTTGATCAAAGATGAACATGGACAATTGATAAGAGACACCCTTGACAATCTCCCAAAGACACTCAAAAATCGTTTCACCGCCGAGGAAGATTATGAATTGTGCCAAGCCATCGTCGACTTCAACCGAGCTCGGTTTTTCGGGGCCGCAGATGAGCATGGAATTGTCAGAGATGAAACTGGTAAGCCAAAGGAATTCGACTTGTATGGCCAACTTACAGTTCCTATCTCCTTCTTCTCAACGTTGGCAAAGACGAATCCAATGCACACACCTAATTCTTGGAGAGATCGTTACAGAAAATTTGTGTCTCGTTACGGTGCTAAAAAGTACATTGATTACTACGATAAGGTCACGGCATCAGGAGGCGTTCCCGAGCCAATTAAGGGTGACTCTCCTTCTACCGCCAAGGCCATCAAGCAATTGATTGGACTGAACTACCGTAAAGACACTCAATCTGCTCTCGATGAGGAGATCAGCCAATTAAAGAGCTCCAACATCGATCTGGCCATCATCGCCCAGTCTCAGATTGCACCTGAGCCCCTCGTCAAATTCATTGACCGTGGAGCAACTCTCGAGTCCTTGATTAGCAATGCTTTCTTCCAAGTGCCTCAAGAAGAAGTCGAGCCTCGGATAACCGAGATTCTTGAAAGTTGTTCGCAAGATGATATAAGCGTATTGATTGAAAAGCTAAAGGCTACTGGCTTTGAGCCCAACTTCACGGCGCACATTGTTATGGCCACAAATGGAGATGTTGCTAAAATGCAAGAATATGTCCACGAGTTCTTACAAAGAATGAATACCCAAGCAATCGCTGACCCTTACGAGCTTGCCCAAATCAGCAGGAACGGGATCTGGACTCCTGAGACTGACGCTATGTTGTGCTCAGGAAATCCTGCTGATATAAAGAGACTTCAGCAGACCCATGACCACGATGAAATTAAACGTCGTGGTAACTTCCTCAAGCTGATCGGAGTAAGTGTACCATAATGTGAAGTATTGTATATTAGTGAGTGTTTTTTGTTAGGCTAGAATTTTTATGCTAAGCGAATTTTAAAATGTAATTTGAACATAAAATGAATGTCAACTCAACCAACTCAACGAATGTTACGCCGCCAACAACACTGGACTCTCTTGAAGTCTTTTATTTGTTCCTTATCTGTATATGTATCTACATTTTCATTCTCATGATTGAAATCATGGGACAGGATACATCCACAAAAGCTACAAATTCATAAGAAAGAAACAGCATATATTGGTATCAAACGAAACAATCAGTTGGAAAGAATACCCCAGTATTTTTCAGCGTTGTAAGGACCATCAGCCTTCCACAAGTCATTGAAAGCGGTGAACAAAGTTACATCGTTACCACAAGAGCCGACAATCGAGTCGACAGCAGACTTTTGGTTGGACTTGGATGGGACAGCAACGCCATTGGAGTCACCCTTAGATGGCCAGCCAGTCTCAGTGACGAAAACGGACTTGTCACTTCCACAAGCGTCAGCAACTCTTTGGATTTGCAACAAGACCCAGTCACCGGCTTGTTCAGCAGTAACATGACCATCGAAGAAAGCGTGAGCGTTGATAGCCATGTAGTCGGAGTACTTACACAAGCCAGGGTTGTTAATAATGGCAATGAAGGTGTCGACGGAAACAACAGGACCAGTGTATCCAGCAGCTTTCAAAGCAGACTTGGCAGTGGAAACGTATTCACCGATTTGGGACACGGAAGCTTGACCACCGTTGACCAATTCGTTACCGACGGAAACAGTGTGGACATGGTCCCATCCACCGTTAGCCTTAACAGCGGAAGACAAGGTCGAGACACCAGATTCGATGTTGGCAACATCATAGATACCAGCAAAAATCTTTTGCGAGTCGGACTTGGCAGACATAACAGCGTTGACTTGGTCACAGTCGACACCGTACAATCTAATGATGTTGTAACCACTCAATTGTTGGATTTCGGAAGCAATCTGCGAGGAGGATTTACATCCACCATCGTCAGAGTAAGGGGAGTAAGTGATACCCTTGGCACCACTGGAACCAGCGCCACCAGATGGTTGGGACGAAGCTGAGCCAGTAGCAGAGGCAGTACCGGTCTCGAACGAGGAAGGGTTGGTGAAACCGGAAGGTTGACCTTGAGGAATCACGGTGGTTGGGTCTACCGACACGGAAGCGGTACTCAAGGAAACTTTGGGAACAGCAGTAGTAACATCACCGTTGGCACCAGCAATCACAACAGTGGTTTGGGTGACAACCTTGACATCTCTCTTGTGTTCATGGTGTTGGTGTTGCAATGGAACGGCAGCAACAAGAGCCACGGTGGCAGCGGAAACAAGCGATTTAAACAACATAGCAAAACGGGACGATCTAAAAAGAAGGACTGAAACGGGTATCTAGGGATAGGATTTGGTGCAAGGAGCGACTGTAGATACGGCCAGGTTCTAAACTATAAGTCCAGTTAATTGACGGCTTTTTAAAAGAGTGTAAAAAGGTAAAAAAAAACAAACTGGGCGAGCGCGATTTTTTTATACAAATTCGTGCCCAGGCAATTTCGCACAAGGGATAGTGTTACCCTCGGAATTCGCATTGCTTTGGTTTGTAACCGCGACCAATTCCGGTGGCGCCAAGCGTCGACAATTCAACAAGGTAGACGATGCAACACGAAAAGATGAGGACTTTGATTAATTTAAGTTAAACGGAAATTTATTGTAGGTTATAAACGATTCGGTTTATCAAGCTTTTCTTGTGAATATGTGTAATACTACAATTTAGCCGACATGCTGAAACAGTATTGAGACTACTGAGGTTTGATGATGTTTCACGTTGCCTGATATCCTCTTACTCCTTTGGTCGACTTAGCAACCGCATTCTTCGATCCCGTGTTTCTTTGCACGTCATAAGGGGCATCGACTGAGCGTGCATACGCATACCCGCATCGGGTATTATTTACATTTACATAATACACCACTTGGGAAGGACTCGGTCGTATTGGGCGAGTTTCGAGGGTGGTGCACGTGACTCGCGATTCTGGGCTCATTAGCGGGGGCGGGCGACTGCTGATTTTCCCGCTTTGAATCTTAGGCAAAGGAGAGCCCGCTCCAGACAACGTTTGAATAAATTTTGTCGCTTTGGTCTAGACGGGTATGGTTGCAGATGGATGAGCCGGAATGCCTATTGTGTATTGGACGTGCGTGGGACGTGCGCCGAACGTGCATCAGATATTGCATCAACCGTCGTCGTCAATATGGGTGTATAGGTGTATCTCTTACGACGGACTGCACGTAGTTTCAAGACCGCGTTGACGCATTACCAAAACGTTATAGTGCATGCGTCGATTCGAAACACTACGTCATATGGGGTCCTTGAAACATAAGGTAACGGTCTGGAACAGCAGTAATTTGGCTGAAAATATTGCCGTGGATAAGTTCTGATTTTTGTGCGCTTGTAGCTGTATGTAAGAGGGATTTTGTGAGACTGGTTTTTTCAGTTAAAATTTTTCATTTTGTATTTTTTTAAAAATTTGCAATTTGTCCATGTGCAAAAAATAATTTGCATATGTTGAAAAAGATGTAGATCGTGGTATCTTCTAATTTATGGTAGCTCGTGATCCCTTTATCAAACTCGGTAGATGATTAAACCGTTGAGTAGGAAAAGGCTGCAAAATTGTAGTGATGAAGGCGCAATAAGAGTAACAACTTACGATGAAGATACAACTTTCTTGATCAAACCATCAAACAAGGCTGTGTAGTTGATGCTAATGGCTATTGGAGCCAAGTATTACAAGTAAATCCGTTGCAATTCAATCATTGTCATCTACTTTACCAATGGCACCCGTTGCACCGACTATAAGAATTCAACTGATTTTCGCTCATGGTCCTCAACTTCATGTACTCCGAAGGAACCTTTAGACTAGTCGCTAAAGCCAGTTATAAAGCCAGTTGTTTGAGTTTGATAGGCTTACAACACATACAATAATTTTAACCAACATTCTTTCCACAATGTTCAAATTCTCATGCTACCAGCACAGCATTCCAGCAACAAGATCTTCATAGCTCAACCCACTCAATACGCAGAATAGGGCCGTGGTTACGATGACTGTACACAAATTTTGCAAGTTTAAAATGGCTGCAAATTTGTATATGAATTAGGGTAAGTATAGGACTCAAAAATGAAAGTCAAAAAACAAAAGCCGAATAAACCGACCAAATGACTCAACTACTCTCTCCTTTCGTAATCGTACCATCACTCGCCATTTTAGTATATTAATATTCGTATTGCTGTTCTAGTCAACCCAGATCTTATTAAGCGAGATCCTGCATATCACCCAGGAACATTACGTGCAACGCTTCAATTTGTCTGCCCCAACTTCACCCTTGTATACTCCCCAAATAACAAGAGTACGGTTTTTGATCGCAACTATTTACAATTAACATCCATAGTCCCTGCTACTGTCGGAAGATTGTATATTGATCACTTTTCCATCCATTATAGTCTCAATTGCTATCGGGCAAGACTAGGTGATTTGATGGATGACTACTAGATTCTCCGATCCGATCTTTCATAAATACAAAAACTTGTACACATATCGTGAGGTGAACCACCAGCAACATATACGAGTAATAATTGACGGTGATCTAAAGAATGACACCAGATTTTGAGGACAAAGAGAACCTCAACTTGGGGGCCAAAGGCGCCGTTCCCCCCAATGCCGACCTGATCTACGTTGATCTAATGGAAGAAGACGATGAAAGTGCGGAGCAGATAGTGATAGATGAGGAGGACGACGATGAAGAAGATGAAGATGATCAGGAAATGGCTGAAGACACTGAACCTGTCACTCGTCGAGCAACCGCCCCTGATCCAAGGCTGACAGCAATTCCAAAAGCAAATGAGTTTGAAAAGCTAGCTAAGCGCCTCATGAAACCCCTTCCTGATTATCCTGTCGCTGACGAAACTCATCACGTTTGGACTATAGACTCGTGGTCGAGTTTACGTGAGAATAAGATTAGGGGTCCTACGTTCAAGTGTGGCGGATACGAGTGGAATGTGCTCTTATTCCCTCGTGGCAACAACAACACTCACATCTCCATCTACCTTGAGCCCCACAAAATTCTTGACGACAAGAATATGAGGGCGGACGATTGGTACGTCTGTGCTCAATTCGCATTGGATATCTGGAACCCCAGCTATCCAGAGTGTCACCTTCCCAGCGGCTCATTCCACAGATTTAACAAGAATGAAACCGACTGGGGGTTTTCCACATTCATCGATCTTGGCCAGTTGAATTCGACTCGAAGGTTTAACAATGGCCATGCCATATTGGAAAAGAACACCCTTAACATCACTGCCTATGTCAGGATCATAGATGATTCTTCCACTGGTGTGTTATGGCACTCTTTTCTCGATTACGACTCCAAGGCTAGTACTGGCTACGTCGGGCTCAGTAATCAGGGTGCGACGTGCTACTTGAATTCACTTCTTCAGTCATACTACACAACCAAGATCTTTCGCGACCTAGTTTACCAGATCCCCACGGAAACTCACAAAAAGGGTCAGTCAGTCTCTCTAGAGTTGCAGCGTATTTTCTACCTATTACTGACTTCCTCAGAAGCAGTGGGAACTTTGGAGTTGACAAAGTCCTTTGGATGGGATTCTTCTGAAGCATTTACACAGCATGATGTTCAAGAAATGAACCGTATATTAATGGATAGACTTGAGCTGGCCATGAAAGGAAGTGCCATCGATGGTTCGTTGAACGATATATTTGTGGGCAAGATGAAATCTTACATCAAGTGCGTAAATGTCTCTTATGAATCGTCAAGAGAAGAAGACTTTTGGGATATTCAATTGAACGTCAAGGGATTCTCCAACTTGGAAGCATCTTTTAAGAACTATATCGAGATTGAAATGCTTGATGGAGAAAATAAGTACCAAGCAGGCGATGAACACGGGTACCAAGATGCCAAAAAGGGAGTCGTTTTCCGATCATTCCCACCAGTTCTTCATTTGCAATTGAAGAGATTCGAGTATGACTTTATGGTCGACGATATGGTGAAGATTGACGATTTGTACGAGTTCCCCGACTCAATTGACTTGAAGCCATACTTGGATGAAGATTTGCCTTCTGAAGTTAAATCTCAGAACTGGACTTACAAGCTTCATGGTGTTCTAGTACACCAAGGAAGCATTTCTAATGGCCACTATTATGCCATGATTAAACCCGAAGCCTCCTCAGACTCGTGGCTTCGATTCGACGATGATAAAGTATGGAAAGCAACTCATACTCAGGTATTCAAGGAAAACTTTGGGGCTAGTGAGTTGACGTCTCAAGAATTCGCCAGGCTCTCCAGAGCTGACCAAAACGAATATCTCATCCGCCGAGCTACATCGGCTTATATGTTGGTTTACTATCGAGAGTCGGAATTGGATTCAATATTACCAAAAGACAACGCCTCCATTGATAGTCACATTCCAAAACACATTCCAACTCAAATCAAAGCTGAAACTGAAGAGAAAGAGCGCGTAGAGAAAGTCAGAGAGGAAGCCTCGTATTACATCAATGTTAAGTGTGTGTCAGTGGACAGTTACAATGCATACTCAGGCTTTGATTTATACCCTGACCCCACTATGCCAAAGTACTACGATGAGTCGTTGGTGAAGCCTGAATCTTTGCCCCACGTATTCAAAATGAAGAAAGAAGATAAGATTACCAAAGTATACGAGAGAGTTGGGGTGCAATTACAGTATCTTGCAGAGGGCACGCAGATTACTGAAGACGAGATAGACTCTCTTCCATTCCGCTTACTTCTTGTGAACCACCGTAATAATCATACAAACAGAACGGATACTCCAATCCCGCCCAAGCTTCGAGACCACACGATTAATGCAGTATATGTCAAATGTTACAATCGTGGATTTGACGAGATGGTGTTGTTTGTCGAGGAATTGAGAAAGGACCTCTTTAATGTGGTTTCCAACATATCAAACAAAGACAAAATTGAGCCTCTGAAATTTTCATTTGAAAATGTGTCCAAGGAAATCGAAAGCAGCAAGTTGGACATTGAGAAACAGAAATTTCATGACATCTTTGATTATTCAGCGCACATCACCATCTTCTTGAAATACTATGATACTGCGTCGAATAATTTGTACGGGTTGACTCATGTGACTGTCGAGAAACAGGCAAAAATCGATTCACTCACTTCTTACATTAATTCACTTCTTGGGTTCGAAGAAGACAACCATCTTGAATACTTTGAAGAATTGTCTCAGTTGAAGATTGAACCGGTGGACCAGCTGTTGTCTTTTGAGAAACATGAGCTCAGTAATGGTGACATACTCGCCGTTCAATCTTTGTCAGAGGAAAAGAAAAACGTACAAGAATTTTATAACTTTTTGCTTACCAGACTCCACATCAAAGTGAGTCCGTTCAAAGCTGAAAAAGAAGAGGAAGACAGCGACTACGTAGCTGATAACCTGGATAGCGAAGTTCAAAAGTCGTCTGTGAAACCTACTGATAATCAGACTTTTGATTTTTGGGTGTCAACCCAATACAGTTACGATGACTTAGCAAAGAAGATTGCACAGCATTTGGGCCCTGATGTTGATGCTGAATACTTGAGGTTGTTCATCGTGAACTACCAGGGAGTCAGATACCCATTGAAATCTAGCCATCATTTGTCACAATTCTTTTCGAGGCTGGTTCCGCTTTCGCAGATCACTAATTTCGAGTATGAAGTGCTTAATATCAAACTTAAGGAATACGAGAACATGCGGTCGATAAAGGTAAATTGGGTAACTTCTTTGGTCCTGGCACAGTTGTACGATTTGTTGATACCTAAGACAGGTTTAGTATCTGACCTCATTAAGAAATTGATTCACAAGGCAGGGGTGAAGGAGGAGGTTGTACATGATATGTTGGTGTGGACAGGACAAGATCACAAGTATGTCGATTTGGTTCGATTTGATCGCAAGATCGACACCTTACCGGATAACGTTGACATTTACGCAGGGATCTTTCCAGCAGAGGTTCAGATATTGTTGGAGTTTGACATGATCAAACGGTTCAAAGAAGTGCCGGGCAATGTCAATGACATTTTGGATGAAAGTACGAAAACAGAATTGAAGCTTGCCCAAGGGTCGGCCAAGAAATTGAATATGATTCCTGCTTTTCACTTTCACAGAAACAGCACATATCATCATGGTATCCCATTTATTTTCCCAGTCTACCCTGACGAAAAGTTTGCCCGAACTGCAGAGCGATTAAGGAAGCGTCTTGGGGTAAGTCCGCAAGCGTTCAGCAAGATCAAGATTGCCTTAGCTGATGCGAATGATAAGGGTCGCTATCTAAACACCGAGAGTGAATCATTGAACTTGTTTGATGAAATATTGAATTGTGATGCGTCAATGTCGCTAGCTCTCGATCACTATGACCGATCTCCCAAGAGAGGTGCTGCTTATGATAAGGGCATTTCCATCAAATAAATCAATCGTCAATCACTAGCAAATAAATAGGACGAATTTTCATTCATTAGCAAATAATAATATTCACATTGAGTCGTATTAACATGGTCATTACGTGCTATTACTCTTGTAAGTTTCCTTATATATATATTCACGGATGTCAGTAGAACTGATCTTACCTTTCCAACTGTTGTCTTCGCGGCTGTCTTCACCTCCGACCACTTTAATGGTGATGATGTCCAAACTGGGAAACCCTCGTTCATTACGGTAATTGTTAACATAGGCACCACCCTTTGCTGACTCCTCGCTGACCACTAAACAGTCGATATCTTTCACAAAACCAGTGGGCCCGCAAACATCATTTATCTCATAAACGTCATATCTCACATTTCCGTCCAATAGACGATTGACAAGGGCTATAGTGCGCTTCATTCGTACTTCAAATGACTCTAGACATTCAGCATATTTTTTGTTTTTGAGCAATGCCTGGCCAGTAATACCGATGATGAGCTTTCTCTTTGCCAAAAACGCAGCCACTGAAAGTAGTATTTTGTGCCCATCATGGATATGATCAAACGTTCCTCCCAAGGCAGAGACATTGTACTTTTTGGAGATTTTGGGAGCAATTTGTCGCTCAATGGTTCTCGGTTCACTTTCAAGCTTTTGGATCGAATAATCAACCTTGATATGTTCTTCAATATCTTTTGAAACATACACCTTTTGAGTACCAGGTGTGATTTTGGACACTCCAGTATTGAATAAAATTGTTATACCCAATTTATAGTCACATCCCGCTTCGGTAAACTGGTGCCGAAGACAACTATATGTAGTTGCAAGTGCCTCATTCAATTGCTCAACTTGGTTGATTGGCTTAAGAGTCAACACATCAACTTGTTCGAGAGAGTTGAGATTACCATTAAGATGCCCAACCACCTCTTGAAATATATCCGCATAATCATTGGCAGTAATGTCCAGCACCAATATTGCAATCGTCATGCCGATTAGATGAAGTTGTGGAATCTCACCTTGGTGCTCGGTGCAGGAAAACAGGCTGCAAAACTATATTCAGCTACTGCGTACTATTTACAGAATCTATCGTGAGTGGAATCAAGGAACGCACCTTTTTGGCAAGATGCAGCATCTTGGACGTAGCATCAGTATCAATGGAGACAAGACCCATTATCAGCCTCAATGCAAGCATTAATTGGACATCTTCCTTGCTGAGATCGTCTCGCACACGAAGCGAATCCAACACATACTTTATCGAGGGTTCGATCTCGCTATAGGTCAACTTGAGTCTAGGGTCTCTTATCGCTTTAGGAGCAAAGAACAGAACTCCAGACCGAATTATCAACTTGTGTATGTTGACAAATTCAGTAGAGTTTTGAGGAAACCATGTCGAACGGTATATACGCTCGATGATTCGATTATACGAATCAATGGTGTAGTTTGGTAGGCTCTTCTTTCCATTATTGCGAGAATGAAGCAACAAGGTATCCATAAAGGCATTCAAAGTTGGCATGAACGATAAGAGTTGTTTGTCCAAAAGTGATTTCTTTGGAGTGTTATCACGCACATTCCTTTTTTTCGATGCTACAATCATGCGATTGTAATTCGAGTCGTTGAAGTGATGGATATCGGAAGTCAATACGGAAAACACGGCATCAACCGTCTTTGGCCTTATTTGGAGATCTTTGTTATTAACGGTCACAACGGCTTGAACAAGTTCAGTCACAAGTCTACCAGCAAACAGCTCTTGCTGATAAGGAAAATTTTCGCTTATTTTGAAGATGAAGTTTTCCACCATCATGATATCGACACATTCAGTAATGATATTTCCACTGCTTTTGGTTGATTCGGGTAATACCAAAGGCAATAAACCTTTTTGGACACCTCCATTGCGGTATCTTTCAAGCAATTCTTTATTATCCACTTTTACTGCACCCCATTTCGAAAGCATATACCATACTGCAAGATAAAATTCCTGAAACTTTCCCAATTTCAATAGTCCGTCCAAAACCAACATCAAAATAAATTTGTTAAGCGGCTGTTTCTTGCCATTGAAGTAACGAATAAAATCAGCCGATGCTTTTTTACCAAATTTACCTTTCGACGATAAGTATTGGTTGTGAAGAAACATGGTACGAACTTCTGCCCCCGTGTGTCTTGAAAGGTCTACGAGTGGCTTCTTCTTTCCGCTGAATAAGGCACGATTCTTATTTCGGGATAGGAGGGACGGAGGGAAGGTCACCAAAGGATTGATTTTTGTCGAGTCAACTTGAGGGTTATTGATGTATGATATTTCACTCGAAACGTTACCGTTTGCAAACCTAATGATATTCTCCACTTCAGGACACCAGACCTTCAATGCAGTGAGGCCGTAGCTGATGCTATCAAGGTTTGTGTTACCTAGAGATTGGATATACAAAAAAGTGTTAATGAAACAAGAAACATAGACACTCACGAATGCCTCGTCCACGTCCACCAATAGACGTCTGCTTTTTTGTCTATAATCAGTAAGAACTTCAGGGTTGTGCTCTGCTTCTTCTTTAGTGGGAGGTACTGGAGGGGTGGCACTTGTTAACACTTTTCCTAGTATCTGGTCAGCGGTGTAGGCCAAGTTTTGCCTAATTTCATCCAACTTTTCGATTTTTTCCTTTCTGGTCAATCCAGAATTCTGGCTAATTTTATCTGAGTCTGCCTGGGCTTTCCTCTTTACCCCATTTAAAAGAATAGTAAAGGTCTGGCATGTGGGGATTATGGCTGGAAGTGTGGATTTTGGGTCTGGTAAAAGCTTGTCAAAGAAGCTCCATGCAAATTCTTGATCATTTACAAAGCTTCTGACGAATATACCAAGACAAGCATTGAAATGTTCTACAGTACACTTCAAATCTGTTTTCCCTGATTCACGAAGTTCAGCTGCCTTTTCTCTAAAAGTGTCAAAAAGAGTTAGGTACTTTTGGCAGGCTTCAGCAGAAACCCCACCCCAAGACGAGGCTCTCGAAATACCATCGAACAATATGGTATAAGTGTATGACGTAGAAGGAATGCCCCATTTTTTTCGATCATTAAAGCATTTCAAACCGCCTTTGATATCACCATGGTCAAAGTGCCATTGGAGTATTGCGTTCATGGCGACCACACCGCCTCGAGAACCAGCCATTCGTGCCAAGGTCTCTGCCCTGACAGTGTCATTGTCTCGTTCAAGAAGTTTGAGAACATCTCGAGTCACAAGAAACGGGTCTTTTAGTTGCATGGCATTAGTTCCAAGCAATGTTAGCAAAAGTTTCTGGTCGATGGGCTTTCTGTCTATTTTCTTTGTGCCCACGAGAGCCTGAAAGATTTCGAGCGACTTTTCAGAGGCAACATTGATATCTTTGGTGGTGAGTTTGTTCACATTTATCATACCCCCCGCCGCATTTTGAAGCTTTCCGTCGTACCTGGATTGAAGAATGGATATTATTTTCTGACCAGAGTATGCGCCGTTTGCCTTTTGTATGGCTTTTGAGTTCCTTCGATGTGTTTGGGCGGGTGTTCGTTTTATGATTTCGCCTGTGTTGAGAAAATGGTTGAGTTTGATTTGAACATTTGAGCCGGAAACTGAGCGTCGAGATAGCCTATACGGGCCACGCAGCACCCGAGTACTGTTAATAAGCGCCAGTACTATATGATTCAGCATTATTTTTGTGGGGCATAGGAAGAGATGAGATTGAGATTTCGCATCGCATCGACTTCGCATCGCATCGCACTTCGCGTTCAGGTTTAAGAGCTACGGAGTAGCTTTACAAGTAAGCTATACAGTAGCTGAAGAACAGTGTTACCACTATCATAGTCTCATCTGTCTACGCTCAATAATTGAAGATGAGTAACATAGAAGCACATTCAGAATCTTTTCAGCGGACTGAGTGGAAAAACCTCAAGGCTTCAGTTGACAAAATTGTCGAAGCATTGACCAGGAATAACATCAAGGAATCAGCAATCAAGCTATTTAATCTCAATATTTACCGTGGACAAGGATACATTGTTCGTTCTTTCATGAAATCACAATTGACTCGAGATAAACAGCACACCAAAGTGTTGGCTAGTTTGGCGGCAGTTATCAATTCCAAGTTCCCTGAAGTTGGTCAGATTCTTATATCTCGTCTTGTTGTGCTCTTTCGGAAAAGTTTCGTCAACAACGATAAGCCTAATGTGACTCGTTCGACCCACTTTCTCGTCCACTTGATGAACCAATATGTTTGCAGCGATATTGTAATCCTTCAAATTCTCCAATTGCTTTTGGAAAATCCTACAAACAATTCCGTTCGTGCTGCTACTTCTATAATGACTGAAGGTGGACACTTTTTAGTTCAACACGCTGCCAATGCCAGTGCTATGATTTTCGATCGACTTCGATCATTTCTTCAAGATCCCAACTCCCAGCTTGATGGATCTGTTCTTCATGACATCGACTTGTTGCTACGAGAGCGCCGTCATAGGTTCAGCCGTTATCCTGCTGTAACGCCTGATCTCGACTTGGTAGAGGAAGAAGACCGAGAGACCCACACTTTAATATTAGACGAAACAATAGAAACTCACGATGAATTGAATAGCTTCAAGTTTGACGAAAATTGGCAAGAAGAAGAAAACAGATATAAAGAAGAATTGAGAGAGATTCTCGGAGATTCTGACGAAGTTGCGGTTGCACCGGTGCCAAAAGAAGAACCAGAAAAGACCGATAAAACCATTGATATGACCAATTCCGATCTTATTAATTTCCAAAAAACGGTATATTTGACAATAATGGGGAGCATGTCATCTGATGAAGCGGTACACAAGCTTTTGAAGCTCAGTTACAAGAACAATAGTGATGTTTCCAAAGACGAAGTACTTGCAGATATGGTGATAAAATGTGGAAGTGAAGAAAAGACATACTCAAAGTACATTGGGATAATAGGAGAGAAGCTCTGTTCCAAGAGTCGTAGATGGCAAGTTGTGTTTGTAAGGCTTTTCAAACAATATTATGAAAAGATACACCAGTTCAACACCAATGCGGTTCGCAACATTGGCAAGTTATTTGGCCATCTATTTGCCTGTGGAATCTTGCCTATAGAAGAGTGCTGGGACACCATTGAGATGACTGAGGACGGTACAACATCTGCGGGACGGATATTCATCAAGTTTGTTTTCCAAGAGTTGGTGGAAGAAGTGGGTATCGGTGAGTTGGTTGAGATGGTGGAAGCAGAAAATGTGCAGTCGAAAATCCAAGGTATGTTTCCAACATCTCCTCAAGAGATGAGAGATGCCGAGCATGTACGTTTCTCCATCAACTACTTTACGGCAATTGGACTCGGACGACTCACAGAACAGATGAGAAGTGCATTGAAGAGACTCGAACTGGAGCCTCGAGGCAGAAAGCGAGAGAGAAGAGGAAGTGAAAGTAGTGACAGTGGAAGTTATAGTCGAAGCAGCAGCTATAGCCGGAGTCGAGGTGCGAGCTATAGTCGAAGTGCGAGTGGGAGTCGGAGTCGGAGTCGAAGTCGAAGTCGAAGCAGAAGCCAGAGCGGAAGTCGCAACGGAAGCCCGAGTCGCAGCCAAAACGGCCGCGGTGACATGGCGCGCCGCACCAGCCGCACCCACAGCAACCTCGAGGAATCAGCGATGAGCGAACAAAATAGACATCGCCGCCAAGCGTTCAATGAAGGACCTGCTCCGTACGGAATTGACCCCAAGAGAAGACACACTTAGGTAAGTGGTTTGCAAAATCCACATCGAGTTTGGACTCAACTTGACCATCTTCCGATAACCCCAGACTTTCAACTGTGCCATACCTTACCTGCAGTATCGAACTGCGCCGGTTATACCGCGGGAAAACTCGGAGTGACGAAGAACTCAAGGTACCAGTAAGGTACCAGAAACTGAAGAAAAAAATGGTGTGTGGGCGTCGAAACCTATTCGATATATAGCTGGGGTTGTGCTAGTGCCAGAGCTATCTTAGAATCTATCGCATCGTCCGTTTTGTTCCGGGTGAAATGAACATTGTATCCTGCATACACCAGAGCCAATGGGCGTGTTCGAGTTACAAACCACCGGCCTGAAACTATAAAAAGGTTGCGCGGCAAGAAAATTTCCATAGTCAATAAGTAAAAAAAATGCCAGCTCCATACGAAAAGGGTTCTGAGAAAAAAGGTGCTACTCTCTTTAAGACCAGATGCTTGCAATGTCACACCGTTGAGGAGGGTGCTCCTAACAAGGTTGGTCCTAACTTGCACGGACTTATTGGTAGAAAGTCTGGTCAAGTCGAAGGTTACTCTTACACTGATGCCAACAAGAAGAAGGGTGTCGAGTGGACCGAACAGAACTTGTCCGATTACTTGGAGAACCCAAAGAAGTACATTCCAGGTACCAAGATGGCTTTCGGTGGTTTGAAGAAGGCCAAGGACAGAAACGATTTGATTACCTACTTGGTTTCAGCCACCAAGTAGAAATTGTGAAATGTATATAGGTTGAACGATGTACACAGTTTTGAATAGACAACTCAGACGACTTACAAAGTAATTTCTCTCTAATCTTTTGGTTTTGTTTCGTTCTCACTCTTTTTTATGCAGGGAATTTCTTCACCATCATGGACCCCAATATCAAGATCCCGGTGGAGGTGGATCCCACCGAGGACACAGAATGGAACGATATTCTTCGTGCCAAGGGTATCATTCCAGAACGTCCTCCTTCTCCCACGGCAGAGCTTGAAGCTGCTCTTGAGGAAGCTGTAAAGAAGCAACATGAAAATCGTTTGGAAGGAAAAGATTTGGATGAGTTAGATGAACTCGAAGACGAAGAAGATGAAGAGTTTCTCGACACGTACCGCAAACAGAGAATGCAACAGATCAAAGAACTCACACAAAAACAAAAATATGGCTCGGTGTTGCCGATAACAAAACCAGAGTACGAAAAAGAAGTCACAAATGCTTCCAAAGAATGTTTCGTTTTGTTACATATGACGTCACAGTCCAGCATCCAAAGTAGACTTCTCAGTTCCTTGATGGTGACATTGGCTCTGAGGTTTCCTGAAATCAAATTCTGTGAAATTCCTGCCAACCGATGCGTGGAAAATTACCCTGATTCCAACTGCCCCACTCTTCTTGTATACCATGACACGGCAGTAGTGAAGCAGTATATCACACTCACGCAATTGGGTGGAAACGATACTAAGATTGCCGATTTGGAGAAGACTTTAGTGGGAATCGATGCGGTACCTGAAACCGATAAAAGGCTCACCATGAACCAGCTCGACGATGATTTGCAAGAAAGTCGAAAACTCCGGTTTATGAAAAAGTCCATTCGTGAAGATGATTCCGACGATGACTTTGACGATTAGCGTAAACTGAAAACTGGCATTTTTCATAAATTGTTATTGTGACGCAGCCATTGTGGCTAAGAGCATATAAATAGAGACAATTATAATAATACTTTGCAGATAGTAGGAGATGACAAGATTAACAACTAAAAAGCTCAGCCTACGTGAAAGCTTATATTCGTACTACAAACCCCCGAAAATCTACTATATCTTGCGACATTCTTCTCGTTCGCTCATCTCGCGCAGTTTCATTATCCGATCACGATTGGAACCACAGATCAAACCGCCACTTCCACCCACCAGCAACCAAACTGGATATTTTTCTGTCCGATCTCGAACAAGTGTCGATTGGGCGTCTCTGGAACATAATTGGTTGACCCTTCCAACAACTTCAAATCAAGGCATATCAAGAAACCAGCCTCGACACCTTCTTGACAACGGTCGTCAGACCATAGTTGGTTTTCTAATTCTTTTCTTGTACTGAAAATTACCAACATAAATGCATTCAGAACTCATGCCAGATAGCCAGGTTGATCTTTATTCTAGCATTGGGCCTTGTGTTCACGTTGACAAGGTGCTCGCTTCTCGAGCCAAGGAGAATGTGCTTACGACTTACAGACAAGCAGTGAAGATTGTCCTGCTCCGACCCCATGGATGTCGAGTTATCCAGAAGAAGGACGGCTCTGAGATTGCCGTTACAAAGTTAATGGACCATAAGTCCAGAGCACTTCGTTGCTCTGATTGCCTTTCCAATGGCTTTCATCAAACATTTGTATGCTTACAATGTCCTCATGTTGGTTGTATCAATACAAAGCATAACCACGCTCATCGACACTACAAATTGAGCCACCATTCCTTTGCTATTGATGCACATACTGGCCTACTTTTCTGCTTCCAGTGCGGAGATTATGTCAATCACCAAGACTTGGAGCTGATACGAACCAGACACATCGAAGGCATTCCCAAGCTGGAATCGCTTAAAATACCAGAAGGATCCTCAGATCCAGATATAAAAAATAATTATACCATTCCTCCGGTTGCTGCTGTGAGCGGACTCAAAGGATTCGTCAATCTTGGGTCCACATGTTTCATGAGTTGCATTCTTCAAACATTTATTCACAATCCATTGGTTAAATATCAATTTTTTAACAACGATTTACACTACTTCAACTGTGACAGCATGCAAGAATATCACAGTGCCAACCCAAATGTGACAGAAAACAATGCATGTATCACTTGCAGCATAGATGTCATATTCAGAAACTTTTACACATCCACGAGCATCGAAGGCTACGGAATGACTAATTTACTTATGACAGCATGGTACAAGAACAAGTCACTTGCAGGTTTCGAAGAACAAGATGCTCACGAACTTTGGCAATTTCTTCTTAATGAACTCCACTCAGACCACGAACGGTCGCTCCAGCGATCGTCTCAACATGAATCAGAGCAAAACATGTGCCAATGCATCACTCATTCGACTTTTTCCGGTACTCTTGCCAGTTCAATTCAGTGCCAAAATTGCCAAGAAACCACCGAAACTGTTGACCCAATGATCGATCTTTCGTTGGAAATAGGAAGATTGAAAAACAAGCAAAAGACTGCAAACTTGTACGACTGTCTTGATCGATTTACCTCATCGGAGAAATTGGATGTTATGTACACATGCCATCATTGCGGCGAAAAATCTGAGGCAACGAAGAGCTTAAAGATTAAAAAATTGGCACCAGTATTATCGATTCAACTTAAGCGATTCGAACATAATAAATCCAACGATGGCTCTTCAAAAGTGGAGACACCAGTTAGCATCCCAATCTACTTGGACATTTCAAAGTACACATCTGATGAAAAAGCGACAAATATTTATGAGCTCTTCGCCGTTGTATGCCATGTTGGACTGGTAAATACGGGCCACTACATCGTCGTTGTTAAAGACGGCGAAGGTAGATGGTTAAAATTTGACGATAGCGTCATATCATTGATTGCAGAATCAGAAGTAAGTTCCATGAATGGATACTTGTTGTTCTACATTAGTCATAAAATTATTTAGCGGTAGTTATATTACATCTAATTAGAACTGAAACTGTACGATAGTCTTATTCAAAGTCCTCAGCAACAATTTTAGCCTTTTGACACATCAGTTTAAATACACCATTCTCCTGGAATAGTTGCTTTGGTACCCCCTTTTCAATGATTTGACCATTTTCCATGACAATGATTCTATCATAGTGCAAAATGGTCTTCAACCTATGAGCAATACACAAAATTGTGCACTGCCTGAATTCATTAGCAATAGTATCTTGGATACCGGCATCTGTCTCGTAGTCAACGGAGGAAGTGGCTTCATCCAAGATCAATATCTTGGAATCACGAACTAACGATCTAGCCAAGGCGATCAACTGCCTTTCACCCAATGAGAAATTGCATCCCTCATCATCGACCATTTGATCCAAATGAAATTTGTGAAGGTCGTCATAATTAACATGATGCTTAGGATCATATTTGGTCAGCATCACCTTGTTCAATTGAAATGCGTCGACAAGCCCACATCTCCTCAATGCATCCCACAAGACTTTGTCATCATAGGTTCCAAATGGGTCCAAGTTCTTCCTTATAGTTCCATTGAACAAAACTGGGTCTTGAGGAATAATGGGAAAGTCTTGATCTCAAATCGTACAAACCCATATCAGCAATGTTCAATCCGTCAATTGTGACTGAACCCAGTTCCAATTCCGTGAGTCTGTACAACGCAGTCATGATGGACGACTTACCAGCTCCAGTACGTCCACAAATACCGACCTTTTCTCCCGGGTAGATACTGAATGTCAAGTCATTGAGAACTAGTGGTAAGCCAGGTCTATAGCGTAACGAGACGTTATTAAACAGAATGTAACCTGATGGCGGCCACTCAGCAGGAGGAGCACACATCTGGTTTCAAGTATGCAGCTTCTTGGGGCAAGTGGAAAGCATATTCATGCAATCTCTCAACGGAGTTCATTTCGCTCTCGACTTGAGTCATGGATCTCACCGTTAAGGACAATAAACCAACAATCTGAATAACGTAATTCAACAACAAACCTGTAGACGCAGCACTGATAGAGAACTGCTCAGTGATACACAACATACAAATAATCAATGCAAACATACTGGCAAGGATATCCAAGTGAACACCAAGCCATCTCTGAGTTGCGATTGACAAATAGTATGCCTCGTTCGTCTTGTTGAGGAAGTCGTCATTTTTCTTAACAAATGTGTCTTGCACCTTGTATGCTTTGATCGTTGCCATACCCAGTAATGTCTCACTGAAGTTGTTGTAAACCAACGATCTTTGAACACTCTCTAAACGCTTGATTTCACGGGATGAACCCTGGTAGAAGTTTGCAAGGAACGTAAAACCGAAACCCAAAAACGGAATTGCGATAGCAAAGTATGGCAAGTACGTGATACACAAGACCATAATACCAATGATCATAGCCAAGGGAAAGATAAACAATCTCAATTGCTCACCAATTTCGTTGTCAATGGAATCAGTGTCCTTAGAGAATCTGTTAAGAATTCTTCCAAGAGGAGTCGTATCCATGTATGACATGGGAACATGCAAAACACTTTGCATAGCATTGGAGTTCAAGAGTCTTGCCGAAGTGTCGTTCATATACGCAAGAATAGTAAATTGAACCGCAGTGAGAATCACAGTCAAAAATGCAAAAGCAACATAGAAGCCAACATAAAAGTCGTCAGACAATTGCCTGTACTTGTGTTCATTCCACCAAGACAACCAGGTGTTGGTGAAGACTTGACAAAATGTGGACAATGCAACAAAGAAGATAAATACAGGAGCTGCACTCCATCCAAAGAACCCAGAACCCAATTGCACGTACCTTTTGTAGATGTTCCATCCAATGGTGGTGGTTGCTCTCTCTTCGTCTCCAATAAGTCTACCACTTTGCACGTTCTGCTCAGCAAGAATGGACTGTTGCCTCATAAGACTCTTCTCATCGTGAGTTTGTTGACGACTCATCATAACACTTTCATTATGGAGGTGGTCGTAATCGGACAAGTTGTCATCACTAGGAAGTTCGTTGTTATACAAAAGCAATCTTCTGAAGTTCATATTGCGTCCAGATAATTCGTCCATGGTTCCAACATCAATTGTACCGTCTCCATTCAAGAAGATGATTCTGTCTGCATTTTCAATTAATGACAATTGATGTGTTGCCAACACTCTCGTACGGTTTCTCAAAACATCATAGAACAAATTGTCTACGATGTGTTTTCCCACACGAGCATCAACAGCAGATAAGACGTCGTCAAACAACAAAATGTTTTGATCACCATAACATGCTCTAGCCAAATTGATACGGGACTTTTGACCTCCAGAAAGAGTTATACCTCTCTCACCAATTTCGGTGAAATCTCTAGCAGGAAGAAGATCCAAATCACTTTCCAAGGCACAAGCCTGAATGATTCTCCTATACTTTTGCTCGTCATAAGGTCTTCCAAAGAGAATATTATCTCTGACTGTGGCATTTTGAATCCAAGGTGATGAACACAAAAGAAGATCGTCGTTCACAACTAAGCGGCCCTTGTCTGGATTAGACATCTTTAAGAAGCCGGACAAAGCAGACAATAAAGATGACTTACCAGAACCAATCACACCCGTAATCATGACAAACTCATTTCTCTTGATGGACAAATTAATGTCAAGTAATCCAGGGAAAGAGTTTTCGTGTGACAGGTTTCCGGACAGTTGCTCCTCGTATATAGTATCAGAGGTGGATGTACTGTCAAACTGAGTCTTCTCATCATAGTGTCTGCTTTGAGAATAGGAAGCTTTATTGTACTTTCTAGCCTTCTTGGCTCTCTTTTCAGCTTGTTTTTGCTTCTTGGCCCTATCAATCTCTTTTTCATCCATAGTCCAATATTGATCTGCATTCTCATCATAGAGCAGTTCCCACAAGAAATCAGCATGGGAAACTTCCAAGACAGGCCCATTGGAGTTGTTTGAAAGGTCACCGTATTCCGACATCTCATAAGGTTCAGCCTCGAATTCGAAGTCAGAAGCAGGGGGTTTGACGTTGTAATCTGAAGCATTGTCGATACTTTGAAGCGTCGATGGAGCCAATTCCAGGCTTTCTTCGGAGCCCAAGAAATCAGTACAACGTCTGAACCCAATGAGGGCATCCGCTCCTGATGATAAGGCAATTGGCAACAACATGATTGCTTGCGCCAAGATGGAAAATAAAGACAATGAAGAGAAGACTTCTCCAGGGGACTTCATATGTTGACTTTTCCACAACACCACGAAGGACAACATTGATGATAAGGTGGGCAAGGTGACAGCGTAAGCGGTGATGAAATTTCTCAACACCTTGATGGTGAACAAATGCTTCATTTCCTGATCACGAACTTTAGCGATATTGGTTTTGTAAGCCATCTCCCATGCGTAAAACTTGATAACTTTCATGTTGGATAAGAGTTCACGAACCAATGTGATTCTTTCATCAGTGAACTTGACCACCAACTCACGAGTCACAAACAACTTTTTCGTCATCAAAATACAGACAACCAAGGACACGATAAACAACCCAATACCACACAAGGAAGTTACTCCGATGTTAGTCAATAATAACACCACAGCAATGATGACAGGAATAGGACAACAGACCACCAAAGGTTGGAAACCAATGGCCAAGTCGATTCTAGCCAAATCCGTACTCATCATAGAAGTGATACGACCAGCAGGAAAGTCATGTTTTGCCTGAACTCCTAATCTGAATGATTTGAGAAGGAGACATTTTGTCAAGATTGCCTTGGCTTGGGCGCCTGTGACCATAGCGTCGTGGAAAAAGTGATTCAACAAGAGTCCATTGATGAAGATCAAAACCACCGAGCCGATAGTGTACCCAATTCCTGGGTTCAAAGTGGGCTCGAATCCGTAGTATCTATACTCCACGAAGTCAATCAAGCGCCTGGTCAATAATGGAGACAACGCTTGACAGCAGAACGACAATCCCAAGAAAATACAACTCAGGGTGTATTGGAACTGGAATGTGTAATAAATAGCCAAAGGAATAGACCAAACGGGCCATTCAAAGCCTTCCGAAGATCCATGCTTTGCAATATGCTTTTTCTCTTGTTTTGACAAGATTTTATCGAGATGGCGCTGGAACTCTTCATGCATGGTTTCCACCTTGATGTTATCAGTAAGGTACCACAAATCACTGGGAACCAAGCATCTCTTGTAGCCTTTGATCAAAATGGGCCAAACCCATAAGAATATCATTCTTTTGAGAAGATTGGCTTGTTTCCAAGGGTAGCTTTTCCTCTCCTCTTCCAGCACTAAAGGAGGTACCTTTTTAGAAAACATCCATGAAAAAAGCCTTTTTTCGTTTTTCAACTCAGGCTGGCCCTCAAGATTTTTGGACTTGGAGTTGTATTCTTCGTATGATTCATCGTCGCTAGCAATTTCCACCTTTTTCGACTTTTTGGTCTTCTTTCTTCTTGGTGGAGGAGACCGGCGATCCACATATGTATTAGTTGTATCGGAATTATTGGAATCTATCACCTGTAAACGATCGTATGGGTTTGCTGGAGGGGTCGCCGACCGCCTCGGATATTGGTTGTAAACGTTATTTGACATATAGGGTATCAAAAGGTATCAGGGTATAGGGTAATTATAATATAGTAACACCCAGCCAGCTGGTGTGATAAGTTTTCCTAATTTGAAGCTGATTAGTATTCCTAAAACGGATCTTTCTCTTGTCAAAGAACTTATGATTCAAGGGTTCCTGACTAGTAGTCTTTGTTCTTTGCAGATAGAACGCAGGTCACCAATAAGACAATAGAGCAACCAAGAATAAATAATAGCAAGCACCTAGCAACAATAGTAGATTTTGACAATTGAAGATGTGTGGATTAAGACTTACTTTTATTCGTCGTTCCCCCACTTGCTAAGTATCATCGTTTATTAAAATGTTTTTTTTTCTATTTCCTGATACGGCACTGTAGTAAGAGGAGCCGCAAGCGAAATGAGGGGGCGGTCGGTACACGAACGATATTTTGTCGTGTGACGAAAGGGGCCAGGTAATGAAATTAGAATCACCAGAATAATACAGAAAACCGGATTCTCGGTAAGGAAGGATCTACAGTACCAATATCAATAATTGTTGTTTCGCGGTGAAATAATCATTTCAATTTTTTGCGCGGCTGGCAAATACAAACCGGGTTTGTTGCCGACACCTGCATTAATTCCGCACCTTGATGCATATTTCAACATTACCTGCATGGGACTGCGCCATCTGTCGCACCCCACTAAAAATCGGGAACGGTTGCTACTAGAAACGACCAATTCCCAATGAGGTTAATCTCCTTTCTACGCATAACTAAGCCGATCACCCGATGAGATGGGTTTTAGGAAATACAAGGGGTGTACTTTAAGGCATTTACAAGCAGGTTCCAGAATTTCCCAATTAGGAAATGCCATCACAACGGAAGACACATAATGGGTGCCAAATGCAGCGACTAATTATGCGATCCCGATTAGTATGAGTTCCTTACTGTGGCTGAATACAAATCCGCGTCAACCTTCTATTACGTAGAATGGTACAATAGATCAATGGATGTGCCTTGCGTAACTGCAATCAATATAGCCAGCAGACGTGTAAGCCACATCGGTATAGTGTCTTTCGCTGCCGAACGGAACACGTTCATGTATGCTTTGCGCTTCTTTCAAGCGCAATCTGCATGTCTGCCTGTCAATCTTATCTAGTGCATCATCATCTTCGTCTATTCCTTCCTAAAACGATGGTCCTCCAAATCCACCCGGACCATGCATGCCCCCTGGAAGCCCACTGCCCACCATATCAAAATCCTGGTCTCCCAAAGGATCATCAAAAGCGAGCTCCTGGAGGCACTCCTCTTCTTGAAGATGGACCTTGTGGACGACTGCCAAATAATGGATGATTGGGCGTGGGATACATTCCTCCGTCGCCTTGGGGCTGGAGTGGATCCAGAAATGGTTGCAACAGCGGATTTTTGGGAATGCCTGGCGGATGTAAATCGCCATGGCCAATGGATGGAAATGCACTAGAACTAGGCGCACCAGCTGGGTGTTGTATTTCATATTCGTCATCAAATTCTGGCATATCAGGAATCTTTCTCTGTCTTTCTTGCGTTCCAATTGAACCAGCAAGGTTGGAACCTGCCAGTGGAAATTCCGCACGATGACTTGCCACTTCCTCTGGTCCAGCATCATTCTTAGCAGCTTCAATATGAGTCCTGGTACCATCTACCGTCGTACTCTCGACCACTCCTAGCGACGTTTCCAACTTGTTGAAGTCGATCTTTGTCTTCATAAAATTTTCAAAGTCAGTAATGACATTGTGGGGAAGATTCAAAGCATCAATTGGCAACTTTACATCCGGCAACTCTTCCGATTTCCAGTTCAATGTAACACCTTGTGCCTCAGGGGCCCCTGCCAACACAAAATGGACACTGATACTGGTATCGGAGATCTTATTTATAGTAAGTGTTAAAGCCAACTCTTTGTCCTTGAAATAAGATTGTTGGATAAACTGATCATTTTTTGCCAGCTTGTTGCTAAAACGATTACACATAGGGCACAAATTGCCAATCACATTCGTGATGAGACCATCTGTAAGCTGCAAATACGTTTCCAACATATGTTATTACGAAGCAACTTTCCCACAACCTCTGCAGGAACAAACGTTAAGTGACATGACACCCGCACTGCCTGCAGGAACGGAGATAGATAGGCTTACGAGCCGCCCCTCAGAAAGTGGGGGATTAGTTGTCGCCGAAAATGGCTTGACAATGGATCTGGATCATTAGTTAGTGTCTTAAATTGCTTTGCTCGATCCAAAATAAAAATTTTAATCTTGCATTATTTTAAAGTTTAAAAATCTCAAAACCCGTCACTCATTATTCTTTCCCAACATCTGCAACCACCTGTAAATCGTAACTAAATCTGCCCAAAAATTACTCCCCCAATCCTTTAATCTATACTTACCGAGAAAAACCGCCTCGTTATCGCGCACGTGACCTTGTCCTTGCGAAGTTTCTGGTATTTTCGGCTTCCGACAACCCACAAAAGGCTCCTGGTTTAATACACACACGATCCCCTTGTGTAAATAGCGTCATTTAATCATCATCAACATCTAGCCGAGGTCTTCTTAATTGGAAACAGAACCCCATATTACGTTCGATTACTTGCTGGTTAACATTCATCAAATCGAGTCTTAGAAGGATACTTTTCGATAAAACGAATCATTCGAGGAGAGAATTACTTTGTAACGTTGTTTTCCGGTTTCTCCCGTATTGCAAACTTGTACCATAATTTTCGATAGCCTTTGATTATACCCATTTTAATCACGAGATCCATAACCAATGACAACCACCGTTCCTCTCATCTACTCGTTTCCCGAGTTTCTCGGAGTTGCTGATGCCGTGGCCGACCACGTTATTTCGGCCCAGAACATGGCATTGTACAAGACGTTGGATAGAGCTGAGATCAAGGAAATCAAGAATAATAATTCGTTGATGAGACCAGAGTTGATGGCATCCAGCAGTTCGATGTCGGTCAATAGTTCTGGAAAGAAGAAGGAAAAGAAGAAGAAGGGTGAGACCCGGTTTAAGATTGCCATTAGTGGTGGTTCGTTGATCAAAATCTTAAATCAGGGACTCTTGGGCCGCCAATCAGAGATTGAGTGGGGCAAGTGGGACATCTATTTTGCCGATGAAAGACTTGTGCCATTTGATTCTGAGGACTCCAATTATGGTCAAGCCAAGAGAGAGATCTTTGACCACATTGAGGGTCTTGAAAAACCCAATATTCACCATATCGACGAAACTTTGATTGACGATCCCCAAGAGTGCGCAGATGCATACGAGAAGACATTGATATTTAATTTTGCCAAGAAGGATTCTGTCAAGTTGCCGATGTTCGACTTGTTGTTGCTAGGATGTGCCCCCGACGGCCATATAGCATCGTTATTCCCCAACCATGGTGAACAATTGAGAGAGAAGTTGGCTTGGTGTATGCCAGTGAGTAACGCACCTTCTGGTCCCGACAAGAGAATCACATTATCAATCCCCGTAATTTGTCACGCACATAGAGTCACGTTTGTCGTGGAAGGTTTAACTAAGGCACCCGTCATGAGAACGATAATGGAACGTCCTGAAAAGGGTTTACCCAGTTCCATCGTCAACGAAGGTGCTGCCGGTAGAGTAACGTGGTTTGTCGACGATGACGCGTTGAATGATTGTTACGATATCACCAAGAAGAAGTACAAGTTTTTATCGATCGACCCGCCTAATTGAGGGTCCCGAGTTGCATACCTATATAGCAATCTACCATGTTATCAATTCTGTATTATATTACCCGATCGTAGTACTCACCATCCAAGCAACCACCGCGCATTGAATCACTGACGTTCCGAGCAAACCTCAGCTTGTTTTTAACTAGCATATTGGCGGCATCTTTGTTGAGCGGATCATTGGGATTGGGTTCGAGAAACAAAAAATTGAGTCCCATGAGAACGGAATTGAGATTCAAAACCGGTGACCAGTCTTCACGAAGAATGTTGAGGCAAACATTGCCCTCTATGTCGATATTGGGATGGTAGATCTTGTTTTTGCATTTGATTTTGGGAGGATCAATTGGAAAGTTGTCGTTGATCTCCACTTGAAAATTGAACTTGCCACCTTTATAGTAGTTTTCTTGAGGAACTATGGTCAACTCAAAGCTGAATATGTCTGAAGGGTTGGGAAAGCTCACTTTTATGCCCCTTGGAAGGTCTAATTCTGTCACATCTTTCTGGAGTCGGAGCTGAGCAGCGCTTACTTTGGCCAGACTTGATACTACTTTTTGATCTTGCGAAGATCCTTTTGCGGCTTCTTCTTCTTGTTTTCGCTTCTGAAGCTGTCTGATTTTCAACTGGGTTAGTTTGAGTTTGTATTAAGGAAAACGAATTCGTACCATTTGGGTGTCTTATAAATTAAACTTGGTTCAAGTTGCGGAGAGCGTATATTAAGTAAGCCGCATTAGTTGCAAATTATTGTATAGAGGGTAAATTTTGTCGCTGAGAGTCAGAGTATGCTATTGCACGCTGTAGCGTCGACTGTAGCTCCTTGGAAGCTGTCATAGATTCTTGTTGCAAAATGGTGGCTATGTCGTTGTTATCCGTCCAAAAATTAATGTCAAGAAGCACCTTGTATGGAGTTAGAAGAGTGCAAGAAACAGTAAGAAGCCAGTTGATTTCTTCCAAAGCCAGAAACTGAACTTCTAGAGGCTCCAATTCCAGAAATTTCACAAGATCATCTTAAAATTATTACGGTATGAGTCCGTTGACAACTTCTTCGATATTCGTGCTTTGGGTAATTTGTGGTCCTGTGGTTTCCAGAACATTCCTAGTAATGCCCCACAATGATACATCCACGGAGGTTCGAGCGGCACTTGGCATGCAACTGATCAAATAAATAATTCGAGAGCAAAGGGAACGGACGAATTATTTCAATGAGCCACTGGAGGAAACGAGCAGCATAGTAGTTTGCAAAATGTAATTCCATAGACTTGAGAACTCGATCAATTACTTTCATACAGAGATTTCTGCTCTTTTCGGACTTGTAGTCATCACAGACCAACATTATAGTCAACCTTTTGTGGTCCAGCCACCAGAGCGACCGAGGCTCTTGGTTGATTCTCTTGAGTCCTGCTTAGTGGAGAAACGAAAGTCACCAAATCGAGTTCCTGGCTCTAGAGAGGTGGTTTGGAATTGGAAACCTTTATTCGCGAAGCCACGAGTACTGATAGACCTCGTGCGAAGGAATATAATGGGCTTATGGATTTTCCACTGAGGTAGTTTAGTGAGATACCCCACAGTCATATAGTATATATCCCATAACTCTTGCAAAGACAACAGCTTGAGATTATTTGAAACATCTAGGGAGGTTTGTTTTGCTAGCAATTGATGCCAGAAGGTGTGACATTCTTTGAATATCGCTAGATATGTGAGTTTAGACATACCTATGTCAAGCACATCATCTGTCTCTCCAAACTCAATTCTTCCATCGTCGATCACACTAGCCAATTGTATAATCTTTATGCGATGTTCACGACCAACCACAGCCTCCCGGAGGCTCTTTGTAAGCTGGAGTGTTGTGGCATTTGTCTCATTTTCATGGGGCAGAAAGTGCGTCCCCATACTTCAACTCAAAGATCGCGATGCGCGCTCATCTCTTCTCTCTTCTCATTTCACTAACATGGCTACGTTCACCGATGTTTTCAATCTCGAAGACAGTGCCATTCCGGAACCAGACGAGTTGAGCGAAGCCATATACAAGAGCACAAGACTTGGCTACTTGTTCTCGTCAGCGAATGATGGTACCGAATCACAGTTGAACATACAGAGACAAGACGAAGCTCAAACCGAAAACCAAAACGAAATTAAAGCCGATTCCGAAGCCAATTCGGAAAACAGAGCCGAAGCACAAGAACTGAACTGGAGACTCTTGCGAGTGCTTGCAAATGCTCATCTGGGATGGGTGCGACTGGTGACGGTTGATCCTGTCACAAACGACTGGTTCGTTACGGGGTCTTCGGATTCCACGATAAAGATATGGGACTTGGCGTCGCTGGCATTGAAGGCAACTATAACTGGGCATGTTATGGGAGTCCGAGCCTTGGCGGTGTCGAAGAAATTTCCGTATCTTTTTTCAGGTTCTGAAGATCGAACTGTGCGATGTTGGGATTTGGAAAAGACAAATTCTTCCCTGGGGAGCCAGATCAGAGACTACCACGGCCACGTAGGCGGCGTATATGCCGTGTCGTTGCATCCAGAATTGGATCTTTTGGTTACTGGCGGAAAAGATCAGGTGGTAAGGGTGTGGGACATCAGAACAAGAGCCCAAGCCATGGTGCTCACGGGGCACCGAAATGACATTACATCGATAGCAACGGCCAGTGTAGACCCACAGGTGATCACTAGTTCCATGGATGGAACCATTCGGTTGTGGGACTTGAGAAATCAAAGATCTTATCTTACTTTGACTCAACATTCCAAGAGCATTAGACTGATGCAAATGCATCCCACCGAGATGACAGCATGTTCTGCTGACAGTTCTGGTAACTTCAAGCAGTGGCTTCTTCCCGGTGGAGATCTTTTGAATGAATTTGGGGAAAGTGGACAGGACAAAATCGTCAATAGTCTTGCCATAGAACCCAACTCCAATACTCTTTTTGCTGGTTACGACGATGGCCACATGGAATTCTACGACTACGTCAGTGGCTCGCTAGTACAAACCACACGCACGACACCTGCTCCCGGGAGCTCCAATTCCTCGATATATGCATCCACATTTGATATGCTGGGTCTTCGACTTTTGACTTGCGAGGGAGACAAATGCATCAAGGTTTGGGGAGAGGACTAAGAAAAATATGTATTATTATCATCACTTCATCATAGCATACTACCAACCAAAACGTAACTGGTTTGCAGTGAACGAGGGTGGCTGCCATTGCAACTTGCGAGGGTCCAACTCATGTTTCTTCTTCTCTTTCACTTTCTTGATCAACTTGTCATACATTGCCATGATCTGGTCGGTGACAACTATTATGTGTTGTCCCTTGTAGTACCGAAGAATTTGGAGTGTGGTGAGTGTGTGTAGTATATCTGTCGTTGTCATACAGGTAATGGAGGATATCTCGTCGATAGTGATTTCACTGGTTGGAGTTGACGAGCCATTGTGAGCCAGTCTGGATGGCGGTGGTGTTTCAGATGACTCCTTAGCATCAGCGACAGGTGCTGGGTTATTCTTCTTGTACAACAGCGGATTGTTCCTTTCAACTATGAGCTTGACAAGGGTATCTGTCCAGTACGCACGATACGACAATAAACCCAAATCTGAAAGGGGTTTTTCAGGCGAACCAATTTTGTTTTCCACTCTGGAAAGCATATAAGAAAACTGAATCAAAAGCTTACCATAACCCTTCTTTTGGTAGCAAGGTAACGTGAGAATACAGGCGACGTTATAGTTGTCTGCGCTTTCTTTTTCTTTTGAGAAATAGCCAACGACATGGTGTCCTTGGGCCGATTTGATGGTCATAACATAGAACAAGAAAGGATCAACATCGTAGTAAAGTGTTTTGTGATCCAAAAATAATTTCAGTAGCAAACAAAGATTTCTACACCAAGTTCTCTGTCTGCGCCCATCGATTTCCCAAAAGCTGACTTTTGAATCTCGGTAGATCTCGTTCCCGGGAGGATGCTTCATTGAGCATTTGGTTCTGAACCTCTCGAACTGTTTTTTGGAGCCGAAATACGACAACGTGAAATCACAAATGTAGATTTCGTCCTCTTCTGTAAGCTCGATTGGATACGGAGAGAAGTACCATGGCTCGATAATGTGCTCTCCAAGAATCACAGTGTTCACATTACGAACACGAGCCACATCCAGATGGTTTTGAGTCATGGAACCACCTGTTCGTAAGTTTTTGATTTCCTGCTCTCGACTTACTTCTTCTCCAGGTCGTTTTAAACCTTGAACATTTAAGTTATCCAAATCTAACTCATCTTCATTTTTGATCTCTGGCGTCGCGCTCGCACTCACCAGTTCACCAGGACCAGGGGTCTTTGAGTTTTTCGTCTTGGACTTCAGAGCTTTGTTTTTACCCTCCTTTCCGTCTTCCTTCTTATCTACCTTGACCTCAGGTGCAATAAGGGCTCGTGAAAAATCAATTTTATCCACACCAATCCACTCATCCAAACGCTTGTTGAAGTCCTGATAGTGCACGTAGTACACTTTGCGTCCTTTACGTACATGTTCTTGAAGAATTTCTGCCAAACGAATCTCGCCATCTTTCTGGGCATACACTTTGCACCCTGGAATGATGTCCCCGGGCCCATATTTGGCACTCGCGTCCTTCGAGTCACCCGTGATTTTGATTGGGCTCTTCGATTCTAGTGTAGAACCCTTGTTGTTGCCAGACATGGTGAGAGAACAGTGGTTTTTTGATGTTGATAAATTTATGAACTGGAGTGCACACAAGCCGCGACTCTATAATGCCACCTCTATATACAAGTAGGACGTTTGGGGACCTAAGAAGACTCAATTTCGCCTAATAGATGTCCAACAGTGAGGTAACCCACACTGAAGTTGTCCATATCAATTATAGCGCGAAGGAGCTTCAAACGCAATTTTTTGAGCTCGGCTGCCTTAGCTTCTGGAGGAATCTTCACGAAAGCTCCAACGTCGGAGATAAGACACCGTTCGAGCGATGCCTGAACCAATTCCTCATCAGTCAAGTCCCACACATTTCCGTTGCCGTTCAAACCGCTTAGATAGTAGTTATCGACTACTAAATAATTGTAGTACCGATGAAGCTTGTTGCGCAAGTATGATTCGGGATAAAATGCACTGGGAAGGTACTTGCTGCGCAAGCCTAGTTGACCAGTTAGCGGTACCAATGACTCATATGGAATGTTATACGCCGTTTCAAGCGCCCAATCTTCGACTTTACTTTCATCTGACCTAAGCTGTCTAACTTTTGCGGCACTTTTAGAGTCCCACAAGCGTGGGAGAATTGAGGGAAGTACGCACGTCAGCGGAGTGATTTCAGGAAATACATAGCAAAGAATGGGGGTCATTTCCACAAAAATCATGAATATGACAGCAAATGCAGGTAGTTTTATGAAATCTTTCAGGGTTCTGTTTATCAATTGGAACTGAGACCGAGATATGTTGAATAGCTGTTCATCGTAAACGACATCCACCTTGTCATTTTTGACAACGTCGCCTTTGGTGGCCAAACGAATTTGTTCATTCTCGATCTTGTTCATGTACAATGCTTGAGTTAGCTCGAAAACAAGTTTGGAAAAGCTGGGCACTTTCAAATTGACACTTTGTCCCTTATTATCCACCTGGTTTTGAATCTTGAACTCGGTTTTCATTAATTGGTTCATTTCTCGCTTATTGTTCCAAACGTTACGTACACCTTCTTTGTAGAACCGAAACACAGCTTTACCATAAGCTGTTGTCTGGGAAAGTTTGAGTCCCCAGCCACTTTTCTGAGGGTTTTCGACCCGAACTTGTTCATACAATTCGGCTTTTGACTTCATTTGGATGGGTAACGTTGATAACGCATTGACAGCAACGTCATCTTTTTCAGTACTTCCATGCCATATAGATTTCACCAAGTTGGTCCTTTGCCTCCTTAGAGCTGCCCCGGAAGCCGAGAGCTCGTACAACCTGCCAGCAGTTGCCAAACTCATCGTGGCAGAATTTCCACTTGCAACTATATCAGAAATATTTCGCGCGCGATCAGATTACATTTACGTTCTACACGATCAAATTACATTGCATTCTACAACGATGCTGGCACCAACCCGTAGAATCACCACACAAAAAGATTTGGAAATTTGGAAACAATCTCAAACGTTTACTGAGCTATTAACCTTTATAAAAGTGCTTCAAGAGCTGGTTTATGGCTTGACAAATGATGCGGAAGTTAAGGAAAGCTCCATTGTAACGAAGCTCCAAAAGTTGGTTGATCATATAGAGAGCATTGCGAACAGGAATCCAGTTCAGCAAGACAAGAACTCGTCAAGGTTTGGAAAAGTTGAGTTTCGAGACTTTTACGATGATGTCAAGGACCATTCAGCTGAAATAATCACCGAGTTGTCATCTACAATTGAACCCCAGAATTTGATTGAACTACAAACATACTTAACAGAGTCTTTTGGAAACAGAACGCGAATAGACTATGGATCTGGTCACGAGTTGAACTTCATTTGCTTTCTTTTCTGTCTTGATAAGCTAGGAATACTTCAAGAAGCAGACTATTCAGCATTGATATTAAAAGTGTTCACTCGCTACATTGCAGTGATGAGACATCTTCAGAAAGAGTACTGGCTAGAGCCCGCTGGATCTCATGGAAAATGGGGTCTCGATGACTATCACTTTCTTCCATTTTTGTTCGGTGCTTCTCAGCTTGCACCACACCCATATATGAAGCCAAAGCTGATTCATAACGAAGAACTCGTGGAGGAACTATACACCAAGTATATGTATCTTGAATGCGTTCAGTTCGTCAATGTTATCAAATCCAATCCTATGAATGGGGGCCAGAAATTGTCTCTCAGAATGCACTCACCAATGCTTGACGATATACTGGCTGCGAAATCGTGGAAAAAGATAAAAGAAGGCATGGTGAAACTGTACGAAGCCGATGTGTTGGGGAAACTCCCCATTATGCAACATCTTATGTTTGGGGAGCTCATCAAATGCCCTGATGGAATTGAAACCAGTGAGGTTGCGGAAGACGAACACGGCCATGTTCACACCTACGACGCTGCGAATACTTGGGGAGATTGCTGTGGCATAAGACTTCCCAGCGCATATGCTGCTGCTGAGTCGAATAAGCCCAGACCCGTACCATTTGACTAAAGTTACTATATATTACAATCATCATTATTTACTCAGTGTAGCCAATTGTAGTGACTAGCAATATATTTCTGGGAATGGCAGCCACCATGGGAGAAAGCACCTTCATTTTGCCGCGAGCCTCGTCAACCCGAGAAACATGAATGTAGCCAAGAACACAAGTGTTCAAGAGATCTTTTGGTTGCTTGTTATTTTGAGGTAATTGGGTAATTGCAATGATCAAGTTTTCTAGCTTAGAAGCATCGGGGTCCTCAAGAGCCGTGTAAAACTTGTCCATAGAATTTTCATCTTTCTTTCGATCTTCATCCATATCGTCTGTAGTGTATGAATCTCCTGAGGGTAAAAATGAAAGGCTCGGATTGAAATCCAGACTCAATACTCCTTTGAAGTACCTAAAGTCCTTTACGTCAACTTCAGTCTTGAATGGAGATAACGGCGTTTTTCTGTCACCATTAAAATACTCCTTGATTGTCTCTTCCTGGCATTGCCTAATAAACGAATCGTCAAGCTCGACAACTCCTCCACTTTTCGGAATTTTCACCATCGCCAATTGTGAGTTGGAAATTTTGTGCTTGAACTTCTTTCTCAAATCAATGAGTAAACGTTCATTGTCAACAACCACAACGACATTGACTTCGAAATCAGAAACAATGTTTTCTATAACGTTGATATCCTTGATGTTCAATGCCGGAGTATCAATTATAACACCACTGTTTCGAACATCAGCATCCTCTTCGAGTCGGCTCATCACCACAACTCCCAATTTCGAAACCTGGTACTTGTAGAGCTCCAAGTTATCGGTGGGCGAGAGAAAGCCAAAGTTTTTCACCACTGGTTGTTTGGGATTATGGACGGCAGAACCAGAAGTTGTAGTTCCTCCATAACCATTGGCACTTTCCAAGTCAAAAGTGTCACTAATGGGCGTTGCAGTCAACGATCCAGGAAGAGAAAAAACACCGTCTCGGGGATTGAGGTTCACCAACACTGGATGGTGGTCCATTTTGTAAGCATACGATGACAATATTCTCGCCAAGGCCGTTTTACCAGCTGACCTGTTTCCCAATATAAGCACTCTAGGTCCTGACCTCGGTGAACTAGGATTCAAATAGTTGTAGTCTGCTGTTTCCTGGCGATAACTTTCGAGCGCCATATGCAAATTTATATACTGATTCATTGGAGTGTCTTCACTAATGTACTCGCTGATATCAGTACTGTCGCTACTACCTGGAGCTTGGTCTCTATTGATCCGCGTAGAGTACTCCACTGTACATCCCTCGGGTAAAGGAGCATATAAGGCATACTTAACCCCCGTTAATTGAACGGGTACATTTAGGGGAAGTTCGGTTCCAAATATTTCACCCACGCCTTCAGTCACTTTGAGGCTTAAAATGGTCTTGAAAGGAACCTCAAACCTCCACTCGGACTTACCTTCCAAGTGAAAGGTGGTGGCATTGGTTTCCGAGAGATCTTCTACAGGATTTTCATCTCCACCAAACCCAGGAATAGACATGGTTAGTGAGAATCAAGTCGAATTCGCAACAAGCGACATCGCGGCCGGCATATAGACGGCGATGAAGAAGAACACCACTACGTCTGCTACAAGTTTGTTGGAAGTCATAATAAAGCCTGCTTTATCCTATTAATTCTGTGGCCCTACACACTTGAGAAGTCAAGCTTTTTAGGGCGAATTTGGCGTTGTCTCTCCAGCAACTCCACCACCTTCTTCTCTCCAGTTCTCGAGTTGATGTATTCAGCATGGGTACTGTAGTCCACATCAGACTTGGGCACATGAGTCAGTCGGGAACTTGACCCAGGGACCGAGACAAATGGATTTGTTAGCTCTTTGCGCTGTGCTCGAAGCTCATTTACCTCTACTTCGTCTGCAATAAAAGTGTCATTTCTCGATTTTCCGTGCCATTCATTGATGAGCTCATCGTCTATCATCTGCTTGCGTGGCGTCATGGGCATCTTGCGGTGTCCTTTGGATGGAGACTCGGGTTCGTAAGCCATCTTGGGTTGTGCTTTCAAGTTCGACGAGAAGATGAACGAGGCCTGCTTGGGAGGCAGAGAAAAGACGTCTGAGTACTGCGTAGTGGTTGCATCATCGGAATCGTCCTCAAAATGCAAATTATCATTCAACGCAGCAATTGCTTCAATTGACACTGGCGGAGGCTTGAGATGAGGCCGCGCAGTTCCTGATTTTCTGCCTGATCCTACGGTTGAAGGCGTGGGCAAAAACAACCCAAAGGATGAATCGCGAGCAGGTGTTTCAAAGAGTCCCACCTCAGCTTCTGATACATGACTCTTCCGCCTACGATGGGTCTTTCTGGGCGACTTGTAGGGCGTTGGATCCGGGCTGGCTAAAAAATTTCCGTTTGACTTTTGCACGGATGATGGAGTTTGTAGAAAGTTGCGCACTCGCTTTGAGTGTGACAGTGTACTGGGAGTTTGCAAGTGACTTTTCTCTTTTTTATTGGGGGTTTGTGGAAACAACGTCTCCTGAGTGGAACATGAGATATCTGAGATGTGAACCTGTGGTCTATTTTTGGAACTCCGTGGAGGAGTTTGGGGTTCTATGAATGGATTCATCGTGCCTAGCTTAGATTAAGATCTCGAGTCAGCAGGATATTAGCAAAATTATGCACTGATCCAATGGCTGGCTGAGTTTCGCACGCGTCTATTTTTTTAAATTAAAAAAGGGTGCGACACTTTTGCGACAATGTATACAGGACGGTTGCGATGGCTGCGAAAATTGACTCTATTGGAATGTATGTACGCTATTGAGGTTGAACTTTCGCCGTACTACCGCTTTTCCAAAACACTTTTCAAGCGTCTCAAAAAACTCGTTGACCTTCTCTTTGTCCTTGGAGGTTCGTAAAATCTCATTTTGTGTTAGATCAAGTGTGGTAATTTTAGCAGTGCCTGGAAGTCGGTCGCAAAGTATTCCTGTTATAGTATTTCCCTTAAGAAACACCTCTCTTATACCTGAGAAGGGTGTCAAGTTTAGCAGTCCTGTGAGTAGATTGTTTTCAAGGGAAATGGTTTGGAGTGAACGAGGAAACTTGACGTCACCAATACGGGAAATGTAATTCTCATCCAAAACTAGTGATGTTAAAGAAACGTCTAAGCCCTGAAACAATGGGGTTTTAACTGAATTGAGTTCTGTTAAATTGTTTTCACTCAAATTGAGCGATTGCAAGTTTTTTGGTGGCACCCATTCTTGAAGTGTTTTTATGCGATTGTAGACCAATTCCAATTTCAGGAGATGATTAAGCTGGGTCCAATCTACCCCATTTCCGTTATATGTACAAATATTGTCTATGCGATTTCCCGAGATTGAAAGACTTGTCAAGTTTTCCGGAAATTTGAAGTGCTCCAAGCTACTTATATTACATCCGTCCATATTGAGCTTGGTAAGAGTAGACGGAAATTCGATGCGGTTGACCAGATTGGTGTACTTGAACCTGTCATTTCCAGTCAAAAACAATGTTTTCAAGTTCCTAGGAAAGACAAAGTATGGGTAAGGCGCAGAATTTGCAACCTCGAGTCGAGTAAAGTGGTTTTGTGAAAGATCGAGGTAATGCAAGTCGGCGGGAAGTGACTTTAAGGAACTCAAAAAGTGGATTTGGTTAACGTCTAGCCTTAATCTTTGAAGATTCTGAGGCCAAGAAGCCATAGAATCAAATGATTTATCGTTCAAAGCGTTGCCATGGAGTAAGATTGTTTTCAAATAGGGCGGCCACGACCCAACTATGTTGCTAATGGTGTTACTGGAAAGGTCCAAAGTTTCCAAGCTAGGTGGTAAATGAGACACACTCAATTCTTTCAACTTGTTATGAGTCAATTGAAGGGTTTTGAGAGACTTGGGAAACTTCATCGACACTAACAAATTGTCATCGATTCCTGATCGATTTAAGAATAAGTCTCTAATGTGGGGAGGAAATGTCATAGTACTGATATCAGTATTTGGGTTCCATGAAATGTCTAAGACTGTCACGGACAAAGGAAACACAACACGAGACCAATCCCTGATCTGGTGCCCCAAAATAACCAATTGGTCTAGAGATATACATTTTTGGAGATTTTGTGCCAATGAGTCTCCGCACAGACCCAAGGTTATGCCACCAACCTGCAACTTTGTTAAGTGAGGAATGGAAAGAACAAAGTCCAACTCTTCAGAAGTCAAGTTGTAGCTTTCTATTAGCACCTCTACACGCTGGATATGTTTTTCAAACCGCTCAGCATGTTTTTCAAAAAGAGATCGCAATGATGAAAAATCTCCATGGGTAATTACAGCCACGGTACGAGGATTTATATCGGGGTTTTCCAACAAAAAGTCATCAGCATCGGCAAATGTGGTGAAATCTATAAGGTCAGAACGGGAACTGCAAGGATGAGGTCGTCTGGTGGGAGACAAGACGAAATGAACTTCGCGAGCATAAACCTCATTAATAATCGTTTGACGAAGATTGGCAACTTTCAAAAGGAATTGAATATGGTCCGAGTCCAAATATTGTATTATCTCGCCAATCAACTGTTCTGGGAGCTGCGGTAGATATTGGTGAAGAAACTGGACCTCCATAATGGTACATTGCCAAGTATCCTCTTAGTCATCATCAAGAGAACATTTCACTGCATACAGGAAGAGGTTTACCAACGAGGCTCAATTATCAATGCAGCAACTACAAGCCGAACGGAAAGAATAAGAGGTCGGAGCCCTAACCCGTTTTAGAAACGGGGTCGGCGATAGCATCTCCGAATTAAAGGAGAGCTATTGGCTGTGTGCAGTTCTTATCTAGACGAGGGGTTGAAGCGGGGATTGCTGAATGGCCACGGAAGAAGGAAGAGGTGGATGTTTGGAATACTTGGGTGGTGAAATGTGGGGAAGGACTGCAAATGGTGGTGGTGGGAACTTGCCGATGAAAAAGGTCAAGATATAACCTTATTAGGAGAATTTCCGGAAGTCGCACCGCTAAATTTTGTGGGGAAATTTCACGGAAAATAGCGACAAAGAGCTCGGTAAGAGAGTCAGAAATAATCTCATCAACTTTTAGTTTACCACCAAAAATGCATATTGGGCTGATGACCTAGCTTATTTGAGTTGATGGCACCTCCGTAGTTGTACTCTCTTATCTGCGCGGCTGTACTATTAGACCCCCAATGCAGCATTTTCTTGGCTCATATGTAAGCACTAAACGTCACCGTCACTTTGGACGAATATTATCTTAGATAATAATATTGCTCATGGTGATTAATAATTGTGGTTAGTAACCCTAAGAATTGAGCAATCTTTGCGTTCTTTTTCAAATCTTTAGTGTCCCTCCGCCAATATGCTTTTTGGATTGGGAAACTCCAAGTGTGCGGCTGCAGCAACGACTACGAAAAATCAACTTCGTCACCTTGTGGGTGAAAAACTATGATATATCATCCAAAAATACAACATCTAAACTCATGTTCCTATTAAAATTAAACAAATTTCTCTGAGAAAATTCCGCCTCTTGTAGCTCCATTGACCATGTAGCATAAGCCTCGGGCATAGCAGCCGGGTGTTTCGCACCGGGTGTCACACCCAAACACCCACCAACATATGAACCGACAAAAAATTCACTATCCCAAACAACCGCAAGAGGTTTGAGTCGTCAAGTTCTAATAAACTTTTGAGCCCGTTTGGGACCCCTAGACGACCGCAGCATACTGTACCAGGAGCAACAAGAACTGTGTTGTGCATTTACCACCGAAAACTTCAGAACTAGAACCTCGGATTAATTTGCCGAACACAGCGTGAGAACCAGCCGTTTGTGAGGTTGAACTTATTGTAAAGATATCGAATTCCAACCAATACTGTTGACTGGTCCACCCTTGTATTGAGCAATAGGTACCAGTACTGGCCACGGCATCGATTGATTATACGATAAAAACTGATTAGTACCTTGTTTGTGCACACAGAGTTACATTTTGCATTTGTACTCACTCCCTCCCTCTCCCACAAAGTCAAATTGAGCCGCGACCGCGATGGATAAACTTCTCTCATCGTTCTTCTGCTGCTCGGTTGACACAAAAGACGACACAGACGACCGATACCACCGGCAATCGTCCCGCAAGTCCAACGTGACAGACACCAATTCCAATTCGGGGAAGTCCCCGTCGCCCCGAAGGTCGAAGAATAGCCTGGGAACAACAGCTAAGAACACCACTAGCACAAAGCCGACTCTGGCGACAGAAAACGGCAAGCATCAAGTTGATATCCTGAAGGAGGAGCATTCAGTCAATGATACCGACACCATGGCTAATACGAACGAATCCAACCCTAACACTCCTATAGGTACCAACAAGACTGTTGCTGATGTGGGCAATAAGACTGACGAGTCCGACGATATAAACGTTGAAGGTCAGACCGACGACCTGAGCTCGTTTATGGACCTCACCAAAATGCAAGAAGGGCAAAAATACGACGAGGAATCCGGATGGCTTTTGGGTATCCAGCCCAAAGAGTTCAAAGGAAAGAAATGTCTCATTCTTGATTTGGATGAGACCTTGGTCCATTCGTCCTTCAAGTACTTGAGAACAGCAGATTTTGTCATCCCAGTGGAGATTGACAATCAGATACAGCATGTTTATGTGATAAAGCGGCCTGGTGTAGACGAGTTTCTCAAGAAAGTGGGCCAGTGGTTTGAAGTGGTTGTTTTTACGGCTTCAGTTCTGAAGTATGGAAATCCACTTTTGGACAAATTGGATATTCACAAGTCTGTTCACCATCGTCTTTTCCGTGACTCTTGCTACATTTATCAAGGCAATTTCATCAAGAACTTATCCCAGATTGGCCGGCCTTTGAGTGAGTCGATAATCATTGATAATTCGCCTGCTTCGTACATCTTTCATCCCCAACATTCTATTCCAATCTCCAGTTGGTTCAGCGATACGCATGACAACGAATTGATTGATTTATTACCATTCTTGGAAGATATCTCCAAGCCTAATGTTGATGATGTGGGACTCGTTCTAGATATCACCCAGTAGACTTAAGCAGGACTTAGGCTTGGGAACCTACACTCAAATGATCCCTAGATTCCCAATCATTCCTATAGAAGGCGGAATTGCTATTACATCCTAGATAGAACGGTACCTTAACACCTAATTTTAATAGACGTACTGCAGACAATTTTGGGGCATCGCATCGCATTGAATTTTGGATTCTTCGCTCTTGTAACCACCATGAAAGTAAAGACCATAAACAGGTCTTCGGACACATATGTGCCTGTAAGAAACACACAAGAGTCTGCTCTCCCGCGGAACTTGAATCCTGCTCTCCATCCTTTTGAAAGAGCAAGAGAATATACAAAAGCACTCACCGCGACAAAAATGGAGAGGATGTTTGCTCAGCCTTTTGTGGGCCAATTGGGAAATGGACACCGGGATGGAATATATTGCATTGCCAGAAACTTTGCTACCACCAACCAGGTCGCCACTGGATCGGGAGATGGTGTAATAAAGTATTGGGACATGTCGCTGCGACAAGAAACTGCTAGTTTTAGGGCTCATAGAGGCATGGTTAGTGGACTATGTGTAACTCCTGGGACTTCTACGATGATCTCGTGTGGAGACGACAAAACTATCAAGATGTGGAGTGTCAAGTCTACCGATTTTGAGGGAAATGATGACAATGAAGTTTACAATCAGGGTCAAGGGCTCGTCAAGACATACTTAGCTGAGCATTCTCTCAAAGGTTTAGATCACCATCGAGAAGATCCGGTGTTTGTTACCGGAGGAGCACTGATTCAGCTTTGGGATGTCAACAGAAACAACTATATTCTGAATCTTAGTTGGGGTGCCGATAACGTCAATTCTGTCAAGTTCAACCGCACTCAAACCAACATTATAGCATCGTGCGGGTCGGACAATTCGATTGTATTATATGATATCAGAACCAATACCGCCATACAAAAGGTGGTCACTAGCATGCGGACAAATGCTCTTTCTTGGAATCCAATGGAGGCATTCAATTTTGCCAGTGCTAACGAAGACCATAACGCCTACTTGTGGGACATGAGAAAACTCGATCGATCCCTTAATGTGTACAAGAATCATGTTTCTGCAGTGATGGACGTTGACTTCTCTCCTACTGGTGAGGAGGTGGTTACCGGATCCTACGACAAGACACTTCGTATCTTCAGAACCAGAGAAGGACATCTGAGAGAGATCTACCACACCAAGAGAATGCAGCATATTTTTTCAGTTAGCTACACCACTGATGCTCGGTACATATTGTCAGGGTCTGACGATACCAATGTTAGAGTATGGCGAACCAATGCCTCAGATAGACTGGCTATCAAGTCGGCTAGACACCGGTCTAAGCTTGAATACGATGCAGCCTTAAAGGAAAGATTCAAGCATATGCCTGAAATCAAGCGTATTGCGAGACACCGTCACTTGCCTACGGTGGTGAAGAAGGCAGGTGAGATCAAGAGGGTGGAATTAGAGGCTTTGAAGAGAAGAGAAGATAACGATAGAAGACACTCTCGGCCTGGATCCAAGCCGTACATTCCTGAAAGACGCAAGCATGTAAGAGGCACGGCGATCAAGGATGATGGAGAAAAGTAGGATGAAGAGAATTGGTTGAATTTGAGACATGAATGTTGAGCTGAAATTCAGCGAAACATGAAGATGCTAAAATTTAAGCAGAATGTGAAGAAGCTAAATTCAGCGGACTATCGAAGAAGCAAAGTTCAAGCAGAATGTTCAAGAAGCTGAAATTTAAGCGGAATATGAAGAATTTTTAAGTTCCAGAAGAACAAAGAATTCAACGATTAAAGATTCAGTATTGACACTCGACTTTGAAGAAGCTACAATTGAAAAGCTGATTTCGAAAACCAATGTGAAGAAAAAGAGGAAGAAGATAATAACGATGAGCATTTGGGAGTTCTTCGACCCTCACCATTGGACTCCACTTTTACAATTTCCATTTCAGTCTGCCCGAGCCCTGCATCCGCCGCAGATGCCGAACCTCAGCCCCGCGCAACTGTCAATGAGCCAATAGCGCCGCGGCGAATCCAACGGCCAATTTGCACCCATATATCAATGCCCATTTCTTGTAACGTTCATACCATGTAGCCCTTTTTCGAACAGCTTTTGAGTAGTATCACCTTCTTGACTCCATTGCAGTTGTTCTTTTCCAATGGTTTGGTCTGCCGTGAAAGCACCGCCAGTGCACCAGCATTGCACCTCCATGCCTCACCCGACACTCGTTTCCTAAACCCTGTCAGCAAGTGTAGAATACCTATAAACACAAAAAAGACGGTTTAGGGTGCAAAGTCTGCTACAAGAGGGCCATGCCGGACAAGCACAAGCTCAAACTTTTTTCTTTCAAACACCAGTCCGGTGATGACGAACTAGGTCCAGAGTTGTCCAATCAGCTGACGCACGGCCGCAAGTTTTTGGGGTTCCATATCGGCCGCCACGAGTCAGGCGAACTGCTAACGTCGCCTACGCTTACGAACTCACTGGATATGGCCCATGGGCACGTTAATCATGGCGGTGGGGCAAATGGAACCGGTCCTGGAATTGGTCCATCTCCAGCGACTCTGGCAGCGCAATCTCCTGGATCTCCCAACCATAATGGTCCACCTTCCAAGTCATCGTCTATGGTGGAACTCAAGCGTTTTTTCAAGCCGGCAAAGAAAGCTCCAACAAAAACTTACGATAACAAAATACACTCACCTCCCACTCTCGCCGGTGCGGGCCAACCCAACCATATTGCCCACGGCTCACAACTGCATGCTTCGCTAGCCAATCTCATCAGCCAGACGTCGTCGCAACTCTTACACAGTGCAGTGACGTCCAGCAATAAGGATCCGTTGACGGATGACGAATCGCATCTTGTGAAAAAATACGGTAAGGTGGGAAAGGAACTTGGTTCTGGAGCGGGAGGCTCGGTCAAATTGATTGTCAGACCTTCTGATGGACGAACGTTTGCCGTTAAAGAATTTCGGCCTCGCCGTAGTACCGAATCTATGAAGGATTATACCCGTAAGTGCACGGCCGAATATTGCATTGGGTCCACCCTCCGTCATCCCAACATCATCAAAACCATTGACATTCTCTTGGAGAATAACCGATACTTTGAAATCATGGAGTATGCCCCAATAGACTTCTTTGCCGTTGTTATGAGTGGACGTATGTCTCGTGCCGAGATCAATTGTTGCATGAAACAAATCATCGAGGGAGTTTCTTACTTGCACAGTTTGGGGCTTGCTCACCGTGACTTGAAGCTCGATAACTGTGTATTGTCGGATGAAGGTATTTTGAAGATTATCGATTTTGGAAGTGCGGTCATTTTCAAGTACCCATACGACCAACATGGAGGTAAAGATACCGTCCATCCTGCCCATGGAATCGTGGGTTCGGATCCTTATCTTGCACCCGAGGTACTCAAATCCCCCAATTCATATAGTCCTCAGCCGGTTGACCTTTGGTCCATTGCCATAATTTACTGCTGTATGACACTCAAGAGGTTTCCTTGGAAAATTCCCAACTCAGAAAAGGACAATTCTTTCAGGCTCTACTCGATGAAGGACGACAGCTGGCATGACTACGCCTTGAGCAACGAGTGCCACAAGTTGCTACTTCAACAGCGTCGGTTGAAAAATATGTTGAAGCAGCGCGAAGAAGAAAGCAACGAAACCGGCGACAAGAATATGGAAGAATCCGAACCTCCTACGGAAGACGACGACCGAGAACAGACCCCAGACGAGAAGCACGCCAACGCTGGGGACGGAAATTCTCCATTACCAACCACATACACCATCGAAACCATCCGCGCCCATATCGCTTCCATCGATGCCAAGTTAAAAGAATATGAAGCAATCAAAACCGAAATGAAAGCCAAGTACGCCGAGCATAAACGAGACCATGAAGAGAAGGAGGAACCACCTGCTGAAGAAGAAGGGTCTCGTAGAAAGAAACACAAACAAATCCACGGACCTTATCGACTTTTACGGTTACTACCCCATGCATCTCGACCTATAATACACCGCATGCTTCAAATAGATCCGAACAAGCGTGCTTCTTTGGAGGAAATTTTGAATGACGAATGGATCAAGGATATTCGGTGCTGCACACTCAAGCTGGTAGCACGAAGCGGTGAGAACGAAGGTGCCGGATTCGAGGAAGATGAAGACGAAATCTTTGTCCGCGGTGTTCCAGAACACGAGCACACCACCGTCATAGAAAATGAAGAGCCTCAATGAACTCAATTGAGTAATGTCAATTGAAAAACCCAATCGAAGACTTATAGTCGCAGTATACGTAATTAATAGACACAAGTCCTATACCTGTCCATCGGTGTTGTCCGGCACATAGTCGGCCTCGTTATCATTTGACATTCTCATTACCAGACACTAGTAAAATGCCACATCCTCCAGTTAACCCCACCAGGATCAAAACAACGCTCAAGATGGCTATCAGCAAGCTCAAGTTTGTACAAGAGAAGAAAACTGCTCTTACAAAACAACAAAGAAGACAATTGGCTGATATTCTCAAATTGGGAAAAGAAACCAGTGCTGAAATCCGAGTTGAAAACATCATTAGAGACGATGTTTATGTTGAGCTTCTCGAGTACATGGAATTGTATTGTGAACTTTTGTTAGCAAGAATTGTGTCGATTTCTGACTTGACCAGAACGACTGTGGATCCCGGAATTGAAGAGGCTGTCAGTTCAGTGATTTATGCTGCTCCTCATTCGGAACTCAAAGAAATGACAATGCTACGTGACATGTTCCATGTTCGGTACGGTGACGAGTACTTTAAATCGGCCGTTGACAACGAAAATGGAAAAGTTCCTGAGAAGATTTTGAAGAGATGCCTGGTTGAACCGCCACCAGAAAGTCTTGTTATCTTGTACTTGAGTGAAATTGCACGAACCTACGATGCGCCATACTCCAAGATGATCGTCAATGACAAAGACGACGACGATGATGAACCAAGTGGAGGAGAAGCCCTCAAGGAAAAAGAGAACGAGAAAAAATTAGAAAATCCTATTGGCGAAATTGCCGAGTCTAAACCACAATCGGCAGCTAAGAAAGACCAGCAGGACTTTGATCAGCTCAAGGCAAGATTTGCTGCATTGAAAGGAGGAAAATAATGTCACTAATAGTCCATCCCCACAATGTCGTGCATCGCACCAAAGTTGAGCATTTAGCGATGTTTTGATAGAGGTGACATTCATGTCAATATTGAGCCCCCGACAACAGCAGGAGCTAAATCGGGCCATAGTTCAGTATATTGGAAAGATCATAAGTGATAATTCCGAAAATCTTGAACATGGCGAGAAAAACGGAGTTTTACAACACCAAGATTTGGTTGATAAAGTTGCCAACCTTCTTGATGTTCCTACATCATCGGAAGACTTGACAACCAATTATCTCGAAAAAAAATGGTCTACAGTCTTACGACTCCAAAGGAAGATTATGGATTTGACCGATGAAGTTTCCAACCTCAAAACCATTATAGAAGCCAAACATGCTAATGGTGGCTCCGAAATCAGTAAAGACAAGATCAATTGGCTCCCAACATCCGTATTTAAGACCTTTCCTACCCAAACACACCAATCAGTCAACACTGTGGCAGTCCATCCATACCTACCACTAATCATGGCGGGCTGCAGTGACGGCACCTTATCAGTATGGAACATAGCCAACGACGATCCACTGATCCCAGAAAAGTCGATACGAGCTCATAGTCGTGCGGTCAATCGAATACGATGGCTGAACAGTCCCGTAGAGCTATCTGTGAAGGCTGGCGCGAGCAACAAGCTGTACATATTTGCATCATGTTCGTCTGATCTTTCGATTAAAATTTGGGACGGGAATTCTAACTCTCAAATCCGAATACTTACGGGCCACGACCACACCGTTTCTTCAATTGCATTTCTGCCCTCGAAACCATCAATACTATACTCTGTTTCGCGGGATAAAACCACCAAAATCTGGGATTCCACCAATGGCTACTGCACAAGAACCTTTATTGGCCATAGTGACTGGGTGAGAGACTTGGATGTTATTGCGGCCAAGCAGAAGTCGCTCGGCGACTTTATACTAACGTGCTCGAACGACCAATCTGTAAGGTTATCACACGCCGACTCAGGTACTGGCTTATGTCTTTTGGTTGGACACTCGCATGTTATTGAGCTGGTGAGATTTTTACCTATGCATTCCAATGCTCATATCGACAAATATTTGAAGGAAAACTCCGACAGATTTCCTTCTATGCCGCCTGAACTCGTTTCTGCGCCCATATATGACGATGTTTTAGGTTACAAATACTGTGTTTCCGCTGGAAGGGACAACATTGTTAAACTCTGGCTCATGCCTCCGGCAGTCGTGAGACCTAACGCCCACCCACTACCTGCTGCAACCAATAACTCACAAGGCTGGCATATAGCCGACTTGACAGGCCATCAGTCGTGGGTGAAGACACTACAAGTGCACCCTAATGGGCGGTTTATATTCAGCGCAGGCGACGATAAATCTATAAGAGTTTGGGATCTTTCGACACTCGCCACTGGTGGCCGAGTAACCGAAGTAAAGAAGCTCATGAAACACGAAGGCTTCGTCAACGATATCAACGCGGCTCCATTGAGTGAGCCAAAGGATACGACGAATGAAGACATCTTGCAAGATATAGAGAGTCGTATGAGATGTGTATTTGTGAGTGGAGGTACAGATAACACCGTTCGTCTTTGGAGTTAAACTTTTTCAATGAAGTTCGATGGTGCTCTTTGAGCCCACTCGGTCCAGCTTCCATCATAGACTCGAATTGGTAATTTTGTGCCTAATACGATTTCTAGCGCTAGTTTCAAGATGACAGCAGTTACACCTGTTCCACACATCACTATGATTCCTTTCTTGCTTTGGGAGTTTTTCAAGTCAATTCCATACTCGCTCTGGAGAAGCGCTTGCAACTCTTCACCGGACTTGTATGTCTTGTCTTCATTTAGAACCTTGCCAAATGGGAGCGAGAGAGCAGAAGGAACATGCCCCGAAGAAAGACCGGGTCTAGGTTCTGGATCTGTACCGTCAAAACGGCCTTTTGATCTCGCGTCAAAGACAAAGTAATCCTTTGCAAGTTGTCCTGATTTAACAAGCTCCAACAATTCCTCATACTCAATCACCTGTTGGCTGTATTTGGTTTTGAACTCTTCATCTGAAAGTGCTGAGTATGACGAAGTGGAAGCACCTGGCACACCCACGTCCGTCACCGGTGTATTGTCCAAAGGATACTCGGCCTTCTTGTAAGTTAGATAGTTATCCATCAAATAAACCTTCTTGTGGCCGTAAAGTGATAAAGTCCATGCTACTCGAGGACCCGAAAATATACCTGATTTGTCGTAAACCACAACGGTATCGGAATTTTTGATGCCCAATTTGGACATTTCCTGAATGTATACCGATTGTGGAGGGAGCATGTGGGGGTACTTTGAGTCTGGAAGCGCCACTTTGTCTAAATCAAAGAAAGCGGCTCCCTTCATTCGCTGCTCTTCCAAGAACTGTTTTCTACCATTGTGGGGTGAGTTGGGCATATACCATGTTGCGTCCAAGGGAACAACCTTAGCACCTTCTACAGAGCTGGAAAGTAATGCTCTGAATGCCGAGGGAGTGACGGTGGACAAAAGTTGTTTCGACATTTTGGTGAATACAAAACTCCGATTCCGCATTTGAGATTATCAGATTATATAACCTATGGCTAAAACACGTTTTTTGTCACTTGCCAGAACTAAAAACATCACCGAACCTAGAAGTGTCTGCTTTCATGAACTCCCGAAGTGCCATTGTGGCATACGAGCTGACAGGTAATTGCATCGTCAAAACAACTCCAGTGCGCTCACCTTCTTGATGGTCAATTTCTCTAGCGACGTTTTCCTCACCATCTTTTTTCAACCGAGTCAATTCCAAGTCAGTCCTCACCATGGGCTCATTGGGATCATCGTACTTGACAATCTTATATGAAAGATTTGTAGGTTTGCCCATAATGTGTCTGTAAGAACCAGCAAGTGAAAATTCACGCACACGGCGATTCATTTTTAGCGGATCAAGTCCATCTTTGGCCATCACTTCGGTGTAGACTTGCATCAACTTTTCGTTCGTGGGATACAAGATATCAAACCCAGGAGTTGGGAGTACAATGTCGTAAATTGTGTAAGTTGAGGCTGCAATATCCTCCTCTGTAAGTGGCCTGGCTCTCACAAATTTGGACGTTACAACATCTTCCTCGAAGTCTTCACCATCAACATCCTTCTCCTGAGCTGGGGCCTCGTTTTGAACCAAAACCAAATCTCCAACCTGAACGTCCATGCCAAACATTTCGAAACGTTTGGATACAACCAAGTTCCAGATATATGACTGATAGGCGTGAGCATACATGATGCGCAAATTGCGAGGAATGGCCATAATACTCTTGAAATAGGAGTTCGAACCATAATCTTCGTTTTTGTCAAGCCTCTCTTTTTCTAAAACACTCAAAATCGAGTACTCGGCAGTGCATCGACGAGGCATCTTTTTCAAAGTCAACGATGGATTACGGGTTTCTGCCCAACAAGCTCTTGCGTCGATCGATTCAGGGGCCACGATTTCCTGTTCCGATAACACAAGGTCCACGGCTCCCTTCCAGTCTTCCTGTAGAATCTTTATACCGAGCTCGTGGGTGGAGATTGAAAAAGTACCAAATCTTTGCATACCGTAGTAATTGATGAAACCTTTTTGTTGCAACGAATTAAAACATTTCTCTATGATGGTCTCAACGCTGTCCTTGTCATTGAACGGTTTAACGTCCCGGATAGTAATAACAAACTCGTTTCCCTTCAAGTCTCCAAGACCCAAGGGTAAATCCTCATAAGTAAATCCTCCCAAGACAACATTTTTCAAACCTTTATTAAGTGAAGAAACTCGGGCAACTTTACCTTTCAGAATCGAAAACCTTTGACATGTCACACCACGACGGTCCTTGGTACCAGCATAACCAATGTTTTTTGATGGAATCCTGAGAAATTTAGAAATAGTGGATGCAACTTCCATGGTTTCTCTGTTCTCCTTATATACTGTGAAATGAAGATAATTTTTGAAAGGTCCCAATCCGTAGTTTACCACCCCGTTTTCATCGACGTGGTTGATGCTCTCTTGTGGGTTTCTTCTTCTTGCTGAGTTATTACGAGCAAGTGCAATTCTGAAGGTGTTTTCAGGTGTTGTAACCGTCTCCAATTTGGACTGGAATGCTTGTCGAAGCAATTGATGTAAAGTTGTACGGGTCTGCTTGTCTTCAAATTTTGTTTGGGTCTCCATTTTGTCTCCAGAATTGAAAAGCAGCTCGATTTGATTCAATTCGGCTTCTGTTATAAGTTTAAGCAATTTTTCTTTGTCCTCTGAAGAAAGCTCATATTTGGGTTGCTGTTCAAGTTCTTGCTTTTTCTGTTCCTTTATACGTTCCACTTCCTCCGCTGTCTTTCCTTGGAGTTCTGATCTCTCTTCCTGTCTTTTTTCGAGGTTTCTTTCCCGTTTTGTCTTTCCTAAATTGATACCTTCATCAACAAGATGAACAACATTGTTGCTTAAATCGATTTCGTTCACCAAAAAATCACAATAACGCTGCTTGATGGAGCCATAGAAACCACCACTGCGGTTTTCCTCATTTATGTATTGAGTTATTCCGACTTGTTTTTCTTCTACAACTTTGCCAGTTCGGTCAATTTTCACCCTCTTGTGGTCAATTGAAGGAGCAGCTTCTGAGGCTCTCTTACCACTGTTAACACTTTCTGTCATTATTCTAAAGGGATTCAATATTCGTTTCCCCAATACGGATAGTTATTGTCTAATAAATTTCATGAATTAGTCAGTAGTCTGCGATGAGATGAAATTTGTGCGAGCAGAATTTATCAAAATTCAACCTTTAATTTTGAAATGGAGAACATTTAGACTTATATCGAGGCAAAAGATACAACGGATTAACATATAATGGATTTAGTCGTAATGTAATGTCATTGACAATTTTTTCAGTTTTTTCAAAAATGAAAATCTGGAAAATCCTTCTGTTTGTGGCTACAAATTTACAAATATAATCAGCTACTTTATTTTCTTCTACTTTATTTGCTATGAACCAATACACTGCTAGCCATTTTCCGCGTGTGATTCCTACCTTTGCTAATCTTCTTGACTCTTCATCTAGCAGAGCTGGCCTATACAACCTTGCTAAGAGAGCCCAATCATGGCTTCATGGCTCAAGACAAAGCCGAAGTTTAATCCTAAGTCTGGATTACAATGTGCACAGCGGACTGAACACTGCTGATGCAGAGGCACAATTGTATACAATTTTCAACGAGCCATCCCAAAGGGTCGTTGTTGTGTACAGCAAAAAGCGGCTTGAGCTTCGCAGTCTTCTTGAGCAAGTGCGTGGAGGTCCATTAGAAAAAGTGCACGAAAAAAAAGATAGGGACTCCCACTTGGTAGAAATCCATTTCTTGAGTCCTCATGATGCCCAAGAGTTTTACAACTATTGCACGAAGACTCGTTTTTTCCTCGTGAACGGTAGTCGATTATGGGTGGAATGGGACCTGTCGTATAAAAAGCGGTTTCCCATGCCCATGTTGATCCCGCCATTCGTGCTCAACCAGATCAACATGTTTGGTGCTTCCAGGTGCTTATTGATCACCAAACCGATGTTTGGCAAGCATAGTAAGCGAATTGGATCGCATATGTTTTACCCGCAACCACCCAGGAATTTTCTTTATGAGCACTTGAATTTCGAGGAATTGCGTAAAGAATTGGAGCAGTATGGGTCAGTGATTGATATCACCCCCATGGTGTCGGTAAATGTCAGTATCTGCGTTCACTTTGCAGATATTCGGTCAGCCATTCTTGTCAAAAAAGATGTCGAGGTACCGGGAACTCCAGCCAACAAAGCATGTGCGTCATTAACCGTGACTTATTATAAGGATCCCTGTGATCAGAAATGCTATGTTATATAGTTGATGGGCATCAAATTCGCAGCCGTTAGTTAGCTGCAACCCTGCACAGTATGACTGCACAATGCAACCACTTTTACTAAATAGGAAATCTGTCAACAGCATGCGCGAACAACTCGTTTATCTGCAAATATCAACTTGTCTTTTTCATCCAGCAATCATGTCTTATCGTACCCCAATGCGAACGAGGTCAACCACCTCTCATGGGAGCAGCACCCCGTCGCTGGCGAACCCGCCAAGGTCAGAAATGAGACGACTTGAAAGACCACCTTCAAGAACTTTTCGTCCTGCATCACCTCGTCATCCTGGAAATCGATCTCGACCAGGATCATCTTTAGGAAGTTTTCCTAGTAGTGATAGCGCCAATTCTCGGCCATCAACTCCCTCGTTTCGTCAGGAACCATATACTGGAAACATAGCCGTACTGATTCGTCCAAACCCACAATCCGTGCTGCCTAATAGTCCATGGTCCATCGATAGCATTGGCCAAACCATCACCAATACCACCGATTTTACGTCTTATTCATTCGATAACGTATTTCCCGCCGATGCTGAGTGTTCTAATAGATTTGTTTATGATAGAGCCGGCTCTGAACTTGTTAAGAAATTTTTGAACGAGGGCTATAATGCCACCATATTCGCCTATGGTATGACAGGCTCTGGAAAGACATTTTCAATGAAGGGTAACAACAGTGACCCAGGATTTGTTCAGCTAGCCATTGATGACTTATTTGCAAAGATAGAATCAGATTCCAGGGAATACTCCGTTAGTGTCAATTACTTGGAGATTTATAATGAAAAAATCATTGACTTATTGAGTACTGGATCAGCCACCGATCTCAAGATTAGGGAAGACCTGGCATACGGAAACTGTGTGGTCGGTGTCAATTCACCTTCTATCACTTCGAAAGATCAACTTTTGCAGCTTATTCGTAAAGGTGACACCAACCGCAAAACCAGCGTTACAGACTATAACCATCGATCGTCCAGATCACACTCTATACTCCAGATAAGAGTAAGTGCTGTCGATAGAATTCGATGCAGGGAGCTGAACGCAACGCTTTCTCTATGTGACTTGGCTGGTTCCGAGCGTGCAACTTCTAGTCTTGAACGACTGAAGGAGGGAGCTTACATTAACAAGTCTCTTTTGGCGTTATCCACGGTGATCAATAAGCTTTCACTTGCCTCCACAACCCTCACAGCCGACCATATTCCTTACCGTGATTCCAAACTTACTCGTTTATTGCAACCAGCACTTTCTGGTTCTTCGTTGGTACTGATTCTTTGCACCGTTCATTTAGGTTCCGGTTCCGGTTTGACAAACCAGCACCGAATTTCTGAAACATACAATACTCTCCGATTCGCAGCAAGAGCCAAAGATATCGTGGTCAGTGTCAACAAGAACCAAATGAATATTGATGAAGATCTGTTGCGTCTAGTGGAAACTTTACGCAGAACCATCGAGACACAAAAGAACGAGATTACCATGCTCAAACAAAGCTCGACGTTCTCGGGTGAGACAAACGGAAACAGCGTAGAATTGCAACAAAAGGAAATGCAAATAGGTCAATTGCAGGCAGAATTGGCGGTTTGCAACGAAAGACTTGAGCACTTTGCTCGTCTCACAGACTTGCAAAAAACAGAAACCATCATGTTGAAAAACGACACTGTTAATGACATCCTTGGTTCAGGGGCAGAAGAACTGCAAATGATCATGGCCAATTTTGAAGAGTTTCATAGGCGACTCAACTATGAGTTGGAAGAAAGTAAATTGTACATCTCGCAATTGGAGATGCAACTCAGGAATGCATTATCCCACCAACAACCAGTCCATCGCTCAGCGGTGCCCAAGGAATATGAAACACGCATCAAAGACCAAGAGGAGGAAATATGGCACTTGAAGGAGCTTCTCAAGGATAAAGACCATGTTATCAAAAGTCTTACCAAGACATCGAAATTACGTAGGTTGGCTGATTCTACAAATACCGACCACAGAAAGTGGCAAGCGAGTGGAAACGAAAAGGACAGTCCCCAGAGACCTCTGGGAAACAGCTTTGTAATATAAGATTAGGTATGGTGGGGTTTGATTAGGTTAATGTAATTAATAGAAGGAAATTAAATTTCAGTGCGCGCGAATTTCCATATCAACGCGTAACCACCACTCCAGTTCAAGGCATGGATTTCACCCAGCCCACTCAGACCCAGCCCACCCAGCAGGCCCCTGAAACACAGCTAGGTGACCGGCTTAATGGTGATACCAACTTGATCTGTCGTTTAATATGCACTACGGGTCAATATAGTTACTTCGATTTGACAAAGACAAAGGATGATCGAACATGGACTGTGGGTAGAAACGGCACCTGTGACTTTGTGTTGAGCACAAGTACACGGCTATCGAACAAACATTTCAAAATATGGTTTAATGAGGGCGATAAGACGACTTGGATCCAGGATACCTCTACTAATGGAACCCATTTGAACAACAGCAGATTGGTGAAAGGTTCCAATTATATGCTAAATCAAGGAGATGAAATAGCCGTAGGTGTTGGTGTGCCTAAGGACGTTGTAAGGTTTGTGGTGTTGTTCACGGATGAGTTCAATCCAGCCAAAGTCGCTGGTTCGAGTGCCGATAATAGCGAGCTGGGCATTCATAGTGACTTCATAATACGCCAAGAAGCCATTGGCCAGGGTGCGTTCGCCACCGTGAAGAAGGCGATAGAAAGATCTACTGGAGACTCGTATGCTGTGAAAATCATAAACAGAAGAAAGGCACTCAATGCTGGAGGAGCCATGGTGGGTGTCGATCGTGAGCTTCAGATTCTTCGCAAACTTCACCACCCCAACATTGTGGCCCTTAAATCGTTCTACGAAGATATGGACAACTACTATCTCGTCATGGAACTTGTGCCTGGCGGAGATTTGATGGACTTTGTGGCTGCCAATGGTGCAATTGGCGAAGATGCCACCCAGGTTATCACTAAGCAAATCCTCGAGGGAATCTCATATGTGCACAAACTAGGTATTCTGCATCGAGATTTGAAACCGGACAATATATTAATCATGCAAGATGACCCCATTTTGGTGAAAATTACCGACTTTGGCTTGGCCAAGATTAGCGACAATGCCACTTTTATGAAAACTTTTTGTGGAACGCTTGCATATGTGGCCCCTGAGGTTATTACTGGAAAGTTTGACTCGTCTCAAGATTCCTCAAGGGCAAACTACTCGTCGCTAGTTGACATTTGGTCGCTTGGTTGCCTCGTTTATGTGCTTCTTACATCACATCTTCCCTTCAACGGTAAAACACAGGCACAAATGTTTCAAAAAATAAAACAGGGAGAGTTTCACGAGTCTCCTCTTAATTCATATAACGTATCTCCAGAGGGCCGAGATTTCCTAAGAGCATGCTTGCAAGTCGACCCACGACAGCGAATGACAGCCGAGCAGGCATTAAAGCACAACTGGTTAAGTGCTCTAGACTCGTATACTGAAGAGCTGCAAAAAGTGTTGAGCTTATCACAATCACAGTCCCAGCAGTCAAGAAAGGTGGACAATGGTATACCTATCACGGATCCAATCAGCAAAATAGATGAGGAATTGATGTTAAGACCCTTGGATAGTGAGCGAAACAAGAAGAAAAACAATAATGAATTCAAGGTGCCAAAGAGAGTTGTACCAATGCCTCAATCGCAACCACCTAAATTCAGCCAGGATTCGCAAAAGAATGGACCTTCACCTGTCAAGAGAGGTAGATCTGAAGAAGACAATTCACCATTGAAGAAGCAAAAAACAATAGAGCCAGTTACTTTGGCGGTACCTAATGGTGTCAGAGAACTTTCGCAGCCTCATTCAGTCAAATCACCAACTCGCAGTGATACACCAAAAGATACATTTATACATCTCAAACCATTGAAGGACTCCATTGCCCACGCTCCTATATTCATAAGGCAAGGAGTTAATCCGTACGCAGTAGGGCGGAACGAAACATGTGATACGTTCATTAACGACGACCGAATGTCTAAAATACACTGTTTGTTCAACAAAAAGAGACACCCAGTGTTTGAAAAATCAATCTATGAAAGTCCCGCTCACTGTTTAGATGACGTATGGCTACTAGATTTCAGCACAAATTCGTGCTTGGTGAATGGTGTTGTCTTGGGGAAGGGTAAGAAAGTGCAGTTATTCAATGGTGATCAAATTGCTTTCTTTCAAGATGGTACAACGCACGAAGTTCTTGGATTTGAAGTTGATATTCATGACCCAACCGGTCTCTTCAATGGAGGAGAACGACTTCCTGAAAATGACCCAAAATTTGTTAATGTAATGAGACAAGATGCAGCTGACTTGAAACTTCGGCCAAAGGTAGTACTAGAGCTGGCAGTTGCAGAACGGGGTATGACTTCCAACCCAGTCAAGATTGCTTATGGTACGGGCGGAAGCTTAAATCTGGTACTTCGGCACCAACGCAAGAGAATAGACGAAGAAACGAAAGTGCCTGGAGGAAGCCAAACATTGAAGCGAGCCAGTCTCCAAATAGGACAGCAGCGGCCCACGAACTCATGGATAGGATAGATGGCATATAATATAGAATGAATGTGTCTAGTATATCTATTGAACTGGCCAGTAGCCTGGGAATAAGAAATGCATTTTCTCAAGCAATTCCTTCTTGACTCCATGGGGACTGGTACTAACAGAGTACTTCATGGATCCCTTCAAGCCCTTACCCACACCACTGGTTCCAAGTGCCAAATCTTTACTTACAACCTCAATCAAATGAGCAGCAAGTTTGCAGGCATTGGCCGAGTTAGCCTTCAAGTTACCAACCACCGTTTCGACCGTCACTGGATCTTCACTTTCGTTCCACGAATCGTAATCTGTAGACATACAGATCATCTGGTAAGCGATCTCTGCCTCACGAGCCAACTTGGCCTCGGGCAAAGCCGACATATTAATCACAGATCCACCCCAGCTTCTATAGAGCTTGGATTCAGCACGAGTACTGAACTGAGGGCCCTCCATACAAATCAACGTCAAGTCCTCGCCGTTGTTGGTATTGTGCTTGGTATGGAAGGTTGGGCGAGCATCTGTCTCAAATCCTTCCAAAAATCCAGAAGAGGGAACATTTTCGCTAATAATTTTACTCAAGGTGAGATCAAAAGGCTCACCAAACATAGCATGAGCAACAAATCCACGTTCAAAGAAAGTCGATGGTCTGATACCCTTAGTTCTGTCAATGATCTGAGTGGGGAGTACAAAGTCTCTTGGCTTAATTTCCTGTTGCAACGATCCCACAGCAGAAAACGCAATAATAGCCTCGACTCCCAAACTTTTCAACGCCGCCATATTGGCCCTAGAAGGAACATCGGTGGGCAACAAATCATGGTGCTGTCCATGTCTCGCCAAAAACGCCACCGCATACCCTGAATCTGTCTCAGAAATGGTAATTGGGGCCGAGGGAAACCCCCAAGGAGTGGAGATAGTCAATCTAGCCACCGGCTTAAGATTGGGTAAATCGTACAAACCAGTGCCTCCAATAACCGCCAACGGTACGGGCTTGTCAAAGTGATGTGGTAAACTGCCAAGTTCTATGTGTTCCCTGTGTGCTGCCATTGTGATCAATTTGGTGATATTATTGGTTAATCTCCGTTGAACCATCTACCATCGTGGGCTCTTCCACACTTGGTACTGCATGGTGTATAGGTGCTAAGTGCACGTGACCTACCCGGGGACCAATTTATATTATCACGCAGCGGACGATCCTACAACATGTTGCACGCCATCACGTATGGGAAACGTTGCGCGACAAGCCGGTCGGGCTTTTTAGTGCTGGCGGTGCGCCTGGTTTCGTCAAAAGCACCGAAAGGTGATCAGACTCAATTTAGGGACCTGACAAATGTTGCCACACATAAGCGTAGATTGTCATCGAGTTATACCACCAAACCAGAAAAAATTATGGATAAGAAGATAGATATTTTGGACGATAACAACAGTGCCAGTCGGTTTGTGCCGTCAGAAAGTTCACCATCCGCAAACAAGAGAGCGTTTGTTCCTGTAGAACGGTTCCCCAAGGCACCAGAGCATATCATTAACATGTCGACTGACGACTTGTATTCCCAGCATAATATCCAGTTTGGCACCCCGCCTCCCAAGGAGAAAGATAAAGATAAATACGTGGATTTCGTGATACCGGACCGCTACTTGAAGTCGGTCAGATCGAAGCAGATCACTCCTAAAGATAAGGCAATGGTTGAGGAACTTGAAAATTTGATAAAAACAAACGACGAGTACCAGATCGCCCAGTCGCAGTATAATCTTATCAAACTCTATTATGACCAGGATTCAGACTCATACCAACCGATGCCAGAACATGCATTGAAGAAATCGTTGTCTGGTATGATTAATCTTAACCCTAGCATGGATGATATCGAAGATGATTACTTGTGGCAATTGTTCCCCAAAGGTAGCTTGTTTGGAGTTCCTCCTTTTGAAAAAGATGCTGCATCTCACTCGTTCAAACAATGGGAACACGAGATGCTTCAGAAACAAAAGAAGACAGACGTCCAAAAACAGCATGATTTACAAGAGTATAATGAGTTCAGAGTACTTTTAAGCGACTCTAAATCATTTTTCCGCAAACCTTCGAACAGCAATAGGAAAAAATTGGACCGGAAGCTCCTTAAAGAGTACAAAAAGATGAAAACCAAGGGCAAGTTGCCCAAGGATGATGATGACGACGAACCCCTTTAGTAAAGCATGTATTCAAATATAAGTATTCATTCTACAATGTGTAGTTCAACGTCTCCGTAACCGTATTTGTGTTTGTTTTCTTCGAAAACTCGCTTGAGTTCATCGATATAGAGTTTATGGTAATGGTCAAGTATTTCTTGAGGAACGCTAACTCGTTTCCTCTTTGATGGTTGCTTCCCCTTGGAAAACTTGAATAGATTGGATATTGAAGGCTGGCGCTTGTTTGTCTTGAGTGAACTGGAAGACGTTTTTTTCCTTTTCTTTTTCATCTTTCTCAGTTTCGGGCTCTTTGTATTGATCCAATAAGCCGGCTGGAATATGAATGGGCCGTCCAAAGCAGACATTGATGGGATTTCTGTAAGGAAGAAACCCAAAGTCGTAAATGAACACACCTCTAGCGCTGAAAAATGGAACCGTGAATTGAAATGTGCGTTTCATCCAAGATTGGAACATTTCTCCAAATGAACCTGGTTTGGGTTTGGTGATTCTGTAGATGTCAGCTTCTCCAAAACCAAACGTAGGCACGAGTGAAACGTTGCCCAACTCAATCGCTATCTTGACGAAACCCTTTCTCTTATTAAGTACAAGTTCAATTTTCTTTACGCCGGTTTCTTCCTTGTTTTCTTCAATCTTACGCTGAGGATCAAACTCGCTATCGGTATCACTGTCATTGGGCAAATTGCTCTTTCCGTAACGACCGGGAACTGTGGTTGCGGCTACCATATCGTTTAGGAGCGATTCCTGAGCACCTCCAACAACGACACATATCGAGTTGTCTCCGTTGCTTATAAGGCTCTTGATGTTTTTAGCCGAAGCACTGGTGAGTCCCATGCCCAAGATATAGTCACGGTAGTACGGCACAATAAATTGGGTTGTCAATGTCAATGGAAAGACGGTGCCAATACCGGGAAACAACCGTTCTCCCTTGGAAGAGTCGTGGAAAAATGGCTTTAGCAAACGCAAGGGAGGTTCGTACGGCTCGTTACGCAACGCATTGGTAGCGAAAGTTCCAAAAACACCCATCGAAATTACTCCATGGGGATGGTATCCAAAGATGTAGCGAGGACCAGTAGACATACGTTTCACTTTACGTCTTGTGCTTAAAGACTCTTGCAGCAGTGAGCACTGCGACGAAGCATCCGAGTCGTCATTTAAGCGTTTTCGAAGCCCCAAAAATTTGAAAAGTTTATCGACTCCAGTTCGTGATTGCTCTGAGATAAGGTCTTCTTCATCATCGGGCACCACATCGTCTTCAATAATAACATCGCTAAAGGTAGGCTCCAACTCACAAGACTTGTGGACCCTGATAGGAAAATAGTCAACGAACCAATCCCACACAATGAAATTCTTCATCCAGTCGCGAGACCGATACGCAACCTTACCGTTTGTAGGAGTATGTAAATCGATAAGATACCACCATAAAAAGTACGGCAATATCACCCCTACCCAAGCAAACGGACCCAACGACAAAGTCAAGAAAAACAAACTGACAAACGTGGGAATACAAATGGTGTGCCAGATTATCCCCACCATCTCCAAGCGCCGTCGAATGGGGATATTAAGAGGTGCCACATTTATATACTTGGGACGTTCATGCTTTTGAGGAGTTGGACCTTTAGGAGCCAGAGACGACATGCGCAGCCTTTTCACTTCAGAAGAAGATCGTTTTTGTTTTCTATTTTTCAACCCATCATCTCCATCACCATCGTTATCTTTGGAAATAAGCTCAATTAGCAGATCACCCTCATCTGGTTTCTCAATGTTCTCTGTAATCAAATCACGGGTTTCTTCGGAACCAGCTCCTGTCATAGGACTGGTGGCTGTGTTTTGGGAAACTTGGTCATTTTCCATGGGATTGTCTTCATGTTTAGTGATCTCCGGTACAAGTTTCTCGTCATGTTTAGTACTCTCCGGTACCAGATTCTCGTCAGGTTTAGTGGTCTCCAGTAGCAGATTCTCTTCAGTTTCACGGTCAAAACTCGATGATTTCGCTTCTTCAACCATATTTGGTATATCACTGGCACCCCCAGTGCTTTCATCAACCTCCTTGGTCATCTTGCTGGAGTTTGCGGGGGAATGGAAACAAACGACAGGTGATGAACCCGAGGCGATTCGGGGTGTTTGAACGTCAGATCAATGGAAACCCAGATCTACAACGTGGTGCCTGGTCTCGATATGTACCGCCTCTGTGCAGATACAGCAATTAATTTCTCTGCTAAAGTTACCCTGTGGGGGGATCCCAAGTGTTTCCCGTATTTGGTAGTCCTGCAGACAGATGCAAGACCCCTTACTTGATCGGTTCAAGCGGGGTGCCCCACTCACCTAAAGCGTGGCCTGAAGTTTATTCCCGCTGCTTATTTAGGCTGGAGTCTTGGCGGTGATTGCTTTTGTTAGTTTGTTGCAAATTGTCATATATGTTCAGGATGTGATTTTGCATCATAAATGACATCATGATTTCCTTGAATTGATAATTGAAATGTTATTGACTTCATAAGCGTATTTTGTGTGCTTGTCTGTTCCTACTATTTCCTTCTTTCTCTAATATGAATGATTCTTCAGTTGTGTCTTTCCTGATCTTTTCGCACTGAAGAATCATTTTCGCATTAGGATTCATTTTCGCAACCTGAATATCGTATCTTTGAATGTAGAAAGAGACTTGATTACATACAGTCCACCATTTATTCGTGAACGGTACATAATCTGCGATGATGGATGAAGCCATGATTTTTATGTGCACAAAAAATTTCTCCAATGAGAAACAAAAAGCACCAAACAGCTTCAATTCAAGTATGTAAGTCTCATCACACAAGCTCCCGTTTCGTAATTGTAGATCTTATCTTCGTAAGACCCTGTGGTACTGCATACAAACATAAGAGTTCGCGGTCGATTCGATTTAAGGTTGAGTAGTATCTAATGTCTAGCGGTGAAGATGATGCACACAAAACGTACTATTCTATCAAACGACGAAAAACCGTGCCACCTACCATGTCCCTCCCAAAACAGTTTCTGAAGTCATTCATACCTCTTTTCTTTGGCAAGGAAAGTGCAGAAAATGTTCAAAAAAGGCATCAATTATACGAGTCAATTTGGCTGCAGCAAAGGAAAAGGATGGAGAATATAGTTTCCAGTGCTTACGACGGTCTTTTGAGCAGCCTAGAGTCATATATTGGCGAGCCTTTGTTGGGGGATCAAAAATTAGCGGTTGCCTTCGCTCTGCTCGGAACCAACACTGCCAACAATTTGAGGATTCTTAACGAATTGAGCCTGCGATTAGAATCAGGAACTGCCATTCACCTGCGAGTCATCACATTAAACTCGAAAAATAGCGCCAATATCAAGTCGGCTCTTCGAGAAATCAATCGTCAACTATTAGCTCAAAAGACCAAGAACGACGATAATGACGAAACAGACACCATGTTTGGAGACAAAGAAGGTCGTATTGCTCATGATTTTGAGATTGCTCGCGACTGGTGCTTGGACTATATGAATCAAGAGGGCGCCTCGGACATGGCTACGACCAAATTGAGATTATTACTTATCATCCAAGATGCCGACTCATTGAATACTCAAGTGTTGAACCAAATTATCAACGTTCTTCACATTTATACCGGCTCGATTCCAGTCAAATTGGTACTTGGTCTCTCCTCAAATAAGGTACGTGACTGGATCAACACAAGCATTAGTGCTCTGCTTCGTCTATCCATCAAGGGCACTAAATTCAAGAGTCAAGATAATAAGCAATTGGCTTATAGGATACTAGAGAGTCTTTTTTTGGACCCTGAAAATGAAAACCCATTATTGCTTGATTCAAGATTGGCGGCAGTTATACTCAACAGATTTGAACGTGCGAACAATTCTCTTGATAGCTTAATGTCGGAGATCAAGCTTTGCTATATGATTCATTTTTACCAACTGCCTTTATCTATCCTTACTGACGCCAATTTTGCTCCAACTTCTCAGTATATCTCGTCACTAAGGAGACTTCCCTCGTTCAAGTTGCATATAGAACACTTGGTTAAGCAATTCAAAGAAAACCAACAAGATACAAAGGCTGAGATCGAGGACTTGTTAGACTCGGACGAGAAACTTAATTTACTCTTGGACACTTCGAGGAAAGAATTACAAGAATACCACAAACAATTGATCCAAGCCGTGAAACTTCTACAAACCTGTCACCTTCATCTACCACAGAAACATCTGAATTTATATTGGTACAAAGTGCTTCTGGGCGGTGATATCTTCAACTGTGTTAGCTACAAAGAGCTATTGACCCACTTGGGATCACTCTCGGAGTATGAGGCTAAAACTTTACTTGCCAAGTTGAGTCTGGAAGACGAATTTGAAGACGATGTTTCGGGTCTTTCCAGTGCCCTGGATGCTCGAGATCTAGTCAACGATTATATCAAGAAACATGAGTTTCAGCGACCGCTTCACTCAAGAACATTCTATGAAGTTTGGACACTTAGTGGTGGGTTTTCAGAGCGCGATTTGATAGAATCTCCTCATGTTGAAGAAAATCTTGAGAATGCTATGCTTCGTTTACTTCGACCTAAATTGCGCCGGTCACTAGAGGAAGCACTAGACAATTCTTCAATATACTTGGGCGACAACAAAAATGACGAAGGTTCTCCCATCGCGACACACCTATTCAACGTCTACAGAGATGCGCCAGTTTCCATCAATGTCTACGATTTTTACTGTGCATTCAAGCAATCTGTGCCTAAAGACTCGCTTTTGCAGGCAATGAAGAGTCAATTGCATGAGTCACCTGTGAAGAATGAGGAGTTGTTTAAAGCCATAGAGACCATTGAGCACAATGACGAAGCTTGGGAAAAGGCATCATTTTCGTGGTTTCTCCACACTTGTCATGAATTTGTTCTCCTTGGACTTTTAAAAGAGAGGTCCAAGGTGGACTTTTTTGAAAAGGGGATCTGGATTGGATTGTAGCATAGCGGCTATTTTCATGCTGTGACTCAATTTTAGCCGCATCACTAAAAATAGCTGTGCGATTGAGTCACCCTCGCACTATAAAAGTGGGGCATTAGCCGCGAATTCAGCATGAAGCTTGCTGAAGCATTAAGACTCCGTAGTGATTACGGCCAAAGACTTGATGATCTTCACAGGCGAATCGAGAGAAATGTGATTGTACAAGAAGGAGACGAACCCCAAGAAGATCCTTCAAAGCTAACAGAGGAATACGAAGAAATTTGTTCGCAGCTCGTCAAATTGGTAACGTCAATTAATTTGATCAACGCAGAAGTGAAGATCAAATATGCCATACGAGGACGAGCTAACGAACAAGAATTGACCATGACCCAGGCATTGGCAGAGCGAGATATACTAAAGAAGAAAATACAAATGTATAGGTCCACTGTCGACGGAGCGAGATTGGACCAAAAGTTCAGTTACTTCAAGCTGGAAATCAAGTTCCGAGCTGTGGTGGAAATACCGCCTCTTCAAAAGACGATCGATGAACTTTCAGCCAATTTGAGAGGCCTCGATGTCAAGATTCAAGAGGCAAATTGGATAGAGGAGTATACCGAAAGGGTATGATTACGCATGATTTTGTTAGTCACGATGGTTTGGCTATGTTGGTTATTTGATTGGTATCTGTGCAAATGCGAGTATGCTCTTTGTCACGCAAGAGCAGGGCTCTTCGGAGTTCGATTTAGTGACTGCACGTATTGTACACGGAACTGGGCGCCGTTTCCCTTTTACATTTTATTACGCCCATGTTTCAACTTACACACATGCACACTTTCATACTTTATTTTTTACTACCAACCTACTGGTTTGCACGGAGAAGGGAGGGTAAAGGGGATCTAATACACAACCACCAAAAAATTCAAATTGTAAGATCTATTTATAGCCTACTCAAAGTCAATGTCCGCCTATATGTCTACCAGAGCCATTATAGTTTATGAATTACATTCAATTCAGCTTCTGCCTTCTCTTGTGCTGCTTCCTTTTCCTCTGCAGTTTGAATGTCTTTTTCTGCGCTAGGCTTCTTTTCCTTTTCTTGTTCATCAGACTCCTTTTCACTCAGACCTTTATTTTCTTGATTTTTTGCCTCGGCCATACGTTCTGCCTCTTCCTTGTCGGCTTCTCTCTCGCGATCTGCATCCAGAACGGCGCCAAAACGTCCCCCGGGAACTTTGTCATATTTACTATCACCTATCGGAGTGAAGATGTTACTTTCAGAAGTCCAATTTGTTTGTGAGCTGTGATGGATAAAACAATCAAAATCAATATAAAGGAGCCCGCTATGGCCATAATCATGAACCTCTGGGTCCGGAACATCCTACTGGACACCTGGGTGGAATTGCCTAACCTCATTGTGGGTTGCCGTTTCAAGTGAGTCGCTTTTGATGTGCGGGTGTACGGGCGCGAATATATATATGTACGCTATGCTATATTGATATCACTCGGATATCCACCATTGACTATCGCCATTTGAATTTCCTCTGTCTTGCTCGAGCGCCTTTAAAATAGCACTCTCGTCGCCTGGATCGACATTTTCCTTTTTGTGATCTTTCTCTTCATCACTCTTGACTTTCTCCGCACTCCTATAATCAAACTTACTGATCCAAACGTCACCGAGGGTTTGAAATTTCCGTGTCTCGTTATCTGTGAACTTGATAAGAATTCCATCCTGACGGTTGCTGAGTTTCTCTCCATCTTTCGTGTAGGTTCCTCCAATCAGCGAATAGCCACACCAGGTGTATCCGTTGCAATAACCTCCCATGCTAATCCACGGCATATTCGACTCATTGTCCTCATTGTCCGCTTTCAGCGTATCAACGGGAGGAATTACCGCGTACTTGATTTCCAACTTGTTAACGAAAAAAGCCTTGAATTGAGACAATTTCTTCAAGTGGGTGTACCGTCTCTTGTAAGCAAATTCTTTCTCAAAGTCAACTTTGTCACTTTGCCCACAATGACGGAACCCTGAGTTAAACCAGAGTAACGATTTGTTGTCTTCATCACTAATGTGCGCCGGGTGGTTAGAGCAAACCTCTTTTGAGTGCAATGGCTTGATCTCTTTTGAATCGCCCCAACGCTCTGTGTCAGGGGTGATCGTTCCAATCGCTGCTGCAAAATGTTCATTGAAAGCGTAGTCTTCATTTCCTGAAATGACCAAAGCCAACCAGAAAAGTTCTTTGTCACCGTATACTCGCGCCTGCACTGGTAAGTGGAAATTGAGCTGGGCCATAACCAATGCTTGACTAAAATGCAATTTGCGGTTGATCACCACCAACCCGCTCTCCATATAGTGGTTCTTTCCCTGGAAAAACTGGCGCTTGAGTGTGTACTCGGTGGTCTGTGGGATGTTGAACATGATAGTGTCCATTATTGACGGAAGCATTTTCTTGAAGAAAATAATGTCGTTTTTAGGTCTGAATTCAATGGCACTACGGTCTTTGTAGAACATAGTGCCTGTTTTGATGTACTTTTGAAGGTGGAAGAAAAACTCGGGCTTTTCCAAAAGAACAGTGTCAGCATCAAGCAATATCATTTCTTCAAACGAATTGAAAAACGTTGCAAGAATCTTGTTGCCAAACCCTCCAAACTTACCAGCAAATTTCTCACTTAAAGCTCCTGACACATCAACGAACCACAAGTCTTGCTTGGGATAGTCCTTAAACTCGGACCTACTAGCTTGAACAAGTTGATACTTGGTCTCAAAGGCAAGGTCTTGAAGGTAGACAATTTGAATTGGAAGCTCATTACCCAATGCTCGCAATAGTCTAATTAACCTTATTGACATTTCTAGGTGACTATCAGCAATGGTGAGCACGATTCCTTTGCCATTCAAATCGTTCTTGAACTGATTAAGAAAGCATGAATGAGAGTCTTTTGAAAAACTGGACTTGTGATACGTTTTGTGAGCGGAAGGTCGTGGTGCGTATTGTGGGAGCTCGTCTATAAGTTTGGTATTGTCCCACCGCTTGTATGTCGGGTATTTGGATGTCAACCACGGATATACCCTGGACTCCATGGATTTGCACGATGCGAAATGCTTGAAATGAGAATTCATTCTGTACTTTGTTGAAGGAAGATGTAACGGAGCCAAAACTTCCCGCTGAGCCTGGATGAAGGCACTATCGTTGAGTGCCATCACATTAGATTCGGATGCCGCATTATAAGTAGGTAAGTTTTCCACGTCATGCTCAACAAAGCACTTGTTGTAGATTCTCAAATGCGACATGAAATCGTGAAGTTTTTGCTCATCTCTTAGTATATTGTCCCAAGCTTGTTTGTATTGCAGCTTCCATTGCTCCTTGACGTCGGAGGGGATTTCTGGCTCTTGTCGATCTCGTTTTTGTTTCTTTTCGTCTTTCTTTTGTTCCTTCTTCTTGTACTCTTCCACCATTGATTTTTCGTACTCTGAGTACTTCATAAAGTACTTTTTGTTGAAACTAAAGTCCTTTGTTGGCTCGATGTACCACTGGGGGTCCTTTTTGAACAACGTCTTGAAATACAAATCGCATCTCTCGTCAAGATCAAGCAGTGATATGACTGTAGACAACGGCATGTGTTTAAACATATCATCGTAGGTATCATCGACAATAGAAATAGAGTTTAGAAGATCACTCTTTCGATAAGTCTCAGTCAAGATATGTTTAAAGGACTCTTCATTCACTTGTGGGATGTCAAGAGGAGTCCCTAATCCCTGTAGCCACATCAATATTGATACACATGCCACCACTATGACTATTTTGATGAAGGTCGATCGAATTCGCCTTCCCATGGTGATGTGTAAAAGAGCGAGGAACAAGAAATATAAAACGACGCGATGCAGGCGATATAAAGAAAAATTTTTGATTCGAGAAAACGAGTCAATATTTCATATAACCACAATTAGCGCGGTAATGTTTTGAGTCCAACGGCCACCAAGCGCGTTCTTGCGTGTGTAGGAGCTAAAGAATATGCCGATTGCGCTTAATTTGAGGCAAATCGTCAGACGACTATATTGCTGTCCACGTGGCCCACGGCTGACTAAATGGGAACTGGTTGCAAGTTGTAATTTAGGGTGGGGTACTAGGTCCAAACTGAAGAAAACACAAAATGAAAGAAACTGTGGCGTACAATCAATTGCAATTGTTATCGATTGCAATAATTACCTAGAAAATTTCAGGGTCTCAGGGTCTTTAACAATGGCGAGAAGGTTAGCGCAATTGCATATATATGTGAAAGTGGGACTAACTCAAAATGAGAGTTGGTGATTAATATTAATGGAGGCTCTAAGCAAGAATCCAGTTTGGCAGTTTGGTCAAAATCGAAATCTAACTATTTTGGTTATTTGGCTGCGGCACTGGTCCTCGTATTTGCGTAAAACCGCACCCTGGCTTCTGTGTCAATTTACGCGAGCCGTCCCTGCATTTAGACTAGCGCGTCCGCGGCTCAATCACCGAAAATGGAAGAAGTGACATCTAAACAAATTTCTTTACGATATGAAATGCGCTTAGAGGAGTGTCTGAAATCTGCTAGATCAGATGTGTCAGTAATGACCAGATCTTGCCAACTTTGAGCTACATTTACACCTATTTATCGGAGTTGAACCAGCACTATCACAATACAAAGTCATACAGCTTCACGGCATTCGCCTACAAATTCTGCTATGTTTGCTAATAATTCTGTATTGTCTCTCATTGGTGAAATTTGTATTTTATGCTTGGCTTCGAAATTTGTACTCACTTTGATCCTTCCCCATTTGTGTGGCCATATGCATGACCATTAAGTGGACGTTCTGGATGTGGGCTAAGAACATTGGTTGCGTCAATAAGCTTCACATTTGGATTGAGAGTCAATCCAAAACCTGGTTTGTCCAATACAGAAACATTAAGCTGACCGTTTGTGGGAATTGGCTCGTCGATGAAAAGTTCGCCAAAAACAGGAAGTACAGACTTTGAATCGGGGGAGTTGGCCAAATACTCTTGGAATGGAGTGTTTTGCTGGCTCACCACAAAGTGGTACGAGTATGGACCAGATGCGTGGGGAACTACAGGAATGTCATATGCCGCAGCTTGGTTAGCCACCTTCAACAATTCCGTGAGTCCTCCCACCCACATGACGTCTGGCTGCAAAATATCGACATTACGGCCCTCGATTAATTTCCGGAAACCATACTTCGAGTACTCGTGCTCACCGGTAGTGAACTTGACCCGAGGAAACGCTCTTTTGAGTTGTGCAAAGCCATCAAAATCGTCCGGATGCAATACTTCTTCCCACCAGTTGATATTCAAGTCTTCGGTCGCCTTCAACAAGTCAATCACATACGAAACATTGAGCGACATATAACAATCGACCATTAACGGAAAGTCGGGACCAACACTTTTACGGTGTTGGCGCAAAAACTCAACGTTCTTTCTGAGCCCTTCAAATCCCTCATCTGGTCCATGAGGCAATGCTACTTTGCCTCCCCAAAAGCCCATGTCCTTGGCGGCGCCTGGGTTGCACCCAGTACAGTAGAAATCAAGTTTCTCTCTAGTTGAACCACCAATCATCTTGTAAACTGGTTCATTTCTGATTTTTCCAAGAAGATCCCAGAGTGCAAGGTCAATCACAGAAATCACCGCCAAAGTAATACCTTTGCGGCCGTAAAACATCGAAGCACGAAACATTTTGTCCCACATAATTGTCAAGTTACGAGGATCTTCTCCTTGGAGAAACCGCTCAAAATGATTGTGGACAAGCCAGCATGCAATTGGACCACCGAAACCAGTTGCAAATCCCTTGGTGCCATCAGTGGCCTCGATTTCAACACAAAAAGATCCAAGAACATTGATGCCCCAACTAGTGCGAGAATGTCTGTATTCGGGATACTTTGTCATTGGGTTAGAGATAAAGTTATCAACTAGCCAGTGACCCTGAGATACATTGTGGTAGTCACCGCCGATATCTTTCCCTTCCAAAAGATATGTTTTGACTTTTTTAATGTTTGGAAATTGCAGTACTTTTTGCTGTGTCATGTTCTACTCTACTCCACATTCTGGCACTATTCATTTATATATGGGGTGCAGTTTCGGAATATTATTTCTATTTGGAAGACTTGCGGGACAATATTTATCCGCTGAAATTGTTATTGTCCAAAAATTTGAAAAAGTCCTCAAAGCCATGCGAATGTGAGTCAAGTTTGAATACTTCTAGTAGTTCTTGGTTGTCTGCGATTTCCAAGTCAAGTATCTCAATATCGGCCGTGCCGGTGGCTTCCTTCAACTTCTTTGACAAAATCATTGAGAGGAGGTGTGTGTTGATCCTCATGTCAGCAATGGCGGAAGAAGGCTCCATATCTTCCTCGTTTCCATTGGCTGCTGTGTTGGTGTCAAATGATACGTCAAGGTTGATAAGCTGTCTTAAAATCCGGTAATATTTGTAAGCTGCACCCCAGTATTTCCCGATAGAGTGAAGAATTTCACAAAAGAGTTTCAAGTGTTCACTCAAAGTTTCTTTGTCGACTGGTTGTGAATCCTTTTGTTTGAAAATGTAGTCTGCTATCAACAACCTGGAGCACACCCAAATGTGGAAAGCATAGAATGGTCCTAACTGCTGAAAAATCGAGATACCCATGTTTCTTTCTACTCCCAGTACGCTAATGGCAGCTGTAATGACGTTGTTGACAGCATCCAAGCACAACTTGCGAGAACTGACCGAATGCGTGAACTCTATGGATTCAGCATGTGGATAGCCATAAGCACTATGGAGCTTGATCATCATTACATTGTAAGCAGAATGGAACAAGATGCACAGCTTATAACTTGTATGGTCCAAATCAGGAATAACGTTATTGTACAAAGTGGTCTTGAATGGCTCAGGCAAATTGTCTCTCCAGCGCTCGATATTGTTTTCCAATTTGTGAAACTCAAAGAACCAATTTCCTACATCTGGTTTGCTGCAAATATCATGAGGCTGCAACAAGAACGAATGCACATCTCCAAAGAATTGACTTGCTTTAATAAAGTGACTGAACGCATCCAAGGACCCGGGATGAGATTCATCTGGCTCATTCATTTCTCCAACCCATAATTCTGTCAGAATCGGTTGTTGTATTCGAACTTCAGAATTGGGTAGCTTTCTTGGCAACCCTGAAGTTAATGCACTTAAAACGTCAAGCGTATAAATTCCCCAGAAGAGTCGCCTTCTTGTCTCCACTTCAATCCACGACTGGGGACTTTTGAGTATTCTAGCTCTCAAAGCAGATACTCTCGTGTTGGTAGGTTGACTGGCGGAGACATCTGACCGTGGAGAATGGTTGGGTAATGGTGGAATACTCAGGCTAATATCGGACAAATTCAAGTGGATAGCTCCTGAGGTTGCAATTCCTATCAACGACCATGACTCTGTGCCATTATTGTTGCCCAAAGTGTGAAATGCTAGTAAAGTTATGGCTTGGAGCTGTTTTAAAGACGATACAGAATATCCATCCAATACGATTTTTTGCTTGCAAAGCTTGCTGAGAGCCTCCAGGCCCTCCACGAGCACATAAGGAAGTGCATTGATTAATATTCCATACAATACCAAGGGAGGTTCCTTGAGGTCGGTGACTCCATTTTTTTCCACATATTCAAACTGGCCGATGTATGCCTCTATTTTAGCTCTGGTTTGACGAGGATGAAGAATTGGAAATATAGGAAACACATGTTCAAAGAAAGCGTCCACCAATTGGATAATTGTTTCCACGCTGGGAAGACCATGGTCAAATGGTACCATTCCTGCCACTTGAGGATTTGGTGGATTTAAGAGCAGAGTCAACGTGGGAGCCGTTTCATGACTCCTGTGCTGTCCGAAACCGGGTTTTTCCAAGCGCTTAAATTGCCCCTCAAGAAATTGCATTCTTTCCAAAATGAGCTGGTTTTGGTCTTCGAGTGCCTTTAATCTTATGGCGGTTTCCTTACCAAAACCAGGCTTGATTCCCGGTTTGTTCACGGTGGAATAAGTACATTTTATGTCTCGAGATTCACAAAATGTACATGGATCTTGCGAGTTACATCGCCTCTTGTTGGACCTACAAGCATCGCAGGACTTTGCTATTTTCTTTCGTGGTAAAGTCATCTCGTTCATCGGGTGAAAAGTTGGTGAATAAATCTCCGGCTCTACCCCACACTACCCCAAAGTGCGGAACAATATTAATGCGAATTTGCAGCCGCTCAAGTGTATAAAGCAATTTCCAGCCACCTATTCGCAATTCCACACTCCCGAGATGGCATCTCCTCCTATCGCTGGTGTCTACACACCCGTACCAACATTCTTCAAAAATGACTTTTCAATTGACTACGAGAGTCAGATTAACCATGCTCGATTCTTGCACGAAAACGGAATTGCTGGACTAGTTATCATGGGTTCCACCGGCGAGGCGGCACACCTCACGAGACAAGAACGGGCATCGGTAATAAAGGCGGTGCATGAGGCTCTCCCACAAATTGTCATAATTGCTGGAGTCGCACAAAATTCTATTCAAGACACCATTGATGAGATTGATTCAGTGAAAAATGCTGGTGCTAGTTATGCTGTGGTTCTACCATCATGTTACTTTGGTGCCTCTATTAAACAAGAAGGAATAGTTGATTTTTTTCGAACGGTAGCCGACAAGTCTCCGCTACCAATCATGATCTACGTCTATCCTGGAGTCTCCAATAATATCAATGTTGAGCCCCAGACGGTTGCCCGGCTCTCGAAACATCCTAATATAGTAGGAACCAAACTTTCCTATGGTGATGTGGCCCACCATACACAAGTAGTTTGTGATTCATCTGAAAATTTTTCAGTGTTCACTGGCTTGGGACAAATCTTGTTGCCAACATTGTCGGTGGGATGCTGTGGTACAATCGATGCCTTGTCCGGATCGTTCCCTAAACTTTTTGTGAAACTATTTGAACATTACCAGTCTGGAAACTATGAAGAGGCGCGGAAGCTTCAGTTCGTTGCATGCAAAGGAGAGGAAATTGTAGTTCGTTTTGGCGTGGTTGGAATCAAGAAATTGGTACACTCTAGAGGTTTTGGAGAGTCATATTTGGGTCGGGTTCCCTCAAATCATGATATTGATGCTGAGACATGGAATTCTTACTCCGGTACTATCAAGCTCTTGGAGTCTACAGTAGCAAATCTATAATGTACATTTTACTGGAGATTTACAAATAAACCACCATCCACCAATATCTGTGCTCCTGTAACATAGGATGACAATTCACTAGCTAGGAAAACCACAGGACCAACCAAGTCGTCGGGAGATCCTAATCTGCCCAATGGTATACGGCTCTCCATATAGGCTTTTTTGTCTGGATTTTTCAAGTCTTGCTCATTCAACTGTGTTCTTATTGTACCAGGTAGAACAGCATTACATCTTATCCCGTGCTCACCCAAAGCGCAAGCAGTGGATTGCATCAAGGACAAAATACCAGCCTTCGTTGGCGTATAATGAGTCTGTAAACCTCCTCCAACCAATGCACTAATCGAAGAGATTCCAATGATGGAGCCTCCTTTTCCCTGACTGATCATTGCTTTGGCAGCAGCCTGGGTTGCGAAAAAGGCACCGTCGAGGTTTACGCTGACGGTTCGACGATACAACTCATAATCTATATCTGTGAATTTTTCAAATTTGCAAACCCCAGCGTTCGAAACGAAAATGTTCAATTCACCAAAAGTCTGTACGGTTTGTTTGATCAAGTCCTCGGCCGTCTCAGGCTTGGAAATGTCTCCGGGAACCGCCAACAATCCCGGGACTAGGGTTCGAAGTTCATCTACAAGATCTTCTTGACCATGCATGAAATTTATGGCAACATTTGCACCATGTTTATGCAATCCAATAGCCAAAGCTCGACCTATACCTGTAGCAGCACCGGTTATAGCCACGGTTTTCCCTTGCAACAATGACATATTGGTATTTTTCAGGCAAATTGTTCGTTTAAATTCGGAAAATCTGGGGTAACCCCGGACTAATTTTACTCCGCAATATATGCAAGATCGAGCGATGAGATAAAGTCGGTGTACAAACAGCAATTGTAGTGCACGTTTTAATATGACTTTTGGTATTATTGACTCCCACATCCATCTTTTTGCGGAAAACGGCTCCTATAGTTTGAGGTGGATGGAGCCAGGACACAAATTGCAATCTGATCACACGGAGAAGGAGTACCTAGAAAACGATGAACATTTGAGTCCGGACTTCCGTCTTGAAGGTTATGTAGTCATTGAAGCCGATGCAGAAACTAGAGATCAAGCTGGACCGGAGGGATGGAAACCATCGATTGAAGAGTGCAAGTTTTTCTTTGAGCATGAATCGAATAGACCCGATTCTCGAATGCTTGGTGCAATGCCTTGGGCTCCTATGGTAGACGGTAAGGAAGCCGTAAATGAATATCATACTCAATTGATGAACAGTATGGGTCCCAAGAGTGCCAAGTTGATCAAGGGATACCGTTACCTTGTACAAGATAAGCCAGATGGTCAATTACTCCTTCCCCATTTTATCGAGTCTTTCCAATGGTTGGCAGATAATGATCTTGCGTTTGATATGGGTATCGATGCTCACCTGCGGGGGTTTAAGCAATTTGAGGAGTTGGAGCAGCTACTAAAGAAAAACGAGTGGTCTGACTATCATGCTTAACCCTTTGGCAAAACTCAATTTGGATTGGCCTATGAATATGACTTTCTTGTCGGAGACGTACCGAGCGAAATGGATCTGGCTTTTACTGGTTGCAAACCTCCCTGGGGCACACGATATATGTTAAGTTTAGTGGTGCATTGATGACCTAGATGAGGAAACTGGCAAGGACGATACAAAAATTTGCAGCCTTATTGTTCCATACTTGAAATACTTGTTGGAAAACTGGGATCACCACTATATTATCTGGGGTAGCAATTGGCCCGTTTGTACCGTCAAGGGAGGACCTGTGGCATTGAAGAGATGGGTTGAAATTGTGTGGCAGGCATTCGACCAACTTGAAGTTTCTACTTCTGTTCGTGAAGACATTATGAGAAATAATAATCGGGTTGCTTATAGATTATAAATCGAATAAATGAAATGAAAAGAATAATCGTGAACAATAATGTTGCTTATAATTTATAATTGCTAAGTACTTCCATTTCCAAAAAAATTTAACGAGTCTCTTGCAATTTGGACCTTTTCATCATCCAGCAACTTCGAACAAGATTCGTTGCAAAACTTGGTCAAAACGTGCTCAATGTTCTTTGGCAGGTATACTGGCTTAAAGTCCATCAAAGTAAGGTTCTCACTGCTGCGTACTTCAAACTTACTAGTGAGCGCCTTTTCGAGTGCTCGGTTGATTGTTTCTTCATGACCAAAGTATTTCTCCTCAAAATCACTCAATGCACTCTTCAACAACTCTTTCTCTTGTGTTTTTGCATAAAAGTCGGGAACCACTCCCAAAAGTTTACCTTTGTTCAAAACCACATATCCTCTTTCTTCGAGGTATGAGATCAATTGTTCATGAACCAAAGACTCTACCAATTCCCTTGTTGCTTGCAATTGCACTATTGGTACATCTCTTTTTGAGTATACCTCTTCTATCAATTGAGCTTTAGTGGCTCCCAAAGGTGCCTGGAGGTTACGCACCAACAAGAATAGTACCAAGCGAGATGGGGACCAGCTGAGTTAGTACGAAAGGATTACGTCTGTGACTTTTCACTTACTATTCTAAGAAGCTTGGGTGTTCATGTGTCATTTTGCAGACCCAGGTTCGGCATTCGTGGTGCTTTAATATCAATCGGAGTAATACTGTGAATTATTGTGGGGTTGTGGGGAGCCGCGGAGAATTAATTTTCCAGCGATGAGAAGAATCTCGGGAATGCTATTTAAATCTATGCGGTAAATCAACTTGACCCCAAAGTTGCCATGGCTACGTTTTTTTAAGGAATTGGTGTTCAATGCAACGCCCACCAATGGTCCTTGGGACAAGTACAATATTTCGCCAAGTAAGAGGACAATTTTCCCCACGACGGTCTATTCTCAGGAAGGTGTGGTTCTCAACTCACAAAACCTTGTGGGTGATAATGAACAAGTAGCGTACTTGAAAAATGCCGGAGCTGCGATTACACTTGATTTTGGGATCAATACGTGTGGTTTGTACGCCATTGAGTTTGGAAGCGTACTGAACGCTTGTAAGTCGGTATTCTTGAGTTTTTCAGAATCATCATTATTCATTGACAAGGACAATTCCGATAGGAGTATGGACTTTTTCATTGACGACAAGGTAATTGAGGTGCCTGTGAGTGAGGGAAAGTACGTTTGTCCATTTGCCCAGCAAAGAGGAGGGTTTAGATATATGACAATATCGACCAGAAGCCATGGTGAAGTTGCGCTCAAAAAAGTCTATACCACTATGAACAACATGCCCAGTTTGAAAGAGAATTTGAGAGACTACTCGGGCTATTTTCACTCGAATGACGATTTGTGTAATACCATATGGTACGCTGGAGCATACACCATTCAACTTTCCATTATACCTGCCAACAGTGGAAGAAGAAATGACATTGTAATGCCATCTACGGGATGGTCTAATGATGTTCGATGTGGTTACGGGTCTGAAGTTTTGGTAGATGGCGCAAAAAGGGACCGAAGTGTTTGGTCTGGTGACAGATCTATCTCCCAATTGAGTGAGTTTATTGCATTCAATAGTGAATGTGGAAAGACAGGTACTGACTGGATTTTGAATCATCAGCTCGAGAATGGTAAGTTTCCCTATGCTTGTGACCCAATCTACATCTATGGCTCCGATACGTACCATATTTGGACCATGGTTTCAATTTACAATACATTTTTTTTGAACAATAATTCGCAAGAGTGGTTGGAAAATGCATGGGAAAAATACAAGAAGGGTATTTCTTACATTTGGCCCCAAGTTGATCACACTGGTACGCTAAAGATAAAGCAAGGGTTGGACTGGGGAAGACCACCAATTGAAGATCACTCAATGTCTGCCAATTGTATTTTGTATCGTGCTCTTGTTAATGGTGTGGAGTTGGCAGAGTTGGTCCATGACACGGCAACGTCAAAACTTTACTCTGAAAGAGCTACAAGCTTGAAAAAGAGTATCAATGAAACGTTGTGGGACGAAGAAGCAGGATTGTTTTTCGATAACGAGAAAAGTTCTGTGCATCCTCAGGACGGTAACTCATTAGCGCTTGTTCATGATGTTGCTTATGAAGACAGAAAAGATCGAATTTCCAAAGAGTTGACGAAAAATTGGAATGAGTATGGCGCTGTGGCTCCTGAGTCAGAGGGAATGATATCTCCTTTCATATCTTCATTTGAACTTTTAGCCCATACTTCCACTGGAAATGTTGACAGATCTTTTGAATTGTTTCGTAAAATGTGGGGATACATGTGGAATGCCGACTACGGAGTGAGATCGTCACTCATTGAAGGTTATTTCAAAGACGGTTCTTGCAAGTATCCTTTCACATTCTATGATCCTGCTTATATTTCGCATTGTCATCCTTGGGCTACCGGTCCTACTATTTGGCTCACTTTTGACGTGGTTGGGTTGAAGTTTACTGACCATCGTCACAAGCTTTGGACTTTTTCACCCAAAGGAGTTTACGCTGAAGGTAGCTTGGACTTTGCAATGACAGGTTTTAGGTCCCATGAAAGTGGTTTCATTAGTGCGGGATGGAAAAAAGTAACTGAAAAGATTCTTCTTATGGCAATCAAAGTTCCAGAGAAGACGCAAGGAAGCATTGGAGTGCCAATTAGAGAGGGCTCAGAGATATGTAAAGTTGAAGTCGACGACGAGAAGATCTCAAAAGATTTGGACTCTACGGGTTCTCATTTACTTATTCCGAGAATTGGTAGTGGAAACCATGCGGTTCTCGTATACTATAGCTAGATCGAAATTGAATTATGAGATAAACCGAAACACTGTAGGGTAGCGGAGGATCATTTTGCCGTTTTCTCGGAGAATGGCGTTGTTTTCCGCCCAAATTGGATTTAATTGCACTTTTCGGCCGGGGTTTTAATTTTCCGCAAGCGGGGCATTCGTATTTGCGTACCCCACATTCTGCATCTCCAGATTCTCGATGAGTCGCTAACGCGAGCCGACCGTATATAAGAGGGTTCGGTGGCTGCAATTGTCTAGCTGCCTTTCCAATGTCTAATGAGAAAGCACCAGAAGTGTCGGAGTCACCAGCAGAATTTTCTGTTCCCACTACTCTTCAAGAAACTGCTCGTGCTCAGCAAAAAATTGAACACGATTTAACGAGATGGCAGGCAATTAAGCTTTATCCTTGGACAGCCTTGTGGATTCTTCTCATCATTTGGGTGTTGATCTTGGTTGGGTACGAAAATCAAGCTGGAGCGTATATGTTATTTCCATTCCGCATATTCAGACAAGATTTTGGAAAAACCGTTTGGAGACAGTTATGTCTTGGGATTCCCAATGGGCAGTCTGCTATTTAGTGGAGGTCCTCAAAGGCTCTGTTGCCATTGGTTCGGTGATTGGAATCTTGGTTTTGTTGACCGTTTTGGTCGTAAGTAGGACCATGCTCGTTGCCGTACTGTCTCACCTTACCGTTTGTCACTATTGAATTTATTTCCACTAACTATTGAAGTTTTTTTCGTTGGAAAATTTCTTAATGGTTTCTGCTTGGGAGTTTTAGCAACCGTTGCTACTACTTATGTTTCGGAAGTATCACCATTGGCATTACGAGGAATTGCTGCGGCAACATGTTCGTTATCTTTTTGTATTGGTCCGTTCATTTGCTACTTGATTAACAATACCACCAGCACTTATACCTCACGGATGGCATACAGAGGAGTGTTTATCCCACAATGGATCTTTGCTGCAATTGCACTTTCTTATCTTCCTTTCCTTCCGGAGTCTCCATACTATTTGATATTGAAAGGTAAGGAAGAACAAGCATTGAAAAGTTTGAAAAAATTGTATGGACAAGCTGATCTCGTTCAAAATCAATTTGCAGTGATGAAAGTCACTGTGGAAGAGTCCAAGCTCGTTTCAAGCAAGTCTGGAACTTACTTGGACTGCTTTAGACTCAAGGATTTGAAGAGAACATTTATCATTACCTTTTCGTTCTTCATGCAATCTATGAGTGGAGTTTCATTTGTTGCTGGATACTCCACATACTATTATCAATTGGCGGGCTTTTCCACTCAAAGATCTTACCAGCTCAGTTGTGGAGCCCAGGCATTGTCAATTTCTGGGGTAATTGCCTCGTGGTTTATCATTGACAGGTTTGGTCGTCGTCCATTAATGTTGTGGGGTACGCTCGCATTGACTGTTTTGAACTTAATTGTTGCTTGTACTGGTTTGGAAACACTGAATCCCACCTCCATGACAGTGGCTTCCGCCTTCATTGCAATGTACAACTTTTTCTACAATATTAACATTGGACCATTACCATACATTTTGGCTTCGGAAATCTCATCGGTATTTCTTAGAGCAAAGACCATGGCTACTGCTACTACAGTTAACTATGCCATGCAATGTATGTGGTCGTTTGTGTTGCCTTATATGTTCAATCCTGACCAAGCTAACATGGGTTCCAAAATTAATTTCATTTTTACAGGGTGCTCATTGCTTTCGATTTTTGTGTTCTTCATTTACTTGCCTGAAACAGCTGGTAGATCTTTTGAGGAAATCGATGAAATGTACAAGATGCTGGTTCCTCCTAGAAAGTGGAAGGGATACAAGACCAGTATTCAAGAGGAGAGTGAAGAAATATATCATGAAATGGAGGAAAAGAAGAATGTATCAGAACATGTTGAAAGGGTATAATGATGAATGCAAGTTCGGAGAAGATGAACCATAATTACTGTGTTTTTAGGGGAAGTGTTTTAATTGAAGCAGCGTAAAATGGCTTTAAAATCAAAATACTGAGTTGTAGATTTCTGAGAGTGGACCGCAAGAATTATCATGGATATACTGAACGGCTGCAAATTGAAATTTTTGATTTCAGTTACTTGCTTTTTGTGGCATAATACTATCCACAAGCTAATCAATTCACTTTTTGAGCATTCAGTTCATTTTTAGTGGGTGAACAATGTCGAGCAAAATGGCTGCGAAATGGTTTTGAGCGACGTAATTGAATTGGAAGTTGGTAGATTGTAAAGTTTCAATTGAAGGAAAAGTTACATTCCGACTATGGTGATGGCCAAGATGATACTAAGCGGACTTTCAATTCTGGTAGTAAAGTGCTTGAACAAATTTCTGCTCTTGAAGAATAGATTGCAAATTTTTCACAATTATCGACTAAGCGAGTTCCGTTACACTACCGAACTACCAATCTTTACAGTTCCAGCTGTGCTAGACGACTATCAGAGGAACTTGGTGGTTACACTGTTTCCACTTTTGGTACCTTATCACTGCGAAATGTGGCTCGCGCCAATCGCACATTGCTATCTTTTTGCATTTCGCATAATGCGATTTTTTTTCGAGGTTGTAGACGATACGCACAGAAAACATACCAACCTACCCATTCATAACCACTCGTATTTCATCCGAGGATCCACAATACCATTTCGGTTGCGCAGCGATAACCTCCGACAGAACGCCGTTTGTCGTATAATCTCGTGACAAACTCCGACAGTTTCATCGACAAGAAATCTGCCACGGCGTTTTTCAGTTCGTGCATATGCGGGGCGCATCGATATCTCTCAACCGGGTGAAATGATTATTTGTACCTGCACATTATGCCACGGCGATTGTTATCTTAACTGATACGGGGTCCGGATGTGTCAATAAGATGGTGCCATTGTTGACCACTCCTGAACAAGGTGAAATTCAGAACGGCAATTAATTTTCAATCAATTATCCGCAACCACCACAGAACAAGTTATCTTGGTTTTGCCATTCACACAATTTGTGGTTGCTATTGTGTCGCACCTCGACCCCACACTGTTAAAAATTGGCACACGGCGCTTTTGCGGTGCGCGCACGTTGATAAGGATAAGCGGCGTCAGGCTATCAGGTGGGATTCCTGGGCGTTCCAAATTGGGGGCGTTTGCGGCCATTATTATAAAAGGGCCTCCATTTCAACTTTTGTTCATCCGTTGTAATGCCAGAAAAGGAACTCGAATATATCCGCTCCAACGAGGCGGCAGGTTCTGATGAGAAGAACGGTGGCGTTTACGTTGATGCTTTTGAAAAGTCCCTGGCTAAGGAAAGTGGATGGACCAAATTCAAAAATGGGTTCAAGCCATACGAGCAAGAAGAATTGGGACTCGATCCTAATCTTACTGATGTGGAGAAGATGGCCATCATGACTGCTAACTCTCCGCTCTCTCGTTCTCTTAAAAATCGTCATTTGCAAATGATTGCCATTGGTGGTTCCATTGGTACTGGTTTGTTTATTGGTTCCGGTAGCGTGTTGAGTACTGGAGGTCCAGGTGGTGTGTTAATTGCTTACTGTCTTATCGGTTCGATGATGTACTGTACTGTTCAATCCTTGGGTGAACTTGCTATCACCTTCCCTGTGGCTGGTGCGTTCGTCACTTACAATACCAGATTTATCGACCCATCTTGGGGTTTCACTATGGCTTGGAATTACGCTATGCAATGGTTGGTTGTGTTACCTTTGGAATTGGTGGCTGCAGCTGTCACTATTCAGTTCTGGCAAAGTACAATTAATCCGGTGGCTTGGGTGGCTATCTTCTATGTGTTGATCTTGTCGATTAATTTCTTTGGTGTGAGAGGTTATGGTGAAGCTGAGTTCACCTTTTCGCTCATTAAAGTTCTTGCCGTTGTTGGATTCATCTTCTTTGGTATCATTGTCACGGCTGGTGGTGGCCCAAACCACCATTACTATGGTGGACACTACTACCACGACCCTGGTTCGTTTGCCAATGGTTTCAAAGGTGTTTGTTCCGTGTTTGTAACTGCCGCTTTTGCTTTCGCTGGTACCGAATTGGTTGGTTTGGCTGCTGCTGAGACCAGCAACCCAAGAAAATCGTTGCCAAAAGCTACCAAGCAGGTGTTCTGGAGAATCACCTTGTTCTACGTGGTTTCCTTGGTTCTTGTTGGTTGCTTGGTGCCCTACACTGATCCTAGATTGGGTCTGGGTTCTTCAAGTGTCGATGCCAGGGCTTCGCCTTTTGTCATTGCTATCAAGAATCAAGGTGTTTCTGGCTTACCAAGTGTGATGAACGTGGTGATTATGATCGCGGTGTTGTCCGTGGGTAATTCTTCCGTGTTTGCATCCTCCAGAACCTTGGCTGCATTGGCGTGTGCTGGACATGCTCCAAAGTTCCTTGGTTACATCGACAGGGCTGGTCGTCCATTATGGGGAATTGTTGTGCAATTGTTGTTCGGTTTACTTTGCTTCTTGGCTGCTTCTTCTGAGCGTTTCACCGTGTTGAACTGGATGTTGGCTTTGTCTGGTTTGTCTTCGGTTTTCACCTGGATGAGTATCAACATTTGTCACATTAGATTCAGAAGAGCTCTCAAAGTCCAAGGTAGAGATACTTCCGAAATCACATACACTTCTCAAGTGGGTGTCATTGGTGCTTACTACGGTGCCATTCTTAACTTTTTGGTGTTGGTTGCCCAATTCTGGATTGCCGTATGGCCATTGGGAAAAAAGCCTAATGCCGAAGATTTCTTCATGTCTTACTTGGGTTTCGTTGTGATCATCTTTTTCTACATTATTCACAAGGTGTTCTGGGCCAGAAACTTCCATGTGTTCCATCGGGCTAAGGATATCGATATCGATACTGGTAGAAGAGAATTGGATCTCGAGTTGGTCAAACAAGAGATTGCCGAAGAGAAGGCACATATTGCCGCAAAACCTTTCTATGCTAGAATTTACCACTTCTGGTGTTAGAGTACTTAGATAATATTTAATTCCAGTGACAGTAAGAAAAGTGTAACAGAAAAAGAGGAAGGGCGAACTGGTACCTTTATGATTATTAGGGCATTACAAACTTAGCGCACTAATCTATAAGTTCAGTTGACTTATATCTGTTTACTGCGTTACTTTTTCTTGTGCTATTTCTATTTCTGATACTCGTCAGGGTAAAAGATCTTACGTTCCACTCCATCGGCTGTCAACACCACCATTCTGATCACACCTCCCGAAGAACCATCCCACTTGATAGCCTCGGACAACGCCGTCTTTATGAACGAGACACATTCGTCTTTCTCCATGTCTTTCTTATAGTTTTCATTACACCATCCGTATATGAACGTAGACCCCGAACCGGCAATGGCGTATTCCTGCTGATGTATAGAACCTCCAATGGGAATCAGATAAACCGTACCTTTGTTTTTCTCATCGTATCCAGCACAAATGATTCCCGCCGTCAAATTATCCTTGTTTTTGTAGCAAAGTTCTTGAAATATATTGGCAGCGATTTGTGTGGTTGGCTTTTCATCGTGAGGTAATTGCGACGTGTAGATTTGCATGTAATATTTGACAATGTCGGCGATAGCTTGGGTGTCGGCAGCACTTCCAGACCGACAACAATATATAGTATCGTGAATTTGCGTCAACTTGTCGGTGACACGATTGGCAATATAGGAGCCAGTTGTGGTACGTGAGTCAGCCCCCAATATTACGCCGTCCTTGAAGGTCACTGCCATGATGGAGGTTCCCAAATTGACCTCGCCTTTCTTCAAATGGGTTATATCTACGGAAATGCCATTCATGGTGATGAAGAAGTGAGCGCTGGTGGCGATTGCGAGTGAAAGTACGGTGTGCAGGTGCGCGCAGTGCGAAAATAGGTGCGACTTTCTGGTACATTTGGTGCGACTCAATTAGCGCGGCGCCTGAAACACTAATTGCACGCGATTCTTTGGTGTTTTTTATGTTATTTCCGGGGTTGTTGCCGTTTCTCTGGTTCGTGGCCACATTTGCCGCTGTAATCGTACCCTCAAAGTACTCGCTTACTAATGAACAACTAAACTATATAAAAGATGATCCTGCAGTAACTCATCTTGTCACCTTTGAAATTCTGAAACGAGTATATGGCGCCGATGGACCGCTTAAATTGGGTTTTTTGGAGTTAGCACTCTTTGGCGAGCTCGTGCCAATCACCGTTGATAATTTCGTCAAGTTGTCCAATCAAACCTTTGGGTATGGTTATAAAGAAGCCAAGTTCCATCGCATCATTAAAGACTTTATGATCCAAGGCGGAGACTACGAAAATGGTGACGGCACAGGTGGCCGTTCCGTGTTTGAAACAGCAAAGTTCCCGGACGAAAATTTTGTTGTCAAACACAATAAATTGGGGAGACTTTCCATGGCAAATGCTGGACCCAATACCAATGGAGCTCAATTTTTCATCACTACCAAGGAGGATTGTCTGTGGTTAGACGGTATACACGTAGTTTTCGGTCAGCTCGTAGGTGGGTTCGACACTTTACAGAAACTTAATGTGGTGGAAACAGATCATGATAGACCTAAAGAAGAAGTGATGATCTCTGGCATTGACATTAAAGAGGTCAAAGACAGCCGAAACGTTCACAATGATCTTGTTTTGGACACCGAAGTCGCGCCAGCTACAGGCTGGAACTACTCGCTATTTATTGTCTGCCTTGTGTTGGTTTGTGGGTTTCTTTATTACACCAAGGTGAGTTACAAAAAACAGTATATTATCGACATCAAAGACTCCAATTACTTTTAACGATGCTACGACAATAAACGGATTTATTTCACAAACTTGTAAGAGATATATACACCACCAAAAAAATTTATTAGAACACCTTCTGTCTTCTTCGCATCACTTTTTGGTAATCTCATCGCGATTTTCTTTGTGGGGTATGTCAGACTTTCCTATCGTCCTCGTCAAAAACTTACCCTACTCCAGCTCCACGGATTCCTTGTATGAGCTATTTGGCAAATTTGGGAACGTGCACCAAATACGAATCAGTGATGGCCTGTCGGAAGATGCTCCTAAAGGTACTTGTATTGTGATTTTCACCAACTTGGTCAGTGCTCAAAAAGCAGTTCAAGGTGCCAATGGTATCAATTTTCAAGGCAGGTACCTTGTGGTGCTGATGTATGCCGTTGATATTTCCAAACTCGATCGCCAGCAGTACGCTATACGAGCAGACCGACTTGAAAAGTTGAAACAAGAGCATGGAATACAGTAGATTTTTCATTTATTCGTCTATTACTTTTTCTCCTCCTTCTCGATGGATATATCGATCAAGCTCAATAAGAAGTAACTGGTCAAGCCAATGAATACGAAGCCAGCAATCTTGATCACCTTCCACCAGTAGTTGGTCTTGGTGTACCGGTACTTGATGAAGACATCGAGATTACTCAAATCGTCAAACAAGTTTTTGTAATGCAACGTCACCTTGACATGGCCGTCAGAAACATCAAGGTACGATGCCTCGTTCCCCAAGTCGAGAGACTCGGCAGCAATTGGAGAAGCAAAATCAATAAACTCGGCATTTTCAGGTAAGTAGAATGACAAGTAGACGTCTCCATAGGTAGCATCACGCAATGTATTCAATAAAGGAATCTTTGCCATGTAAGTATCTGGCTCATCGTTCACCTTGTGGACATAATCACCCAATTTCCCGTGGTATCCCAAGGTGAAATTATATTTCCATCCACCAAAAATGGGGAACCGTGGTTGAATAAGAAGGTTATTGGCAATTTTACGATGGCTCGAAACTTGTCCCACCAAGTCAGTGACGTAGTAATCGTCAAACAGCTCCTTGGCGTTGTATTCCAAGTGAGAAAGAGCAAAATGGTTTCTGGATTGCTCATATTTTCCCTTCATCCATTCGACACGCAGGAACCCCTTCAGTAATTCAGCTCCTTTATTGGTCAATTCGTAGTACTCTTCAATAAGGACGTTGCCAACTTCGGATCCTGGTAGCCAGATGGAACGGTTGTAGTTGGTGGCTGAGAGAAGTGGACGATTATGCTCGTATAACAAACCCATGGGTTGAATGGTATATGGCTCCAATGTCTCCAAAACAGGACCATATTGCAATGTGTTCTCCTGGACCTGAGGACGAACGTCCGGAACGTTTTCCGACGCTTTGAGGTTTGCCGTGGTGATTTCCATCTCTTGACCTTTGGTGATTCCCGAAAACGATAATGTGTAATCGGTGGTTTTATATGGAGAAAACACAAACTTGTTGAGCTTCAACAACAAGCTCTGTTTTTCGGCTAAGTCAATCTTAGCAGGCAATGGCTGTAAAGCATCCACGTAGACAAATCTAACTTTGATATCCAACGTTGATTGTGGAGCCACCGGCACTGGGAAAGTCAATTTATAGACGAATGGTTCGACCAATTCCGGCTCAATTGGCATGTTCAGGTCCATTAACGCAGCAGAAATGGCAGAGATGCTCGTGACAAAGCCATTGCCGTCTCCAACCGTCAAGTAGTATTCATTTGAAGGAGAATCTTGGAGATTTTTCACCAGAATCAATCCAGTTTCTTTAACGTAAGACCGACTAAGATCAATGGTTCTGGTATATCTGAGATTCTCCCATGCTGAGCCATCGATAGAAGCAGCGGCACAGGCCACCGCCATCATTATTGCCGTAACAACAGCATTCCAAACGATCATGGTGATAAACCGGAAAATGCCAACGCACTGTTGAACGCGGTGGTTATGTAAGCGGATGTGGAGTGTTAGAATAAGCAGAGAGATAGAAGTGGGTCTGGAGGGTAGGTTCGAATATGGAATATTGAGATATGTAAAGTGTTGATTTAGCTGATGTTATAATTTTAAGGATTTTGTGGCAAAAGTGAATTTGGTGGTTCGCATCAAGAGTCATAATTCTGGGCTGTTATTTTCAGCCAAAGTAAATCTGGTCAATGCAGCGAAATATGACTTTGAAACAGTGGATGAGTTTTATGGTCAGACGTCAAATTGTTAAACTCACAAGTCATTAATTTTCACCATTTCTTTCTTCTGTTTCTTGCTGCCTTTCCTCTTTGCATCTTTCCATTCATGCTTTCCCCTACGCAGTTCTTTGGATAATGTGTATACCACTATCGCTCTCCACCAAATCACTGATCTCACCAACGTGAAGTCCAAACGCCGCTTCCTCAAAACTAGGCTGCATCTGGCCCTTTCCAAAGAACCCCAAGTCTCCGCCTTGAGAATGTGACGAACAGTCGCTTTCATGTTCCGCCAACTCACTCAACTTTTTGTCGCCATTGACAATTTGCTGACGGTACTTCTTGGCAATAGCTATGGCTTCGTCACGGGTGAGCGAGATCCCATCGGGAGATTTCCACGATCTGGGTCTTCTACTGTCTTTATGCTTCACAAGAAAGTGTGATGTTCTGATCTTGCCATCGGAAGGTACTACGGGTTTAAATCCACGCTCTTTATACTGTGAAATATAAGCGTCAAGTTTGGACTTGTCGGTTCCAAAAGGGGGCTCCCAAGACAGCTCTCGGGTTGCTTGGTTCAAAAAGTACTCTTTATTGTGCGTGCGTGACACGGCAAGTGTCCATCCTGGAGGAAGTCCGGTATCAGTCATGATGACAGAATGCGAAATGGTGAGGATTGATGGGGTTGTTCCTGCAGGAAAGTTACGGTTGCAAGCCAAGCTCTAGCTAGAGCTCCAAAATTCTGCTAAGAATGCTACGAAATTATTAAAATAACAAGAGTGGTTTATGAGCAATGACACAACCTGAGTAAAATATGGATAAATTTTTCCTACCAATTTTTAAATTGTTACTACTTTTTTTTTTACTTCTCTATTTCACTTATATACCCCGGCCCTTCAATGCCTCGGTGACTTGACGATACACCTCATCAACAGGCTGATCACACAGAACCTTCAAAACCTTGCCCTGTTCCTCAAAGTAGTCCACTACTGGCATGGAGGTGTCTAAAAATGTCCGGAATCTCTTCTTAATGCTCTCTTCATTGTCATCATCACGACCACTGGTCTTACCTCTTTCCAACAAACGTTTGAGCATAACGGCTTCTGGGCACTCAAAGAAGAGCGTGATGGACGAACGTGCGATTTTTTCTTCAAAAGTCAATGCCTGATCCATTTTTCTTGGAAATCCATCGACAAGAAACTTGGTGGCTCCCTCAGAGTACTTCTCTTGAATAGCCTGTTGAAGTAAAGCAATTGTCACTTCTTGGGGCACAATTTTACCTTCTCTAATGTACTGTCTGATGAGATCACCATACTCAGACCCTTTTCTGTTCTGTTCTGCTCGTAATAAGTCTCCAGCAGACAAATGAACATACCCTTTCTCATTTACAAGCTTGGCACATTGGGTACCTTTTCCCGAACCAGGACCACCCAAAACAAACACAACGTCTATTTTACCATCGGGGAACGCTCTGGCGACTCCTTGAGGCTCTACGGCAGCTTTTGGTGAATCCTTGTTGTAGAGGGCTGCAACGATAGTTGATCCAATTGCCAAAATACCAACTCCGACAAGAAGTTTTGCTTTCTTAGGAGGTGCGGAGGTTGAACTGTAGCGAACAAAACGAGGAAACGAGGCCTGGACCGGCAAGCGGGCGCGTAAAAGGGTGGAAGTACGAGATCTAAACATGAAGAAGATGACGAAAAAAGTGTGCAGGAGTAATGAGAATAGATGCGAAAAAAGATCAGAATGAAAGAATGAAAAAGATGAAAAAATGAAAAGCAAATGAAACTAGAACAAAAAAATAAGAAAAATCTAGAAATGAACAGAGCAATTAAAGCAAGCGGACCATCAAAGAATCATGTTACGTGAATCTCACAGAATATAATGCTTTATCAACTTTTCTATCATTTTGTATACTCCTTCAACTGTTCATCGTTGTACCGAAAGTACTTGCCATTGAGGTCTCCCAGCCAGCCCTTGAGCGCCAAGTTGGCCAACACCGTCGCAGGCACCTCGGGCAGAAGCAAAGACCCCGATTTGTGAAGATCATGGAATCTTTCAGCAGACTCCTTCATGTTATCCGAAAACTTTGTCCTTATATCACCTTGCATTTCGGTATCCACCACCCCAGGTGCAATGGAAATCGTGTGGACCAGCTTTTCCTCGGCGGCTACGGTTCCAATTAAATGGTCAAGTGCTGCTTTGGATGACCCATAAGCACCCCATGCAAAATAGCCTGCGCGAGATGCACCAGACAGAACCGCTACAACGTTACCAAATTTTGACTTGCGCAACTCAGGAATGGCTACTTGCAAAAGATCAACCACAGCAAAGAAATTGATATCAAATGTCTTTTTCCACTCGTCAACTTTGGCATCGGCTACTGTATCCACTGGATGAAGAATTCCTGCATTCGCAACCACGGAATCCAATTGGCCATATTCCTCCACCGCCGCTTTCACTGCGCGCTGAGAAGTTTCCGAGTTGTTGACATCACCAGCAATCGCTATTAAGCGGCCGGGAAACTCTTGCTGCAATTGGTTCAACTTATCACCGGATCTAGCAACGGCCACGACCCGGTTATTTGTGTCATGTAACAACAATCTTGCCACAGCAGCACCAATTCCTGATATTAGTGGTGTCCAATTACCCAATCCCCAAAAAACTTACCTCGCAGAGCTCCAGTAACGATAGTAACGTGCATCTCACTCCGACAAAACCGGCCCAAAAAAACAACCATCGTGGGGAGGCGGTTCGCGCACCCAGACACCAGCGCGATATTAATTAGCGCCAATATCCCCTGATAAGCTGCATACTTGTACACTCCCAAACCACGCTACTTTTGTATGAACTTTTCAAACCAACCCGATCTCGCTCCACATAAGTAAGCGTGCTAGAATCGGTTTGGCACGCAGTGAAATTCTGGACTCATCCGAGTGTTTCCCACCGGTTTTATTTGTCCCGGGCGGGGTTTGTCCCACGTTATCATTTGATTGAAAAACTATTGATTTTCGAATTTTATCGGTGAAAATGTCTTTAATTACAAACCGGAAGCGCCCCAGAGGTCTTAGTGAGAGTTTCGACCAACAAAAGGCCCGGGCGGCTGAGGTGAAGGATGTCTTGTTCGACAATAACGGCAACGCCAGCAACTATAATTCGTCTCCTGGAATCAGCTCCAACCACAACTTGAACTTGAACCTCAACATCGACCTAAACAACTCGAATTCTGACCTTTCCACCAGGAAAAACACCGACACCCTGATCTACTTTATCGGGAACGGCACCGACATGTATGAAAACGAGGGTGACTCGCTCTTACAACAGGACTTTGGCGACGAAGAAGACTACGAGGAGGAGGACGACGACGTGGTGATCATCGAAGAACGCCGAGTTGCCACATATGACCAACCCAAGGCTCGCCGAAACAACTCCGACTCGGTTATCATTTTGGACAACGATGCTTTTGCGGCCTACAACATGTTCAACGTTAACCAAGAAACCAAAATCGCTGAACGACCCAATGGTTCGAAGAAGCAAAGAACAAACTCACTTCCACAACTCCCACAAGCCAAGTGCTTCTACAACAAGATTCCCAGTAATTACATTGTGCTGCACCCCAAAATGGGCAATGTAAAAACCAACATCATTCCTCACCAACTTAACCTCCCACCATGCGACGACAAGGACGGTCATTACATTATACGGGTCAATGATCTATTTGCTAATCGCTTCACCATACTCAAGCTTTTGGGCCAAGGAACCTTTGGAAAGGTAGTGGAATGTTACGACAAGGTGAATCGTGAAACGGTTGCCATCAAGATCATTCGCAATATACCGAAGTATAGAGACGCGGCCAAGATAGAGTTGCGTATACTTTCGACGTTGAAGATGTTTGATAACGAAAACTTGAACCACTGCATTCACTTGCGGGAATGTTTCGATTATCGTGGTCACGTTTGTATTGTGACTGACTTGCTCAAAATTTCCTTGTATGATTTTTTGGAAAAGAACTGTTTCATTTCGTTTCCTGGTTCCCACATTCAAGCCATCTCCAAACAATTGATTCGGTCGGTGACATTTCTTCATGATCTCAATTTGATTCATACCGATTTGAAACCGGAGAATATCTTGTTGCACGACGATTCTTTTGTAAAGAAACCACTTGTGAGTTCCACCATCATTACCAGTTACCTCAAATTAACCAACAATAACGCTGCAGATGCTCTGAAACGAAAATACCCTCGCATGTCACGAATACTCAAAGATCCGTTAATTCAGATCATAGATTTTGGCAGTGCCATTTTCAACGATGAGTATCATTCATCCATAGTATCGACCCGCCATTATAGGGCACCCGAAATTGTATTGGGAATCGGGTGGTCATTTCCCTGTGACATGTGGTCTGTCGGATGCATCTTGGTAGAGTTTGTGATTGGTGAGCCATTGTTTAAAACACATGATAATCTAGAGCATTTGGCCATGATCGAGAAGGTGACTGGGAGTCGCATAGATAAGTCTATTGTGAGGCTTTCCAAGCAAAATGAAAACGAGTGCGGATTAAAGTACTTTACGAATGAGTATATGAGAGACGACGATGAGTTGGACCAAGATGATGATGACGATGTGATTATAGACGACGAAACCTCGCTAGACAATAGCTTGAGCTTGATCTTTCCCAGCAACAGTACACCATCCAAATTTATTACCAGTGTGAACCTGTTGGACCGCATAGACAAGTTCATCAGTGGTCGAATAGGGCTTGACATTAATTTCGACTATTCATTGTCGAGTAACTACAAGAAGAACAAGCATGTCATTAATTTTGGCAATTTTACATTCTGGTGGTTTTTCATCGACTTGTTAAGAAAGCTCTTTGTGACGAATCCGCACCATCGTATTACGGCTTCCGAGGCGATGGAACATCCGTGGTTCAATTTGGGTATAGAGGATGAGGGAACGGTATAGTTTATTTCTTTTTTAGCATTTAGTAAGTATGTTACATTCACTTCTGCATATCCTGTAGCCAGACCCGGATAATATGTCTCGGACCTACTCCGAGAGTCCAGCCCTATGCTAGCTTAACGGTCCCCTCCGCTCATCGGTTTTCGCAGCATATACGATCGGATCACTTGCATGCATACCCGAGATGAGAGAAAAATTACTAAAAGGGAAATTTTGCGTAATTTGCTGCATTCACACAGAACGACTCGGATGTTGACCAAGCAACTGTAGCTGTCGTTGGTTGGATGGTGCCGGTCGTCCAGAAGACGATACGTTGACTAGGCGACCTTTGACCGTTGAACAGTGCGGCGCAGTGTGCATGTTTCCCCTGGAACTGTGTCACGTGATAATACGTTGTGTGCCGGATCTCCCCTGGCGATAGATGGGTATGAGCTCGGGGGACCCGCGAACGCGAAAAATTGATGAATGCCGGGCTTTTAACAAAGAAACCAGCATAGATTTAAGGAAAACCTTGACCACCAAAAGACTTGCCATTTCAGTTCCTATGACCTCTGGCTGTCAATTGGTGGACCAGATGGGTATCCGAGGCCAAAGGGCTGCAGACGCCGCGCAGCAATTGGCACATCTTGCAAGCGACGCTTGCACCCATGCGGCGGAGATCATGCATGAAATTTACCCAATGCGGCATAGTCTAGACCGCAATCTGCGAGTGGGCGGTGTGGTGCAGGTTGTGAGCCCGCGCCATTGTGCCCGATTAGGGGAGAATCAAAATTTTTGCGGTGTCCACCCAAACATTTTTTATTTTTCTTCAATTGACATTTATCGCACAACTGGTTTCAGGAGATTCATCCAGTTTTTTCTTCCTTTCATTTTTCACGGTTATTAGCTCCTATTAACTACAGTCTTTCCTTTTTGTATCTGTGGCTAACTGTGATTCCATTCATTCCTTTTAAACTATGAAATCGTCCATTCTTTCCCTTATAGCTGTTGCTACCGTGGCCATGGCTGCTCCTTTGGAGGGTCACCGTCACCACAAACATGACTTGCACAAGAGAGATGTGGTCACCAAGGTTGTGTATGTCAATGGACAAGGCCAAACCATTACTCCTTCGGCTTCTGCTGCCCCTACTGAGGCTGCTTCGTCGACAGTGGCCACCATTGTTTCGTCTTCTGCTGCTGCTGCTGCTTCTTCTTCTGGCTCTCCAGCTTCTCAAGCTGGCAGCTCCGAGACCTCTTCCTCGACTGGATCGTCTTCTGGTGGATCTGGTGGTATTTCTGGTGACTTGAGTGCCTTTTCCGGTCCAAACAACAAGTTTGAGGATGGTGTTCACAAGTGTTCCCTGCTCCCAACTGGTCAAGGTGTTATTTCCGTTGACTGGATTTCCGGCTTGAACGGTGGATGGACTTCCATCATGAACGAGAACGGTGACACTTCTTCCACCTGTCAGGACGGTTACTACTGTTCTTACGCTTGTCAGGCTGGTATGTCCAAGACCCAATGGCCTTCCGAACAACCATCCAATGGTATTTCCGTTGGTGGTTTGTACTGTAAGAACGGTTACTTGTACAAGACTAACTCGGACTCCGACTACTTGTGTTCTTGGGGTGAACAAACCGCCACTTTTGTGTCAGAAATCTCCAAGGATGTTGCTATCTGTAGAACTGACTACCCTGGTTCCGAGAACATGAACATTCCAACCTTGTTGGAAGGTGGTGGTAAAGCTCCTGTTTCCGTTGTCGATTCTGCCAGTTACTACACCTGGAAGGGTGGTAAGACCTCCACTCAATACTACGTCAACAACGCCGGTGTTTCTGTCGAAGATGGATGTATCTGGGGTACTGATGGATCTGGTGTCGGTAACTGGGCTCCTGTCGTTTTGGGAGCCGGTATGACTAACGGTAAGACTTACTTGTCTTTGATTCCTAACCCTAACAACAAAGACGCTCCAAACTACAACATTAAGATTGTTGGTGCTGACGGTGCCAATGTCGTTGGTGACTGTAAGTACGAGGATGGCTCCTACAATGGTAACGGATCTGATGGTTGTACCGTGACCGTTACTTCGGGTAGTGCCAACTTTGTGTTTTACTAAAATGCTTTATACCCTCTTGTTTGATTTCTTGCGTCAGGTGGTAACGATCTCTTGTTGCTGATTGCCATGTTGTTTCTTTATACCTTCTATATTATTCTATTGTTTCTGTCAATATACTAGTGTTGAAACTTAGCCAAATGCTACCGTATTACAATAATTAAAAATAAGTTCCTGATTGGTTCGAAATTGATCATACAAGTCTCCTAGTCGCTCATCGGGCGTTGGTTGGAACGTATTATGAATATACATGTAAACGGAGTCAGTTGATATTCGAAGTTTCTTTGCTATAAACCGCATTAACACCGCTACCGTCTGGTCTGAAGAAACCTGTAAGACTTTTGGGGTAATGGCTCTCGTGGAACCAATCGGAACTAGTCGAATGGTGATTTTGGTTGCTGGCAATGGTTTTATAGTTTTGTGCCATTGACGCTGCTCGACTTCAGGAAGCCGTTTGACTACTATAGAAGTGTCCAATGGAACAGAGGTTTTGTCTACGTGTTGCAGAAGCGTGTTAGAGTCCGCGGACGTTGTGCTGGAATCGCTATCTGGCTCCAGGTGGATAAATGACATGCCACAAAGTATCTCGTTTATCAGAACCACCTTCTGAAGCGCATCAATGCACCACCGCTCTTGATAAAATCCACAAGCTAATTTCGCACGGCCTTTACCTACACTTGTACTGTAGTTGTTCCTCATGTCCGAAGATAACGATTCAGCTACCCACAGTGAAAGCGAGTCTACCATTGAAGAGTTGGAGGTGGGTGGAGTCATCAGAATTCTTGAGCAAGCCGCAGAAGATGCTGTGGAACTGAAAGATTGGCTTCTGTATTCCACCGTCCTTGATTATTATCTTTCTGACCGCGAGAAATACACCACGAAAGAGCAAGAACAGCTCTTGAACAGCTTGGCACAATCGTTGTCCAACCATAAGGATCTTGTTTACCATGCTGGTTGGGATATTCCTGGGTTATTGATAGGGTATATCGATCAGGACAGAGTGAGTGCACCATTGCGAACGTTACCATGTCTTCTGCAAATTATGAAGTGCTTTGAAACCTTGGCATTACAGGGAAATCACAAGGAATTGCTTTTGAAAGGCTGTGAGTTGTTAACTTCTATTAAAGTTGAAGACCATACTTATATTGATGAGGTACTGGAAAAGAATTCGTACTACCAAATCAAAGTGCATTGTCTCATCGAATTGATCAATTCGAGCTTGCGCAACATCCAGACTCTTTACCCTTCTCGTTTCTTGGCCATGGCTGTCACTGCTCTTTTTAATGTGATTGAATATTGCAAGGATGAACCGGTGCTTCGTACTTTCTTGATGAAACGTGCTTATAGTTTTGCCCGTGATTATTCGGCCCCAACCCTCGTTGATGTTCCTGATCTCAGCGAGGAGGAGCTCAACAAGATCAAAGAAGATGAAGCTTACTTACAGAGAAAGCTTTTGCGTGGGTTCGTTACCCAATTCATTTGCATTTTGTCCACCAAATTTCCCTTCGAAATGAGCAGTGATTACGCATCTTACTTGGCTTCTGGAGACAGGCTGAACGATGACTGGTTTCATATTCATCAATCCTACCCTGCTTACGGTCGTACATCTGAATTGGTGCTTGCATTTGACATTGATTTGCAACAAAAACTCGATGCATACGTAACTTCCTCGCACGAACTTTTCCAAGGTTTCGACTACAAAGAAGACCAAGACGAGTTGACTGCCAAAATTTTTCTGGTTATTCTCAAAGACCACGAAACTAATGCTTCTAATACCATGTTGGATGGCAGTGGAGAGAAACTTACCGACTCTATTGACGGTTGCTTATTGCTTTATAGCTACCTTCAATGTGCCCGCAATTCCTGTGATGAGATAAACTTGACATTTAATGATGTCCTCGTTTGCACTTTAAGGCTGGTTGTTCCGGCAATGTTAAACCCAGTCTACTTGAATTGTGGTCTTCAAGATATGGTTGTATTCTGGGCATGGGTAGCATTGAACAAGCTGCAAGATGGAGTCAAGCTGCTAAAGTTGGAGATATCTACAATCTCCTCTACGTTGCTCAAGATATACTATCAGTGTCTCTTATTTATCACCCTTACTCAATGGCAGATAAGTGGTGTTCGTTCGGCAACTTTAACCTTGTTCACCAAGCTTTTGACCCATACACACGAAAATATTGCCTATGAATTCATCCATGATACCTTGGAGAACTTTCCTCACGAATCGATCAAGGGTGCAGTCATTGGAGTTCTTAAAGAATTGATGACTAAAGAACGAACGTCGTCGATGAACGAAGAACTTGACCTCTCTAAATTGGATGTCAAGGATAAGAAAGGACCACAGCTACCTCCTCGTGCAGTGAAAGTCACCAACAAATACCTTGCGTTGACCAATGAACGGGCGTCTGATTTGCTCAAGTTGGTAGATACCACAGTGGACAAGACAATAGTTAACAAGCGTTTAAACCAGGAAACATTTGGTACGTTGGTGGCATACCTCAATCTTCTCGTTGCGTTGAAGCGAGAGTTGAAAGATAATGCAGAATTTGAAAAATTGGTCAAGAAAACAACTCAATTGGTGGATTCGGCCGAAAAGGAGATTAGAGATGAAAAGGAGTCCAGAGGTCTTACTGAGAAGAATGCAGTTGGCATTTTACGAGTTAGCCTTGACAGACTCAATGTATAAAGAGCTAGATAATGTATGTATTTAAGCTAATAAGCTATTAATATAGCTAGCTATGTTTTTTTATCCCATCACAACCATCATCTTCTCGTAGATGGTGAACACAATACCACCACTGAGCACCAACCGACCAAGTCTAGGAGTTGCACCCTTCCAGAATGTGAGCAAGCCTTCATCTTTGAAAATTCGAACAAAGCAATTTATGGTAGATGTGTACAATTTATCAGCACCAAGAGCCTGCATTCTTGTTTTCACAGTGTCTATTGGCATAGTGGAGTAGACGGTTATGACACCAGCCAAAGATCCTACTGCAAATGTAGAAGCTGAACTCAATGGTTGATTTGGTGGGGTACCCGAAGCCTGCTGGATTACAGTCTTAAGAGCGTTATATGAACCAAGACGAACCGCTTGGTTGGAGGCTTGTCTAAGAGAAACAGGAACAACACCAGCATAGATGCCACGGAAGCCCATATCTCTACATAATTTGACGGTTCCACTGAGTATTCCATTTTGATACTTTGGTGAAGCTGCTTGTTTGTCGTCAATTAAGGCAGTTTTGATAGCTTCAAATGGAGTGACCGCTACCACGGACTCGAGCAATCCAGCACCAAGTCCAGCAATGACTCCTCTGGGTCCTGAAAGTTTTCCATTCTTATCAGCTAGCAATGATTTGATGTAATCGAAACCCAAAAATCGAACCGATGCCTTGACAGTATTGCCCACGACAAACGCAGGGCATCCCACATACAACGAGGAAATACCCTGGGTCTTGGAAACGTTGTAAATAAGCACCAATGGGTTTCTGGATGCTTTGGAAGATTTATCCACCAACTGGAGTCTGGTCTTCGCAAACTCAAATGGGTAGGTTACCACGCCTTCGATGGCACCTGCGGTACCTCCTGCCACGAACGACTTGAGGGGGTCCACCTGAGTTAGTATCACATCCCTTGTATCACATTTTTTGTGTAACTAATAAACACCTACCTTTTTATCGGGTTTAGACATTTAGTGAAAAGTTTCGCGGTCAATTTTTCACTTGGTGATAACTGCAATAAAGTGCAATAAAGTGCACATTCTATATATCCTCTAATTCCTCGTCATCGTCGTCGTCGTCGTCTTCCTCTTGTTCCGCCAACTGGGCGTAATATGCTGCCAAAGCATCCTGTGCTTCTTTTTCCTTCAACTCTGTAGTGTCTATCTTCACATCTTCGGCCGGTGGTTCGGCATTTTCCGCAGGAGAAACCGAGTTGGAGTCTGGTAAAGGATCCACATGGTCTTCTGCGGGTTTCTTTTCCAACGTAGAAGCGGCATGCCATGAAGGCAATGCATTTTGTTCCAATTTCTTTTGGCGCTCTTCTCGTTCCTCTTGTTCTCGATCGAGATTTTCGTCATTGGCGGTGATGGATACATGCAAAGTGGCCTGTGATTTCTGTGACGAGGCCGAAACAGGACCCAGTTTTCTTCCACGAGCCACAGAGTACGCTCCAGTAGCTGTTGACTGCGCAGGAACCGCCTTGGTCAATGCAGATTCAAATGTGTTTTCTTGGATCGTCATGTCGTCTATACGTTTCAAGTGGGCAATAACTGGGTCCACTTGCACCATGAGCTTCTCTAGCCGGGCCTGACGCATATATGCCTGTTGACTAGAATCGTCTTCTGTGAGGGTTCCACCACAAGTATCACATTCAAAATGAGTTCTGTCGGCAGATAGAAGCGATATGGCGTCTAGTTGTGATACTCTCTTTCCACAACGTGGGCAAAGGTAACCTTGAGGGTTTCCGTACTGAGTCATTTCCTCCTTCATCGTGTGCACAAGAAAATGAACTTTCCACTTGATGGCATCTATAGCCTTTGTAACATGAATGTAGTAGTATACTCTGTTGAATACCCGATTCTGACTCTCCTCACGCTGAAAATGACTCAGAATAATCCGATCATCAACAAGACGGTAGCATTGAGCTCTGACTTCTTTTGGTTTCATGCCCAAAAGATACACCAAGTCTTCTTCTGAAAGAACAGAATGGACTATGAGAGCATCTATAATGAGCACCACCGCTTTGTCGTAAAAGCCACGAGCCACAAACCGAAGAAGGGAACGTACGGTGTCCTCCATTTGAGGTGAATAATCAGCAGTGCCGATGTCAGGATCTTCGGTGAAAACGGGTGCATTGGATGTCAAATTCGAAATTACAAAAATTTGAAAATTTGGAATCTGCATTTGCAGCCATTAAAGGGTGAATGAAATCTGCAACAAATAACTTTTTCATGAATTGTCACTCACATATATATACCTTTTTTTACATTGTCGCTCGCATATATATGAATATATGAATTATATGTATGTGTTATGCTCACATAGCATTAGATCTGAACCATCATGTTCTCATTTATTTTAATTTTTAGTGAATTACTCGAATTGAATTGAAGTTTCTGACTCTGTTCTAAATAAATTCAAACTAATATATTTACTCACAATTTGCCATACCTAACTTCTTTTATGACATTCGTCTCACCCATTTCATATCTCATATCTCCACATGCAATTTCACACTCCTTACATAAGCCACGTTCCCCATTTCCATTTTCCGTTTTAGTTCGTTCCCGTTCGTTCCCGTTTCCGTCCTCTCCTCGGCCGCACGATTGTTTCATCCCTTCTCTACCTGTTCGGCGCCGCGCGCCGCTCCATCTGAAACCGCGTTTCGCGACCTTACGTAAACAATATTTCAGGACGCGCTTTTCGCAACTTAGAGGGCGAACCGCATCTCTTCTTTTAATCCCTTTTATCGGCAGGATCCTTCGCATGGATTAGTCCCTTTTTTGGTCGTTTTTCGTATTAATCAATTCCCGTCACGTCCTCCTTACCTTCCAGGTGCCTATAAGTTAATTCCTATCGTCAAATGGGCTCCGTCGTGCCCTCTAGAGTTCCCTTACGGGAACAGCTGATCGATTCGAACCGCAGGCCACTGCTCGACAAAGTCATAGACACCCCAGTATCGTACAAGCACACCCAGAAAATCTCAACTCCACCAGAAACCATTGCTCCTGCTTTCAGACCGAAACATGTTGAACCCGTTACCACCCCTACTTCCACGAAACATATCCATCCCAGCCTTGCGGGAGGTACCAGCAAGTCAGCACTATTATCACCCGCGTTCTCGTCGCCCCAGCGTCAACTGCAGGTTCGAACCTATGCTCCCATCAGTTTTGAAATCCCTTCTAAACCATCGTTTTCTAGTCAAGTTCCTTCAAGTGCCACTTCAAGTCGCTTTTCCGACGAAATTGATGAAAAGCCCGCGAAAAAGAAGGCTAAAAGGTCGAAAAGGGAGTCTAAAGTGGACTCGTTTGACATGGATTCCAACGAAAAACCACCGTATTCTTATGCTACCCTCATTGGTATGTCTATTTTAAGTCACCCAGATAAGAGGTTAACTCTTTCACAAATCTACCTGTGGATCTCGGAAACTTTCCGCTACTACCGCCGGGAAGATGTCGGATGGCAGAATTCGATCCGTCATAATTTGTCTCTTAATAAGGCGTTTATCAAGGGAGAAAAATCTCGCGATGGTAAGGGTCATTTTTGGTGCATCGAGGAAGGATGTGAAGATCAATTTCTCAAGTCTCGCAGCAGTAAAAAGCACTCGTACCAAGAAATCATGGACCATATTCAATCGTCCATCAAATCTCGCCCAATGAACCAACTACCCTCACTGCCCAATGCAGATCACGCATCTCGTCAAACCCTGCAAGATGATAGTCCCGTGCTCGAACCACCCTATAAGAAACGCAACATTGATGGTGAAGAAAACAACGTCGAAACCATTCCTGATTTAGGAGCTCCGTTCACTAGCTGGCAGCCTGCATTCCGTCTTAGCACAAGTGCTACACCGCTCCATCGTACACCCCAGGTTGTGGTTAGCGAGTCTCCCGTAAAGCCAATGTTGGCAGGCAAGAACCTCACTTACACCTCATCTTTCAGTTGCAACTCCAATTTGGAATTTTCGCCAATAAGACCCAACGAAACCGGACCATTGCTCGAACCTCTCACCCCATCCAACAACAAGAACCGAAGTATTTCGGTGAGCCTTTTAGGTAACCCCATTCCGTCCCTTCACTACCAACCCAATCTGCAACAGTCTCAGCATACACTCTCCTTGCCATACTTGGCGAAAACACCCAAGTCTGGTACGAGAACGCCGCTACGAACACTCAAAACACCCCAAAGTGGGTCAATGATGCGTCGTTTATGGCATTCTCCATCTTATCTCGACGAGTTCTACTACTCGCCGCTTGTCATGTCGTCGCAAGGAGCTTTGAATTCTTATGATGATGACGACATGATATTGAGAGCTTTCGAACTGCCGGCAGTTACGAGAGAGAGAAAGACCGATGAATCGGGACGAAACTTGTTCAATGAGTTGAAGAATATCAAGGACGTTCGACCCCAGGAAAAACATATTCCTGACGGTCATAATCGTAAGACAAGCTCTTCCTCGACGGAGTCTGATGTTTAATGGGTAATGGTATGGGCGTTCTTTCTTTGCCTATGGGCAATTTGTATTACTATTGTTTGAATGCTATGTTTAATATACACTTTTCTAGTCACTACTAGCACACCCACGACATCCACACGTGATACACTCGATCGTCTTTCCTTCGTCATCTTCTAAATTGGACTTTGGTACTCGGCAAATACATGTACTTCCATGGTTAGTTTCATTAGTCATGATACAGTTGATGCAACATAAATTTTCGTATCCCTGTTTTTTCCATTTCGCTATCAAATTGGCATTACAGAATTTTTGCTTGAGTAGCCACTCGTATAACTCTTTGGATATTACTTTACGGTCGTAATACATCGTATAAATGTATCTTGAAATTTGATGGTTGAGCCGAAATACCGGCCATAATGCTTGTTTCTTGTTTTCGGTCTTTATAGATGCTGATTGGGCATCCTTGAGCTTCGCTAGTAGCTTATTGAGCGTCGGCTCGATCTTGGAATACCCTTCAGGCGGCTTATCGTTTCTTCGTGCCCGCGGCATGATAAGTGAAAATGAAAGATGCATCGAACCTGTCAAACATGCTTATGTCAGCGAACCAAGAAGAAAAGGTACTCGATGATTGTTGTCTAGCGACCAAATGATCTCTATGGCATAGCCATAGAGATGCCATAGCGATCATCGTAGTTAGTACTACCTTGCTATACAATGGGGTTTTTAAAATTACAGTTCACCGTTCAAAAAAATAACGACATCAGCAGGATTCGAACCTGCGCGGGAAATCCCAATGCATAACTCGAAAGATTCGAGTGCATCGCCTTAACCACTCGGCCACAATGCCTTAACTAAAATATTTGCCTCCGTACTCGGCTTATATAGCTACAGTGGCGTTGCTTAATCTGCCATGCCCGCGTCTTTAATTTGCGACAACTTCTTTATTATTAGTTTTGTTTTGAGGTCCTAGCCACATTATAGCTATTTATTTCGAGTGATATTCAACCATGAACTTCATTTCGAGTGCTTTAAGCTCGCTAACTGGAACTTCCATTCCATACACTATTGGCGAGAAAGTATCATCGCCACTTCCAGATCAACCATTTTCAGTATGGACTATTTACGATGGTACAGATCCCAAAAAAGACAACTCACCGGTAACAATCTTTGAAATGAACCTTCAGGAACCTTCCAATGTAAGAAGTGACTTTGTTTCGCTCGCCAGAAACGCGTTCAAAAAACTGAAATTGGTAAAATTTCCTTCGATCCTTTCAATAATTGACTACATTGAAAACGATAACTTCATCTATATTATTTCCGAGCCCGTGGTACCTTTGTTCAAATATTTTGATACCCATGCTGACCGTATATCCAAAGATGCCCGAATTGCTGGAATTTATACTGTCGCTGAGGCACTAGCATTTATCAATACTAAAGGTAATTGCATACATGGCAATTTGAATTTCTACTCGTCAGTGTTTGTCAATCCTGCTGGTGACTGGAAGTTATTTGGCTTTGAGGTCTTGACGAATTTAACGTCCGACCCTGACCAGCCTATTTACAGGCTTGCGTCGCGAGCGCCAGGCTTCCTGGACAACCTTCCAGACGATGTTGACGGTCAAGGACTCGACTCAATAAGGCAGTTTCCTTTCAAGTTTGACTCTTATAAGTTTGGTGTGTTCTTATACCAAGTATTAAGTTGGACAACCAGCTCCAGTCGTACTTATAAGGTGCAAGCTCTGCAACTAACAAGCTCATCAGCTATACCCAAATCATTGGCAGGACCGTTCAAGCGTTTGGTTAGCAAGAAACCAAACTTGCGCATCAACATTGACAAGTTTTTGGCCGAATGTTCTTCAACTTTCGAGAACAACGACCTCATAAATTTGAGTAAGTTACTCGGAGACCTTGTGTTTGAAAATGAAGATAAGAAATTGCAATTCTACAAGTTCGAACTTCCACGCCATTTTCCTGATGATGTGGAAAATGTTGCTTTTCCACCAGGATTCCTTGAGAACAAAGTGCTTCCGGAACTCCTTACTCAGTATCAGAATGTGGTGAACTTGAAGCCAACTGTTAATTCAACCGTTGACTCACACCAACAAAAACAGGATACTTTATCCATTCTCCTCAACTACATTCTCAAGTTTGGTTGCTCTCTTCCTGAACCAAAGTTCAATAAAGTTGTAAAGCCCATTATACTTCAAAGTTTCAGTTTGGGAGACCGCTCAATTCGATTGACGTTATTGGCGCATTTGCAGTCATATGAATGTTTTCTCTCTGAATCTGACGTTCAAAGCAAGTTGTTTTATAACTTGTTGGGTGGCTTCCAAGACTCTAATTATATGATTCGTGAGACTACTTTGAAATCCATTACTACAATCATAGACAAGATCTCCGTCAAGCAGGTCAACCAAGATTTATTGAAAGTCCTTGCAAAGTCACAAATGGACCCCAAACCTTCTATTCGGACTAATACGCTCGTGCTCATAATCAAGATTTCGGACAAAATTTATGCAAACTCCAGAAATAATGTTCTAGCTACAGCTCTTGCCAAGTCGTTGAGGGACACTTTTACTCCAAGCAAGTTGGCAGCCCTCTCAGGCTTTGAAACTCTTAAAGACCAATTTACTCTAGAGGATATTTGCAACAAAGTTTTGGGTACCTTGGCAATTGCATTAATGGACGTTCACTCAGTGAAGGTAAGGACTACAGCTAAGGAAGTTTTTGATCTGTATTTGCAAGTTGTCGAAAGGCATGCTTCGGGCTTACCCAAAACAGAAATTGACAGCAACGCTGAAGAAGAGGAGTTCTTCAGAAAGCACGCACCTACTGTTACACCTTCGAGCGACGAGACCAACAATGCCACAAGCGGCTCTAAGACCGGCTTTGGATGGAAGATCGTCAACAAATTGGTATCATCTTCGGATATGGACGGAGTACTCAATCATGAATTCAACACTTCTACACCAGATCTCACGAGAACCTCAAGCAATGCAGATGTTGGGACTACAAATGGTTTAGGGTCTCAGAATGCGAGACCTCCTTCTGTGGAACTCGAAGTGGATGATGGATGGGGCTTCGATGATGAGGATGCGGAGCCCGTAGTAACAGAGAGGGTATCTCAAACTGCAACCAAAAACAAACCAATGGTAAAGTCTACACGCAAAGAAAGCATACTTAAATTGGGCAAGTCTCTAAAAAACAAACAAAAACCCATAACCAGACTCAATATCAAACTAGACGACGATGATGACAACGATGGCTGGAATGTTGAAGACAATTGGTGAGACACAACTCAAGGGAAGTGACCTTTCCTTGGTCCAAAATAACCATCTGGTGCTGATAACGTCGCATTCAATCTTCCTATTGCGACGCCGTCGTATCCCTCGTACATCACCGTGTTACCCCACCAGTTGATACTCTTGTCATGGTATTGAACAGCAAAGAAGATGATGATCCCGCTGAACGCGATTCCAGCTGCCATCCCAGCGGAAAATATGTAATTGTATTTTTCCCACCAAGCTGTTTTCCTTGTCCTTAAATACCACATGAAGATCGCCGACAAATACAATCCGCCGGTATAGTATGAGAGGTTATAAGGAGCATAAATTATGATTCCACCGATTATCAAAGTGGGCTGGAAGTACTTGGTCAATTTTCTTGGACCATACCATTTGAAAGCGATTGCTGGAATCGTCAATAGGAACCCAATCAAGAAACAGTATTTCAAAATAGGATATAAGCCATCGAAAACTCTCTTTGGCCCAATCACACCCCAAAGCACAGATGAGGAAAAGAACGTATTGGAACCAGGACAGGTGAATTTTTCCTTGTTGAAAGGTTCGCAATAGTCTTTGATACCCGTGAGCTGAAAGCTCAAAATACCCAAAAACACGAAACAGTTGATGAGAACCGACACCATTTGGCATCTGAATAATGCCCAAGGAGGAATACTAGTATAATGAGCCATTTTCTGGTTCGTAATATAGTTCTCAGCCTGATTCTCAATGTTAGTCCCGAGCGCCTTGATGAACATCAAGGCAAGTCCATTACCGGGTATAGCATAACCAACAATGAGTTCCACCAAAACGTTTAAACCGAACGAGTAACCTGTTCTCGCGTAGATTGCGGCCAAAGGAATCAAGAAGACAAAATTTATAACAATAGCAAAGAAGATACCCCACACCGGAGTTTCGGCAGGATAGAGCTTGACGCAAAGGATGCCCAACACAATTGATATAACCAAGACGACAAGGAAAACCCAATCCGGCACTTCTCTGTATTTCAGCATCAGGCGACTAAAGGGGTCATTATAACCGTCGTAATTGGACCGGTTCAAGTTTCGGAGAGCGTGAATAAAACCCTTCACGGCGAACCAATTTCCTCGCCAATTGGTTGTCAACTCATAAACAAAAGCAAATGGGTAAAGTGCAAAAAAGGCACCATAGGTGACAAGATTAGCCGCAGAATAATAAGGAGGACCATACGTATTATATTTTTCCTGATCAAAGAGCCCCTTTTCGTTCAAAATTGCCTTGATGTTATATCTTTTACCCGTGTTGGTAAAGATCCTGTTCGAGTTGATAGGCAAGTACGCGGACCAGTGACTGTTCGAGTAGAAAACCGCAATGATAATGAAAAATCCCAAAAACCATCCAATCGCTTGGTTCACCACTGAGTAAAAGGGAATTGCCAATGCATTAAGATTATTCAAAACATTCCAATCAAAAGAAGGAATTGGATTCAATCCCAATCCGTTCACGGAACCAGTAATCATCGCAAGGTTGTAATTATCAGGCTTAATCCAAGTCATCCAGTTGAAAGTTGAAAGGAATTGTGCAAGGTAATTTGGAAACCAAAAGTATAAGAACGAGGCTCCAAACGTGAAAAAGAAAAAGTTGTATTTGGAAATCGTCCAACCATTAATGATCTCTCTTGGCTCTGCAGAAGTGAGGGCCTTGTTCAAAGCAACTGTGGGCAACATTGTCGGCCATACGGCTTGAACTGGATACACCACAAATCTTCTCATCACACCTGCCAACCCAAATCCAACAAATTGAGTACTAAGTGTCAAAAGAACCTGATATCCAAATGTTGCCCATTGGTTATCATAAAAGAGTGGTGACTTTTGAACAAGAATATTCAATGCAACATACGGCGATGCACCAGAAACGGTATAGAAGAGTGTTGCAAGCATTTGCTCTTTCGAAGTCCAAGGACCGGGATTCAAATCGATTGTGTTGTTCCAAATGGTAAATTTCCAGTGAGGCAATATCAAGCTAAGCAAAACACCTGAAGGATAGATGAAAACCTGGGCAATCAGACTTCCAAAAAAGATAGAAGGGTACCGTTCTTTAAAAAATTGATTAATAACGGAACCAATTGCGGTCCAGATTATACCAACTAGGTACACTCGAGGTGTTTCACACGCAATTGATGGGTCATCATAAGGGTCGGTAACACTTCTGACTTCAGTATAAGGTGAATGGTAGGCAATTAAACCGGCTTCAACTTTGACTTGCAAACTCCAATCGGTAATATTATGATAAAAGAGTCTGATGTCGTCATCTTTAAGTGAGTCCTCCTGTGACGGAACCTCTACCACTAAAAGTTGTCCCAAATTTTTTTCATTGTCATCCAGAATTTGCTCCACTTTAGATTGCACACCGAGTTTGTAGTGTGCTTGTTTGACCAACCTTTCAGCCAACTTATAATCAGAATCCAGAATGTTGACGTCGTCCTTAAAGTCATTTAGGAATTCCTTGAGAATCTCAACGGCTTCCTCCTCCGAAAGCTCTTGCATCTTTTCAATCAAGAACGTCGCCGAAGGGGGAATTTTGTCCAAATCAATTAAACCATCCATACTCATTCTCTTAAGAATGAACAACTTTTGGTCGGTGGTGAATGTGCCTCCAACATCTTCTAGCGCAACGTCGTGCGAGAGAAGTGCGTGCAAGTTTACCTCATGGTCGGCAGGGTCGAACCTGCTGCTGTTACTGGTAATACCAGCCAAAATATTCTTGGTATTGGGCGAAGAGGGCATGAGGAAACATGAAGATTTCATTGGGTCCTTTATAGATCGAACCTTGAGGTTGGCGGGATGGTGGCTTGCTTGGTGGCTCGTTGGAAGTCTTATCTCTGTGGTGCCGTACGAGTCAAATCAATATCCTTTTAAGCCTGCTGCATCTGGAACGAAGATTGGGAAACCTCATGAGTTTTGCCATAGATAAATTTAGCGAGAGAAGTCAAGCATAGCTAAAAATGGCTGAATTTGCATTGTCTTTGTCATACGAGTTGGCAATGTTTCATTTGAGTTTCAAGCTGTTGGTTTGCATTTGCACCTTGACGTTATCAGCAATTCTGCTGTTGAAGATACAGTTATTATCTGAGTCGCGCGGCATGCGGGCCACTTGCAGCATCGACCCAATTCCAGTACCAGGACACATGCATTTTGTGCTACAGCAAACTGAGATGAATCTGTGGTCTCTAACAAATGAGAATTCTTTTGTTCTTATTAGCACTATTGCAAAGGCGGACATTGCAATGGTTGATTTTGGGTCCACCTGAAATTGAAAAATTTCAACTTTGCATTTGCACCCGTCCATCAGTTTGACTTGCCGCCGTGCATGGAAGTACATGAGTTTGACATCCTTATCTTTGTGCCGCACTCCTGTCAAAAGTTTCACTACCAAAGCTTAAACACATTATGTTTTTAGACTGACGAGTTGATGGAAAGTTGTCTAGGATATTCTGCTGAAGTAGAAGATGTTGCATTCAATCTGCTGGCCTTGACATAAGTTACTGTAGTTCCCGGCAATTGGATCTTTTAGGAAGATATGGTACGGCGAAAAAATAATAAATAAGCTTATCACACCCGAGGCCACTATTCTGCTCAAAGAGGACAGTCTTGGGCCACCTGGTCTGTAAATAATTTCCGATCGTTATTTGAGATAAAGGCTCGTATCAATGAACCAAGCCAATTACCGCCACAAATTAGACACCTTATGAAAGTTATGAGAATCATAATTGGTCTTCATGCATCTCACTCAGGCGTGTGGGCGAGTGATACTGGATTGCTTCTACCTTGAGTGTAAAGTCCGGTCTATGATATCATGCTCAAAAGGAAATCGATACACCCTCTTGTATATACTTTGAGCTACTAGGTGTTTTAGTCTCAACTACAGATGATTAGAAGTTTAGGGAAAGTTCCTGAGCACGAGTCTTCCACAAGGTTGTACTCGAAAACTGAAAAAATTACAAATTTATTGAAATATACAAAGTATCGCCAACGTTAAAACTGTTCTCCACTTGACATTCAACTTTTCGACTACGAAGATTGCAATGGAGGAATGTTAACAAGGTTTAACATCTCATGCAAATTCTTCATTAGTAAAATTATTTTGGTTCCTAAGAGAATGAGGCATATTCTAGCATAGAGTATTCATCAAAAGAGAACAAGACATTTAATTAAAAACCCGAACTTCTTTCTGCACATTTCTGATATTTCAGACTTCTGTGTTGAACTGTCGAATTCAGCGTGATTATTGTTCTTGGTAGCACAAGTAAATCAGTTATAGGACTCAGAGAAAAAGAAGAAGTAATTACATGCTCACAAATCTCTCATCTAGTTTGATGGACCAAATGATGGCATTAAAATTATCGCTATTACAGACGTGGTTGCACTTTCCATAAATTAGCGAGCTAAAAATAAACTTGCATGTGCGCGCAGCTGTCAAACGTGGCACTGTCTTGCTTCGCTTTCAATTAAGCCACTATGAGCACCTATCATGCGGAGGATGCGCAATTTTGTAGTGACCGCGACTAGCCATTCGTGGGAACAACTAATAACGACAACTGTAGCAGAGTGCACTTGATACTTGCGCAAAAGAAGAATATGATTGGCTGTAAGTTGCACTAATAAGGGAGATTCAGATAAGTCAGATCGGCCCAATCATTTCAACCCTACATGAAACAGTGCCGCGTACCACACGGTGTGATAATATTATTGTGACCCGCCGCACCGAAGTCAAATGCGCATATTTACGAAGTGCGATAAGGATAGCTTTCTGTAATGTTGCGACATGATAGAATTCAATATAAAGGGTTATAAACTCTGACTTTGATAGATTACACTATCCACAAAATGGCTAGGTAATCGTTTAAAACGGAATATTTTTCAAACTTTAATAAATTTTTTAAATTGTAATTATACGTAATGGCTTTGATATGATTCACTACGCCCACCTGAAATAAGCTAATGCAATAAGCGGGGCATGAAAACGCCAAGGTATAGATAAGGGATTCTTCATCAATTATATATATATGTTAACAGTCCCCTTAAACGCTAGGTGGGTTTATTCACTTAGTGTTCTCCTTAAGTAATTGTTGAACTGATCATCATCACTCCTCTTCTACAATGTTTTCAAAATTGCTTCAATCAATAATTTTATTATTAGCTAGCACTAATGTTGCTATGTCCGCCGCTTGCTTCTCTCACGCTGACTGCCCCGGTGGTGCCTGCTTAGGAAGGCGCAGTGAAGGTGGTACTATTTCAATCAAAGGGACATGTGTTAACGGTGAATAACCATAGAATAACAATGATATGAAAATTCAAAAGCATAAAAAAATGTGAAAATATAAAACTCAAAAACATGGTATGAGAATACCGCAAAATACATGTTAAGTAGATAGGAATTTACTTGATAGGTATATTGATTTGGTATAAACGGGCTATTAATTGTCGTAATTATAAGTTCATAGTAGTTTGACATTACTGTGTGCTATATTATACCTTTATGATCAAGTGATATTATTAGTGACGTTTTTTAAATTGTATACCCTCTGTATATTTAGCACTATGGAATTTGATACTAAGATTTCAATTATTTTGAATATCTTTCATAAACTTATCAAAAAATTTCTCAACTCTGTAATTTGCCAGCTCAAATAGTTCTTTGAAATCTAAACTTGATGGGTCATAGATTTCATTAACAGATATGATATTGTGTTCATCAGGAGATCGCATTTCGACGTCCTCGTAATCACATAACTTATTTTTGGTAATATATCTATTACCCAATTCTCCAAGCACCGCATATCCAGCTTGTTCAATATTACATATGACCACAATGTATCTAGTGTCACTTATTTTGAAAATACATGATTTTGTATCAAGTAAGGAAATTTCATCTTGGGATTTAATGTTGCTATTGATGGATGAAAATTTCAAGTAGGTTTCTTTCTTGCTACCAAACGTATATAGTTTTCTGTTGAAGACAGAGACGTTTGGGTGAATGTTAATGTCTTCGACTTCTGTGAAGTCATCGGCTTCAAACCAATTTTGTATATTGGTTGCGCTCATTTGAAATGTTGAAGCGTGGGATCATACTAACACCTTCATTTATAGCTCCCAGTATGACCCAAGTAGAGCGACACTGAGGGCTTAGGTCGGGACTGCCGAATTCTAACCGAGCTGCATTATCCTTATCGCACTTCGTAAATATGCACATTTGACGCACGGTGCGGCTGGCCACAGCAGCCATGTGATGCACGGCACTATTTCACGAAGGAAATACCATGATGGGCCGATCCCATGCCTTGAAACGCCCCTATTATGTACCTTGCAGCCAATCATACTCTTCCTTCGTGCTAGTATGAATTGCCTTCGGCTAAAGTTGACGTTGTTGCTGGGCTTCACTCACAGCTAGTCGCGGTTCACTACAGAATTGCGCTCGCTGTGGCTTAATTGAGAGCGAAACACGACATCATCTTGCAAATTGGATAGCGTGCCAGGATAGTGGCCTGTGGAGGCTGGGTATAAAAGCGACAATTTCCTGTTTTGAAGTTGCAAGAGAATGTTCATTGATAAATATGTTGGCAAAGCCAAAGTGATCGCGGATCGCAGTGAAAAGAAAGATCACAAGATCCTCGAAATCGTGAAGCCAAAGTTAAGGGAACTGAATCCCGGGAGTTTCACTCCCAATGATTTTAGATTGCCGGACACAGTAAATAATCATATGTTTTATCAGTACGAAATATTGGGCACAATCTACCTCTATGTGGAGAACGACGGAATTGAACAATTGGTACTGCAATTGGATGTGCTTGATGCGCCGCTTTTGGAAGACGAAGAGGAATTTAACAATATAATTCTTGATGCGGTGGATTTCTATGTGAACAAGGAGCTTGATCTTGGAGCTGGGATGGAGATGATGCACAAGAAGAAGATCGGGTGTTTGGTCAAAGGTCTTGTTCCCCTTTAATTTTCTTTATATGCTAGCTGAAAGTTTTAATATGATCTGGCAGTTTCCAAATGCTCACAATTCAGGAATTTAGCTTAGATCAATTCAAATCATGACACTTTTGACACTAGCGAGTTAAAAATGGATCGCGCATGCGCTGCAGCTGTCAAACTAAGCGCCTCACAAAATTGGCCAAGGTAGTATGGGTATCGTTAAAGTGGTCGTCTAGCACTTGTGTAACATGTATACTTGAAAAAATTAGGCATACTGTCGCTTCTAAAGCATGGAATCAAATAAGTGAGTAAGGTTTTGATAAGGTCTAACCAGCCTTAGAGCTAGAAACCTCACCAGACTCATACGACATAGATATAACCGTTTTATTCACACCATTGACATTGACATGATGAGGTCAATGAATAGATATATTCATAAGAAAACAAAAACGAACTAAAAAACATCAAATCCTGCCATTGGTCCATCCTCAATAGACGAATGTATGAATTGACCAGACAGATAAACAACTTCCCCAAAAATTCATGTCTTCATTGTTGAACTATCAGGCACGGTAAGCGAATTTTGCTTTGAAAAAATTGCCAAACTTGAGATTGCCTCGAGTAATTTCATCTTCAGTTTTGACTTGCAGAGGGCGGTCGATATCAATATCCCGAACAATTTGTTTTAATCTGTCCAAGTTTGAGCTGGGTATCAAGCGGTCATCTGAGATGGGAATTGTTGAGATTTGTAATTGATCGTTCGAGCTGGGCATTGCTATCTCAATTTCCCCTAGGAAGTTTTCTCTCATATTTATAGCTGCGAGGTACGTGGTCATATCGCATTAGGCAACATGGCATTAGAGCGCAATATTGGGGCGTAAGCGTGCATCAGGAAAGATGGCACTAAGGCGTAAAATCGAGTAATTTCAGCTTAAAAATGGCTGAAGTTGGTACATTGCCTTTGTAGTATGAGGCGACAAGTTATATTTGAGTTTCAAGCCGGTGATTGCATTTTCATACCATGTAAAGTCATTTTATATTTGACACATTCTTTTCGGTGCCGCACAGTATGAGGCCAATTGCAGCATCAGCCCCACACCAATGCCTTATCATATGCACTTTGGCACAGAAAACTGATGTAAAAGAAGCTTAAAGAACTATAAAGAATTATTCGTAACTTGATCATGCAATGATTGATTAAAACTGAAATGATATTGAAAATTGAATTGCGCATTTGACCAGAACCATCATTTGCAGTTGCATGGAATTACATAATTGACAGCCTTATCTTTGTGCCGCACTTCCTGATAAGTTTCACCACCAAAGCTTAAACACATTATATTTTTGGTTCAAAGCACTGGCGAGTTGATGGAAAGTTATCTAATATCCTCCTGGAGCAGATAATGTAGTCTTCAATCTGCTAGCCTGACATACCACCGTATTTCCCCAGCTATTGGACCTTTAAGGTTATTTAGGAACAGAGAAAAACCCGACCGTGTATTACACGGCTCTTCTTCATGTGGGGCCAAATAATAAGGGCCGATCTACTTTCTATTTCATCTCGGTATCGCCCCTGTTATTGCACTTGCAGCCAATCATGTTGTGCTGAGATCTCGGCTAGAGTTAACCTTAGGTTAGTGATTCCACGCGTGGCGCTAGTCACGGTTGACTATTCAACATGAGCCTGATAAGTGTTGTGGCATAATTGAGAACGATACCCCACATTGCCCGTCTGCTCTTATGAATGGCGAATCGCGATACCTCTAAAAGCGATAATTTGTGAAATGTAAAATGTTCATTAATTTATATGTGGTCGTTGTTCGCAGTGAAAGGAAAGACCACCGCATTCTTCTTGTGAAACTTGAGCCTAGAGAGCAGAACTTGGCGAGCTGTGATAGCTGTGCCGCCGTACTTTCTCGCTTAAACTAGCCTCTCATGCAGGTGTCAATGCGGGGAGAATAAATCGAGAAGCCGCGCAATCGCGAATGTCTAGATAGAGTCAACTTGCCGAAGTGGAGATGATAATGAAATGCATATGAAAAGAGCCTCTTTTATTGCAAGGTCCTATTTTGATATCTTTGTACCATTATACCAGCATGATCGTAAATTACAACACCACAGATATATCTTGCATTCGAATGATATTACCATCAAAATGACGTTCGGACTTCTTGAGCAAAATGTCAACATTTTAAATAATTTGCGGCAATTATGGAAATCTCATTTTAATGCTACTATTCTGGTGACCCCCGTCTAGAGCTGAGAAGTGATAATTACCACTTAGACGTCAATTACTGTTGTCACTAATTGCACTAGTTTTGGCTTATCATACGTCTCATATATACATAAGTGCGGCGGTGACTCTCGCAGGAACAATTGCGTACTTAGAAGTCATCAGCTTGAAAGTGAACCACAAAGGAAATGTTCTGACCTGCCAACTCGTCCTATGATTATCTAGATATTTGTAAAAAGATTGAGAAAAAACTGTCAAAAATCAAATTCACAAGACGGAAAGAACTTTCGTGGCTTCAAAGAACCCCTCCGAAGTCCGTGCTACTATACTAATGTGTACGAAGCTCGATTATGTCTGGATTTTGCAACCATGGTCCTGCGTATAATTTACTAGTCCTGCAGATTACATCGAACATTTATCTTAGGATGGCTGCAATTTGCCACGAGAATTTTAATAAAAACACTACTCCCTAATAATTTTAAATTATACATCAAATCACAATCTACACACTTCACAAAAGTCAGGCAAGCCTCGCCTAATTATTTTCCTTCTTTTAAATCAGTTTAACTGCAAAATTAGGATGGCAAAAATCATGGAAAGTGACCCTTCCTAGGTCCAAAATACCCATCAGGAGCAGAAATTGTAGCATTCAAAGCAGCAACACCAAGGCCATCCAATCCAGCATACATCACTGTATTTTCCCACCAAATGATACTTTTGTCATGATACTGGACAGCAAAGAAAATAATGATTCCACTGAAAGCAACTCCTGCAGTCATACCAGCCGAGAAGAGATAGTTGTATTTCTCCCACCACCCTGGCTTTCTTTCCTTAAGGTACCACATGAATGCAATAGCCAAGTATAAACCTCCAATAAAATATGAGAGGTTGTATGGAGCAAAGACCGTACATCCACCAATAATGACCGTTGGTTGGAAATATTTGGTATATTTCTTTGGTCCGTACCACTTGAAAAGGATAGCTGGAATTGTCAACAAGAATCCAATTAAAAAGCAGTACCGCAAAATTGGGTACAATCCGTTGAATACTCGCTTTGGTCCAATCACTCCCCACAACACTGATGCGGCGTAAAAGGTTCTTGAGTATGCGCAAGTGAACTTCTGTTTGTTCAATGGGTCACAGTAGTCGTTGATGTCATTCATCTGGAAACTAAGAATGCCCAAAGTAATGAAACAACAGATGAAAACAGACACAATTTGCACTCTGAAAATTGACCATGGTGGTATCCTGACATAGTGTGCAAGTTTCTGATTGGTGATATAATTCTCTGCTTGACCATCGATGTTGTACCCAATTGCTTTAATGTACATCAAGGCAAGACCATTACCTGGCAAGGCATAACCGACAATAAGCTCGACTAACACGTTCAAACCAAACGAAAAACCGGTTCTCGAATAGATTGACGCCAAAGGAATCAAGAAGACAAAATTGATGCCAAGGGCGAAGAAGATACCCCACACTGGTGTCTCCGCTGGATAAAGCTTAACGCACAAGATAGACAAGACAATGGAGATCACTAGGATCAATATGAACACCCAGTCAGGAACCTCCTTGTACCGAGCCATCAGTCTACTAAAGGGATCATTGAACCCCTCATAATTGGAACGATGAAAGTTTTTGATGGTCTGGAAAAGACTTTTCAAGGCAAAGGAGTTGACTTTCCAGTTAACGACAAGTTCATAAACGAAAGCAAACGGGTATATGGCAAAGAAAGCACCATAACCAACGAGACTCGCTGCAGAATAAAATGGTGGTCCAATTTCTTGATATTTGGCCTCGTCAAAAAGACCCTTTTCATTTAAAACCTGAGTAACGGCGTAAGGCTTACCGGTATTAGTATACAATCCGTTAGTATTGATGGGAATGTATTGGGTCCACAAGTGGTTCGAGTAGTACACTCCAACAATACTGACAAATCCAACGATCCAGCCAATTGTTTGGTTCATTGTGGAATAGAATGGGATAGTCAACGGTAAGCCATAATTCAAAATATTCCAGTCAAAGGTTGAAATTGGGTTCAAACCTAATCCAGACACTGATCCAGTAATGTTGGCAAGATTTAAGTTTGTGGGCTTGATCCATGTCATCCAGTTGAATGTCGAAAGAAATTGGGCAAGGTAGTTTGGAATCCAGAAGTAAAGAAAAGAACCGAAGAATGTTGCAAAGAAGAAGTAGTATCTCGAAATGGTCCATCCATGAATGTTTTCCTTCTTCTCTGGGAGGGTCAATGCCTTGTTCAACGCAATGGTGGGCAAAATAGTTGGCCAAATGGATTGAACTGGATAAACCACAAACCTTCTCATGATTCCTGCTAGTCCAAATCCGAGAAACTGACTCGATAAAATCAAGAGAACTTGGTACCCAAAGTCGACCCATTGGTTATTGTAAAAAATGGGCATCTTCTGAACAAGAATATTCGAGGCAGCGTATGGACTAGCACCAGAAATCGAGTAACATAAAGTTGCAAGCATTTGCTCCTTATAGGTCCATGGACCTGGATTCAAATCGAAACTATACTTCCACACTTTGAGACTCCACTTTGGAAGAATATAAGAAAGAAGTACGCCGGATGGGTAAATGAAAACTTGAGCTACCAGCGCGTCGAAACTAATTGATGGCTGTCTTTCTATGAAGAACTGATTGATAACTGATCCAACAGCAGTCCAAATAATTCCGACAACATAAACTCGAATAGTTTCACACGGAACAGTTGGGTCGTCGTATGGTTCAGTGACACTTCTGACAGTAGCATAAGGGGAATGGTAAGCAATCAAACCTACCTCGACCTTGAGTTGGAATGGCAAATCGGTGATTTTATGGTATTCATATTGAATATCTGCCTTCGGAAGATCTTCATCGACAGCACTGGAGGATCCGACCTCCACCAGGTCATCTGCTGCTTCGGACTTTCCGTCAATTTGTCGGCCTAGCTTTTCTTTGATACCATCACTCGTGCCAAAATCTGCTGCCGCCAATGCAACTAATCGCTGGATAAGATTATAATCTGCTGTTGAAATGTTGCAATCGTCTTCAAAGTTGACTAAATATTCCCTCAAAATCTCGAGTGATTCCTCTTCTGTTAAGCTTTCCATTTTTTCAATCAAAAAAGTGGCCGAAGGAGGGAGATGTTCTAAGCTTAACAAACCATCCAAGTACATTCTTCTCAAAATGAAGAATTTTTGGTCCTCGGTAAATGAGGCACCAACGTCGCCAAGAGCAATGTCGCTTGACTGGAGAGCACTTAAATCCACTTCATGGTCAACTGCGTTTAAGCGACTACCTGTACTGGTAATTCCTGCAAGCGGTGAAATCGTTGATCTCACAGGTGAGACAGACATAGAATCTTCGAGAAGTCATCAGAAGGTGGTGCCTTTTTATGAAAAATATGGTCAGTGTGGCGCAAGGCAGTACGGCTCTTTGTCCCACTTCTACTCGATGGCTTTTCTCGCTTTCGCATTGCCCGTGTGATAGCATTTTGCTTCTACACCATTTTGCTGTGCCGCACGAAGCCATGCTTTGACAGGCTCCATATTCTTATGCGCCACAAATGGCTCTGTTCTTGATGGAACATGCCAGTGGGAAATCGAGAAAATTGCTGCTTCTCTGAACTGCTTATAAGGTAAGCTGAAACTTTCAATATGGGTCCTTAGGACTTCATCTGCCAAGCTATGTGCGTAATAAGTGCTAAGCGAAAACCGCTGGAGCGCATTTTCGTGCATGAAGTGCGGCGTCAGCTGTCAAAGTGCCGATGCGGCCCACCAAAAGCACACCAATTATTAGGATTTGTTTTGTTATGGACCATTGGCGTTTGCACGGACCAAATTTGTCACTTTAACCGAAGAGTCATGCGGCAGCATGCATGTTCAGGAACTGTGGAAGCGAAGTGCGCAGCGGGAAAAGAAGCAAGATTAACAGACAAAGTTATATTAAAGTAAGCTCGACACAACTAAGGGTAGTGTCCCTTACGAGGTCCAAAGTAACCATCTGGAGCGGAGATGGTAGCGTTTAAATCAGCAACACTCAGGCCATCCATTCCAGCGTACATAACAGTGTTACCCCACCAGTTGATACTCTTATCGTGGTACTGAACTGCGAAGAAAATAATGATTCCACTAAAAGCTACTCCTGCAGTCATACCGGCCGAGAAAAGATAGTTGTATTTCTGCCACCATGCGGGCTTTCTTGATTGCAAGTACCACATAGAAGCAATTGCCAAGTACAATCCGCCAAGCACATAAGTAAGATTGTATGGAGCGTAAAGCAACATACCACCGATTATGACAGTTGGTTGGAAATACTTGGTAAGTTTCTTTGGTCCGTACCACTTGAAAAGGACAGCTGGAATTGTCAACAAGAATCCAATCAAGAAGCAGTACTGCAAGATTGGATACAAACCATTGAATACTCTCTTGGGCCCAATAACACCCCACAACACTGATGCAGAATAGAACGTTCTGGCCTGCGCGCAAGTGAACTTCTGTTTGTTCAATGGATCGCAATAGTCGGTGATACCGGTAAGCTGGAAGCTGATAATACCCAAGGTAATGAAACAGTTAATGAAGACAGACAACATTTGCACTCTGAAGATTGACCATGGTGGAATACGGACGTAATGGGCCATTTTTTGGTTGGAGATATAGTTCTCCGCTTGTCCATCGATATTGTAACCAATGGCTTTGATGAACATCAAGGCAAGACCATTACCTGGCAATGCATAACCGACGATAAGTTCGACTAACACGTTCAAACCAAACGAAAAACCGGTTCTCGAGTAGATTGAGGCCAAAGGAATCAAGAAGACGAAATTGATACCAATAGCAAAGAAAATACCCCACACTGGAGTCTCCGCAGGATAAAGCTTCACACACAAAATGGACAAAACGATGGAGATAATTAAAACCGCGAAAAAGACCCAGTCTGGTACCTCTTTGTACTTTGCCATCAGTCTGCTATATGGGTCGTTAAACCCCTCATAGTTAGAACGACGGAAGTTTCTCATGGTTTGCCAGATACTCTTAAAAGCGAAGAAGTTGATTCTCCAGTTAACCACGAATTCGTAAACGAAAGCAAAAGGGTAAATGGCAAAGAATGCGCCATAAACAACGAGATTTGCAGCCGAGTAAAATGGAGGACCAACTTCTTGATATTTCTTTTCATCAAAGAGACCTTTCTCGTTCAATACTGCAGTAACGGCATAAGGCTGGCCCGTGTTGGTGTACAATCCGTTAGTGTTGATGGGAATGTATTGGGACCACAAATTGTTCGAGTAATAAACCCCAATAATACAGAAGAATGCAATGGTCCAGCCGATTGCTTGGTTCATGGTGGAATAGAATGGGATGGTCAATGGTAAATTGTAATTCAAAACAGTCCAGTCAAAGGTGGAGATTGGATTCAAACCTAAGCCAGACACTGACCCAGTAATGTTAGCAAGGGTAAGATTCGAAGGTTTAATCCATGTCATCCAGTTGAATGTCGAAAGAAATTGCATGAGGTAGTTTGGAATCCAGAAGTAAAGGAAAGAACCGAAGAAGGTTGCAAAAAAGAAATAGTACCTCGAAATGGTCCATCCGTGAATGTTTTCCTTTTGCTCTGGGAGGGTCAACGCCTTGTTCAACGCAATGGTGGGCAAAACAGTAGGCCAAATCGATTGGACAGGGTAAACAACGAAACGTCTCATAATTCCAGCCAAACCAAAACCAAGGAACTGACTTGACAACATCAAAAGAACTTGATAACCAAAATCAACCCATTTGTTGTCGTAGAACACTTCAGATTTTTGAACAAGAATATTCCAGGAGACGTACGGAGTGGTACCAGAAATCGAGTAACAAAGGGTTGCAAGCATTTGCTCCTTGTATGTCCAAGTACCAGGGTTCAAATTAATGTTGTATCTCCAAATCTTGAAACTCTTCTTTGGAAGAATATAAGAAAGAAGTACGCCAGTTGGGTAAATGAAGACCTGAGCTACCAGCGGCTGGAAAAGAATTGCTGGTTGTCTTTCTGAGAAAAACTGGTTAATCACAGATCCAATAGCGGTCCAAATAATTCCGACGACATAAACTCTGAAAGTCTCACAAGGAACAGTAGGGTCATCGTAAGGTTCAGTGACACTTCTTACTGATGGGTAAGGAGAGTGGTAAGCAATCAAGCCAGCTTCAACCTTGACTTGCAATGGCCAATCGACAACCTTGTGGTATTCATGTTGGATGTCGGCGGTCAAATCGGGGTCATCAGTATCAGCAGATCCAACCTCCACCTGGGTGTCGACCGCGTCCGATTTTCCGTCAATTTGGTTCTGCAACTTCTCCTTGATTCCTTTTCCAGCACCAAGGTGAGCTGGAGCCAACGCAACTAAACGTTGATTGAGGTTGTAGTCGGCGGTGGAGACATTACAGTCGTCGGCAAAGCTGGTAAGGTACTCCTTCAAGATCTCAACAGATTCTTCTTCCGTCAAAGACTCCATCTTCTCGACCATGAAAGTGGCTGAGGGAGGAAGATGATCCAAACTCAACAAACCATCCATGTTCATTCTTCTCAAGATAAAGAATTTTTGTTCCTCAGTGAATGAGGCACCAACATCGCCAAGGGCGATGTCATTAGATTGAAGAACATGTAAGTTGACTTCATGGTCGTCTGCTTCTAATCTACTACCTGCACTGATGATTCCGGTGAGCGCATTCTCTTTTTCTACGCTGGCCATCTTGTACGAGGTTGCTGTAGGTAAAAGAAGCTTGACCTTATATAGTATGACCCGTGATAAGAATCGAGGTGGTATCATGGCTCCACAAAGATAGGCGCTGAGGCGCGATCGTGCATGATACGGCTCCGGGTTTCATTATCTCACTTCTGTGCATTTGCCCAGCTTCAATTAAAGTTGCCATTTTTTGAGAAACATATTCAGGGCATTTGCAACCATCGCAAGATCTAATCTTCGATCAGATCCACATCGAAGAACGTACTTTGCTCCAAATTGAACTGTGGAGGCTTTGAGATGGTCCTCTTGAAACCATTTCAGAATATCTGGTGAGCGCATTATTTTGGTGCTATCTTGGGAGGGGCCTCGGTGCGGCTTATGCACGTCTAATTTTACTTGCCGCGGAAATCTTGACAGAAATTTGACAGCTTGCTAACAAATCAAACGAGTGCCCTAATGACCGATGATTTAGGTGGAATTTGTCTACGCTAGAGTACAAGGTAAGTTTGGTGCCATGGTCTATCCTAATTCTACCCTGCTCAACAGAACCCGTTAATTTGCCACATGTTTGGTCATCGTCTCCATGCATGGCACGGCACCAACTTCTTATCAAGTGTCACGTGAGTTGTGGATGCCCAGCTTTTTGGTGCGGCGCATGATGAATATTTCCTAGTTTCTCAATATGCGTCGGGAGTGGGCCGTGCATGCCTTGCCGATATTCGGTTTCTTTCTCGCGGTCCGCGGCGCCGCTGCATACTATTAGAGTATATGCATCAGGCTAAACTTGCCATGCGTCAGAGGGGAGGTCGTAATTTCAGATCTCCACCCTTTGTCTCTGTACCTCGATAACGTTGGTTCCGCCGTTTGACAAAGGAATGACTTGAATGCTTCTACCGGGCCCTAGACTGTGAGTCTGATGTGACGTTGCGGAAAAGATTTCTTCTGACCTTCGATATCCCTATTTGCGATCCACTTAAAGCCGATATACGACGAGGTATTGTGTGGCTGGAGTGGCATATCGGTCAATTTCTGCAGATGTGGTATATTCAAGCCAAGCTTTCTTTTCCGTACGGCAAAAGCGTACGGCAAAAGCAATGCACAATTGCGGTTGACCCGACAATCTTCCCTTGTGGCATCAAAGAAGTCAGTTGCTTCCGCATAACGAATGGCCCGACGGCGAACCAAAGTATAGGGGTAAAGTGTGGTGCCGACTTTGACTCTCCTTCGGAAACATTGATTTTTCCTGCTTAGCGTATTCGAGAAATGAACCATATCTTGCATTGCAGATGGAGATAAGTTTTTCTTAACTTATCAATCTAGGATCAAACAATTGTCTTGGCTTTCACGAACAGTAATTCCTAGTGCGATAGTAAAGCTCTTGGACATATTTCTGCCGAAGTGCTATTTTTGGTCGCTCTTTCGTCTTTGAAGGACGACAGAGTCAACGAAATTGCGCTTTATGCGATGGGTGCTGAAACATAAACGGCGGTAAAGAATTTTGACAGCTATCTCGCCCAGAAGTAGCAAGGAAACCCGTACTAGATTGACTCGTATTTGGAGTCCTATTAAACATCGAAAGAATGCCAGCAAAATCGGGGAAGCTCCAGAATCGTTTTAATCAACTTAGAATGTCATTGAAATGGTCTTCTCTAGTAAGAAACCGAACACAAGACTTTTCAGAAGTAACAGGCAAAATCTAGTTGGGCGAGGTTCTGAGCCAGGCTGGTCAGAGGCTAGCATCCTCGTTCAATGATTACAGCTGTGTTTCAGGTCGATTCTCAATGTGTCCATTCATTCTGAATCTGAACTTGAATTTGACGACAGGGTTTTAGAACGATCACTCTCAGTGCGAGCCTTGTGATGATATAGACGTCGTCGCCGAGGGTTCTCTTTCAAACACATTATATTGATGCTCTGCTGAAAGAACAGCAGCAACTCTGCTTGAGAGAATTAAACGACCATCTAAACTTTATATTTCGTTTCATGTGTCGACACCACAGTCACACGGTGGCTTTCTAGCCACGGAGTCTCTCGTTCCCAAACCCAATTTCGGAATGTGAAATGCCTGAATCATCCTTTTTACATTGCCTGCAGCATATATGACACCATCTTATGCGACAATAACCGCCCCGAGTCATTTAAGGTTTTGACAGGAGTAAGGGCTGCAACTTGCATGAGCCGCAAGGGTGTTGCCTTGATTATTGTCCGATATGCATGTCAAAGGCTCCGTGCTTCAATTTGGGCGTTAGAACCTTATCAATGTCAATTTGAAACATGGGTCAAGAATCAGCAGGACATTACGATAAACTGATAATTGAATAGGCGAGAATCCAGGTAACCTAACAATTACATTGAAACTACACTAGAAATCAAAGAAAAAGCATATGATATGCCTAACTTATGAATGATTACGGCAAATCAAACAAGAGTTCAAGAAATGAACTATATCCACAATTACTAGAACAACCCATCGACCAGGTGTTCCCGTATCACTATAGGTGGTGAGCCACTCATCCTGAAGTGGTGTGCGAATTCAAATGGACTCAAGTTTATGCGGGTTCAGCCTTCTCCTTTAGTGGTTTTGGTTCAGAGTAAAGCAAGACCTTTGCTCCTTGTTTCTTCATATCGTTGCAAACGTGACACTGTTTGAATCTCATCAACTTTCTGCCTTTATGTTTTTCATAATAGACTTCATCAGATTCACTTACACCATCGGAAATAGCGGTTATGGCAATTTCTGGAGTAAACCGTGGTCCATTTAGATGAAAATGAAATATCATACTGCACCACCATCGGGTGTTTGTCCTTATATTTTAAATGTGAGCCGACTTTGTGTCATGAAGTATAATGCGCTTCACGACGTGAGAATAGATGCGCGAGAATGCGGCTCTATTGTGATTCCCCCCATTGAAGCCGCGCACAAGCTTCGGCACATCTGTCAATGAAAAAGGGAAGTTTACGCGAGGAAAAAAATACGACCTACTACGAGGAACAAAAGATTTTAGCAGAACTTGAATAGTCTGTCACTCAAGAGAGAAAGACTAGAAATGGGTTAAAGTTTGATCTCCAGAGGGGTGGACACATCAATAGCTATTTTTAGATTGCTAATCAACTATCTCAACAAAGCGTATGTCTCGTATTCAAACTGATTGTCGAGTGTAATAAACTGTCATGAGTTCCAAAGGCTACTTCAGTCTATCCGAAAAAACAATCCTGAACTTGCAAAAGACTACTGAACTCTTGTTTTGAGAGACGACGTAAAAATCTTGTTGCATTGACATGGCCAATTAACTGTGAAAACTGACACCATTGCAATTGCCTAGTTGAGCTGTTAACAACTTTAAGCTGAGAAAAGCGGTATAATGTGGAGATAATGCACAGAGTTGGAATTTATTGGAGTGACATAGTATGGACTTGGACTCAATACCCACTTACATGAGATATCTTTAAACTCACAAACTCAAAATGAAATCAGTTGGATCATATTGAACTGTATGTGGTATCAACAATCCTCGAATGTGACTCGAATTCGTTTCCACTGAGAAACCCAAACCCAATTCACTATACATTAGTGGGTTGCAGGTATTCGTATCACCCAAATGAGTTTCCATCGCATCTCAACACTAACATATAGCTGTGTCAGCATTACCAGTGTCATCTCGTATAAGCACCGAGGTGCTATCCCAATGATATTCACCATTATGACGCAACACCAACCTCTCTATTAGTCTCTAGTGTACACTCACATCACAGCATGAACAAAGAACGTTACCGATTGACGAATTCTATGCTTTCGCCTAAGCTCTCTTGCCTGTTCACTGGCAGTGTTGTTATTTTTGCTCTTTCTCCTCGTCAATTTACGAAATTTCTTGACTATGGCTTCAGCATAGGTAACTGAGGTGTCTGGTACGTCGGATATCATTGTCTGTAGCACAAGATTATCAGGTGCCATGGCAAAGCCTTTTTCTTGCTGGCAGATAAGAAAGTGGAAGCATGGAGAATGCTTGAGATTGAGAGTTGTTAACGGGCAGTTAATCTCGGCAAGGTCACTGATTTTTGTAATGGAAAATGATTTACCCAAATGAAGTACCTTGATTTGATTGATGTAAGATACCTGCTGCTCGGGTGCGAGAGTGCGGAGGTGAGCATAGATATAGATGAGAAGGTGGTTTGTGGTCAAGGAATCGATGGTGACGGTAGGACAATCACCGGTACTCTGAAGCTTGTTCAAAGCGGAATTCACAAACCGCAAAATCAGCGATAATTTCACTGCGGATTTCAAGGTTGTTACAGAATTGACAAGCGTTAATTCCACCTCGTTTTCACCTTCTTCTTCGTCACTGAGATCATTGGTGAGTGTATCTGGCTTGAAAAGTTGGTATCTTGACTGGCTACGCAATCCTGTGGCGGGATCAAAAGCTCTGATCGCTATGTCATCCTCCTCATCTTCGTCACTGTCGCATTCGTTGTTGGAAAACATCGTTGATACCGAGCTACACGGCGTGAGTTGCTCCATAAACTGAAGATGTTCTAAGCAAACAAGAGCATCTGCATCCTCTGGGTCGACCAGCGATACCGAGGGAATAGGGGATAACATGTTTTCCTCTTAGGGGTCCTATAAAGGGGTGAAAACGTGAGTCGAAAAATGTTTTCAGTTTTGATGAGTGTAAAAAGAGTAGCAACGTTGAACAGTGTTATCAGCTAATTCTGAGCACTTTTGACGCGTGAAATCTCGGGACAAGTTGACTTATTCCAAGATCTTAAACTAGTATGTTCAAAAAAGATAGTGATGAGTAGCAAATTTTGAATTCCCCGCTATTGTACTCCGGAATCGAAATCATGCAGGCAGAAAAAATCTGGGGATAGTGGGGTGACCGCATTATATGCAGTCGGTTAGTTGCCGAGCCGAGAAATCACTTTTTCATTTACACTTCCAAAACCGCATTTGCTTGCACAGAAAGAAAATGCAATACATTATCAAGAATGTAGGATGTACAGCCTGATTTCTTGAGCTTTTGTGCCACAGATACAAGCTCAGCGTTGACTTTCACGTAGTCGTGACCCGACCGAAACCCCACGGATACGGGCTCATCTACAATTACGACCCGCCCCGAGATCACGTGTACGGTGTTTGGTGTGGTTTGTTGTGTTATGTTTGGCGGCAGTACAGCGTCGATTATGTTAGCAAGGGTCTCGCAGCGGATATAATGGAATTTGGTCATCATATTGGCATCGGAGGCGAAAGTGAAGTCTTGAGAATCGAGAAGATTGACAATTTTTGATGGCAGCAGTCCATTGATATAGATTAGTTGAGAGATCAGATTCGGGTCATGGGAGTATTGTAGATCGATCTGGCGTAGCACGTACTCTAGGCTATTTGAATTTGAGTTTTTTGGTGAGATAAAGGTGAGCATGAAGCTATGTGATAGACAGATAAAGTTTTGTGCGACGGACTGCATGCAGACTGTTCAGAGACCAGAGAAAAGACTAAAGAAGATACTAAGCCAGGAAACAGGCTAGATCCACCTAATGACCAATGTCGTTTTCTGAAACACCTGTGCTCGTTTTAACACACTTCTCTACATATAATCTTCACCTCTACATCATTTCGATTAGCATTTATAGAAATCTTTATGTATGGCCGCAGCCGTTCCCGAAGGAATTGTGTATTTAGTATCCGAACTCGGCCAACTTCTTGGCAGCTTCGGAACCGGCAGTGGCAGTTTGAGCGCTCTCCACCTTCTTGGCCAAGGCCTTCTTCTTGGCGTAGTATTCGGCAGATTGCAACTTTCTCTTCTCCTCCAACTTGTCAACCACAGTCTCGTATTTCCAGCCAACAGCAGAAGACAACTTACCAACGGTGGTGTACTTTCTACCTTGCTTCAATCTCAACACTCTCAAAGCTTGTGGAACAACAACTCTCTTCTTCTTGTCGTATGGTGGAGGAATACCTTCAAAGACCTTGAGTCTCTCCAAAGCAGCTTGACCTCTAGCGGTCTTGTGAGGAATCATACCTCTCACAGCCTTGTAGAGAATTCTCGAAGGAGCTCTGAAGTGGAATGGACCCTTGGTCTTGTTGTATCTGGTACTCTTTCTCAAGTAGTCGTGGTACTTCAACTTGTTTCTGAAAAATTCACCACTGATGTTCAAGGCCTCGGCTCTGACAACGACGATTTTTTGGCCGTTCAAAACCTGCTTGGCAATGATGGAAGCCAAGCGACCCAACAAGTGGCCCTTACCGTCGATAACAACAACTGGTTCGAATGATGACATTTGGTACCTAAAGATTTCGCAGCGGTGTTGAAACTTTTTTCTAAGGTGAGGAATTTTCGCCACGGCGCACATCTGAGAACGGCGATGGTCATGTGACAGGGCACAGCCCTGTGACCGTGGTAACGTAGGGAAATGTAAATGCCATGTCTGGTGCTGTTGCTACAATGTTCAAGTACTGTTATGGTAGTGGCGATAGATCACCGGCTTCGTGTGTCACTAGCGGCTGACGTTGTTTTTTGTGGCAGCCATTTATGACTTCTGGACACATCCTACACCCATACATAAACGGTTGCAAATTACTTGCTGCGAAACCTAAACGTTGATAAAGTCATGTAATATGACAAAAGACAGCAAAAGATACAAAGGGAAACAGTTCCCAAAGAGTTACACTACCAGAGCAAAACTTTCTATCTTATGAATTCAGTTCCTCCATACCGTAATTATTTTATTCGTTGACCTACTATTTCCTATACTTTGACTGCTGAATTGAGAACAGTCACAATAGCCTGAATCGACGCCTCCGACACATCAGAGTTGATTCCACATCCCCATTTGCTAACCTCATCTCCTTGGTTATCTCTGAACTTCAAGTTCAAATAAGTTGCAGCTTTAGCTTGACTTCCAGAGCCCAAACTGTGCTCAGAATAGTTGACCACTTCCATCAAAATGCCAAATTTCTTGGAAACGGCATCAAGGAACGCTGAAATCGGTCCATTACCTTCACCACGAATCTCCACCTCCTTGCCGTTGACTTCCAACACGGTGTTAATTTCACGATTGACGTCGGCAGTAGCAGCCTTATTCTTGTTCTTGGAAATCTCAAAGTCAACCAACCGAATGGCAGAAGTATCCTTGGTCAAGTATTCAGATTTGAAGAGTTCAGCAATTTCCTGAGCCTTCAACTCGCGACCCAAAAGGTCAGCTTCTTTTTGCACAATGTTGGAAAACGTAACTTGCAATTGTCTGGGCAAATCCAATCCCAAAGATCTCAAGATGATCCAGGCTGCTCCTCCTTTCCCAGATTGAGAGTTGACTCTGATGACTGCTTCGTATGTTCTACCAATGTCCTTAGGATCCAATGGCAAGTATGGAATTGCCCACTTGGTGTTACCCTCAGCAAGTCTCTGCTCGTATTTGAGGAAACCCTTCTTGATGGCATCTTGATGCGATCCAGAGAAAGCACACACGACTAACGACCCAGCATAAGGTGCACGAGGATGAACTGCAATTTTGTTGCACCTTTCAGAAATGTCGATAATTGACTGCAAATCAGAAAAGTCCAAGTTTGGAGAAACTCCCTGGGTATACAAGTTCAAAGCCACAGTGATCAAGTCGACGTTTCCAGTTCTTTCTCCATTTCCAAACATACATCCTTCAACTCTGTCGGCTCCAGCCATCACACCGAGCTCAGCAGCTGCTACCCCACATCCTCTATCATTGTGAGGATGGACGGAAACACACACCTTTTCACGTTCAGAGATGTTTCTGCAAAAGTACTCGATTTGGTCGGCGTAAATGTTTGGAGATGCAACTTCGACGGTAGCAGGCAAGTTGAAGATGAGAGGAAGTTCCACAGTGGGTTCCCATACCTTCTTCACGGCCTCACAAATTTCCACGGCAAACTCAGTGGGCGTGTCAGAGAAACATTCAGGAGAGAACTCCAAAGTCCATTCGGTCTCTTGCATAGATGGGTCGTCTTTTGTCAAAGATCTGATTAATTTTGTGGTTTCGATGGACTTGGCAATGGCCTCTTCTTTGGACATGTTGAACACCACGTCGCGGAAAACGTCACTGGTGGCCAAGTAGAAATGAATCGTGGCCTTCTTGGCTCCTTTAACCGACTCTACGGTTCTTCTGATCAACGGTTCTCTAGACTGGGTCAAGACTTGAATCGACACATCTTCGGGTGCATTTTCCACTGCGTACCTGGTAAAGTCGAAATCGGTTTGGGATGCCGACGGAAACGACACTTCGATCTCTTTGAACCCAATCTCAAGCAATTTGTGAAAGTATTCTTTTTTTTCAGCGATGGACATGGGATCTGGCAATGCCTGATTACCGTCTCGAAGATCGGTCGAGAGCCATCTGGGGGCCTTGGTGATGGACTTGTTGGGCCATGTTCTGTCAGGAAGTGCTACTCCTTTGAAAGCCTTGTACTTTTTAGACGGGTCTTTCAACATATTGGCGTACGGCTTGGTAGCCGCAGCCTTTTGTAAAAGACGTAAGGACAGCTTAAACATTACTTTTGAGTGCTTTTCGGAAAGGAAACGCTCAAATTAACCTTGCAATAACTTTTACTGGTTACGAAGAAGTGGTTTGATGACTATTTTCTGTACTATTATAGAATGATTTCTCCGCCGCACCGGCAAAATTTTTCAGCGGTACCGGCGACCCCACCTTTTGCGGAGCGAAGACTGTGATCGCGGAACCGGGGTTTATTCGAGTAATATGGCAGAATGAAAGAGCAAGTAGATCTGTGGTGTAGTAATTGTTGATCATCAACTTTTTGTCAATATTTGTCAATATTGTCGATTTTTGTAATTTTGCAATTTTACTTATGTTCTCCTCGTGTAGTAACCCCAAGGGTGCTTGAAATTTCAGAAAAAATTGCAAATATTGAAAATTGCTTGATATCCTCAAAACAACTCAAAACAACTCAAAACCAAGCCACAATCATGAATTTGCCATGTTAAACCCATTTAACCTTCAATTTCATTCATCCCTCTCCTAACCCCTCATCTCGTCTGAGCTCATCGCCCATCCCACCCATACACCATCATCGCTTCCTAAATTTTTCACCATAGCAGGAAAACTATTTAGGCTTCCATAACCCATACTCAAATATTACGACAATGGCTAAGTCATCAACCAAAGCAGCCAAGCCTGTAAAGAAGCAATCAAAGTCTGTGAAGGCTAAGGCTCCAGAGTCCTCCTCTGAGTCTGAATCTTCTTCCGACTCCAGCTCCAGCTCCTCATCGGAATCCAGTTCTGAGTCTTCGAGTTCCGACTCCAGCTCTGACTCCGAATCTGATGCTGAAGAATCTTCCGACTCCGAGTCTGAAGAAGAAAAGAAGGAGGTGAAGTCTGATAAGAAGAGCGATACTTCATCGAAGGACTCCGATTCCGACTCGAGCTCGAGTTCTGAGTCTGGTTCCGACTCTGACTCTTCAGACTCCGAGTCCGAAGAGGAGAAGGAGGTCAAGAAACTGCCAAAGAAGGAAACCAAGGCTGAAAAGAAGGAGGAAAAGAAGGCTGAAAGTTCTGATTCTTCTGACTCTAGTTCTGATTCCGATTCTGATTCTAGCTCTTCCAGCTCTTCCAGCTCATCCAGCTCCGACTCTGACTCCGACTCTGATTCTGATTCCGACTCTGAGTCTGCGAAGGAAGAGACCAAGAAGCCCGCTGAGAAGAAGCGTAAAGCCGAGCCTGCTGCCGAAGAGGAGGCTGCCGAAGAGCCAGTTGCTAAGAAGCTGAAAAACGAAGAGCCAGCAACTTTGTTCGTGGGCAGATTGTCGTGGAACATCGACGACGAGTGGTTGAGAAGAGAATTCGAACCTATTGGTGGAGTTATTAGTGCTCGTGTGATCATGGAGAGAGCCACTGGTAAGTCTCGTGGTTACGGATTACGTTGACTTTGACTCCAAGTCAGCCGCCGAAAAGGCATTGAATGAATACCAAGGCAAGGAAATTGACGGTAGACCAGTCAACTTGGATATGTCCACCCGGTAAAGCCCCATGCTGCTAACCCTCGTGTTGAGAGAGCCAAGCAATTTGGTGATGTTCCATCGGCTCCTTCCGACACTTTGTTCGTGGGTAATTTGTCTTTCAACGCTCAAAGAGACAACTTGTTCCAAGTCTTCGGTGAGTACGGAACTGTGATCTCATGTCGTATCCCCACCCATCCCGATACTCAACAACCAAAGGGTTTTGGTTACGTTCAATTCGGATCGGTTGACGAGGCCAAGGCTGCTTACGAGGCCATGAATGGACAATATATTGAGGGCCGTGCGTGCCGTTTGGACTTCTCCACCCCCAGGGATAATTCTTCCAGACCTGGAACCCCAAGAGGAGGCGGAGCCGGAACCCCAAGAGGTGGGTTCTCCGGTGGATTCGGAGGCCGCGAGAGATCATCAACTCCCACTCCTAGACGTAACACCGAGTTCAAAGGTACCAAAAAGACCTTTGATTAACTGTATATTACGGGAATTGCATGGATATAACAGAATAAATACAATGATTGTTTGCACAAATGTAGAATTATTCAATCCCAGTTTAAACCCCATTTTTCGCAGCCGTATTGAGTGGCCGGCCTGCATGTGCGCGCGAGAGAAGCCGTCGTGACATGTTTCGCGGCGCCGGAAAACCGGCGGTTTCTACTCATATTACGAACGGACTTCCTAATTCGCGCACGAACCCAGGTTTGGTGGGGTCAGATATGGGGCAACCAATTGGTGTCTTCGAACGGAAAATTATCAAAATTTGTAATTATAACGGGAAAAACTCGGAAAATTCTACCAAAACTCTTCTAGACTCCTCTCACGTTCAATTTATACCTGGTACATGCGTAATGGCTTTTTGTCCATCTAAGCCCCCCACAGTAACGCCGCCTTGACGTCCTGCAGACAGACCCGTTGGGAACTGTCAAATTTGGTGTCCTCAGGCTGATAAGATATTACCGTTCATTTCAACCAACAATCCATCTTAGTACACCGGTCAAAGTCCATTTCGCATCTTCGATTTTGTGTTTGCTACCCATACCCGTTGCTATTCTACAACAAAGCTAAGTCACATGGCACATTAACCTGATGAAACGAGCGGTTACAAAGTTCATTTCTCTGCGGCAGAGTCTACTTGGTAACTCAGGTAGCGATGCCTCGGAACCAGGACACCGACTAGACTTTAATTCTGTCGACGATTTTTACATTTTGTTGGATAATCCTCATAAATCGTGGACTCCCGGTGACGAACTCTCGGGTCAGATAATATTTATTTCTAAGAAGAACCTTGCTAATATCATCATAACTTTGTCGCTTGTTGGCTACGTCAAGATTAATCCTTCGTCCCACTCGAAATTACGCCTGGTAAAACGGTCATTATTCAATCATACAATACGCATTTATGGCTCCGACGATACTGTACGTACGGGCCAAGAATACTCCAATGGTTTGTACAAGGGAGAACATCGGTTTCCTTTCATTGTCAAGCTCCCAAACAAGAGAATATTCACCAGCATTGATTTTGGCAAGGGCCGAATAGTGTACCTTTTGCGTGCAAATGTAGGTGATGCCAACTCTTCCAATGTGGCCAGTAGCCCAGCCAGCCTATCATCTTCATCACCTTCAGAAAATGGCAGTTCACCAGCATCAAACTTTACCAGGCATAAGAGTTTCCGTTCGTTACAAAACTCAAGTTTTACGTCGGAAAAAATCATCAACATCGTAAACCCTTTGGATGTGTCCAAGTTACCTCCGCCACAACCAAAACGACTAAAGATCAAGGATCCTCGAAGAACGAAAATGCTCGCACGGACACAGTCGTCAACTTCCACCATCAACACCTTCAACACGGTTGGCACTGTCTCTTCGAACAACTCTGATAACCAGGCTTCACTTCATACCAATACAGACCTGCCATCCAACAACGCACCACTGGCTCAAGCACAAAACTCAACAACGTCTCCGGGAGATACTTCAGACCCAGAATCGATCCGATTGTCGCTTGAGGTTTCCCAGCGAGGGTTCTTGCGTGGTGAACTTATCCCCATCAAAATGCACATTAATCATCTTAAAAAGGTGCAAGATGTGAACGGTATAATCATTACGTTCGTGAGAGTTTGTAGGATTGAAAATGGTCCTGATGGCCTTTTTGATTCTTTCAGAAAAGATCTTCAGCAACAAATCGTTCCATTATACGTTGATCCAACGACATTTCTGTCAGAAATCAGTACAAGCATCAGAGTGCCAGCAGATGCATTCCCGACCATCACTGGCTGTCCTTTAGTGAGTTTCCAGTACTTTCTAGAAGTTCTTATCAATCTTTCAGGAAAGTCGATCTCGCTCGATGATAACGATCACCCGAAACAAACCGTGCAAATAAATGAGACACCAAGCCATACATTCATGGAATCTGAGGCCAAGCAATCGAACTTCAAGTTTAACTTTTCCCTCCCTTCAGCAAATACAGTGAGTCCCAAGGAACGCTCTGGCTTCCTAAATACTGACAAGTATAAGCGAATGAAGAAGTTTCTACAGCTAACGACGGAAATAGTAATTGGTACCCACAGACTGAACGATCCTACAAGTGTGCCTGAGGGGTCTACAGATCAATTATCGGCGTCTCGCCGGTCATCACTCATTGGTTCCAATGTTTCTGGTAATGGTTACAGCCCATCTGACCGACAATCGCCATCACAGTCTTTGTTACCCAATATACCAGTTAACCGTGAAGACGCTAGTCCTGAAATTATGGAGACTCCTCCTTACACTGATGGACAGCCATCATTCTCAGCGCCCAACTACTTGGATATTGTTGGCCCATCTCACACTAACGATCTCTTACCTTTACCCAATACCAATGGACATTCTGAAAAGGAACGTATGAGGATTCACGAGGAGAGTTTGTTACCTTCTGAACCAATTCTCGATGATATTGACGAAGATGATAAAGAGACCATTAGTCCGTTAAATCATGATGCACTTTTTGAATCTGAACCAGATCATAACGGGGGACATTCACCTTACGATGTAACGATCTCAAATGATGACAACAACTTTAGTACTACCGCGGATACACTTGAGGGCCACACTCGCCCATACCATGACGATGACGACAGCTTGTACCATTTACCTTCGAACACCATGGAAAGTGCTCCAAGATATGATAATGCCACAAAAGATACTCTTTTACAACAGGGTGATCATGAAGAACAACATTAAACTAAAAAAAAATATGAAAATCAATTTTATTAAAACCCGTAGATGCGCAGATTGCTGCTAATGTTACAAATTAATCATATATCCTCATCAAGATGACTGGGCGAGATAGAGTTTCTTTTGCAATGAAGTCACATTCTCCTTCAATTGGTCTCTCTCTTGCTTCAATATGAACAAATCAGCTTCCAAGTCCTTAATCTTCATGTTGAAATGGGCACTGGAAATATGTCCTTCGTCATCTGCCGCTTCTGGTTCATGGCTACTAAATTCAGGAGTAGATCCTTCTTCAAGAATTGGCGATTTTGAGCTTAATCTCTTGGAAGACGATGCCTTCTTGTAAATCTTCAACTCACTGTTCTCCTTCATAAGTTTATCAATAAGCACCTTTTGCTTATCAAGCTCTTCTTGGGTCAAGTTGAGTGCTCTGCTGGTATTGTTAACAGATTGTAAAGCGTCGCGGTAGTTCGTCTCAAATGTCTTCAAGTTTTGCAATTTGGCTTCTAATTCTGCCCTCAACTCTTGAATTTCTAGCGAAGCACCCTCCTCTTGCTGCTTACTGATTCTCATCAGTTCATCAAGTTGCTTCTGCAATTGTTCCACCATTGCGTTTGATTCAGGATTGGTTTCAGCTCCTTCAACAGAAATGTTTCTACTATGAGAGCCTGTAGCATTCTTGAACGACCACAAGTTAACAAGATTCTCCAAGTGTGAGGCAATGTCCTTCTTGCTCCTTCTACCAGTGGCATTGCTCATGATCGATCTGTTTGAAGGGTCACCTCCGTTCTCAGCAATAATTTCGCCCTCGTCGTCAGAGATTTCATCATCCGCATGTATAGTTTTGTAATTCTCGTGCTCGAGCCTCAAGCTCTCATAACGAGATTTCCATTCATTTATCTCTTTCTGCAATGGTTCTTGTTCCTTCAACTGAGACGTGAGCTTGGCAATCTTTTCTTCCTGGGCCCCGATGATCTTTTGGAAATCTGACAACTGGCCAATCTGGTTGTTCATAAAAGGCTCAAACTCCTCGAGCTTTTTAGACAACAGATTGTTCTGCTGTTGCAAGTATAAAAGTTTGTTGTTGAGTTCCAAACGTTCCAACTTGAGCCTGTTCTTTTCAGTGATTCCAATATTATCTGGGCCAGGAGTACTGCCCTCGCTTTCGTCAACAGCAAATGCTGATGGATCCATTTGACGTTTCATTTCAAGTAGAATCTCGTCTTTCTCCTGGACTTGTGCTTGAAGGTCCCGGATTTGGTCCTGACCATTATTTTGCTTCAACTCGCGGTTCTCTCTCTCAAGGGCATTGATTCTATCAGTGGCCACCAGCATCTGCTGCTTAGTTGAAGAGCGGAGCAGATTCAATTCGTTTGTCAAATCAGCCACAAGTGCCTTGACTTTCGAGTCATCTCTGGTGCTGTGGCTCTGTGATACATCGCGCAGAAGGTCCGGAGTTGTGTTTTCCTCACGAGAAATATCTGCCTCGATGGGGTCAACAGCAACACCGTGACCGTTGTGGAAATTTCTCTTTGGCGATTCCGAGTGTGTGTAACTGGTCTCGTGCAAAAAGTTACCGCTTCTGGGAGTGATTTCTTCATCGATTGTATCTTCCTTCTCTGACATCGAAGCCGAGGGAACGTCCACTTCAACAAATTTGTCTTGGTTTTCCAGAGTCATATAGCCAGAAGCAGCAGAAGACGCAACGCCCGAATTGAGGTCTCTCTTCAAGCGATCAGGCGAGCCCGTTGGAGTTCTGAAATCCTCTGGACCAGCTGAAAAGCTGCGTGCGTGACGCAGGAAACCAGCAGCTGCATCGTCTGCAACTTGAGGCAGCTCAGTTCTTTTGGGAGCAGGAGCAGCCAACGCTGATGCTGCGATCTTTTTAGTTGTACGCACCTGAACTTCTTCTGAGGTAAAGAATGGCTCACAAACGGTGAGATCAAACTCGTAAACCATAGTGCCCACTTCTTCACCATCAGAAACCTCATAGGTATCGAAGTTGTCTGGATCATTGTTAATAAAATCATTTTTGTCACCCCCCATAATCACCAACTTGTTAAACCTAGGCATGTACGTCATGGTATGTCCACAACGAGGACCAGGGCCATGCAACATACCCGTGTCCATCAACTTGGACCATACTAAGGTGTGAAGGTTCAATACGTAAAGGGTATCATAAATAACACCACTAAAGTCATTTCCTCCGTAAATGTACAACTTGTCGTCGACAATACAACTGGAGTGTTCGTTCACTGGGGCAGGAACACTACCAGAGGTGGGTAATTGAGTCCACTTGTTGACCACAGCGTCGAAACTCCACAAGTCATTCGACACCTTTTCGTTGTTATACACACCTCCAAACACGAACAACTTGTTCTTGTACACCGACATGGAATGGTTCGTCAAAGGAGGAGGTTTGAAGTTATTAAGTGGCTCGACCAATTCCCATCTCGCCTTGGGGCTTTTAAAAGTATTGAGCTCGAAGTAGTATACATCGTTGAAAACGTCGTTTTCCAACTGGCCACCGAATAAATAGAACCTTGACGAGTTGTTATTGAGAGCCACCACTCCCACGCTGTGGCCATATCTTCCATTGGGTTTGTTCAACACATGACTAGGAATGGTATACTTATTGTTGTTGACGTTGAACAAGTAGAAGTTGTTATCGGGGAACCCGTTGAAATCGGTATCGACAGTGTCTCCTCCGTATATTATAAAGGCATTACCGCACAACACTCCAGAGTGACCCACTCTAGCAGGAGGATTGTTCAAGTTAACAACCTCCACCAATTGAGATGTATACTCCAAGCTACCATCCCCAAGCTGATGAGGTGTGATTTTCCAGGTATCACCAAAAACAGATCCATCTTTCAAACCTCCCATCAAGAAAATTTCATTCTTGTCGCTGCACATGGACGAGGCGGCATGTCTATACCGTGGAAAAGGAGAATTGTAAAGTTTTACTCTGTTCCACGGTGTCTGTACATTCACAGTGATTCTTGGTGCTGGCACAGAGGCATTGGTGGCGTTTTGAGCTGGTCTCTGTGACGCCATAATTCCCGTTTGACGAGGTAATGGGGTTGATTCGGGAGATTTGTGTACATCTTCTGGTGGATATTGAAGACCTCCAACATTGTGGCTCTCTTCCAGAGCCTCTTCACTGAAAGACAGCGTTTCGTCGGACCTTTTTTTGTTCTTCCCAAATTTGAATCGAGCCATCTTCAATTAAGAGAGCTAAGACAAGTCTGATAAACGATCAAGGTACCGAAGTGGGAAGATATGAGAAATTTGCAATTGTCACAGGCAGAAAAACAACAACGGAGCCACTTGAAAAAGCCAAAAAGTACTACTTAAGTTCCTTATATTTTATTCAGTGTTGTCACTTTCTTAAACAATCAGTGACACAAAACACCAGCAGTGCAGTATTGCTGTTTTAGGCAATTGATGTTCCCCTCAATTGGCATGTTACCTAAGTCTAGTCGAATTTAAATGGCACGCTTACGTGACCACAACCGCTCCTGACATAATCAATCGCCCTTATAGGGTTGTAGCTGATGTCAGCGTGCGGCTGTCGGTAGTTGTTACGGTGGCAGATTTTTTGCCCTTTAGGCTGAGACGGTGTCCACAATGCATAAACCTGGCTCAAAAAGGAAGGGTGTCAGTAGCCAATTAAGCTGTGTGGCATGATTTAGTAAAGAGGCTGGTTCCTGGATTAAGCAAATGCGGAAAGGAACCTCGGAATTTAATTTAAGCTAAATAATTTTTACCCCCACTTGCCCCCGCCTATACAGTGCCCTTGCTGAATTAACTTTTCACACTCTTCCTTTCAAATCTGGGGTAAACCACCCACCTGTCTGCAGGAAAAAGACCACATAGCTTTTGGACTGCATCCAAACCAGATATGTATTTTGAGTGAACGCGGCTCAGCCAAGAGGTATGGAGTCGCTTGAGTATGATCCAAGGGATCACCTGCGACAGATTTTCCTGTCCCAAGAATCCTTGAACCAGATTCCGGAGATGTTGGAGCATATACATGCTTACAAGTGTCAGTTGGACGCTGATATTTCTCGAGATATTTCCAATTACAACCTGTCGGTCCTGGTGGCCGACGACATTGATGAGTTTTTGCGGTCGGTAGAGCAGACCAAGGCAAAATCCAACGAAGCACAACGATCCATTGCGTCAATTACAGACTCCATCCAGTCCTTGGATGATACAAAAAAGAATTTGGTTTTGCTGATGACGGTTTTGAAAACGGCTCCAAATGCTCCTCGACGCCAATACCAATCTAAATGCTGTGATATCCACTCATGACTACAAGAAAATCCTTCTGTTTTTCGGGGTGGTGAAGGAATTGTCTACATTCTTCAAACTGTACAAATCTATCCCTGAAATCAACCAGTTGAGTCAGATGATCAATAATACTCAAAACAAGTTGGTAGACGATATCTTCATAGATTTCGAAGAATCGTTGAACCATAAGTCATTGAATGATCAATTGATATACGGGTGTGAAATTTTGGAGGTAGTTGACTTGAAATACAAGGACAAGTTACTTGCTTGGTTTTACAATTTCCAACTCAAGGAAATCACCGCAATTTTCAATAATATGGACGAAGCAGGTTCATTGGAAAACATTGACCGTCGCTACATGTACTTTCAAAACGTGCTCTCTGCTACTCAGAATAGCTACTTGAAGTTGTTTCCAGAATCTTGGAACGTGGACCTCGAGCTCTGCAAACTCTTTTGCAAAATCACTAGAGATGACTTGTCTGCCCAACTCAACCTGTCCATGAGCTCAGCCAATCTTCTTGATGCATTGACCAAAACTCTCAACTTTGAAAAGTACTTGAGTGAAAAGTTCAAAACAAAGGATTTCGATAGAATGATCCTGAAGTCCTTTGAGCCTCATCTTCTTATATGGGTTCGCGAGCAAGACAAGATGTTAAACTCAAGAATGTTAGAGTTTATGGCTGCTCCTAAAATCCCCACCGAGTTTCTTGAATCCAACGATCCGACTGAATTCTTGACTTCTCTCAAAGTTAACAGCGTCCCAAATATCTCCAATTCCTCCATTGAGCTTTTCAGAGCGTTTCAAAAGGTATTGACACAAATTGTCAAGCTAAGCACTGGCCCCATACTTCGTGATGTGACTAAAGTCTTTGCCAAATACTTGCGTGAATACAACCTGCGTATTCTTTCTCCGATCATACCAAGTCAAAATGACGACTTGAACGGGATAGAGCCGATAAAATACTTAACAATGGTGTTAAACACAAGTGACTATATTTTGAACAACATGAATGACTTACAAGGCAGGATATCTAATATTATTGATCCAGCATTCAAGAAAGAAATAAATTTCGAGCTTGTCCATGAGGAGTATATCAGCTTGATTAGCAGGGCTGTGAATGCGATGCTACTTAAAGTATCGAATGACCTACAATTTGCATGGAGACAATTCACCAATAATAACTGGAACAGGATGGAAACTACTACAGATGTTTCCAACTACATGATCGATTTCAAAAGTTCCTTGGTTGGCAATTGCCAGATTATTCTTCCATTGATAATGAGGGAGGGCTACGGCCGTAACATCTGTGATAAGGTTGTGGAAATGGTTGTCACCTCATTCATGAATAACCTTCGCTTGATAAAGCCTTTGAGTATTGTCAACATCGAGCAAATTCTTATTGATTTGACTGTGTTGAAAAAGGCGGCGCTCACTCTCCCGCTTTACGCAAACCCCAACTACGATGAAACAAAAGCAAATGGCGAAGAAAAGCCTCCTAAAGCATATGAGCGGCATATCACCAATCAGTTTCAAAAACTCGAAACGCTACTCAAGCTTCTTCTTACCCCTACGCTCCCAGTCGAAAATCTTGTCCAGAATTACTTCCAGTTTATTGGCGACAAGTCCCGTACAAACTTTGTGAAGTTTTTAAACTTGAAGAACATTTCTCAAACGGATCAAAATCGCTATATTGATAACTTCAACCTCCAACTTGGTCTTGAAAATTCGCTAATTGAGGAGTCTCCTATCATGGCAGGTATCACCCAAGACCCAATTAGCATCAATACTGGATTGCTTAGTAGCAGTCCTTCTCCAGAACCTGTATTAAAATCACCCAAATTATTGACTCCACCAACGTTGAATAACATCAAAATTAACAACTTGGAAAAGAACTTGCGAGAACTAGCCTTAAACGGAGAGAACCACGTTAGTAAGTTCAATGAAAACTTCAAAAATATTGGAAAATTTTTCCGAAAAGCGGACCATAATGAGTAACATTGACTCGATATCCGTCTATACCATACTGCATACAATATACATTTTTAGTTGAAGTTTCGAGACAAGTTTATGTGTCATGAAGCTTGCCAAAATATGTGGAATAAAAACGACAGCGGCAGCCGAAAAGGCTATTGATAGCAATGCTGATCTCCTTGGTATGATCATGGTACCTAATAGGAAGCGAACCATAGACAAAAATGTAGCTTTGCAGGTTACTGAATTGGTCAAAAATCGTAGAAAGGATACCAAAAGACAGATCCAAACTGCTTCACAGTTGATCAAACATATAGAGAACGATACATTCAGCAGCATAGACGAGTTACTTTCCAAATTCAAGGTACTTATTCAAGAAAACGGCCCTTTTAGTGTTGGTGTATTTCGCAATCAAAGCATAGAAGAGGTATTCAAAACTGCAAACGAACTCGATTTGGACATTATACAGCTCCATGGAAGCGAAGACAAGCCTGAATTTGTTAAATACAACTCCAAAAATGAAAAATTTGTGATAATAGGCCGCTACGTTGTGCCCAGCGATGTTCCGAATTTGGAACCGATGTTCGAGTCTTTACTAAAAGATGGAAAGTATGTGGGCGGTGGCTTGAGTATACCTCTTTTAGACTCCGAGGCAGGCGGTGAAGGAATTACGATTGACTGGGATGCAGTTGGTGGTATTCTGAAGGGTATATTTCTTCTCGCAGGCGGGTTGAATAGTGACAATTTGAAAGATACGAGCCACTTGAAAAACGTCATTGGATACGATGTGAGCGGAGGTGTTGAAGATGGTGAGGGACACAAGGACTTTACCAAAATTGAAAACTTTATAAAAGTTGCACATAGCATATAACAAAGCATACAAGTGTAAGAATTTCAATTTTATCAGTAACTTATTTTACCTTATAATATATGTTTATTACTCCTACTTCTCTAGTCTTCTTGGTCCCAATTTCCAGGTCTACGTTGCTGAGGAACTTGGGGACCACCAGCACGCTTGGCCATGATGATTTGGTCGATGGACAAGATGGTGGTAGCGGCTTCAGTAGCCAAGTCGTATGCAAATCTCTTGGTTGACAACAAGTCAAAAATCTGGGCTTTCTTGACATCGATAACATTATCATCAGTAGACATATCGATGTCGACACCCTTCACGAGTCCTCCTTCGGTAGAGTGCTGAGCATACATTGTACTCAAGGTTTCTGAAGGATCCAATCCAGATGTTTCCGCAAGAACTCTGGGAATGACTTCAAAAGCCTTTGCGTAGTTCTTAATGGCCAATTGCATAAGCCCTGGAGTCTTTTCTCCATACTGGGTGACGAGCTTGACCAACTCGATTTCCACGGCACCAGCACCAGGAAGTAATCTGTTATCCTTTATCAAGCCCTTGATGGCATTCACACCATCATCTATAGCCCTCTCTATGTCATCGAGACTATTCTGAGTAGCACCTCTCACCACTATAGTCGATGTTCTTGACACAGATTCGTTCTGTCTGAACACCGTAACTCTGTCACCACCAATTTCTCTTGTCTCGATGACATCAACCTCCCCCATCTCGTCGGGCATAGGGGCACCCAATCTTGGCAAGGGTGTGGCACCGCAAACCTGAGAAACTCTTCTCAAGTCGAATTTGGAGGGTACTCTCAACACAAGAATACCGTATCTGTTGAAGTAGTGAAGCGCCAATTCGCCTACGTTTGCACCGGCAACAACAACCTTGACACCGGAATCGCTGATTTCCTTACACATTTGGTCCAATTGTTGCTCTTCACCTTTGGAAAAGTCCAACATTTCCTGGGCATTATGGAGTAATACCGTGCCCTTAGTTTCAGTAGTGGAGATATCGATGGGACAATTGAACACAACCACCTTGGATTTGGTGGTGATGTTCTTGACGTGACCCTCAGGTTCACGGGGGAAAACCATACCTTTGATAACTTGGGAACTCGAAAGCGAAGCACCCATAATCTTGACCACTCTCACGTTATCCACGTTGAACGCTTGAGGACGCTTAGGGTTCATGATGAGCTTGACAGCGTCAATCACCAAATTCGAAATAGCATCTTCGTTACCGTATTGCTTGGCGGCAATCACTGGCTTGATCACCTTTTTCAATTGCTCTGTTTCGGTAATCGACTCCACACTATCCACCACCAACTTTTCGATGGTTTCCATCACATACTTGTTGGCCATGTTATACCCCTGGATGATCTCAGTCACACTCAATCCAGTGTGAATCAACTTTTCAGCAATGTTTAACAACTCGCCTGCCAAGATGATCACTACATTGGTGTTGTCACCCATCTCAAATTCCTGCTGTTTGGACGCGGTGATCAACAATTTCACAGCCGGGTGCACGATTTCCAACTCGTTCACCATGGTGGCAGCGTCATTAGTAACAAATATACGACCGTGCTTGTTCACAATGATCTTGTTACGACCCGAAGGTCCCATGGATGTGAGAAGAATTGACAGTATCTCTCTGACAGCCTCTATATTCCGGATGATGGCACCGTCAGCACTGTTGTGCGACTGGTACCCCTGCTTAAAAAGGCCAGCATTGGGGGCCTGGGGCAATTTGAGCGACATGGTTAATGGACTGAAACGTTGAAATTTTTATGGCAGGGCAGATCACGTGATAAAGCTGACTGAGCCATGATGATTAGTATGGATAAGAGCAGTTGAAAGGGAGATTGGTGTTAATAATACTCATCAGCGTTTAAACACCGCTTACGTAGTTACGTCTCTTACGGTCTTTTTTTTTCAATTTGCGTTTCAGCTGTGCATCGTACTTCCTCGTTCGGTCGCATTCGCGATCTTGAAACCAGTCCTACAATCAACAATGAGTGACGATTCCCGAAGTTTGGACGATCGGCTTACCGAGGAGGTGGCCCAGCTTCTGACCAAGTTGGTCACTGCCGTAGCTAAACAGCTGGAGCTCGAGGAGAAATTACTCGTAGTAAGACGAGAAAATGTGCGGTTGAAGGAACGACAGGCGGCACTCGATGGCATAGAAACCCAGTATAACGAGTTGAAAACGAAACTCGGAGCCATGCAAGTGGACTACGATAAGAACAAGAAGATCAAGGAAGAAGCTGAGGCCGAAAACAGCCGTCTTCTGGCCGAGGTCGAAGACTTGACGGCGTCGTTGTTTGACGAAGCAAACAAGATGGTAAGTGACGCTTCTAGGCTTACCGATAACTACAAGATCAAAAACGGCAAGTTGCAAGAGGAGCTCCATGAGAAAGATGTAATTATAGAGGATCTCCAGGCGCAACTTCAGGACCTTAAACAGCTTTTTGTGCGGATCGAAGAAGAACAGAAGAACAAGTCTCAGACCGGGACACCTGCAATCGAGCAGATTGGGTTTGCTTCTGAGGAGGGAAGGGATGAAGATGAAAGCCACAGACAACAGTTACTTGCGGCACCAATCTTTGCTCCCAAAATCGAGGCGGTACGGTTTGACCTTGACCAGTACCAGTATGACTTTAAAAGTTTTATCTATGCTGTGATCAAACCAACGTTCACGTTCGACTTGACGAACCTCAGAACGTTGAAATACTTCAAGAAAATCTGGACGGAAGAACTAGAGAACAGCATTTCGCATATTCCACCTATTGCCAATTCTACATTCATCAACCGTTGGCAAAAGGGCAAGAACTTTTGGTCCTTGATTGTTGAGGGAAAAGCTGTCATTGAGCCCATCAAGAGCGTGAATGAAACCTACAAGATTACATACAGAGGTAAAACGCCAAAAGATGCCCCTGTGGCTACCAGAGAACCTTGCACTTTTTGCGGTGAGAGCCGTGATGACATTCTTGAACATGCACGGCTCTACTCTTTCAAGCTTCTTGCTCCAGACTTAAGCAGCACGTCTTTGACCGAGAATGAACCTGTGGCTAGCTACCCTCTATGCACCTTCTGTCTTATAAAGCTCCGAAACATCTGTGAGTTTTTCGCCAAGCTTCGGAGTATTCACAGCAACATCTTCAAGTTGAAGCAAAACCATCTGTTCGAGGAGTACACGGCACCACTAAACTTTCAGTTTAAACGTCAAAGCGTCGATGCTGATGCTTCCGATCACCTGAAAGAGCGAAAAGAGGTGGTATTGGAGCCTGAAGAAGAGGCCAAACTCATCAAATTGTACATTATTCTCACCCAGATTCGAAGCCGTATTTTTTGGAGCAAAATAGGACTCTGGGACCATGAAGGGGTGATCACAGAATCGGTAATTGATGAGATTCCTCATGATGTCTTTGGATACTTGGGACGCAAGTATGAGGGTGAGAAAGCAGAACCAGAGAGAGAAAAGGGACATGTTCCTCAAAATACAGTGGAAACTGGAGAAGAAGCAGTTGAAACAGAGGCCACAGAAGACGCTACGACCACCAAAAATATCGAAGATATCACTGAAACAGGAGAAGCTACAGCTCAATCTCCAGTGAGAACATCGACGGAAAGTTCTACGGCTCCAACGCAAACTTCATCAACTTCTGTTGCTGATCGCGTGCTTGACGTGGAGGCACAGAGCACAAGTGACACTAAATCCAGTAATTCTGCTCATTCCCAAGCAGATACCAGCACCAATAGCGAAGTCGATGAGTTCGCAGATGCCAATGAATCGCAAGAGGTCGAACCCAAATCGCTTTCCAGACGTCTTTCGTCCAAGCAGCGCAAGAAGAAGATCTCAAAGGACCTCAATAGTACCATTCAAATGCTCCAGGAGAGTATAGAGTGATATTTATAGCGTATTGTACACTCCAGTAATTGCACCACTAAAGCGGTAGCATCGGCCGGGCGTCCCCATCCAACCACCCGCGACCAAACCTGTCAATACGGTTCCCGTTTCCCAAAAATTTAGTAGCCCACGCCGTGCAAAAACCTAATAGTTCTAGTACATTTAAGGCGGTATTATCGGTGCTATATCAAACTCTGGCGCTAAAACACTCCATATATCACACGTGCAACGTTCTGGCCCTTTTTTCTGAAGTTTTAAGTGCATGTTTCACTTTTGATTCAAGCTGCTTCCTTGGTAAAACGTCGTTTTTAGTCCACAAGAAGCGTGTATCACAGCATTAATCCATAAACTAGACTCTCCCTTTTCATCATGTTGAGGCGAAAGTCTAAGGACACCAACTTAAACCCCCAGATCGACGCCGAACTTCAAGCGTCTCGCGCTTACCAAGATCAAAATGGTGGTGAAACAGGCTCTAGCCACTCCAATAACCATCGTATGTCGCTGACGTCGATCTTCAGCTTGCGAAAGAACAAAGAAAAGCCCGCTCTGGGCAATGAAAGTACGTCTGATTTGTCGCTGGATTCCGCCAGTGTAATGAGTGGTGGAACCTCCACCTCCAATGGCACCGGATCTCGCCTAAATCCACTCTCACGCTCCCATACCGGCCGCTCTGCCGTTAGTATCACCCCCAGCATGGCTCCAAGTAATGGTCCTCATAATCGACAGCCCTCTTCCTACAGCATATCCACCGTTTCCAATCCCTACGATATGAAGACGTCGGCACGAAATGGGGCACTTTCACGCAAATCCACCACATCCTCGATCATATCAAAGCCATCTATCTCATTAACGAATGCTCACGAGACCACCAACGCTGGCGGATTCACCCTAGAACGTCCCTCACTGGTATACGAGATCGACCGAATGTTTCGAGAACTCATGGAAAAACGAGATTTCAAGTCTCTTCCACCGCAGGCCAAACAGGAGATGCTTCATTATAATCCGGATAAGAAATGGATGCTCATATACCAAGATGCATTGACCGAATACAAGCGGCATGAACGAGTTGTGTTGAACAAAGAGGAGAATGCAACTCCGGAATTCTACACGAAAAAGCTACTTGCCAAGACCATAACTGCCGATCAGCTCAAAAACTTGTGGGTTTCATTAAGAACAGAGCCTATAGACTGGGTGAGAAACTTCATATACGATTGTCAGGGTGATGCTATCTTATCAGCATATCTCTTAAAAGTACAAGAATCGATCAATCTGCATGAGCTTAATGATATTAATGACGAGTTGTTTGACAAAGAATTCAATACGCTCAAGGCTCTCAAATGCATGATGAACCAGAAACTCGGAGCCGAGCGTGTGCGCACAGATGTGAACCTCTACGTCAATGCTGTAGCGGGTCTGTTACTTTCACCTCGCATATTGACACGAAAGATCGCTGCCGAATCGCTCACTTTCATGATTGCCTACTACTCACGGAGTGAAGGCGGTTCTGACAACCAAGGAAAGTATCACAAGATCTTGAAAGCATTGGATTCTATCTCCAATAAGCCACATTTTGAGTTTGACACAAACGTTTCTGGATCTCCTGTTCGCAAGCAATTGGTAAGGAAACCCCCAGCTCCTGACACTTACAAAAGGTTTGAACTCTGGCTTCGTTTAGTCGAGAAGACAATCGATGGTAAAGGCAAGTATCTAAACTCCCTCGTGGGTGCCAGCGAAGAAATTAAATCGAATGCTGGCCATGGAAATAATTTGGAAAACAACCTTCTCGAATACTGTCTAGGTACAATGCTTTTGATCAACACGATCGTGGATTATGGGTTTGACTATAGAGTACGAATTCACTTACGAGCCCAATTCGGTGCAGCAGGAATCGAAAGACTCATGTCGAAGTTTCAAGACATGGGGTATGATAGCTTGAATCAGCAGTGTATGCGTTACATCGAGTCCAGTGAAAATGACACCATGGAATTCAAGAACACCGAGAATTTGGATATGAACATTGATTTCAATGATCCTGTGGACCTTGTCAAATCTGTATGGGACAGAGTCAAGGATAGTGAGGCTCAAGGCTTCTTTCTTAGTGCCATGCAGCATATTTACTTGAATCAAGCGGAGAGAAAAGAAAGTCCAGAAGACATGATACGCAGTCTCCGGTTACTCGATGGATTGATTCAGAATGTGACTATGGTGCACACCACTAATGATGACTCTGCTATGGGAATTGCTATCAATCGGCTCTTTGCCGGTATGAGTACGGATGATATGTACCGCAGAGCTTTACAAGAAGTGAAGAGCTACAAACGGCTTGCCGAAGAAGCCACCGCAGAAAGAGACGAGATTTCTCGGCAACTTTCAATGGGTGCAGATGGCTTAATTTCTAGTTTGACGAATGAAGTCAAAGAACAGGAAACTGTTTTGACGAGAACTAGGAGATTGAACGAGGAACTCAATGAGGAGCTTGAAGAACTTAAGCGGAAACACTTGATAGAAAAGCAGCAGCAGGAGCTTGAAATGAGGGAGCTCTTGATTGCACTCAACAATTCTCAGATTCAATCTAAACGTTCAGGAGGGAAAACTACCGTTCTGATCCAGACATCGAATGAGGAGTTGATCAAGAAGCTACAGAAGCAAGTTCACAAGCGAAAGAATGAATACAAGATGGAAAACCGCCAGCTTGGAACCCAGGTTGAGCCCAGTTCTCGTCTACGTGCTTTGAGGGATCAAATGGGTGATATCGAAAATATGGCGAGGGAGCTTGAAATGACAGACTTTGAGACTTATGTTGACCAGGAAGCTTCTCAAACATCGACCACTGAGCCTGAGCCTAAACCTGAACCTCAAACACAGGAAGAAACGACACCCGAGCCAGAGCCAGTTGCAGAAATAATGGAACCAATTCCAATGAGCCCTGCTCGACCTGCTCGCGAAGATGACTTGGGCAAGCTAGACTCATTGCGCAGAAAATTAGCCTCTTTGCAAAGTGAGTCGAATGATATTATGAAATTCAACAATTCCAAACTCTTTAACAAGCAGAAGATGCTCGCAATGGAACGTCTTCGGGAGCTCGAAAATAACTTCAAGGACTTCAATATCGATTTCAGCATGGATGACCTGGAAGGCTTTGATTTTGATTCGATGCCAGACTATGTTGATCCCAATATCAAGGATAAAATTCGAGAGGAGTTGGAAGAAGTGGAGGCCCTCAGAGCCCAACTCAAAAACAGATTGGCTGAAATTAACTCTAAGGGTTCTACTGCAACTTCCAATGATTCAATTGAAAGAATCGAAGATCGTTATTCCAGAGGCAAAGTTGTGCAAGGCAACGCAGATGCTCAATCGAGCAGTAGACTGATGCCGCTGCCTGCTATCAAAAACTTACGGGACTCTATGGCTCCGCAATTTTTGAACGATATCAACAACAAAATTGCAAAGGTTGCTCCTATTGGAGATAAGCCAGATACCGAAGTCAAAGGAGGAATACCCTCTTCAGATCAAAGCGAGAAACCTTCAGAAAGTACCACCAACGGAACAAAAGGACTTCCTCCCGCTCCACCACCCCCACCACCTCCACCACCTTTACCACCACTGCTTGGAGGTACGGTACCGAAAGCTGCTGGTGGTCCACCACCGCCCCCTCCTCCCCCTCCTCCACCACCTCCTCCACCATTCTTGGGAGGTTCCGCTTCTGCACCACCACCTCCTCCGCCACCTCCACCATTGCCAGTTCCGTCTTCTAGAGCACACAAGATGGATAAGGAACCAACACCTAAAGCAGATCCATTTGCCGCATTTCCACGTCCTAAGAAGAAGTTGAAGCAATTGCACTGGGAGAAATTTGAGAATGAAACTGGAAACTCGTTCTGGAAAGATTCACAGAGTAATGCTTTGGCATCCGAATTAATGAAGAAGGGTGTTTTCGACGAGATCGAGCTGATATTTGCAGCCAAAGAGATCAAGAAGCTTGCGACCAAAAAGAAGGAGGATGTCGACAAATTGACATTCTTGGCAAGAGACGTCTCTCAGCAGTTTGGAATCAACTTGCATTCATTCAACAGCTTGTCAGAAGAGGAGCTTGTAGCCAAAGTACTTCGTTGTGACAAAGACATCACAAACAATCCAGCCGTTTTGGAATTTTTTGGCAAAGATGAAATCGTCGAAATATCGAATAGTCTTGCAAGGAATCTTGAGCCTTACTCAACAGATTATAAGAGTGATGAAGTTTCGAAACCCGAGAAAGATCCTAATGAATTACAGCGTCCAGACAGGATATATCTCGAGTTGATTTACAACTTGCAACACTATTGGAAGTCAAGAAATAGAGCGCTTCAAATGGCTGCTTCTTACGAAAAGGATTATGAAGACTTAACATCGAAGTTGCGTGCAATTGACGAAGCAGTCGATGTTCTCAAGAATTCCGAAAAGTTGAAAAAGGTGTTCGAGATCATTTTAACAGTTGGTAACTACATGAATGACAGTACCAAGCAAGCGCAAGGATTTAAGCTAAGCTCTTTGCAAAGACTCAGTTTCATCAAGGATGACAAGAACAGCATGTCATTTCTCCATTATGTGGAGAAGATTGTGCGAACGCAGTATCCAGAGTTATTGGGTTTCGTGGAAGAGTTGAACAAATGCGTTCAAATTTCAAAATACTCTATTGAGTCGATTTCTACAGAGTGCAAGGATTATGCCCAATCGATCAAGAACGTACAAAGTTCGCTTGACATTGGTAACTTGAGCGATGTATCAAAGTTCCATCCACACGACCGCATATTGAAAGTCATCCTTCCAACTATGCCAAAGGCAAAGCGTAAGGCGGAGCTTCTACTCGATCAATCTAAATGCACGTTTGGTGAGTTTGATCGCTTAATGAGATATTTCGGTGAAGATCCTTCGGACACATTTGTCAGAAATTCATTTATTACCAAGTTTTCCAACTTTACCACCGACTTTAAGCGTGCAAATCGTGAAAACATCAAGCGAGAAGAGGAATTGAGACTTTATGAACAACGAAAGAATTTGGTAGATACTCCTCGGAAAACGAGTTCTTCTGATAAGCTACGAGAATCTGCAAAAGAGGAAGGTGAAGAATCGAATGTCATGGATTCACTTTTGGAGAAGTTGAAAGCGGCCGGACCAGCGAGAAGCGAGCCTACCTCGGCTAGAAAGAGAGCAATGATGAGGAGACGGCTCCTTGAGAATAACCATAGTGGTAGCACTCTCACAGAAAGTGACTTGGATCATCAAGAAACGGCGACAGAAGCACTGTCACCGCTGAAGGGAACTGAGGACAAAGACTTGAGGGATGCCGAGGAAGAGTCAACAGATGTCGGATCGCGGGCACGCAGTTTGCTTCAAGAGCTCAGAAAAGCGAACACAGGTGACGCCAGTGACGATTTTGGCCGATCTTCTTTACGTAAACTGAGAATTGAGAGACGTCAAACGCAACCGCAAACGAAGGACGAAGAAGCAAATGATAACGTTGAATAATCGCGACGAAACAAAGTAGATATGGGTGTATATATTAATGTGAGTGGCTACGATTCCTGAACTCAAAGTCCTATAGATTTATGAATAACCTTGGAAATTTCTTCGATGTCGTAGTCGATTACTGCGTTGCAATTATTTGGCGAAAGACCAAAGTAAGGAGCGTTGATGGAACGCAAGCATTTCCCCGTCAACTTGCCTTCAAAAGGTCTTCCCAAGCGCCTCAAGAGCGACTCGGTCGACGTCGGACTTCCTGTCACTTTGGAATACGCTTCTGCCTCGCTACTATCGGCGGAGATGGCTCTCAAAGCAACAATCTCTCCACTCACAGAAACACCAATTACAGCTGAGATATCCGTTTCTTCATTCCAAAAATACCGAAAGTCAGCTTGGTAAACTCTCATGATTCCGGGCATTCGGAGCGAGAGGTTGTTCTGAAAGGAGTCGTTCAGTTTTTGCATCACAAGTACAGACGAGCGTATTTTATCGCCTGCAACAACATATCTAGAAAGTGGTGCTTGATTCACTAAGGCCTTTGGGATAGGGTCCTTCGAAACTCTCTCCTGAAAGTCTAGAGTAGCTATGTCAGCTTCAAAAGAAATATCCTTGAACGAAAATATCAGATCTTCCTTGGTTGTGACATTGATGGTGTTTTCAGAGATATTAAGCGCCACAATGTCACTAGGAAAAGACATCAAGCTTCGCAAGGCTTCTAGCTTTCGATCATCGGGCAGGTATGAGGTGAAATAGATGGTTCTACCGGAGCAGCATAAGATCCATTTGCCAAGTTGTTCTATGCAGCGAATAGGTCCACCTAGATCAAATGAGGCCAATTCAGTTACTCGCACATAGATGTCTTCATCGGCGTTGTCTCTTGTTTTGTTGATGTCTAGCACCTTGAAAGAACCTGAAACATCGCCAACGGTGCAACCAACAAGTATCTTTTTCGAGACCCGGTCTGGTCGCTTAATGGACCAGATAGCTGCACATACTGGAATCTCATCTTTACTAAAGATGGTTTCTGATTCTGTAAGAAGTTTTCCTTTAGAACTGAACTCACGGATATCTAAAAGTTTGAATAGCCTCTTTTCGAAGAATTTGAGTCTGGTTTTTGGATTTTTAGAGTTGCAGAGAACCAAAAAGGTATTGTGATGGGGGATAAAAAGCATTTTTTTAGCAGATTCCCCAAGATTGGCCAGTTTGACATTTGGCAACAAAGTGGTAGAGATGGTACCCTCAAACGCTCCATCCTCCCGTATAACGCGGACCTTAATTATATTCGACAGTGACTTCTCAGGGACCTGTACCAAATCTAGGGTCGCCTTGTCTGTTTTTTCGTCGAAAAATACTCGTCGTGGTGATGGTGAATCATAATAGTTGAGAAGCCAGACGGTTCTGGATAAAATGAAGAGCAAATTCTCATCCTTGTAAACAGTACGAAACATAACTGGAGTGTTTCCGACTTTCGTTGACCTGCAATATTTGAGCAAAGAGAGGGAGTCGGCTGCAAAATGTAGACAGTAGCCCTCTTTTGTTCCTATTATTAGCTCGCCTTTGAACATTACTGCATCATGCGGAATGAAGCCCTCGATATGATCGTCAAGAGTTGCCTCAGGCAAAGTTTTCAAGTCTATGACTTTGGGAATTTCCTCTAGTTTCTTCACATCGTAGATGTACAAATTTCCATCGTAATCGCCCACAGCTATTTTGAGCCTATTTTTGATGAGCAACACCTTGACTAATGATGGCTCAAAGTCTATCTTCACGGCGTCTCCTTTTTTTATGAGGTCAAGAACCTTGGGAATTAAATTATCAGGGTCATATTCCAGCATATGATAGATCTGTAGTTCGAACTTGTTTGAAGAATCTTGTAAAAGTAAAGCCAAGCAATCTTGAAACTTATCGCATAGCATGATCGTCAGATCTAGCTTCAACGTGTCAAAGATCCCTGATTCAAGAAGAACGATGGAGTTAGGCGTTATCTGAAACCAGAGATTGTCGTCGTCGCCATAATGAAAGAGAAGAAGAGTCGGGACATCGTGAGCTATCATCCAATTGAAAGGCTCCTTTACGGGGAGTTTGCTTCTCGGAAGTTCAGTTTGAAAATACTGGGTTTCGTTTGGATAGCTGCATAAAACCTCTTCGCCTTGGAATCCACTATGGAAAAGACGAGCATTGCGAAATGGTTCCGCAGCTTTCACGGTACGTTTAGCACTGTAGCCTTGTCGAAGTTGTGTTATCCTTGTTCTTTTGCCAGTTCCCGTCAACGCCCAAAATTCCTGAGATGAATGCAGGGATACATTTTTCTGTTTCTGGGTATCTATTATCAGAACGTCGATAATGGGACTCCAGTTTCTGTAATCTCGCTCAACTCGATACAGGCTTAAGGGCAACTTTCCTCCCTCGTTTGCCTTTTTTATTTGGGAGTCGTTGAATAGATTAGGAATGAAAACCTCTCTGTTGGATCCGGTATCGCTGCCGTATCTCAACATATAACCATCATTATCTTTTTCGAATGTAAAAACCGAAATGGGATCTGAAATCTTAACTAGGGGAACAATTTTGATATCGAAAATGGATGAAATTGTGATCCAATATATTGTTCCGTCGTCAGTAGAGATAAAAATTGTTTCACCGGTTGAGTCATCCTCAAGGGGTAACTCTGGCTTGTAGAATGCTGTTGGAAAAGCGGTATCAAATTTCACCCTTCGAAATTTGTAGTCTGCAGATACTATGGTATGAGGTGTGACGATAACCAATTCACCGTGATAGACAAAGAGAAACGCCTCTTGCGTGCGAAGTGGAATAACATGGACTGGGATATCAAAGCTGTTTTGTAAAGGCAATACCGATTTGTTTAATGATTCGGTGGCTGGATCACCAACCGACCATGAATACAAGTACAAGTAAAGACGACGGTGCTCTGTGTAGACTAGCAAGAGGAACATCACATGGTCAGTGGCAGCCGAAGGTTTTGGAGGTTGAGATAGACATGCATGTAACACTATTCCTTCTATGGGCACGTTGCGTTGTGGTAGGAATTGTATTCCACTTGTGGTATGTTGAATGTTGTAGATTCGAAAGATCCCGTCAGCTGAAGTTGAGACGGCAGTCAAACCCGATTCATGAGCACAGACTATGTGGCCGGAAGACTCCAAAGTTAGCAGTGAGCTTTTGGGGGAAGTATCCCACCACTGTACTATAAATGGTTTGAAAACCAACATTTCTTTGCGTGACAGGGACACTTCAGTGCCGTATTTTTCGTATTCTGAATCTGTAAGAGACCTAGGAACAAGGAAAAACTTCACGAGTAACAAGAACCCGGAAGAAAGCGATACCAACAACGAATCCTCTTCCCTGGAGCAAGAATCGCTGATACCTGGTACCTTACAACATGCTCTTATCGGAGCACTTAGCGAGTACTGTATGTCATTTACCAGTATCGATGTGAGTCGAACGATGACTTTCACGGCCTCTAGTACGATTCCTTCTGGCTTCTCTTCCTCGCTGTAGTATGATTCATTGTCGGAATAAGGGTAATATTTGGTTTTTTTGGTTTTGTTTTCAGGTTCATCTGTCACTCCACTTATATCTGCGATAATGCTATTGTCGTCGTCGCTGAAAACATCCATTTGCGAGTCCTCCTCCGGCATTCCCATATACTGGTCGTCCTCATCGTTGATCGACGAGCTTATAAGTCCCTGGAAACGTTTGTTGGTGTTGACTACAAAATGATCATAAATGTGGGTAATTATGGGAGATTGGAGTTGGGTTTCCTTGGTCAATACTATCTTGTCGTGAGCCTTGGGATCTTCTGAGTACGCGTCAATGTGGAGGATTGAATAATCTGGTTTGGTTTCCGGTGAAAACCCCATTGGAGGCGTGTCAACGTCGATATCCATTGGGCATAAAGTGAAACTGATTTCTGCGCGATCGCATTAACTGTGGTAGTGTAGAAAACGGTTGCATGGCTGCAAAATGGATATGGTGAAAATTTAAAATAGAGGTCGTGGAATTGGTTTTTGTGTTCTGTTAATGCCTCTAACCCACTCAAAAATTCCTGGAAGGTTTGTATTTGTGTTCGGTGATGCAATGCTCAATTCTTCACAAACACATCTAAATCATCTATGTCTTTGAAATCCTACAACGTTCATATAATTTCTTTCATTCTTGCCATTTCGGGGTTGCTTATAGGCTTGGAAAGCTCCAGTCTAAATACTTTTGTCCATTCGACCGTTTTCAGTGACTACTATGGACCCATTACCTCGTGGGAGAAAGGTTGGGTGGGTTCCAGTGGTTCGTTAGGAGCAATTTTAGGAGCATTGGCGTCAGGGCTTTTGGGAGACAAGACAGGTTTTTTGATTATGCTGCAATTGGCTGTTGTTTTCTCCACAGTAGGCACCCTTTTGGCTCTTTCCCTGCCTTCTGTGGGAATTTTATGTGCCGCTCGCATCATCAAAGGAATCACCTATGGCCTTCTCGCGACTTCAGTACCCACTTATATTGCTGATACCATCCCCAAATCCAGCCAGGGCTACTCGTTATCGATTTTTCACATCAGTTCCACCTTTGGGGCAATTTTGATGTATTATGGTGGTTATGGCTTACTAGTATGTCTCGGCTCCATGCTCTCTTTCAAGATTGCATGGGCTGCTGAATTGATTCCAGCTGTGGCTTTATTCTGTCTTAATTTCGTCTTGCCTGAGTCCCCAAAGCATTTGGGTTTGCAAAAAAGATGGCATGAGGCCACAGTAACAATCGACCGCATTCACCGCAAATTGAAAGGTACTTCTGTGGATAATGAGGAGTATGTGATTCTGCTTTATACCGCCGGAACTTCCATCAAAAGCTTACCCTTTGTGACCCTCTTCAGTAGAAGGCATTACAAACACACTGTGGTTGGAATTCTAGTTCAAATTTTGTTACAATGTTCCCATGGTTGGAGTCCTTGGAACATACATCGTTTATGTGTGTGAAGCTTCTTCTCTCGATGTCCTGATGAGAGGTATCCTTGGAGGTTCTCTGTACGTCTTTTGGGGGCTTTTCACATTCATGCCGCTTCTTCTCTTGGACAGAACCAGAAGAAAAGATGCCATGGTATTTGGCTACATTCTTCTCACATTGGCATACGCTGCGATCTTTGCAATAAACCATTGGGCGCTGGAAGTCACAGAGATTGCCAATATCTTCAATTGGAGCTTGCAAGGAATTCACGCTTCGACCGCGCTTGCACTTTTTGCTTTCATTCTCTCAGTCTATTCCGGGTGTCTTGTTTCTGTCAGTTGGTTATACACGAGCGAGATCTTTCCGGCTACCATGAGAGCCAAAGGGTATTCCATGGCGATGATAATTTCCAGTCTTGCTAGTGCCATCATAAACGTGATTTTTCCTACTTTAGTGGGACTAACACTGTACTGGTTATTCTTGGGTCTTGCAATTGTCTGTGCGATTTCTGTGGTTATTTTGGCACAATTGCCGGAGACAAAGCAGCTCTCGAACAGCGATGTTGAACTTCTTTTTCAGAGTGCAATTCCAGATAGTGAGACCTTGGGGTATATTGAAAAGAAGCATATCCAATTGGCTGCGAAAACTTCGTTATCTGAATCCTCATCCAACAGGACAGATTTAGTTCCCAATGGAAATCAATTCATAACTCCAGTGCCCTCACAAGCACCAATTGTATTACCTGCTTCTGAAAGGATAATTTCAGGAGAAACTGGAGGTGAAACATCGTCGTTTTTATCAACGGATTGGATCCAAAGCCGTCATTTGAGCAGTACATCTGCCAACCAGCAAGCGATTTCAACCCTGCTGCTTAAAAGTAGATTCATTCCAGCCTCGTATACTGGGTACGAAGCTGATTCTGCTGCAACAATTCTGCTCCACAGAGGAATACTTCCAACTACTGAACCAGTTGCTCCTAGACAGACCCGAACAAATCCATTCTCCAATGTAGTAGTTTAGATCTGTGAGACTAGATACGAGACTAGATATGAGTCGATACTAGATACGAGCTCAATTGAATTATATGAATGCTCACTGTAGTGTTGCTGCAAATGTCACTGTGCTGCTGTAGATTGGGTGCATTGATGCGAAAATGATAAAAGTTGGAGTTCAAGTTGAGAATCAAACAATAATGTCAGGATATACCAAGATTGATCAAGATGTATGTACCGCTTTTAAATCAGCTTTTGGACATGTAACGATACTAACCTTAGTCCTCACTTATAGACATTGATTCCGTACAGCCAGGTAAGTTTCTTTTGCCAGTATACCGTCCATCATTTGTAACCTAGTTTCTAACCCAGATTATATTGACTCGGCAGGTCCCAGTCAAAGCACCAGTGCTCCTCAGGAGCCTCAGGTCATCAAGCCTAAGCTTCCTGTAGATCCACAGAAAAGTCATATGTTTCAGTTGCACTTTTATCGTCGATTCTTTGACCTCGATACCGAGACTTTTTTCAGGAAAATTCAACAAGCATTAAATCCATTCAATGGGGCACAGGCGGTTGACGACGAGCTGGACGCCTCTGATTCAGAGTTATATGGGTTCATATGGATCACAGGCACACTCATATTCTTAGTTTTTGTCAGTTCCACCGGATCTAACCTCTTGGCTGAATGGCTCCATCCAACCAAAAAGAGCCAAAAATATGAGTACAGCTTCGATTTGCTCACGCTATCAATTTCCTTGTTCTACGGCTACAATGTGGTGGTTCCAGCGTTGTTCTGGGGCTTTACAACTTGGTTTCTCAAGTTTCCACAACCAACTTCGTTAATACGAGTCATCTCGATCTACGGCTATACCAATATTTTGTGTGGTTCCTATCACCGTGCTCAACCTTCTAATCGTTCTCATTGTTAACAACAAGAAACACCATCTACTTTTGAACCTTCTCGAATGGCTCGTGGTGCTTTTTAGTGGTCTTGTGACTGGCCTCAGTAACATCACCAAGTTGAGACCAATAGTGCAAAAAAATTGCCTCCTTCTCCACGAAGGTGACGCTGATGCTTCTACGAAACAGGCATGGGCAATAATTGCAGGATTGGCCGTGGCTCACGCCGGATTTGTACTTTTGGTCAAAATCAGCTTCTTTGGTATAACTGCTTGAATATCATTATGAGTGCAATGGGTGCAATGGGTGCATTGATTTGTCGTGTCGAAACCGGTTGCACCTACACAGCAAATTTTTCGACTCTTCTTTCTTTGCACTAGTGCGTTTAGCCAACTTGTATTATGTGGTGAAAGTTGGAAGTATAGTTTGACAACTAGAGGTATGTGTTTCTCCGCTTCAGGACTCTATGATTATTTGCTTTACCAATTGTTCCAACTGAATTTTCCGGGTTGACAACAGCATTATCGTTAAGTTTCAGCCTTGTATGAGTGTCCTGAATTTTAAAATTTGAATTGTACTAACAGCAGGTATGTATTCATAGCAATTGTGGCAGATGAGGATACTTGTCGACCGGGCGGACATAATACTCCATTGGTCCCTCCTTTGTACAATATGGGGAGGAGTCGCAGCTCAGTGTACAAATTTTTGGGCTGTTGGTTGATGGGAGTTGATGAAAGGTCGTTTACTGATGTGCATTGAAAACCTTTTTTTTTGTGAATTTTTTGCTAACTTTAGTGCTGGTTTTCAAGGTATACTCTCAACGTTCTGAGATTCGATGATGATTTTTTATATTCACACTGTACGAGGGGGAGACTTCAATGACTACAAAAACAAAATACTGATTTAATGACTCTGAGGTGGATCTCTTCAACGCATAATATAAGCTTTTGGCTAACTTTTTGTAGAATTTTGGCTTGTCCCACTCGTCCTGTATGTACACCCAAATTTTCAGTCCATCTCAGAAGATACTTAGAGCCGTTACTGGGTCGGAGCAACCATTATACCCACACTTCATGCATATATATAGATCCTAATTTTCCATTAGCACGATGATAATACGATCGTTACTAAAACGACATAGGAGCTCACCAAAACCTTTCGATCTTGTTGAATGGTGCATCGTAAACCCGGGTTTCGCAAACGTCTATACTCATAAATTGAAGTCCCAGGTGCTCCCAATAAAGTCACTAGTATCTGCAGTTGGATTTAAGGACAGCAGTGAACCCCGTGCATTATCATCTCTGTTTGTTCCCCTGGTTTCATTAAATCACGAACACAAGAAGTATAAACTGGAATCTTTTTCAGAACTAGAAGACTTGGTGTTTGACAATACTAAAGTTGAAGAGCTTAGACTGCTTCTAGAGAAAGACACGATCAACGAAACTCAGGCTACATTCATAGTTCGTCATTTTTCAAATCTAATTGATATCGTTAGTGGGTATTCCAATGAAAGATATTTCCAATTGATTTGCGATATATGGCAAACATCTTTCCGTCGATCTTCTGGAAACAAAGCTGCCGCATCCTTACAAACCCAGCTATTTAATTCCAAGGACAAGTTCGTCCATATACTAATGAATCATGGAGAATACTCGTTTTACGAGAACCATGTGCGGCCGTTATACCTTTTACCAGCTTACCGCTCTTTACCAACATGGGCAGATACTCTAGCAACTACCATCCAGTTCACATTATCACGCAAGGGAGAAATCCAGGTCAACATATCATCCATATCTCGGTTTCTTACCGGCAGTTCACACAGTTTAAAGCAGAAAAGATTACTTTTGGCGATCATGCTACGCAAATGTATCTTGTACTCGCCAAGAGATCATCGATATACCTATGCTTCGACATTTTTTGCCCTTCTCTCGAGTGTGGGAGATGATCATTTAGACTTACGGAAACCCGAGCATTCTGTTTATGACAAAGCTTTGAGGCTACTTTTCACCCCAGCAAGAAACACATCTCTTGACATGCATCTACAAAATATACTAACGAGGGTCAAACCTCAATCCTCAGAGCTAAAGGCAAACCTCCTTACAACAGCCATGAGCTCGCTAATATCTTTCAGTCCCAAATCTGTGCTAGAATTATGGAAGCTCAAGCAGTCTTTACACTTACCGTTATCCGAAGATGATTTAACACTTTCCATGAGAGCTCTTTTTGACTTAAAACTATATGACGCAGTTACTGACCTTTACAATCGCCATGTCGAATTGCACCATGATGATCAAATCAGCGTATTTCTCAAGATCTGTGAAGAAACAAAGGATTGGAAAGGTCTTCAGATCAAGTTCGAAGAGATGTATGGTAAGGGCTATTTGCCTTACGAAGTACATTATGCGCTCGTTATGAATGCTTTGGCTTCGATAGGATCCGTTCTGGAAGTCAAACAATTGTATGAGCAGTTGCAGAAGAGACAACTTCCTCCAAGTTCGAAAGTGTTTGCAGCGCTTATCAACGCTCATCTTTTCAGTGGTGATATTGAGAGTGCGACGAACGAGTTTGAGAATGTCCTTGAACATGCGGGGGAGTTGAACTTGAACAGTCAATCCTCGTCATATTTGTCTACCCTAATTGTTAAAATACAGTCAAAATCTCACAATCTTCCCAATCAGATGCGAATACTTGAAAGATGCGTTGAACGGCAGAAGGAGCTTGGTCTTGAACTAGTGGACGAAGAACACTTGAATGTGGTTCTCAACTTAGCGGGAACATTGTTTTCCCCTAAAGATGTTGAGCGTATACGTGAAATCGCATCTGACTTGGACATGAGTTCAAGTACTATTTTGACATCTTTGATGAGGGTATACACTCATCTTGAGCAATTCGAAAAAGCAGAAGAAATCGCCTATGAAGCACACCAAGAATCCACTGTTCCGTTCACCAACGCTTCTGTTTATAAAGCACAATTGAGAAATTATCGTCAATGGTATCTCTCAGACCGAACTCGTGAGACTCGAAATTTCCTAAGCGATCGGATTGAAACATTAATCGCTCGTTTCGAAGGTGGTAAAATCAGGATCGAAGGAGCAGATGGTTTAATGAGCGAAATTGTCAAGGTTTACCTCATGAATAACAAGCTAGCTGAAGCTGAAAACATTTTTAACCGGGCAAAACTGGCGGCAATGTTATCGGAGAACATTATCGTTCCATTCATGAAATTCTATTCCAAGGAGAAAACATACGAAGGCTTTTCCAAAGTGCTCGATCTCTATCGACAAATGGCTTCACTCAAGATTGAGATTAGCACAAGGTCATATGTCCATTTGATGGAGGCTTTACTTTACCTCGATGGAAAAAGTGACAATGGCTTGAGTAACTCGTTTAAGCTTTTGGAATCTGTCTTTGAACTCAATGGCATAAAGCTTGAGAACGCTGCAAGATCACGAATTCTGGTCGAGCAGGCTCATGATAATGCCGTCAATCTATGCAAAATGGTGACACTCTATGTCATGGCTAACCAGGAATCATCTGAAGAATCCAGTACATTACTCTTTGATTTCGTCAACTTTATGCGTGGCATACTAGGAGAGAATTTTTCAAATCAGTTCAGATTCACCATCTTTAATCTGTTGGGAAGGCTTTACTTGCTTCAAGGAATCCCCGAACTCACATCTCGTCTTGTAAAAAGTGGTCTTGGAGAATTGCAGGAAAAGATAAAAACGTACATTAATGATTTTCCATATTCCCCGGAAGTTCTTATACCGCAAGCATTACAAAGAGAATACCGCCAATTAACCGGGCTCAAACTAAGGTTGCTTGAAAACAACAAACAAACAGATGTTCAGGAATATTTGGATCTTTATACTCAAGCAGCAGCCCTTCAAATCAAGTTGACAGGTCAACAATATAATGAGCTTTTAGAGCACATTACCGCAAACGAAGATCAGGTTTATCTCTTCGAGAGTTTAGAAATGTGTGAAGAACATTTGATAAGCGGAAACTGGCTTGAAGCCAAGCTCATGAGAAAGAGGCAATTCTTGTATAAAGTGGTCATTTGTCATTACCTTGATGCTTTAGGTGAGGAAGCAGTTTTGAGAAACTTCAAAATCTTGAATGCTTACTACAATGTTCTTGACTTGAAACAACTCAGGCAAGAGTTCCACGACGTTAAAGATCCTTTGAGCTTTTTGGAGCTGGAGTTGAAGGAAATCAACCAACAAGTTGATAGAAATTCTGATTGGACAGTCGACAGCATTTTATCCAACCTTCCCGAATTTTTCAGTCCTGAGAAACAAATTACATCTCGCTACAAAGTGGTTCCTCATCTTCTTAATCGTCTTTTGTTGGCGGTGAAGAGACATTGTGGACCTGATAATATGGTAGCCTTCAAATTAATGGACGAGTACCCAGAGACTATGGAGTATCTTGTTTATCATGAATCTAACAGCTTGAGACATGGGGTGTTCAGAGCAATGATTGACGAGGTACTTCCGCCACGAAAAAGCGAAGACTATAAGGCCCGTTGTGATAGAACATACGAGGCATTAAGTCACCTAAAGTCACTTCACGTAACTTACAAAATATAGCATCGTGTATATAATACTAGACATTCACATCATTCCTATTGGGGAGGAGCCGGGGCAAACTGGAAGGAAGCCGGGGCCTTGATTTCTCCGTATATCAATGGCCCGACATAAGGCTGGATGTTCCATTCGAGACGTACAGTTGCATTTCTCTGCCGAAACGACTTTTCTACGTCCCACACTGAATACTTTGATCTCTGGTTCTGTAAGCTAAGTGTAGCGTTGTCCTTGGACGTAATAATGCGATCCCAGTATGTGACTTTGTTGGAAGAACCATCGCTTTTGCCAGGATACTCGGCTGTCAAATAGACAAATATTTGTTTTGTGTTCCAATTGAACAACGGAGACAAGTCTGTCTCAAGGTCAAATACAATCTTGGAGTTTTCCTTGGGTTTACGGTTCACGGCACCGTAATTAAATGAAGATTTCCACAGAGCCAGAGGCTTGATGTTGGCTATAGTGGCAGTATTGAGGTTCCAAACATCTGCAGATATCAATTGACCAAGGGTTATAGCTACTATTACGCCACATAGTACTATGGACGCGGTAAGGGCTTGGTTGGCCACACCCTGGACCCTGGTACTTAAGCTGAACATTAGTTAAAAAGACACGGAAGAGTGTTGAGAATATGGTGTCCTGTATACAGAGCCTAGTTCACGGTGAACACAAGAAGAGGACAGAAGAGGAATCAGTAGGTAGTGAAATTGTACATGTGTCTGCTTTCGGGTTATTCGTGTGATGTCTATGTATCTCGTGGCTTGTGTGTGATTTTACTAATCAAAACTGCAAATTTAAATAGTTTTTGTTGGCTACCATTAATGTATGCATTTTTCACTTCATTTGTTCTCTATTCAGTTGTCCTTTTGCTGAAGGTACTCGTCATACAATTTCTGCTGTGCCTGCTGCTGCTTTGCCAATTTCTTTCTCATGCTTTTTGACACCTCTTCGCCTTGAGCGTCTTTGGTAGGCAAGCCTGCTTCGTCCCATTCCAGATAGGCACTGTCCTTGAACATTTCCGCAGGATTGATTTTCATTTTTTGTTTGCGTTCTTCTTCCTTTTTGGCATTGGCAGCAGCCTGTTGCTGCTTCTTGAGCTCTTTTTGTCTAGCGGCTTCTTCTTTTTGTTCTTGCTGTTTGATCAATTCCTCCTTTTCCTCATTGTTCAAGAACTTTACGAGTGCACCACCATTTGGCCGATCGTCCAACGACACTCCCAAATTGATAAGTTTGCCTCTAACACCGTCACACTCGCTGAGTATACGATCGGCACTGGCCTTATCAATTGCCAAAGTGCGGACTGAATCACGGAACTGAGACAACGCTTTAACATAGGGCATTGCCAACTCTTCCACTGATCCAGCACCAGAGGAGGTTTCAGAAGAATCATCAGACCAGCCAAGTCCATCGGGTCTTGTTTTGAAACCAAGAATGCTCAAAATACGAACTGTCCAGTTAGTAACCGCAAGCAAGCTTTCGATTCTCAATTTCGATGCATCAGCAGATCTCAGTTGGATGTAATTATTAGTTTTAGATACGAGATCCAGAAGTACTCTCAAGGCAACATGCGACGATAAATTATCGCAGAATGCATTGTGGACGTCATCTTGTGCCTTTTTGAGGTCCTTGTGAAGTTGTTTTTCTTCTTCACCAAGCTTTGTTGGAGGAAGTTCTCCATTGGAAATCAAGTCTCTATGGTCGCGATAAAAGGCACGAACATTGGTGAAAAATTTGGACATGGTAGATTCGTATGCTTTGATCTCCTTGATTAAGCTGTCCTTGAAATCAAGTGGTCTGTCCCAAGCACTCATGGCAAACACCAACCGCATTTGTCTCGATGTAAAGTCATTGAGTGCCTGCTCTATAGTGATGAAATTCTTGAGAGATTTCGACATTTTCTGGCCCTGGATGTGTAAGTGACCATTATGCATAAAGTAATTGACCCATTGCTCGTTATTGAAGTAGGCTTCTGACTGGGCTAGTTCATTATCGTGATGGGGGAAACACAAATCGATACCTCCCGAGTGGATATCCATGGTCTCCCCAGTAATATCAGATGCCATGACGGAGCATTCAATGTGCCATCCTGGTCTACCAGGACCCCATTTGGAGTCCCACGCAGGCTCTCCTGGCTTAGAAGCCTTCCAGAGTGCAAAGTCTGCTGGGTTTTTCTTGGATTCTTGTCCGAGACTAAGAGAGCCTTCTCCGTCGTTGATTAAGGACATATCACCTTTGTTCCAGGGTTGCAACTTTGCGTAGTCGTGTTTCGGGTCGTTCTCGAACTTGGCAGTATCAAAGTAAACTGATCCATCCTTTGTAGGGTAGGCAAAACCATTGCTGATAATCTTCTCGACAAAAGCCATGATTTCGGGAATATACTCCGACACTCTAGTGGTGTATGTTGGAGGCAAGACATTCAAGCGAGCCATGTCTTCGTTAAACTTTCCCTCCCAGTACGAAGGCAACTTTTTGAAGATTGAAGGATCATTAACGGTGGAGCCGTACTCTTTATCGAGGGCAGGCATGGCGACGTCTCTAATGGATTCAAGAAATGTAGGCAATGGAGTGTTCAAAGCTGCCGAGTCGTAAAGCACCTTGTGGGCAGCAGTAGCCGCTTTGACATGCATTGGGAGTTTGGGGGAGGACACAGCTAATGCGGTTATGTCGAGAGACTGTGTCCACGCGACGAGGTCTTTCTCTATATTCTGGTTGAAATCAGACAAATTTTTGTTAATGTAATAAGCCAAAAATTCACGACCTTGTTTGAGCAATGGTTCAGTTACCGAATCATGAACATTGGCGAGTTTTTGCTCGAAAAGGTATTCTTGGCGAGCAGCGACGATGATCTTGTCGTCGATGTCGGTAACGTTTTGAACAAATGTAACGTTGTAGCCAAAATAATCCTGGAGGATTCTTCTGCTGATGTCTGTAGAAACATAATTTCTAGCATGACCCATATGAGAGTGATCATACACGGTTGGTCCACAACAGTACCAGGTGACATGATTGGGAACCAATGTATTGAATTCAGTTTTTGTTCTAGTTAAGGAATTGTAAATCATCAATGGAACCGAAGCCGTTTTGGCAGGCTGTCTCCATTGCGGCTGCGAAGCAGATCGGGCAGTAGTGGTGGACATGGTGAGTGTATGAAGAGCCCTTTTCATGCACCGTGAGTCAGTACGGAAAATGCTAAGGTGCGCTGGTAGAGGCACGCTTGGAGCCGAGCAGAGCAGATGTTCGCGCGAAGCGAGGAAGGTCTGGGTGCAGTCTAAGAGTGAGCTCGGCTGCTAGACTTGGGTATTAGGTGCTGGTAGGCTCTGGCTGGGTGAGGTACTGGTGGATGTAGATAAGGTAGAGGTCTATGGTTTAGAGTGGAACTATATTAGTTTTTGATTAAAACTAAGATATTTTTGGAATGCTACTATCAGACGTATCAACATATAGTCATGTCTAGATCAATTGGTCTGAACGACCTGAAAGAGACATGTAGTTAGCCTCCCTCGTATTAAAGTCTATTGATTGCAACAGGTGCCAGGGCTGTGCCCTCGCGCATGTGACCTCGCGGCTCGTTTTTGTGTCACTTAAAATTTTCTGTCGCACACTCTTAGCCTCAGTCAATTTTCAAAACCCAACCAAAACTACATTCGATAATGTCTTCGTACTCTACCGTCAAGACCGCTAACTGGAGATTCGTTGAGGTGGGACGTGTTGTCTTGATCAACGCCACCAAAGAATTGGCCACCATTGTTGAGATTATCGACCAAAGCAGAGTTTTGATTGATGGTCCAAATGTCCAAAGACAAGCCATCGCTTTGGCCAAGACTGTATTGACTCCTATTGTGTTGTCCAACTTGCCAAGAGGCGCTAGAACCGGTACCGTGACCAAGAAGTGGGCTGCTGCCGACATCGATGCCAAGTGGGCTGCCACCTCATGGGCTAAGAAGATCGCTGCTAAGAACAGAAGAGCTGCTTTGACTGACTTTGAAAGATTCCAGGTGTTGGTGTTGAAGAAACAAAGAAGATACGCTGTCAAGAAGGCTGTTGCCAAGGCATAAACAAACTGGAGGAGAAGAAGAACCCTGTTGTCCAACATGAATCTTGCCTTAAATATGTATTCTTAGTACGGTGTCTGTGGATATCATAGGTTAATGTTGACGTCATTTGAGAGGTGTGTAGTGAGAGAAGAATAGAGTTATAACCCGTAGTTTGTTGGTACATTTGAACGTCTCGTCAAGTGTAATATAAACTCAATTGAGATAGGCTAGTGAATTTTCAGTTTCCACTTCCAACTATATATCCTACTCTGATACTTTTCAGCTACTTGGACTTGCAATTGACTTTCCCAGACACTTTTCATGATCGTTTTTCAGCTATTCGCTTTACTGTACTTTTCAGTTACTCTTGTCTTAGTCTATCTACACTATTTACATCACTTCTTCTGTTTCTTTTCATGCTCAGCAATCAATTCTCTTTGCAATTGCGGAGCACATTGCGAATACTTGCAAAACTCCAACGAAAATTCTCCCTTACCTTGGGTACATGCTCTCAAAGAAGTGGAAAATCCAAACATGGTGTTCAATGAACATTCAGCTGTCACCGTAAACTCATCTTGACCATTCACAGTTTCTAAAATCATACCTCCAAGCTTGTTAATCAACCCAACCACTGAACCTTGGAACTCATTAGGAGCACTCACCTCTACCGACATGATAGGCTCTAAGATAACTGGTTTTGCATTCAAAAAAGCTTGACGGAAAGCACCGTGAGTGGCAGTTCTAAACGACAATTCCGAAGAATCGACGACATGAGTTTGTCCATCATTGATATGCATATGGACTCCAAGAACCCGGTGTCCAATTAATGGACCCTTCTCCAAAGAGTCTTCGAATCCCTTGGAACAAGCAAATAAGAATTTTTCTGGAATTTTTCCTCCAACAATATGCTGTGAGAATTTGTTTTCTCCCTCCAATGGAGTCATCTCACCCATAACTCTACCATATTGACCTGAACCTCCACTCTGCTTCTTGTGGGTGTAGTCGAAGGTTGTAGGGGCAGTAATAGCTTCACGGTAAGAAACTTGAGGCTTTCCGGTAATACATTCCACACCGTACTCACGCTTCATTCTTTCCACATAAATTTCCAAATGCAATTCTCCCATACCAGAGATGATGGTTTCCTTCGATTCTGGGTCGTACTTCACCCGGAAAGTGGGATCTTCCTTCTGGAACCGGTTCATTGCTTTGGAAAACTGGCCATTATCTTTCGATTTGGGCAGGATCGACAACGAAATAACTGCTTCTGGAACGAACATAGAACTCATGGCAATCTGTTGCTCGGAATTGTGACCAATAAAGGTATCACCAGAAGCACAGTCGATTCCAAAAGTAGCACAAATTTCTCCAGCACCAACTTCATCAACGTCTTCCATGTCGTTGGAGTGCATTCTTACCAAACGAGACACTTTAACTTTCTTTCCACTTTTGATGTGGTTCATATAGGAACCCTTCTTCAACTTACCTTGGTAAACACGAATGTACGTCAACTGTCCGTACTTGCCTTCTTCCAATTTGAAAGCCAATCCCACAAATGGTGCGGTACTCGAAGGAATCAAGTTAGTACGTTTTTCAACACCAGTCGAAATATCCAATCCAGTATTCAAGATTTCGTTTGGTTGGGGCAAGTAGTCCACTACTGCATCCAAGACAGGCTGGACACCCTTATTTGCAAGTGCCGAACCCATCAAGACTGGAGTGAACTTTCTGCCAATAGTAGCTCTCCTAATAGCCGCTTTAATTTGAGGAACTGTAGGTTCTTGGCCTTCCAAGTAAAGATCCGCAATCTCCTCGTCGACGTCAGCCAAGGTCTCAATCAATAAAGCTCTTTTTTCTTCAACCAAATCGGCCAATTCAGCAGGCACTTCGGCAGCTCTGATCTCTTCACCTTGAGCGCCCTCATTATACAAAGCCACCCGATCAATGATGTTGACAACTCCCTTAAGTTCGGACTCGGCACCAATGGGCACCTGAATGGCGGCAGCAGGAGTCTTTAACTTCAAGTTGATTTGTTCAATGGCTCTAAATGGGTCGGCACCCATACGGTCCATTTTGTTAATAAAAGTCACTCTAGGAACATTGTAACGACGCATTTGACGGTCCACAGTCACGGTCTGCGACTGGACTCCGGAAACAGCACACACCACAAGAACAGCACCATCTAAAACCCGCAACGCTCTTTCGACTTCAATGGTGAAATCAATATGGCCGGGAGTATCAATCAAGTTAAAATGATAGTTTTTGTCATCTTTGTCCCACGAACAATATGTGGCAGCAGACTGAATCGTAATACCTTTTTCTCTTTCCAATTCCATATGGTCCATTTTGGCACCTACAGCGTCTCTTCCTCTGACCTCATGAATCGCTTTGATTCTACCAGTATAGTATAACACACGCTCGGTGAAAGTGGTTTTTCCCGAGTCAATGTGAGCAGAAACACCGATATTACGGAGTCTCGACGAACTGGCCAAATCTTTTTCCGTCAACAGCTGATTGATTTCGTCAATGATGACTTTTTCTTCTTCGTAAGTCTCGGGGATTTTTTCGTCAAAACGACGGATGGAAGAATGGAAATTTCTGTGCAAGGAGCTCGACACAACAGTGGGCGATACTGAAGGTCGCAAAGCCCGAAGGCCCCTGGGTAGCATTCCACGTATCATGGTAGTGAAGAGAGAGGTCAAGTAAACTTTGAAATTTTTCAGGCTGGGTGCAGGAAAATCTCACCAGATCAGGCACCTACGGCATGGGGAACTGAAGTGTATAGTAAATATCGTATAAATAGCTCAAAGTCCGTTCACGTTTCTAAACATCATGACGCCGTTCACGTTATCGTCATCAACATACTGGCACATGCGCATCACCTTCCATAATGAGTACCACATGGACTCTCCTTCGTAACGGTAGTGCGAACCCATCACCTTTTTGATGGCATCAGTAGCCTCCCGAGCATTGTAAAATGGAATCCGCGACACGTAGTGATGTAAAACGTGGGTTTCGATAATATCATGGAAAATGTGTTGGCCCACAAAGCCAAAATTCCGGTCGATGGTAGCAGCGGCTCCACGAGCAAATGTCCATTCAGTGTCCTTGTAATGGGGCATGGAAGGGTCAGTATGCTGCAAAAAAGTGACGAAAACAAGCCAGTGGTTCACCCACAACCATGGCATGAACCAATTGACAAACATGTTGAAAGCGCCAAAGTTTTTGTACCATTGGTAAACTACCGTCAATGTAGTCAAGATACCGATATCCGACAACACAATAAACCAGTATTGATGAGGGTCAAATACAGGTGAGCTTGGAGCATAGTGCGATTTAGCGAGCCACGACAACCCAGGGTAAGGTTGACCAGTGGCATTAGTAGCCAAGTAAGTTTGCAATCCTCCCAATTGTTGAAAAATTAAAACCAGTAAAGTCCAAATTGGAGACTCTTCCATAATTTCCGCCACGTTGGAAACACCGTGCTTCTCCGCAAACTCGTCCTTGGTATAAGGTACGAAAACCATGTCTCTTGTCAAGTGTCCGGTAGCCTTGTGGTGCTTGGAGTGCGAGTACTTCCACGAGAAATAAGGCACCATCAAGTACGAGTGAAGAACCCAGCCAATAAAGTCGTTGACGTTCTGGAAGTCCGAGAACGCTCCGTGGCCACATTCATGGGCCAAAATCCATAATCCAAACCCGAACAACCCAATAAGATACGACTGCAAACTCCAAAGTCCACCACGAACAACCATCGACAACGTGTCGTGGTTGGCGATTTGAACCATTGGAATCACTTTGTGGCCCACATAACCAATGGCACACATCAGCACGATGTCCCGCACAACATATCCCATCGATTTGACCAACGACCGCTCGTAGCAGTGTTTTGGGATGGCAGATAAGATGTCTTTCATCGTGTAGTCAGGCACCTCAAACTTTTTACCGTAACCATCTACGGCCACCAAATTTTGCGACGGGGTCCGCACGCCCGACAAGGGCTTGGATTCGTGGACAGAGACCAGGGAGCTCACGGCATCCTCAACAACGACAGACATGGACTATGGGTAACTTCTGGCGAATCTGCGACCGTTGAAAAATGCCTCGAAAAAAATTGGTCTGCTGACGTCAGCGGCGATGCCGTATAGAATGTGGCTGCGGTGCTAAGCCCGGCGAAACGTTGCGGAGAGCTCGAGATCATTGGCGGTCTAAAAGTAAGGCTGGAAATGATCCCATAGTGCAAAAAGTAAGAAAAGTAATCATCTTGATTTCTATTTTTGTCTTTTTCATTACTTCTGTTCAGCCTTGGCAACGGGCATCAAGCGAGGGGTTTGTCTGCAGTCTCAAAGTGGTCCGGTACGAACGCGAAAAACGGAGATATGCACTCCTCAAGATTGCAAAAGCTAAGCCAAAGAAGTCGGGGTTGAGCTTGGCGGATGGTTAGCAGCTATGCTTCGAGTGATGCTTATCACGATTTCGTAGTATAATTTGATTCTAGTTCCTTGGTCATTTAGTACCGTTGTTTCATTAGTTTCTCTCACTTTCATTCAGTTCATTTAGTTAATTTAGTTAATTAGTTTCCAGTTTCATTTCTTAGTTTCCCCCCGTTTGCTCATGCTCGCTTCTACCCAATGTGGGATATTAACCGGAGGAAAAGGGAGGTGGGTAGCAAAAAAAATCTGTGCTATTTTCGGCACACTCCTGCGTGCATGTGTAACCCAAAAAGGCAATTTTACCACCACAGGAAACTTCTCTTGCTGTATAATGGCTCTGGCGAACGGATGCACCATAGTGCGAGCCAAGGCGTGGCGGCGCCTAGAAGGGGGTATGTGTGGATGATTTTTGGTGTTGCTGGGTCCAATGTGGCTTTGTGCAAAATGGTGAAAATATTTAGATGGAAAGTGAAACGAAAGACAAACGAAACCATGAGGAAGGCAGAGCAACACAATCGATTTATCAAGAACCAGCGTAGTGTTTGGTCACGGAAAATCAACAAATTATTGTGGACGATGCTGGCTGCAAACCGGAGTGTTGTCAAAACTTTGATCAAATCATTGTTCGATATGCCCAAATCTCCCCCGCCATAATGGATATGCCAGCCGCACCTCACCCGTGGGCGCATTTCTCCTTGTTCTTACTAGTTGTTTTAGGAAATTCTTGAAATTTCCTCATTCGGTAAGATGTGCAACCGTCCTTAATTAAATTTCCGAATCGGGAAGTCAGATGGGAAAATGCCAGTAAACATGACAGACTTTAGTACCTAATTCGAACAAAAGTGGTAACGAGCTCGGCCATCCTTACATGAGGAGAACAATGTGAAACCTGGTGGATTCATACTATATAAGTATCGATAATTCGCATTGATCATTTTTTATTCATCGACTCCAACCTTTCGCAGCCAATTCAAATGAAGTTATCCCACACTACTCTTCTCGCCATCTTGGCCACCACCTCCCTTGCCGCTTCTATTCCTCAACCAGAGGTTTCTGAAACCACTCTCGTCAGAAGAAGTGATGCCAATGAAATTCTTTCTATTTTGGATGAATTGAAGGCTATCAAGGTTAAGAGAGATGTGGTTGAAACCGAAGAAGAACACTTGGAACTCCTCAAGAGACAAGACAGCGTCATTGGTGACTTGCTTAGTGGCTTGGCATCGTCTGGTATCATTCAAGACTTGTGGAACACCTTGACCACCGACCAAGCTCTTCGTTCTCAAATTGCTGATCTCACCAAGGCTGCCATTCAAGGTTTAATTGTCAGAGGTCCAGCTTTGATTAAGGCTCTTTTCGACTCTGGTTTGCTCGGAAAGATCTTTAAGGATGTTATCAACGACAAGACTTTGTTGAACGGATTGTTGGGTGCTGCTAAGGCTCTTTTCACCACCGGACTCAACTTGCTCACCAACAGAAAGAGCGGTGGTTCTTCTGCCGCCTATGCTGCCACTACCACCAAGGCTGCTGCCGGTACTACTGCTGCTCCAGTCGCCGCTACCACTGCTGCTGCCGCTAACACCGCTGCTGCTGCACTCAACCCAACCAACACCAACAACGCTGCCTACGCTTCCATTGCTGCTGCTTACAAACGTGAAGATGATGATGAAAATGTTGAATACTTGGAGAAGAAGGATCTTACCGCTTTGCTCGGATCCATTGTCACTTCTATCAAAGACTCGGGTATTTTCACCAGCTTGATCAACAAGGTGTTGGCCGACCCTCAACAATCCATCAGCTTCTTGACCACTGTATTGAAGAAGGGAGTTGTTCTCGGAGAAGATGTGTACACCTGGGCTAAGAATAACGGACTCCTCGAGAAGGGTCTCACATGGTTGCAAACCAACGGTGGAAGTTACGCTGGTGCCGTGGCTAACCTCGTTGGTGAGCTCATTGACAGCGGAAAAGTGAAAGCTTCTGACGTTGACAATGCCACTACTGCCGGTGCCGCTACTTATCCTACCACCACCGCAGCTGCTACTGCCGCCACTACCATGGTCAAGAGAGTCAGAAGAAACTACTAGAGATGGTTGTTGTCATCCACTACCACCAGACAATAATACCCGTCTAAACTTTGCAAAAGTTATTTATTTCTCACGACCGATCTTGATTCTCAACCATTGTAATCCAAGCCGTTTTCAGTTCTAATAAAGTTTCGAATAATGAGTGTAGAGTAGTGAAACAGAAGACTTTGTTTCGCACATGATTGCGATGGTTCTCTGCATGTCGAGAACATTTTTCGGCCTTTTTCGGCCCTTCTTTCCTAATGCGGTACACTACGCGCATCAATTGGCAAGCGAGTGCGTCTCGGAATGGCATGCGCACTGTATATGAGTGTCTAGGTCTGATCCTACGTTGCCTAGACTACTCAAAAATCTCTCACACCTTCCAATGCTCTAACCACAGCAATCACAACCATTGCTCTGTTCTTGGCAACAATGTCGTATCCAGCACTCATTTGGTTCTCGACCGTTCTCGTGTTTCGTATTCTGCAAGTATTAACCGTCGTGCATTAATTATGCAAGCGACGACGCACCTCACCTTCGGCATAGTCAGATTGGCGGTTCGCTGCAGCAAGTTGAATTACCCACTATATAAGTAAAATGACACCCCTTCCATTGCCAGTTAGTTTTTGCCATGCTCTTTGCTTTAGCAACTCCAGGTTCTGCTTTCAAACCTTCGTTGAAAAAACCTTCTAATACTTGGAGGCTCAAAAAATTCAAAGACCTTTATGTCGAAAAAGGCGGCTCACCATCTTCCTCTGCAGATTCTTCGTTGAACGGGTTTTCCATCAAGATCTAATTGCATTCATTCACTTCATCTACGACTATTGTTTCAGTTTAATATATCGCAAATTCTTTTCATTCCGTATGATTAGCCTTCCTTTCTCTCAAGATTATTCGAGGCTGATTCATTCATTCACTTCGTTCTATACTTTCTATTTCTCTTAATATTGTTTTATGGCCTCGACTCCGAAGAGTATTCACCTCCACTATGCTTTTCCGGACTTGCAGGATCCCATGCCGCTCCAGGAACTGCCAATCCACGTTCCTTGTTGCGTCTGTCTCTCTCAAACTCTCTCCATCTCTTCATCACAATATGGCTACCATCGAACATATCATCCCCACTGGAATGATCTCCTTTATCTCCTCCGGCCACTGTTCTGGTTTCACCCCAACTGAAATCATCAAACTTCCAATACGCATATGAGGGAAGAACAAAATTCCAAATTGGCAACGCAATGAGGTAGATGAAAAAGTACACAACGTACGACCACGATGAAACGGTAATGACGATAAGTGCTCCTGGTAATCCAAAAATAATGGCCAATAAAATCAACGACATAACTGGGGTAGGTTTCGAGATAATGGCAACAACAATAACATAGATGGTAAAACAGATGGCAGCTGGTAACACTAAAGTACCCACCAACTCGATGAAAATAACAAATTGCATCGAAAAGCAAAATGTACCACACAAATCTTTAACCAATACCAATTCCATCAAGTTGTGCACAGTAGAGTTGATCCACCGACGTCTCTGCGAAAGCAACACCTTGAAACTCTCGGGAACCACCGTTTTACAAGCTGCCTTGGGAACAAAGATTTGCTTTCTCTTTGGGAATGTTCTCAACATCAAGGACGACAAATATCTATCTTCACCCAACAACAACAAGTTTTTCTTATGCAAGGTATTGACGACATTATCGGAATAACGCTCCACAATATCGGGATTGGCCAAGATGGGAACCCAATAACCATCGGCTTCCTTGGGTGCCTTGATCCGGTACATACTGAAACATCCTGGTAAACATGTAACACCACCAAACACAGTCTCGAATGCCTTGGCTTGGTGGTGTGAAATGTAATACTCAAACACCTGGATTGCTGTAACCCATGATGTTCTCTTGTTAGAAATCTTTGTCTCTCCACATAAACCCATCACCGCAGGATCTTTCACCATTTCCGCAACCATATGAGTGAGACTATCTGGGTACACCATTGTATCGGCGTCAACCATCAACACAATCTCATAAAATTCTGCCATTAATCCAGTAATTCGCCAAATACTGTTGAGAATTTGATACTCCAAATCGGTCATTCTTTCATCAAACGTGACTTTCTGCAAGAAAGACATCAAGATAATTTGTGAGTCTCTCTTTCCTCTGTTACCAGGTTTTGCTGCACCCGCTTCTTCAGGGGTTCCGCACTTCACAATCGTAACCACGGGCACTCTTTGTTGTTTTTCAACTGGAACAGTCGCATCATCGTACTTGTAAAATCCAGCATACACCTTGGCCATATTGTGACGTTTACTTCCTTGAGCGACTGCCACATAAGAATGGCTCTCAACTTCATCCCGGGGAACCGTGAAGTCTGACATCATATCCAAGACTATATCGGGGGTTGACTGATCGTTTCCTGAACCTTTAACGATACCATCACACACCACAAAAATCAATTTGTGGGAATTAGGATAATCACTAGTAGCAACAGAGTCCATAGTTGTTCTCAATCCATCTTTATCCTCCGAATAACATGTTACTAAGCATATAGTGTGTGCAAGAGGGATTCCAAATGGTTGATATTCCACCGGCGGTTGAGGAACCACATCCGGGTGTAAAATATCAGGAGACAACCCAGTTACAGGATATTCTTCGAGAGCTTCGAATGGGTTGTATACTGATACAGGTCTTGACATCATATGCGATGCTTGGTCATCGAAAAAACCCGACTGCCTGCTGGCCAACTTGTTTCTTGATTTACTTCTTTCTCTCAATGCCAATTGAGTGGACATGGTGGTATACTGAAAGTTTTTCGATAACTTATCCAGGCCATACATTTGTGCGAGGTCCGCAGCTGGATGAAGTGAGAGACGGTTCGATTTATGGAACACACTCTGTCTGTTTGTTCTGGCCGACTTGTAGTTTGCTCTAGCCATTTCTGGAACCGTAGCTATTGGTGGTTGTGAGGAAGGGTTATCAACCCAGTTTTCTATCTCCTTGTTACGCTCGAACCAAGACTTGTTGTCGATAGCGGTTGCTCCCTGTTTCGTTGACATCCACCACCTGAAGTAACAAGCCATCAAAAACTTGGCTACGACAACCGACAAAATGAAAACCAAGGAAACATACAAAACCACGGTCGAAGCAATGCATCCTATAGTATCTGAGTCGATGGTACCAACCTTGATTATTTCACTGAGACAACGGGCTGCCTGTCTTTCTTCGCTATTCGTCAATACAAGAGAAATATCGTGCCCCTTATAAGTCTTATCGTCCCTGAGTTTGTCAAACAAAGCTGGATACGTCACGTCATCCGACGAAATCCAATCGATCAAATTCAAATCCAAGACATCACCAGAATAAACAATCAAGTTTCTAGACGAGTTCTTGATATCATCCCACGTGAAATAAACATCACCATTGACTTTCAAGTTGTAAAAAGCTTCTCTTGCTGTATTGCTAGTATGGCAAGCCCAGCCGTCATAGTAAGCTTTCGTTCTGTTAGGCTTTGTTTGTCCATCTTGATCGAACAACCTACATGGCATGTACCATGCTAGTTCGTCACCATTGGTGGGAATAGAGCAGTTGTCTCTGGGCTTGATTAAGCCTTTACAGTTTCCATTGACATTTTGAAACAAAAAGGAAGCATCCTTTCCGCCGGCATTGATGGGAGGATACAAAACATTTGAGCCGGCGGGAATTCCTGCCGCTGAGATATGCTGAGATGAACTCAAGTCAAATGCTCTTCCATGAATAATGAGGTAACCGGTGTTGACATGGTTAATTTGAGTTCTTATAACCTTATTCGAGCACACGGTTTTAGTGAACCCGAATGTTAAGTAGGCAACGAAAGCACCAATATAGAGAATACAGGTGATCAATGCAATTTTCTCTCTCCAGGCAAATTGACGATCTTTACTGTGGAGACCGAACAACTTGAGGAGTGGAGCGGGGGCCCAGAAGGTGATTGCGTAACAATAGACCTTCCAGAAGTAAATGTCATGCTTGGGAGAATTGGACCGCTGAGGTGCCTTCATATTTTTGGTGACATTTCTGCCGGGGCTTTGACTAATCTCGTCATTCAAGCCAAACACTTCGCGGCCCCCATTGGTGTTACTTTTATTCTCCAAGTTCATGAGAGGAATACCCTCCTCTTCGGGGTTTCTGTGTTCCGATTGTAAACTTCTGCGGTAGTCTTGATCGGTGGAATTGCGTGGATTGACACCGGTGGTCGACGGTTGGATTCGAAGATGCGAGGCTTCTTGGTTGGCAACCTGGGTATAATGAAATCGAGGATGATTCGGGTCCATTCGAGAACGTTCGGGTCTCACCAACGACCGCTTTCTGCCAATGTCACCGGACTCAGGATCGAACTCCTGGTACCGAGTGGGACTGGCGCTGTTACGAAACGACATGTCAAGTTGAATTCAGAACTCAAGTAGGTTAGTCGTTCAGAGATGTCGAGCCAAGTGTAAACGGCTAGTCGTGAATCAGCAATATCTCTCGTTTATTACCGCAATCCAGAAAAATTCGAGAAACAAATTTGTACAAAAACACGTCGAGGGTGTTTTAATTTGAGTCAAAAGTTCTATGAAACCTGTCTTTGACAGTTATTGTCTTCTCCTTAGCGAGTGTAGAAGGATATGTAACACCAGTCAATCAAGAGTGTTGGTTTATTAATATCTTGAATGGCGCCAAGATAAATAAAGAACAAATCAAACAAAAGATTTTTTATTTTTTTTTCGTGAGGCGCGTACATAGCCTTCCTAGTCGGACAAATAGGAAAGTTTCAGGGAAGTATGGATTGAAAATTGGGGAGAATTGTAGACGAGGTTTTGGTTATTTGTTCATCTGGGTAGGATATTGTGTGTTTGCTGACTATATATATAGAATCTAGTATTTTGAATTTCTTTTAATTCTTGTATTTCTTATGTTTTTTGCATTTATTAGTTATTGGATTTACTGTGTTACTTTTATTCACATTTCATGCTACATTGTCTTAACGTTGTCGTCTAGTCTTATTATGACAATTACCAACTTCAGCTTTAAATTTCAATTTCAAATTTTCAGCTCTAATTTTCAGCTTAATCTGTTGCATTACTCCCTTTCCTTCCCAAGCGTTGAAGAACCTGCTGAAGAAGAACGGCAAGCCCCTCTATACGAGAGGCGTAAGGGATGGACTCCACCAATAGCAATTGCAAAGAGTCAAATTCCACATTTTTAGACAGAATTATTTTCACGAGCGCATTAAGAATAATGAATAGCTCCTGTTTTTGGATCTTGGGAAGCGGAGCTCGGTAAAGGAGTCGTTCGTCGGCCACAAACCGCCGGAGGCAGAAGGCAGCTCTGCAAACCAACATTTGCTTGGCACGCTTGTAGTCTTTTTGGGCAAAAGAGCATAGTTCGGTGAGACACATCAATCTTACTTGACTGTCGTTGTAAGGTTGAAGATACATTGTGGTGCCTATACTTGAACCAAAGTCATATTCGCATAGACGCTTGGAAAAGGGAACCACCCAGTCTTGTTCTTTTTCATCTTTTTGTCTTAGAGCATCTTCAATATCATTTGACCGGTAGAGAAAAGAAACCTGAAACACCCGATGAAGAAAATCGTCAATCAAAGGCTCAACTCCCTTCTTTTTTAGAAGAACCGGAAACACATGGTTGCTCAACAGCTTGTATTGGTCAATAATATTGCTTTCGTAGTGATTGTCTCCAACTTCGAAACAAATATTGAGTGCTTGCAAAATCGTGTTCCAGTAAGCCTCGGAGTTTCCACTGTTGTCTATCATGGCTCCGTCATCAGCAGTGAGCCTTTGAACAAGAGATCTGACTAGATCCTCGGCTTCCAACCATATAGGACCAGAACCATTGGTTCCAGTGAACACAGGTTTCTGTTTGATCATTTCTATCAATGATCTCAACACTCGAAGAATGCCAGTATCAGAGACCAATGGACCGAGGAGATCGATAGCTTGAAGCTTTTCACTTAACAATTGCATCGACGACCTGCTTAAAGCATGAAAAGTAGGTAAATTAGCCGTTCCATTCAACTTCCCAGCAACTCTTTGTTCGATTCTGCTTTTCACTCCAAATGGAAACACAGTCATCGCTGCCAATTGCTGGACAACCGCAGACTGTACAATTGGGTTTTTCGACTTGATACATTTCAAGTTGTTCAATACGGCATTTTGCAATTCAGACGGTTTTTCTTCATCACGAACTCGGTTGGGTAGCACAGGGTACCTAGCACAATGACTCAACGCATGAAGTATTCTTGATATTTTCTCTTCGTCTATAATGCCTCCAATAAGCTGGTTGAGATGGATATAGGACTCGCAAAAACTTGCAAGAAAGTTTTGGTATAATGGGTTGATGAAATCGTACTCAATTGATACAGAAACCCAGAATCGATAGAAGATGTCTCTCAAATTCAACGAGACATCTGGTCTTTTTAGTAACAGCGAAAGAAGCTCATCGTAAGACTTGACTATTTTCAAGTCTAGATCAACCCACCTGTGCTTCAGCAACCTGGTGAAATAGTTCAAAATACCTTCCCAGTAAACTTCGCTTTCCTGCTTCGTCGTAACAAATCTGTCGTACACATTCTCGAATCCGGTGAAAGTTAAGCTCAAGCTTTCGAGCCATTCAGGCTTGTTGAACGTGGGATCTTGTGGATCAATTTCCACATTCAAAAGACTTGGAAGCGCAATGTCGTAGATTGCTCTCCAGTCAAAGTTACTGCTTCCATGGACATCCACAATCTGGAAAAACGTCTGTATTGCTCCGTCTCGTACACGGGCCCTGTTATCACCGCATACTCTAGCCAAGACTAGAAGAAGGTATACGTCCATATTCACGAAATATTGCTTAGTTTCGTCCTTTTCGCTGGAAAGATACAGAATTAAATCTGTTTCTGAAGAGAGTTGGGTAGACGATCCTTGAATTTTCGCCAGTTCGATCTTTGACTTGATGGAGTCTCCTATGATCCAGAAACAGCTCACAGAACTGAACGAGATATTAAGGTCATATTGTTGCTCGCTGAAATTGAACAAGGTATCTGTAACCATTCTGAGCTGGTTGGAAGGTAGATTTTCAAGAAACTCATCCAAAATTAACTTTAACGTTTCAAACGCATAATTGATAAGTTGTGCCTTCTTTTCGTTGAGGTTAGAATCCTTGCTCTCAGAAACAGCACCAGCCACAAATGGGGTGTTGATAATACTGAACACTTGTTTCCATGTGTGTTGGTAAAAAGAGTCGTACTTGTCAATCAACTCATGTACGGTGGATAAGACTTTCAAGTGAATTTCTGTTTCGCAATTAATGACTAGTGTTTCACTTGTACTCCCAGCGTCGAAAATGGAGTTGAGAAAAGCCACTAGGCAATCCAATGTCATGTTTGCTGTCCTGGTGCTCACTTCTCCTTTGGAGAGAGAAAATCCACCTTCTGCAATTGACCCAACTATCGAGTTCAAGGCATCCACAATATGAATTCTCAAGTTATAATTCAAGGTTCTATCCTTGCCCAACTCAGTAATGTACTTCGCAACAGTCTCCCATAAAGTAATAGAGTCAATAGCAAATCTTGATGCGTTAGCTCTGCAAACCTCTACTACCTGGTTGAAAAAGTAGAGCTTGTTGTAAGGACAGAGACCTATGGTTTCGACTTCGGTATTCTTTTGCTCTTTCCTTCCGAACAGGATATCTGATAAGCGTATCAATGAGTTGAGAACATTGGCAAAAGAATCTTCTGGGTATTCGCCAAAGCTCTCTAACAACTTCAACCTCAAATTGTCTATGGTACTTATGTCTTGTGCTGAAAGCTTGGGCATGTCTTCGAGTCTTTGTATGGATCCTCTCATTTTCCCGCTATCTTTTTCAGTTTTAATTGCCAGACTGAACTCGTCGGCGCCGTGTAGGTAGTAGTTGCACCATTGGAAAGTGGTGTATACTATATCCCAGGATTCCCTCAAGGTTGATCCAAGAGATATAGCAAGGTTTATCAACGCTCTCAAGCAGACCACTTGGCGAGAATTGAAAGCTCTTGAATACCGACCACTTTTTTCCTTTTGTTCATCTGCTCCATTTTGAACCAAGGAGGACGTCAACGACTCTACTAGGGACTCTCCATAGTTCAACAATTGCTTTCCTTGGTCCAGGAATGTGTTGGAAGTACTGGGTGTGAGACTCTTACTTTCCGAGGAAGTGGGTCCATTTTCTATAACAGCATGGGCAATCATGCTGAGCATTTGATCTCTTTCTGTTGTCAAACCCAACAAGCCTGTAGAATGAACAAACTTTTGCAAAGACCCTTATCAATATATGGAAAGTTTCACTGTCCATTCTGGAATAAACGAAGGTTTTGAAGATTGGATAGATATGCTGATGGCCGTCCTTTATAAAGTCCGGTGATGAAATTTAGTTCCGAATCGCTGGAGTCGCTGGAATAACGTGGATATGAACTTTGACCACTCCGCCTGAATATGGCAGAATTATGAAAAAATTAAGTAATACGGGGTAGGTTTGAAGTATAGTAGTGGGTGGTTCGGTTTTGTCGAGGTTATCCAACATGGCGACTCGTAAGAAGAGGATTTTTTGGAAATGTAGTCCGAAGGCAGATGGTTTGCAGTTATGGGTTCAAGAGCTTCTGTGACAAGGTAGGAGTTGTGGCTGATGAAAACTTGAAGCGTATTCAACATCTCCAAGAGGACATTTTTTTTCGTTTTGGAGTTGTCGAATTTTTCGTAGATGGTTAGAATAGCACTAAAATTGTTGAAAAGACCAAGAAGGGTCTCAAGCACCAAAATCTTGTCCCACAGAAACGACTTTGTGGCCCATTCTTGGGGGATGTTCTCTTCATTCAAAAGGAGATGGTTTAAAAACGACAAGAGCACCTCGCTTTCTATCTCAAGCTTGTCCACGTAGTACATCAAGAGGCACTGTATTACTCTGAGGCACCGAACAAAGTAAGGAAACGACTTTGTTGGAGAATTGAGGATATGAAGAAGCGAGGGTACCAAATGGTCTTTGAAGAGAAATATGAGATCTGGCCGAGATCTGAACAAGTCTCGCTGGTTATTGATCACAGTATGGATAAACTCCAAGGATGCCAATGGTTTCAAGGGGATTCCTTCCAAAAAAGAGGCTGGAGACTCGTTCAAAATGTTACAAAGGTCTTTGAAAATTAGGTATCCTTCGTAGGACAAATCGTCCAAAAATGTGATTTTGTTGTCGATTTTAGCCTCATGGGGTTGTTTATCTGTTTTTTCCGGCACGGCTTCGAGTCCATACTTTTCGTTGCGTTCGTAAATGTAACCGAAAAGTTGTTGCAATGTAGCCGCAGCAGTATTGATGACAACTGCGGGCTTATTGGCTACCGTCAAGCCGGACCCGATTTGGAGTAAGCGCAAAAGCAACTTTCCTCGAATCTCTACTATGTAGTTTTGCATCAATGGCGGAAGACACTGGAGAATTCGAAGTTGGATATCCATGGCCAAATGCGACGCTTCCAAAAGACCATCTAAAAGTGGTCCCAAGGTAGCTGTGCTGAACGCAGTTGTTCCCGCGAGTCTGTTGATGGCCAGGATCGATATTGTCACAAGTTTGGTGTTATTACTGGCCAATGTGGACACCAATGGTGCAGCCAACAAGCGACGTTGGTCATCATTTAGAGCTTCTACCGAAGCGTCTGGAGAATAATTTTTCAAGATTGAAACAGCCACATCGCACTCCAGACGGATATTCAGGTTGCGTCTCTTGCACTCGTTGGATAGCAGCGTCAAGTCTGCTTCCAAGTGCTTGATGGAAGACATAGTGAAGAGAAACGTTGAGGTGGCTGTGAGCAGTGCCGGCGGTACTGTGTGGGGTTCTGGGGCACGGGTGCAAAGCGCGAATTCAATTTTGGAGCCCCAGATTGTTGCACGGCCCAAGCTTTAATTATTCAATGGTAGGATGGCGCCGATGCTTAAGCACGTCGGTGACGTTCACGCCGGTGAGTGGCAAGGGTAGACTCAAGATCCCCTTGATGAAAAGTCCATCTCATCTCGGCCATTTTACGTCACGAGTCAATCGCATGTACAATGAAGATCGATACAGTGCTGGAGTTCTTGATGTCAATGGGTCGAAAATCTTCAATTTCAACATCTTTGATGGCCACGGAGGCGGACAGTGTTCTGACTTTCTCACAGACAATTTGAGCCAGCATGTGGAGAATGCCAATGGACTTGCTGCCGTGGATGAAGCCGGTGACAAGCCTCGTGAAAAACTAATCAAAACCTATGCAAAAAACGTTGGCGGGTACTGGAAGCGATGGTTTCGCCACCGCAAGCAAAACTTTGCTGGAATGGCCAAATCTGGAGTCCAATTGAGCAAAATCGACCACTCGCTGGATCTCGGGATGCGGATACCAATGTCGTTTTTGGAGGCCGACTATGCGTTTTTCGGCCAGGAGGACAACCGCCTGGGGTCCACGTGCACGTCAGTGTTTTTACAGACGATTTTCAGCGAAGACGGGGCGTCGGGAACGAAAGAACTGTACTATTTCGGCCGCAAAACGGTTTCCCTTCTCAGCGTGGCCCAGGTGGGCGACACAAAAGCGATCTTGGTGGACAAAAACGGTGACGCCCATGCATTGACGGAGGCGCACCATCCTTCGAACCCATTGGAGGCTTCTCGGTTGAGAAAATACGCTGCTAATTTCTTCATGACAGACTCGTTCGGTGAAGAACGGTTTATATCGCTTGCTAATACCCGGGCGTTTGGCGACGTCGAGTTCAAGCAGATGGGGGTCACGGCAGAGCCGGATATCTCGCAATACATCATTGGTGACGGCCAAGTAATCAGGCACAAACTTACCGCCGATGAAATCAAAAATTACACCGTAGGAGGACTCGGCGGCGACGAAAGTTTCTTGGTTTTATGTACCGACGGTGTCACTGGCGTCCTAACCGACCAGGAAATAGCCGACATAGTCATGGTCCATGTGAACATGAAGGGGACGCCGCGGGCGACGCCCCAAGTGGGAGCAGAAGAGGTGATTAAATTTGTGGAATACGTGGGCGGCGACGATAACGCTACATGTATGGTGATCCGGTTGAGTGGGTGGGGCCACTGGCCCATCGAGGACCGAACCGGCGAACTTCGTCAGCAACGCATGAACGATGGAAGAAGACTGGACCGATAGAGATAAAAGATTCGAGAGAATCGTTTATTATATACAGCATGCTAGTTTTTGGAATATTTGTACATGAATCTTTTGCGGGTGGGGGCAAACTCGCCGAGCTTACTACCCACCATGTCGTCACTGACTTCAACTTCGACATATTCACGGCCATTATGGATCTGAAATTTGAGCCCGACAAATTGGGGAAGAATTGTGCAGCTTCGTGCGTTGGTGCGGATGGGGTTTCCTGACTGGATGGCCTCTGCTATGGGAAGGGGAACCACATGGGGGCCCTTCCACGACGACCTGCCACGAAGAAGGATGGAGGACGGCTTCATGGTGAAGATGTGGAGTGGAAAATCGATTGAACTTTGGTGCGGGTTACCCGGCGCGAACTAGTTCGCGATGGAGCGATGCGATGGAGTTATGTTTGCAGCACGCTACGACCCTGAAGATGGGAAAAGGGAGAGTGTAAGTGAAGACACTGAAAGTGAAAGGGAGAGTGAAAGCGGAAGTGAAAGCGAAAGTGAAAGTGAAAAGGAAACGGAAAGTGAAAGTGAAAAGGAAACCGAAAGTGAAAGTGAAAGTGAGACTGGGAACACTGGAAAGACTGGAGAGACCAGGAAATCAATTGGACTTGAGTCTGTTTCTGATTCCGATTCCGATTCTGGCTCTCAATCTCGTTCCGACTCTGATGTCGAAATGAAAGAAGTTGATGCTTCCAATTCCAACATAGTTTCCGACTCTTCCAAACACAAGTCAGTTCTAAAGAAGCTTCGAACTTCGCTTTCTGCCCAAAAAGCCGAAAACTCTACTTCCAATTCAGATTCTGACGAATCTTCAGTTCCCACTCACGACCTCGCACCTCTTCCCCAACCTGCTCTTCCAAGAGATCAAAGACTCACAGCCACCACAAATCACATTGGCAACTTGGACTGGCTCGCTACGCCTATATATGCTTCCACAACTGAAACGGTTCCGTTTTCCAGCTTTGGGCTATCTTCTTCAATGGTGAAAAATCTTCAGTCCAATGGGTTTTCCAGTGCCTTTTCCGTCCAGGTTTCTGTCCTTAAATTATTACTTCCAGACATGGAGTCCCAGGCGATTCGACCGGATATCGGCGGAGACTTGCTAGTCAATGCCGCAACCGGGTCCGGTAAAACCTTGGGCTACGCCATACCTATAATCGAAAGTCTTAGAAACCGAATTGTGCCCCGAGTTCGAGCCATTGTCCTCGTTCCAACGAAACCGTTAATCTCGCAGGTAAAAGCCACTTTTGCCATGTTGAGCAAGAACACAAACCTCTCCGTGGTTAGCCTTCGTAGCGATATCTCCATAAACGACGAAGCTCAACGACTTCAAGTCGTTCCTGATATAATCGTTTCCACACCTGGTCGTTTGGTGGAACACTTGACCAATGGCCATATCAACCTCAAGAGCTTGCGGTACCTTGTTATAGACGAGGCAGATCGTTTGTTGAACCAGTCGTTTCAAAACTGGTGTGAAACTTTGATGTCGAGAATCGATTCCAACCCCATTCTGGAACTCGACCAAACTTGGCGACCCTCTGTTCAAAAGCTTGTGTTTTCTGCTACCTTGACCACCGACGCTGGCCGTTTATCCATGCTCAAGCTCCAGCGGCCCAGGCTTATCATCGTCAACGACCGCCATGAATTGGTCAATGAACTTTTCACGGTTCCTGCAACCCTCCAAGAATACAAACTCTCCTTGGGTTCTGCGAGATCGTCGGCAAAACCTCTTGTTCTTGCCAAGTTCTTGATGAGCGAACAAAAACTTGTGAATACATTGGTGTTCGCCAAATCCAATGAGGCTTCGTTGAGATTGTGCCGGTTGTTGCAGCTTCTTTTCAGAGTTTTTGGTCTTGATGTGACAGTTTCCTACTTAAACTCCACCAACAACGCAGCTTCAACTCGTGCAAAGATCTTGAAGGATTTTGCAAATCAAACGGTTCATATCTTGGTGGTGACAGACTTGATCGCAAGAGGAATTGATATTGCAACCATTACAAATGTGATCAACTACGACTTGCCAAACTCCTCTCGAGACTACGTCCACCGTGTGGGACGTACCGCGCGTGCCAACCAGGACGGTGAAGCCTACACCATGTGTTTTGGAAAGGGAGAAACCAAATGGTTCACTCAGCTCGTTCGCGAAGTGTCGAGGCAGACCGAAGTCAAAGATGTAGAAAAGGGATTTAGAGATTTGGTTTCCAGGGAAGATGAAGCTAAATACGATACGTGCCTTGAGGAGTTGCAGAGGCAGGTTTTTGAGGGAGTGTAACATGGAATATTCGTGAAATTGTGAAATACTAATTTGAATTGGAAAGTTGCAAAAAATTGCAAAGTTGCAAAATTACAAATTTCAATAAAACATTTGCATCCTTATAGAGCATAGACTAATGCATAGACCAATGCATACACTAATAGAGCATAGACTAATACATACACTTAATGCATACACTTAATCCATAGATTACCTGAACTCTACTTTATGATTGCGATGCCTCTGCATATAATCTCAATCACAGATAACAATCTTCTTTTCACCTCGCCTTCCATGGAAGATATCGAGGGCCAGCTTCGTGTAGTCAAGCAAGATGATCTCGAGAGCAAGATCACCAGCCAAGCTAATAAAGCCTTACTTGAAAAAGATGCAGAATTAGAAGAAAAGAGACTTGAAAAGACATCTCAAAATCTTACTAAAACGTTAAAGAAGATCAAAGTCATCGAGTCTCGACTAGAAGATCCACGTACAAAGCTATCGCAACGCAAGCAACTCCGGGATGAGCTCGAATGGTTCACAAAGAACGAACTAGATCCGTTGAACCGGGATCTTCAAGACATCAAGGCTCGTTTGGAACAGATCAAACAGCAGCAAAAGAAGCCTACAAATCCTCAGGATGACGGTAAGGGTGTGGAACGCTTGGAAAATGAGACTGAACGTGAGTTTTTGACCAGGACGGGAAAAATCACAGCTTTTGGAAATCAAAGTGGGTTCCAAGAAGTGGATGAAAATGAACAAAAGAGTCATATATTTCTTCGTGCACCAGGATTTGCTCCTTCTGACCCTTCCAGGAAGGAAGCCAAGGTCGAGGAGGACGTGGTGGAAAACTTAAGGGGGTTTGAGGCTACTGGTGATGATGTTACACAACCTAAAAGTAACGAAAGCGAAGATGAATATACCCCAGATGCTGCTGAGTTGGATTTGGACGAAGAGGAGAGTATGGAACATGACTCAGAAGACGACGAAGTGCGAGATATTCGAAATATGGACGACGGAGACGAGCAATTCTACCAGAAAAGACTTGCTGAATGGTGTAAAAAACGTTCATCTTTAAGAAAAGATTTAGCCAAAACTACCACTGAAGAATGGCATATGCCTCATCCTACCGTTAGTGATGCAGTTCTCAACTCGCAATTTCGTCTTCCTGGCGACATATACCCGTCATTATTCCAGTACCAACGGACTTGTGTTCAATGGCTCTGGGAGCTCTATCTGCAAAAAACCGGCGGGATTATTGGCGATGAAATGGGGTTGGGAAAAACCATTCAGGTTGTCTCTTTCATTGCTGGGCTTCATTATTCGGGGCTTCTAGACAAACCAGTCATTGTAGTGGTTCCTGCTACGGTTATGATGCAATGGGTCAACGAATTTCATACTTGGTGGCCTCCGCTTCGGTGTGCTATTTTGCATAGCATAGGGTCAGGAATGTCTAAAAGTGCACTTACATCGGAAGAAAAGATCGAAAATATGATGGCTAATGACGACTTTGATTTGAATGAGGACAAATTTCTCGCCCAGCAAAAGGGACTTTCCAATGCTAAAAACATAGTTGACAGAGTAGTGTCCAAAGGACATGTCCTAATTACAACCTACGTTGGTTTGCGGGTCTACTCGAAATATATCCTTCCTCATCAGTGGGGATACGCAGTTTTGGACGAGGGCCATAAAATCAGAAACCCCAATTCGCATATCACATTGACCTGCAAGCAACTCAAAACACATAATAGAATCATTTTATCAGGTACTCCGATACAAAATAACCTTATTGAGCTTTGGTCCCTTTTTGACTTTGTCTTTCCAGGAAGACTAGGCACTTTACCTGTGTTTGAGCAGCAATTTTCCATCCCGATAAATATGGGAGGATACGCCAATGCTTCCAATGTTCAGGTGCAAACAGGTTACAAGTGTGCCGTGGTTTTGCGAGACCTAATTTCTCCATATCTTCTTCGACGGCTCAAAAGTGATGTGGCTCAAGACTTGCCCAAAAAAGAAGAAATGGTCTTGTTTGTCAAGTTGACCCAGTACCAGCAGGATATGTATGAAAAGTTTCTCAGCAGCGAAGATTTGCACGCAATTTTGAAGGGAAAACGGAACATGTTAACAGGAGTAGATACCTTGCGGAAAATTTGCAACCATCCAGATCTCGTTGATCGCGAACTTTTGCTTCGGAAAAAAGGTTACAACTATGGAATTCCAAACAAGTCGGGCAAAATGCTTGTTCTCAAGGGCCTTTTACAGCTCTGGCAAAGCCAGGGACACAGAACTTTACTTTTCTGTCAAACAAAGCAAATGCTAGATATTTTGGAGAAATTGCTAGTTAACCTTACAAGAATTTCTGATGGAACAGAGTATTTCAACTACATGAGAATGGACGGATCTACCCCAATTTCCAAAAGACAGGGACTCGTTGACATGTTCAATAATAATACCAATTACGATGTGTTCTTGTTGACCACAAAAGTGGGCGGGTTGGGAGTTAATTTAACTGGAGCTGACCGTGTGATCATCTACGATCCAGACTGGAACCCTTCTACAGATATTCAAGCAAGAGAGAGAGCATGGAGACTTGGTCAAAAACGAGATATTGTCATTTATAGACTCATGACAGCAGGTACCATTGAGGAGAAAATCTACCATCGGCAAATCTTCAAGACTTTTTTGACCAACAAGATTCTTAAAGATCCGAAACAACGACGGTTTTTTAAGGTCAATGATTTGCATGATTTGTTCACGCTAGGCGATCCAGAAGAAAAAGGAACAGAAACCGGTGATATGTTTAACGGATCAGAAATCAACTATAGTGGTTCGAGGGAAAGAAAACCCACAAATTTGAAGAATACCAACAAGAATGATGATGATTTTTACAGTGTTGCAAAACTTAATGGTGTCTCCAAATTGGACAAATTTCAAGGCGGCGATGAAGACGAAGATGCTCGCCCAGACGAGGACCGCATTATGGAAGGTCTTTTTTCCAACGACAACATCCACAGTACTGTGAAACATGATAGTATTATCGATTCTTCGAACCAAGAAATTTCCATCATAGAAAAAGAAGCCAACAAATTGGCGGCAGAAGCGGCCGAGGCACTCAAAAATTCCCGGAAACAGACTCGCAAGAACACTATAGGAACACCCACGTGGACTGGAAAGTTTGGACTCGCTGGTCGGTTTGGAGTACAGAAGCCGAAACGAACAAATGTAGCACCATTCAGAATTCCTCGAAAATCAGAAAACTCCGAACTTTCGTCGAGCTCTGTTTTGAGTGATCTTCGAAGAAACAAGAAGGCTACGAGAGAAGCAGTATTTTCCAAGAAACCGGAAAAGCTGCAAAATAATTCTGTCGATAAGCTGCAACTCATGCTGCAAGTGGTTGATTATTTGCAGTCACAAAAAAACCATTTTAGTACGTCTGCCGGTATACTCCAGGGACTCAAAATCCAGGAAACGAACGACCAGGAAGTGATTCTTTTGCGCTCACTTTTAAAAGAAGCAGCTACTTGGGATCGAGAAAATAAAGGTTGGATATTAAAATCGGAATATGTTAATAATGATGCTGCATGATTACACTACCGCTTATATAACACACATTATCATAATTAACTTTGCATCAAATTAACGAGACGCAATTTGTAACCTTGCATGCTTTGCATAAGACGTTCGTTGAGCCGCTTCGTTGACAGCTGCCCGCGTCCACGATACGATACTGGATGTACGTACTGCGAGATTCCCAAATTTCCTGCCGATAAACAAATTGATTTCGATCGTAATTTGAATGGAACCCAACCGGAAACTTGGAAACATTTACTCATTCTTAGTCATGGTTATCCATCAATGGAGGCAATGCCTCCACGTATAGAATTAACTCCTGCAACTCTTTCTTCCGAGATCAATGCAGTTAAGCGCCAAATGCTTTCGCCTATGCATCCTGTTGCTGTATCAAATGTGGTGGTTAATAATCATACATTACCAAATAAGCCGCTTGGCCCACAGGAGCATTTCGTGTACTTGTACCCAGACAGGAAGTCAATTCGTTTTGAGGCAAAAGATTTGGCAACATTCATTGCTAGATACTTGGTTCCGGAGGAAAAACCAGAGGTGTATAATCCTTTTAAACAAGAAGTTGAAAAAACTCAAAGAATCCAACAATCATCGATAGAATTTGAGGAACAAGATATTACCGACGAATTGGTGTTGATATGTGGTCATGGACTGCGGGATGTACGATGCGGAGTAATGGGACCCTTATTGCAGCGAGAATTCGACCAGGTACTTACGCAGGAGAATATGCTGCTGCATGTCAAAACCGGGCAGATAACGCATGTAGGAGGACATGCATACGCAGGAAACGTTGTATATTTTCCGCGTAAAGGTGAAAGTGTTTGGTATGGGCGGGTGTTCCCTGAGGATGTTCAGGGTATAGTTGACACAACTATCAAACAAGGCGTGATTATCCGTGACAAGTATCGCGGGTATGTAAATGGTGCATAGAGAATAAACTGTAAAGTTGTGTATGTAATGTATAACCCGTATTCATGCAGAAGAATCAATCAGCCGATCCGACGCAATGTCATGCTATGCATCATTTGCAAATAGATGTTTACCGCAGTGACGAATGCAGTGGAAAGTGCAGCAAAAATTTCGATGCTTACGAACTTGCAGCAATTGACGCATAAATTGCATAGGTTCGGGAAACCTCGAACGCCCCCGTTGTCATGAGCCAATCATATGGAGTCATGCAAATTAAATTATGCAGTCACATAATGTATGAGTCGGCCCTAAAGGAGATGCGCCGAACGATTATTTCGCGGGACGACCGAGTCCCCCCGCAGCAGCTGTGCCGCGCAAAAACATCCGGAAAATACAGGTGCGTCGACGCACGAACGAAAAATAGACAAAATGACTTTTCAAAGGAGGAGAAAAGTTGCCAGAAATTTTGTCATCAAAGTTGAGAGAGTGGTGCCAAGTTTATGTTACGTGGTCACCGATTTGAGCGAACGTAGTGACAAAATCAAATTTTCCCGGACATGCATCCCCTTATGGGCCAGTAGCCGCACAGCATGCAAAACCCGGGAAAAATACCGCTGCAGCTGATTGTGCGCCCGCGACTGCCGGAAAGGGCAACACCACCGCAATTTTACTACCAATTAGCGAGTGCCCAGGTGCGTAAACTATATGCATCTGACAACCAAACTTCCGCGCAGAATCTGAAGTTGACACGGCGGCGCTGACAATGCACGAGCTCCCACATAACGCATACGTCCGCATCTGGCACCAGATCTTGACGCTTGAGCCACTGCTGCAAACGGTGACGGTGCGTCATGACAGCCAGGTTTTGACGCAATGTCCACGCTGTTGAATGGTACATCTGAAGCATGGTCTGGCCCGGTGCCAGGACCGGTATCCAACCGAGGGGACGCACCCCCGGTATGGCGCCGGATTAGAGGGGTGTGGTGCGCGCACGACGGCTGGCAGTTCGAAAAAAAAAAACCAAAAAAAAATAAAACTCGATTAGATCATTCACTACGTAGCCTACGTTCAAGTTTTGTGGTTAGTTTTTTTTAAAAACCACAAAGAATTTCTCGCATTTTTAACCTTGGTTCTATGTCCAATCCCAACCATCTGACGGTCGACTACCGGTCGTCTACCTATCCCCTGCAGTCGATGCATCCTCAAGGTTCTCAGCCCCTGTATCCTCAGGGCTATTACCCAGACCAGTATCAACAATATCAACAACTTCTCAACGGCAACACCCAGCAACCGTACAACTCCTACTACATGTTCGGTCAGGCTCAGCCCCAGCAAGCAGGTCAGCAACTGCAACTGGGACAGCCGCAAAGTCAAAATCAACAAAGTCAACAAACCCACCAAGGCCAACAAAGTCAGCCAGGTCAAGGTCTGGACGCCACATACGCGTACGGCCGGTACCACAACAGCTACGGTCTCCCGCCCGGGGGTTACGCGTCGTACCAAACGGTGCCGCAGGCAGGCGGAAGCGCAATGGGAGCGCAACAGCAGCAGCTGCAGCAGCAGCAGAGTGGAGGAAGCAGCACTTTGACGCAACAACAACAACAGCAGCAGCAGCAGCATCAGCAACAACAACAACAGGGAACCAGTGCGTTGTCACAGCCGCAGCCGCAGCATTTCGTGCAGATGTCAGGGCTGGCAACCTCCTCCAACAGCACACCGCTTCTGCTGGACACCTTGAATGCTACCACCAACTCGTCGGTGGGCCAGTACCAGCCACCTGGAATCCGACCCCGGGTCACCACCACCATGTGGGAAGACGAGAAAACGTTGTGTTATCAAGTGGATGCCAACAATGTGTCGGTTGTGCGCCGAGCTGACAACAACATGATCAACGGAACCAAATTGTTGAATGTAGCGCAGATGACTCGTGGTCGCCGTGATGGCATTCTCAAGTCGGAAAAGGTGCGTCATGTCGTCAAGATTGGTTCTATGCACCTCAAGGGTGTATGGATTCCATTTGACCGTGCCCTTGCTATGGCCCAGCGCGAAGGTATAGTGGATCTTCTCTATCCATTGTTTGTGCGCGACATCAAACGAGTCATTTTGACCGGTGTCACTCCATCGTCGTCCGCCACGGCGTCATCCGCTGCTAATGCTTCTTCGTCTGTTGCGTCTACTGCCGCTACCGCCGCTACACCTTCGTCTGCAGTGGCTGCGAAAACTGCAGCTTCTCAAACCCCTGCAACTGCCCTGGCGTCTACTGCAGCACCGGGCCACACAGCAGCTTCTGGCCTCTCCTACGGCAACTACTACCTGGGCTACTCTCAATATCTCGCAAGCCAACGGATCGGGATTGAACCAATCGCCGCAACAAGCGTCGGGAGATTCGGCGCAAACCGCCGGCTCTGGCCAACAGCAACTGCAGGTATACTCTTACCAACAACCATACTATACTAACCAGTACTATCCTCCCTACAATCCAACCAGTGGCTACTCGTCGTATGGATCGCAGCCAATGTACTCGGCAGCATATGGCTACCAGCAGATGCAGCAACCTATCCAGGGCCACCAACATTCGCATCATCTGACAGCGCATTCTGATGCAACTTCGGGCGGTCAACCATCCGCTTCTGCTACGTCGAATGATGCTGATAGAGCCCTGACATCTGCAACCACCAGTGGCGTCGATAAGAAAGACGACAAGGAATGACTGCTACCATAAATAATTTGCATTGTATATTAGTGCTGGCTGATTGTATTATAAAGCTTGTTGTATTGGCTAAACTTGCAACTTGTTAAAAGCGTGGTAGAAACGTTAACAATGCTAATGATAAAAAGATATAGCAAGAATATAATTGAAAACCCAATTCCCAAGTGCAACTATACACGCCCGTTATTTGCATGTTCCATGCATTTGTAAATGTAGGTGTTTAAAAATATGTGAGAAGGTTGCATGATTATTACATTGCATTGCGCGCGTTATGCAAGATCGATCCAGAATTGGCAACAAAGGCGACTAATTACGAAAAGTTTACCTATGAAGTTATATTCATGAAGTATCGTAGAACAAGCTATATCCATAAGCTATAAAATAAGTTATATGCATATCTAGACCTCAAGCTGCTTCATCTTCTTGTGAAGTTCCTGCGTCAAATCCATCAGTCGTCCTTGCTGATATGTGTGTCGGGCGTCTGCAGATCGTATGCACGCTGCAACCCGTCAATCTGAAGCTTGAGTGCCTTAATATCCACATCCTTTTTGCGTATGAGTTCCTTGTACTTTTCAGCTTCTTCATCGGAGGTAGCCTTACTATTGAGAACCCGCAATTGTGTTTCTTTTGCCACCAACTTTTCAACTATACCTACTACAACCCAAATGGCAAGTTCCAAGTACAAAACTGCACCTGTCAAATAGAGGTTGCGTTGTGCATAGAATTTTGAGGCCAACTGTCCTGAAGTGAGAGACCCGGCGATTTGTTGGTTGGTAGTGGAAAAACTGCCAAAGTATGGATTCCCCAATTCCAGAAACTTCTTCAAACGGTTGATGCAATCCATAAACTGCATTCCAAGAAGGATCGTGGTAAAGATTACTCCGATTTTAAAATTGTTCAGAGTTCGTAAAACTTCAATGGCATGCATCATACGTACACGCACAGGATGCGGGATGGGACATACGAGTGAAAATAATGTGATCATTTCACCGCACAAGGCGGCAAAAATTAGCGACATTTGAAGACTCATATTGAAGTTGGTTGAAACAAGTTACCTGGCATTGCGACTTACATCACGGCGCGAGCTTGGCTGCCGCCACATGCAGTACCTGTCACAATATGCCGACCGAGGGGGCACGGCCTAACTGTGGAGAAAACGCCTGTACGTGACGTCTGCACTATGCATCATGTCATGTCATGCACTGCACGGGTAAAAAAAAGGGAAAATGCATTTCCAGTAAATAAGATCTATGCAATATGCAATAGAACATTATAATAATTTCGGATTAATTAAAATTAACTATAACCCAGTAACTCTTTTTGCGTATTGATAAGCGCAAAGACTGAATATCACCATTCCTCCAATAATCGACCAAAACCATAATAAACCATCGTAATCTTGTCCTGGAACAAGACAATTCATACCCCAAAGTCCAGTGACCACATTAATTGGCAATACTATTGTACCCAAAATGGTTATCTTTCCCAACACATCATTGGTATCATTATTGACTTTTGTCATATCGATATTGATTTGTGCAAGATAATTCGAATGGAATCGAGCCAAAAGCTTTTCATAATGATTCAATGATTGCACCATGGTTACTATATGGTCCAGAATGTCTCCAAGGTACAACGAAAGTTCGCTTCGGCCAGCCAACGAAGTTTCACTTTGATCGTTCAATCTCTTGTTGAAACCCTTGATAACGTCTGCCTTCAGTCCTAACAAACGAAGCACAGACATTACTCTTTTCCGACACTCTCCAATTCGTCTCAACATATCTCCCTTTCTCTTCCATCCAATGATCTTGGAAGCTGTAGATTTTGAACTGGAAGACAGACTCTTGGATCTGCTCGAAGACCCCAGTTGAGGTGCTCGTCCCTTATTGAACATGCCCACATTTCCCTGTGCTTCAACCACAGATTTGGACCGAGTTCGACGGTAGAAAATATTATTATCTTTATGATGCTGTCTCTGCGGTTGTTCCTGAAAATGACGATTTTCTTCGTCATCATCGTCCAGATCGCTGTCGTCGGTATCTGTGTCACCCGAGTGCATTTTCAAAATAGCGTCTTCGATCGAATTGACCTCGGTTTCTATGCTTTCTATCATCGGTGCAAACGAGTCGGTGATATCGTCGATCAACGCATAACAGATCCAGTCTGACGAAACGGTGAGGAAATCTCGAAGAAGTCGAGCACGCCGTCTCACATTGATAGGGTGCGGAGTGGGCGAGAAATGGAAAGTGATCACAGCTTCACGGAAAACAATCATGTACATGTTAAGCGGTTGGAGTTCACCTTCACGGATGCGTTTGGACTTGGAACGATGACTGGTGGTTTGAGTGGTTGGGTGAGCGTGAGAATAGCGACGATCCTGAGACCGGAAAAACCGTCTCATCCGCTTCCACAAGCCGTCTTGGTTCTCGCTTTCAAGTTCCTGAAGCTTGTTGAGTTTCTTCTCCTGCTCCTTTTTCCGCTGCTGGCGCCGCTCGTACACAATGTCAAACGACGTAAAACATACAAAGTAGTACTGCTTGAAAAGCTCTACTTTTTCGCGAGCTTCGCCAAGAAAGATATCTTCGGTCGTCAAAGGATGGATACCAAAAGTCTTGGAAAGAACCTTCATTTCCTCTTCTGTAGGATCGAGCACATCGAGCCAGTATGGTGTAACGTCGTTGTCAAGAATGCTGGGTTGAGCTGACAATTTTTGAGTGGATGGAGTCATCCGTACCTGATTAGCCATCAAATTTTCTCCCAGAACCGACGGCGGATGAGTTCCCTGTTGGCTAGAACCTCCTGCAATTGAAGGAGCCGCTGAAGTGCGTTCGGCTCGAAACGGAGCAAACAAGTCCTGGATGGTGAGCAGCAGTTCTTTCATTGGTGCCGCATCTTCGTCAACACTTCTCCACTTTTTGGTCAATTTAGAAGCCTTCTGCGATGGTCTCGAGTTGGCGCCAACAAGGCCACTGAGAGTGGGTGAGTGGATGGTGGAATCAAGATCTTCACGAAAATACGTGAATCTACAAAGTTTGTCACGGCGGTTCTTTGGACCATGGTCTGCGGGATTCCAAATCGTGGGTATTTTCTCTTTGGATTTTTCCCACGGCTGGATCGGCGTGGGGCGGACCCGGAACGAGTCGTTTAGCAGCTCTAACGACTCGATTTCGTTGACATGAGTTGCCAAAAGCGGCGTGTTCTCGTCGCCCGGTGAGGTTACGCCGGGGGAAACTGTACCGGGGGAAATTGCGCCGTTTCTGGGCGAAGCATTGTCGTTTCTGGAAAAGTTGCTATCATTTCTCGGCGAAAGTTGGCTTTTGTCCACCCTTCGGGCCACCGGGCTGCGGAAATTGACGTTTTGCGGCTCCGTGTCGTGGTCTGCGGCCAAGCTGGCCACCTCCTGCTCCACAAACTCCTCGAGCACGTCGAGATCCGGCCATGCTTGTTTTGTCGATTTTCCGTCGTCCTGGTCGTAGTAATCCGGAAAGCAAACGTCGTCTAGCGACGTCGAGTCGCTCGAATGGTCCGACGACGGGTTGGAGGCGCCGAACTCCAACGAATTGATCGACCGGTTGTCGCCAAACGGATCGTTCCATCCGCTTTCGATGGCCCAGTCGGCCTGCTGGCGTTGGTATTGGTCCATATCAAGCGAAACAGCTCCGGTTTCGCCACCACTACGCGCTCCGTTCTCGGGCTCCTCGGGGGTGGAAGCTAGAAGCTGTTGAAGGTTTCGGTTTGTGAGTGGAAGACTGGCATGGTGACTGGAACCGGCACCCAGATGGGACCTGGAAAAGTGACGGTTGCGGGCCTCGTTCTTGTGTGAGCTTCGGCGCCTGGCACGCGCGGGAGACGCCTGGAGGTGGGCGAGATCATCGTGGTTTCGGTGGTCGATGAACACGGGATTTGGTTCTGACTCCAGTCTTGGGGAGGACATAAAACAGATAATAAAGTTAGGAAGCAGTCAGGAAGGGGTTGTTAATAAATGGAGTAGATTAGTGGATTAGTGGGTGGATAGTGAGTGGGACTAGTCGATACTAGTAAATTAATGGAGTCTTTCCAGGTTACTCAGTTGTCTGAATATTTCAGTCCTGCGATTCTTGGTCGCACAAATGATTGCTCCGACGCGCACACGACATCAATGCCAAGCAGCAAGGGTAGGTAATGAAATTCAAATTCAGCTCAAGTTCAAAGAAACGGTATAATGAAACCAGTAGAGAATGAATGATAATGGATCAATTGCTCTAAGCCTCTTTCTGTGCAGGGCCGTCGTCTGTGCCTTCATCTGAGCCGGCTTGGTCGGTTTGGTCGGCTTTGGCTTTTTCGCGCTTTTGGCCCAACTGCGCGAGAGCGTCGTTAATTTCGTCTTTGCGGGCCAAAAGTTGGCGCCAAACGTCCTCGGTGAGCGAAATGCCTTTTTTGCCTGGTTTGAGTTCTTTTGTAGTTTTGTCTTCGTAGTATTCGCGTATGTCAACGAGATTGACGCCGTTGAACTTGCGCACGGCCACGCGTTTCTTGGCGTCGAGATCGAACACGGAGTCGTCGGAGGATTTTCTTTTCATAATAAGAAATGAGAAACTGATTTAATGAAATCAGTGAGGATTGCGACTTAATGCGAATTGAATTAGTGAGAAAGTGAGACACTAGTGAAAGTAGTGAGGAAGTGACTAGTGAGAAAAATGAGAGCGACAAATTGTGCGAACCTGCATTAGCGAGGAAACAGGAAACAAAGATTGATTAGTGGAAGACTGAGATATGACAAGCCAGATAGTATGAAACCAGTGCTTGAGACGTAAATAGACTAATTCGAATTGAAGGGAAATATAACTGGTGAGGATAATGAGTGGGAAAGATAATGGTCAAGAGATGTTAGTGAGAAACTAGTGACAAAATTAGCGAGAAAGGTAGTGAGAAATTAGTCAGAAAATTAGTGACAAAATTAGTGACAAAATTAGTGAGAACTTTTAGTGACAAAATCAGTGGGAAATTAGTGAGAAACTATTGAGAAAGTTAGTGACAAAATCAGTGAGAATACACTAGCAAGTCACTACGACCATGGTTTTGGTCTTACTTACATTTTCGTAACTTCTATTCATCTTTCTATCTATCATCCAATACATATCTATAATCTCCACTTCAATCTCCTCGGCGCTGGCGCGCCGCTAATACTTCACTCGGCCGCTATCCCACCTCTCGTTGAAATGCTTTCCAAACATGCGTTCCACCTCTCCATAAAGTTCCTCCTCCTCTTTGTTATCCACCTTTCTCTCCACCTCGCTGTAGTTCTCAAGTGCAAGCTCTAGCTCGTGCACATTGGAAACCCCCAAAACAACTGAACTGCGATTGTTGAGCTTGCCATTTACGTACAATGTCTTTCGCATGGCAAACCGAGTAGCGAGATCTGCCACCTCGATACCTTTTTCCTTAAGGTGTGCCGCCACCTGCTTGGCTTTTGCCTTGAGTGCTTCCAGTGCTGGGTGGAAATCGTGGGTGGACTGCGACCGAAGCAAAGACATGCTCAAAATGGACCCATTCATGAGTCTTTTTACACCACATTCGCTAAAAAATTTGTCCACAACGTCAAAAAACCTGGTGTTCTGTAGACACCCATTCGAGTACAGAAGAATAGCATCCAAAGGTCCGATTTCTATATCGTTTTTGGCCGCCAATGCCACCTCGTAAAGTAGCTCAATTGGGTACCCAGAAACGCCAATTGCACGAATTAAACCCTCATTATCTAGCATCCGCAACTCCTTGAGTGCCCCCATCACCTGGTCTACTTCAACAAACTCTATATCGTGCATGTAAACCAAATCGAGATACGTGGTTTGGAACCGTTGCAAAGATTGCATCACCGAAGCACGAACACGTTTTCTAGAATAGTCAAAGTCATTCGCTCCGTACCGGCCGGCCTTTGTACATATATAGTACGACTCTCGGGGCCATTTTTGCTTCAAAGCAGCCAAAGCAACACCAAAGTACTCTTCCAGCGGGCCGTAATAAGGCGAACTATCGATGGCATTGAAGCCATTTTCAAAGGCCAAATCAAGTATAGAGGTGGTGGGGAGACTCAGGGGGTCCAGATTGTATATGTGGTTGAACACAGACCCGCCTATAATTAACGGTGGAAATTGTTCAACTGTCATGAAGAAAGAGCGACTGCGACATAATTGAAATCCACAGTTTTCGCACTAAAATTTGGGACGCACGTAGATGCAAATCAGCGCGAAGACAACCGGAATCATGTAGAGAAATGACACAGCCGCACACATCTGGAACCATACCTTTTTGGTTGGAGTATTATCTAATGTACTCAATTCACTTAGAATATCATCTTACTCGTCTATTCCCTCTTTTGTAGCTTAAAAAGCGAGATCTTTTTCTCGTTTTGCAACCATTTATTCTTACGACACCTTTCGCGGCATCGGCTTTACTATACATAGGGTCTAAAAATGCAGACTAGTTTGGTTTCGAATTTTGTAGCGTCAGATCGAAATAGTGGAAGTACCCGAATTGACAGATTCACTTACAAGCAATAGCTCATTAAAATTCTCTTGGTAATCTTGAACCATTTCGGTGAATTGTACTTGCTTCACCAAAATATCTTTCTTTGAACCATGATTTCGAAGCACAGCAAGATTCTTCAGTACTTGAATAGTGACCGATTGCTCTATGACACAAATAAATAGAAGCACCCTCGTTAGTTTTTTCACTGATTCTCTCTTCATTTTTGTCAAAAATACTCTCCCTCCGTAACATAGTTCCCCGGAACAAGGCCCACGGACCCATCTGCCGTGTCCGTGCCAGTAAGTTCGCACACAAACCAGTTGTCTTCTTGCTTGTGGATCACGTACATCAACCATCCTTTCTTGAAAGAAAGTTCGCCGTGCTGCTGAGATTTGTAACTGTAACGGGCTCTTGCCTTGGACACATATGGCTGTCGACTATGCGGTGTAACTTTGGCTATTATCGAGTGTAGATTTTTCATCTTTCTGGAAGGAGTTCTCAGCAAAGATCGTCTCGTGGGCAGCGCTCCAGGCGTTGCAGTGAGGGTATCGTCACTGGCCTGGCGCACTATACAAGTTGCAAGCAGGTCGTTGGTTGTGTCTATCATCAGTTTGGGCCGTGGTTTTACTGGTGAGCCATCGAGGTCCGCTCGTGTTCGTCTGGGTCCTGGGGTGCGGAAAGCGATGCTTTCTCGGCGAACTGCTGGTTCCATTTCTTGTGCGTTGTACGGGGTGCTAGGTGCTGTTGTAGCCTTGGCGTCATTCGATGAGCTGCCACGAAGTGATCGTCTGAACCTGGAAACATCACCGTCTCCTCCAGCGTTCAAATCTTCCAAAGCTTTGGCTATAAAGTCAATGGAAAAATCTTTAGTGAGCGGCACTTTTTTGGTTTCTGGTTCACTGCGACGAGGCGCTGCCGGCAATTCTTGTGACTGGCGGTTGATTTGGTCTTGATACTGTGACAACTGCTTTTCTTTCCGCCGGGGCGAAGCCCAGTGACGCTCCAGATTACCGGAAGTCGAGCTGTACGACGTCAAATTGGAGTAGTTTGACGACCCATTCAGCCCAGCAAACCTGTCCTCTTTATGCGAAAACAAGTCCTCATGGCCCAGTCCGTAGGCACTGTTGACGGAGCCGCCATTGCGGTTGTGCTGGGGCAGTTTTGGCTGCAAATTTGGAGCGTTTTGCACAATCGGAATTTCTGAAATAATTGGCAGTTTTGGCAGCAGTTGCGGCAGCACTCGTAAAGGTCTAATGTTTTGTGGGGTGGTTTCTACTCTTTGCTGTGGCAGCTGGGGAAGCTCTTTGATGGTTTTCGTGGGCAGTCGATGTTCCTTCTTCAGCACCGTTCTCATGACATCTTTACAGTCCGGGGTGTCAAACTCCGCCAATTTGAACGTGGGCTCATCCTCATCGTACCCACTCATATAATCGACGTATTTTGGAGCGCTGTAGATTTTGTCACCGGTTCCATAATTTCGAGCAAAATCATCAAGATCACTTGGAGGTGTTACCAGAGCAAACGCCAGCCGAGCAATGTCCACCGCTTGGTCATTGTCGACGCAGAGCGTGGCGACGTGGTTACAAAACCCAAAACAGTTGATTTTGCAAGTTTGAATCCGTTCGATCTCAAGCTGGTAAATGTCCTGGAGAGCGAGGCTCCAGTCTCGGACATAAATTTCGTCTAATTCACGATACTTGACCAACGCCAACTCATAGTTCTTCTGAGACGAGTTCAGACCTGTCAATTTGCGTAATTTGGCTTCGTTTTTCTCCAATTCTTTTCCCCAGGTGGTTTGCACCAAAAGACGAAGCAGCTTAATCTGAGCACATTCCTCTTGATACTTTGTTCTCGAAGCTTCCACCTGCTTGAAAGCATCATTGCGCTTGGTGGCGAGCTTGGACATGTGATTCTCTATCTTCAACACCTTTTTCGTGTACATTGATGTGAAATTGTTGAGTCTATCGTAGCTCTGTTGTGCCACACTTTTAGCAAATTTGTCACTATACTGGGCCATATGGCGGTTTTCCACCGCAAGGCTATCGATGGCCTTCTTGAGACTCCCAGTTTCATGAGATCCCAAAGGAATTTTGGAATTGAGTCGTTCTAATCTTTTTACGTATTCTTTTTCAACCAGAATTCTGTCGTGATAATAATCTAAAAGTTCCTGGAGAGTCCTCAAACCATCGTGGATACGGGTTCGAACCACCAGAAACCCATTATTGGTGTCTCCCCAAAAGCAGTTGACAAAAGGGCGGTCCAACATGAAGATGCGTTCGCAAGCTGAGTTTATATGCGATGTTTACCAAAGGCCAGAATAGGCAACGGTTGCAGCGCTGGTGCACGGGTGCAAGTGGGGCAGAAGACGATGCGGCTGAATCAGAAGAAGAGAGAACTGAGAAGGTCGCGCTTTCTGGTCCGATAATTCTGGTCCGACCAAAAGTGTCACGGGATGGTCCGAACTGAGGTGTTACGGCCACCCCCGGGTGACCGTAACTATGACCGGTACGTCGGCACGCGCGCACCCCGGATTTGCACCCACCGGGCCGAGGGTTTGGCAGCGATTTCGGTCCGCGTTCCGGCACAGGGACCGCTGGAGCAGATTCAATTGCGACCGTTTGAAAATGCATGTAGAAAGATCTATATACCATTAATAGAACATTTTTTTTTTTGCTGTTTGCTGATTTTTGAACCCACAAAACCGTATGGTCTCTTCATTCAAGCAGTCGTGGCCCGTCAGAGGAGCGGTATGGCTTTTCAATTTTGCCCTAAGTCAATGGTTTCTTGTCTTGCTTGGCGTGTTCGTTGCTTTGGCCCATTCTTACCCCGAGTTTGCCAAACAGGGCGGCACTATTAAGGCCCAGTATAGTATTCAGTACGGAGCGGTGGCGGTGATCTTCTTGATTTCCGGTCTTTCTATGGGAACAAAAGATTTGATGGTCAATATGAGCCATTGGAGAGCTCATTTTACGGTGCTTTCAATGTCGTTTTTGGTCACCCTGGCAATTATCTATGGCTTTGCCTGTGCTATAAGGCTGTCCCATGACGGCGCTATCGACGAATGGTTGTTGGTGGGAATGATAGTGACCCATGCTTGTCCTACAACGGTTCTGTCCAACGTGGTGATGACAAAACAGGCCCACGGAAACGACATTTTGACGCTTTGTGAGGTGTTCATAGGCAATTTGCTAGGCGCCTTCATCACGCCGGCTTTGGTGCAAATGTACTTGCGTGGAACCTGGGCGTTCGGAAACCCCACTCACCAGGGCTCGGGCCTGTCAGAAACCATCCAGCAGCTTTACGCCGAGGTGATGAAACAATTGGGATTGTCGGTGTTTGTGCCGCTCTTTGGGGGCCAGGTGGTGCAAAATATATTTCCAAAACAAACTAAATGGACATTGCTGACGTTTCGTCTCAGCAAGGTGGGTTCGTTCATGTTGCTTTTGATCATGTTTCAATCATTTTCCACGGCTTTCGCTCAAAAAGCCTTCGAGTCTGTATCGCACGCATCGATCATTTTCATCGTCTTCTTTAACATTGGCATCTATCTATTTTTCACACTTTTGTGTTTCCTATGGTCCAGACCGTACTTTATCAAAGTACTCTTTTCCGAAGAACCAACACCACAGCATTCTCGCTCGTATCGCTTTGGATACAAGCTTCTAACACCATTCTATTACAGCCGTAGGGACACCGTCAGTGTCATGCTCTGTGGTCCTGCCAAAACTGCTGCTCTTGGTGTCTCCTTGGTTTCTTCTCAGTACGGCTCGCATTCGCAGTACTTGGGAAAGTTGCTTGTTCCGTTGGTTTTGTACCAAGCCGAGCAGGTAATGACGGCCCAGATTCTCGTAAACTTTATGAAAAAGTGGATTCATGCTGAGGATAAGCCCCAAGATGTGGAACTGGAACAACCAGAAGAGCAACAAGAAGGAACAAGCACCGATGTGAACAATTCACCAACGAGAAAATCTCACGATTCTACCAGCCAGGACTCAACATGAACCTCATTTATTTATTGCTCGTCAAAATAGGCATCTTCAACACCCAACAAAGTGGCTACTTCTCCATCTGACCAGGCGAGCAACGGCACCTTCAAATACTCGTCGCATATCAACTGGAACCGACCATAGAACCGCGAGTACTTGATTGCAGACTCAGTAATAATCTCATTGACCACTAATGGGGAATTGATCTTGAAGAGCGACTGCTGGATGTCAAGCAATGCCGTGGGGAGAAAAGCCTGAATTTTCAGGTTGACTTGACGAATGTTGTCTTCGGTGAAGAGCTTGTTCTCCGTGATAGGCTCGTATATAGAGACGTCGAAGAAATCGTCATTAATGGGACATATCATGTTGACAATGTTGTAAAAGTCAGTCAAACCACTTTCCTCGAGCAAACTCGAAACTTGGGTTTCCACAAGCTTATCGCTGACTTCTTTGATCTTCTCGTTGACAAGAATCACCTTATCGGTAAGAACCGAAATTGGCATGATTTTGGAGAGTATCAAGTCCAAGCAGTTGAGCTGGAGGATGTATTTGTCTCTTTTTTCAAAATTTTTCACTTGACTGTTTTCCATATGTTGCTCGTAAATTTGAATTGGCTGGTCAACCACCATATTGACCAAACTGTTGTCTTTGAATATCGATTCAGTGTGGGTTTGGTCGAGCATAGGTAAAATTTCAGAGTAAAAATCGATAATCCATTCTGGTGGCTGCAAATCGATATTCAATTGCAATTGAGCCAGATTGGAGTTTCGGATAGTTGTGAGTTTGTTTTCAACGGTAGTGACTATTCGCAACTCGGCAGACTCCACAAGCGACTCAATGGTCGCAACAAGCCCCATATGGTCCTGTTTAATTTGCTTCGAGAACATTATATAGTACAATTCCGCCAAGTGGTGGATGGAAAAAAGTACCAGGATTCTCACCTCTCGACTAATAATTTGTTCAAGTTTTGCCCGGACCGGTTTGGCTAACGATTGTAACACTTTGGCTACACAATCGTTCATAATTTCACCAAATTCCTTTCTGCTGGTCTCGTCAACCAGGTCATTTTCAAACGAAAAAATCCCCAGTATCGTCTCACTCTCGCTAACGACAACTGAATGAATATACGCCAAAAGATCGCCTATAACTCTGACGGGATCTTGGTACTCTTCTGATTGAGGTGACGAACCTGCTACCCGGCTATTTGCCTGGCCGAGAAACTCGTCTACCAAGGTTTTTGATCTTGAACCCACAAATGTAGCCAACACAGAATTGAGGTAATGGGGTCTATGGCGGAGGTAGACAAAACACTGGTGCAAAGTTCGAACTCTATCTCGATTGTTGAGAGCGTATAAATTTCCAAGAGTTCTGTTGGCATATGCCACCACCTTCTCGGACGCCCTGGTCACAAGCCGGTTGACTCTAGCCATTGTCTTGACGCCCAATTGCGAGTTGTCGATCGACAATAAAATGGAGCAGTTTTGGTCGACTTGTTCAGCCTTTGCTAACACAGTGAAAAATTCGTCGCTGATGTCGCCGTTTTCAAGTGTGTATTCCTCGTACTCGTTGAGGGTGAATTTGGCTCTAAAGGCGGAGAGTAATTGTTTCTTGACCACCACGGCCGTTTTCTTTCTGTGCAAATTCTCCATCTTCGAATTGAAAATTTCACTCGATTCAAAATCATTATTGACGCTGTCCACCACGCCCATACTCGCCGACCTTAATGCGTCTACGTTTTCCTCGAGTTTACGGAGGTTTTTGATTACCGGCTGGTATTCTTTGAGAGTTTGGGTCTGGTTTCGAATCAAAGTACGTTCAATTTCTCCACGCAATTTTCGTCTCAGCATCGATCCCAACGCTCCTGGCTCTAAAATGCTGTCCCAGGACCTTAGGGTGTCCTCAAGAGACCCAAATATTTGACGAATTTGGGAATCTGAAAGGGGATTGTTCAACACTCGAGAGAGTCGAGCCGATAAAGCACTAATTTTTATGTCACTATGTGGTTCTTGATGGTCATTGTCGGCATTTTTGGTGTCTTCTATCAACAGAAGTGAGAGATTTGCGTATTTTTCAGCGACTTGGGGCTGATTTTCTGATTTTTCAGTGTCGGTGTTGTTGTCACGTTTAAGAAGATTTCGAGTAAGACTGTTGAGATTGTAGAATTTTCTTCCGAAAGTCTCGATGTTGGTTGCTATGGGGAGCGAGAGTGCTCGTTGGGGCTGGGGAAGGTCATCTGAGAGGTTTAGGGTGTCAAAGTCGACAAAGTCCATAGAGTGTGGAGTGAGATTGAGTGCGAATTGAGAATTGAGAATGAGAATTGAAATGAAAATTGAGAGTGAGAATGAGAATGAGAATGAAAATTGAGAGTGAGAGTGAGAGTGAGATCTCGAAGTGATTAGACAATGTAGACTAGAATCCGGTGTATTTACACTATAAATATCATGACAACAAGTCGTTGATCTTGACGCTTTGTCGCCGCGGCTCCAACTTGGGAGGCAGGCCAAGAGTGTCCTTCGAGTCCGGCTTGTTGCTGAGGTTTGCCGCGAGCAAGATGGACGAGATTCCGTTTTCGGGGCCGGTAACGTAGTCTCGGAGTGAATTCAGCAGTCCTTCGTAAGATATGGGTGAAGTTTGAGCCGACTGGCTCAACGACTGGAGACATTTAGAAGCATTGACAATGTCCACCACCTCGTTGTACGAGAGATCGGAACCGTCTTGATGGCGAAACCGGACCAGCCGGTCGCTTTGGGGGGTATTTGGAGCCAAGATGGCGTGTGGGGGAGTTCTGGGGGGTGGTAAATGTGCGATGGGCGGCGGCTCCAATTCGTCCAATTTGAGTTCGCCATAGCCGGGGTCGGTGGGGAGAAAGCATTCTGCCGGGAAGTTGGCGTCGAATACAGGAATGAGCTGGTAGCGGATATGGTAGCAAAAGCGACGGGCGAGGATTCGGCAAAGAGAATATGGAAGCCAAGTGCCTTGAATCTTGAGAAATCCCCCACGAATGCGCTTGATTTTGGCCTGATGCTGGCGTGGGGTACTCTCCAATAGCTTGACGATATCTGCCTTGGAATTGGACTTTGGCAAGTCGTTATCCGGGTGGTGGATCGCAGCTTTCCAGATACCCGTCAAGTGAACATAACCTGATTCGTAGTCCCAAATGATGCTCTGGCCATTGAGAGTGTACTCAAACACCGTCAAGAAGTGGCGGGTGGGATCAAGGGCTGCGGTGGAGTATTTTTTGACTTCGATGGTGGGGTAGATGGCGGAGGAGAGGCGGTGCGCAAGGGTATGTGGAAGCGCCGAGGGCTGGTGGACGGGAAAGTTGATGTGGGTGCCAAGCGAGCTTTGCGAGCTGGGCACCATAGAAACGGATGAAGCTGAAGCTGCAGCTGCAGCTGAAACTGAAATATTTGCCCGGGAACTCGACCCAGAACCAGAAACTGAACCAGGAACTGAAATAGCACCAGAACTATGACCAAGACCACGACCATGACTATAACCAAGATCATGTCCATGTCCTTGACTATAACCCAGACCTTGAGCTTGATGTCCATGATGCATTCCATATCCAAAGTTCATTCCGTGATTTCCCATGCGGTCGTCGATCAGCCCTCGAGGCGCCGCCACATTGTACACATAGTTTACCGGCTGCGAAGGAAGCGGCAACGGATAGTAGGACCCTGGAGGAGGCGAGTACCAGTAGTATTGATTTGACATGCTGATCAACCTTCGAATGTGAAATGTCTGCTGGCAGATCACCACGATTAGCAAATCGCAAATTTCAATAAATAAACCCAGTTGGGAGGTCTTTATATTGCTCCGGGTCGGCACCCCATGCCCAATTACACAAATGCGAAGGGGCTGCAGTGGCAGTGGGATGGCGTACGTAAATGCTAAACTAAGCATGATCGAAGCCAACTCAGGGCCCAGAACAACGCCAATGTGCACGCGCAATCGTGACTTGCGAACAATAGCACCCGATAATCCCGCACCGGCGATGTGGGGAAAGCCGCCGAGCGGATACCCGTGCGCACCTGCGCACCTGTGCGCGCGCGATAACAACGGGTTGCAGGAGGGGGCAGAGAAGGGAAAGAAAATAAAAGAAGAAATGACGAAATGAATAAAAGAAGAAAAGAGAGAAAAGAGAAGAAAAGAGGATAGAGAAATGAGCAAATAGAGGCAAATGACAACCTTGGCGACGATCACCCTTTAACGTTTGTCTTGCTACATTTTCTTGCTCGTGCGGCGCTTTGACAGGTGCGGCTGCGCATGCTCGATCTACCAACCACGCCGCAGTCTATGCACCGGCGCCATTACGCTGTTCGTCTCAGGGGCGGAATTGTTCCTCCGAGAACAATGCGATGACGTGCAGCTGTCATTGAGCTATCACAATGCAAAATGCTATAGCCATAATAGCTAATAGCCAAAACAGACATAGCCATGATAGCCAATTATAGCTAATCCTCACTCCAAACTCAACATTTACCCTTAGCTCACTCTACAATTATCCCAACAATTACCACCTCGCTTGCCTGCGCTTCGTTCTGCGTCAATCTAAATTTAACTCGCACCTAACTTCAACGCACCACATTTTTATTAGCTCACTTTAAAGCACTTTAGTGCACAATTTATTGACGACTTCGCTATCGAATGCTCATTCATTTCAGTATATTTTCTTGTCACTTTCACAATAGTCCCCTAAATATTTCGTGTTTTTGTTTGGCTGCAAATTTCACCTTTCCATGCGATAAAACCAATCGGTTAAATCCACCGCATATACTTGACGGTGCATTGTCTCGTCAAAAGCACGTCACCACAAAATGGTAACTATAACCGATATTCTTGAATCAATAAATTGTTGAGAATCAAGCAAAAATTGTTCCGTACTTATAAGGGAACCTTTCACTTGCTCTCCTTACACTACTCTTGCAATTGGACATCATTGAAATAAATGTCAAAGTGTACCTCAGTTCTTGACGGAATCAATAAAATATCAAAAGCTGAGAATCCATAGGTTTCTATTCAAGCCCATAATAGTAATTACTCAACCTCAATACAATAGTATCGCTAAGAGCATCATAGTTTTCACCATAAATAGTTCTCATTTTACCTACTTAACCTTCTGCCCAGCTAACAAAGGCACATCATTCGATCTTGTTCATTGTTCTTTGCTCACACTTTATTGTCTTGAACTCATTGTACTTACTACACTTATCTCGAAAGCAAGTCGCAAACTCGTGCGGCGCGGAAGCATATACGACGTCAGTCGCATGGTAGGGCATATGAGCAAGAATTGCCGGAGCGGCTGTATACTAGAAATCGGAAGAATAAGTGATATATAATCTGTTGTAATCACTTTCATATTAGAGTGTCATATTAGAATATAGTAATAGGAAAATGTTTTGATTTTTGTATTCTACTTGTATTCACTTTTTATATTTTCGCAACTTTCATGGCTGCGAAAAATACTAATTCAACGAAACAAGTAACGAAAGCCTCTCTCCTATTTCTGTTCTACTTGCTATTAGCTACAGAATCAGCAACCGCATCGAGAAACTCCGTGGTGGTGACGTAGGCAGAACGGTCAAGGTTACCACAAGCAATGGCCAAATCTTTGGTCATAATTCCCTGCTTGTCCACCGTATCAACGGTGGCTTTCTCTACTCTCTCAGCAAACTCCACCACCTCAGGTGTGTTATCAAGACGTCCACGTTGAGCAAGACCTCGAGTCCAGGCAAAAATAGATGCAATTGAGTTGGTGGATGTTTCCTTTCCTTGCTGGTGCTGTCTAAAGTGTCTGGTAACAGTTCCATGAGCAGCTTCACTTTCAAAAGCCTTTCCATCGGGTGTCATCAAAACTGAAGTCATCAAGCCGAGCGAACCAAAACCTTGGGCTACAATATCAGATTGAACATCTCCATCGTAGTTCTTCAAAGCCATGACAAATCCACCCTGTGACTTCATCATTTGAGCCACCATGTCGTCAATGAGTCTGTGTTCGTACCACAAGCCCTGGGCCTCGAATTCCGACTGGTACTCCTGATACACCTCGGCAAAAATGTCCTTGAATCTACCGTCGTATTTTTTCAAAATGGTGTTTTTCGTCAGCATATAAAGAGGCAACTTCTTGGAAAGAGCCATCTTGAACGACGAGTGTGCAAACCCTCGAATCGACTCGTCGGTATTGTACATTGCCAACCCAACTCCTGGTCCCTGGTAGTCGTAAACCACTCTGGTCTCAGACTCTCCACCGTCCTTGGGAGTAAATTTCAACTCCAACTTTCCAGGTCCAGAAACAACCAAGTCGGTGGCCTTATACTGGTCGCCGTGGGCGTGTCTACCAATCACAATGGGCAGTTTCCAGCCGGGAACCAACCGGGGAACTCTAGGAATCACAATTGATTCTCTGAAAACGGTTCCTCCCAAAATGTTTCTGATGGTTCCATTGGGTGAAAGCCACATTTTCTTGAGTCCAAACTCCTTAACACGAGCCTCATCTGGAGTAATTGTAGCACACTTGACTCCGACTCCGTACTTTTGGATAGCATGAGCAGCATCTATGGTAATCTGATCATCAGTTTTGTCTCTGGCTTCAATTCCGAGATCATAGTACTTCAAGTCCACATCAAGGTAGGGGTGAATAAGCTTATCCTTGATTCTTTGCCAAATAATTCTCGTCATTTCATCTCCATCCAACTCGACAATTGGATTTTTCACTTTGATTTTTGAACCTGTTGCAAGATAACGGATACCATTGGAAATGGTGGTTGCTTGGGTCATTCTGGAGCCCCCAGAAAGCGGTTTGGTGTATCCAATCGATCTCAACATAAGTATAATGTTCAGCGAGTTGTGGAAAATGTTAGTCAGAGGAATCGGACAGACGGCTCCGGTACCGGCGCGCGGGTGCAATGGTGTGGAGAAACAAGAAGGACAAGAAGGTTATGAAGTTAGGAGTAGAGGTTATGAAAAGGTGAGGAAATAGGTCGGGTTTATGAAATCGAAGGTCAATCCTTAATCTCTTTATTTCATTAAAAATACCTATTCTCTTGTATTATTCTGACTTTTTCATTCATTATCTTCCGCTGAAAAATTCTGGTTTTCTTTAATTTTTGGCTTCGATTTCTCTTCTTTGTCCTTTTGATTCTCAACAGTACTCCCTCCTCTTCTTTAGCTCTGTTCAACCTTTTGCAAAATATTTACAATTGTTTTATCGTGTTCCTGCAGAATGCCTTTTCTTATTCTAGGCACTCAAATGAACTCAAATTTTCCGTCTCAAAAACATACCAGATTTTCTCGGTACTCCACACACTAAGAAGCGAATATCTTCAACATAAGTCGTAAACCTAATTCAAACAGATTAGAATGCCTATACTTGGGGCTTACTAGTATACCGGCATATAGCAATGGTTTCTCCTGCACATTCCACCAACTTCCGCATCTCAACCCAAAATTAGTTGCATCTTCATGTTTAATGCCGACCAGTTTCAGGACCATCTCTCGGCCCTAACCATCAATTCTCGGGTGATTATCGAAGAGCTCACCATAGCCGCCGAGAAGAACCCAGACAATGCCGACGAAATTGCTAAACTTGTGATGGAAAGGGTTCGTCGATGTCTTCCTAAACACAAGATATTTGCATTCTACCTACTAGATTCCATTTGCAAAAATGTTGGAAACCCGTATAACGTCATCTTCAGCTCTCATCTCTACTCCCTATTCACAGATACGTATCTTGTAGTCACAGACACCCCTACTCGTCAGGATCTTATCAATCTATTCAAGACATGGCCGCGAGCGAAAACGTCTGCGGGAATCGAATTATTTCCTGCCACCGTGTTGAAGAAAATCGAGCTGTTTATCATCAATGCCACCTCCATTGGCAACAACCAAAGTGCCACCAAGATATCTCCCGATATGCTTCTTCGTGAAGCAAACTACTTGCTACAGTACGTCATCACCATGGACAGAGACCTTGAATTGTTAAGCAAAAGATCACGCCAGGATGCTGATTTTGTTGCGGAGTGCCATAGGATACGACACAAACTCATTGCTGAAATTAATGTTATTTCGGAGTCGATAATGGCTTCTTCAAAACCGCAGTTTGACGCTCATCTGACCAAGTACCATGAAAGTCTCCAACTGGTCAGAAAACAACTTGACGACCAGTCGTTCCGCCAGCAGCAGCGAATCAAGCAGACTCCGCCGGAGGAAGCGGGTCCGAGGGAACTAAAGCCTCCGGACTTTTCTATGTTCATCTCGATGACTGCCGGACCTGAAGCTGACTCACAGTTCAAGGGTATGCTTGAGGGCTGGGGAAAGGTGATAGTTCGAAACAGAGACGCAGTACAGATGAGAGGAAATGGAGAAAAAGACAGTGGAATTGACAAGTTTGTTGCCAATCAACCGGAGCCCTTTTCGCAGCCACAGAATATACCCGCTGAAAAGTCTTCAAGCCAAACAGAACCAACTTCAGACGAACCAAACTCAGAAGATACCCTCAGCTCGAGTCTCGGACTTACCTTCAGTTCGGCCAGTTTCATGAACTCGTTACTTCCTGAGACTACTTATAAGCTGGTGGAAAACGAAAAAGAAAATGAAAACGAAAATGAGCAAAATAACAGAGCAGACCCGGTAGAGCCTACACTCAAGAGTGGTTTGAAAAGAAAAACGATAGGAGAAGTTTCGGAGCCGAAAAGAGTACGGTTTTCTGACGACGTTGAGAGCATTGAGGCAGAGGAAGTGGAGTAAATGACAAGATGACAATAAGACAACACGAAAAGGATGGTACGAAAAAAACAATCAGGCAGCATTAAGGTATATAGGAACACTAATAACACGACGGACCATCTGTTAGATCAATTCGAAGTAACCAAGGAAGAGCTCCATATTGATTGAAATACTAATCTGTCTTTTTCTCGTTCTTTTTTCTTTCTTTCTTTCTTCTTTGTCTTTACTCGTGTCATACTCCTATTCCTCCATTCAATCTATAATCTTCATTCCTTCTTCTCTTCACTTTCTCTTCATCATTTTAATTCCTTGTTTTTCCCCGTTTTCTACACCCTGCATTCTGTCATTTATTGATCTACATATCAAACGATCCCGCCTTCTTCAACGAACGGTAAGTGCTGAGAAAGGGAAATGCAAAAAAGAATCCAAAAACTCCCCACCACATAAAAGCAAATGGAATTTTTCTGTTCTTCACCTTGAATGGAAGATTCGAGTAAACACCTTCTTGAGGAGCACCAAAGATCTTGTTGAAGGATCTGGCAGAAGTTTGGAAGTTTCTTTGGAATGCACGTTGACGAGCAAGTCTAAGTCCAATCATAGTTAACGGGAAGTCTCGAATTGGGTGATGAATTATGGTGCGATTGTCAAATTGAAAGTTACACAAAAGTGCAGCGGTTCTCACCAATTTTCATTGGTTGGTGCGAAGTTTGTTTGAACATCATCATGGCCATTGCACCTATTACCGGAGCTTTACGTAGAAAAATCATCACCGACATAACCATTGGCTTTGGCTGTGGCTTTGTGTTAGCAGAGTTATACTGGTACTTTGAGCACAAGCCTATTGTGGCCAAGAGAGAAGCTTTCTATGCCCAATTGAAGGCCCAGAAGGAGGCTGAAGATGCCGCATAATTGAGGTTATATACGGTAGCTACTAATGTATGTTGCCTATGATAAGTGTAGAGGATCAGCAAACTTGAAATTCGGAATTCATCGGACCAGTGAACAACCACATCAAACCATCAAACCATCAAACCATTAACATTCAGAATCAGTTCAGTTCAATTTCTTCTTCCCTAGTCCAAACTCTTGATTGCTTCGATCATTTTCCGCTGGTTGACTGTTCCACTTGTAACTATAATAAACTCTTTTTCTTGTCCCTGCGACCGTAGCTGCTGCTCCAAGTACTTGAGACAGCTTAATTCTCCTCTAGTAATACCTCCAATGACAATGATAACCACATATCCCTTGGTACTGGGTTCACTTCTTTTACTATCCAGTGAATCGCATACATTGATATCCACCGTTTTACCTTCAAACATGGTATCCATCTGTAATCCGTCCCAATTGCATCTCCGACTCACATTGTTAACGGGTTTATATTTGAGGAACTTCCGAGAGTATAGCGCTTCCACTAGTCGAACGAGAATGGGTACTGTGTTTCCTGGTAAGGCGAACGAAGGATGTGGGTATTCGTCTACCAAATCTCCGGTTCTCTTGGTACTTTCTTCTTCCTCTAAGAGTGGATGGAGGTTCCAAAACTTGTTTATGAGTGAGTAGTTGCTGCGCTGAGTCCATTGACCTCCAGAAATGCCCAAAGTTCGAGAATATTTGTCCTCATCGATTGGCTCTGGTGACTTGGGTTGACTCGAGCTAATCCCAAATCCTGAAAATGCCCCAAAGAAATCGCTCGGTCCACTTTTGGAGACTTTGAATATTCCTCTGGAAGCCATGGACTCCCACAATAAGGACACTTCTATGCCAAAGTTTTCAAAAGCCTTGCTGTGGATCTGATCGTAGTCCTTCTCCTTGATGCCATCGTTCACAATCGATACGAGAATCACCAGCGATGTCACTAAATACATGTCAAAAGCCTCGGTGATGAACTGCTTGATCTTGGAAACCAGAGCTTTATATTCCATGTCGAAAACCTCATTTTCAAACTCGATATACTGCTCGTACTGGTTGTACTTTTGACCAGTTTCAGTGGTGGGTGTTTCGTCCACAGTGCCGTATTTGATGTAGCTGAGTATCGCTTCCGATATAGTGGTGTGTTTCTTGATAAGATCCTGCTTCGACGTCAAACTTCCCAAATTATTGACCAATTTTCGGATCTCCGAGATGTCTGAAAGGTTGTCTTTTTGTTTGTACTGCTCTTGCACCAACCGTGCCAATTGATTGAGTTTGGGTCCAATCGAGGCAAAGTTAAGGTGCTTGATGTCTCGATACAAGTCGTCTTTCATGAGGTATTTGGTGCCCAGCACCGTCACTTCGTTCAATCTTAATGTGAAAAGATCATCTATGAGGCCCTGGTAGTTCAATTGGTTCAATGCGACCGAGGTCAAGTCGAGATTACGTTCCAAAACCACCACATCGGTATTTCCTGGGTACTTATTCAAGTAGAATTCTTGCTGTAGTGGGTTCATGGTGGTGGCCAAGTACTGGCGTATTTTTTCCTCTTTAATCATGGATATCAAGAGAGCAGCATGGTCTCCTTTACCGAAATAGTTTTTGACTTTTAGCATATTTTTCCCTGAAAATTCGTTCAAAAGTGCCAAAAACGAGTCGGAAAGCCGAGATATCTGCTCAATTGGCTCAAACATATAGCTCTGAAACCCACCATAACGCATTTCAAGCGATAACACTTTATCATCCACAACCAAAGGTGACACCGACCAGCGACATACCCTTATATTCGAATTTATTCTGAACGGTTTATCGATATTAGGATTCAACGCAAGCGACTCGAAAGTCACGGATCCTTTCAACAAGTTACTGATGTTATACACAAACAGTCGTGTCATATCCTTGACAATGACATGGATCTTTTTCGTTGGAAATTTCTTCAGAAGCTCAAAAACTTCATTTGCGGCCTTGTTCGAACTCTCGAGGATCAATATGAGGCCCTTGTACTGGTTCAAGGTGTCTTTATCGAGCGGACTATCCAAGTAAACAAGATTATCGAATTTGGCCAGCGATCGTAATTTCAGAATTGTCGTCAAAAAATCAACAATTGGAGCCACAAGGCGGTCTATTATGAGAAGGTTGGGCGATGTGTACACTGTGGAAAGATTGTGGATGAGTCTGTCTAGCACATTTGAGTTGAGGTTCTCTAGTGGACTCATGGTGAAGATGCGAAAGATTTGAGAAAGTGAAATAAAATGAGGAACAAGTAAGATAAAAAAACCAGACAAAATTTGGGAAAAGAACTATTAGCAATCAATGACCTGTAATATGTCTTCTCTATTCATCTCTACATCTCTCTCTACATCTCTTCTCTACTATCACAACTTGGCACCTTCTTCAAATCCATTGAAGTACACCAAGCCCTCTTGGAAGACCGTAGCCACTTGTCTTCCATCCAGGTTATACAATTCTCCCTCGAGCAACACCCTGCCGTTGGCAATCCGAGTGGCTTTGAACGCGAATCCCATCCATTTTGTGGAGTCAAAGTCTGCATCGTGGAAATATATGACATGGTCAAGAGAGAGAGAAACATACTGGAGTCTTTGGGAATGATCCAAGTGAGGAATCCGTAGAACCCGTGCAATTCTGGTGAGGAAGATCGAGTCCAGTAAAATGCCCAATCCGACAAATTGGAACGCTGGATCGGTAAATTTCACCTCTCCATCGTTACCCCATTGCAAGTAACATGCCTGTCTTCTGTCGCTGGAACGGGCCTGATCCTCGTCTTTGGTCAAATCTAAGCTGACGAATTCCGGAGAAATCTTGCACACGGCATTATTGCAGCCAAAATCCAGCACTTCTAACAGTTCCGGTGAGTGATTCTTGAGCCATTCCGGATAGGGTACAAAAAACCGAAACGGTTTCAGAGAAGGTGGATCGTCGTCTTCGTCTCCTTCTTTATGGTTGCGGGCCCACTCGTCATACAAATTCTTGGCTTCGTTAAACGAATTGCGTTTGGTCAACAGCACATTGGCAAGGTACTTGATGGTACCATCTTGCAATGCCTTGACAGTTCTACTGCAAAAACTTTTGCCATTGTGGATCTCATCGGTTTCCCACACCACCGGTGTCGTGTCATCGACTGCTTTCGTGAATAATGAGTGTAAAGAGTGAGGAGTAAAGCCCTCGGGAGCCAGTTTTATTGCAACCAAAAGTGCCTGGCCGGCTATATTTCCACCATAGGCACCTCTAGATAATGGATTCGGCTTCTCCAAGGGTTTGTTACCTACCCACTTGTTGTCTCCAATCTTTTTGATCCCTAGATCGAATTCGACGTCGAGTGTCATGATGAGGAAACAAAGTTGGCAGCTGAAGATGTACCCCACAGTGTAGCGGGTGTCTGGGTGTGAATGCATATGAATATATGTAAGTTCGCGAAATTGCAACTACTCAGTGGTTTCCTTTATTATCTATCAATTCATATCTCAGTTGCATGCTCACAACTTGAAGCCTCCATTGGCCCCGTTGCCTCCGTTTGCTCCGTTGGCCCTCTCCAACATTTGTCGAGGCAAATACACAAGTCCTTCCTGGACCAAACTGGCCACCAACAGGCCCTTTCTATTGTAGACTCTGCCGTGGCACAACACCCGGTTGTTGCTGAGTCTGGAAAAGTTGTAGTCCAAGAATAGCCATTCTGTAGGATCGTAGTCGTCGTCGTGGAACCACACAGCATGGTCCAAACTGACTCTGAAGAAGGATGTGTTTTCTCTGCTGAGAGGAAGCCCGAGAGCCACACAAAGTGTAGCCAAGTAGAACGAATCTGAAGCAAAAGTCAAGTTCAACAGAGCTGCCTTCGTCTTGTTCTGAACGTTTTTCAAATCGTCGGCTGTCCGGAAAAAGAATCCAAACAGTTTTTCACCAATGATCTTTTGTTCAGCTTGCCAACCAGTAGACATATATTCCTCAGGAATGGCGTGGTGCAACAAGTCGTGGGTATGGGAAACATAGGGCAAGTCGTCGAGTGAATCGTAGTACTTGTCGAAGAAATATTGGGGTTTTGACAGAAAATCAATTGGCACTGCTGTCTTGGGATCTGGGTTTGAAAGTTGTGAATATTCAAGTTTGCGTTGCTTGATGCTGTTTTTACGGGCAAACGAAACCACGAATTCAAAACATAACACATTGGTTTCCGATTGGTATGCTTGAAGCAGCCGGTTACAAAAATTGCGTCCATCACTAGTACGTTTAACCACCCATCTCATCACCAGTTTGTTACTTCCCGCCTTCAAAAAGTACAGGTGGAAGGAGTGTGGGCTAAATTCAGGATCCTCCACCGTTTCATAAGCAACTAACAAAGCCTGGGTGACAAATTCACCTCCATAAGTTCCTCGGGTTCCCTCCTGAAATGGCTCAAGAGGATGTACTCCTTCGAAAACGTCATTGCCTTTGCTAACGACGGCAAATCTTTTTTCCATGAGTGACATGCCTTCAAAATTTGTGATTTCCAAGCTCATCGGCACGGTAAATAAACTGTGGAATCTGCTGCAACGGCCGATACTTATACAAATTAGCATCCGAGGACCAGCAGCCGCGTCACATGCGGTTACGTAACGGTTTCGTCAGCGGCATCTGAGCCGAGGGCCGGCGACAAGACAAATACAACCGAGCAAATACGAGAAAAAACGAGCAACAAACAACGAGAAGAAGAGAGAAAACAAGAGAGAGGCTATAGTCAGCGGCTGATGCGGCTAGACTTGATGGAATGAACTGCAGCGATAACTACTCATGAAAGTTAAAATTGACCATTATGACGGGATAGCCCTGAGTGAATTAAAGCTTTATATATAATGTTCTCTTATTTCCCTCTTTTCCTTTCCTTTTCTTTTCTTTCCCTTTTTTTCTCTTCCTTTTTCATCTTTTATCGCACCGTAATTGGTTGCAGGAGTCGCGACTGCCCTCTGACTCAGATGACTCCGAGTCATCGCGACTCAACGAATTTTATCTCATCGATCCAACATTTTCTTCTGCCCTATATAAGAACGCCAACTCCCAGTGACTTTCCATCAATGTCCGAAGACAAATCAAACCTGGAAATTCAAGATTTAGAAGATCACTCGTTGGAATCTTCCTCCGCTGGTTCAAAAAACTTGGATCGTATCTACCGCAAGCTAGACTACAGAATCATTCCAGCTTTATGGTGCTTATATTTTCTTACTTCTTTCGGGTCCAATTGTTATGGGTTGACCCTTACGATGAATGCTGAATCTGGTCACTCGTTATCGCAACACTTGAACCTTTCTTCCAAGGATGTTTCTACAGCATCAGCCCTTTATTATGTGGGGTACATTATTTTCGATGTGCCCATGAATTTGGTGATGACTAAAGTTAGTCCTCAAACTTGGCTTGCTCGTATTGTCATCACTGTTGGTGTGGTGTACGCTTGCTACCATGTCCTCGTCAATAGCCAAGGTCTTATTGCTGTGAGGTTCATTTCAGGTATGGTTGGTGCCGGTACATGGCCAGGTATGAGTTACTATGTTTCCTTGTGGTACCCCAATGAACGCCTGACTCGCAGAATCGGCTACTACTTCACCGCAGCTCAGATATCGGCAGCGGTTGCTGGACTTGTTAGTGCTGGATTCCAGAAAATGGATGGAGTTAGAGGCTATACTGGCTGGCAATGGATGTACCTTGTATATGGAGTTATCACCATTGCCGTGGGTATTTCGTTGTTGTGGTGGCTCCCAGATAGACCAGAAGCTGCCAATGTGCCCCAAACCACCAACAAGTGGCTCAAATATATCACACCAACCTACCCATTGAAAGGATATGAGAAAGACCTTCATCGCCAAGATATTGAAGAACGGTATGTCATGGTACGGTGGACCTGGAAAAGCGTGGTGGAAATCATCACCGACTTGAGAATTTGGCCGTTGATCATCATGTACTTTGGAGTGGTTGGAACTGGGTTCGGTTTGGCAGTTTTCGGTTCTACCATCATAGCCACCAACAACCCTAGTCTTACCTCGATTCAAGTCTCGTTGCTTTACGCTCCAATCTGGCTCTTTGACCTCGGCGGAATCTTGATCATGACTCCTTTTGCTGACCGTTACAAACATTTGAGAGCGGCTATCTTTTCGTTCGCATGTGTCATCATCATGACTGGACTTTTTGTAACGACTTTTGCTCATGGTTCCTGGAACAAATATGGTGGTTTGCTCATTGCTGGGTTTGGTCTTGGTCCTACCGTTCCCATCTGTATGTCGTGGCTGGCGGAAATCTTCCAACCTCGTTACGGTGACGTTGGAACTGCTGTTAGTGCAGCTCTTGTCAGTGGACTTGGAAACTTGGGTTCCGTCACTGCTACTTATGCTTTGTACCGAGGATGGCCCGAGGACCAAAAGAGACTCTACAGAGACTCCAATATGATGTTGGTGTTAATGCTTGGTGTTAGTATCATTGCGTCTGGAGTTTGTCACTTGATTCGTAACCGGGTGAGACAGCCCAAAGTTGGTGCCGGCGAACCTGCTAACTAATGCTTGGTCGTGGACTGAAGCTGCTTATAGCCTAATACACTAATTTTTTCGTTGAAGGTAGAATTTGCAGCCATATACCGGTTATGTAAAAGTACTAAAAATTTATAAATAAGAGGATTGCTGAACATTCGAGGTGAACGGTTGCAAATCAACATGGAACTTTCATTAAGAAGTCAGCATTGCATTTGCTTTTCAAAAAAAATGATGATATTCTGATATTTTGCAGCAATTGAGAGAAATGAAAAATGTGCGAAGTCTTAATAATTTTGGAACTATTGCGTACAGAACCAATTCTGGTAAGCACTACCAGGGCTCTTAGGAATGAACCACAAATAGTGGTTTTTGAAGATTGGCATGAAGATTTACAGTCGCTAGAATACAAAGTCTAGCCGGATCTAATTCCAGATCATTCTGCCCAGCAAGCAAGTCTAACGTTAATCTTATTTATCACTTGCTCCTCCTATTCAGTTTAAAGCTTGCAACTTTTGCCGATGGAAACTAATAGAATTGCTTTGATCTTAAGACCGTGAATACACTACCACCTAGATGAGCCAATGGTGACTAAATTGTATAGGGAGAAACTTGCTTATGAAATTATGGCTAGATGGATTCGGTGCTACATTCAATTTGTTTGCAATTTACTTAGAAACCAAACTTAAATTAAGCAAGTACAGCCGCACTTTGACCTTAATGAGACTAATTGAAAGGACTGCAGTATGTAGAAAAGCTAATTTTGAAAAAGATGTTCATCCATATTCTGTCGATATTGCACCGCTTATTAATTCACCACAATTATGGCTTACATTTTTGGCTGACTTTTTCGGCTTATTTTTGGCTTACATTTTTCGCTTATTGGTCGCGCAACCGTTCGCTGACAGACGTTGGGCCGGAGTTATCGGGGAGCCTCCCCGGTTTCGCGCTTAGCGCACCTGACCGTATTTGTTAGCACCGCATCCACACTTATAAATAAGCACCCTGGCGCACTTGCCAGCAACTTTTCAATATGAAAGCAGCAGTACTTACTGGAAACCCAGAAAACAACTGGACGGAAATCAAGGACCTTCCCAAACCAACTATTAGAGACGATCAAATCTTAATCAAGCCAATTGCTTATGCTGCAAATCCAACCGACTGGAAACACAATTCGCCCGAATTTGCTGGTAATGTTTCTGGTTCTGATGCCAGTGGATATGTTGAAGAAGTAGGTTCCAAAGTCTCTGGAATCCAAGTGGGTGACATTGTTTCTGTCACTATGCACGGAGGTTTCAACAAGGACAATTCGGCGTTTGCAGAGTATGTTGCTGCCGTTCCTGGATTCACCATCAAATACGACAAAAATATTGTGAAGGATGCAGAATTGAAGGTGGGCGATTACGAAGGTAGCAAAATCACCAATTTCGAACAGGCTGCTTCCGTCACTTTGGGTTTGTCAACGGTGGTTTTGTCGTTTGCTGGTTTGATGAACATTAACAAAGATGTTCTGGCCAACAAAGGTAAGTCTATTCTTATTTGGGGAGGTGCCACTGCCACGGGTGTTTTGGCAATTCAAATTGCCAAGTTGGCATTTGGTCTCAAGGTCATTACCACTGCTTCAAAGAAGAACCATGAGTACTTGAAGAGCCTTGGAGCAGATGCTGTTTTTGACTACAACGATTCGAATGTGGTCGAAGCTATCAAGAGTGAGGCTGGCGACTCCATTGCTTATGCTTTGGACACCGTTGCCAACACTGACACTTTCCAAAAAACTTATGATGCAACCGCCAATTCAAAGCATGTTGAACTCGACAACTTGCTTATGCTCGACAAGAGCCAAATCAAGACAGATTCTTCCAGATCGGTATCTTACCACAAGACACTCATGTACGGAGCCACAGGTGATGCCTTTAGCATTTGGGGTATGGACTTCCCTACCAACCATGTTTCTACCAAGAGATATCTTGACTACTGGTTGAACGAACTTCCTAAATACATTCCTCAGATCAAGTCTGCAAACTTGAAGGTCATCAAGCCTGGATTGGAAAGCGTTAACGAAGCTTTGCAGTTGTTGCACGATAACAAGGTAAGCGGCCAGAAGATTGTCTTCAGAGCCAACTAAAATATAGTATTATGTGTCCGGAATAAAAGAAAAAATGAATGGAAAAATTAGTATACAAGCTAAATGATATTAGTGATTCTAAACATAAAAAAATATTCTGGAAGAGATTGTACTTGTTTCGTATGGTATGCCTCTCAGTATTGGCTGAATCTGCAAAAAGACAGCCCGACGCGGGGGTCGAACCCGCAACCTTGTGATTAAAAGTCACACGCTCTAGCCATTGAGCTAGCCAGGCTGATTACACAAGCGAAGGTACAAGGAAACGCTATGATGTGAGCCACCAAAGAAACATAAACCATCAACCTAGCAAAGGCCATTGATAGCTATACTGGTACCATCATTCTGTTTTAGTACTTCGCATAGTTCACTTATCACTAATTTTGGCCTATAAATTCAAAATACTGCATATAGGCCGATGCTCATCGGGTTCTGATTTATTCTCATTTTGAAAATTTAGTGGAGTCAACCATGGATCACTCTATCCAGTTGCCATTAGATGACTGTCAAAGGTTTTATAAGGCATACTTGAAAAGTGGAGTCAAGACTTCACAGCCATTGGCTTTTGACCCTAAAAAATCTGCTAATGACAATTTGAGACGACTTTCCGTCGACGCATTGCACCCAGCTAATACTTTTGGAGCACTTTATGCATACGAACCAGTGTTCTTAGACTTGATTTGCCGTTGGATCGATGATCCTCTGATAGAAGCGGACTACTGTAAAAGCATTGGTGAACTGAAACCTGTCATCGAAGGTGTGATTGTTGTCAACGCATTGACTCGATTGGTTGGAGTTCACCAAGAGTCGTTAAATTTGATTGAAGATTTCATTTCCAAAGCAAACTTCTTTGACAGGCTAAAAGAAAACGCAAAGGAGTCTAGCATTGCCGAATTGGAGTATATTTTAATTGCATTTCTTCGTTTAATCGACCATGATGCTCCTCGTTTTAAGCACTTTATTGATCCCGAAATTTTGCATCGAATTATCAACATTGACAGCTCAGGAGCGCAGGTTGCGAAATATCTAGCAACTATGATCCTCTGTCGTTATATCAACTCATCGGAACATGCGCAAAAAGTTATGCTCGACAAGATAGAGAACCCTATAGGATCCCTTGAAGGAGACCATTCCATCAACTTCAAATATTTTCATTTCTTGGAAGCCAAGCGACTTAATAGATTCATGAATCTTCCTGAGAAAGTATCATCGTCAACAATTTGCATCGAAATCCAGGAATCAGAGTTTTGTTCCTTGGTTCATTTAGTATGTGGAAGGCTCATTCCCAAGCATTCCATTTCAGATATGAAGTCCACCACTGATACCTCATTTGTTCCAACTAAAGAGGCATTGAATGTCATCAGAAACGTCACTTCTCATATCCTCATGAACAAGCCAGTAATTCTTTATGGAGCGGCAGGATCAGGAAAGACCTACTTGGTTAACCAACTTGCTAAGAGAATGGGATACCATGATTCTATTGTAAAAGTGCATTTGGGAGACCAAACAGATGCAAAAATTCTTCTTGGAACTTACACATCGGGCCCTAAACCCGGCTCGTTCGAATGGAGAGCAGGAGTATTGACTACAGCCGTTCGTGAAGGAAAATGGCTTCTCATCGAGGACATCGATAGAGCACCCACAGAAGTTCTTTCTGTCTTGTTACCATTGCTTGAGAACAGAAAGCTCTCAATTCCTTCTCGAGGCGAGGTGATAAGGGCCGCTAATGGGTTTCAAATCATTGCAACCATCAGAACAAGTGACTCGAAAAATATTCCCGACATGATAGGTATTAGAAACTGGACTTTGGTGCCAGTGGAGACACCTTCCGATAAAAATCTCAAGGATATAATTCAAGCCAAGTACCCACTTTTGACCGACTTGATACCATATTTCATACGGGCGTTCAACGAAGTTGTCCAGCTATATTCATCAAATGCATTTATCTCGTTGAACAAGGGTTCAAATCCTCGTATAGTTTCTATTCGTGATCTCATGAAACTATGTGCGAGATGCAACAAAATTCTCCAAAATGAAATGACGTCTTCGGTTCTTGAATCATCTACTTATGATAATGTGTTTGCAGAAGTTGTCGACTGCTTTGGAAGTGCCTTGACTGAGCAAAAAGCTTTAGAGCCAATTGTTAACACCATTGGTGAGGTTTTCGAAATACCCACTTCCAGAGTAAATTTGTTTTTGTCGAAACATGTTCCAGCATACAATAATGGAGACCACCACCTAACAATTGGAAGAGCCACCCTCAAGAAAGACAGTGTTGGAAAATCAACCAAGAGTGTTAATGCAGCTTCTTTTGCTCGAACAAACCACTCGCTCAGACTAATGGAGCAAATTGGTGCTGCGTTACTGATGACTGAGCCTGTACTTTTGGTGGGAGAAACGGGTACAGGTAAAACCACCGTTGTGCAACAAATGGCCAAACTTATGAACAAGAAAATCACAGTTATCAATGTTTCTCAGCAGACCGAATCCAGTGACTTACTTGGTGGTTACAAGCCAGTGACATCCAAGATAATGGCTTTACCACTCCAAGAAACTTTTGAAGAATTATTTTCCAGTACGTTTTCCAAAAAGAAAAACGAGCGGTTTTCTAATGTCTTGAATAAGTGTTTCAACAAGGGACAGTGGAAAAACGTTGTCAAATTATGGCTTGAGTCTGTAAAAATGGCACGAGATGTTCTTCAGAAGCAAGAACCAGAAAGAAGTGAAGATGAAACCCCCAAAAAGAAGCGGAAGCTTGAGATCAAAGACAAAGTTCACCTACTTGAAAGGTGGTGTGCTTTTGAAGAAAAGGCAAGAAACTTTGAAACTCACTCTTCATCGCTTGAAGATGCTTTTGTTTTCGACTTTGTTGAAGGTTCTCTTGTCAAAGCAGTAAGAAACGGAGAATGGCTTCTTCTTGATGAAATAAACTTGGCTTCTCCAGACACCCTTGAGAGCATAGCTGATCTCATAACTGACAAGTTGGAGGAACGGTCTCTCTTGTTAACCGAAAAGGGAGATATCAACTCCATAAATGCTCATCCGGAGTTTCGCATCTTTGCTTGTATGAACCCTTCAACTGATATTGGAAAGAGAGACTTGCCTTTGAGTATAAGATCCAGATTCAGCGAGATATATGTTCACTCGCCAGACAGTGATATTCAGGATTTGCTTGCTATCATCGATAAGTATGTGGGCAGATTCTCCGTCACCGATGAATGGCTCGGCAATGATATTGCGGAGTTGTACTTATCAGCCAAAAAACTAGCTGATAGTAACCAGATAGTCGATGGTGCAAACCAAAGACCACATTTCAGCATCAGAACTTTGACAAGAACTTTATTGTATGTGTCGGATATCGTCAATATCTATGGAGTAAGGCGATCTTTATACGAAGGCTTTTGCATGTCGTTTTTGACTCTTTTGGATTCAAAGTCAGAGGCCATTTTACATCCTTTGATCAAGCAATATACCATCGAAAAGTTGAAGAATTCCAATTCTGTTATGCGTCAAACTCCTCCAGACCCTTCGAATGGTACCGACAAATACGTACAGTTCAAACATTACTGGCTCCCCCAAGGATCGTTCGATATCATTCCCCAACCACATTATATCATTACTCCATTCGTTGAAAAGAACATCTTGAATCTTGTGAGAGCTACGAGTGGTAAGCGATTTCCAGTCTTAATACAGGGTCCTACCTCGGCCGGTAAAACATCCATGATTCAGTACTTGGCAAACATCTCTGGGCACAAGTTTGTCAGAATCAATAACCACGAACATACAGATCTTCAGGAGTACTTGGGTACCTATGTTGCGGTTGATGGAAAGCTCGTTTTCAAAGAGGGAATTTTAGTTGAAGCTCTTAAAAACGGACATTGGATTGTGTTGGATGAGTTAAACCTTGCTCCCACAGACGTTTTAGAAGCTTTAAATCGTCTTTTGGACGATAATAGAGAGCTTTTCATCCCTGAGACTCAAGAAGTCGTTCATCCCCATCCTGACTTTATGCTTTTTGCAACCCAAAATCCACCAGGAATTTATGGTGGACGTAAGATTCTCTCAAGAGCTTTTAAGAACAGATTTCTCGAGTTGCATTTCGACGATATTCCTCAGGATGAACTCGAGACCATTTTGACGGAAAGATGTCAAATTGCACCCAGCTATAGCAAGAAGATAGTTGAGGTATACAGACAGCTTTCAGTACAGCGTCAGTCTACCAGGCTTTTCGAACAAAAAAACTCGTTCGCTACATTGCGAGATTTGTTCAGATGGGCCCTTCGTGGGGCTGTAGGTTATGAAGAACTCGCTGCCCACGGATACATGATCTTAGCGGAGAGAGTGAGAGTTCCAGAAGAACGAGAGACAGTTACACGTATTCTTGAAAAAGTTATGAGAGTGAAGTTGGATATGGATTCGTACTATGAGAGCTTAGAGAACAAGCTTCTTTTGCAGTCTGAGAGTTCTCTTGTATGGACCAAAGGCATGCGTAAACTTGCTGTTCTTGTTGCTACGTCCATGAAGTACAACGAGCCACTTTTACTCGTGGGAGAGACTGGATGTGGAAAAACTACTGTATGTCAAATATTGGCTCATTTTGAAGGAAAGAGCCTAGTTACAGTGAACGCACATCAGAATACTGAGACCAGTGACCTTTTGGGTGCACAAAGACCAGTGAGAAACAAGAAGGGAACTAATGCTGCTTTGACGAGTATTCTACAGGAGGTTCTTCTGCAAAATGGAATGGCACCAAGCGATGATCTGATAGGCAGTTTACTAGCAGTTTATGATTCGTTGCCTAAGGAAAAAGTTGACGAGGAAAAACGTTCTGAAATTAAACGTTTGAGACATGACCTCACCAACTTGTTCGAATGGTGTGATGGACCACTCGTACAAGCAATGAAGTCTGGTGACTTTTTTCTCTTGGATGAAATCTCGTTGGCAGACGACTCGGTTCTCGAGAGATTGAACTCGGTACTTGAACCAGAAAGATCTTTACTTCTTGCCGAAAAAGGAACCGAGGTGGAACCCATCTACGCTTCCAGTGGTTTCCAGTTTCTAGCAACCATGAATCCTGGTGGAGACTACGGAAAGAAGGAGCTTTCTCCAGCTTTGAGAAACCGGTTCACCGAGATTTGGGTTCCATCAATGGAAGACATGAATGATACACTTCAGATTGTTCAGTCAAGACTCGACACTCCTTTCAAGCAATTGTGTTCGCCAATTATAGAGTTTGCAAAATGGTATGCCATGACCTTTGGTGGTGGAAGAATAAGCAGTGGAGTCATCTCGCTTCGTGACATTCTCGCATGGGTGGCATTCATAAATCATGCTCAATTAGATCCTCCCAGTGCTTTATACCATGGTTCGTTGATGGTGTTTGTGGACTCTTTGGGAACTAACAATACCTCTTTTCTTGCAACCAACGAGCACAATTTAATGCTCCAGAAACAAAGCTGTATAGAGAAGCTTTCAGAACTTGCTGGTTGCAAATTTGAAACCGAAGGAAACCTTGAGCTTCAAATTACTGAATCGCATATTAAAATCGGCCATTTTGGAATCCCAAAAAACCAATCTCCATCATTGACTGAGCCATTTGCTTTGCACGCTCCAACTACTGCCTTAAATGCCATGAGAGTCTTACGAGGCATGCAAGTCAAGAAACCTATCTTATTGGAAGGTAGTCCTGGAGTTGGAAAAACCAGTTTGATTTCGGCTTTAGCACAAGCCAGTGGTAATCCTTTGATCAGAATCAACTTGTCTGAACAAACAGATCTTGTGGATCTCTTTGGATCGGACGTTCCTACTGAAGGTGGAAAGGCAGGCGAATTTGTATGGAGAGATGCCCCATTTTTGAGAGCCATGAAACATGGCGAATGGGTTTTACTTGACGAAATGAACTTGGCTTCGCAGTCCGTTTTAGAAGGTTTGAACGCTTGTCTTGATCATAGAGGAACCGCTTACATTCCAGAATTGGGACGGTCGTTTCCTCGCCATGAAAAGTTTACGGTTTTTGCAGCTCAGAATCCTCAGGCTCAAGGAGGTGGAAGAAAGGGACTTCCCAAATCGTTCGTGAATCGGTTCACAGTCGTCTACGTCGATACGTTGAAAGCTGAAGACTTGACACTTATTGCAAAACACTTGTATCCTTCAATTGACCCCAAAATCTCCAAGGGAATAATCGATGTGATATCACGAATTGAGAAGGAAGTTGTGATCGAGAAGAAATGGGGACAAAGTGGTGGTCCTTGGGAATTTAATCTTCGTGATACACTCCGGTGGTTGGATATGTACTCATCTCGAAACCTTGCCGATGATATAACACCAAGCGACTTTCTCAACATGATAGTGTGCCAGAGGTTTAGAACCAGTAAGGATCAGAACATGGCCCGAGCTTGCTTTGAAGAGGTTTTTGGACCTCTGAAGAGGCGCGATAAGTACTACAACTTGACCGAGACCTTTCTCCAAGCCGGAGGTTGTGCTCTAGCAAGAAGTGAACCTGTCCAGTATCGTTCGGATGAACACCTTCTTCCCTTGCAATGTAACTTTGAGGTAATGGAATCAGCACTTCGAAGCGTTGTACATAATTTACCGCTCATCCTCACAGGACCCAGCAGTTCTGGTAAGACAAGCATTGTCAAATTTCTTGGATCAATTCTTGGACGGAAAGTCGACATATTTGCCATGAATAATGATGTCGATAGCACTGATATTTTGGGAGGCTTTGAACAGGTTGACTTGACAAAAGCTGTCAATAACTATATTGGCGAAGTGATTCCTTTCTTGCACGAATCATTGTTAGCATCAGATTTGACTAACACCAAAAATTCTTCAATAGCTAATTTGTTGAAGAATCTCGAGCAGTCTCAGTATGATACTACCAATTTCGACCAATTGTTATCAGCTTTAGAAAGTCTAGAACTTGGACACTTAGCAGCTAGAGGACGGGAAATTTCCAACAAAATCAACCTGTCCAAAGGAATCAGATTTGAGTGGTTTGACGGTTTACTTGTTAAGGCTGTCCAAAACGGCCATTGGCTTATTCTTGACAACGCCAACCTTTGCAGTCCGTCTGTCCTTGATCGTCTCAACTCTTTGCTTGAAAGAAATGGAAAATTGATCATCAATGAATGCAGCAACGAATTTGGTGAACCAAGAGTTATAACTCCACATCCTGACTTTAGGTTGTTTTTAACCACGGATCCAAAATACGGAGAGTTGTCTCGAGCTATGAGAAATAGAGGAGTTGAAGTGTTTTTGGACTCCTTGAACGCCAGATTGACCACCTTTGATCGCTCTTTACTTGGAGTCGAAGAGCAAGAAATCAGTACTGAAAAATTCAAAATGGAAGAACGAATTGAAAAACTCAAATTGGAGGAAGAAAACAAGGCAGGAGTTTCACGCATTCCACTTTCCGCATGTATTCATTCTGAACTTTCCACCACAAGACATTTGGGTGTTCTTCATGACATGGTGATGGAGAGGTCAATGACGAGCGTATCTCTTGGAGCCTTATCGCCTCAAACCGCTGACGACTTGAAATCATTGAGAGATACTATTCACTCATCGAAACTTTTCGAAGCTGATTTTGAGCTCAACGTCGATTCCATGATTGAAGAGTATACTTTGTTGCAAGGTATCGACACTCATCGACAGATGGTTGTATACTTGAACGATTTTTCAGAGCACTTGAAGAGCAAAGGCTTCTCGCTTTCTGAGTTCGAACATTTGCAGCCGCTCAATCCTCTTCTCAACACTTTTGTTAACATTACATTTAACAAAGAGGACTTGCACGTTTATGGTAGCGAGTCGATATACTTGTTTCAAGCTTTGGAATTACTTCTTCATGCGAGAGAATTTGTTTTGAGTTTGCTGAAGACGTCAATGGAAAAAAATGCTAAGGATCTCACTTATTTAGAGAGGTCTGCAGCATTTGAATTGGGGAGGACATTGAAGAAGTACCCCAAGGTACAAATATTCAGAATCATGAACGAATTGTTGTCGTTTATTTTCGAGGCTTTTCAAGGACCATCGACGATGTTTAAAGTTCCAGGCGCATTCGAAGCCATCTCGAATTTCTTGATTTTATGGAATAGTCTTGCCGAAAGTGCTTCTGGTCAAAATGCATCCAAGCTACCCATCTACAAAGAGCTTATTCAAGAATGGTACGATAGTGTGAAGAGTCACTGGCTGCCTCTGAATGTGGTTTCTCTTTTACACACCTTGAAGTCTTTTGAGCAAGATATCAATATGACTACAGGTTTGTCCATGGAAGTGATATGGCACGGCTCCAGAGGTAACTATCCTGGATCGGCTAGTTCTTGGGAGAAAGCTATGCGTATAGTGGAAATCTCCAACAACTTTGACCTGGTTACTCGAAGCCTTCCTTTCAGTAGCCAAATGCAAGAACTTTCCCGTCTGCTCCAGGAAGTGTTCCGAGACGTGAGCGCCAATGAAGTGCCTGACAGTGAGTTCAACGACTTGTGCACTTTGCTTCTTGATGGAATTACAAGGCTCAGTTCTGTGAGTAATTACGCACTTCAGGCCCAAGATTTTGGAACAGAATACAGGTTCTTGTTCAACTTTATCATGGCAGATAACTCCTCCAAGTTGTCGCTGCATGACAGAATAGCTACCAAGGCTAGAGCTCCCACCATAAAGCTCATTGCGTCGAGTCGTGACGGCAAGATGCCATACCCTTCGGTCTTTGATACTCTTTGGAATATCGATACTTCTGAATCTTTTGTTGATGGTATGTTCACCGACAAGTACCTTCAAGCTTTGTTCTCCAAGGTTGACAACTTTACTTCGTGCTCAGGTGAACTTTTGGACGGAACTTACAGTGAAATGATTGAGATGAGACAGCTTTCTATCGAAAATTCTGAGAGCATTCTTCGTGACAAAATCCAAGTTTTCCTGGCGTTATTGGTCCAATGGTACATGCACATTATAGATCTTCACAAGGACGTCATATCAGAGAGCTCAGCAGCCTTGTTGTCCACCATAACTGTTGAAGCAGCCGAGAACTTTAGTCTTGAAAATCTCGATTTACCTGTTAAAGAGATGTTTTTCATTGACGTTGTGGATCGCTACTTTGGTCCAGCAGTCAGAACAGCGTTGAAAGCAAAAGACTTGTCTTCTTTGGGTAAAGCATGGGTGCTTTTCTCGTGCGGGTGTATTCAACTTTATGTCCCCAATACGCCGTTTGATCCTGCTCAGAAAGAACACATTGCGTACAACTTTATGGCGCATCAAAAAGCTGTTGCTGAAGAAGTTCGGAGCCTGTGGAAGACTTTGCGTACAACATCCTATGGAGATGAACCGATCATTGGTGAAGAATTAATTCCTAACTTAAACAGTGAGCTCGTGATGCCACAGGTCTTCCGATTCGAATCATCTTCAGATCAACTTTTTGAAGAATGGGACTCGTTTATGAAATCAAACATCGACTCGGAAACGGTGAAAGGCTTGTTGAACTCTGCGGAATCATTTTCTGAAAAGTTTTTGGATATGTCCAGATTGTTCCAGAATAACTCTGCTCGATTCTTGGTTCGTTTGCGGGACTCTTTTACAGTGTTTTCTGACTTGAACGATTTGCTCCGTGGTTACGTTTGCGGCTTAAAACTAGGATTTGATCTTCTCAGCATAGAAACAGAAAACAAGTCTAGTCCAGTACCTTCAATTTCTTGGACTACCAATATTAATGATTTGATCTCGTCAGACAGATTATCGACATCGTTTGAGTCTTTACGGCCATTCTTGAAGAAGCAAAAGCCAGACTCTTCGCTTCCTGAGAAAACCATGAAGTTTTTCATCAAACTTTGTTACACACAAAGAAACTGTGGAAAGTTTGACAGTGTTGAATCGGTACTCCAGAATGCATTCCAGTTCTTGTACTACAGATGGACTTTGCGTCGTTTGAAAGCGGAAGAAGAAGAGATCCAGAATAATAGTCTTTTCAAGTACTCTGATGAGTCTGCAGATATTGGAGATGACTTTAGAAATCTTTTCCCCGACCATGAAGACGTGGTTGATGCTGATCAAGAAGTCAGCAAACGGAATGATTCTTTTGACGAAATCTATTATCAAATCAGTAAAGACTACATGGATGCTTTTTCTGCTTCAAGAGATTTCAACCTCGAAGAAATAGTAGAGGAAGGTTCATCACTCAGCGCTTTCATCTCAAAGCATGCAACTGTTGCTAGCGGAAATGCCGAAGTTGGTAACTTTACTGCATTGATTCTGCAATTATCAACCTCGATTTCAGCTGCTCAAAAGCGAGATGAGAAGCTTGACTTTTATCACGGTTACTCCACTTTTGAGTTTAAGAGAGCCCTTGCAATCGTGAATGTGACCAAGAAAGAAACCATGAGATTGCTTGCTGAATGGCCCGAGCATCTGACTCTTCAGTGTATTGCCAGATGCTGCTCAGAATTTGCCAATTTTCCAATCAAATACTCTGTTTCCAAATTGTTACAAAAGGTGGAACAGATCTATACGTACTTGGTTGAATGGGAGAAGTATGCCCATTCGGGTGTCTCGTTGGCAACCCAAGTCAATTCTATCGTTGAGTTGATCATCTCATGGAGAAAGCTTGAGCTTCAAACATGGAGTTCACTCTTTGACCACGAAAATTATACGTTGGAAACGTCAATGGGAAAATGGTGGTTCTATCTCTTTGAGGTACTCTTACTCCCAACTTTTGGAACTGAGGAAGTTGACCATGATTCTTGCTCCAAGATTGTTTCTGCACTCAACACATTCTTGGGTCAAACAAGCTATGGTGAGTTTGGAATAAGACTCAACCTTATCCGTTCATTTGAAAAGCATATCTTGACCATTGACCAAATCAGTCCTATAGCGTCCGCTTTGGCAAACGTTATCAGTTTCTACGAGCAATTCGTACCTGTGGTGGATAAGGCAATCAAGGAGAAGAAAAAGGCTCTTGAAAAGGACATTTCCGAAGTCATTTTGCTTGCTAGATGGAAAGATGTCAACCCTGATGCTCTCAAACAGAGTGCTCGCAGATCCCACAACAGTCTCTACAAAATTGTTAGAAAGTACCGTGCGGTATTGGCTTCTCAAATTTCCACCTTGGTCGAGCTGGGTCTTCCAGTGGATCAAAGTCTTACTGTTGGAGAAAAAGTTACAAACTACAAAAAGATATCTGATGTCTTTTATGATTCTATTCTTACCAATATCTCAACCTGGAATGATAGACCAACACGGTTCCGGAAACTTGACCGTGTTGTGGAAAATATGGGCAAGTACATCCTGATGCTCGAGTCACAAACTTATCCAAACTTGACAGAATACACTACATCGCTTCTTGGTGAAATGGAAAAGCTTCGAAATGAGACTCCGAAGAAATTGACGAAAGAGAACAAGAAAACCATTGCCGCTTTGAAGGCACAGAAAAGTAAATTGATGAGTGATACAATCAAGGATATTAAGAGTATGGGCATAAAGGTTGCGCTTCAGACGAAAGTCATTGCTGCGCAGTCCACTTCAAGCTTGGTTTTAGCAACTGCTAACACTTTCAAGAACACCAAATTTGAAGGCTCTGATGTCTATTTCTTCCGTATTTTGGATTTACTTCCTCGTTTGCGAGTTTCGGTTTCTGAGTGCAACGAAGAAATACCACAACCATTTGTCGAAAAGTGCATGGCAGCGATTGAAAACTTGGTTTTCACCACAACGGCAACTAGAGTGCCACTCGGCAGATTCTCAAGAGCATTCGAGCTGTTTATGGACCACAAGGAAAGTTTCGAAAGTCTTTCAGAAACGTATGACGGAAAAGTCAGTATTGTCAAAGCTACACACAGAAACTCTTTGATGCTGAATTTGGAGAGCATAAAGTTCAATCTTTACTGGGTCGACAAGTTCATCAGCTTTGTGAGCTCCTTGCAATTAGAGCTGACTCCAGAGATGGACAAACTCTTGCAAAAGCTTGGCAAGATACAAATGGAAGCACTGGATTTAAAGCGTCGTATTCCTCACGAATCTACGATTTTGACTGAAACTTCAATTCTGTGGAACGATGCCTACATTTCATTCCATGAAGGAGCAGTTGAAGAATTAACTTCGTTGGAAAAAGATGTTCCATGTCTTTCTTTTGTTGCTAAGACCCTTCAAATACTTTTGGCAGACTCTACTCATACATCGTTTATCCAGTCTTCTACCTCACTTGAAAGTATCTCCTCTTTGGAAGAGATAGAAAAGGTGTTGCGGAGCCTTTCAAATGCCATTTTGATTGCACTTCAGAACGTGAAAGAGAATAACGATTCTTTCGACACGGAAAAAGAAGAATGGTTCCAAGAGTCGCAAACAAATCTCTTTGAGAGTATCAAACGTCTCAATGCAGCGCTGATTTCCAAATACATGAAGCGTTCTTTGGACTTGATTTCAAGACACGAATATAATGCTTCTACTTCGGCAATTGTTCAAGCATTGGTGAAGTTCACCTTGCCTTTGGTGGACCAATATGGAAGTCTTTTGCAGTCTTTCTTATCTAAATCAAAGTCGAATTACTTTGAGAATAGCAAGAGCACATATATTCTCGCAACATGTCTTCACCACATTGCAGTGAACGGTTTCTGTTCACCTCAAGCCGACCAAGAACAGAAGCAAGATGACAACTTGCAAGATGGTACAGGGCTTGGCGATGGTTCTGGTGCCGCCGAGAGCACCAAAGATATCGACGAAGAAGATCTTGCGGAAGCAGCTCAGGAAGAAAACAAGGAAAAAGACAATAAAGAGGACGAAATGGACGAAGAAAAAGACAATGCTCATGATATTGAAGGTGACATGGCTGGAGAACTTGAGGAGGCGGAGAATGATGAAAATGATGAACAAGACCAGGATGAAGACGAAAAGTTGGACGAAGAGATTGATGATTTGGACGATTCAGATCCTAATGCAGTTGATGAGAAGATGTGGGACGAACAAGTTGAGGACGATAAGATGAAGGAGAAAGAGTCTGACGAAGTTCCACAGAATCAGGATGACAATCTTGAGGGTAATGACGAAGACTCGAAAGATAAGGATGAGAAGTCAAAGGACGAAGCACAAGCTGACGAAATGGAGGATGAGCCTGATGCAGACAACAAAGGTGAAGAGAATTCAGACGAAGGAGAAGAAGAGAACGAAGAAGAGCAGTTGGGAGAGCAAGAAGATGAAGTCAAAAATGACGACGATGGTGAAGCGCTCGATGACCATGTTCCTGAATCTGAGGTCTTGGATCTTCCTGAAGATATCAATCTTGATAGCGAAGGTGAGCAAGAGGAAGCCGAAGAAGCACAGCAGGACGACGACATGGATATGGAAGACGACCAAATGCCTGACAATGTTGACTCTGCTGAGGAGGAAGGTATGGAAGAAGAAGGCAAAGAAGAAGATGACCAACAAGAAGGGGAAAATGAAGAAACTGGAGAGGTTGAAGAAAATGCTGAGAATGACGAAGATAATGAAGACGCTACGAATGAAGAAGATGCGAACGAAGATATGAACTCGGATGGTGAAGAACTCAAGAACGAGAACGCTGAAGAGGATCTGAAAGCTGACAATGCTTCCAAACTTGAAGCTGAAGGTAATGATGGTGCTGATCAAGATAATGATACCGAGGAGATAAATTCTGATGTTAAGCAGGAAAGCGGAAATCGTGGTCAAGGGGATGATAATGAAGACACTCAAGAAAATGAAGATGTTGGAGCAGCAGGCGGTGCTTCACTCCAGATGGACCAGAAGGACGATTCGAGCAATTCTAACGACGATGTGAAGGATGAAATTTCAGAGTCTTTGAAGCAGCTTGGAGATTCGTTGAAAGAGTTCCACCGTCGTAGGCAAGAAATAAAAGAGGCCAGTGAGCGTGATGAGCAACTGAAGGAGACCGCCAACGAAAACCCCGACGACTTTGAGCATGTTGATGGTGACAATGCCGATACTGATACTCAGGCGATGGGCTCTGCGGACAAAGACCAAGTGCAAAAGATAGACGAAGATAAGGCAATGGATCAAGAAGAAGAAAATGAAGAAGTTAAAGTCAAAGAAGAATTGTCAACTAAGGACGAAGGTGCAGAACTCGAGAATCCCGAAGTCAAAGAGGACGTTGAGATGGAGGAAGATTCTAAGAAAGAAGATTCCATCGATGGACGGATCCATCTGACTTTCAAGAACGAGCAAATCTTTGAAACTGACCAAAACCAAGTCAAGGTTGAAGATATGGACGAGGATGAAGAAGATGTCGAGGAAGAGGTGAACATGGAAATCCAAAAACCTTCTAGTGAACAATCTGCCGTTATTGAGTATGAAACTGCACTGAAATTGTGGTCTTCAAGTGAACAAGCAACGCAAGAGTTGGCTTCTGGACTTTGTGAGCAGTTGAGGTTGATTTTGGAACCAACTATGTCAACCAAGCTCAAAGGTGACTACAAAACAGGAAAGAGGTTGAACATGAAGAGAATTATTCCATATATTGCTTCTGATTTCCGCAAAGACAAGATTTGGTTGAGAAGAACAAAACCATCAAAAAGACAATATCAAATAATGATAGCGGTTGACGACTCCAAATCTATGACAGAGAGCAACTCCCACGAGCTTGCATTCCACAGTATTGCCCTTGTGTCTAAAGCTTTGACCCAGCTTGAGAGTGGAGAAATCTCGATCGTCAGATTCGGTGAGGATGTCAAAGTTGTTCATCCATTCGAAAAGCCTTTCAACTTTAAAGATAGTGGACCTCAAGTATTCCAATGGTTTGACTTTCAGCAAACGAAGACTGACGTCAAGAAGCTCTGCTCAACATCTTTGGACTTATTTGAGAAAGCTCGTGCTTCTACAAGCACCGATATCTGGCAGTTGCAAATCATCATATCTGATGGTGTATGTGAGGACCATGAAAGTCTCTTGAGACTTGTGCGTGAAGCCCGTGATAAGAAGGTGATGCTTGTGTTTGTCATTCTTGATGGCATAAACCAAAAGGAGTCGATTCTCGATATGAGTCAAGTGAACTACGTTCCAGATTCTCATGGAGGTACATCGTTGAAAGTCACAAAGTATTTGGATTCGTTCCCCTTTGAGTTCTATGTGGTGGTGAAAAACATCAATGAACTTCCACAAATGCTTTCATTGATCTTGAGACAATACTTTTCGGAGATATCTAGTATTTAAGTATTTATTAAATGCATTGTATGAAGAAGACAGTTTATCTACTTTGTATTATTAACAACTCTAGCGATGCAGATCGACATATCATCAAGCTTGCCGCCTGTGCTAGCATTGTGGCCATACTTGGCAGCTGGAAGTGCATTAACTTTCTCATTATAAGGTGTGTAAGCATAATCATCAAAGGCGACTTCCTTCGCTTTGACCAAAATGTTGTTTGCAGCTTTTTTCAAGCTATCTTTCTTCAAATTCAAACTTTCATCGAGATAATGTACAATTTCCCACTCATACAAATTGTCGGAAATGCCGTCCGAGCACATCACTATGATGTCACCTTCTTTCAACTTCATGGAGTCAACCCACGCCATTTCTGAAGGCAACTGGCCCAAAGTTTGCGTTCCAATTTGCTGTGGACAAAGATCAGATATCATTTGCTCTTTGTTAGTTTCTATAATGTCACCGTCTCTTATAATGTAGAGCTTAGAGTCGCCTATACTGATCATTTTGAGATATTCTCCGCTCAACATCAGTAATATGAGGGTGGATGAGCCACTGAGACCCTGAAGGTCCATCAAGTGGGAAGTATGCAAAAAAGAGTCGTCCAAAATCTCGTCAATATCTCTCTTGTTGAGATGATGAGGAGCATGATTGAACTTGTACTCGGTCATAAGACGACTAAGCGTTTCCACCATTGAACGAGACCAGATTCCAGAAGAACAGTTCGTGTCTTTCGTTTCCCAACCTGTCACACCATCAGCGATAGCCATGACTGTGGGGGATATGAGCATAGCATCATCGCCTGCTTTGATCGACAAAGTATCCGCAGGCGAGCCATGAGGACGTCGTCTAGGAAGCAAGGTGTTAAGCTGGGTTGGTTCTGTCAAGTCGGACAATGAGTGTATGGTTGGGTTGGAGCCATCGCTGTGGTACGCATACGATGCGTACGCGCAGTCGAGTTTATATTTGTCATTGGTTATCTTCTTGAGTTGGTCTTTTGTCACCAAGGGGTACTGGATATATGGGTTGTAGTCGTCACTCGCGTCTGGTTCCTTTGTACGAGACAAGAAGAAGTGGCGGGCGCCACTGAATATGCTGTATTGGCGATGGGACTTGCCAAGAGTGTTCACCAAGTTGGTGAAAGACCGATGTCGGGAGATGGATGCGATCATTCTCAAATGTTTGAACGTCTTGAATTTGTTACTTGACAGTGGTATTTGAAATGGATAAAATTATTGTGTGGTAACTGCGGATCAGATGGCCGTGTACGGCTTTATATCGAGACCCTTTACTTGTTTCCCTAACTGATTATCAACACCAATCTAGTTATGTACCGGGGCCTAAAATCAAGTATTAAAATGCAAAAATCAAGATTTTGCCAAAGTTGACAAATCACAAAAAGTAAACTTTTCTGCCACCATCACTTTCTTTTTATGTGCGGCGATGTTCCCCTCATCGGAGCGGAGTTTCGAGCGAAAAAGAAAAAGGAAATTTCGGGCGCATTCGGAGTTCGGAGTCCGACATTTTCCGACGCACCGTGCGATGCACGATACGAACGTTTAGTATATACACTACTTGGCTATTCAGCAACAACGGCATCGTAGATCACCCGGTATGGAGCCTTGAACCCGGTATGTAATTCGAATTGTCTTTCACCTTGGTGCACCAACATTTCCACACCAGGAACGACCGTCCATTTGAACTTGTCTTGGGCCAATTCCATGATTGGAGTTACTCTTGGTTTATAGGCAGCTTCAAGTAACGTAGGAGTAACGCCATGGCTATTTTCACTTCCCTTGGCTAATAAAGTTTCCAAGTATTTCAATAATTGAGCCTCAATTGGCTTATCGGCTGGAATGCACGATACAGCCAAAGTCACTGGTTCGGCCAGGTTCACCAATTCTTCACTGTCCAAGACTTCGATTCCATATTCTTCAGGAAGCGATTTTTTGATGTCATGAACCTTGCTTGCAGTTCGGTTGATCATGTAGATTTTCTTACACCCCATTTGGTGCAAAGCAAACACCGCTGCTCGTGAAGTGCCTCCACCACCAACTACGAGACCACACTGGGTACTGGATCCATAGGCGCCAAACTTGGCGAATGAGTTGCTAATTCCAACCCAGTCGGTGTTGTCTCCCACAAAGATTTGGTGATTATCTTTTTTCACCAGACAAACGGTGTTCACAGCACCTATGGTTTTCGCAGCTTCTGAAAGTTCATCGACGTATTTCATAATATCGAGCTTCAATGGCATGGTGATAGCCAAACCACCAAAGTCTGATTTCTTCATCAACTTTTCAAATACTTTTTTAGCATCGTCAGACTCAAATCTGTCAAACTTGTGAGGCAAGCCTAAGCATTTGTACCCAGCATTGTGCAAAGGAGGAGATCTCGAGTGCTGGATCGGTTTACCAATAACCCAAAAGGACTTGGCACTAAGAAGACCGATTTGGTTTGCAATGCCATTAATCTCACTAACCGTCAACTGTCCTGGAGCCGCCTTTTCCGTGAGTGTGTCCGAGGTAACTGGAGTGAGCACCGGATTCAAAACTCTCGACAATTTTCCTTGCTCGCCCATATTTATGGCTATCAATGGCCGCGAAGTATGGAGCTGTCTGAAAGATTCCAAATCGATGTTGTCTTGAACCAGCTGGGCACTTCCAACAAGCTTGACAATATCGGCACCAATGTTGATGGCTTGCTGGAACCGGTTGTCCCATTCGGGTTCTTTCCATGAAAACTCTCTCTTGGGATCGTGGAACGAGGCTATGATCTTGGTGAAGACGTTGGCAGACAAAATCTTGTCAATTGTCTTGGAAGGATATGTCAATTGAAGATCCAAGTAGACAACACCAAGTTTGATTGCCAAAAGCGAGAGACGCTCGATTGTCTCGAGGTCCTCATCAGGGATCTTACCACCTTGTGAAACCGTTCTCACCGTAAAAATGATAGGAATATTGAGGTACTTTCTAATGATGGCTGTTTGTTCAGCAACAAAAGTACTTGAATAATCTTCCAAAAGGTCCACACGCAATTCCACGGCATCGCACCCAGCGGTAACAGCCTCAAGTTTGTCGCTAACTGGTGCCAAATTGGGGAACGTTAAACTGACGAATCTAGAAGCTCTTGCAGGCAAGACTGGTTCTTCAATTCCAGTTATCATCTTGACATAATTGATAAAAGATGTTCTCAAGCGACCAAACTCAGATGCATTGGAGCATCTAGAAGAGTAAAAGTGAAAGTTTGAACACTCATGGTACCACTTTTCTCTCCTCAACCAAACATCCTTTATCTCTTCAGCATAAGCTGGACGAGTGGTATCGGCAGACAAAAATGTCATGGTGTCTCCCAAATCACGGTGCAAATGCAACACAATTCCTCCACTTTCATAGTACAGAACTAGAGAAGCCCTGGCCTCTGCACCTTCAACAATTCCACCACCAGTTGCAAGAACATAGCCCTGACGATACTGGGAGAAACATTCCTTGGCAAGCAAGGCTTCTTCCTTTCGAAATTCATCCCATCCTTTTTCCTTGACGAAATCTCGAATGTCGACGCCCAATTTCTTCTCGAGAAGGTGATCAAGATCCAAAAATTCGAATCCCAAGAATGAAGCCAACCACTGTGAGAGAGTTGTCTTTCCAGAAGCACGCATACCAATCACCACTATACTGTTCCTTCCGTTCCTTTTAGTCTTGGGAACTGAAGGCACATCATGTCCGGTCAATTTGGCATTAAACTTGGTGTGCAACACATCCCACCAGCCTGGCCATGTCTTTCCAGTACAGGATCTTTCTTGAATCAAAACAGGTTGAGAACACATTCCTGCTAGCAATGAAAATGACATAGCCACTCTATGGTCATCATAGGTCCCCACCCCTCTACCTTGAGGAATCTTCAACTTTCTGTAATCGATACCATGGATCTCAATTCCATCGGGAAGTTCGTTTGCGAGAACTCCAAACTTTGCTAGCTGCGTCACCATTGCTTCTATACGGTTGCACTCTTTAACACGTTGATTGGCAATGCCAGTAATTGAAGTAGACTGTGAACTATTGGCAATAGCTGCCACCACAGAAGCCGTCAAAAACGCATCGGTCATTGGTTCCATATCCACCGTCGCAAGAGGCTTGAGTTGTCCACGGGGAGGACCAACTACGGTGGTGGAAGTCTCAGTTTGCTCAACAGTGCATCCCATAGGTCTCAAGACATCAACTGCAAATTTGGCGTCGCCTTGAAGTGAGGTAAAGCCAATATTGGGAACCGTACAAGAAGTGCCTGTCATAGCTGCAAATGCCAAAGGATAGGTAGCAGAAGAAGCGTCAGACTCTATGACATACTCCTCAGGGTTCTTGTAGGTTGCCTTTGGAATATGGTATGTGTGTTCCTCAGTAGTGGATTTCACCACTTCCACTCCAAAGTTCTTCATCATAGCAATAGTCATGTCTATGTAAAGCTGAGAAATGGGCTTTCCTCCAACCAAAGACAAAGTGACGGGCTCTTGAGCATATGGAGCACCCATCAAAATCGACGACACATACTGTGAAGAAATGGTGGCTGCTAACTCTATTCTTCCACCATTGAATCTTTTACCGGCTTCTATCTTCAAAGGTAACGAGCCCTCACGGTTCAAGTATTGGATTGAAGAACCATTGGCTGTCAACGCATCCACAAGAGGACCAATGGGTCTTTCTTGCATCCGTGCATTTCCAGTAAGAACAACGTGCTTGGGACCATTGGAACTGACTTCTACGAGAGCAGCAACTGTGGTCAAGAAACGAGAAGCAGTTCCGGCATTTCCAAGATAAAGTTCATTGTTTGTACTGAGAAGCTTACCGCCATTTCCAGTAACCACGATGGTTTCTCCACCATCCTCGGTAGATATCTGGGCTCCTTGAAGCGCAGAAACGGCATCCAACATATGCTTGGTATCGTCAGAGTGCAAAAGATTCTTTATGCGGACAGTGCCGGTTCCCAATGCGGCCAAAATCAAGGCACGGTTCGAGATGGATTTGGAACCAGGAGGAACAACCACAGTCGATTCAGTCGACTTACTTTCGGGGAATGGATGAACAAAAACCTCGTCTGTCATCACAAATCCCAAATCCTCAGGAGAAATTTGGTGCGCTTTTTCTTGGTAACATTTACCGATGGTATCTAAGAGCACACAGTTTATCTTACTCCTTGGGGGTTGCTTGTCAAGTGCCATTTTTTTCAACAATAATCCCAATTCAAGGTCGTGTCTCTTGTGTCCGATCTTCTTCAAGAACCACTTGTCGTCCACTGAGGGGGGAAGACCCTATGCCGCAAGACATTTGGAAAGTCTCGCAACACAGACAGGCGACAAAATACCCAAGTATCTTGACAATTCTGCTTCCTTAATCATACCAATGGAAACATATTCTCCGTGAATAGCCTGGGGAGTCAAAATGGCCTCAATTGCGTTGGCCGATAGTGTGTCCAAAATTGAGAAGGTTTCTCAAGCCTGCTTCTTTTTCATCAGACGACACAACCTGCGCCTTAACTCTGATTGACTCCAACACCGTTTTCACCAAGTCTTCCTTTATCAGAACAAGCTCTAAATCCGGAGCATTGACCACCTTCAAGAAGGTGCTGGCGAAATTTTCTAGTCTCGAAAATTCAGTCTCATTCCATATCGCCGCAGTCTTCACCACTTCTGCCATTCCATTGATGAATTGGCGGGCAGGCAAAGACTCCAAGAAAGACACATCCACAAAAACGTAATCGGGCTGGTGGAAAGAGCCGATAAAGTTCTTTCCCAATGGCGTATCGATGGCAGTTTTTCCACCCACGGAAGAATCCACCATGGCCAATAAAGTGGTAGGAACTTGAATGACACGAACACCTCTCATGAACGTAGCTGCCACGAAACCAATCATATCACCAATAACACCACCTCCAACTGCCAAAATGACGGTATCTCTGGTACATCCCAGCTCTAGTAAAAAGTCCTCAACGGCGGCTTTGGTTTCTCTGCTCTTGTTATTTTCGCCAGGTGAAACATTGTAAAGTAGAAGCCTTGATTCTGGACGGAACTCCTTAAGCCCAGCCTTGAATTCTTGCACCAATTTGGAGTAGGCGGTGGTCTGGGCCATATTCTTGTCGCTTATTATCACATAAGTAGAGGAGGCTTTCGTAGTGAGGGTCTGTCTGACAATATGTTCCTGGATACGGTACCCAACATGAATAGTCTCGGAGCCTAAAATGGCCACCTTGTCGATATGCATGAGGAATTGGGTGTACTTGGTTGAACTTGAGCAGTAGTTGAAAATTTATGATTCATATCCAGCTGTACACCCACACATAAGCAAGGTGATACTATAGACTAAGAAAAGGTGACAGTAACTAAAAATTGATTTATATTTGGCTCTTGATAAACTCTATACATTCTTCTTTTGTTCCCAGTGGGTGGTCAAGCTGCCATACTAAAATCATGTTCGTAACTTCTCCCATCCAAGGTCCGGGTTTCTTGTTCAATTCCTTGGAAAGAGTCTTTCCATCGACCAACGGTTTAACATTATGAACGTCCCATAATGACTCGTTCTCTATGTATCTCATTAAGTTCTCATATTTGGAGAGGGAATAATGGCTTTGAGATAAAAGCTGCTCTGCCAAATTTAGGACTTGAGGATGCGGTTCGATCAGAACGGGTGCCTTGAATTCCGGATTTTGCAATAACTCTGCAAATGCGTAGACCAAGACACTCAAGGACGAATGTGCTTTGTACTTAGCCAAGATCGTTCCTAGTTCAGACCTCTTTATGGTGTGGCTGTCAAAGAAAGCTTGAAATGCAGTAATGGCCAACTTATGCTCTTTGACAATCGTCGATACCGGCTCAAAATCGTGCTTTCCTAGCCTCAATCCCTCTTTCAAGATCAATTCGGGAACTGCTGATTCTGCTGCACGCTTGGGATTTGCTCTTAAGACTGCATTTTCATAGGGAAGTAGAACCGTACTCAAGTAGAATAATTTTTGTAGATGCGTATCCAGCAAGACACTAGTGAGCACTTTTTGTAGACTCTGATAGTTCTTATCGATTAATGTAGTGAAAACTTTGAAAGATGTAGACATTGCCGAAATCTGGCCATCTATCAATGCAGAGCGCTGTTTGACAACATCCAAATGAGCTGGTTGGTTGATTTCGTTGATGGTGTTCTCAAGAGTGCCAACATTAAATATGCTATTTGTGAGCCCCACATGGCTTATCAATCGAAGGCCGTAAATGGGGTTATTACCCATGAGTATTTTATCCAACTCGACTCCCACTCTTTCTCTGCTGATCTTGTGGATCAAAGCTTGTTTGATTTCGTCGGTAGTCATCGCTTCGATTGTATTTGATTCAATTTGGAAATCGAATGTGCTTGAAAAACGAATAAGACGCAACACTCGCAATGGGTCATCTAGAAAAGTCTGATATGGGGCTAGCGGTGTTCTCAATATGCCATTGCGCAAGTCATCGAGTCCCTTTCCTGTGAAGTCCTCGATTTTATCCTGGTTTAAATTATAGAACAAAGCGTTAAGAGTAGCATCACGACGAAGAGCATCTTCCTCGGCAGTCCCACACTCTATTACTGGAACTCTGCTATCTGCCGTGTACTTCTCGGATCGAAGATTAACAAAATCAATGTCCAACCCGAAAAGCTTGGTTGTACAAGTTTCCAAATGCTTGGATTTATCAGGATTCTTCTTGATTGTATGCACAGATTGAGCTTTCATTTGAGGGTTTTCAGCGGCCAAATACTCGAGCAATCGGGATGCAAACTCCTCACCTGAAAGATGGTTGATGGCAATGTCGAGATCATGACTCTGTTTGCCCAATAACTTGTCTCGAACCCATCCTCCAGTGATTCTTAGTTCGAGTTGTTGCGAGCCACTTTTGTCCTTATTGTACGAGTCGCAGAAACTGAGCAATGCTCGACAAATGTTCGATTCCGCGGGTTCGAGTTTAATGGGGGTGAAGTTGAAACATGGTGCTAAAAAGACGAATATTTCTTGTGCAACGGTGCACGAAATGGTACATTCGTTGTCGCGATGAGGTCTGGAAATGCAAAATCTAGATTATGGAAACACACACAAATTCGGTACTGTTTTGTTTCTGGGGTGAACGATGAAATGAAAAGTGGATGAATATTAAATGACTGTGTTTTGAAGAGCTGTTAATATGATTCATATAACTTTTGCGAATTGCGCAGTTTGTAGCACCCACCCAGGGAGTTCTTTCAGATACTTCGCCTGCGTAGCGTAATGGTTAACGCGTTTGACTTCTAATCAAAAGATTGCGGGTTCGACTCCCGCCGTGGGTTCCATACTGTGCGGATTTAGCTCAGTTGGGAGAGCGCCAGACTGAAGTACACTTCGGTCTTGAAATCTGGAGGTCCTGTGTTCGATCCACAGAATTCGCATCTTCTTTTTTTGTTTTTGGTCCCATCAGTGATGGATCTAAGCTCCTTGTCCTTTCCTTATAGCCAGAAAAGCGACCTAATATCGCTTTCCAAAGTGTCTTTCACAAACATAGATGACAGTTTTCGCTACACTTTTGAACTCCAAAATGGCAAATGCTCCGTCATAACCAAAACAGAAACGTCTTCTGGCACCAAAATCCTCGAAGAGCCATTGGAATTTGTTCAAAATGTGGATTCTGACAATGTTTCGGCTCCATTATTGACAAAAGTGCCTGCAACCTTTTTCAAAATCAAGCTATCGTTGTATATAAATGGCTTCCTAAATACCACTGATCGAGCTATTTATATACTCAAATCTCGAAAAAGTCCCGATATCCACCAGTTACAAGGTGGTTCGTTGCTGCCCTCCACAGAACTATCCAAAATCAATTATCAAAGCTTACCGCTAACTAGTGGAGAAAAAGACCAAAAAATTGTCATTAATGATACCTTTAGTAACAGTCTCTTCCAAGGGTGTTCATTGACAATCTCACTCTGGGACTACGATCCAACAGAAAACTCATATACGCAACTCTTTCAGTTCAAGGTTTATGTTGAAGAAACGAACGATGGTCTCAATGCTGGGGAAGACACAAAACAACCAACCGAACCTGCAACAACTAAAGTGTCTGATTTCCGAAAAGCATTCAACTTTCACCTCGAAGATGGGCCCGAATTTCGCAAGATTTTACTGACGTACGAGTCTGAAGTTCTGCTGTTCCGCAAGAGCTTTGTCGGCTTCAGCGAAGAGATAAAGTTGCTAGAGCATTATCTCAAACGAGTCAACAACTCCAAATCACGGATCATCGATTACTTTAACCAGGTCACCTCATTCCAAAAAATTCTCCCTCGTGAACGTATAAAACTGGAGTTTTCCAGCTCATTGGATTCGTTGTTTGACCCATTCAATCATAATGTTCGGTTTCTCCTCTCGCGAGTGCTTCCGGCCACCATGCTACAGAAAGCCATTACTTATGTTCCTGTGGACAGTGGTGCTAATGCGGACTTTTTGGGGTCAGTAGAGCTCTCTCACATCAAGAAGCAATTCGAAGCTCGCTCAAAGGACTACTATAGTTGGTTGAACAAGTACCTTTCCAACGAAAAAGAACGACCCGAGCTGAAGCTTCTTGCGAAAAGAAAAACTTTCGAGCTCTCCAAATTTGACTACTTGAACCAACTCAACATGGCATTTAATAACCAATATCTCAACCAAATTCTCGAAAACGTCTTCCCGGTTCATTCGCTTGAGCTCCGTTCAAGGTGCTACTATCTTCATAGACACAAAAGCATTCGAAGACAAGTCCCATGAATCAGATCTCTTGTCTGATGAGTACACCATCTACTTCAACATTATCTCACGGTTCAACAGTGAAAAGCATCAACTCCGACAATTGATTGAGGCTAGTAGAACCAACGAGGAGCTCTCGAGTCTCATAGCACAAAATCGTCTCAATCGTACAACCGAAGCTACAGATACAGAACTGAAAACCGAAGATCCGATTGTTACAAAGTCCAATATGGATATGGTCTTTCAAAGGTCTTCGGAACCCGATAACGCTGTCACGGCGATTCCAATTAATACTGACCAAATTTCAGAAAAATCGGGTATTTTGTTTACTCTAGGTGGACAAGGTAAGCAAGGATGGCACAAGGAATGGATTGTTCTTTCACGAGGACGATTAACGGAATATTCAGATTGGAGACTGGGGAAATCTCAGGTGAAGAAACCCATAGATATTGCTCTCACAAGCGTCAAAGCAGTGAACCATGATAGACGGCAATATTGCTTCCAGATAAGTACTTCCGACGGACACCACCACACGTTTCAAACATTCAATGAAGAAGAGCGTTCGAAATGGCTTCGAGCTCTCTACAATGCTGGCCAACAGGTTGATACTACAAAGCTAAGAGAGGACCATGGCGAGAAACAAGTGAGAAAAAACCTGGAACGAAGGAAGAACTTAGGTAGATTGAAGACAGCAGGAAACCATGTGGTCAACACTATCATACCTGGCCAAACCCATGATTTGTCGGTGTCTCCTGTGTCGATTCATTCCAAGCAAGAAAGTGAGATGGATTATCTTGCAGCCGTGAGATTCAACCCGGACGACTTGAACAACATCTGTGCTGACTGTGGCAGTACTGAAGCCGTCGAATGGGTATCCATCAACTTTTTAACGGTGTTTTGTGTACGGTGTTCTTCGTCGCACCGTAGTTTGGGTTCTCATATCACTCGAATTAAGTCGCTAAAGTTGGACAAATTTGCCAATGAAACTGAAGCACTTTTGAAATACGTGAGTAACCGTACTGCCAACAATTATTTGGAGAGTAATTTACCGGCCAAAGAAAAAATTTCCACTAATGTTCTGGATGCGAATCGACTCGAGTTTGTTAAACGAAAATATGTGTTCAAGTCCTACTCTGAGAAGTACCCCGATGCTGATAACCTATTGGTCAGAGCGATACAAAAGATTAACGTTCCTGATGTCGCTAAATACCTCGCATGTGGAGCAGATCCCAATATGATCATCAAAATCAATGTGAACAAAGCAAAAGAAGAACCAAGCCAGTTTCGAACCGTGACTTTGTTCGAGTATTCGCTAAGGAAACTGATTGAGGTCGATACTCCCGTTGGCTCCAAAAAACTATTTGTGGTATCGGAACTTATCATCTTGAATGGTGGAAAGGCTGAAAAGTTCAACAGCAATTCTGACACACAAATCAACGAAGACAATGCTTCAGAACTCGGTCTCTCAGAAGAAGCCATAACCTACTGGAAAGCTCGCAGCTTGAGGCTTCAAGGTCTTAAGAGCCCAACGGCATAAGTATGTTTGTGGTCCCGCACCATAGGTAAAGGTGTCTGTGTTCTCGCGATTGCAAACTGCTTTTGCTATGGCAAACAAGTACTGTCTAGAAAAGTGCATAGGGAGAGGCAACTTTGGAGATGTCTATAAGGCTGCATGCAAACGCTCGGGCAAGGTTGTTGCCGTTAAAGTGGTCAACCTTGATGAATCGTTGGAAGATATGTTCTTCATGGTGCAAGAGATTCAATTTTTGTCATTGATGCGTTCACCTTATATTGTGCAATACTTGGAATCGTTTGTAGAAAACTCCAATATGTGGATTATCATGGAGTATTGTGGCGGCGGTTCTGTCGCCGATGTGTTGAGGTATTGCAAAAAATTTGATGAGAACATTGCTGCGTATATCATCAAATATGTCCTTCTTGGCCTCAGTTACCTCCACAAGCAAAAGACCGTACACAGAGATGTCAAGCTGGCCAATGTATTGGTGACAACTGACGGGACGATCAAGTTGGCTGATTTTGGAGTCAGTGGAGAAATGTCGTTTACCACCAACAAAAGAAGCACTTTTGTGGGAACCCCGTACTGGATGGCACCAGAAGTGATTGTGCATTCGAAGCTGGGCTACAACGAAAAGGCAGATATCTGGTCTACCGGCATCACCACCATTGAACTTATCAAGGGTGATCCCCCTTTAGCCGATTACGATCCCATGAAGATTTTATTCAAAATACCAAAACAGGAACCTCCGTTATTGACGGGTGATAAGTATAGCGATGAGCTCAAGGGTTTCTTGGAGAAATGTCTAGTGAAGAATCCACGCAAGCGGTCCAGTAGCACTGAATTATTGGACCATCCATTTATTGGTATTGCTGCGGAACAGCAGGATTTTTGCAAACTTCTCCGAAGACGACGCACCAGTTTCTTGGATAAATACAGAAGGCGGCCCCGAAACCCCATTAAAAGTGATACTGGAGCTGGGCCCTTGATCAATTGGGACTTTCTGTCCGATGGTATTCACGCCAATGCATTGAGCGATGCTCGTCTGTCGCCTGAAGGCAGCGGAGGGCTTCTGTCCCAGAACACCCCCGAGACAGCAGCAACTACTCCCGCATCTGGTCGGTTGGTAGTTTTGGATAATTATGGTGATTTGGTACATCTTTGTCTTGAAAGAGTCAAGGCACGGGCAAGCCTGATCACTATTGGCCAGTCGTTGGACCCATTAGAAACGCTAATCAAGGAGATCGAAGACAAGCACCCTGGATTCTGTCGGGCTATGGTGATGGAAATTGTCCATGTGTACTCCAAGGTGCATCATCGTAAGAGTGAATAGTGATTACAGTATGAACAAGAAAAAGCGAAGGTAAAATGATTAAGAAGTGCAGCAGAAGCTTAGAGTAGGTGCAGAATGAGATTGTCAAATTCACAAATTTATAATAGAAGTTGGAGAGCAGTACTCGCGGAAGAAAGGTTGCAAATTCAGAAAAATATTATGATGAGAAACATCTTTCATCGCAAATTATGGTAACATCTTCAAATCGCAAAGCAAGAAACATCACTAGAATTTGTCTCCTATATTGTATTTATTGTATTTGTTTAAGCCTTTATCAGTTCGCACCGGCTATTATAACTTAACCGCGCAACCATTTCGCAACGCGACAGGCATTGCTACAATGTTAAGGCGCCTCCACCGCGTTTCGCGCATTTCCTGCACCAAAGCGCAAGATACCCTTCAGCTGTATAAACATACTAAAGACCGTCATCACTGTTTGTACTTGAAAATCTATTGATTTCTCGGCGTGTGGACGCCCTAATTCTTGACCATTGTATCTTTGCACCATCACCATATTCATCATATCATACAAAAAGTTTTTGCTTTCTTGCTCATAGATGACCGGTCCTCCACACACTCCACGTTCTTCGGGGCCCCGAGCTGCTATAACGCCCTCTTTTAGCTTCGGCTTTGGGTTCCTGCCATCATTCCAGTTCAGCCCTTCAAGACTCATTTCTCCACAGCGTTTTTTTCAGGTGGGACTGGCGGGATCGACTCTTGCAAGGGCCATCGAGCCGAAAGAACCGCTTTCAAATAACAATACTGGCGTCTTTTCCGAGTCCAACGAACTCCAAGTACCCGCCAACGGAACCTCGTCGGCTAATGACTCGCTCAACGACAGTCTTTGGTCCATAAACTCGTCACAACATGTGACTGGGATCTCTTCAATCTACGAAGAAGAGCCTGAAAACAAACCTTACGCGACCCCAATCAAGTTGATCGTCACGAAAAGCCCCGAGAAACAACCGGGGGTGACAACCGGCCCAAATAACCCCTTTGACGTGTCGGCAAACTCACCGGACTCCGAATCGGCAGCCTTCGAAGATGGTGCCGCAACCGCTACTCAAGCCCCAGGAAGATCCCAATTAGAGCAATTGGCGTCGGCGAAGAGAAGACGCATACAGAAAACACCCTACCAGGGTCTTGACGACAGTCCCGATGATCAGAATGGCCCCGGTGGTCACGATCAGGCAGAGAGAGTGTGGACCAGCGAACTAGACAAGGTGCTTTATCTGGCGTATTTGACGTACAAGGAGTTCAAACAGACTCATGGTGACTCACCCGGCTTCAAGACCACATCCCAAAACAACATTCTCTCAACTATGATCTTCAACAAAACAGGAAGCAGACGTACATCCAAACAAATTGCATCCCGTCTCCATAGACTTCTCAGACAGACCAAACCATCATTTACTCAGTTGCCGACGGTGGAAATCCCTCAGTCAGTGCTTACATCAAGTGAAGAAGTGTCACCACTTCATACCACCAGCAAGCAGATGCATGATGATATGAGTTCATTGCTTGTGTCTTCACCATTTCCTGAAACTTCCATTGACGAAAAGTACGTGTTGACACCATCGGACATTACCATTGCTTATATCAATCGGATAGATGCCACCAAATCCATTCAATTCACCAAGCTTCTGTCAGTAAATGATAGAACGATGGACATTAGTCAGATGCGTGAGCTTCTTACGCCGCCAGTGAATGAACTTTTCAAAGACTCATTCCTCTCAAAAACAAGCTCGAAGGGCATATCAATAAGTCATATTCAGCATTGCATCAACATCAGCACCCACAGCCTGTCGCCTCATTCGGCGTCTTCTCCTCTTGGGTCATTATCTACCGATGATGGATACTTTAAAGCAAATATCAAGATTCGTGTCGAAGCAAACCGCCCTCCAAACAGCGTCCTTGCATGGAAATGTTACACCCAGATATTCAAAGAAGATCAAAGCATTCTCAAATATAATGAAGATGTGAATGCCTATCCATTAGGAGAAAAGTATGAGCTTCCCATATCGTTTCTGAAACAGTTTTGGTCAGGATACCTAACTTACATGCAAAATGGTGGCTATGACGAAAGTTCAATGAATGAGCTTTCTATCGTACAAGTGATATATTTTGGTGATGGTGACTTTGATCCAGCAAAGTCCACTGTGTGTGGAATTTTATCCCATGTTTTCTCAATCCAGCTAAATTCCGAAGGAAAGTCTGATGTTACGACTATCAAACTAGCAGATAGCAAAGCCAAAGGATCCTTCTCTGAAGAACAACTGGTGATGTCTGCTCCTCCTCCGCTCAAAGTGGAACCATGTCAGCGTCCCAAGTTTGATGGACCAGTCAGTGCTCCGATTTACAATGCATCGATTGTGACTAATTTGAATCAAGAGTTAATCAGAAAACAAGAGGAGTTCAAAAGGGGAGATATCTCTCCAGGGCGTTCCATGTCCATCTACAGTCCTTTCTCCGGACAGCCTACTCCCCGACATTTTAGCACTTCAACACCAGCCAAAGACCTGCCTGGTTTATACAAGCAACCAATGCCCCAAGGACATATGATACACCGTAATATGCAGCCATATCCTCAACCGGGCCTTGATAATGGTATGAACCGAGAGCAAGCCTTTCAACTTTATCAGCACCTTCCTCAACAAATGCACCACTACCAAGCACCTCCACAGCAAGTCAATGTCATGCAAAATATGATTCCAATGAGTCAAGACCCACAACAAATGCCGCAAGAAATGCAGCAGAATATCATGAATCAACACAGGTTAATGATGCAATATCAAGCACAATATCCACCAGTGTTGCAGCCAACCATAACGGTGCCCAACTCAGCCCCTGCATCACAAACGTATTTCTTCCAAGGTTCCGAACGTCAGCCAGTGGCAGCGCCACCTCCTACGAAACCTACGGCTTCGTCATCTTACCATCCACCATTGTCTACAACCGACACCAACAAGTCCAAGCCAATGGAAATCACATTCGTACCAATTCTTGAGTATGATCCTTCGAAGAACATCCCCAAAAAGCAGCGTATACCATCCAACTCGTCAGTCAATAAGATTGGCATGGGAGTTCATCGGTATGCACAGGTAAGTATGTACGAACCAAACAAGAAGAAATAGCATCAATGTACGATATAAGTATGACAAAAAAAAAACCAAGAAAAACCACTTATAATTTTTCAACACACTCATGCCATGCGTCTCTCTATTACTTTACTACATGACTACAATACTTTACCACTTTTCTGTGCTACCTTTTTTCCCCACCTCATCTCACTCAATTTGTTTGTGAATAAAATCGCGTCCGCGTATTTCATCTTACAACTACCTCCAACCAACACAAGTAGTATGGGTGTCACTGGACTTTTGCAACATTTGAAAGAGATCCAGGAACCCTCTAATCTTGCCTCATACAAAGGCAAAACATTGGCTGTAGATACCTACGGATGGTTGCATCGTGGGCTCATTTCTTGTGCCCAAGAACTTTGTCAAAATCAACCCACACGAAAATACGTCAATTCGGTGATTAAAAAAGTCGATATGCTTCGTCATTTTGGGGTGGAGCCTTACTTGGTGTTTGATGGAGCATATCTTCCTACAAAGGCAGAAACAGCAAAAGAACGTAGGATTAAACGAGAGGAAGCACAGCAAAAAGCCGACCTCCTCCTAAAACGAGGAGATAGAAAACTGGCATGGAAAGAGTTCATGAAAGCTGCTGGGGTCACACCGGAGATGGCCAAGTCCATCATGGTGGAGTTGGATGCCAGAAAAGTCAAGTATGTGGTGGCTCCATACGAAGCTGATCCACAAATGGTTTACTTGGAAAAAATTGGCGCTGTTGATGGAATATTATCAGAAGATTCCGATTTGCTTATATTCGGGTGCCAGCGTCTTATTACAAAGCTTAATGATTACGGAGAATGCGTGGTGATTGACCGTGCAAACTTTCCCAAAGTCAAGAAGATTCCACAATTGTCAAGTTATACTCAACAACAATTGAGACTTGTGGCCATGCTAGCGGGTTGTGACTATACTAAAGGAATTCCTGGCATTGGTTTAAAGACGGCATTCACACTCGTTTGGAAACATGGAGACCTAAACAGCGTTCTCTCGGCATTGGACGCCGAGGGAAAAGTCCCTGACACATTTGCCGACGAAGTCTTCAATGCAGACCTTGCGTTCCAGTTTCAAAAGGTGTTTGATCCGTTTGAAAAATCACTCAAGACATTGAACGAATATCCTAGTGATCTTGGCATCGCTATCGAGAAAATTGAAGCTTGTTGCGGACAAACTCTTGATGGTGATCTCCATTACCGCATATGTAGGGGTCATGTCCACCCCAATACTCATGAACCACTCATTTCCAGGGAGCACAATATCACTTTGAAGAGCAAATCAATGACCGTGGAAACAACTTCCACAAGAAAAACCTCCATCGAACAATACTTCTCAAGCAACATGGTACAGAGCACACCAAAGAAGAGCGCCCTGACGTCAGCCATTCAAAAGGTTTCACCTGTCAGTAAGAAAATTCTGAAAGTGATCTCGTCTGCACGTAGTCCTCAAGCTTTACAAACCAGCAAGTTCTTCGTCAAAGCAACATCACAAAAAGAAACTCAAGTGGTCAAATCTCTTCAAACAAAAACCACGATTTCTGAGCCCACCAGACCACGGAAATTGGAACCAGTATCTGATTCGAGTTTGATGGAGGATTCGGATCTTCCCGACGAATTTTCTTCGCCTTTCAAGATGAAGGTTATGGGTACTATGGAAGAGGTTGATACTGATGAGGACAGAGAAGAAGTCAAAAAGGCAGCTCTGGCCGACTTTGATGTCAATGAGTCAGACGATGACATACAAGAGTCGCCAGTAAAATCGACCCATCTTGCAAGTGTGGGCAAATTGTTACGTCAACATTATCTGTGTGGGTCTGAATCCGTCGTTGATAAACAAGCGCTTCTTGGTAGAAGACCGCTCCAGGCGATAGACCACAATAAAAAGAGGACCAATGAGGATAATACTCAAAAGACCAAGAGACCCAAACCTTCAGGACCTGTTCAACTGGGCACCACAAAACTTCAAAGATTTGCATTCACAAGATAAAGTCACCATGATATCGTACATTAACTGATATATTATAAGCCACGAAGATGGCAGGCGCTGATAGCCAATCTGGTTAGCGTTGGGTAGGAATCGGCGCCTACAGCGTCGTTGAGCTTATAAAGTTTTTTGAACTTGGAGACATCAACGAACGAAGACAATGTCTCATCTTCAATTTTTATATTTTCGGGCCTGGAATCGGAAGACAACAAGCCTTCAAGATGCTGGTTTACGGTTGCAAAATTCTCGTTTCCGGTAGTGATGTGAACGACTATGACACTGGAACATCCTTCTTCAACTCCAAAAGAACGAAATGCATCAGTTATCTTGTTTGTGGGAGAGAGATTGAATATAATCTCGGTGTTCAATGTCTTTGCTTTCATACAATCAAACTCCTTGTTTAGTATGGACTTGTGGATACTGTTCAAAAGTAATTCTTGAGAAAGAATGAAGTTGGTATTTAAGAAGCAAAAATCATAATTCTTGTCCGCTGCCACAAGATGTTCTTTAACCTCCTTGAGCTTCTCGGCGCTCACGCCTGTGAAGCATGTGGCAAATATGCGATATTGTGGGAATTGAGGAAAACTATACGTTGAATACACCATTCGATCTGTTCCAAAAGTTTTCAAAACCACTTAATAACGTTTTTCCTGCACACACTCGCCTACATCGAATAGTGCGTATCATTGAAGGTGATGTTATGGGAAATTCCAGAGTGCCGACAGAGCTCGTTGACGACCTCTTTCACCCTCGTGCTCCTGGTGAGCGACGAACAGTGTACCCAGAACAAATATTACAACTTTCAGACAACGGATTGCGATATAACGCCTGTTTTCAACGGTACACTCGGCAGTTTGTAGACGACCGTCCCGACCAGATGGTTCGATGGCATGGATCTGCTATTGAGAATGCCCTGAACAGCATCATTACTGTGTGGAACGAGAACGATCGAGGTGTTGTTTCGCGAGAACGAAACGAAAAGGACCAGGCTTCCACGCGAGCAAATGCAGCTACATCACTCTTTTCTTGGTCGACCGATAAAAGTTACCTTGAGCAAAAGAGAGCCAAAAATTCCACCAGCGACCACAGTCCCCCAAAGCCAGAAGCCAGAGAAAAATCGAGATTCCAGACGTCCGAGTCATTGAGTAACAAGCTCGGTCGAATCGTGGAGATCGAGTCGAATAGATTCATACGGGCACGGCTCAAAGAGATAAGTCTTCACCACAGCGAGCAGATGTCGCAGCAAATCAGTGAGCGAAAGCGTAGAGACCACGAACGACATTTGGAGCGGTTGAAGTTGAAGGAAGAACAGTACAACAAAGAGCTCGAGCAGGCGATGAAGGAGAAGAAGGGCGGATTTTTTTCTCTTTTCAACTTCAGCAATCAACAGCTGAATGTGCTGCCTTCTAAATCAGATCTCTTTAACGAAACTCTCTTTGATGTTGAGGAAGCAGAGTCCCCCTCCAAGCCGTCCTCAGTAGCGGAGAGTCCCAGAAAAAAAATTGATGATGATGCTGGTGACACTTCCGATGAGGACTTTACTGAGTTCACGACAAGCCCGCCGCCGCTGATGCCACCACTGGTGCTGCCACTGGTGTCACAGCTGGTTCCCACGACAGCAACTCTGAAGGTGGACCACAAGCACGAAAGTAATGATGTTAGTCTATTAGATTTATAGATGATGTAGTCTATCTTATAGATGCTTATGATGACTATCTTATGATGTAAGTCTATCTTATGCTTATAATGACTATAGATGCTGTCATGCCTTTTCTCGTTGGACCAAACAGCCCAATCCCATGAATGCCTGGTCCAATGCTCGTTCGTATACTGCTTCCGGTCGCCAGCCTGCTCCAAGGTATTCTTTGTCTTTTGCAAGTTTGGCCAAATGAGGTTCATTGTACTGGTTATCCAACGTGTAGTATGATGTGAGGTCTCGGTCGCCCTGGAATGGTGTGAATGGAGTCTTGGGCATCTCAGCAGCCAATGCCTTGGCATGTTGAGCAAGAGGGTTGGTGTTCTCGAACTGCTGTTCTAGTTGGCTGGTGATCTGTTGGAGTTGCTGCTTACGCATAGACAACCTCTTGTTGACCCGAGAATTGTTCTGTGCGATAATCTCATCGGAATCAATGTTAGAGGAGGAAAGACGATCCAACAATGATTGTTTCTGTTGTTTCTGATACTCCAAATCTTCCAACTCCATTTGATGCTGAATCTTCAACTTCTCCTGCTTCATGCGCTCCATGGCTTCCTGGTACTTTTCCAAATCGGACGTCTTTTGACTCTCTCTCATATTGATCTCGAGTATATCAATTTTGTGGTCTTGTTCATACTTTTTGATTTCTTGTTCTGTAGCTTCTACGTCAACTCCGTTGATAAGATTGAATACCAAGGTTTCCACATGCTCCAAATACAGATTGTATTCCTTAAGATCATCGAAATCGTCTTCGGTCTTGTTGTATATGGCACTGATTCTACGACGAAGATCCACTTCTTTTTCGATTTTCAAGTCGTCAAAAACCTGTTTTTTGAACTTGTTCTTCCTCAAAATCTTCCCACATTTGGGATACGGACACGGAGCTGGTCCTAATGAGAATATTCGGTCGACACATGATTCACAAATGTTGTGGTAGCATTCTGGATTTATCAAAAAATTCATGTTGGGAGACAAGTACCTATCGGTCTTGCAAATGGGACACATGTCCCGTGAGCGTTCATCGTCTATCATGGCAAAGTTTCGGTTATTAATAATTGTGCAAGCTTAATTCAATCTCCATTCTGATGGAACTTGCACCCAATGCACCCGCATCCAAATCTGATTGATGTCTAGAGACTGGAAGATGCCGCCGTCTCTACCGCCTCCTTTACAAGTACTTGTGCAATCGGTGGTGCCATTTTTGGTATTATTGGCGTTTGCTTACTCGAACTATGCCATAGGGTATCGTTTGGGTTACAAGGAGATCTACGAGCACAATTCTCATGGCGCAGCGATAACATTATGGGTTTTATTTGGGTTTAGTCAAACGATAACTTTCTACTATTGGCTCCAGGTGTACATCAAGGGTCCTGGGATGAGTCCCGTGTTTCCTGCTTTTGATTTGTATGCAAATATTGATTCTTTACCGGAATATTTCATGTGTGATGAGAATGGATATCCATACTGGTGCACCACATGTCAGTCATTAAAGGTCCCTAGAAGCTTTCATTCCCGACGATCAAACTACTGCATACTCAAGTTTGATCATTATTGCATTTGGTTGGGAAGTCTGCTTGGCGTTTCCAATTATATTTATTTCTTTAAGCTTGCCGTGTGGCTCATAGTGATGATAATTATAGCCTTGGTTTTCTTGATCGTGTACACAAAATCAAACCGAGACCGTGGCACCCGATGCCATCGATGGAAACTTCATTGCCATGTATGTTGTGGCTGGGTTTTTGGTTCATCATGGCTGGTGGGTTGCTTGTTAGCCATATCTGGTATATTCTACGGGGATTAACAACCATGGATGATCTTTCCGTCAAACAGCAAAAACGCTACTTGCGCTGGCAGCAGGCGAAACAAGCTGGGAAAGCAGGAAACCGGCCATCTCCCCGTCAGGAAGACGGTAAACGCTACATAAATCTTCGTCACCAAGATGGGTCCCGAGTTGTCGTTCGTTATAGCATCAAGGACCGGCCATATTCCTTCTCTCCGAGCCGAAACTGGATCCATACATTCCTCAATGGCAACTCTCTCGTCTACAATGACATTTTACCAGAGACCAAGTATACGTTTTCTCGGCTCATTGCAGCCATAGCAGTTTCATTTGTTCCATTTACGGAAACCCTTTTCAGATCAAAAACCAAAACTTCCGATCCCCCTTCCGTTACCGACCATTATAACGATTATAACCAAGCAATTTCACCTTCTTTTCGAAATTTAATTGAAAGCAAAATTGCTGCTGGAGACTTCACAATTGCAGCTCATTATCGAGCCTTTACAGAAGCGGAAGCAAAGACAGTGTCAGAGAGAGATACGAGCGATACTAAGGGTATAATTGATACTAACGGTATGAGCGAAACTACTGATCTAAATTAGCATATATAATACATTAGGGTGGTTCGCATTCTTCATCGCAGCTGCGAAATCTAATCTAATCTCATCTTATGAATTTAATCGGAGAAATCGTAGAGAAGGAAATCGAGCCACCCGCAGAATTTAAGGCATCTGATATAACATCAGGGTTCCCCGCAGCTGATCTTTTGAAGAAGAAGCGTGCTCTGAAGTTCAAATCGGCCCAAAAAGCAAATATCACCAAAGCACCAAATAATCAGAATGACACCAAACCCACCAAAAATACCCTGGAGGCCCAGAAAATACACCAAGAGAACCTTGACAAGATAGCAAGTATGACTGATGCTGAAATTATGCAAGAACAACAAGAATTACTAAGTGGACTTGATCCCAATTTGGTCAAAAATTTGCTTAAGCGAAGTACGGCTCGTTCGAAAGACCACCATGATGACCACCAGCATGCGGAGGGGTACGATGGATGGATAGGTGGCGCTAGGGATGGATCTAAGGCTGATTTGGGTCACTTGGATGAGAATGATGTAAATCGAGCTCTAGGCTTGAACGACAGTACCAAGAAGTCAGTGAGTTTTGCGCCCACCATAGACTACCAGGAGCTTGATGACGGCGAAAAGCAGAATCTTGGCACCTGGGAAGACGTGGACGATGTGAAACAGTTGGCTGTTAATACGAATGCTGTTGAACCAGACGACCAGGTTGCGCCAGAAGAGTACCAGCTTTTGTCTGAGGAAGCAGAAAACGGAGAAGAAGGCGTTCATTTTCCCAAGCCAGTAAGTGATAAAGATGAGGATCTTGATCTTGACGACCCCAATTTTTTCGATAAACTTCACGACAAGTATTATCCTGATCTACCCAAGGAGACCAGTAAGCTCTCCTGGATGACCACTCCCGTTCCACAAATCGTCCACACTACGTATGAGTCAGTTTCCGACATACGATTTGACTTTAAGGGAAACATTGTCGAACTTCCAGACACAAAAGAGTCTATTAATAAGATTCCGACCTATCTAGGACTCCACCACCATTCCGATTCTCCAAATCTTGCGGGCTATACCTTGCCTGAACTTGCACATTTGTCGAGGTCTGTAGTTCCTGGACAGAGGTGTATCAGTATCAAGACCCTAGGTAGAATTCTTCACAAGTTGGGACTACACAAGTACAACGTTGCCGCAGAAGTGAGCGCTGAAATCAACGAACAATTTGAAGACATGATCTGGAGTATTGTTGAAGAACTTCGCATTATAGACACCTTGACTGAGGCTGCGGACGAAAACAGAACCAAGAACTTGTCGGTTCGAAACTATGCCTTGGAAGCACTTTGGTTGTGGAGACAAGGAGGAGGAAGAAAAGGTAGAAAAGAAAAGCATTCCATCGAGGAAAACATAGAAGACTACATTAGTTGATTGCATGTACATATCCGTATAACGAACAAGTGGTAAAACTAGTACTTGTTCAATATAATGGTGATTCAAAGTCACAACACAAAACGTGAAAGTGGTTGAATCGCTGCTGTTTAAAACAGCAGAAAAAAAGGATAGACTTGTTCTACGCACATAGACACATCGAGCCGGTCAAGGAGGGCTGGGTAGCCAACTGGTCAACTTAAGTTGTGCGTGGCTACAAAGAAAATGGTAATGTATGTATTGGAGTAGAATGTAAAAAAAATTGTCTAGTGAAAATAATAGGTGTTTTATGCAGTCCGCGACATAGGAAGAGAATGAAAGGAGATCATAAAGGTAATCACACCTTATGTTTTACTGAATCGATATGATTACGAATTTGCAGCCTTTCTACGAAACCATGTTGACATCATTTTTCACATTTCATATAAAGCTACAAACAAACCGGTCTCGGGACTGGTATAATTGAGTCCAATTAAGCACAAATTAGCCGAATTGAGCACAAATTATCAAAAGTCCAATGGAGTACAGATTTGCATTCTCCTTAACCAGTAGAACCGTAAGTAGCCCCGTTGTCACCTCCCAAGCTTACATAGGACTCACTGTAAGGGTAGCACAGAATGATGTAATAGCAGTGAAGTAAACCAGGAATAAAGCCAAGAAGACACAACAAAATGTTGATCCAGAAATCAGGCGATGCAATTCCCCTCTTCACCAACACGGGAATAGGAGGAATGAAGAAGCCTATCAAGACCAAGAGCCAATCACGAGCATGCATGACGAGTATCAGAAGCTATATTTGGTAGGATGAACGAAAGAGGTTCAATAGCAATAGTAGCAAGGAGTCAATCACCCGCACTGATAAAGAATATGACCTTGACCCGTACACCCATAGTTGGGGCGAAGTGGTGCGACCGCCCAGGGAATTTCTACGAAAAGCGATCGAGAGAAAGGACGAAATAAATTTTTTTATTCGGAAAATGTTAGCTATAGGTGCTACTAACTATATCCGCTGTTGAAAAGACTTTTTTAAAAGACTTTTCTAATTGTCTTTTTTAGTTTCCTTTTTTCCATCAAGTTCTTTCCTTTCCGTTCCTTGGCCCCGCTCTGCATATCATCTCGTGCCTCAACTAAATTATAGTTCCACTTACGGTATTTTGCCACCATGGTATTCACCACACCAACGCTTTCGTACGAAGCGGTAGAATACGCAAACAACTGCAGTGAACCCCAATGGGTGCCCAAGAAGCTCACCTTAACCAAGCAGAAAAATAGCGAAGAATACGGCGCTGGTGACCACCAAATTCTCGTCAGGGTCCATGCTGCGTCTTTGAATCCAGTGGACTCGATGTTGTACAACACCTATAATCGTGTGGTTGGATATTTGAAAGGAAGGCTGGGAATGGGCATTGATTACTCTGGTACAATTGTCAGTATTGGAGTCTCTGCCGCCAAGAAAACCGACTTGACGGTGGGCGATGAAGTTTGTGGGATGTATATGCACCCATTTTTTTCCGGAACGGTAGCAGAATACTTGCTTATAGACCCCAAAAAGGATCCGGCTATCACTCGAAAGCCGAGGTCAATTGACTTAACAATGGCGTCTGCTTGGCCCTTGGTATACGGCACAGCACACCAGATGATTGAAGCCACGCGAGTCAAGAAAGGCGACAAGGTATTGGTTCTTGGAGGCGCTACTGCAGTGGGCCGTATGGCGATCCAGATTGTGGCCCAGTACTATAATCCCAGCAAGATAGTGGCTACATGTTCTGGAAACTCGGCGCCATTGGTAAAAAAGTTGGGAGCTGACGACATCATCGACTACACCAGCTATGCCAGCTTGAAGGAGCCAGTTGAAAGAGAAGCCGCAACTGCCAAATTTGATGTCATTTTGGACTGCGTTGGCAACAGCGACTTGTTTGGCACGATGGACAAAATTGTTCAAAGAAATGGCCATTACATCACCATTTGCGGTGAAAAGAAACACAAATACAATTCCATCTCCTTTGTTTCGGAAGCCTACAGCCAGCTCTTCGTTGTTGCAAGAACCGTGCTTTGTTACGTAGGCTACAACCAGTACAACTACCGGTTCTTGCTTGCCTCCCCGGGCTCATGGATCCACGATGGAGCCCACCGTTTGGACAACGGCATAGAGGTTGCAATAGACAGCACTTACTCCAAGGCTGATTTTGCCAAGGCGTTTGCCCGGTTGCGTTCGAACAGAGCCTCAGGAAAGATTATCGTCAAGTGTACCGAATAAGAAACCTAAATAAGCATTAAGCTTACAATGCTATCTATATAGTATATTGGTCGACTATTTAATTTCTATCTTCTCACTTCATATCTTCTTCTCACTTCATATTTCCTTCCTCTACTTCCTTCCTCACTCTTTCCATTTCTTCTCACTTCTTCTCACTCTTCCCTTTCTCACTACCCTACCTCACATTCCGCTTATCGTGCGCGTCGCTATTCTGCCAACACTTACCATGAGTTCCAGTGTCTTGGAACCTCCAGCACCTTCAGCCGCGCTGACAGAACACCTACCAACGCCCACAAGCGATACCTCGAGTTTGAAGCTGTGGCTTTCGGATCTCAACTGCCAACAATATGTTCAAAACTTCGTAGACGCTGGCGTAACTTTCGACCTTTTGAGTGAACTAGACACGGCAGCTCTCCGTGAGCTTGGAGTTACTCGTGTTGGCGATCGTATACGCCTAGAAAATGCCATAGGAGCGCTCAAATTGGAAAAATTAAAGAATATCATCTCGGTGGAAAACTTGTATAAAACCCTAGAATTGCAGTTGCTGGCTCCAGGGTCGGCTGGAGGACTCAGAGACGACCGATCTCAAGAGTCTTCGGTAATGTTCTACTCTGGGTCTACGGGAGGCTCTTCAACGTCGTTTTTACAGCCCAATTCGTCGCTAGCAACAGGGTCTGCGACTTCAAAAGATGGTAAAGATACGAAGACGGTGTCGTTTATTCTATCCGACGGGTCTGTGAAAAGAGTCAACGTGTCGGGATGCTTCAATGCCCAGAGTATCAAGAGAAAAGTGCTCAAAAGACTCGGGGTTCGACAGCAAGACGACCCTTACGCAACATACATCCACACTTCTTCGTCAGAAAATACCCTTAGTCTCTTGTACGACGTCGAGTTGGTGACCATCTGCTACTCCCCTGACCGTCTTGAGAAAAACAGACTCATACTCTGTCCTCAGGGCGAAGCTCCAACACCCGCTGCTATCGAGACGTCCAAGAAAATTATGCTCAAATTTGAAAGACACAACCGGATCAAAAGTCACGACGACTTGAGCCAGTATCATATTCCAGCACAACCCAAGCCCCAGGCGCCTACCATGCGTAACTTTTTCGGACAAAGACCTCCAAGTGAGTTGATTTCGCTGAACTTGGCAGAGTTTTTCCCAGAAGCTCAGCAGAAGGATTTGGAAGCTACAGTTCGGAACTCTGTGCGCTACAGTGTTAACCTTTCGAAGCGCTTTACGTTGGCATCGGTCGCTGGTAGCGGTAGCTCTGTAATGGGGTCTCGGAATAGTCGAATGAGTGCGCTTCGGACGCCGTCCTTTTCCTCTGGCGACCAATCTGTCAGACGAAAAGCCAGAACAATTGGCGATATGATGGTGAACAACGTTAATGCCATTGACGACGCCAAGGCATTGAACGATAACCAGTCTATCTTCAGCAAGAGCTCGGCGGGCCAAGACCAGCGGTCGGTAGTGTCTTCAGTTCGAACCAACAAACCTACCATTTCGGCCAGTTTTGCCGATTCTAATGAGAACGATAATCGGTATTCGAGAATAGAACTCTTGAGTATAGACTCAGACGACGAGGACGATGACATATATGGCCAGTATTCGTCATTTGCAGACAGCGAAACCGTGGACAATATGGATCTATTTGAAGAAGATGGACCTAAAAATTGGCTTCAAGGTGCAAGGATCGGAGCCGGTAGTTTTGGTACCGTATTTTTGGGAATGAATACGATGACGGGAGAGCTTATGGCTGTTAAGCAAGTGTCTCTTCCTGACAAAACGAAAAATAGCAGTGTTGAAAAACTGCAGCAGAGTTTAATCGAAGCTTTGCAACATGAAATGAGTTTGTTGAAAGTATTAAATCACGAAAACATCGTGCGATACTTGGGTTCGTCTACGGATGAAAACTACTTGAACATTTTTTTGGAATACGTTCCAGGTGGATCTGTTCAATCTATGCTAAACTCGTATGGACCATTTGAGGAACCTTTGATTCGCAATTTTATACGCCAGATCTTGATTGGCTTGAGCTATTTACATGGCGAGGACATTATACACAGAGACATCAAGGGTGCTAACATCTTGATAGACATTAAAGGAACCGTCAAAATTAGTGATTTTGGAATTTCAAAGAAAGAAAGTTCCAACGAGCTGGAGTCGCAGACACAACTGCGCAGCAGAAGAAGAGCATCGCTACAAGGCTCGGTGTTCTGGATGGCACCGGAGGTGGTCAAGCAGACAGCATACACCAAGAAAGCCGATATTTGGTCGGTAGGTTGCTTAATTGTAGAAATGTTCACCGGAAAGCACCCATTTCCCGACTTGAGCCAAATGCAGGCAATCTTCAAAATTGGCACCCACATAAAACCACAAATACCCGAGTGGTGCACGGCAGAAGCCAAAGACTTTCTAACCAAGACGTTTGAAACCGACCACTCGCTTCGGCCCGACGCCGTTGATCTTCTTGAAGATGTGTTTCTAAGTCCATTGATCTTGTCCAAGAAGTAGCCGGTGCACTGGGCCTGGTATCCTGCACAACGTGTGGGAATTGCAACAGACTCTTCGCCTGACCTTCGCGGGACACGACTGCAGGAAAAACTGATCTGCTATTGTGAATACATACCAGGCCCTCGGTTTCGTTCGTTCTGTTGTAATTTTAAAGGTCTACAAGTGATTGTTTTGAACACTTTTGAATTCAATTTTGGATTTCTGCTACACAGAACTCTCAATTGATCCTAAAGTATGCACTGACCATTCACAACACTTTTGACTCATCTGAAAGATAATGGATATTCCACTTAAATCGAGACCCAAGGTCTCTATGGTGAATTTGATCGAGGAGGAAACTTTCAACAAGGCAAGGCAAAAGGCAGACACTTCCAAAGAAGAAAGCAGCGACACAATCCACATCCCTCATCATCAGACCGAACCCCGCTTGACGCAAAATGGCGACAATAATCACGGTTCTAATTACAAACTTGTTCGAACATTTTCGGAGAGTGAGGCCAACAACTTCGACTCCGAGACAGGCCATAGAATCTTTGAGGATGGCAAAATTAGACCGAAGACTTCGCGTGCCAACACCAATCAATCACAACAGGAGAGCCCTATAAAGCTATATTCTCGCTCCCACAACGAGTACATAGACGCTCCAGATTCTGGCTATGTTGCTGGACTTGAGGACGAGTATATACCGGGTCTTGATTTCGGAGATTTGATATACCGATGGAATAAATCGTCGTCTGAAAACTTGAGCACTTACGAAGGAGAAGGCGTTCCTCGGAGCAGCGCAACAACATCGATATCTAATACTCCTCTGAGCCGCAACCAGTCCTACTTGGACCTCAACGAACTTCACGCTCAGGTAGCGCCCCAGCCTATCAAGCTTCGAAATCAAGAGAACAAATTATCGTTCACAAAATTGCATGATGCGATGAAATTGAGAACTCCATCGTCTAATAGCCTTCATGACCCGCTCAGCACCAGTGTTTGTAAGGACACATCAGCTCATCGAAGCAAGAAACAGAAGTCACATCGCTACGTGGATCAAGCACATGGCGATATCAACTATGAGCAAATCATAGAGAGTCTTCCAAGTAATTTCAATGATCTTCCGTATTCCCAGAGAAAGAAGATAGTCCAGTCATTCTCTGATTCGATTGACTATTCCCAGTTTTCTCTTTTTGCCAAGGACTACTTGACAAAGTTCGGTGAAGGCCGATCGTCAAGAAGCGGTTCTACCGCCGGGAGTCTTTCAAGGCTCTCGAGAAGAAACAGCACGGTCGCTGGTCGGCTACTTGCTTTATCTTCTTCTTCGGATATCAAAAAGTTGAACGAGCCCAAGAAAAAAGTCAACGTAGATGAAAAAGGAGCCCAGGTAATGGAATACGAGTTGGGCAAAATTATCGGGTACGGTGCCTGGGGTACTATAAGAGAATGCACGGATGATAAGGGGAATGTCAGGGCCGTCAAAATAGTCAAGTCATGTCGTGAGAGAGATGAGTCTCCCGCTCGTTCGCGATCGCGGTCACCTTCAAGAATTAAAGCAAACAATAATCAAGTGTTGGAGTTCTTCAAGAAGGAGATAAAGATTTGGGAGCAGTTACATCATGCAAATATCCTACCTTTGATCAAGTATTTGGAAACTGAGAACATCATTTTTTGTTTCACAGACAAGATTCCCGGTGGAACATTATTTGACCATGTTCTGCAATGGGGTATGTTTGACACTGGGTTATCCAATAGCGTTGGTCCCATAACATTCCTGCTTGAGGCGCAGAAGGAGCGATTACTCCGGACCGCTTCTTTCGTGAAACAGATTGTTGAAGGCTTGAGATACATGCATCAAGAAAAAGGAATCGTGCATGGAGACTTAAAGCTCGAAAATGTTTTGGTGGATGACAATGATGCGAATGATATCAAAATGATTCTCTGTGATTTTGGCATGTCCCGCGTCTATACTTCGCGGCTCAATCGGGCAGTTGCCGACCACGAGTCATCGCCTACTCTCCGAAGCCGATCGTCTTTCACGCGAACAAGAAAGCCGTACCATGGAGGGCATTCTAAGCACACTACGCAACTATTTACTGATGACTCCAAAATTGGGCTCTCCAATCTTTTCAAATCTCATGGTCCATCGATGCAGTCGGTCACTCTAACGCCTACAGAATCTTTGTCTCTTGCAGATGCGCATGAACTTAAGACGAAATTTAATCATGTGGAGACCATCGATTCGGGATTGCCTCATTCGCATATAGGCTCGCTTCCTTATGCTTCCCCAGAATTGCTTTTGCCGTCTCCACCCCCGCTCGGTCCGTCGGCGGATGTATGGGCTCTTGGGGTGCTTACGTATACAATGATCGTCGGACGACTTCCGTTTCAACATCCGTATGAGCCACGTTTGAGGGCAATGATCACAGCTGGGCATTTCGACAAAGACGATTTGGCACTGGCTTGCCTCATGCAATGGAACCACACCACAGGCAACGGTTCTGCAGACGCTTCCAATTCGGGCACCACCGAAGTCATGTCAGGTTCCTCATTTACCGATGGAGGACGCGCCAGCGGCTTAGACGCACTAGCGCAGCAGTGGAGCAAGCAGGACTGCACTGAGTTCAAGTACTTGCATGACTTGGTTAATGGATGTTTGGAGTTGAATATTACTAAGAGATGGGATTTAGAGATGGTGAAGCGTTCGCTCGAAGCCACACATTGTTAGTATTGTATAGTTTTCGTGTACCACTAATATTTAGTAATGCGCCTCAAAAGTAACGAAAACATATGCATTCTCGATTGTCAAGGTATGCAGGTGCATTACGGAAGTCATCGGAGGCGATGAGCCGGCATGCGGCGTCCGCCGATGATACGCTAGATTTTAGACCTTGCGTATTTCTTTTAATCATAATATCAATCTTTTCAAGTTACGTTCTACATATTCTTGGCCCAACTCTCACAGCGCTAACATTTATTTCAAAATTATACTTTTTCCCATACACTGAGAGAGAGTTCGGGTTCGGAAAAACCATGCATATTGACACAATCGTGCATGAGCTGCCTGCATGTGTCAAACATTCAGCCCCACTTCGGGCGGCCGTGACCTTCCGAGTTGGATTTACCTGTCAAAAAAGAAAAACAATCGTTCGAGAGCGATGCTGGGTTACGTCACGTAGTGCTATGTTTAAAATTTTTGTCGGCACCCCCACCACTCGGTTCGGGGCTTGTCAGTATAAGAAGCAGCCGGGTCGCATTTACACTATTTTTTTAGCATTTATTTTCAAATATGGTTTGGGACATTAAATCACGAACCAACACAGGTGGATTAACCGGAAGAAAGCTCCGGTGGACGGTGACATTTATTGCAACTATGGGATTTTCTCTCTTTGGTTATGATCAAGGATTGATGTCAGGTCTTATTACTGGAGAACAATTCAATTCGGAATTTCCTCCAACCAAGACTCCAACAACTGGTTCTCCTACTCATGCGCAAACCATTCAAGGTGCGGTGACTTCTTGTTACGAAATTGGATGTTTTTTCGGTGCGCTTTTTGCATTGTTCAGAGGTGACAAGATTGGAAGAAGACCATTGATCATTGCTGGTTCTTTCATTATCATCATTGGAACTGTGATTTCTGTGGCTTCTTTCCATCACAGCTGGGGATTGGGACAGTTTGTTGTTGGAAGAGTTATTACTGGTATTGGAAATGGATTGAACACAGCCACAATTCCTGTTTGGCAATCAGAAATGTCCAAGTCCGAGAACAGAGGATTATTAGTCAATTTTGAAGGTTCGGTGGTTGCTATTGGTACTTTTGTGGCTTACTGGATTGACTTTGGTCTTTCTTATGTTCATTCTTCGGTTCAATGGAGATTTCCAGTGGCTTTCCAAATTGTATTTGCAGCCGTTGTATTCATTGGTATTCTTCCACTTCCTGAATCTCCAAGATGGCTTGTTGCGCACGACCGCAAGGCTGAAGCCCAGTACATCTTGGGTGCTTTGAACGATGTGTCTCCAGACGATGATGGAGTGGTGGCTGAATTGACCCATATTTCCGATTCTGTCAACAGATTTTCCAGATCTCAAGTTGGGTTCAAAGACTTGCTTACTGGAGGAAAGCAGCAACACTTTGCCAGAATGCTCATTGGATCATCGACTCAATTCTTCCAGCAATTCACTGGGTGTAACGCTGCTATTTATTACTCAACGGTACTTTTCGAAGACACCGTTTTGACTGGATTGGAAACAGCATGGAGAAGAAGATTATCATTGATTTTGGGAGGAGTTTTCGCTACTGTTTACGCCTTGTTCACTATTCCTTCCTTCTTCTTGGTGGATACTCTCGGAAGAAGAAGTTTGTTCTTGATTGGAGCCACTGGTCAAGCAGTTGCTTTCACTATTGCATTTGGTTCATTGGTTCATCCTAATCCTGAAAATGCCAAAGGTGCTGCTGTGGGTATCTTCATTTTTATCTGCTTCTTTGCCTTTACCGTTCTTCCTCTTCCATGGATTTACCCACCTGAAATTAACCCTATGAGAACAAGAACCATTGCTACTGCTGTGTCCACTTGTACAAACTGGATTTGCAACTTTGCTGTGGTGATGTTCACACCTATTTTCATTGGTAAGTCGGGCTGGGGTTGTTACCTTTTCTTTGCTGTGCTTAACTATTTGTGGATTCCTATCATCTTTTTCTTTTACCCAGAAACCGCTGGACGTCAATTGGAGGAAGTTGACATTATTTTCGCAAAGGCTCATGCTGATGGTACTTTCCCATTCAGAGTTGCAGCCACTATGCCAAAGATGAACTTGGCCACTATCAAGACTGAAGGTGAACAATTGGGTCTTTACGATGACGACTTTGAAAAGGAACAATTTGAAACCAAAGAATTGATGGAACCCACTGGCTCAGGCACTGTCTCACCCGGCTCTGATGCCGTCTTGAACAAGGTTGATGAGAACGATAATAATGTGGACAACGTTGATAACCGAGTTTAGATATTCATATGTACTTATAGAAGGAGACTTTATTATGCTAAGCTTCTATTCGGTCACATTGCTGTGATAATTATGGCCCTCTCTTCCGATTCTTGCTGTGGTATCATGCTAGTTTTCCTTCGGTCACAATTGCTGTTATGCTAGCTTTCCCTCGGAGACGAGGGTGTATCTATCCACCTCCTTCCCCGTTTGGCTCTCGAGGCGTTTCCACGTCTCTATCTTTCCATCATTAGTGTTGATTTCGTACACCCTCATTCTTCGAATATACCCATTATACCCACCATATCCACCCTCTCCTGAACCACCGCCGTAGCACAACCACATGCGGTTTTCTCTAGAACTATCTTTGTCTTGAACATCAAGCACACAGTAGTCGTTGCAATGGTCATGACCAACACTCACCACAGAAACACCCAACTTTCCAAGAACAGACCTGGCTCCAGTATTGTATCGCGGAGCAGTTACACCTTCACGAAGTTCACCGACCTTGGTTTGACCGTCGATATTTCGGTACTCTGGGAGAGGAATGTGGAAAAATGCCATAGACATGTGCATCTTCGAGTATGCTGCGGATGATTTTTGTAGACTGGCACCTTCTTCTTCGAGCCATTTTAGTTGCGATTCTTTGATCCAATCGTAGCCGGGATTCACCTTGGGGTTTGGCGAATATTTGTGTGTGTCAAGGAAGTACAATGTGATAGCAGTATTGTGAGTCGAGTATCCCTCGATGGGTACGACGTAGTTGCCTACTCCCGCAACCGCTTCGGGTCCAACTGCTGCAACGGAATATGGCATATTAGCTGATAACGACATGATCTCCTGTCTCGTCATGGAGCCTTCGTCGTCGTGATTTCCCATGGTAACAGCATAAGGAATCTTGCGCTTGATAATGGGGTCAAGGGCCTTGAAAACTGCGGTTTCTGCGTCGGGGGCATTGTCACCAAAGATTTGGTCCCCAGTCAAAACCACCATATCTGGCTTTTCTGTATCAAGCATTGTGTTCAAAAACTTGAGGGTTCTGGGATCAGCTAAGCAGTTTTTGGCAGACTCTGCTGGTACGGGATCTCTGCATTTGCCGTTGCCAGTAGCAAGGTGCAAATCGGCCACTTGAAGAATTTTGAATTTGCCGTTCTTGTTCATTTTAAGTGGTGTTTGGTACTGCTTTGACTTATAATCAAGTTTGGGCCCTCGTCTTATTGTGAGGTAAGGTTTCCGGTCAGCAGTGGTTGATATGCCTTGAATATGGCCCTTGGTGTTCAACTGCCAGTTGGGGCGTGGATCTACGGCACCTTCACCAAACAAAATGTCAATTCCAGTGATAGCATTTTTATGAGATGGCGGTCCATAACGTACCCATATACCATGAGACTTGTAGCGCCAGCCTCTGGCTTTCACCTGATCCATGGAAGGCATGGTAATGGAGGTTTTAAGTGCGTGTCTCGAAGTTTCTTCTGTTCTCTTTTTGTTGCCGGAGTCATCATTTGCTTTCTTCTTTGCTTCTGCTTTTTCTCCTTTCTTCTCTGCTTCTTTTGCTGCCTTTTCCTCCTTTTCCTTCTCCGCTTCTTTTCTCTCATTTTCGAGGTTGATACGATTAATCTCGTTGCTGGCCGCTTTATGTTTCTCAACCGTAACCGCTGTGAGCTTGCCCTTCATTTGAGCCCGCTGCGAGTCCACGAGAGCTGTGTGTTCCTCATCATCATAGGGAGTACCAGAAAAGAAATTGGCTGCCAAATCGTAAGGAAGTTTGAGCTTTTCGTTTCCAGGAAGGGTCGCATCTTTAGCTGGATTAGCTATGGCTATATCGATTATCACCTGGTCCACTAATTTTTCTTCCCTCTTTCCTGCGTTTTCCTGGTCGCCTTCCATAGAAATCTTGCCGTCCAATGCCTCGTACTTGGCTTTCTTATAGGAAAAATATTGTTTTTGGACCCACGAGTTACCCAAGGTGAGGTCCTTATCGATCTTTACCCATTCACCAGACAGCCCTAAATTGCCCAAAACACCCTCGTTCTTTCCTGGAACACCACACTCACTCAGGGCGGATCCTAGCTTGAAACAGGAACGAATAGCGATGTCTACGATGTACAGATCGGATGATGGCTGGAAGAAACTAGGGGTAAATCCTGCTCCCAAGTAGTCGTCGAGCACAATTAAACGTTGTTTGTTGGCCACAAGCACCAAGCCAATACAGAACATCAATAGTACACCCACATATCCTAGTTGGCGGATCCATCGTCTTGGCAATCCCAACATGATGTCTGCCACAAAACGATGAGAACAGACGAGATAGCGAGTGCGATTACATAATGGGAACCAAACCATATATTCTGTATAACTACTTGTTTTTACTGCGTTCGGCTGCCAACTCCTCCTCACGCTTCTTCGCTTCGGGTTCGATATCCGGGAACGTGTCAGGATTGGGAAATTGGTTTGTGCTTGTCGGCTTCAAGAATTCGAGTGTGGGGTTTATTGACCGAATTCCACGGCACCTTTTTCCCTCCGATTTCTACATAGAGTTCATCTTCTCCAAGATTCTTCAAGTCTTTTGGGGTTTCGTCAGTCATTTTAAGTAGAAAGTATCCGTAAGCGATTCCAACAGCTATAAATGCAAAGAAGATCAAATGCATAACTGACTTGCTGCGACCGATGCAGGAGATCGGTGCTATGGTGCCGCAGCCATGTTCACGTGGACGTCAGGCGACCCCAGGATTCCATTAGCCACGCCTCCAGTAGACGAATTTAATCCAACTTCTGGAAGCATGGTGGTATTTAGACTCATGGCGTAGATGGTGACTATCATCACCACACAATGTAGACCCACACAGTAGATAAGAAAGAGCATTCTGGTGACTCTAGTAGCAAGCACTGCTCTTGTGAGTGAGATGAAGAGACGTTCTGCCGGTGATAATCGAGAGCTGATACGTTCTTGTTCTTGCATTCGAAACTGCTCGATGGGGTGGAGTTTGGACTCGTACGATTGGCGATATGGGTTATTTTCAAGGTCCATGTTGGGCTTGGGTTGGAACACCCTTCTTCCACTAGTCGATGTTCCGTTCGAAGCCAAGTATCGGGTTCGTTCATAGAGCTCTTCGTTGTCCTTTTTAAGCTGATGAACCTGTCTTTTGTACTCGCTGATGATAGCCGTCTGTTTTCGCAACTCTTCTTCGAGCTCAGTGCACCGGTCTCTGAACCGGTCTCTCTGCTTGGTGACTATCGGCAATATCGATTGTGATTCTTCTCCTCCATTTGCAGTGCCTCTGGTCATGGTGGTGAATCGACTCACACCCGATATCATGCTAGCATTGTCGTTGAACCGATGAGCCTCCACTGCCTCTTGTAAGTCTTTCTCTAATTTCCTATTATGACTGTGGGCTTGTTGGAGTTCATTATTGGTTTTTTCGAGACCTTGCTCTAGATGATGAATCTTCTCCACGAGGCCATCGTGCTGTGAACGAATGTCGGCTAACTCCTTCGTGAGAGCCTTGTTGCGTTGCATCAAAAGCGAGTCGAATTCTTTGGATTCGTCGTCTTCTGCGTCGTCGGTGCCAAACTCCAACTGCCGGAGTATATGGAGCTCTTGCTTCAATTCGTCGTAATCGTTGGTTTCTTCCAACTTGGTTTTCAACCCCCGGACCTCCACTGTAAGCTGGTTGATCTGGCGCTCGTAAAGCTCGCTTTTGTCTTTTTGGTCGGTCTGAGCATCTTGAAGTTTGTTGCGAAGTTGGTTTAGGGTGGCTAATGCACGAGCGTTCTCGCTTTCAAGATCAAAGATCTTTTTCGTGTTCTCCTTCTGGAAATCACCGTCTTCAAACTTGGACTTTAACATCGATAATTCTCGACGCAAATTCTCATTTCTATTCTCAAGCTCGATCGACCGTTTTTTGGAAAACTCGGCATCCCTCGTTGCCATCTCGAGCTCAGCCAAAACTGCTGCCAGGTCTGCAGGTACCGCATTGGAGCTCTGGGAGTTCAATTGGAGCTCGGTGACTTCTTTGGACGTACGAAGTTCCTCGATGGTGTTCTTGGCACTGTCAAGCTGGTCGCGAAGTCCCTTCTCCTTCTCCTGCCAATTGGACTCTTTCTCGTCAATAAGCGCCTTATACTCGTCATCCTTGGCTGTGAGTTTGGCTCCCAACGTTTCGGCAGCCTTTTGTTCGCTTTCGAGCATCCGCTGCTTCAATTGGTCGTAGTCTGCCCGTCTTGCCAATTCGTCTTTCAAGTCACTTATTTCCTTTTTGAGGGTTTCTGCTTCCGACGAGCTGATCACAGAGGCAAGAGAAGCCTCTAGAAGTGGCCTCGGGTTGGGCGCTTCGGCCATAACTCGGTAGAAGCTGAAGAAGTATTTCTCAACATTGCTTCTTTTGGTGGTCAATGAGTCGATTTCGTTCTGGTAAAGCTTGAGAAGCAGCTTGAGTGAATCAAGCTTCTCGTCATCCGGTAACTTCTTGAATTCCTTGGTTTTCGCTGCCAAATTTTTGCGAGACAATAAACTCAGTTTTTGTTCTTCTTTGATTTCAAGGCCTTGTTCATCCAATTTTTTTTGGAGATTTGGTAGATCGATCTGCGACCATGCCTGAAGTGCACCCGTAAACTTGTTGGGAGGAGTCTGTGGTGTGCCTCTATTATCAGACTCCATGGCACTAGTATCCGTGATCGTGATATGAGAAACTACATACAGTCGCAAGTCGCGAAACCAGCGGTGAGCATGCAAAGTGGTATTTACTAGTGTTTCCTGAGTCGACTACGCACACTACAAACTATCCTTCTACTTCTGTATTATCCTAAATGAATGTCTCGTATGGAACTGGAGCCAAAGTTTGAGGAACATTGTCAACAGTCTTGACGATTCTAGCCTCTCTAGGCTTGGCTGGTTGTCTCTTCAAGAACACAGTCTCACCCTTGGCCTTGGCCTCTCTCTTCTTAGCAGCATTGGTCTTGACTCTGTTCAAGAATTCTTGACGACAAGCAGAGTGCTTAACGTGCTCAACTCTCAAGTTGACTCTCTTTTCGAGGTATCTGTTTCCAACAATCTTGTGAATAATGACACCGACAGACGACTTGGTGACGTTGTAAACAACACCGGTCTTACCGTGGTAGTACTTGTGGGGCATACCCTTTTGGATGGAACCGTTGGCCTTGATGTCGACGATATCTCCAACCTTGTAGGTCTTCATATAGGTGGACAATGGGATGGCACCATGCTTCTTGAAATCACGCTGGAAGGCGTAACGAGTACCCGATCTGTAACCATGACTGAGTTAGTATTTGGAGTTCAATTTGGTGATTTCTATGTTGTGTATGATGCATTGGGCAGGTAATGGTGAACAAATGGTGAATTTATATAGTCAAATTCTAGTCAAATTCATATCCGCTGTAAGCCTTGTCACCTCCCGTACGATATCTGGTCGTTCAAAGCTTCGTCTGTACATACGATTTACCCATTTTTGTATCTGAAAACTATGGTGTGGAACCAAAAGTTAAAAGTGATGAAAATTTTCGGGTGCGCACTCACGTGTGGGCTGAGCCCTTGTCACGTGCTTCATCAAAAATCAATACTTTGAAGTTTTGCAGCCTACTAAATGGTGGTTCATAAACCGTGTATTCTACAGTTGGAGTAACCCATTATATATATATTAGGTGTCAAATAAAAACGAGGGATGACGAGTTTACTCTTCTTCTTCTTCAGCGTCTTCACCACCCTTGTTTTGACGCTTTCTCTTAACTCTACCAGCTCTACCCCCACCGTATGGAGAGTTGTTAGCAAAGTCAATGTGCTTTTGAGACTCCAATCTAACCATGAAAGATGGAACGTTGACGATCTGCTTACCGACGGCAATGTGTCTTTGAGCAATCAACACTCTAGCGTGGTGGATAGATCTAGCCAAACCCAATTTGAAAACTTGAGTTTGCAATCTTCTCTCCAAGAAATCTTCTGGTTTCAAAGCCAAGACGTAATCCAACTTCATCTTGTCCTCTGGCAACACACCAACCTTCACCAATCTTCTGATCAAAGCATTACCTTCGAACAATCTCTTTGGGTCCTTCTCGTCTCTGGTCAACAAGTCACGAGCGGCTCTTCTGATCTTGGACAATTGGAATTGAATTCTGTAGATTTCTCTCTTGTTCTTCAATCCAAATTCACCAGCCAACTTCAATTCACTGTCCAAACGGGCAGACTCATATGGCTGCTTTGGCACAGAGTAGGTCTTAGAGTAAGTTCTTGGGGCACCTGAAAGTTAGAAAACAGTTTGAAAAACTGTCCGGGTCTACATCTACGAGGCTAGAATAAATCTCTGGTAGTACAATACTTAGCACTGTATTTCCAAAGACTTATTGTATTCATTGCAACTGAAGTGTCGGGAATTCAGTTACAACAACAAGCCAAGTATATTATGAGGACCCGAACCTCGCGAAGCGCTTGCGCGTTCGCTTGTGTGTGGTCTAGTGTTTAAACTAGAGCTTCATCTTCAAAATGTGTACATACGTGGCATAGTGACTTAATCAATTGTAAAGAAGAAAAAATTTCAAAGTGAAAAAAATCTTTGCGCGAGCTCGACCTGGTTTCAGTTTTACGCACGAGTGTGGGCTTGTGCGTAATATGTGGTGCGGCCTATGTGACAGCGTTGTGCCCCAGCAGATGCGGCAGTGCTGAGATGCAGTCTGCATGTATACCGATTTTATGGTTCGTCTTTAATGAAGTTTGTGGCTCTTATATCGGGCGGCAAGGACTCGTTCTTTAACATACAACACTGTATAGCCCAGGGACATGAGCTAGTAGCCGTAGCTAACTTGTATCCACAAGAAAATTTCGATGAGATCGATTCTTTCATGTTCCAAACGGTGGGACACAACATAATAAATCATTACGGAGAATGTTTAGGTGTTCCTGTGTATCGCCAGGCCATCCACGGCGGGTCCAAGAACCAGGAGCTTGAATATTCTGTCACACAAGACGACGAAATTGAAGATTTATATTTGCTTTTGCAAAAAGTGTGTGCTCATCATGATATACAAGGTGTGAGTTGTGGAGCAATTCTCTCTCTGTACCAACGAACACGAGTGGAAAATGTGTGCGGGCGACTCGGACTCACATCTTTGGCATATCTCTGGCAAAGAGATCAATTGGAACTTATGACTGAAATGAGTAATAGTGGACTCGATGCTCGGTTGATCAAAGTTGCAGCAATTGGTTTAACGGCTCTGGATCTTGGCAAATCCATAACCCAAATGTTACCAAAGTTAGTCAAGCTCAACCAGATGTATGAGGTTCACATTTGTGGAGAAGGAGGAGAATTCGAGACATTGGTGTTCGATAGTCCTCTTTTCAAACATAAGCGGCTCGAGATAGCCACCAAAGAAGTTGTCACCGATTCAAGAAACGACGTCTCCTACTTGCGACTAGAAGTTAAAGTTGTTCCCAAGGAGCCAGTTCTTCTGGACACCGTTCAGCCGCCGGTTTTAGACGAAATGTTCTCTTCATTAGAGCATTCAAGTCCACAACCACGACAAGATGAACTACCTAATTCTGTCATCCCTACAACCAAATTGTCGACCATTGTCAAGCGTGTGAACAACTATCTCTTCGTCTCGAATTTGACCCTGATTGCCGAAGGAGTAGACGAATGTATGAACTCGATCTTTGCTTATTTACACAAAATTTTGAAAGAGAACATGTTGGACGTTGGAAGCATTCAGCACGTTGAACTTCTCGTATCGAACATGAACTCGTTCAATTCGATCAACAAGATATACTCAGAGGTTTTTTCCAACTACTTTCTTCCTCCATCTCGAGTTTGTATTGAAACCACCTTATCCACTCAAGTATCATTGAGTTGTACAGCACTACTTCTGAGACCAAAGCGCCAAGGCATACACATTCGTTCCCTCTCATACTGGGCACCTCACAATATCGGTCCATATTCACAGTCCATTGTGGACGAATCTCAGACATACAAAATGGCCAGTATCTCGGGTCAAATACCCTTGATTCCAGCTACCATGACACTCCCATCCACCAGTGACAACCTCAATTCGTATCTTTGTATGCAACATTTTCATCGTGTGAAAGAATTGGTGCAAGTGAAAAAAATTGGAGCAGCAGTATGTTTCGTCACTAGCCCTACATTGGCTCAAGTAGCCACGACGAGCTGGAAGCTGTATATTGACGAAGTGGAGCACGGACAAGGGCTGCAACTGTTAGTTACAGTTCAAGTCACAGGTTTACCAAGAGCGGCTGATGTGGAATTGAGTGGGTTCACCTTTGAAATCAAGAACCACCACGAAGAAGATCTGGAGGATGAATTCGATCGGGAGGAAAAAAGAAAGCTGAAAGAAACTGAACCGCCAAAATTCTCATTTGAAAAGTACCATACTCAAGTCATTGGCGATATGACTTCCACAGTATTTTTCACTAATGATGTCAATCACCTAAAAGCTCTTCCAGGCCAAGTGCAACTTTACACCACTACAGAATTACCCGTAGCTTGTGATGCTCAGATCATCCCAGTTAGCAACGTATGGGACACCACCGGCACCAAATTCAAGTATGGAGGCATAATCAGGGACTGGAAAACTACATGAAAAATTCATCATTCACATTTAATTATCGTACACGCGCCGACACTGCCGACTCAGAGCGCTTATTGCAAGTCTCTGCTAGTTTTTCGTTCCAGGGCCGTTATACATGAGTTCTTCAGGTAAGGTTATTCCTCTTTCACGGCACAATTGAATTAACCTTTCGTTCTCTTCCTTTAAATAGTCTATGTAATCGGCCGATTTGGTCAAGATATTAAGTTCGGACCGATTCTCCAGTTCGGTAAGTGTGGGAGTGAGCGCAACTATACGATCAAACTCAGACCGGATGTTCTCTCGTCTTTTTTGCTCGGAAGCAATATGATGAGCCTTTGGTTAGTATGTTTTTTTAGTGCCCAAGAGAGGTCTTACTTACTTTCTTCTGTTCCTCAGTCAATGTAGTCGGGCGAGCGTCCTTACGGGAGTTGTCAATCGAGTCCATTTTGCAACAAAAACTATGACGTAGCACCAGTTGTGGGGGTTGACATTTTGGTTTTCGGATGCTTCTTCCGGAGTGCACACAGAACCCCGGGCTCACGGAAAAAAATAGTGCTAATTCCAAACCCACGGCGGGAGTCGAACCCGCAATCTTTTGATTAGAAGTCAAACGCGTTAACCATTACGCTACGCAGGCGATTATTGCCTTGAGGGCACACAATCAAGATTTGTCGCTGATAAATTTTAGCGAAAAAATTGTGGCGTATCCTCGTTCGCGATAAGCTTATCGCATCCTTTATTAGCTTCTTCAACGGTCTGTGGCTTAAAGATTGGTCTGGTTGTTTTAGTCTACATCTCTTCCTGTTTTGGAACTCATAAATTCTCTATAAAGTTACAAAAACAGCCTATGGTGTTCTCGAATTAAATCACCGGCTGCAATATAAAACATAAAACTACAAAAACATCCCGACATCAAGTCAAAGATTCCTCCGAAACATAACAGATGCGTTTAAAACAACAAGGCGACACCGGCAGCGGCAGCGGCAGCAACACCGAAAACTCCGGTAGAAATACCGGCAGCACCGTTATCAGGAACCACGGTAGTACTGTTAGTACCGTTAGAACCGTTAGTGGCGTTCCATGCAGAAACAGAAGAAATAGCGGTGAAAGCGATAGCGATAGTCTTGAATTGCATTTCTTAAAAAGTGTGATAAGGAAAAATTCTCGAGGAAAATGGGGCTGTAATTTATACTGATAACAAATGAACCGTAAGTTCCACAAAAAAGAAATACAGAGAAGCAAGGTTCATGCAAGATTGTGGTACAATCCGGAACTATGCATGACATTTAAAAAATTCCGCCACACAATGCGTGTCCCAACCTGATATTCCCCAATGCGGTATAGAAACGTGACGATAATGGATGACGGCGCCGCACACTATGCCCGGGTGTCTGGCTCCGTTCATGCGAGCAATTTACTTTGTGTGATCATGGGCTATTTGTGCACATTACACTTCCGTTTTGGGACAATAGGGAACGTTCCGTGGGACCTGCAGCAAAGTGGATCTCATTGGGATGAAACCCGTGGGCTTGGCCCTTATGCCGAGCTAGCCTATTGTTTTTGTCATATTGATCGATTGTCATCATCAACGTGCTATTGACTAATTACTCTTTTTGACTATGTCAAATACTCAATTTTTGACTTTTGACTTTTTGACGTCGCTGTCTATTCATTATTCTTCTGCATAGAGGTCCATCAACTTGAACACCTCGTCTATGGCTTCCTCGAAATCAAACCTTTGTCTCATCACCTTGCTCATGAACAAGTCACTTCTCAACCACTCTCCTTTATGCTTATAATGCTCCATATGTTTGGTGACTCCAGCGATATCCAGCTTCATCAAAAGTCCAAGTTCCTTTTCATGATAACTGGTAAAGTGCATTGTCTTGACATACTCTTTAAAGATCAGTCCGTGCTGTAGCAAATTGGCATGATCCTGAGTGGTCAACTTGTTGATACGCCATTTCTCGACGTTGGAAATAACTCGTTTTTCCTTGTCGACAGCCACTCTCTTCTTTTTCTTCTCTGCACTTTTGTCATCTCCCGATGCTTTATGCTCATCCACCCATCTTTGAGGGTCCTGAAGGTAATCAAGAACAATTTGCGTGATGACCCAAATGCGAAAATTGTTGAGATAAAATGAGTCTCGGTAATTCTTGTCAGTGAGGGCATTGAGCTTATACTCATAATTGAGAGTCATGACAAAGTTGCTGGGAACATAACTCAACAGGTTCTCTACCAATGTCAAAACTAAAGGCGATAATTCGTCATATGTTGCAAAATGGTTGTTTCGACAATTATACGCCTCGAGCTCTCGATTCTTGTCTCTATAGTTAACGTTTCCATTGTCGTCTTTGAGCCCTTCTAATGCTTTCCGAATATGAGGCTGTGACTCCACTAAGTAATCGTATCGTTGTGGAGTATCTGTGTCGGTCAATGCTAGGGCTGTGATGTCGATGTAAAGCCCGGTATCAATGTCGATGAACCGCCCATCAATATTGTTGTTTCCGTTGCCCTTACTTCTGTGGGTAATACTCGATCCTATGTCGACAAAGTACCTACCCATTCCATTGAATTTATCCTCAGAAGTTCCAACATTTTCAATAATTAAAGATTGGTTGAACCGCTTACCCAATTTATGAAGCTCACTTAAAGGCACCTGAACATCAATGTCGGTGTCCCATGGAAACGCAAGACCGTTCCAATACCACGAGAGCAACGAACCATGTGAGATCCATGTAATGATCCCGTGTTGACGGGCAAAACTGAGATATGACTTGACCAAATGGTGCAAGGAAAGTTTTTGATCTTCATTACCAACGGTGATCCCGTTGAAAAATCTCCAGTCATAATGGTCTCCCAACCACTTTTCAGGGTGTTTTTCCAAGAGTTTTGCTTCGCGAAAGAATTTTGGAGGATCTTCTTCATGGTGGGAATACTCGATGGATTTACGGTAAGCATCATCCATGACATTAAGATCGCGGCCCTTTAAGCCGTCGAGAATAGAGTTCACATCCACATCAAAAGCATCCCGAGGAATAGTGACTTCAGGATCATTCATAACCTCATCCTTATTACGAGGTGGGTGTGTCTTGACAAGGGTATTGTATTCGTTCAAAACGTTGACTTTGTCAATATCTAGTTTTTTGACAATATCGTTATGAAGAAGACTGTGCTTCAAGTCATTATTTGAGGGGTCTGCAACATAAACTTCGTAGGATCCCAAAGTATCGGTCAAGAATACCAACTTTACGGGCGAAGGTGCGGAAGTGTACAAGTAAGATTTACCCAAAATCTCATTGTTTGGAACCATTTGTGGTCCTGGGAATGCAAAGATGTTGTACCCAAGGGGATTAGAAGAGTCTTCTTGACAATATGATTGTACAGGCTGCAACTCTGAACCTTGTACCAACTCGCCCTTATTAGATATGTCGAAGAAGCTGCATCGTATCTTGCCGTCCTTCTTGGGAAGAATATACTTTTTGAGCTTTTCCATGTCGACCCAGTCACTCCAATGAAACGGTACGGGTTCCAGCCCTTGGTTTTTATTGAGGTATGAGAGATAAACTCCCAAAGTGAACCGGGGATCAAAAGGTTGAAAGATTGGTTTTCGCTGGTCATCATCTCTAAAGTATGAAGGGACCTTCAACTCTAGTGGAAGGTTGGAAATGACTTTTTCATCAAGGTCCCAGAATTCCAGGGACCAATCGTGGGCTCGTTTTTCCTTTCTCACTTTTTCGACATGGCGTAAAAACATTTCGTTCGATTCCAACTCGAGATCTGATGCTAAAATGTTCTGAAACCATGATTGAAACTTGAGTTTGACTGCATTCTGGAACTGAAGTTGCGGCAGCTGGGCCAAATGCAAAGCATAAATCGTTTTCAACACGCCATAAGTCACCACAAATAAGAGCACAACTTTCATATATCGAAGGCGTACCCTCATGGTGCCTTTGCGACCGTTATTGGCGACCCTTATGTTGTTAGCGTGGACTCAGCCACAAATGCAAATAAATCTACCACGGTTGTTTGTGATAAATTGGGTAGAAAATGGACCCAAATCACTGTTTAAACTTGTTCTGAACACTCTTATAAAAAAGCGTAAGTGCGACTGTTCCTGGATCAAAGTTTTCAAGTCGAAGAAGGATCAAGCGCAGCGGTAAAAAAGACCGTTAAAATCAAAGTTGGACACACGACTGTCAAATGCGACAATGGAGAAGGATGCTTGTCTGCAGGAAGATAATGAAGGTTTGAAGAGATGGACTTTGAACAATAGTGGTAGAAATGGTGAGTAGAGTATATATAGTAGATATACAGGTTTTGTATAGTGGTGGTGGTGTTGTGTTTCGAAATATTTTTGATTCTGGGGTAGATTGTGTCCCTGCGTTTTATGCACCGAAATGCTTATCTCCACCTTTTGCCCTAGTTGGGACGTATTTACGAAAAGTGAAAATGGTAATCAGGTGGCTTAAACTGATGAGTTTCGAGTATTTGGAGAATCTCGATGGAGAATTTGTGACAATTCCTTGAGTGCAATTGTAGTTTGGTTTTTTCCTGAAATTTAGCTTATATGTTCTTGCCTTTTCTTGTCTCTCTCACTTTTCTTGAGTTTCGTATGTCTCTGCCACTTCCATCTCAAACACCCGCACTGCTGGCTGGTCACAGGGAAGAGCTCCGGCAATTTTCACTGGATTGGTTGGGTTTCGTTTTCCCTCAAATGTAAATGCTGCTGAAGAACCAGCAAAAAGAAGATTATCTTCCTGACCAACTCTGTTGCATGTCACCACAGCTACTGGATGTTCCAGCTCTACCAACGGCGAAAATCGCTGGATCCAGTATCCTACTGTATCAGTCTCGGGCTGGTTGGGATGGCGGTTGGTACCTCCTACTGCGGTAATGGAGAGCCATGCCATGGGACAGAGAATGAGACTTACCCCATTGGCAAGACAAGAACGAGCCATTTCAAACGCTGTGAACGGCGCCTCGAACTTGTAAGGGTTCAAATCCATGCAAATACCGGTAGAAGCGGTGATAGTGGGAAGTTTTTCATGAGGGTCTTTTTGGCCATGGTAGTATTCTTTATCGGCTACAAATTTGAACAGTTCAAACTTGGGTCCTGGGTTCTCCGAACAGCCCCATACTTCGTCTGTTTCGTACAAATGGCACTTTCGATAATGGTGTAACACATCACCAGCGGGAGATGTAAAAACAGCAGCATTGTATGTGATGGATTTTTCCTTTTCAGGGTATCCGATTAATGTGAAACAATTGTACTTTTTTGATAATGATCGAGCAAATTCCGTCGACGTTCCGGCCGCCGTTGGCTCCAAAAACGGTTCAATTGCACCAGGCGACTTGAAATTGTAACCTGTCAATGCCAATTCTGGAAGAAGAAGAATGTCCACTGGAGTACGTGCGATGGACAGAGCCACTAGTTTGGAAATATTAGCCATGTTACTTTTGACCTGGCCCACCACCGCCGTGGTCTGGACGGCCGCAATACGAAGATGCATTAAAAAAATGAACGATAGAGTGAAAAGAAGAAGAATGAAATGATAAAGTTATGAGATCATGGGTTTGACGGTATTGTGTGCAGGTCTTATCTTAATGCCTATGCTTCTTCAATTACGGACCAGAAGAAAAGGATGACTTATAATCCAGTACGTTCTAATCCAATACGTGTCTGATCCAATACGTGATTAGCTCTACATTCAAAGCGAAGCATTGTTCTCTGTAGCAGTTCAGATTCTTACTTAACCAACTCGGTCCTAAATTTGCAGAATACAGTAAAAAGGCAATTGTCCAATTTTGAAATATCAAGAGGTTCAGGTTCTAACCTTCATTGACACAATTCCTCGTTGATGTTAAGTCTGGGATAAAATTCTGGTTCGCCGACAGTACATTTGCTTAACTGATAGCATTAGTGACTCGGTCGATAAAACAATTTGGCATTATTTATCTTCAATTGTTGACTAGTTTGAATGCTCTTTCACTAAGTATCCTTCGTCGACGACGAGACGTTCGAAAACAACATCAATGAAATACAAAAAAAGAATACGTCTGACTCCTTCATGCTCACCATAGTAGTAGAATGTAACAAGTGCAATTAGTATTGGTAAAATGAACCGATACAAAGATGAGCGAATAGTTGCTGGCATGATGATGTTTTGTTTAATGAAAGTTTTCACTCATGGAACTTGGAGATTTTATGCATGTTACACGCCTTTTTCAAATATGGATGGATGCGAAGCTCATTGGTGCAAAAGCCATGCAACGCAGTTTACATGATGAGCAGTATCACCCTTCTCTCAAAACAACTCCCAGTATCTTCTTTATCCGAGACTGATGAATTCAAACTGCAAATTTTTCACCTAGTTCTTTTTTTAGCTCATGCAGCTGTCAAATGATTTGACGCATTTTCTTGGCTCCTAACCCGAAATCCTCAATCGCGGAACCATATAGAATTTAATAGTGGTCTATTGTGACAATGAAAGAGTCCGGGTTTGGCTACGGAGTGCCTCATTAAGAAAGATTGGCCACTTGTCTTCTTCTTTTGCCAATAATGGTAGCATATACGCTCACAAATATTATTCACACCAAATATTGGCAAAAGTAGACGAGCTAAGTATAGATCAGATTCGTGTGTACCTAGAGCGTCTCCAGTAGGTCCATGGTCGCTAGTCGCTCGATCTCTGTTTGGACTGTTTCTGTTTCCAAAATCCAATTTGAAAAATTCAGATTGTGCAAATTTCTAAATTTTCATGATTATAATGAAGCATTCTTTTCTGAAATGGTAGCTCAAGTAATGATTCTCACTATTTTCACCGAGCTAAAGTGCAATTCAACGAAGCCTAAAGTATCCTATTTGACTTTTCGTCTGTAGGTAAAGAGAATACCAAAATTAGTCTATGCACCGTAACTGAAGTATTTCGCACGGAACAAATGGCTGCGAGAAAATAGAATGAGATTCTTACGAAAAGGAAAAAAGGGATACAGCACCAAAACGAGGAGTTAGTATTTGCTTTCGTTTGCCCGAATTCGTTTCAATCTTACTTGCACATTTATGGCTGATCAACTTCGTCGGCGCCATTTTCAAGATATATGCAGGGATTATGGTTTTGAGCTATATGCAAGCAGCTAAAATCAAATTTGCAGCCATTTATAAGAGTACACCATTGAAGGTTTTGTCGGTCGTTCACATTCCAACTACCTCTTTTTGACTGCTTCCTGTACTTTCTTGAGTCCATTTGACCCTGGACTTCAAAATAGGTATGTTAGCTCCATTTTTGCTGCGTCGCTTCATCGCATCAGTTGCTTTTTTTGAAGGATTAACTGCTAGAAAATCACATGAGTTCACGATAACCAGAAGGCATGGCTTGATCCGTGAATCCGTTCTTTCTTCTACGGTTCTTCATAACCTCAAGAAATTGTGTCGCACTATTAGAAATCGTTAACATCAAAATTTACAGCCAACTTTGCCAATACCACAATGTAATTGATGGCAGTTGTGCCTTATTCATATCCATGTATTACACACTATAGAGGTTTTGCGACTACCTGTGTTGCAAAAGAATACTTCATGATGTAGTCCTTACATACAATACATACACCAGTACACTTTTGCCAAGTTAGCCTGTTCTCAATTACATGGAGGTTTATTCAAAGCAAATAGAGTTAGCGCTCGATGGATCCACTGTTGGGATCTCCCAGGGTAAACCAGTGCATTTCTTTGGCCATATACCCGGATGATAAGTGGCGCAATTAGGACACAGACTAGACTCACAATCTCCACTATTACCGCAGATCCTGCCACAGGGCAGTCTGTTTGGAAGATCATCACGAGCTCTCACCTCCCATGGCTTACCAGTGCATCTCTTTGTTCCCCCAAGATAACTGGCGCAATTAGGGTAAGCTGTAAACTCACAATCACTAGGATTATTGCAGAGCCTGTTAGGCTCATCTAGACCATGATTAATTGCCTGCGCTTCTTGGTTAGTGTTTCCACAAAGCGAGGTACATGAAAGGTAGCTCGTCAATGCTAAAATTGCTTTTAAATTCATAGTAATAGAAAGAAATAAGTAATTTAATTCCGTTTGTGCCATTTATATGTGTTAGTGCATGCAGGACCCTGGTGATACCGGATGCAGGATCGAAGGAAATGGGACGAAAACATCAAAATTTGCAACCAATTTTGCGAGTACTCCACTGGAATTTGATGGCAGCTGTGCCTTGTTAATATCCACGTTTCACTTTAGGGCTTTACAGCTACCTGGAATTATGCAGAAATACTTCAAGATGTAGTTCTGACTTACGATGCATATAAACCAGTACACTTTAAGTTATACCGATCTCTATTACGGATCTTTAATCAATACAAATATAGTAACGGCTATATGGGGGCATTCATTAAATAAAGGAAGGTCCTATGGCAAAAACTTCCATACGTTTTGCCATGTTTCTTCACGATAAGTTAGAAAAAAAAAGCAATATATAGTTGGGCAAGGAGAATTAGCATCTGCACAATTATAGTTCCAGTTGACCAATTCATAAGCTGAGTGGGTTCTGGCTCATCAATAAGATGTCTTCCTTCAAGCCACTTGGCTGAATCATAAGCCCCAAGACCAATATAAATGTAGAATGTGTCGTTTTCATAGGATGTAGGTCTTGTGTGGAAATTGTCGTCAAAGGCCAATTCAAAAGTGCTCAGCAAGTTTACAAGCAAGACTCTTGTCAAGCTCATAGCAATTATAATCAATTTTATTGGCTTGAACGAGAGATATAACTGTTGTTGTGTTATGCAGATATGCCACTAATTTTGAAATAGGCATGACCATCGGTAGTGAAATGCAAGTATAAGCATGTTTCAGCAAGCGAAGCAACACTAGACTACCTCGTACTCGATAACGTTCGGATTGGACCTAAATGGGTCAAACGAAAATGCATTTAGGCTAAAAATTGACATTCTTTTGCCATCATTTTGCCAAACAATTGACATTCTTCCTACACTTACCCTAACCTCACCGTACACTTACTTCGCTAAGACGTCTTCAACAACAACCGCCGTACCGACTCGACATGTTCCCTTAAAATTTTAAAGTACATGAAGTCACCCCTGGCAGTCCAGAACGGAATACGAAATTGAAGGGGCCAATACTAATGCTCAACACTTGAATAAGAAGTAACTCTAAATTATATACGCACCGATATATGTGCGACCGAAAAACCAAACTAGCAGCGGAAATGGTTGCAAATAATATCGAGAATGTTCGCTAGGAAAGCAGACAGGAGGTGAAAGGTTAATGATCGTTGTGAATTAATCAAGTTTCTGCATACTTGCAACCAAGAAATTGGGCCTGCCTTCCGACACTCAAAATATATTCTCATGATCGTATATTTGGTCCGGTTGCGTTCGAAATTCTATGTTCTCAAAGTCATTTACAAATACGTGGTTTGTCCGCGAGGATATATGTACGAAGAGGTACCAACCTAATGAGCTACAGAAACTACTTACAAGCATATATCTCATATAATTCCTAAAATCATATCTAACGTCCCGATTAAGTTGGTCCAGTGGTTGGAACATACCTGCATATCACAAACTTAGATTCAGAATTAGTTACTGATAAGCTTGTTATGAGCTCAAACGAAATCTCAAATATTAACGCATTGATGAAATACTTTCAGTTTTCGCCTCGATCTGTTATTACATACGAAAATTGTATTAGTCTAGAAGCTTATGAGTATGCAACCAAGTGGCTTAAAGAAGTAGATCTTGGCATTGAGGAACCCACTGGGCATGAGTCAACTAGAACTAGAATTGCTCAGGCTACAAGTTTTGCATCTAAATAATTGGTATTTTGGCAGGTGGTACTGACCGTCCTTTCCGTCTACAGCTCTTTTACAGAGCTTATCGTGAAAGAACATGGCGAAAGAAATGCAGTTCTAAGTCATGGAGTATGCTATAACGAATGCACCCATTCAAACGTATAGTTGCATTGATTAAAGGTCCACGTAAGAGAGATCAGTATAACTTGGTCAAATTGACTTGTGTACGTCCTCTATATACGTAAGACCTACTCTTATAAATGGCTGCAAATTTGTAGTTAGCGGCTTGCATATAGCTTAAATTCAAGTCAAAAAAATATGTGGATACAAAGAGATCGGGTACGGGCTGAAGGTGAACTCAAGTTGATTCATTGAAGATCTTCAGTAACTCTGGTCCATACAATATCGTCAACAAATATCATTTGGTCAGGGTCCAATAAGTTACGGTGTGCGAAACACAATTTGAACCGGAACCATAGTTAAAGGTAGTGGAATTACCCTAGCATTTTCTGATACTCCCATCAAACACCAACACTGAGTATTATCAATGACTAGTTCAGCTGATGAGCGTCAATCGAGGCTCAAGTTAGCTAAATAACGATAAAATACGTCGTAAATTGGCGGGCAATACTTCTTAACGTGTATAGAATATATGTGTGTCCGGTTATGTTCGGTTATGTGCGGTCATGTCCGGTCATGTCCGGAGATCAACCTCTTTATTCATTATTCGTGTCTGGGGTTCGGGCGTATAAATGTGACCGAAAATACCAGTGAATTGAAGGCGCGCATATAATTGTACAAAGAATAATTAGGACATAAATTTCGTTAATATCTTAGTTCCTTGGATTCCAGTCCATCTTCTGGCCCCCACTTGAATTTATTATCACGTGGACTATATTTGCCTCTAAATAATTCATAAAGATGCACTTTTAGTTAACTAAATAATAGCAAAAGTTCGAAAATTTACTGCTAAACACTGATAAAAACTACTTATATTTCCTGAATGAACCGCGATATGCATTTGGTCCTCGACCAGACTCATAACTATAGAGACACCACATGATGTCATATAAACCTGGCCATTCAAAAACCGATGCTTTGTGGTCGGGAGTTCCGAGATCCACGGCTCTTCCAGATGCTTACCTCCGATAATCCCAGCCGCCCAATGGGGCTTATCTTCCGATCCTGTATCCAGCATGTGACGTAACGAATCATGTCGCAAATTGACGCAACATATAGCCGATCAACAGGCACAGATTGTGGAATAATAATCGCTTGATGAACATTTGGTATGTATGTATGTGAGTGTAGTTTGGGCGGTGTAGCTTTCTGCAAGATATCAGATCCGTTTCTTCCGAAATTGTGGGGTGTCTTATCTGCTATTGGCTAATGTAGTGTGCGCCCCGAAGAGGGCTTCGCACCTGGGCAGTGTTACCACATTGAAACTTGCGGCAAAACAAATTGGTGTATTTATTGTTGTTGTGAGCCTTGGTTTGCACTAGATTTTCCTTGCATTTTACTTTTCCAGAAGGCTTTCCGTTGGCTTTTAATCAACTCGGCAGACTTCCATTCAGTTTCGGGCGGCTTTCATTCAGTTTCGGGCCGACTTTTCGCCGATTCGTGTGTCTTTTTTTTTACCTTCACCATCGCATATCCCTCAGCGATTATTGTCCAATGGGCCATCTTGGAGCTCCCTATCGCCTATTTATCGCTAAAAGATTGCATTAATTATCGAAATCATCACTAAAAGCTCCCCAAATACGTTCTTAATCCGGAGTTTTTTTGCAACATTGAAAAGTCTTGGCTCGCTTGCGCCGATACCATTTTCAGAAAAAGGTCCCAATTTTCGTCCATGATCGTTCTTTTCCGAAGGAGACGTAACGTGGTGGCCCTAGTGGTTATCCTATGTCTTTGCTCCTTTGTTTTTCTTCACCCGTCACTCCTTTCGTATATCAGTCCCAACTACTTTGATCGATTGGTGGACCAACTTCCGTTTTCAGATCTGTTGGCTCAAGCGGTGGATTTTAGTGCCAAAGACAATTTCGACACCTTTGTGTTTCCAGAATATTTGACCAGCAGAGATGGTCTGGATGTGTTGAAATATACCATGCCTTTTGACCCGAGGTTCACCATGGGTCTCGTTCTCGATCATTTGGCCAACCAAATCGAGCAATCCAAATCTGTGTACGAAGTTCACCTTCCATACTTCCATTGGGCTGACTACACCGACTTATCAAACCTTAACAAGTTTTACTTTTCTGCGGAAAAAGACAATTGCAAAAATCTTTTCGATGTCACCACTCCGAGTCAAAGCCGGAACAGAAAACAGGAGCTCGTGCAAACAGAATTGTATTGCCTTGACCAGTCGCAGCTTGAAGATGCATCTCTGGATTCAGCATTCAGCGAAGATCAACGCAGAGCATTCCAGTTAGCGAAAACTAGACCTGTTTCTACCGGGTGGTATGTTTTCGACTACGGCGGCCGGTCCAAACTGTCGTTGAAAATCTTGCATGCCAAGTCGTACCTCGAGAATTTCATGGCTCCTCCACGGAATCTTGTGCTTCTTATTCCCACTAAAAAAGGACCAGCTTCTATTTCCGTTCCTGTCAACCAGGACATTTCTGGCCGGGAAAGAATCTCTCAAACCTCAATTCTTGAAGGTTACTTGACAAACTTCAGACAGAATTCGCCAGATGCTCCATCGGTGAACGTGGCTAAGCAATTGCAAAGAGTGAGTGAGTTGGTTCCAAAGTATGCCAAGGTTGCTCCTTTGCCCCATACAAAGCCATTGAAGCACGAGGACTTCACGGCAGACTGTGGAACCATCATAAACTCCTTAGGAGACGGCATGCTGGAGTCTGTACAATCGTATAAGCAGTCGTTGGAATACTCGCTTGCTGAAACAAATCCGCCCAAATACTTTAAAGAGGCCAAGATTCTCAAAAAGGAAGCGAATTGGGCTCATGGTGGACACTATGACTGGCGGTTTTTCGCCGGGTTGATCAACTTCACCGACAGACAACCACCAGTGTTGCATGGCCTTTTACAAGCGTATCTTAAATTTGCAAATGCAAATAATATAACCACTTGGGTGGCTCATGGATCGCTTTTATCGTGGTACTGGAACGGCGTAGCTTTCCCATGGGATAATGATATCGATGTCCAGATGCCCATCCAGGACCTTCATCGTCTTTCACGAGAGTTCAATCAGAGCATGATCGTTGACCTTGGTGGAGAGTCTGACCAGGAAGTAAGATATGGTCGATACTTTCTCGATTGTGGAACATTCATAAGTCATCGCACGGCTGGAAACGGGAACAATAATATTGATGCTCGGTTCATCGATGTCGACACCGGCTTTTACATTGACATTACTGGGTTGGCAATTTCTGACGAAAGGGCTCCCACTCGTTATAACGATTTACTTCCGGCTGAGCTCTCACGACAATCTTTGGATGCCACCATCACCGAACAGAGCCGTAACGAGTATCTCCAGGCCTATAATTGTCGGCATCATCATTTTGCCCGGCTCAATGAGCTCAGTCCATTGAGTTTATCTGCGGTTGAAGGTCAATTTGTCTACGTTCCTGCTAACTATGAGCGGGTACTTATAAACGAATATGGAGTCAAGGGAATCATCAATGAAGTATTCAAAATCTTCACGTTTGTGCCTCGATTCCAACTCTGGATACCGACGCGAGACCTCAGGCGTTTCACCAATAACCACGACATAAAGTGGTCAGACGAGCAAACATGGAAGTATTGGAGTGAGCAAGACCATATCCAGTTTTTGGCCCAGAATGAAGATTTATTGACGGAATACGTAGCCACGAGGAAGATGACACTGTTGCATAACGAGGAAATGAAGTTGCGGAGAAAACGCAAAAAGAGTGAAAAGTTTGTCGTTGACTGTATTGAAAAGGATCCACTGTTGACCAAATTAAGACATGATTATTTTTCGTTTTTGGTATCTAATCATGACTATGACTTCCGCATTCGAGATGACGAGGTTAAGAGACAATATAAAGAGCTCGATCAGGCGCTAGCAGAGCAAAATCTCGACAAAGTGGAGGAAACTACAAAGACAATTGAGTCGGAAACGGCTGCAAATAATTTACCGGAAACCGACCAAGAACCCGAGAACATAGATTCTCTTCCAAAAATACAATCCCCAGAGGAACAAAATGACGCTACAATGAGAAGACCAGTTCCCAACCCAGTCGACTCAAACCAATCTTGGTAAGACAAAATAGCATTATAGTAATACATTGAAATTGTCTGCAGTGCGGGGCCGGCTTGTCTGCAGTCCGCCAATCATCGTTCGCAATTCTCACGCCATAAACTTCATTCTTGTAGACAACCCATCACGATGTTTAGAAGAGCCGGCCAACGCACCTTTGCCCGCTTCAACTCCTCTGGTCACGGTCATGTGTCCAAGTACATTTCCGAGTCCGCTTTCCCACATGTGGACAAAAAAGCTGGTGAAGAATTCATCAAAAAACAATCGGAAAAAGCTCAACATTCCGAAGGAATTACCAACACCTGGAAGAGATTGACTTACTTGATTGCATTCCCTGCCATTGCATTGACCGCCATTCCAGTTGTGAACATTGAAATGCATCACGCCGAGCACAGAAAGCACTTGAGAGAGCTTCCCGATGAGGAATGGCCCACTCAGTATGAGTACCAAAACCTTAGACAAAAGAAGTTTTTCTGGGGTGACGGAGACAAGACTTTGTTCTGGAACTCTGACATCAACAGACACATTGAGTCTTAAGTAGAGCAGATGAATAAATGCGATAAGAGAGAGAGAGAGGAGAGAGTAGAGAAAAGAGTAGAGAAGAGAGTAGAGAAGGGAGTAGAGAAGAGGATAGACAGTAGAGGGACGTGAAGCTTTACATCTCGCGATGAAAGCAGCACGCAGTACCACTAGAAGTAATATCCTACAAGGAAACCTCCGTCGAATATCATTGGTTATTATACCAGTAAAATACTTCTTCCCTTCCACTTTCGATCTTCCCCTACAATTTCACCTTAAGTCTTGTATTCTACAAGGTGGAAAAGATATACAAATTGTTGGTGGCTGCGATGGCCACAGAATCTTCACGTGGATGCCACGATAAATGGAGAATGCTCTTCTTGAAGTCAATATTATCGAAATCATTTCCTCCACTTCCAACCCCACTCATTAGTCTCCGTCTGGTTCCACTATTTCCCATCTTCTTTGATTTAAAAGCAGATTTATCCGCCTGTAAAATGATCTCTTCTTGTTCCTCATCACCCATTTGTGACGATGGTGATTGGGGGTACGCATCGGTTGGAAGACCAGGCGATTCAACATCATTATCTTCGTCGTCGTCATCTTCGTCGAAAACATCTTCCTTTCTTCTGTTCATCTTGGTTTTGATTTCACTGCCTCCGTTGACAATATTAGGATATATCATGAAGCTATTGTTGTATGATCCAGTCATAACCGACTTGCTATCGCCACTGAACTGTACTTCGAACTTGTCAAAGATGGCATCGTTCTCATATGTATCGCACAATCTATCCCGCAAATGTTCATGAACATTTATCGTCTTGACGGGTTTCAGTTCCATAGCCAAATCCCAAATCTTAACCGTCATGTAGTCTCGAGATACGATATATCTTCCGTCGTGGCTGAACTTGACGTCAGAAATAGACGACGTTATCTCGGTGAAAAAGTTGTGCGAAGCAGGGTCCAAGTATTCCTCGAACACTTTGGCATGCGAATCACACAACGAATTGGATCTCATATCTGACAATTTGATAGTGCCCTTCGACGAAGAGTACATTAATAAATTACAATGATTGGGATGGAATTCGGCACTGGTAATTACCTCGGTCAACTCTTCCATGTTGGCCGGTTTGATGTCCACGATGTTGAACGATTGGTCAGAAATGCCCAAGTTCCACAAATTGATTCGAAGATCATCGGACGACAAATAAGTTTCCTGGTCCGAATTGACAGATATCGAGTTTATATGGTAGGCATGGGCGTTAGAGTAGATCTTCTTCGGTTGTGCCAGAATTAATTTATCATGAACTGTCAACTTGGGCAAACGTAAATTGTCCACGTTAAACGACGTGGGAAGTTGGTCTGCACCCTTCAAGTTGTTCTCGCTCACGAGCTTCACTTGTCTTTCAGCCACTTTCCACAACTTGATCGTCTTGTCATTGGTGGAAAGTAGGTAAAGGGCATCATTGGAGCTTCTGATCCATTTTATCTTGTTGATTTTCTCTTCGATTTCCAACGACTTCAAGTAGTCAAACTCGGCGTCATGACTTTGAAATTCGGTGAAAAACTTGTACTCACAACTGTGCTTTTTCTTTGAATGATTGCGTTCGAATAACACCACTCTACCGCCTTTATCTCCAGTAGCCAAGAAATTTCCGTCATAATTGAACTCTACCCGTGGAAATTATATCGGCTTCCGTAACGTTTTCAATGTCTCCCTTATCACCAAAGCATTGGGAGAACTTCCAACTATCTTCCATCGTCATGTTGAAATATTTCTAAATATGAATTTCCGCCACTTTTTTCCAACCCAAATGAACACAAGGTGGCCGGTACACTTAAAGTTGTCAGCGGGTATGTCCTGAAGGCTCAATGTTGCAAAGAAAAAAAAAAACTTGATCTTTTCGAGCCGAACGGTGTAAATTTGTGTCGAAATTGACAAGTCGGTTATCGAGGTTATTGTGCAGTAAACAAGCCAATCACTAAACTGCAGCTGAAAAACTTCCAAATCGACGATAAAAGTTCCTCAAAGTCAAGTTGGTATTGGTGTACAAATGGAGTTGTACCTAGCAATGAAGTCCAACTCCTGATCAATGACGGGATGTGTACAGGACGGAGCGTGGGTGTGTGGGTGCATATACAATACTATTTTTGTTGAGGTGATTTTACGCCTTGTATCAGATGTGTGTATTGCTATTAATACTTAGGCAGCCTTCTTGGCGGCATCAGCAGGGTTGACCTTTCTGTCAGTGTTGAATCTCTTCCTTTGAGGAGGAGTTCTGACTCTTCTGTCGGTTCTGGATCTGACTCTGACAATTCTGGCGTGGATGGCACAGGAGACACAGTAGTGCAACTTGTTGTACAACTTTGGCACGGCGTACTCAGAGTAGACCGAAGCCTCAGACAAATCTCTGACAGCGGCGGCTTCAACCATGTTTCTGATGGTGACTCTCTTGATGGCCTTATCCTTAGGAACACATCTGGCACAGTTCAAACATCTGACTGGCTTGACGTGACCTCTTCCCTTCTTGTTTCTACCGTTGGAAGCTCTCTTTTTTGGCATGCTGAGTTAGTAACGACAGATAATTATTTGTTGGGGTTGGTTTAGTCGAATTAGAATTTTTCATTTGATTTTTCATCGTCCATTATTGTCTCAATCACATCTCTTTACGGTGTCCAGCGGGTTTATATCGTATCCTGTGGTTTTCATTGTTCATATTTCAACGCCAGCGCAACGCCCTCAATATACCGATACTTACTTGTTTAAACTGTTAAGAATAATCCACTGGAGTCGCAGTGAAAGTTTTGCGAGCGGTTGTGCGAGGCTCAAGTCACGAAAACGTGATCCGCGGGCTCAGCCCTGAAATGCATATATGCCGGTTGGTGCTTTGGGTGTTCTGGTCGCGCTTATTTGCATCCTTTCACCCACAGTAAAGGGCCCGCCAATCAACGACTGCCTTGTGCGCGCAGTGTTAGCTGATTTTCAAACCAGCTAAGACGACAGTGAAAGTATGTATACCATCAGAAACAAAGATAGTGAAATGGTGTGAGATAATATGGTAGGCGGAAGCAGAAAACTTGCCTGAACTTGAATTCGACCTATGCCCCACATACGACCGGAATTGGTCCATGATACCATGCATTTGAAAGACAACTTCCGGTTTATGATACAAGTTCCGGTTTATGAGACAACATCCGGATCACAACTTCCGACCTGACAGCTTCTGTTCGACCTTTAGCTGCCCCGCAGATTTTTCACCATCACTTTTATCGTTACTTGATTTTTACTTGATATACTAACTCAGATGCTTTCTCGTGCTCTTCGTGTCACTCGTAACACCAGACTCTTGTCTACTTCTAGAGTACTTTCTCTGGCTCCAGTGAATGTCAATCAAAAGACTGCCAGCAAATTGGCCGAAGTCACTGGTCCGGATGGATCTTTGATTGGTCCTGGTGCTAAGGAAGGTACCATTCCAACCGATTTGGACCAAGCTACTGGTTTGGAAAGATATGAAATCTTGGGTAAGAGAGAAGGTATTGATGTGTTCAACTTGGACAAGCCTATCTTTGAAGGATCTGGTACCATGAAAGACCCATATTTGGTTCCAACTTATATTGGACATCGTTACGTTGGATGCAGAGGTAAAGGTGGTGAGGAACACAAAGCATATTGGTTAGATGTCAAGGAAGGTACTCCAGCTAGATGCTGGCAATGTGGTACTGTGTACGCTGCCAAGTACTTGGGTGAACCCGGCCACCACCACCACTGATTATCACCACTGATCATGAGCGATGATCGTCGCATAGAACATCTTTGACCGGTAGGGCTAAGTATCAATTCTACATTACGTACTAGCTGTAGCTAAGTGTAGGCGCCGTTTAGTTTATTTTACGAAAAGCCACTGTGCGGCACTATCCGCTTCGGCGTTCGGCCCGTGCGACCACAATATTTAAACTGCAAATTGCCAGGGTGCAAAAAATTAAAGATAAAGTATGCTGAAGAAAAAGGTTTTGTTTCTTGCTGAACCTAACCAGGACTTGCCTGAGTATCGTCATTTCCAACACTTGTATGAGTGTATTCCATACCAATTGACCACCAGTGAAAAACTCATAGAGGATTTCAAAACGTCTTTGAAAGACATCGAAGCCATCTATGCCGCCTGGCTCGGATTTATTCCTCTTGGAGGGTTTGCTAATGAAATCTTGGCCAATTCTCCTCCCAACTTGAAAATTATTTCTGTTTGCTCTGTTGGTTACGACGGTTTTGACGAAACGGCTATGGCCGAAAAGGGACTCATTTTAACCAATGTTCCCTCATCGGGAGCTGCCGAGCCCGTGGCTGATTTGGTGCTTTTCAATGCTTTGCAAGCGTTTAGGAACTTTGGCTTTTGCACCCAAATTTTCAATGGTGAATTGAACAATTCCATGTATATCAGAAGACGGTTGCAAGACGGTGAGTTCGATACCAGTTCGGGTAAGCTTCAATTGGGCAATGGATCCACTCATGCCTTTGGTCAATCGTCAGCTGGAAGACCCAACATTAGTCCAGCAGGACATACTGTGGTGATAGTTGGTTTTGGAAGAATTGGACAAACCATAGGCTCGAGGTTGCATGGCATTGGTATGAAAATTGCCTATGTAAAGCGCACCAAATTGACCACAGTTCACGAACAGCAATTACGGTATCCAGTTACATATTACAAGACCCTTGCTGATGCCAAAGATGTGGCAGATTTGGTGGTAATTGCTTGTCCTGGAACCGCCGAAACCAAGCATTTGGTTAATGCCAATGTGATCAATGCCATTTCCAAGCCGTTCAGAATTATCAATGTAGGAAGAGGTACCGTTATTGATGAGCAGGCATTGGTGGATGGTCTCAAGTCAGGTAAGGTTTTGTTTGCTGGACTTGATGTTTTTGAGTCGGAACCTAAAGTTCATCCTGAACTATTTGGTCGTCCTGATGTTGTGCTCACACCGCACATTGGAGCTTCTACAATGGAGAATTTTGACCACACAGCAGAGGTATCGTTGAAAAACATTGACCATGTTTTGAGCGGAAAAGAGCCATTGACGAGAGTAAACTAGAAGTTGCAAATTGCAGTTAAGCGGTAAAGTTTAGCGGCTTAGTTGCAAGTCCAAAAGTTGAAAAGTTTGTTTTCAGCCTTCTGGCTGCTACATTTCAGTTTTGTATTAGACATAGACATTGTTAAGACACTTTTGATTGGAGTTATCTTACTCAATTTGCACTTTTATTTTTCACAAGTTGATAAAAGACAATGCTAATCATTTCAGCCTAGACGACAAAACCAAAAACTTACAGTAGTACTCAATCTTCAAAAGAATTAACCTACTTCTTTTCCATTAGTATCTCTTCGGCTTTCGGCACCCCACTCCATTCGCAGCATCGCACTTCTTAACTTAGCAATCATCTACACTCACCAAAAATTTTCCCAACTCAAGTAACCAACGTTGAGCAACCACAAACTCTAAAAGCAAGCCCACCCTTCCTTCAACTTTGTCCTTCTTATCATCTACAAAACTTCCCCATTATCTCCCACTGTCCCCCATACTTTTGCAACCGGTCGTGCCCTCACCGGGTGAATCGACATTTCCGTTCCACCTCCTTGCACATCCAACAATGCTGTCGGTATATATCGGCGTGTACCGGGCAGTTTTTGAATATGCTGCCCAGACAGACGAGGAGTTGAATTTGGCTGCCGGCGACATTCTCTATCTTCTTGAAAAGTCGGATGTCGATGACTGGTGGACTGTCAAAAAACGAATCCTTCCCGTCGGCGATGAAGAAGTCGAAGAACCGGTGGGATTGGTTCCCTCAAACTACATTGAGGAAGCCCCAGTGGTGAAGACGGCGCGTGCGCTTTATGACTACGAAAAACAGACCGAAGAAGAGCTTTCGTTCAAGGAGGGCGACCGGTTTGATGTTTATGATGTAAATGATCCAGACTGGATTTTGGTGACTGATGCTGCCCATGAGCATTTTGGCTTCGTGCCGGCAAACTATATAGATATGTCGGCTCAGCTGGGCGTGGCACTGGCGCCAGCGAACCCGCAAGCATTTTCAATGCCTCCGAAACATCCGAGCCAAATTAAACGGGACGCCGAGCTCGACGTTTCTCCAAAGCAAGAACAACCTTTAAAGACCGTTGACCAAGACTACGAGGAGGCTCCACCAAAGCCAGCGAGACCGACAAGTAACGATTTCGTTAACAATTCTCAAACTGAAAACGAACTCAATCTTCATGACGAAGAAGAAGACGCTCCTCCTATGCCGTCCAGACCTGGACCCAGCGCCGCCACTACTCTGAGCTCGATCAATAGAGAGCCGGCAGTAGCTCAATCCTCTCAAGATTACCCTAGGACAGAAGATGTTGGAGACCAGCAACATAGCTATGACGGTGAGTTTTTCACCTGGTACATCGATGAGGTTGATGGTCGTAAAAAGAGACCCGTGGTGTTCTCGATCGGCAAGGGAATGATAGTCACCAAGCCAAATTCCCAGAACCCGAAGAAATTGAAACTAAAGTCGGCTTCCACCCTTGATCAAGTATGGAGAGTACGAGATTTGAAGGACTACAGTAACGAGAAAAAACATCTATTCCTCGAATTGACGAATCCAACCACCTCACTCGAGCTCCATTGCGGTCTGAAGGACGTTGCTGAAGCCATTGTGTCCATATTGGCCGACCTAAAAGGCGCAGAAGAAGCCAGAGGCTTGCGCGAAGTTGCCCAGGCTTCCCAAGCGTCTACTAGTGGGAAGAATCGTAAAATTGGTACCCTTATGTTTGACTTTACTGCTCAAAGTCGCGACGAACTTGAAAGCAGAGAAGGTGACGAAGTGTACATTATTGATCAATCGAAGTCGAAAGACTGGTGGATGTGTGAGAACGTTGCTACGGGACGCCAAGGTGTTATTCCTGCTTCGTACATCGAGATTGTGGGCACTTCGAACCTCGACAAGATGACCGATGGTGTTCAGAGACGTAGATCGCAAAAGGCACCCAAGGGAAAGGTGGTTGAAAAGAAGCATCAGCATCGTCGTCGTTCGAGAGATGAAAGAGAAAGAATTCGAGAAAGCGATCAACGTCATCGTGAACGTGACCAGCCCAGCAATGGTCGTGATAGTGATGGAAAATCATTGCCCAACTACCATCGTCTTAGAACCTGGATTGACAGCACCGGATCATTCAAAGTGGAGGCGGAATTTTTAGGGTTTGTCGACGGCAAGATTCATTTACACAAGACAAACGGTGTCAAGATTGCGGTCGCAGCTACAAAGTTGTGCTTGGAAGACTTGGAATACGTAGAGAAGGTGAGCGGAACATCATTGGAGACCTACAAAGAACAGGTTTCAAAGCACACGCCCAAGAAATCCGAGGAAGGTCGTAGCAGGTCTGCAACAGCTGTTATCAACAGCGTTTCTCCAACGAAAGAAAAGTCACTGGGTTCGGGTACTATTCCTCCACAATCAGATCCCGAGTATGATTGGTTCGAGTTCTTTCTTCAATGTGGTATTGATATTGGAAACTGCCAAAGATATACCATCAATTTCAACAGAGAGCAGATGGACGACAAAATCTTGGAAGATATCAATCCTTCACTTTTACGCACTCTTGGTTTAAGAGAGGGAGATATTATCAGGGTGATGAAGTATTTGGATAACAAATTTGACAGGAAAAAGGAAGAACCAGTTCAGCAAACTGCTACAGGCAGTCTTTTTACCGAGCCTACAGGTGCATTGAGAAATAACAGCTCGACAACAGAGGTGTCCAAAGTTGATGCCAAGGCGTTGCCTTCACCAAGAAAGCCAGAGACTCTAGTGGAAAATCCACCACAACAAGTGAATAAGCTAGATGATGATGCATGGGCCATGAAGCCAGCCGCTCGCTCTAATGAAGATTTACTGAGAGTGAGATCACAAACTCCACAATACACTGGGTCTCTTCAGGACTTGGTGGATATTAAGCCGTTCAAGGTGAATGACAAACCAATGCCCGCTTTACCTACTGAAGCCAAGCAAGAGCCTGCACCATCAGCTCCAGCTTTGAAGCCGGTTCAAACTGGGCCATCCATACAACCTGGTCAACAATTTGCAGCTAACAAAACCGGTTCTACTACTGTGGGCGGTTTGGGAGCTCAAACAACGGGAGGTCTCGTTCCAGTACAAAGAACTGGCGGGTTGGTTCCAGTACAGCGGACTGGTGGTTTACTTCCAATGCAACCCACCGGATTTGTGCCTATAACCGCACAACCCACAGGGTTCATACCCATCCAAGCTACTGGCTTGCAACCTCAAATAACCTTTGGAATTGTTCCTCTTCAAACAGGAACCGCAACTTTCACGGCCACTCCAACCGGTCCCCAAGCATCAATGCCTCAAACTACTTTTGGGCAGCAGCAGCCACAATTACAACCTTCGACTACTTTCGGAGGAATGAACAAAGTGCCACTTCAAATGACTGGCGGGGCCATGCCTGCCACCTCATTTGGTCAACCAATGACATTGCAACAAACTGGACCATTGGTTCCAGCGCAGCGCACAGGAGGCACTCCTTTTGGTCAACAGACGGGTCCAATTGGAAATCAGCTTACTGGTGGATTACCTCCACAAACCTCGTTTGGAATGTTCCAGCCTACCGGTCAGCAGTCTACTGGAGGTCCCATGTTGCACCAAGGTCCACCGGCCAATTCTTTCGGACCTGGAAGCATATCGTCTCCTCCTACATTCATGAACCAAAATCCAGGAACAATTACGCTGCCTCAACCAGCATTTCCCACAGGACAACAACCTTTCAACCTGTCATTCCCAGGAAGCCAAACTGGTCAGGAACAATATGGTCAGCCCAACATGAATCTGTTGTCAAACATGTTCCAAAACACAAACATTTCGAGCAATGGCTACCAACCTCCTACATCTTTTGGTCAACCTCAAGCAAGCTTTCAATCATCATTTGGCCAACAGCCATCATTTGGACAACAACAAACTTCCTTTGGGCAACAGCAAACCTCCTTTGGACAACAACCAACATCCTTTGGTCAGCCCCCAACCTCCTTTGGTCAACAACCTAGCTCTTTTGGTCAACCAGCTTTTGGCCAACAGCCTCTGTTTGACGGATTTGGATATTCGCAGCCATTGCAATCACAGCCCACTGGTTCTGGATTCGGCAATGCACCATTGCAGTCACAACAGACTGGCAGAAGAGCTAACCTACAAGCTGCTACTGCAGACAATCCATTTGGGTTTTAAAAGTTACTTAAAAAAGTTGCAATTAGATAAGCGTCTTAATACACACCTGCAGCCATAATGTGGTTGATTGTGCGACACATTTTGCAGCCGCGACACATCATTTTCTTTATATTGAATCATGATGAGTGTAAACATTAGTCTATTAGTCGATTTTTTGATTCAAAAAGCCAGTGTTATTCTTCAGCCACCGGTAAATGGTGACTTTTGTTTGTTGTTGAAGCTTTTCAACCTGTGGTTGGGCGATAAAATTTTGCCTGACATCAAGGTGTCACTTGACGAATTGCATCATATGATCGTGGAAATCAACCTGCTATCACCCAGATCTGTTCTACTAGATGAAGAAGGACCAAGTGCTTTGTCTAGTGTCAAGACTTTCAAAATAAGTTGGATTTTTGATGTTCGTCTTCATGCTCTTCGAGACCGGCTTGACGGAAAAGCAATTAAGGAAAACAACTTCAAATTGAAACATAAAAGTAGACAAAAGGATCCGTTGAAGCAGCTACTGAAAATGTTATCAGATAAGAATACCACGAAGAAAATTGATGAACAAGTAGGTGGATTATCGATGGAAGTGTGCACCAAGTTTTTACAAGAACCAACGGCGATGGTCAAGTTGGCCAGAGAGAAGGCTCGCTTGACAACGCCATTCAAGCCAATTTTCAAAGTGTGCCAAAACGATAAGCACAGCAAAGTGCTTGCTAATGTCTGCTTCAGTAAGAAAGATATCGTGAATGCTGTAACCCGTAATATCCACATGCCAGGTACCAGCTTACACAAGATTTTATTCCAGTATCGGTCGTTGATGTCTCCAGAAATCTATGCTTGCTCCCAAGAAAAAACCCACAATCTCCCCATCAAATTCTCAAATTCTGAAACGTCTCCAGGAGATTGCTCCTACTTGGATACATGCCATAAAATGAGAAGCTGCCGCTACCTTCATTACTATACTTTGACTCCAACAAAACAGCCAGAAAAGCCGCCATTGAACAATAAGGTTGATCTTTCCGAGTATACCATTGGTCAATGTTACACAAGTGAGTTTAGAGAAGTATCAGCTCCACAGTGGATCTCTTGTGATGTCAGATATTTAAAGTTTCCTCTTCTTGGAAAATTTGCAGCCATTATCTCAGACCCTGCGTGGGACATCCACATGTCTTTACCATACGGAACGTGCAAAGATTTGGAGCTCATGTCCCTACCAGTAGACAAGCTTCAAGATGAGGGCATAATAATTCTTTGGGTAACGGGGAGGTCAATTGATGTCGGTCGTAAAGCATTGCACAAGTGGGGGTACAGAATGTCTAACGAGATGATCTGGATTAAACTCAACCAGTTAAAGCGAACTATAGTCACAGGAAGAACCGGTCACTGGCTCAACCATTCTAAAGAGCATTTGTTGGTGGGCGTGAAAGGCAACCCACCTTGGCTCAACCGGTTAATTGACGTTGATACTATAGTGAGCGGCACGAGAGAAACTCTGAGAAAGCCAGATGAAGTTTACGATATGGTTGAAAGAATAGTAGGCAAGCATTCTCGAAAGCTAGAGATATTTGGGCGGGACCATAATGTCCGTCCAGGATGGCTTACCATAGGAAACCAGTTGACTGGAGTGTCGTTGCAAGAACCGATGTTACTTGAAGCTTACGATGATCTTCTTGAACGCAAATAAAACATCATTCGTTACACCATAATTTAGCTATCATCGCTGCTACCTCACTTTAGCTATTTTAATCATAGTTGCTTTTTCGACTTATCTTTCATCCTATAATTCCTGACCAACACCCCGGCCTCGTTGTCCATCTGCTTCTTCAACTGAGGCTTGTAACCAAGTGCGAAAGCGATTTCAAAGACCACAAAAAATGGAGCCAAAACTAATGCTTGGAGCAAATTATCAAGCAAAGCTGGAGCCCGTTTCTCATGCACTCCGTGGCCGTAAAATTGAGCGAGCCAGGATATCACATTGGCGAAAATTGCATATCGAGTGAACTCTTGAGGTGTGATCCAAGACGTAGGTTTCAAGTTCAAAAGTGCATACTTGAAAACATACGCTGCAGAAGCCAAGAATGCAAGCGCTGGCACACCCAATTGCCACTCTAGAAGAGCATAGTATGTTCCATAAGACCAAGCAAATATGGATCCCAAGTTGATGTATGGCAGATATGAAGTCACCTCAACAGGTGACAAAAAGGCAATAACCGACAAAAGAATAACCGGAATACATGCTAGATGTATAGCCACATTGACGTGGTTGAAGTGATAAGATCTGTAAAATACCAAGTGACCTTTTAAATCGAACAAACCTGCCATTATGATTGGTAAAGTTTGCTTTTTTGCGGGGTAAAATTTTGACATCTATTTGATATGCAGAACAGAAACCTAAATCTATAAGCCTATTCCTAACAACTACTCTCTTAAAGAAAGTGTTGGCTTTTTGATGATCCGCTTCTTCTTGGAGCTCAGATCTTTGCTACTTTCGAATTTGCTGGCGGCGTGGAGATCTCTACCCACATTGTCGAGATCCTTCACTTTGTAGAGTCTTACCATCCAATTTTGCGATGTGAAAGCTTCTTCTAGAACGCTAAGTTCGGGTGCCATGTTAGCAGGTATGGTTTGGCTTCTCACACGGTCGGTGGCATCTCTACCATTGAAGATTTCTGCAAATCTGTAGTATGACATTTTGTACATCAACGAGTTTCTCATAGTCTGAGATGCTCCCTCATCCACTCTGTACTCGCCTTTGGCAGAAAAGTAGTCACGTTCAGTAACTTCATCGGGCCAAATCCCTTCGGATATTCTAACCATCCATAAGAACTTGTTGATGTCATCTCCCGAGTAGCCCAAGAGCCCTCCGAAAACAACCAACACATAGTCGACATCGTGCTTTTTCAAGATCTCATAAGCAACATCTTCGGAAGAACACATTGCCTTTCCGACGGTTGCAATATGAGTATTGTTCCATGTGTTATTGTCGACGAGAGTAGTACGGTCGGCCATACCACCAATCTGGTAACCGTAATCCCACCATGCCATCACCTTGGCATCCTCGGGTGTGTTCATTCGCAACCAGTAATATGCCTCTCTGTAATCATCGATGATGTTTGGAGAGCCATCAGGATTTCTCGATGACAATACAACAGAAGGAGAAGAGTAGGCGTTCGAGGTAACCCAGGTACAATGCAACACAAAGTACACAAGGTAAGTAGTAAAAGATCCCACAACCAACAATTTGGATAAAATTTGGAATAATGACCAAGTTCTCGTTTTGGATCCACCTTTAACTTTCTTTACTTCCGGAGTCTTACCTTTCTTCTCTTCTGTGGGCTTCTTTTCTGCTGGAGTTCTGAAAACCTCCACAAAGTTCAAATACTCATCAAACAACCTGGAGATTGCGAGGGCTGCAGAAACACAAATGATTGGAGTCAAGGTCAACATGAGTCTTACCATGACACCAGCAAAGTAGGAGCACAAGACACTATAGATGATGACGAAAACGTGTTCATTTCTCAATTCTTGGAAGCAAATGTAGATTCCGGCAGGGAAAAGCCAGATCAACATTCCACTGTCGAAGAAGAAAGAAGGCCAAGCAGTAGGTTGGTGCTCAGAAACAGACGCGATAATTGGAATGTGAATCTTAGCGTAGTTTGTGTCCCACAATGAGTAGAAACGGCCAGTCCATGGAGCAATTAAGCCCAAGGCAGTCAAAGCGAACAAGGCACCGATGCCAAGAAGTATTATGAGAGCCACAGAGATGGTCAAGAATGTCTTGAATTGTCTTCCCGAGACTCTCGACCTAACATAGTCTCCCAAGGCGGTCAATTGCAATAAACCAAACACTCCGAGGGCAGCCATATGGTCGTTGGACCTGATGGGCAAGAAACCCACGAAAGGTATTTGCATTGATGCCAATGTTCCCAATGCGTACCAGGTGGTGTAAGCGGTGTAAAGTTTGTGGTTGTAACGGCCCATCAAGATAAGAACAAAGATGTGCAATGGAATCAAATTGGTGATGAAAACGTATCCACCCCATGCAGAAACCATGTAAAAGTAAGACAACGCAGTCCATGTAGCGTAGTAGACTGAACCCACTTTCAGCGCTTTGATCCAAAAGTAGAACGTGGCCATGAGTAAAGTGATTGCAATTGCCTCGTTATCGTAAGAGCCGGCCACAGATCTGGATATGTAACCAGGTGCGATACCCATGAAAATTGCCGCCAACAAACCAGCATTGGAGTCCTTCAATTCCGCTGTGAAGTAGTATGTGGCGATTGCAGTCAATCCAGAGAACGCTGGAGCCAACATTACACACACATCTCTAATATTGACTGGTAACTTGAACCAGTCTCTCAACGTGTGCCAGATGACACCGGAAGTCACCATCAATCCGGGGTACAAAGTTCCTCCGGTGACACGTCCCAAGGGGTACCAAGTTCTGTCGTCGAACCAATTCAAAAACTCGTAGAAAGAATGGCTCACCAAATATTTGGTGGCTCTGAAATTGAACCAAGGATCGAATTCATGAATGATACTTTCGAAACGAATTACCGAAAACAACCGCGAAGATATAGCGGCACCAGCAATCGATATGAAGATCACCACTTGAAGTAGCAACCTCACGGTTTCCACCTTGATGCCACAAACCTTCAATTCCAGCTTTGGAGACATATCGCTTATTGGCCGTGGTAGGTTGATAATTTCCAGCGTGTTATGTAGATATGCAGGAGGTGCACTGGTGGGTATAAAGGTAGTTGTCTATTACAAGGTATACATAATGTGCTTTTGGTCTCTTCAGAAAGAGCTCCAGCTCCAGTTGGCAGGAACACTTCCTGCCATTTGTTCGTTATTAGTAGTTTCATTGTAGCCTCTTCTTCCGAGCTGATTTGCAGCCGACGGCATGGAATTGATCGGACTTGTGGCTGAGGTAGCGGGGGTACTGTGATGGGGATGGTGGACGTCCACGCCAAATTCATGTTTCACGAATTCGTTATACTCCTCGATGCAATTGTCACAAACTTTGGAAAGAGTTCCGCGGCCCCCAGTGGTGAATTGGGCCAAATGGTTAATGTATAAATAGTGCATGGTGTGTTCCTTGCAGAAGATTCCACCACAACGACGGCAATGGTGGCGCCTTTCGAAGAAATTGAACGTTTTTGGGCAGTGAGCAATGCCACATTTCAGCACCGCTTCATCTTTAACCCAGTGCTTTCTCGTCGGCGCCAACAGAAGAACATGGTTGTAATTTCTGTGTGAAATATTGCGATAGGGACTTATCAGCAGGGATGCAGATTCAACCAGGGCATTGGAATCCATGGACTTGATCGACGCTTGCGACGAAATCGATTTGGAGTGTTCAAGAGCAACTTCAAACGAATGCGTTGGGCGCATTTCCAGCCCGTCGTGTTTGCGGTCTCTTCTTCCCATTTCGCCGTTCTCGTTCTGGGTTAGTCTCAACACAGCGGGTATATACATGGGACTACGAAGTCCTTTTATCTGCTGAAGATGTTTCGACTTTTGAGGTGCCTCGTTGGTGGGCGACTTCAACGCCCCAGGATGGACATTTCGTGACGTCATTAACGAGATCGGCAACGATGTGGTTGCGTTGGAGCCTTGTGTACCAGGAACTCGGTTGGTGATAGCAGTGAGTTTCGGTACATCTGCACGTTTGGGAGTGGGCATCACTGGAGAAATAGGGCTATATGTAGTCGGCAGTTCAATTGCTTGTTTCTCAGGAGGCTCCATTGGTTCGGTGGTTTTTGTGGTTTTCGTGGTGGTTTTGGCGGTAGTGGCATGGCTGGTGAGAGCTGAAGTTGGGGTACTTTCTTGTGGAGTTTTCGAGAGATGTGAAACTTTGGGTTGTCTGGTCAAGCTGGCAAAGCTGGACAAGTCCACTTCTGCCGGTTGGTAGGGCTCAGTGAGTGTGGTATTCTCGTTTTCTTTGAATGAGACATTTCCTATCTGGACTTCTTTGGGATGAGAAGCAAGCATGGGAGATAAGCTAAGTTTCTTTAAAGCATTCAACGTCAATTTGTGTTGCTGCAAGACAGTGTCCTGGTCTTCCTGACTTTCCTCCGGGTTCTGAGGCGTTTCAGGCTTGGAAGCAGGTTGCGGTGACTTTGGTTTATCGTGATGGAACGGTAATTGCTGACCAATCTCCACCTCGTCAGGCTTGTAACTAGAAATACTCGAGAATACCGGAGCTTGAATGTAAGACTGGAAGTTCTTACTGTGTGCGTGATTGAGATTACCAGCTATGCTGTTTTGTCGAGAAGCCGTAGCGGTGGTATTGGCCTGAGAATTGGCGTATTGCTGCTTCAACGATTTCAACGAAGCGGTGGAAAGCACAGATTGAAACGACTGGGCTCGTGAGCTCCGTACATCTTTCTTCTTGAACGAGAGCTCCGACGAAGACTCCATTTTGTCATTGTGCAGCGGCGTTTGGTGGTCATTCTCAGCTTCAAGCAGCAGTTCCTGAGGGCCATTCAGTGGCGTTCTAGGACCATACCTACGTTCAGGACTAGGCGACGATGGGATGGTGAAAGTTGTGGAAGATTCCATACTTTAGCGCGATGGAGAATCCTGATGTAAAATCCGAACCTTCTTATCAGACGACAAATCGGTGCTGGTTATAAACAATGGGAATGCAAAAATGCAAAAAGATGTGGCTAACGATGATGTGTTATGGTATGTGTGAGCAGATAGTGACAATATATGCACCGCTGGCTGTCAGTGCAACTCCAAACACAAAGTGTGGTGTTAGCTGGGACGAGTATTAGATTAGATTTTCAGCAATCCCGCTGGATCCCAATAGGTGCGAGTTACGTAAGCGGGCTGCGAAAGGTGGGTGCTGGTATTGGTTGAGAGAAGAAGTACTGGGAACAAGCCAAAGAAAAGGGTCACTTCTGGGAACGGTTGTTGGAGGCTGTTTTATGGTGTTTTGTTCATTGCATTCGTAGATAGTACTTGTCACTTGTCACTTTTCACTCTTCAGTTTTTTCGTAAAATCGTTATCACTAATAACACCAAGCTTATGCGAAACACATAATCTAGTGTCTCCTGAAGTTGTATCTGGTGTGTTTTTGCCGCCCATATATAGCCGACTACCAGAGCCAGTAGTGTGGGCGGCAAGAAATAGTGCATAAGTCCATGCATGACTCGTGCATGGATGGCTGCAAACTGCGACTGCACACCGTTGTCGGGGACGACGGAAGGTGGTTCCGGCTGCAAAATCACCACTGATTCTTTTATTTCTTCTTTAACTCTTTTTGCGGGTATTTGTTTCGTGTCTTTTTCGTGAAAAAAGGACCCCACCAACGCTTCCATAACTGGCTGTCTTGACAGTAGCACCGTCAGCGACACAGGGAATCCTGGTCCCAATTTTTTTGTTTCTACCAAATTAGTTTCGTTGGTCATTTTACCGCAAGAACACTCGCTTACTTATCTGGTCCTATTCTTCTTTCCCTCCAATATTTGGCGTCTCGGTGTCTCGGTATCTCGTGGAGTGGGGAGAAACGTAAACACACTTGACTGCAGGACCCGAGATGCAGGTGTTGCGTTTCCCCGGCTCACGAGTTTGTACCCAACAGCTCACAAACTATAAACAGCTACTAAAACCAATTGCAAGTCATGAACGCTGCTTTCATATTGTCTCGTGCTGCCTTTTTCAGAACAAGTGCAAGATCATTCTCCCGCTCCATTTCCATGGCCGTGGGAGCACGCCCCACACTTCGGTCGCTTCCATTAATGTTGGGTGCTGCCGGCTCGGTAATGATGGTGAACACTTCCATGCTTAAAAAGTCGCCCATTCTTAACGACGTTGCTCAATTGAACCAGGGCTCCATCCGCTCGCAATTGAACGACAATCTCGCCTTCAATGGTAAGGAAGTTGCCCCAAAGCAATCATGGCTCCAGCAACATGTGAACTACCAAGAACTCTGTATCGGATCCATTACCGGACTCTTTTTGGGAATCATTGCAGGTAAGCTTAGTTCCGCCATTGTGTTTTTGACTTTGGCAGGTTATTTTTTGACTCAATTCTTGGAAAGTAGAGGTATCGTTACCATTCCATGGAGAAAAGTAGTCAGTGTAGGCAAGGAGAAAATCGATGTCAAGTCGTTGGTGTTGGAGCAATCTAGCTTTAAGGTTCCTTTTGTACTCACATTCTTGATAGCTGCCTACAACGTTTAAATATGCAATATAAGTTTATGATACAAGTTATTTTAGTTTTTAGTTCATTGGCCCATCTTGGCGAGCACATCAAATGATCCGGTTCCCACGTTGGAAAGTTTTCCAACGACAATTTGCGCCGATGGAGACTCCAAGTCCTCTGTAGTTCCATCCAACACAGCCTTGGTCAAAAATTGACATGTGGTCTCGTAAGACATCTTCATGAAAGCAGACGTAGATGAGTCGATTCCTTGTCTGTTGAATGCTAGGTATGTTCCCTCTCTGGTCATCATGTCTCCGATCAAATCCAAATGACGAGAAGAAACACTGATGGCATACCGGTCGAAAACATTGTTAATTTCATTGACAATGGTGTTTCTAGCAGCTTCCACACCATAGGTTTTCAACACAGCAGCGATATCGTTGGAGGTAATTTTGTTGACATCGATAAAGTCATCGTGCTCCCACATGGCTCCAAAATTGACTCCCTCGGTAGTCAATACTCTAGCTCCACCAGCATCGGGTTGTGGTCTGACACACCGTCCAATTCGAGGCACTTCTCTCACCACCACCTTGCGACACATGTCCTCGATAATGTTCACCATCAACAATTTCTGGGACTCGCCGTACAATCTCAAGTCAAACTCACACCATTCTCCGTTAGTATCGTCGAAATTGTACTTGGTAACCATATTGTGAGACGAGATAACGTCCATTTGACGGTCTCTTGCTGCCTTAGATAAAGGTTCAGATTGGCTAGCGGAAGGCTTTTTTTCTTCGTCTTCGGAGTCCTCTTCTTCATCAGAACTGGAAGACCGGTCGTCCGAAGACTCGTCCATTTCTTCCTCGGAGGATTCCTCTGCCTTTCTCATCGTTTCAATTTCGTCGTCGTCGGGTTCTTCATAAGAAACAGCTTGCTTCGAGTTGCGTTTTTCGCTAGACTCGTCGTCTTCTCCATCTTCTTCAAGGCTTGGTTTGGCAATCGAAAAGTCGGTGTTCGACTTGGAAACGGCCTTTCCTACTGTTGGAAGACTTTCGGCCTTTCTGTGCTTTTTAACCTCTTTCGAGATTTGCGATTCTAACGCATCAAGGAACACGGTAGACACCACATGCTCCAAATGTTGTCTCGAAACATCGTACTCTTCTTCGTACTCCAGGCAATGGTAGAATCTCAACTTGACATTGTACGATCTGGAGTTTTCTTCTCCATCGCTTCCTGTAGTCTCAGTAACGACAACCCGATCCAAGAACTCAGACAATACCACCCTAGCCACAGACTTACAGAAGGCGTCCGCCTGGGCATCGTTGACATCGTCAAGAATAGGCAAGTTCATTTGCGGAGTTTTAATGGCGGCTGAAGCTGTCATAATAATTTCTCTCATACGAGGTATACCCAAGGTGACATTAGCAGCACCATGACCGGCGAAATGGAAAGTATTCAATGTCATCTGTGTTGAAGGTTCACCAACGGACTGCGATGCAATAATTCCCACGGATTCTCCTGGATTTATCAACGACCTCATATACTTCAATTGCATCAATGCTCTAAATTTCTTCTCACTGATGCCAGAAGATTTCTTGAACAAGTCTGCATTGTCACTAACAAAAGCCTCCAATCTCTCCTGGAACTTTTCAGAAACAGAACCCAAGTACTTGGCTGGGTTGTACACCGATAATACTGGATCGTACTTGTAGGCTTGTTCATAGTGAGGTAATCCAGCCTGTTTCTTCTGGTTCTTTCTAACCTTCTTGGCATAGTGAAGAGCCTCGTCGGTGTTCAAATGGTGGGTCAAGTCTCCAGGATTATACTTTGTTAACAAAGCATCATAGTTCTCCACACAGAATTTGAATTGGTTCATATGAGATTGCTTTGTGGTATCAATGGAATCTCCTCCGTACAAAAATTGGATCAAGGTTCCGTCACCGTCTCTCACCGAGTTATCGTAGGCAACATGTACTCCTTCCAACTGCTTGGTCAAACATCTTTGCAAGTATCCAGATCTAGAGGTCTTTACAGCGGTATCAATTAAACCTTCACGCCCAGCCATACAATGGAAGTAGTATTCCTGAGGCCGAATTCCAGAGTAGAATCGTCCTTTAATGTACCCACCTGCTCTAGCATCGGTTTCATAAGGCTTGAACGATGGTAAAGTCTTTCCAGAAACCATAACAGGTACTCTTCTACCTTCCAAAGCCTGCTGTCCTAACAAACACATGATTTGCGAAACATTGACATTGGAACCCTTGGCACCAGACAACGCCATAGCTTGCATGGAATTGTAAGGAAACCTTTTCATCGTTCCTTCAGGAATACACTTGGAGACGACCTGCGAAGTAATGGCATTGACCTTCGATTGTGTAACAGCATCCAAAATACCAGCATTATTTTCGTCTCTCAAAATTCCTTCTAGTCTCTTGATCAATTCACTATCAGTGCTTGAAGTAGTTGGGTCCAAATTGGTAACCTCAGCAGCTGCAACACGACCAATATCAACAGATTTTTTCAAGATATCTTTTCTCCATTCATTTCCTTCTGCGGTCAACCTCAAATCGTCCATACCACAAGTGAAGGCAGTCATCATGATATAGTTGGTGAATAACCGTCCAAGAACAGAAAGTGCCTTTCCTGCAACGTCAGGACCATAGACCTCGTGCAACGAGTGAACAATACCAAATTGAGAAGCACCATACTGTGACTTGTCTAAAATACCGCATAATAATTCACCATTTCTAAACAAGACTTCATTTTCCTGCGAGGCCACTCCCCAGTATTCGTTCTTGATTTTGTTCTTTGATGTCAAATTGACTCCAGGAACGTTCTTGGGTTTAATGTTCAACAAAATAGTGGTGATGACTTGCTTTCCTGTCCATAAGGGTTCGGGCTTGATGATGGTTGGTGGGACCGTCAAGATTCTGCTGTGGGATGTGTGACCATCTTCGGGACGAATACAGCCATAAATTAACTGCTGGTAGATTTCTCTGGTAAAAAATGAGTCCTTGTTTGTCAACCACACACCGGCAGAAATGTGATCTTGAATCAACCCTCTCAAAGGAGAACCGGAGGTTGGAGTCAAGTATTGCGAATCGGTATTGGCCAAATTTAAAGCTTCCGACTTGGCATTTTCGTTTTGTGGAAAATGCATGTTCATTTCATCTCCATCAAAATCGGCGTTATAGGCACCAGTGTTGGCATAATGTAACCTCAATGTCTTTTCTCCAGGTAATACTCGTACCTTATGACCCATCATGGAAGCCTTGTGCAATGTGGGTTGACGGTTCATTATTACAACATCTTTGTTCTTGATGTGTCTGAACACCTTTTTGTTAATTACGGACACACCTCCAGATGGAGTCAATAATTGGTTGGCAATGGCTTTTCTTTGTTCCAAAGTCATACCCACCAAAGAAACCATAGTACCGTCTTCGTTTTGAACTTGGGTTGCACCAGGCCATTTTTCTGGCCCATTGATAACCGCTTGTCTTAACTGTGAAACATTGTAGGAGGTTACAGGTTCTGGGTATGTCAATTTCTTGGCGAAAACTGGAGGAACTCCAATCTCATTAGTCTCCAACATTGGATCAGGAGAAATAACCGATCTGGCTGCGTAGTTGACTCTCTTACCCATCATATGCTTTCTGAACAAACCTTCCTTCTTTTCTAAAGCTTGCTTAATACCAGGATTTGGAACCTTTCCAGCTGGAGCATTTTGGTTCTTCGTCGAGTCAATAAAGGCATTCACATCGTTCTGGATGGTGACAAATGCGTTCATTAATCTGTTGAAGATGATTTTTCTCTCTTCAACAGAAAGTTTCCCCTTTTGCATCGTCGAGATTTGATCGTTCAAATCACGAATCAAAAGTGATGTCTTCAAGACGTTAGAAAGCAACTCATTCTGGGAATTTTCGTGGATTTCGTCTCCCAATTTGGAGGGCAATCTGAATCTGGTTGCTGGTACTATCAAAGCGTGCAAAAAGAAGATATCAGCAGTAACCTTTTCGGTTTGAAAGGGTCGAGAATGGAACATTTTTTGTATGATAGCCTGCTCTTTTTCAAACACAGCTCGCAAAATATTTCTGATTTCGGTGGACAAAACGTACTTGAATCCATCCTTATGCTTAATATTGGGCATGCTTCCGTTGGAAGTGGCAGAACTGGCTCCAACCTTGAACATATCTGGACGTACAAGTCCCTTTACCCTGTTGTTGGTGACCTGCTTGTCTCTCAAAGCGTTTTCAAATATCTTGGTGAAACCGTCTTTTCTGAACGTGGGCGAGTACATTCCACAGTTATCACACTTTGGTCTGCTCAATAACCTTTTGGAAAATTCATGCAAGATGGCCTTACGTTCTTCTCCCACAGATGCTGTGACTACACCATTATGAGAGCTACGACCCTCGCTGATCGCTTTGGCAATGCAAGTATCGACGAAGGTCTCACGACGGTGGCGAAGTTCTCGTTTAAGTTTGGGGTCAACCTGCTTGGAGGACGCAACCTCATCATCTTCCTCGTCATCGTCACTTTCAGCTTGCGATTTGCCATTCACAAACATATTGTCCAATTCCTCGCACTCGAGCAATAAGCCGTACTGGATCAACTTTAATTTGCACTCGTAGCGGTGAACTTCCAAAGAATTGAGTCGAAAGTGATGACAGTAAAGACACAGCGACCGCAACAAAATATACATCTGGTTGAAGAATAACGGATTATAAACAGGCGTGGGTAACTCTATGTGGCCCTGGTGCCCGGGACAGAACTTTTCATCAAGTCCACATGTGGCACACAAGTTACGGAGAAAAGCTCCTAATGCTAAATCGTAGAGACCGCCATTTATAGGGTGACCCAAATTGTCGAATACGGTCGGATTGCTGATTCTCTTTGCAGAAATCCGTCGAATTTCATCCGCAGAGAGCACACCGAAATCCACAGATGTAATTTCGGACCCTACGGGTTTGGATATATCCATGGTTGAGTATGCGGTGAGTGGAAATTTTCATCTCATCTCAAATTTTTTGATGAAGTATTAGGTGAGATTGAACCGATGCTTATGTAAGAAACATCAAAGAAGATGGAGACGACAATGGTCTCCTACAGTGTGTCCACGACATGATGTCCATTCATACATATAGTACTGATACATGATTCACTCGGATTTTCCGAGGTGCAATCCTTTCTTCAAAACCTTCACTCCTCCACCAAATCCTTTACCTACAGTGCCAACTCCCTTTCCGACACCCTTTCCAACTCCTTTACCGACTCCCATTCCGACATGGCCCACACCACCAATTGCTCCTTGAATATTGCTGCTGCTGACACTTCTGAGGTTCAAAACGAATTCGGGCTTGAATTTGAATTTCAAGTAAGCGGTTCCTCCATCTTCCTCGTCAAGTCTCAATTTGACTGGTACTTCTTCATCGCTCTCCAAGTCAACGTCAGACATTTTGATGTAGCCAATGCCCAATGGGTCGTCCTGCTCGGGACCAATGTCCCAATCGTTACACACCACCTTGATCACCGAATCATACATGTTAACCACTTCGACTTCTCCACTTTCATTCCATGTAGGATCGAGAGTTCTCTTGATCTTTTTGGTCTTCATAAAGTGCTCTTTCTCTGTGTTCAAGTGCAACTTGATGTAAGGATCAGATTTACCATTGCGGTCGGCGGAAATCAAGTTTTCAGCTCTAACGACAGTGCATGTAAGAATTCCAGAATTGTTGATGGAATCTTGTGGTGGGATTCCATGCTCGTAAATGACAGGAACCCAAGAGCATCTTATACGGAAAGAAGCATGACCATCTCCCAGAAGTGTAATTTCGGTTGGTTCATCAAAACCATTCTTCAACAATTGCAATGTGGGAATGTTCAACTCCGCAACACACTTATCAAGTCGAGTATTATCTGCCTTTTTCGCCAATCTGAAACATGCTTTTGACCATTCAAGCTCCTTGATGATGGCATCTCCTGTGATTCCAACCTTGGGCTTTTTGCTTTCCAACTTCTGAGTAGCAAAGTCACAATATCCATGGTTATCAAAGAACACTTGCAAGTAAGTATCGTCCTTACTTATCTGGCCATCAATAATCTCATAGATGATAACACCACTCTTATACTCAGAGAGCTGATCCAAAGACAACTGCAACTTGGTACTGTGTTCGCTTTCATCTTCATTTCCAGCATCTTCCTCCTCTTCTTCTTTTCCTTCTTCTTTTTCAGCTTTGGCATGGTGTTTAGGCGATTGATCCAGCTTTTCCTTCTTCGAATTCTTACCTTCGGCCTTCTCTTGTTCCTTTTGCTTTGCCTGTTTCTCTGCTTGTTCTTTCTCTTCCTCCTGCTCACGAATTTCTTCGTGTGTCATTACAGGCAAAGTAGGGAAGAAACCAAGTGAAAAGGTAACAGTTCCCTTGGGTCCCTTCTTTGTGATCAACTTGTTCTCCCTCTTCTCTTCATCCTCGTGCTCAATGTAGTTGCCTTTTTCATCCTTGTTGATGATCTCTTTCAACTTGATATCAAAGGAGCCTAATGTACGGTCCGCCGAGTGGGCTTCAACGTCCATCACTTCGATGGTGAGTTTCTGATTAGAAGAAGAAACTGTAAGATAATGGATCTCATTCCAGGTAGGATTCAAAGTAGAGTCGGCAGCAACTGTACGAGCACGTTCGAAACCATTGACAAGAAGTCTCGCATATGGATCGATAGTTCCAATTCTTTCCAAATTCCTTAAATCCTCAGCCCTGTCAATACTGACTCTAACAACACCAATAGGAGGAGCATATCCACCGGCTCCGCTAGCACCTTCGAGCTCAACAGGTTTCCAAGAAGTATTGATTCTAACTTCTCCACCTTTGGCTAAAGGAAACCAGGTCTCTCCCACTTGAGTAGCGTCCACAAGATTGTTCAATGAAGTTTTGACAATGCCTAAGGTCTTGCCTCCCTTCAACTTGACGACAATCTTGGCCTTCGCCTTAGCTTTGTTGCCTATAATCTTCTCATAGGAGGAGGCCCATCCTGGGTTATTTGTGTTAGCTTGGACTGAACTTTGAAGCAATCTCTCATTATTCAAGTAAATCTCAACATAAGTAGATGGTGGTTTCTCACCAGACTTCAAATGTCTTCCTTCTGCAACCTCGATTCTTGCAATACCTGTATTCAAATCAGGTGGTGGAATAATTGCACCATCAGCTTGTCTCTCCGCTTCAATACTAGGCATGAAGTGTAATCCAAACTGAAGTTCACCCACAGGTTTGTTGTTACGCATTACTGCTGTGGTCAAATTTGGTTGCTTGGGATTATCGAGTAAAGTCTCCAAATCGTACTGAACGGAACCGACTGGTTTGTCCTTTCTCACGTCGTTATAGTCCACCACAGTAATGTTCAATGGCTCGGTGTACGAATTGATTGTAATGTAGACAGTTTCGTTCCACACAGGTCTGTCTGTATTATCCTTTACAGATGTTTTCGCAGAAACATCTTTTTGGAAACCAAAGGTCAAATAAGGATCCAAGGTGTTGCCCAAAGTTGTGAACCCCTTCAAACCACGAGCAGATTTGGCAGTAATCGCCAAAACACCAATGGCTGAGTTGAGTGCATGGCCTGCGACCAATTGTTGAACGTTCAATTGATACGACAATGGGGAAAATAAAAGAGAACCCACGTATTTCTTCACCATCTCATTGATGAACGGATAGAGTCCAGGGAGTCCCAAAACTTCCCAGTTCAAGATTGAGTCGCCGAGGATTCTGGAATTGAAGTCAAAATGAGGAGGCTCCAATAAAGAAACATTGACAGTTTCAACATGGGGAAAAGAAGACATCATTCTGAGTCTGATTCTTGCAATAGCACTGAAGCAAACATCAGATACAGCCACCATGACTGGGAAACCAAAAACCAGGGCCTTAACAATGACTTTTTGGTTGACTCTGTTCTTCAATTGCTTATTATTGGAATCTGCCAACGCATTAGGAGTAAAGGAAAACCGCCAGTCCATAACCACAATATCGTCGTTGGTTCCGAGCACAGTCTTGACTTTGTCTACTCTGAAAGGTTTGGTACCTGCTGTGAAGCTATCAAGCCACAATTGCTTGATGAACGCTGGGGCAGGAGACGAAGCCAAAATAGGGTTGACTTGCTCGCAAACAATTTGGGAAATTGAGGGCTCAAGGTAGTACCAGAATTTTTCAAGGAACACATTGAACCAGTCCATGGTTTCGTAATCATCTTCAATGGTCTTGATAGAGAACTCTCTCTGGGCTTGCTCACGAAGAACAGTTCTGTACTTACGGACTGAGGAACGATACAACAACGCAGTTACCACGATTACCACGAACAACGGGCCAGCCGAGAGCCTAAACCAACCAATAATGAACGACAACAAGCCGCCAACAAACAAAAACCCCACATTATGGTACCAATCTCCATAGGCGGAAGCAGGGAGATATGTGTCCAAAAACGACGCTTTCGAAAGCAAATCCACCACATCGTCATCTAATGTAAGTGCATCCTCATCTTCGTAGCCTCCGACCTCTCTCCAGCCTCGATAAGTGGGTTCGACAGGCAACCGTGGAGGAGGTTTTTCTGGAAATTCTGAAAGATCCAAATCTTCACTTGGCGTCAACTCAGCAGGTTCGCTCTTCTTTTTCCGCGCCATCGACAACGCGGCCGATTGCAGTGTCGTCAGTTTACTCAATGGCCCACCGTTTATAGGGGGTTCCCGTTGATCGACCTCAACCTGGTCGGGAGGATCAATCATTTCATTTGGCTGAGTTAGTATAGGTGGTCATAGCATTGTGTGTACGCAATTGGTGTGTATCTACTTACATCAGCGGACATTTTGCTGTATTGACAACGAAATTGATAACACTGTGGTCAATCAATGTTGCTGTTCCACAGATATTTCAGGTACGGTCGTGCGCGTCGACGGCCTGCAGACAAGCGCTGAAGCCAATGGCTTGGTGCGGCAACCGGTTGCGGTTGCGGCTGGCGCGGCGCAGCTGCAAGTGAAGAGGAAAGAGATGGTCCACGATAGATCTAGCGAATGCAAAATAGCGAATGTAAAATAATTTATATATTACTATCTGGTTTTGACAAAAGACAAGCACAGTTTGGGCGTCATCACTACAGACTCGTAGACCAAAAGCACCGTGAGTAGCGCCGTGACAATGCCCATGAGAGCAGTGGTGTTGAGTTCGGCTAAGCTGACACAAACGATGATTATTCCTATGGGAACCCGGACAAAAATGCGCCAGAACCGCGAAACGAGATGTAAATCTGGTGGGTCTCTTCCTTGGTCATAAAGACCAATCAAAAACATACATATGAGAGAAACGCAGATTCCGCCGGTAAAGTAAAATGAAAGTCCATACATGTTGGGTGCCTCTTCTTCTGACCGACGAATGAATCTTTCATGGACACCAGCTGCTGGCTCAGTTTCAGGCTCGAGGTGTTTTTTGGTGGAGGTAATGTCTAGAGAGCAAAGGTCTCCGCCAGCATCGGCCGCCAACACCAACAGAGCCACCAACGGGAGATGGGTGTACATCCACGCAATGGCGGTCCACCCACTGTAGCGCAACGCATGGGTTGCCTTTTTACAGCTGGAACCGTATTGGTAGATCCAGAACAAATCGTAGGCGATAATTAGCAAGAAAACTCCGCGAGCAAACTTGTCGGTGAGACCAGTGCCCAAAGGACCTTCTGCCACCACCTTGTACAAAAACTCACCAATGGCAATGGTAACAAACACACCGTATCTTTCCACCTCATGCTCAATATTCAACGCGGTGGACTCGGTCAATTTCATGTATTTCTTGGTAATCGGATGGTATGCGATTACTTGACTCGCCATCTCAAGAAACAAAATTGCAAACGATAACCCGATTTTGGCTCTGGTTGATATAAAGATCACAGGGATCCATAAGCAACAAGTTACCAAGATCATTCCGGAGTAAAGTCGCATTTGAGGGCGATGTTGGGGGATAAAGAACGAGTATATCACCAAACTGATGGCCAACGAAATTCGGCATAAAATATAGGGAACTACCGTAAGAGCTGCACCTTTGACATCTTCGAGCACTCGGTAGTGGTTATTGGAAAATAGCGTCAAAAGAACTAATATCCACAAGATATATATCTTTTGTGACAAGTCCTCGTTATAGTAATAGTTGGTGAAATCTTTGATATCGGCCCAAACCATCCATGCGGGAATAAAAAGTAACACATACTCAAGGAACGCTGCTCCTGTTGCTTCTTCGGCGGCGCTTCCCGCGAGATTTGCTATGATTCCCACATACATCAAATCGAGAAACAATTCGGTTTTAGACGAAGTTCTCTCTCCCTTGGTTCGGTACAATACTCCGTCTTTAAAGTAGTTCAATGCATGGGGTCGAATAAACCACACCGCATCTTTGGGTCTCTTGATGTACTGGAAATTGATATCTCCATATTTCCTCACAAACTCTTCTTCATCCAGTGAATCTGTAATCATAATCTCACCGTCTACTTCCATTTCCTCATCTACAATTCCACTCGTCCCCACGTTATTTTCCTGTGACCCGTTTTGATTGTCGCTGCTAAAGCTGGGTCTAGAGTAGTCGTGGGACGTATCCCCAGCTTTGTTCATTGTGTTTGAATTTACGGAAAGAAAAGGTAGGAGAATAAATAGGAAATTGCAGCGGAGTTTCGCACGGCTGGATGAAATTGGCAGCTCCGATAAAACCGAGGACCAAAAAGACTAAAGAAAATGAAGAAAAAAAACTTGATAAGGTCTCAGTCGGATAATTCGGAGACAGTATATATTTTTTGCAAACATACAATTGGGCATTGACCCTTTTATTGCCTGAACTCTGTTTAACGAAGGTTCGGTTTGCAGTGTGTCGGACTGCAGATAGACGGAAGAGAAGCCGATGCCATATGTCAAATAGCCAAAATAACCGAAAACGGTAAAGATTACGAAAATTAGCAAGGGAAGCTATTTCGGACTTTTGTCAACATTTTGACTCATTAAGCTTTTAAAGCTTCTTAGCTTTCTTAATTTTTCATCTTATATCACCATACATTCTTTGAGCCTATTTTCGATTTGCATATTTGCAAATTACTGCAAAAAATCAAAATTCCACCAAATCACAGAAAAACTTCACAATATCAATTACCCCAAACCTCTACTTCTATAACTCTTAAACCTAGCCTCTCTCTTCCTCCCGCACCACATTCATAGCCTTTTCTCTCTCCTCTGCTTTCCACCTTAGCGTCCTGCACAAACCCGCACTCCGCCAATAAAATTCAATCGAAACCACCTTGACCACAATGCACAATCCTTGGGCCAAGAGAGACGCCTGGAGATACGAGGGTCAGTTCAGCAGACTCAATAGATTCAGAAACGCATTTCCAGGATTTGGAATTGCCGTGGTCGCTTTTACGGTATATGTTGGATACGAAAAATTGGTATTGAAAGACCAACATGAAGAACATCATTAAGTACTTATAAATACATTCATGGATACAGGGTGTAGCCGAGTAGAGAGACAAGGGAAGCACATGGATTTAAGGAATTGTTCCGTATCAATTGGTTATATTCTCAAGATTCGACTTCTGATGCTAATCACTAAAAATTTGAATCCTCAAGTATCAAATCTTTACATCTATATTCTTCAACTTTCTATATCTCTAGTTGTCCAGCTCTTCAAATTTCATTCAACAATCCCCGTCTCCTACCTCTTTAACGTTCGAATTTTCTATCTGATGAATTCTTCTCTAGACCTCCATTTCTCTAGATCTCTACTACCCTTAGTCTCTCTAATTCTCTACTTCTCTTCGTTTCTTCTCTCTTCGTTTCTTCTCTACTCCTCTTCTCCCATTACTATTTACAGGCTCTCTTCTTCCACAAATTCGGTTTCCCATGCAGACGTCGTTTTCTCCACCACATCCTCCGCTCCCATCGACCCATTTGAGCTCTTTCCATCCTTGCTAGCCGTCTTGACCTTGGTGGCATCGCCAGCAACCTTGGTCCAAATATCAATGTATTCTTGTTCTTGGTTGACTCCATGCTCAAGGTGAGGCGATGGGAATACGGCTCCATACATAGTCGACTCTTCCCGAGAAACCGCACTGCTCATCTCCTCCTCCATGCGCAAACGATAAAACTCAAACCGGGCTTCATCGTACGCATCGAAAAGGGTAATGCTCTTACCATCCATCTTGGACCGGTTCAATAACCACAACGTTCTTTGTACCACCGACTCTCCATCGAGCGGTTTGTTGAATTGGAGCATGTGTGACCAGTCACATTTGCTGTTATCGTCTCCCAGAGTCTCCACCAATACTTTGGGACGAGAAAATTCCCATGGATGCTGATGGTAAAATACATCTCTCAATTGATCTTCCAAAAATTGTAATTTGGGCACCCTGGAAACCAGGTTATTTTTCTGCTTTCTGTCTTCTACGCTCGTCCTCGTCTTGTATTCTCCATTAATCTTGGTGAAAATTGATTCCAGAGGATCGGATTTTTGGCCGCCTGTTTCGAATAGCTTAGGTTTTTTCGTCAAGTTCGTCGAAGGTGGATGTGCCCCCACCACGTCAAACCAAGCGGGTTTGGTTCTTAACAAGCCTGCTTTGAGGTAATGCGACGTGCGCTCAAGCACACCGGTGGCCCCAGTTTGTACTTTCATATTGAGCTACAAGTCAACGAAAAATTTTTGACCTGCATGCGCCCGGTGATTTTTGGTGAGCGGCACTGCACAGAGCCTCAAACTAACCATCGTACTACGACAATGCCATGGTGTTGATCCGACGCTTCACTACGAGCGCTCGACTATGGAAACAAGAATTCGACATTGACAAATGCGTGGAACGTATAACCAGAAATTTGGCCTATAGAGACGACTTTCCGTACCTTTTTGATGCATATGATACCATTATACAACGCCATCGCAGCTGGAATATCAACAAGTACCCTGTAAAAGAGACCACGATTTTCCTGGAAAACTTGGAAACAGATGATACAAAAGACCAGCGACGCAAAATTATCAATACCCTGAATTATAGAGCTCCATCAGCAACATATATCAATTTCTTGAAGACATTATATCCATCAAAGTTGCACACTTCTTTGCATTTGGGACAGCAGCCTTCGCCAAACAGCCATGGTCCTATCGAGAACATGCTAAAATATCAAAATATCAACCATGACTTGCTTTATCAACGATTTTGCTCTCTTCCTCGTCCAGCATTTCTTCATATGAGGCCCCAGCACGCCGAAGATTTCCTCTCCAAGTTTTTAACTCGACGAGATTTCACCAAACCGAGCTTACTCTCGTCCTCTTCAACACTCGGTCCTATTGCTACCATTAGAGCATACCAGGAACTGATCGAGAAACGTACCGAATACGTGGATATGTGCTCGCATGTATTTCAAGATTTACGAGACTCAGGTCTTCCTACGACCAGCAGCGAGAGAAACAAACTTTTCTACTACCTTTATCACAAGGACAGACACGATGTTCTAAAATTGGTCGATAAAGCGGTTTCTTTGTGTGATTCCGATACTCCATTACTCAACTTTACTCCACGCAAATTCGACTGGTCGGCGTACAAAACGTTTATTAACCAGTTTGAGCTTGATGAAGATACGGCTAATATGCTATTATCTTTGGCAATTCGTCATAAGCAGCCTGCAATTGTTTCAGATATACTCGATAAGGTGGGAATTGATAGTGAACGAACCGCCAGTCTTGTGTTGGATGCACAATTGAATCCTTATTGGTCCAAAAATCTTCCTCAGACGACGATCCCAGCTCTCGAGTACTGCTCGCGAACACATTTAGATATCAGTACCGTCAACAAAATCATAAAGTATCTCGTTCATCGAGGACACATCCGCTTAGCAGAAAAAATCCTCAAGCATTTCAACCCAAAAGAGTCTTTGGCAACCAACAAGCACCTAATTACTTACAAACAGTTGACACCCGAAGATGTCCAGTTGTATGAGACCACGCTCAAATCTTATGATGAGTTTTTGAGGCTTAACGACCAAAAGCGAGATTACAAACTATTTCCCACGGAAGACACATTTCTTCCGTTGATAGAATTCTATTCTTCTCAGCATCAGTTCGACCACGCATTGAGACTCATGGATGTTATGGAAATGGGGTTTGGGCTCCCATTAACTACCAGAATATTTCGTGCTGTGGTTGAGATCTTTAAACACATTTCCATCGAACAAGGTTCAAATTATAGCCTCGAGAAATTTCGGTACTTGCTAGCTCGCATATTGTTGTGTCACAGCTATAGCTATAGAGTAGTCGACGATACGACATATGGCAGCTTGACGTCGGATCTCACCGTCCCACCATCTTTGGAGCCTTATTTGTCACCATTTCTCAACAATGCTGAGCCAGCGTTACCATACAACAGAGGGACATTTCTCAAGTTGAAAGACGACTTGATGTCGAGCATTTTCATGGCTGCGATCCATGTTATCAACGACTCATCGTTGGCTCATCAGATATCCGAACTGCACATTCTACTTAAAAAAACAGTGGCAGATTTACGAAAGTCAAACGACAGGCGCCTGGACTCCGCCAAAGCAGTGTATATAAACGACGGAGTCACCTACGCCAAAAGAGAGGCATTGTTTGAACTCATGGAAATGATAGTTTGACAAGAAGAAAAAAGGAAAAAGAACATATGATAAGAACGAGGAAAAGAACATAAGAATGATGATAGAGGAGGATAGACAAAATATCATAAAGACCCAAGTCAAGTCAGTGAAGACTTAAGTCAAGTCAAGACTTACACTTTAATGTTGGCTTATGCTTTGGCTATCTACCTACACCATTTCCTTTGCCAGTTTGCCCAATGTCTGGCCACGGTAAAATTGAGCTTGCTGCTCGGCTGCCGCAAGGTTTCCTTCTTCAGTTATGAGTTCATCGAGGTCATAATCGTAATGGTTTGGATCGGTATCGACATCGAGTTTTTCTTTTCGTTTCCGTAACGACGGAGTTCCATCATGCTTTAATGTCATTCTCACCGGCAAATCATCGGTGGTAACTTTTACCCTGTTTTTCAACGAGTCTTTATGGGTTTCGTTCGCCTGTTCTTGTCGAGCTATTTCATCCGGGGGAAGATACCCCATAGTTCCGGAGGAAACAGCTGAAGTAGAATGCACCAGTTTTGTCGGTTTTTTCTTTTTTTGCTTCTCATACGTGGCAAGCCCAGACATGTATGGAAGTGCAATGGCCAAAACCACGAACACAAGTCCAACCAACAATACCGCAAGCATTAGGACCTAACGGTACTATCGGCGATGCGATCGAGAACCGGTGCATCTCGCGTGACACATCGATACACCAGCACCACAGTTAGCCTCACGTCATTTTCCAGAAATTATAGTGGTTACATTCACTTGGTTCTTCTTTTGAAATGTTTCGCCAGGCAATAAGACGATTTCACGGCGTGGGCAGAACCACCAGGGGAACCACCAGGCTTGTGCAAGTACCATTGAGGCGCCAAGGGTGGCCAATTACGAATGCTCCAGGTATGATTGGTGGTCGGTTTTACTCGATTAATACGGAAGGAGAAGACATTTCCGACTCCATAGATAAGATTAGCATCGGCGAGTACCATCGTGTGGCAGATGAGTATTTGGAAACACTTGCTGACGAACTTGAGACTCTTGCCGAGGATAATCCTCAGGTTGATGCCGAGCTCAGTCACGGAGTTTTGACGCTTGTTCTTCCTCCCTATGGAACATATGTCATCAACAAGCAGCCACCTAACCAGCAAATATGGCTCAGTAGCCCTGTGAGTGGCCCGAAGCGGTTTGACCTCATCAAGTCCCGGTGGATCACATTGCGGGATAACTCTTCGTTGACGGAAACACTTGAAACCGAGCTTTCTTCAGCATTAGGAAATGAAACCAAGCTCGATGTGCAACAATAATGTATATAGACATCAGCTAGATACCGAAGAAGGTGTCCTCCAAACTTGTAGGTCTTCCTTACAAACTTGTAGATCTTCCGTGTCTTACATAACCGCACCAACTTGGCGCATCGCTGCGAAACGGCACCGGTCTTCCGTCATGCCACCGAATATACGGTTGAAAGGGCCCCTCATGAGTAGCAGCAGGGTGTCCATACATACAGAGTACCATATACGGAACAAGAAACGAGTGAAAAAATTAACGGTATCCATAAAACTTGACCCGGAAAAATTGCGACAAGCTTTGGACATGAACATTAGTGATAGCGACAGCGATCTATGGTCGCTAGATCAAGAGTTGAACAAGAACCTACTGGAACTGACCCAGGCGCTGTCACAGGGTCCGAAAATCGCCGAGAAAAACGATCAACAGCACACTGAAAATCTCCCCAAAAACGAGTCTCTTGACTTGTATCGAACTATACCCCCAAACCTAAGAACCACGATTGACCGAGAGCTAGGAGAGGATTTAGGAATGATAGAAAAGATGATCTTCACCCTCAAAGACCCCATAACAGCCACGAGAATTAGACTTCCTGTTCGTTCTACTTCTTGTGCACATTTTGAGTGCTTTGATTTCGATAATTTTTGCGAGTTTACCAAGATTCCCGCCGGCGTAAAGGCATTTATACGCAAGGATTTGGTCAAACGCGGGCTTGAGTTGAAAAGATATGAGAAATTGATCCAAAAAGACGCTGGTCGTCGCAAAGTTCCTCCTCCCCCACAATGGCTCCAGCCCATTCACCATGCATATTTGCCCAACATTCCCACATACAAATGCCCAGTATGCGATACCGCGTTCCCGCTACACCAATTGTACATTAGTGACGTCTTCAACTTTTTCGTGAAGTTCACACCAAGTTACGTCCATCGCATAGAAATCACCGATCGAATAAAATACCGAATAATCGAAGACGAAAAAGAACCGTCTACTTCTGCTGCCTGCGAAGATATAGTGGTTTTATCTGACGACGACGACGAAGCTGAAGTTAAAACCGAACCCATAACCTCCAATTCCACTCACAGCAACCACAGCAACCACAGCACCAGCCTGCCGTTCAGCGACGATGTCTTTGATGATGGACTCGATGAACAGTTGGCGCTATTACCCCAGGAACAAGGCTCTGGTACCTGGAACGACCCCGTCACCGTGGACTGACTACAAAATACACACTACGATTACAACTTGTAAAAATGATTTCTAGTAGTATGAATGTTCTCTTGCAGCCATGGACAAGACTTTTCCTGCAGATAGGTGCGGCGCGGCCCCGTCACGACCCTTGGCAGAGGTGTCGCAACCGAATTATTTTGTTTCCCCTGGCAAAGTTTCGAACGTTTAAGTTTATCGAAACTCAGCAACTTTTCAAATTTTTTGAAACCTTTACGTTTTGAACCAGTTTTCCGTAGGTACCACCACGAATTAATGATCCAAATATTTATAACTTTTCACTAACATCAGAAACTATATGTCTAAACCGAAACCGTCCCGAAGTAATCATGCCGTTTCTTTGACAAACGGCACCACAATTTCAAGGTTATTTTTCCTTTTTTCCCAACTCCCTCGCTTGGTATATGCTCTTCCAGTGTTCAACCGTGCCCATCATGAGTCTATTCTGCACAATGATATCGTCAACGCCAGTGAAAATATGACACCCGAACAATTTTACATCAACTTGGCGGTCTCTGCCGTGCTTGTTCTTCTTGGAGGTGTATTCGCTGGCCTCACATTAGGTTTAATGGGCCAGGACGAAGTGTACTTGAAAGTTATCTCCACAAGTGGCGACGCTTATGAACGTAGATACGCCCGCAAAGTGCTTAAATTGATTGGTCGCGGAAAGCACTGGGTATTGGTAACGTTGTTGCTCTCAAATGTCATCACCAATGAAACCTTACCCATTGTTCTTGACCGTTGTTTGGGCGGTGGTTGGCCAGCAGTTGTCACCTCCACCGCGTCCATCGTGATCTTTGGAGAAATCATTCCGCAATCTATTTGCGTTCGGTATGGTCTTCAGGTCGGTGCCATGTTCGCCCCCTTTGTCCTCATCTTGATGTATATCATGTACCCAGTGGCTTACCCTTGTGCTCTTTTGTTAGATCACATTTTGGGAGAGGACCATGGTACAGTGTACAAGAAATCAGGGTTGAAGACGTTGGTCACTCTCCACAAAACTATGGGTGTGGAACGCTTAAACCAAGACGAAGTAACTATCATTAGCGCTGTTTTGGATTTGAAAGAAAAAGATGTTGCCAACATCATGACTCCCATCGACAGAGTGTTCACCATGAGCTCTGATATGATATTAGATGAGAAAACAGTAGAGGAAATTTTCAACGCGGGGTTTTCTCGTATTCCTATCCACTTGCCCAATGATCCCATGAACTTTGTTGGTATGCTTTTGGTACGTGTTTTGATCAGTTATGATCCAGAAGATGCATTGCCAGTGGCTGCATTCCCATTAGCCACATTGCCGGAAACAAGTTCGGAAACTTCATGTTTGAACATTTTAAATTACTTTCAAGAAGGTAAATCACATATGATTATTGTTAGTGAGACACCCGGAGAACCTACTGGAGCAATTGGTGTTTTGACTCTTGAAGATGTGATTGAAGAATTGATCGGAGAAGAAATTGTCGATGAATCCGACGTTTATGTCGACATAAACAAAAACATCAAACGTACTCAACCGGGGCCATTATCGAAACGTCACTTAACATCGTATCTCCTGAATTTGTATCAGAGATCCAATTCCAATTCCAAGAGGAATTCCCTTGACGATTCTGCCCGTCAGCCACTCAAAGAGGCCACGCCCGATGAAAGTCAGGTTTCTGGCAGTAAGACATGGAAGCCAATGAACCCTGCTGCCAACCCATTGGAAACCAACAAGAAGTTTGTGACAATCAAGAGACCCGACTACGACACGGTCAAGAGTCTTTCTGGCGTGTCAAGAAGCCACCGCGAGCGCCAAGATGGCGCCCAAAGACAAAGACACCTTGTACCTCAATACGGCGCGGTGCATGCAACCGAAGAAGGGGCATTGAGAGATGCCAAGCGTCGAAGTAGCGATCACGATAGTGCCTCACGCCAACGATTTTTACTACCTGAAGAACGAGAAACCGATGTTTCTGAAATCGTCAGCCACAACGGCCAGCACGATGCCGCCGATGCACCACCCACCACTGTAAAACTAGATGATGTCAATGGTTCTGGAGGGAACAGCATCCCCCTTGTTACGCAAGAGCACAGTGAATCCAGATCTTACCGTACTGGAGGAATCGTTGAGTCGGTGGTCAATGTGGACGGTGTGCACAAAACGATCATTGAGAACGTCAGTGACGATGAGGACAACAATGAGCTTATTGCCACACCGCACGGATCAATGCGGAAGAAACACTTGGATGCAATCTTCAAGAACGGCGATGGACGGTCGGAAGAAGTGGAACAACTTCTCGGCGATGACAATTCGTCCGAAACCAGCAAGAGCCGCAAGCAGCTGATGTGGGACCGGTTCATTAATCCCTCCAGCGACGAGTAGCTAGTAGGTATGGTTGATTTTATATATTATACATTCGTTGTAACCCCGAGTACCCCACGTCGGCTATACTGGTTATGTCATCATATCCGATTTAACTCGCGGCAACTTTACGCACCGACGGCTCGGTGACAAAGTCAATTTAAACTGGCGCGGAACGACTTAACAAATTTGGCCACTTACAACCCCCTGAAGGATCACATTGTTGTACATAAACCACCGTGAAAAGTCGAGTACTTGCCACCATTTATATCCATTCGTTGCAATATCCACCATAATTCATATTTTCTTCTACAATGACGGGAGACAAGTTGACCTCATCACATGGGAAAAATAAACGGTTCTTTTCTGCTTCTTCGTCGTCGTTGAATCAGGAATTGCAACCCAGGGACAACGATGGAACATTGTCGGCGTCATCGCATCGATCATTTTTGAAAAAAATGAATTCTAGGGGCTCTAGATCAATATCTCCACAAACCAGTTCGAGCTCAATTAGCTCATTTTTCAGGAGAAATCCAACCCAATCCGAAAGTGATACCTCCAAGGATCGGTTTCATTTCGAGCACGATGTGGGACTGCCGGTCAATCCCTACCAAGATTCTCATTCCAGTTTAAACGACGACACCACGGCTCTGGAATCAGACCGCTCTCTGGTGAAAAAGCACGACGAGAAAGCTCCGCAAAACCATTTTGAAAAGCAAAAAAACCACAGTCATGTATCGTTGCGCCGTTTTTTTAAAAAATTTAAGATTGAGTCCGATTCCAAAAAGGCGAAAAATTACCACCAACAACACCATACTCACCACCTTCACAAATCCCACTCAGAATTATTCAAAAAGTACGGCGAGGTTGGAAAACTTTTGGGTACTGGAGCCAGTGGCTCTGTTAACATTGTACGAGCCAAGGACAATCCCAATAAAGTTTACGCAATCAAGAAATTTAGAGCAAGACTTCCAAGAGAAGCCGAGAGCGACTACAAGGCCAAAGTGAAAAATGAGTTCAAAATCGGCGAGATTTTGCACCATGAGAACCTCATTCATACTATAGAGCTCATAAGGGACCATACAACTTTGATGGGAGATCCTGACTATTACATTGTCATGGACTATTGCCCATATGATTTTTTCAACTTGGTTATGTCAGGCTTGATGAGTCAGGAAGAAGTGGCGTGCTACTTTAAACAAATTGTTAATGGTGTGAACCATTTGCATCAAAACGGGTTGGCACATCGTGATCTCAAGCTTGACAACTGCGTGGTAACCACCGATGGAATCTTAAAGTTGATAGATTTTGGATCTGCCGTCCAATTCCAAAAAGATTTGGTAGAAGGAACTCACAAAATGGACATTATCGATGATAAGCATCGTTTGGTAAGAGCAAGAGGTATCGTGGGCTCGGATCCGTACCTTGCACCCGAGGTATTTGAACCCAGTAACTTTGGCTATGATCCTCGACTCGTCGATGTATGGTCTGTGGCTATCATATTCTGCTGTATGTCTCTCAAGCGGTTCCCCTGGAAGATTCCCAAGTATCTGGACCCCTCTTATCGTGCATTTGCTGAGGAACAGCAGCCCGACGTTGTAGCCGGGGTCGAGCATCTCAATGTCAACGATGATCCACACCATCATAAACGAAGCCCTTCGAAGCTCATGAAGCTAATTCCTCCACAATCGGTGCTGTTGGTGAGGTCCATGCTCACAGTAGACCCTTCAAAAAGAGCTTTTATTCACGATGTCGTTGCTAGCGACTTTTACAAGTCCATCGCTGTTTGTCATGTTGAGGAAGACATTGTAGTTAAAGCGAAAAACCACATCCACCATCTCATCACCGAGGAAGAATTGCAACAGATTCAACAAGAAAAAGACAAATCTAAGAAAAAGGCCAATGGCTTGGCTCAGTAAATATCTTATGGCTGCAACAGGTACTCCCAGTTAATATACAGGACCAAAATTTGGTGAGATTGCGGTTATCGTTAAACAAAATAATTGTTGTTATAATCATATTAGCCACCAGTATAGATTTTTGATCCCTTCAGTTCCGCAAGATGGGACAGCTTCCCCAGTGGATTACCATAGTGTCGGGCTACTCGGCGGTGGTTTCTTCTGTGATCATTACCACCAGTATTTTGTTGCATCTTGCAAACTACAGAAAGCCCTTCCAACAAAGGCTCATGATTCGAATTCACTTAATTATTCCCCTTTTTGCATTGTCCTGCTATTGCATGCTTACCATCCCACAGTCGATTTTTGTGAAATACTTTGTCGAACCACTTCGAGAAGTGTATGAAGCATTTGTAATTTACACTTTCTTCTCTCTCTTGACTGAGATGCTCGGCGGAGAAAGACACATAATAATATTCACCACGGGGAGAGAACCAGTGCCGCATCCGGGCTTTATGCGCTACATCTTTTCGGATCTAGACATCTCGGATCTGTACACGTTTTTGAATATTAAGCGAGGCATACTTCAATATGTATGGCTCAAACCGGCAATATGCTTTGGGATTCTCTTCTTTGAAGCTGTTGGTCTTTATGACGTGAACGACCTCGGAATCACTTCCATTTATCTCTGGCTCACTCTATTGTATAATGCCAGTGTTTCTCTTTCACTTTACTGTCTTGCCATTTTCTGGAAGATATTGTGGAATGACTTGAAGCCCCACAAACCGGTGGGGAAGTTTTTGTGCGTCAAATTGATCATTTTTGCATCTTATTGGCAGGGTATAATCCTTGCTATCTTGAGTGTTACCGGAGTGTTACCTCAGACCGCAAATACAGATAAGGATACCAATATTGGAGTAGCCATTCAAAATGCTCTCTTGTGTGTGGAGATGATACCGTTTGCCATTGGCCATTGGTTTTCGTTCACTTATGTTGCATTCACCGTGGCACACATTCCTAATGGCAGGCTAAAATTCAGGTATGCTGTTCGTGATATGTTTGGCATTCGTGATCTCGTGAACGACTTCAAACTCACATTTTATGGTGACTACTACAAGGATTACAAGCTGTTCGACTCCGTAGATGCTTCAGTGGCCCACCCAGACTCCAAGAGCCGAATGAGCAGGATTCAGCAGGGGCTTCGATATCATGGAGACGGTCGGCAAAAGCATTGGATTCAGAAACCTTCAGTCAGTTCACAGTCAGTTGACTATTCCACGCTGTTGAAACTGCCTCTACTTCCTTCCAATCCTCGCTATTCTCCCTCCTTTAAATCGATCGGCACCTCCACAAGAGGTATTTATCCCCCATCTCCCAAATTGATACCATCACCACCGGATTCTCCCAGCTCCTCACCAATTGATATCAATGATCTGATTATGTCTATCAGCGAAGCTATCACTGGAGATGGATTTTCTTACACGAAAGAGCATCTTGACGAGGACGAGCTTTACTACAAAGGGGTGCGTTCGGTCATAAACAACTATAAGCTCGACCAGAAAGCAGTCAAGAAAATGCTCAACTATCCCATCGTCGATAGCATGATCAGAAGTCACGAATACGGCTATAAAGTAAAGAAATTGAGAGAAGACCGAAACAGACGACAACTGTCAATCAAGTCGGGAAGGTCTACAAATGCATCCTACGGAAGTATAGTTTAATTTATATGAATGTCATGAAAACTTGATGATTGCCTATGTACATGATCCTGCTCAGTCCTCTATCTTGAACAGGTATAAAGAGTCGAGCTCATCTTCACTCATCGCTTTTTTTGAGTTGTCAGCTTGCTTGGATGCTGAAGCTTTTTTCGACTTTTTGGCCTCCTTTTGTTCGGTATCCTTTGATTTGGTATCTCTTTCGAGCGGTTGACACGAAAATAATACTCTTGATTCCAAATCTCCACTAATTTCATATTGGCACGAACTGTCATCAAGCATGGTTTTGACAGTTTGAAAAATACTGAGCCTCTTTCTTTCCTCGACGCTCATTCCAGCAAGGTCTTCTTCAGCTATGTCTCCTACTTCAGGTGTGTCTTTAAGACCAAAAGCGTTCTCTTTACTTGCCAGTTGTCGAGCACTGTAAAAACTCTTTTTTTCACCGAGATATAAAAGAAAATGTTCACCCTTGGAAATTCTCTTTTGAATTTCTGTCGCCTTCTGGTTGCACAAGTCGCTATTACTGATGCCCCAAGACACAGTCAGTACCTTTGTTGCAGATTTTTTCTTCTCTGCCCGGTCTCGCAGTCTCATTACTTTCTGAGCCACTATGCTTCCCTTTTGAAGGAGTTCCTGCTCCTTTTCGAGTGCAAGCTTGTCCGTGTAAGACTTGATCATCTCTTGTACTTTATTGGTTTTTATAATGGGCAAGCTTTTGTCGTCTGTGGGAGGAACACAATAAATACCGTTTACCGCGAGGTCAAGGCTGTTGACTATATCCACCAAATGCTTTTGTTCCAAACCACCTTTTCCGGATCCAACATAGTTCACCTTATATGACTTGGAATATGAGTGGACCTCGTTGATTACAGCCTTTATTGCATTCTGGGCTTGAACCGAGCCAGACTCAAACTGAAACCGAACAGCTTTTCTTGGGTTTCTGTGCTTTTCCTGACGCTTAGGGTAGTTGTTCTTCTTGGGAGCACTCTTTTCAAACTTCTGGGCAAATCTGTTCTCTTTGATCGGCCTGGAAGTGGCTGAGCTATCTCCGAATCGATTCATGGACTCAAAGTTGAAGGTCTCACTTTGATTATTATTCGTCTTTAACAGACCTAGGTCAAATGGCTTGAGTCGAGCCAGCACACACGTGAACTGACGACAAGAACAGACCGCATATACTCCTACTGAGCGAGAGCCACGAAGCATAGTTGGGAATAAATAGAAACTGTTATCTGATGAAATTAATTTTTCGCTTACATACAGGCCCACGCAACGGCAATCGCCGGCTACGAAGAAGGATGGATGTGATAAATACAGTATATACAGTAGTATGATGCCAATGCAAAGATAAAGCAGTTACCATTTGGATCCAACCAAGATGGCTGCCTGGTCTGTTGGCTGCTCAACTTCATGGAACCATGTTTTGAGCAACCTAGACTCGGGCACGTTGTAGTTTATGCAGAACTCACGACACCAGGCCATTAATTCTAGTGTCAAGCTGGAGTCTGATGAAAGGTCTACCATAGGAATTGAGCCGTAGCGTGTGAGAGTTTTCGAAACCCAAAGCTTCTGGTCTTCATCTGTAGGCAGATTAATTTGACCTCCGCCGTTTATACACCCATTAGGACATGCCATGATTTCAACGTAGTCACATTTGGAAGCGTCTGCTTGTTGAACGTCTTGAGCTCCAGATTCCGACCTCTTGCTGGAAAGTCTTGCTTTACGTCGGGCGACGAGTGGGTTGGTTTTTGTAGTCGTGGTCGAGGACGTTGGTTTAAGTTTTCTCACCAAATTTTGAATGTTCCGGAACCCATTCACTATGGCTGAGCTTGCAACCTGGTTGTCATTGTACACGAGGCGCAACTCGTAGATGTCTTTGTTGCGCCCTGCCACCGATTCGAGTCGAAAATTCTGTGGCTGATACTGCTGAGGGTCTCGTAAGCATAAATGCAGTTGCAAAAGTTGCAAATAGTTGTATCCGTAGCCTCCTGACAGCGAGCCGGAATCACTAGACCAAGACAATTCGACATATGGCCAATTCGCTGGAGCACAGCTTTGGTAGAGATCCGTAAGTGAACCGGAGGAGTGTGACAATGCATCAAAAGTTAGCGAAAATTTGTCTTTGCATTCGTCAAGTAGAGTGACAAGTTCCTTCGGGGTCAACACACAATCTACATCGTTCAGTACCAACAGTGGATCCTGTTCCGGTCTAGCACTTTCCAACTTTTTATCGAAGCAAGGCATGATAGACAAGTGGTAAATTTGGTCTCTTTCGACCTCGAGCTGGTGAGCCGTCAACGACTTGAGCAAACAACCAGTGATTTGCTGCGGTGATTTTGTATCTGATATTCGCAGAAGAACATGAGGGTGAGTCTTTTCAGCATACAAGACCCATCCTGGGCATATAGATGACAATATTGGTCCCTGGAATCCATGCTCTTTTCTCTCGATAACGCTCTGCAGTTCGTTAATAAGTGAGAGTTTGCGGCCCAACCCAGTGCCCACGACATAAGTGAACCCCATTTGGTTCACCAACAAGTCCACTAGAAGCCTGTCTATATCCGAAACCTTCATGTAGTAAGCAGTAGCTAGCGAAGCTCTGGCCTGGTGTGATATGCTGGCCACGAATATTTTGTTATTCGTCTTCTTTTCTTTAAGCGCTTTGATCAACTCGTTATGTGAATGCTGTGCCACCAAAATCTCTTCTGCTGAAGTTATACATCCAGAACACGCGAGGCAATCGGCAAGAGAAATCTGGGCCGGCGAAAGGTTCTTAGTGGCACCATCTATCTTGGAAATCTCAAGAGGCTTTCCATTTTCATCGATTTGGATTTCGACTTCTCCATACTCCAGAGCTTCTTGCGATCGATTTTCGGTGACTGTAGGCTTGATACAGGCTATACCAGGAGATATAAAGTCGTTTAGATCGTCTGCCGACAATAAAGCACTCATGAGTGGAATAGATAAGTAGCCAATACGAGATTTTGCATCGTAAATGACTAATGAAACTGCAGATAAGAGAGAAAAAATTGGAATATGTGCAGGAGATTTTGCAACCTTGATAAGAGTGTCTTCTATATCATTTTGTCTCTACGTTAATTCTCTGTTTCGCTCAAGTCTCCGAGCTCGAATCCCTCTTCGCCAACGGCGCTAAATCCTCTTTGCACCAATTCTCCATCTTCATCGTAACCGACTAATCGCAAGTAGAACGCAAGCAATGCCTGCATCCACAAGTAGATCAAGAAAGCAGCACTTGTAAGCAAGAGAATATACGAAGCATGGTTCATTCCCAAACCCTCAACTAGCGTAAGCATTTCTTCGTTAGCTGCCATGAACATCAACCCGGCGAGAACAAGACAGAATGGAGGTAAATGCTGGAAAGCTAGAACCTTACCACTGTCACTACAACGTTTGTCTTTCAAAATGAACAGGATTTCAACAATTCTTGTTAACCCAGCAGATGCCAATGCCATACCAAAAAAAGTGTGGACTTTCACCGAAATTTCTTGATGTTGGCCATGCTCTTTCATGGCATAGGCAGTGAAGATCAAGAGCAAAGAAGGTATCAACGTCCGTTTTCCTCCAGACCGAGTAATGAAGAGAGCAGCAGATGCCCCGGCCCACCATATAAGACCGAGAAAAGTGTGCAAGAAATCACCATGGCTCCATGGTTCTTTACCCCATCTGTGCTCGGTAAAAGTATTCACCAATCCCCACAACCACATCAAGCACGAGTCGTAGAAGTCCTGGGATTTGGCTTCGGGATCCGGATGACATCTTATCCACGGAACAATGAGCACCAACGACAAGACGAAGCCATAAAGAATGAATGACGACCCCATAATACCATGAGCAATACATTGCCCCGTATGTGAATCGTAGCAGAAGCCAAAAAGAGCAATGGGGGCCAAACATACTCGAACCCAACCGGTGGGGACAACTAGAAATGAAGTGATTTTGTAGATCTTGTAGGAAAGTCCATATTGGTTGATACTACCCAGATTCGAGGAAGAATTCCTATGAGGGTAAAATTTGTTGATCACCAAGTTGGAGCCATTGATTAAGGTCCCAACGAACACTACAATGCCAAATAACACGGCAAGAAACCATCCGGTACCCTTGGAAGTTCTGTTTTCGTGACCACCGTCGTCTGGAAACGAAAGGAAAACCACATCAAAAACCAGATATCCCGTCAGAATGTACTGGAGAAACAAAGACCAGTGAAACTTGTCGGCAATTGCCAAAGCGGCCGCCAAAGAAGGAAGAAAAAGCTCCAAAATTACTGTCAAGATAAAATGAATCGTTTTGGAAAAAGCATGCTGGTCGGCTTTTTTCGGTTCCAGACCATCTTCAGCCGCCAATACAGCCACAGAAAAGGCAAGAATTAAATATCTGGCCTTTTTACTCCACATTTTGTGACCGTTTTATCCGGTTGCAATTTGACCAATCGGTAATTGTGACACCGACTGCGCGGCTCAAATGAAAAAAGGACCCTGGAAAGACAAACGTACTGCACACAAGCCAATTGTCTTTTAGCAAAAAAATTGAGTTTTGCTGGCCTAATCGACAAGAAACCTCATAGATAAAGCTATGTTGGCACCTCCACATACCCGCGGTGCTTCTACCTCCATATCCATACTAGGAAAGTGGAACTAAAAATACTCGATTACATCAGCATAAAGCGCGAAAGTTTTATGTTCGTGGGGAGTTTCGAAGGACAGCGTACCGTGAATCAGAACTTTGAGTTCTGAACATCATATCCATTTTGGTGAACTTGAAATAGGGAAGCAGACTCTCCTGGACCGAGAAACTGGATACAAGCGTCTTTAACCAAAGGACAAACATTTTTCGTTGAGTTTGACTTGAATCACCACCGACCACGTTCTACCATAAAACACGAATTAACAAACGAAAAGTCATAAACCACCGCGATGCAGTTGGCAGCCCTCTTGAGAATTGTCGTGGCGTGCGCTGGTGTCGTCATGGGAATGCAAGTGCCCAAAAAAGACCATAATGCTAAGCGGTATTTTGCCGTGGAGCTCGATACTTCTAAATCTTCAGAACCGTTGGCAGACTTTATAACACAACACAAGCAGGTTTTTCACTTTGAGCATCCGGTTCGTGGTCTTGATGACCATTTTGTTTTCAGCATTGATAAAGAACATGATTTTGCAAGTGCCATAGGAAACTTCAATACAGACGATGAAAAGTTGTTCAAACGGTCGTCAGGTTTTGAAGACGTCTATGACTCGATGATAAGTAACCCTCACTTGAGGTCAATTCAGCTTCTTGAGCCTAGAAAGTTAGAGAAAAGAATGCCAGTGATGATCACCGACGACGACGTCTATGGTCGTGATGATTCTCCTGGAGATTCTTCGCAACAATTGTTGAATGAAGCCACGCAAAAATTGAGCATTAATGACCCCACATTCAAGGAGCAATGGCATTTGATAAACACGTTCAATCCCGGCCACGACGTTAATGTAACTGGACTTTGGTACGAGGGTATCACTGGAAAAGGCATTGTTTCGGCACTTATAGATGATGGTCTTGACTACGAGAGCGAGGATCTCAAAGATAACTTCAACATGAAAGGTTCGTGGGATTTTAATGATAATAGAAACCTTCCTATGCCCACACTTTATGATGATTGGCATGGAACAAGATGCGCTGGTGAGATAGCTGCAGTGAAAAATGACGTTTGCGGTTTGGGTGTTGCCTACGAATCCAATGTGAGTGGAATCAGAATATTGTCGGGTCCAATTACCGCCGAAGATGAAGCAGCAGCAATGATATTCGGTTTGGACGTAAATGACATTTATTCATGTTCTTGGGGTCCCACAGACAACGGCAAAGTTGTATCTGCTCCTAATAAAATCGTCAAGAAAGCGATGATAAAAGGAGTTCAGGATGGAAGAGACAAGAAGGGTGCTATTTATGTGTTTGCATCGGGCAATGGAGGAAGATTTGGTGATTCTTGCAACTTCGACGGTTACACAAATTCCATCTATTCGATAACTGTTGGAGCAATTGATTACAAGGGAATGCATCCCATCTACTCCGAAGCATGTTCAGCCGTCATGGTTGTAACCTATTCATCTGGTTCAGGAGAACATATACACACCACTGATATCAACAAGAAGTGTTCTGCTATTCATGGAGGTACTTCTGCAGCAGCTCCATTAGCAGCTGGAGTTTTTGCGCTAGTTTTGCAGTCGAATCCTGATTTAACCTGGAGAGATCTCCAATATATCGCAGCATTGAGCTCAATTCCAGTTAATGAGGACGATGGCAATTATCAAGACTCAGCATTGGGCAGAAAATATTCTCAGAGATATGGGTTTGGAAAGCTTGACGCTTACGGAATGGCCCATTTTGCCAAGGACTGGAAAAACGTCAAGCCACAAGCATGGTACTATTCTGACTTGATCCTGGTGAACGATGCAATTGGAGCAACGGATAACGACAAAGTGATCAAATCTGTCATTGATGTCACCGAGCATGACATGAAGGTGTCCAATGTTGAACGAGTTGAGCATGTTACCGTCACTGTGAACATCCAGGCTACGTTTAGGGGAAAGATTGGTGTTCGACTCATCAGTCCACGAGGTATGATCAGCGATTTGGCGACCGAGAGACGCGGCGACCGGTCTATGAGTGGACTCAAGAATTGGACATTTATGTCTGTGGCCAACTGGGGAGAAAAAGGAACCGGTAATTGGACCCTTGAGGTGTTTGCATTCGACACCGAAGGCACAAAAAACGAGATTAGATTTATTGACTGGTCGTTGCGGATTTTCGGCGAGAGTATAGACCCTGCCAAAGCAGAGACCTACGATATGGATAAGGACTATGCTGCGGTAAGAAGGGACAGACTTGCGGATGACGAAAAGCAAAAAACCACTTCTCTGGCACAAGCAACCACCAGCGAAGCTAAATCGTCAGAGACCACGTCCGCAACAAAAACCACAGAAGAACCGGAAACCACCACATCTTCTACGTCATCTACGTCGCTGGCTGCGCAGTCCAGTGATGTTGGCGAGGGAAAGATCGAATACAAGAATGATCATTTTGGTGCTTACTTTATGGCGGTAGCATTAATTGGGTTTATCATAGTAGTGTTGGTGATGAGATACCACCGCACACCTGGAGGCAGCCGTAGGCGGAGAAGAAGAGACGAATATGAATTCGATATAATTCCAGGAGAAGATTATAGTGATAGTGAAGAGGAAACCGACTCATTGGATTTGGGAGAAAGAAATGACAGACCCCGAGGCAGTGAAGAAGCAAGAGATAGACTTTTTGATGAGCTCCATGCGGAAACGTTACCCGACTACGAAGAGGAGATGTTTAGAATTGTGGACGATGACCACGAGGAGGGAGAAGGTGACAGCAAAAAGTCGCAAAAGGACAAAGGTGAATCACAATCAACCGAGGTCGGTGCGGCCCCATCGCCCCAATCGACCGAAACGTAGCCATAAATACCAATAGACTAGTCCGAAGAATAAAGAGATGTCTAAGTGATTAAAGTAATCAAGGAAAACATGAGAGAAATAGAGAAATTTAAAGTTTTGAACTGATTTAACTGGTCATTTGCAGCCTTGCAACCTCCACCGGCCCGGCTGGACCACATGCCGTTGCGTGCGCGGGCGGAATTTAGTCAGCACGGCCTATGTATGTCCGACACCGGATCTTTGTCAGCAGCACAAGACAAATCAAGGAGAATTATAGAGGTATATAATTGGTAAATTCCTAGATTTCTGGTTATTACTGCTATTTCTATAGTAAGTCAGCATCTATTTCCACCATTTCTGTTGGTTGCTGCGAAAAATTTACCTAATTGTTGGTCAGTAATATTACCCACTCTCACCCGCAATCCCACCGAAATTATTTCGCAATCCCACACGGAACTTCTTGATACGATATAAAGTTGCCACTTGCCACTCTGAACGCAACTACATTTGACATTCGAGGTTTCGTCAAAAGTTGCAATTGATATCGATAAAGTATCGACATATACTATTGACTCAAACTAATCGACACAAAACTTTTTAAGGGCCATAAATCATGTCGGCTCCATTTGGCGACCATGTGTCCATTGTAGTTTTCGGGGCTTCCGGAGACTTGGCCAAAAAGAAAACGTTCCCTGCCTTATTTGGCTTGTTCCGTCAGGGCCAATTGCCCGCTTCGGTGAAGATTTTTGGTTACGCCCGTTCAAAATTGTCTCAAGAAGATTTCAGAGAAAGAGTCGAACCCAATTTTAAGACCAAGAATGACAAAGACAAAGAAAAAGTCAAGGAGTTCTTGGACTTGTGTACGTACCATTCTGGTCAATACGACACCGATGAGGGGTACAAAGAGTTGCTCAAGGAAATCACTGAATTCGAAAAATCCGGCAACGTTTCCAAACCAGAACGTTTGTTCTACTTGGCTTTACCACCATCTACATTCACTGTGGTGGCTCTGCAATTGAAGAAGCTTGTGTACCCTGAAAATGGTGCTGTCAGATTGATCGTGGAGAAGCCTTTCGGTCATGACTTGGAGTCTTCTCGTAAGTTGCAAAAGGACTTGGCTCCTTTGTTTTCCGAGGAGGAATTGTACAGAATTGACCATTACTTGGGTAAGGAAATGGTGAAGAATTTGTTGGTTTTGCGTTTCGGAAACCAATTGTTGAATGCTGCTTGGAACAAGGAACACATTCAGTCGATCCAGATCTCGTTCAAGGAAGCTTTCGGAACTGAAGGTAGAGGAGGATACTTTGACGAAATCGGTATTGTGAGAGATGTGATGCAAAACCACATTTTGCAGGTATTGACCTTGTTAACTATGGAACGTCCAGTTTCATTTGACCCGGAAGCTATTCGTGATGAAAAGGTCAAGGTGTTGAAAGCATTTGCTCCATTGAACAACGATGACATTCTTTTGGGTCAATACTCCAAGTCTGAGGATGGCAAGAAGCCAGGTTATTTGGATGACGAAACAGTCAAGAAGGACTCTAAATGTGTCACCTACGCAGCAATTGGCGCCAGAATTAACAATGAGAGATGGGAGGATGTCCCAATCGTCATGAGAGCAGGAAAAGCATTAGATGAGTCAAAGGTGGAGATCAGAATCCAATTTAAGCCGGTTCCCAGAGGCATGTTTGAACAGATCCAAAGTAACGAGTTGGTTATCAGAATTCAACCCGACGAAGCTGTTTACATGAAGATCAACTCCAAGATTCCTGGTATCTCCACCGAGACGGCATTGACCGACTTGGACTTGACTTACTCCAAGAGATACTCCAAGGACTTCTGGATCCCCGAGGCTTACGAGACGTTGATCCGAGACTGTCTTCTTGGCAATCACTCCAACTTTGTCAGAGACGACGAGTTGGATGTGTCGTGGCAATTGTTCACTCCATTGTTGAACTACATCGAGTCTGACAAGGCTCCAGTTCCCGAGAAATATCCATACGGATCCAAGGGACCCAAAGGATTAAGAGACTTTTTGGGCAAGCACAACTACGTCTTTACCGACGAAGGAACTTATCAATGGCCTTTGACGAGACCAGATGTTAAGGGCAAGATATAGGTAATAAAACTTCAGAGGCACTAGTGTAGAGAGCAAAGAGAGCAATGAGTGTACGTATCAGACATCCATGGAAGGTCATTAAGCGGTCACTGGCATACTAAGATGGGTTCTGCGTATGCTACCGAGGAAACTGCGAATGTTTATGGAATCTTTCATCATATACGTGTGCACTCAGTTGCAAGTTTTATCGGCGGGTCTCGCTGCCACATGCTTAAGCACTTTTCTATTTGTAGTTTGTATGAATCAGAATCGCTCAATACTGGCAAGTATAAGCCTCGACAACACCTCCTGCAAGAGAGGCTTGACGCTGTCAAAGCGGTTTTCAACCCTGTCGTCATAGTCGAATCGGACTGGGAAAGAAGAAACTTAACTTCATCACCTTCACCTATGTAATAGAAAAACACCTAAGCCTATGGCAAAAAGACCTGCCCATGACTAAGGACCTCGTATCAAGTTAATGATCGAAGTGAAGAAAAAGTCGCACATCGAGTGCCTTTTATACCCGCGCGATGAGATGGGCTGCGGTTACCCGGCACAGGAGCCGTGGTGCATGGGTATTCAAAACTGGCCAAAATATCAACTTTTGTGGTCAAAAATTAAACTAACAGGAACTCAGTGCTTGCTGTTTTGAACTGGCACACCCAGGCATCTTTAGCTCTTCAATTGATGTGTATACTTGTGTTCTCTCACCAACCTCATCTCATCGCCTGTATGCACGCACGCACCTCGCAGCGTAGTTACTAGTTACCATTTATACTGTCATTCCAATGAGGTTAATAGTAACTTGTGACGACTCGGGGTCAGCCCAAGGAGGTGATTTTGTACTCCAGGAACAGATACCTCGAAACAGGACAAGCCCCAGCCCCATTTCCATAACTCAGGTGTTTGTTGAACCAAAGGCATCTCCAGCATCGAGAATCCTCTATTCCACACTTTACAAAGAAAGATATGCCATCTGTTGTCGTTTGGATGCTTCAGTCTCCGTTTATGACTTGGAAGATGACGAAAAGAAGCTTGTGTGTCATAGGGAGTATGTTGAACTCAAAGGGTGTAAGCCTGTTTCTTTGCATGTATTTTCCGAATTCGATGCTTTGGTTATGGGTTTAGATTCTGGCAAAGCTGCGTTGGTTGGTTTCCATAAGAATACCTTGGAGAAGGAGTGCCAGATTGTGGATCTTCCAGGGGGAAAACCAATTGAGGCGTTCGAAGCTTGTCCTTCTCAACCTGGTGTCTTTGCCTATGGAGGAAAGGAAAACGATTTACGCATAGTGAAAATGTTTGAAGTCGGCAAGAAAGTTAAGCTTCTTGAATCTGTTGAGGTACTTTTCGCAGCCAAGAACGTCAAAAACGACCATTTGGACTTGCGTGTTCCTATTTGGATCACTAAAATACGATTCATTTCGCTGAAAAATTCGTACAAATTGATAACCGCAACCAGATACGGTCAATTGCGCATCTACGACACGAACCACGGCAGAAAGCCTGCTCATGACTACCAAGTATGCACCAACCCAATTATAACCTTAAATTTTGCCGGCTCCAACTCCGATGAGGTGATCATAACTGATAACAGAAATATGGTCGCTAGACACTCATTGGTATCAATTGACAAAAAAGCATTCAAAACCAATTCCGCTACTGTTGGAGACATAATTAAGCCCGTACCGAGACTCTTGGGAAAATATCAAGAAGGCGGCAACACAGGTGCCATTTTTGGTGTTCTGTGCTTCAAAGATACCTTTGTCGCGACCGGTGGTCTTGATCGGTACTTGAGGGTATATGACCTCGAAACTAGAGAAATGGTTTCCAAAGTGTACATGGGGTCGCAGATAGCAGATATTTTGTTTTTAGAAGGGGAGGAAGAAGAAGAATCAGAGGAAGAGGTTGATGAGGAAGAAGAGAACAATGCATTGTGGGACGAATTGGAATCCAATCGTCCGGCGAAAAAGCAAAAGCAAACGTGAAATTTATATTAATGTACGTATCTACGACTCTTGTTTGACGCCAGCATTGCTGCTTATTATGCTCATACACTTCCACTCGTTCAAATAGTTGGACTTCCACAACCGCACCTTCCCGTCATCGCCAGCGGAACTGAGTATGGTGCCAGTTATATTCCACGTTACTCGCCACACCTCCAGCTGGTGATCTCGCAACTTGGCTATGGTATCGATCTTGAGATCGCCATTAATGGCTTCTATCGCTTTGAATATCCTCACATATCCATCTTTGCAGGCGGTAGCTATGAGGTGGAAATTTCGGCCCATCGATGGAGCCCAGCTCACGGATCGTATGAGACCATTGTGCTCCGGAAGACTACACAATTTCACATATTTGTTCTCGGAGTTGATACCGCCATCTCCAGAAGCCATGTCGAAATCGTTATTTGTGCCCGAATTATCACCATTTCCCGCGACACTGGCACCATATATGAATGCCTGGTCGAGTGCTACCACCACAAATTTCTCCGTGTTTGCAAACTTTGAAGGACACCACTCAATGCCAAAAGTACTCTGCAAGCTCTTGGTGGGCAATTGCAGACTCAACACGGCGATTTCTGCCGTAAGACTCCAATATGTCAAATCGGAAGGATCGAGAGATTCGTAAATGCGCAAAATTCCCTCGCTGCCAATACATGCCAATTTGAGCCCGAGATGGCTTGGCGCAAACTTGACATCGTAGATGGGTCCAAATGACTCGGTGGCTAGCGTCGCCAATTTGACCCATCGTCTACCGGATCCATGCATTTCCTGCGGCTGTTCCTGCCACACCTTCACAGTTCTATCGTAGGAACACGAGGCTATGATGCTCAGGCTGCTGAATTGAGGGTGTGCCCACGTCACCTTGACCACCAGCGAGTCGTGGGCTTTCCACGAATCGTTTAAAACCCACGACGAAGTGGCAGCGTCCATATCGAAAACCTTGATATGTTGGTCAGACGAAACCGTGGCTATATGCTTTCCATAGAAGTCGTACTGGACATCATGAACGAGCTCCTCGTGCCCTGTGACAAACAGTTTCATAAATGAACAATAAGTGTTAGAGTAGAGAAGTGCGACTTTCGATTTGAAGTTAGTGCAATTTGTACAGGATGGTCGCGAAACCTAGGTGATCGTGGTGTTTTTGCAGTTGACACTAGTTTGTCTTGCGCCATGTTTTCCGTGTCCAGACTCGTAAACTGGTCAATAGTAGCGGTGGCAATTGCATTGGTCCAACCAAACAACCCTCTTCAAACTCTGGTGGCTTTCGGTGCGTTGGGGTATGTTGTGACTCAAGCTCTAGTTCCACGATTACAACACAGTTTCATCAAAATCGGCCTCAAGGGCAAGGATATGTCCAAGCGTGGCGACCCAATTGAGATAGCAGAGTCCATGGGAGTAATTCCGGCGGTGACATATATGATGTTGATGTTTTTATTGATCCCATTCATATTTTTCAAGTACCTCGTGTCGTTCTCTTCGTTATCTAATGACTCCCAAATGACGTCCAATTATAGCGACCAATACCTGGCGGTGACCAACAACCGTTTGTTTCCTCATAACAAGCTTTCTGAATTTTTGAGTGGACTTTTGAGCTTACAGAGTATCACCTTATTGGGGCTCTTTGATGACTTGTTCGATATCAGATGGAGACACAAGTTCTTCATGCCAGCCATCGCATGTGTCCCCTTGTTGATCGTGTACTATGTGGATTTTAGTGTCACTTCTGTGGTGGTCCCCACCTTCATACAACATAAAATCATCTATGGTCCCCAAATGATATCCATTTTAAACTGGGCTATTCGTCAAGGAAACCACATCGTGACATATATCACTGGCTTATCATTCAGTACATTGGTCACCGATTACTCAGTCACCACTTCAGATCCGTTGCTTTTGGATCTTGGAATATTCTACTATGCCTACATGGCGTCAATTTCGATCTTTTCGCCAAACGCAATCAATATTCTTGCTGGAATCAATGGCCTCGAAGTCGGACAGTCGGTGGTCCTTGCGGTGATCTTTCTCATCAATGATTTGTGCTATTTATTCCTGCTGTCTGTATCGCAAGCAGCTTATGATCTGCACTTACTTTCGGCCATTTTCATCATTCCGTTCATTGGAGTGTCGTTTGGGCTCCTCAAATACAACTGGTACCCCGCCAAGGTTTTCGTGGGTGATACATACTGCTATTTCAGTGGCATGGTATTCGCAGTCGTTGGTATTCTTGGACATTTTTCAAAAACTTTGTTGATATTTTTGTTGCCCCAAATCATCAATTTTATCTACTCAGCTCCGCAAATCTTTGGGCCTTGTGCCGTGCCCTAGACACAGACTTCCTCGATTTGACCCCGAGTCGAATCTCATGCATCCAAGTTATGCCCTCTTCAAGCCCCGCAGATGGCAAGCCATTGCGCTACAAATACTTGAAAAACTACACTTAATAAGTATCAAGCGCGAAAAGGACACAATTGTTGGCTTTTCAAATATGACATTGATCAACTTGTTCCTCGTGTGGTTTGGACCCATGAAAGAAGACCATTTATGCGCACTTCTATTAACTACACAATTCGCCATGGGACTCTCCATGTTATGCGTTCGCCATACTTTGGGGCCATGGATATTATGGCTTACGACAATTTGTCCTGGGGGTGTAAAGTAGCAGGCTGCAAATGTCTATATATAGTTGGCAAGGTTTCATGAATAGATACACCCCGAACACCCACAAGTAATACACAATCGCACCGATTCTTCCTCGCAAGATTAACATGGCCGGTCCACCTCCGCCACCCCCCACCACCGCCACCAGCACCATCGTTGGGCGGCGGTGCCCCCTCGGCTGTCCCACCGCCCGCAATTACTCCAGGACGAAATGCTTTGCTAGGAGACATCAGAAAAGGCGCAAAATTGAAGGCCACTGTTACAGTCGATAAATCAAAGCCACTCTTGGCTGGAAATGCTTCTCCCAGTGTACCCTCGGGTGGAGGAAATACAACCTCATCCGCTTCACCAGCAGTACCTTCATTTCCACCATCAGGAGCTCCTCAATTGGGCGACATATTTGCTGGAGGAATTCCCAAGCTCAAATCGGTCAGCAAAACCGACAATCGATCTGGAATTGTGCCGCCCTCAGCACCCAAGATTCCTACAATGGGTCCTCTGCTGACACAAAAAATAGCTCCCGCGCCGGCGGCACCTTCAAGACCAAGCCATAGACCTACTACATCAGCACCTCCAGCACCTCCAGCGCCCAGTCCTCCCGTTCCTTCTGCGCCCCCACCCTTACCAAACCAGGCTCCTCCTCTCCCCAATATGGCACCGCCTTTGCCGTCTTCAAGCTCCAACTCGCTCAAACCACCACCCAAAATGCCTCCGTCGCGGCCTAAGAAATCCAGCCATTTGAAGAACAGCAGTATAGGCTCTATGAGCTCGTTCGAAAACAGAGCTCCGTCGCCGGTTCCAACGTCGCCAGCACCGCCTGTTCCTTCGGCACCTCCTCCATTGCCAGGAGCACCACCTCCCGTACTTGGTGGGGGCAGTAAATCGTCCGCAGCCCCATCAGTGCCTTCATTTCCTTCTGCTCCCCCACCTGCTCCAAAAGCAACACCTGCTTTAAAAGCACCAGCACCAGCAGCTCCACCTGCTCCTCCTCCACCCCCAGCACCTCCAGCACCAGGAATGTCTCTGGCTCCACCAGCACCCCCACCACCTCCAATGGCTCCCAGTGGGGCAAAGGCTCCAGCTCCGTCAGGCCTCGGAGCGCTCCCATTTTTGGCGGAAATCAATTCCAAGAGAGACGAAACTCATGTCGTTGATTCTGTAGCCCCATCGAGCTCTGCGCCAAAACCACGCATATCACTTCCATCCAGAGATCCACCACCTCCTCAGAAACTATCTACTCCAAAAACCACCGTTCCTCCCGCTCCACCACCACCACCCCCATTCCAACCAGCGCTCCACTGAGAAAAACCGAGTCTTCTGAGGCTTCTGATTCTTCTGAGGCACCTAACCTCCAGTTCCTGGCGGTCTTCCTTTCCTTTCCGAGATCAACTCTCGTAGATCAGACACTGGGCTGTCTCCTTCCACACCCAAGGGCGGCACCATCCATTCCCATTGCTCCAAGACAAACAAAACAAGAGCCCCCACAGGCACCTAAGGCACCACCCAATGGCACCCCCTGTTCCTCAGGCACCTCAGAGCACCTCCTGTTTCTCTGACACCACTGGCACCTCCTGTTCCTCAGGCACCTCCCACTCCCTCGGCACCACCTCCTTCAGCGGTTCCGGCGCCTAGAAATCCATCTTCATCAGCTCCACCGGCTCCACCCCCAATGGCACCTCCAAAACCACTGTCTCCACCTCCTGTGGCGCCGTCTGAACCTGCCCCATCAATAACTAGCCCTCATCGTAACCCGTACAAAAAGCTGGCACCACCTCCACCACCTCCAGCCGTCGACCAACAGCAGACGGCAGGGCTGTCTTTGCGGAAAATCTCTGCACTGGCTTATACGATTACCCCAGGACATTCTACAAAGAGCGAGTCTGCGAAAACTGTGATAGAAGATACTCAAAAGAGGTTCAAATTTGTCAATGCCAATGCGCTTCCGCATCCCAGACGGTTTGGCGACGACGCCAAAGAAAAGTTGTATCCTAGTGGCCGCGGGCTGTCGGTTCCGTTGGATTTGAGTTTATATACTTGATTGGATTTGAGTTTATACTTAGTTGGTTCTTTTCATGGGGCCCACACCTGTATAACCTTGTCGTAGAAAGAACATGTGGAAACATAGTCGCTCTTGGACCAGTCTCCACCGTAACATATGCTTTCATGCCCGTCCACAAACGTAGAAGAAACAGTCCACTTTTCACCTTGAGTCTTCACAATTCTGGCTCCATCATACATGCAACATACCAATAGCTGCGAATCAGGTCCAGGACAAAGACGCCATACACCTCCACCCAAATTTTCCTGAGCGATAAGTGAAGGTGGGATTCCTGGAACTAGCAGTGGGTTAGTCTTATCCATCAAACGAAGATCAAATAAACGGAGATTATCGTCGTACGAACCGGTGAATAAATGGTGTGGATTCGCAGCATTCCATTGTGGTCCCAGCGACAAAATCGAAACAACTCCAGCATCATGGTGCCTTCTTGAAGTGTTCCATATAGAAGACTTGGTACGTGTATCATGGCAGATCACTTTGGCATCGTCTCCACCCGTAAATACCACATTTGAAAGTTCTCCAATTTCGCCAAACGAACCAGTCCAACATTCCAAATCGTGGGTCAGATCCAAAATTTCCATTGACGAAGTTTCCAAGTCCACAAGTGCAGCCTCGCCGCTCGTTAGTGTCACAAGAACCTTGCCTCGGCGCATTGGGTCGAAAAAAACCGAGGTGACCAAGTTATCTTCCTCGAAAAGCTGGAGCTTCAGACCCTCTTCGAGCTCATCACCATTACACTTCCATACGGTCAAACAGCCAGTTGAATGAGCCGTTACGAGCCTTTCACAACCAAAGGGATCGAACTTAAGATCTAGCACGGCACTGGCGGTTTTATAACTATTTTTAAGTATTAATTGACCATCATCCTCCAACTGAAAAATGTCTACACTTCCATGGCGAGAACCTGAATCTTCCAATTTATAAGTACCAACCAAAACTAGCCTATCATCGTTTGGGTGTATTCTCAAGCAACAGGGCGGAAGCTCAGACTTTGTTATGGCCAACCTGGTCCCTTTGGCTATACCCATTCCAATGGCTCATCTCCGACTGCATGCAGACGAGATAAAGTGAGAGTCTCAGATACTGAAAATCAAACTGGTTCTCATGGGCCTCTGGTCGAAATGGAATAGCTTGCCTGTAAAAGCACGTTACTATATTGGTGGCTCCACGTTTGTGTTTGCGTTGATAGGCGACTATGTGACCGGTAGGATAAATGATGAGGTAGTTGCACGAGAAAAAACGATGAAGGAACTCAGCAAAGATGAAGAAAATAGAAGTAGAGAATGAGGAGAATGAAGAGAATGAAGAAGATGAATAAATGAAGAAAATGACATATACACTGTTACAATGGTACCGCAATGGAAATTAATGCTTAGAAGTATCAAAAACTGTAAATAGCCGATTCAATTGCAATATCATTACCATTATCTATAACATTCTATTCAATTAAGGATACCTTTTTTAACAAACTCTCTTCTGGTGGAAGAGATGAATTCCAAAAACTTGGCAGGGTTGGAATCGATACCTCTGGTGTACACAAACCGCGACGCCAAATGGGTTGCAAAAAGTGCCCGCAAGTAAGCCTCAGGAACACGCAGAATAATCTTTTCAATTCCAACGGCCTTAAGAAGCAAAGGAGGCAACGAGTCAACCAACACAGCGTTTCTGAACTCGACATCGTCGTTCCACAATTCTTTGGAGTTGGCCAATTCGTCAGCAAGTTTGTTAATTGCCAACGACAACTGGTCGGAAAGCACTGTGATTGGCGTGCCCGTCTCCTTCTTCAACGCCCACAACACCTCAAACTCAGCCTGGGCATTAGCCACAATTTTGTCTTGTACATCCTTGACATAATGCTCGTAAAACTGTGGCTTGGTTCCAGACGAATCCACACACATGTTCTCCAAAAACTCATTGTCTTCAAGAGATAAAGCGGCCAAAACCTCCAACGAAGAAGACGTTACACCTCCCTTATTGGTTGAAGCATCCTTGAAAATGATACATCCTGCCGCCTCCAAAATGAGCTTGGCGGATTGGGTGATAAACAAGTTGGCACCTTCAACAAAGTAAGGAACAACTGACTTACCGGTCTTCTCGTCGATCAATTCATGGATGTTGTTGGTGTCAATAGCAGCTGGACGACCACCACAAGGAACAAACAAATCGACACCGCTGAGTCCATACATTTCCTTGATTTTCAAGTGGAATGTGTTTCTGAACGTGGTTCCATTTCCAACCGTTATTCCATTTGGCAAGCGGACATCAACGTCATCTACCAACACCACGTAACCTTCAGAAGAGAGCTTGGATTTGTCGTAGTTATCGATCATCTTTCTCTCCTTTGCAAGCCTCAAAAGTTCAGCTTTGTCAAGACCATTTGGATCACCAAGAACACCAGAACCATCAACAATTCCAACATACTTTTCGTCTCTGGAAAGCAAGATCTCATTACTTCCCAAGTCACCATCTGGGCCTCCGGTCTGAATCTTACGGACTGTAGCATTGTCAATGTTGAGCTTCTCGTATATCTTGTTCACGTACGCTCTGACTGAAAGAGTGGTCATACCGTACTCATCGTGAGGAATGCCTCCCAATTGGGGACTCTTACCAGTGAGGAAAGATCTCCACCATGGTGCACCTCTTCCACGAGCATGTTGAGTGGCCCAATCCACATAGTGGGCAGTACCCTCGTCAGGACCCAAAAACAAAATTTCGGGCTTGTTGTACAAATCAACATAGGCATCTTTGACATCTGGAATATTTTGCTTCAACAACAAGTCGATCAAAGCATCAATGTATTTCTCAAAGCATGCTCTGGGTCTTTCTTGAGCAACACCGTGATCTAACAAGATAACACCCTTCGACCCACCTTCAGGAATATCCTTATTTTTCTTTTGCTGAGTACTTGCCAAGTTGTAATTTTCATCAAAGAGACTTCTGCAGTTGACATTGTAGGCATCTTCTGAACGAGAGCGAACAATTCTGATACCTCCTCTAGCAATGTCTCTGAATCTAATGTGGAAACCACGGAAGTCGCTTCCAACAACAAAGAACATACCATAAGGTTTATCAGGATATTCAGAAGTGGGCAAGAAAGCAGGGTCCAATCTGAACGAAAGGGCAACCTTGGTAGAAGTGTAAAAGTTGGTCTTCAAAATGGACTTGTTGAACATGTGCAAAGCTCTCAATACAAGCACATGGTGTTCGTTCTGAGAACACTCTCGGTTCAAAAGATGTTCAAACTCTTCATCTGAACCAACAGGAGTGATTTGCGACAATCTTTGGTACGACAAGGTTTTTTCCATTGACGAGCGAATGTAGTGTACGTCGGCGAACAGGCGGTACAACTTTCTAACAATGTCACGTCTGACGTCAAACACCTCTTGAATGTATTTCTGAGTGTAAGTCTCAGATCTCAAACGCTTCTTCAAGCTGCTCAAGACCTCGGCGTGTTGGGTCGATTTGGAAGGATCAAGAAGCGAGGTAAGCTTCGAGTATTCAGGACCCAATCTATTCAAAAAATGGGTGACAAAGATCACACCAGATTGAGCATAGATACTCTCCTGCAACGACAATTCACCCTTGGTAAATCTGTCGTGGAAAAAGTTGTGAGGAATGCAGTACAACAAAGATGCCTCCTTGATGACTTGGTAGATGGACAAATCGGCTGGCGATTTCTTGAACTTGGAGGTCACATACATGGAAATGATGGTGACTCCGTTGGCAAACTGTTCCACGTACTTACGAGTAGTTTGCAACTTGTAGTAGTTGGCCAAATCACTCAAAGCAGAATTGTATCTGGCAGAAGTTTTCTGTTTGTAACCAATCACCACTCTGAACTCGTCGGAGTCTTCGAGAGGGTAGTGCTTGATCACTGGACCCGTGGTAACCACCACCTTTTTGATGATATCCGAGTATATTTGCTTAGTGTTGGGAGAAGCAATCTGCAAGAATGTAGTGTCACCAATTTTGTTGATATCGGTTTCTTCGGGGGAAACATCCTTGTGCTTGTAATTGTTCTTGTACACAAAGTAACATCTGAAAAGTTGGTCCTTCATCTTTTGATTCTGGGACTTTTCAAAAACACCCGACAAGATGGCATCAGCAGAGTAGTTGAGAGGAGCAGTGAAATACTCGGCTCTGTAACTGGTGTCGGTCAATTTGTAAGAAGGATCAATGTACTTGTCATCAACCTTTTCCTCAAAACGATTCCGCTTGTATGACGAATTCAGAAGCGCTGTGGTGTCAAAGAACACTGCGTGGTCATCACCCTCCCTCTTGTAATGGATGAGTGAATCATCAGAAACGTCTGAGGCGTAAGCCTGGACCTTACACGAGTACAAGGCGTGGATGTGACCAGCAATTTCTTCAGCAGATTCTCTGGCAAAGAACACATCATCAATTCCCAAATGGTCGTAGAACCAGCGAGCTTCTGACTCAATCAAAGATTCAGGAATGAAGCCAGTGTTGTCCAAGATGTCCAAAACTTGATCATACTGAGCTTTCTTACCAGAAAATGGACTATTGATGTAGCCACGCTTCAAACTTAAGACGGAAGACGAATTGGAAGTGGTCCTGTTTAAGGACAAGTTCTGAATATCAACGTCAGCCATCGGTAAAGATTTGTTTAAATGTAATCGAATACGATTTTATACGAAGATTATCCTTGTAGATTCAAAACGGCGGTTTTCGTATAATTAAAACTTGCGATATTTGTGCTCTATATATACGCAGTTGCAGACCCCAACAAAGGTGACGCCCGGTAACTTCTGCGGCGCTGGAGGGGCGGACGGAAATCATTAGGGGTGAATTCCGAGGGTATTTCCGAGGGGTGTGGGGCCAAATTTAGCAGTGCGCCAAGGTGAGCGCCGAGGGTGGCCGGGCGATGAAGGAGAGTTCGGGTGCATACTTCCGAGGGCAAAATAAGCTGTGTGCGGCAGTCCGACTCCGACTTTACAACGAATTCCGAGGTCAGAAGAGGGGGAATAATAAGGCAGTTATTATTTGACTTGTTGCTTTGTTCTAGCTCCAAAAGATCGTCAGCGAGTTGCCAGGACATGAAATGTGATTTCTTCTACACAATTCTGCCCCGGAATTTTTCGGGCCTCATAACCTTGCGGTGCACGGCAATAGCACCTCATCACGCGCGTCGTCCCGAAAAGGCAGTTTTTGTGGGGCATAGAAGAGAGGGGCACCCCGCTATGGCTTTCCATGAGCGGCATCGTGAAAAATTATAAACACGATACATGATGCAGGTCACACAATTCGGGAAATGTTAACCGTTACTCCACACTAGGCACTGTGGCTACCTGCCGTTTATAGTCGAATCACGTGGCCACAATATTGTAACGTTTATTTACACGGCCACAATCGGAACGTTTATTATGCATAGTCTATTACCATCCATGGTCAAACAACATGGACACGGATTCTCCGTTGTGTATTCTTCGAATGGCCTCAGCTAGCACTCTGGACACATCGATAACCACGAGCTTGTCTCCCAACATCTCCGAATGAGTTTTTTGTGGGGTGGAATTGGTGGTGATCAACTTGTCGATTGAAGACTTGGCGATTCTATTGATGGCATCTCCACTGAAGACCCCGTGAGTCACCAAGGCATACACATACAGGGCACCTTGGTCCTTTAAAAGCTTGGCTGCTCGGGTTATGGTGTATGAGGTATCAACAAGATCATCGACCAACACACACACTCGGTCTCTAACATCACCAACTAGCATGGTAGTGGCCACCAATTGATGTCCATTGGGGTTATTCACGGAACTCGTGCTGGAAAATCCACCAGCACTCCTGGTTCCTAATGGACCGGGTGCAGAAGGTGGACCACTGGAATTGGCTTTGGCTCTTCTTTCTTTGTGAATTAAAGCAAACTGACACCCAATTGCATCGGCTATTGAAGTAGCACGCTTGGCACCTCCACTATCGGGCGACACTATCACACACTGTTGATAGTTGGGTATATAGTCAATAATATAATGCTTGAGAAGTGGCTTTGAGTACAAATTATCAACGGGAATATTGAAAAATCCCTGGAATTGTGGGTCATGAAGGTCCATGGTTACACAACGATCTGCTCCAGCAGTCATAAGAAGATTGGCTATCAACGTACCATTTTGAGATATCCATTTCTTGTACCCGCTATCATTGGGCTTTGCCAAATCGCACGATTTTTCACTTTTTTCCACCAGTCTTTCAGTGGATCTTTCACTGTTTCTTTCCGTCGATCTCTCACTGATTCTTTCGCTGGCTCTTTCAGCCGCTCTCTCTCCAGAGCGTTCCACAGGTTTATCTTGCTTGGCTCTAAAAGATTTGGGAAGGATGTGTCCCGCGGCACCAATTCCACTCGACGAATTGACGCCAAGATTAAAAGGCGGAGGAGTCCCGAAATCAAACCCACTCTTTGTCCATGGTCGTGGAGTGCTGGGAGCACTTTCGTATGTGTAGGTGTCTTTTTTGGTGGTTATAGAAGGGGCTCCAGTAGCCACTGCTGCGTGGGGCACATCTGGCTGACGAGAGTATGGAAACAAGGGGAGAACCGCAGTGACTCTACGAGCACTTGCCGTCTTGCAAGCAGCAATCATGATGAGGAGCTGAACGAAATTATCGTTGATATGGCCGCTTCCACTTTGAATTATAAAAACATCCTTATCACGAACCGAGCCTTGTATTTCGATACTGGTCTCACCATTTGAGAACCTACCGATATTCACATCGGATTCTTCGGTCGTTAGTATCCTACAGATACTTTTTGTAAGATCAGGGTGGGATGTTCCACCTAAAACCACCAAGTTCCTCATGGCTGAAGAGGAAGAAGTTTTTGAAATTTTGAAAATGATAACGGTATCTGCAGGACCGCGACCACCCAATGGCTGCAAAATGGGATGAGGTAGGTTAAAAGTAACTGATTACTGCTGAGAGGCTGGTTAAAAAAATGAGGATGCAACTTGCAATTTATATTGCCTAGGACTTCATTGAAAGACTACTTCTTTGCGAGAGTTATCGATGTTAAAATGGTCAATCTGCTCAATTATACTCTGCTCATATCCACAAAGGTTTGAGATTGAGTTGCTGAAACCTCGCTCGAAATGTACATGATAGCTGCTTGAGCTAAAGAGAAATAACTCTTAAGTCTTTCCTTATGCAATTGAAGTTAATCTGAGCGCAACCAGGCAAGACAGAATAATACCATAAGCAACTCTTCAGAACCAAGTGATCCTTTTCACTCTATATTGCAAACATAATCGATCATTTGATACTCCTGTCTAAAAACGAACATTGTAGTTACCTGCTGTGCATTTGTAGTTGACCCATTTTATAGTTCGATAGTTGGACTTATCGTGAATCTTCAAGAACTTCACAGTGAGCCCTGAGCAGGCATACATATCAAGATGAAAGTCGATTTTTATCGGTGGCCGTTGCCATTTGAGAACAGTATCTTCGTCCTCATAATTGGTGGTTTCATTCCAACCAACTTCAGCAGTTAATGTATGCAGTTGGTCGCCAAAGAGTTTGTTAAATTTCCAAAGAATGGCAGATTCTTCGGGGTGAAATTTGGCCTTGCCTTGGGTTGGCGACGCATAGTTTCTCACTACTCCCTGAGGAGTTGGGACTCGAATCACCACGCCAGTAGCAGCAATTTTCGAAGGGAAAAGAGACCTGATTTTGATTTTGTAGACGATTTTGTGGCCCAGTTGATGTATTTCTGGAATGATGTCGAACGGAAGATTTATGTTTGACAGGCAATGGTACGACATCAACTGGAATTCTCCATCCGGAGGAATGAACTGAATCTCTCGATTCGAGTCAAAACGTGAAAGGTCAACGGAATGGTGAAGTTTTGTATTTTCCAAAACCACTCCGGAATCTGTATCTGACAGATGCGACGATGCCGAGCTGAGGAAAACACAGTCGTCACCCAACCCAAATCTGCACTCAGGCATTCCAGATAAATGTGTTCGCATGTTAACGGTACCATCGACGGAAGAACGAAGTACCAGCCCACCTTCTGGACTTATGAGTGCCGAAACCTTTTCTTCGATATTCACGAAAACTTCATTCCGGCGGTATTTTATGCCTGGTTGTCGCCACGATACACCTGTGTCGTGGCCTGCGGTTCGGTCAAGTGAAGCAGAGGAAGTATTGCCGATTTTGGGGAGCCCCAAAGTAGCAATTGTGCCTGAAGAGCGTTTTTTCGCCAAACTTTTGGGTCGTTTTAAAAATGAACCCAGCAGCTCTGACGAGCCATGGACCAGGAAATAGGATGGATTGGTGTCAATTGGGTACCCAAAGTTGGCAGCTTCGTCTACAATGTCGTAGACGGAGGAAAAATGGTTGATGATGGCGTCAGAGGTCAACGGATGTTTTTCACCAACTACCAGTTTGAGCAAGGTTTCTAACCGGAAAAGAAACGCCATGATAGTAGCACAGTCCTGGTTTGACCTGGCCACGGCACAGAGCCACAAGTGGCCGGAACGGATGTAAATGAACGAAGTGGATCCGAGGGTTAGCACCGGAGAACGTATTGCGGAACGATTGGAAGCAGCCGAAATGACATGGATTCGAAATACGTCTGAGATGTTTCTTCCTATGCCGCTTCGGTATAGCTTGGAGATAAGGACATCTCCTTTGGCATCGAATATGTAGAGTCCACTGATCATGTTGGAAGTTGCGAACGCGATTTGGATTGATTTGAGATTTGAGGTTTGGATTTGGATTTGAATTTGAGATTTGAGATTTGAGAATCGATTTGAGAGCGGAAGGATAAGAGAGAAATGAGAACAGAAGGTGAGATTGAGAAGGTGATATGAAGAAGATAGAAGAAATGAGAAGATGAGAAAGGAATATAATAAGTCGAAGAATGAAGAATAAAATCAAGGATTATATGAAATTGTTGATGCTGCTCGATAGAGTGACTTTCGTGGAAATTTTTATTTTTTTCTGACATTTTTTGTCTACTGCATTCCCGCAAGAGCACCCTGGGTCTTCTTGTCGTGGCGACTCTTCCGACTATGGTTTGCTCGCGACGATTTATTTGCTTCGTTTCGCTTTTGGGCCCGCTGGATCTGCTCTTTACTTTGTGGTTTGGGATCCTTGGTCTCATTGGTAGTCTTTGTTTTCTTTGTATCATTTGTTTCATCCTTTTTATCATTTCTTCGATTCGGGTTTCCGCCATAAAAGTAGTCTTCTTCGAGGATCTTGAATCTCCGAGGTGACTTTAGGAGCAACCTAAACCAACCCTCGATCTGCTCGTCGGTCATACCAGTTGCTTTCCTCATTGCCTGTCTCTCAGCACTTTTTCGAGCTGAACGAGTTAAGGCTTCATTGTTGAGTTTAAAGGCCAGGAAAAGGTACCGACTATTGGCATCAATGGCTTGTCGAGTTTCGAGTCCTTTATCTCTTTCTTGCCTAACGTCTTTCTCGAAGCCGGTTGTAGTGGTCTCCTGGTCATCGTAGGTATCGTCTGGTTCATCCTCATCGCTTTCATACATAAGTCGTATAGCAGCTGATAGCGTCTTTTTTTGCAATTCTTCGGTGGATACCACAGGGTCCTTTCTCTTGACTAGGGTGTCTCCCTTGACACTGTTCGTGAACCTAGCAACACTTGAAGCTACAGGCTGGATGGTTTCGTCAACCAAATTAAGCTCCTGGAACTCTTTAATGGTGCTGATTATGTCTGGCAGCTCGAGTAGAATGTTCGTTGCACGTTCGACATTTTGGTCGTTATCGAAAAGAATAGTTTTTGCTTGGCCCCTGGTCATTTGAGGGAAAAGATCGAGAAGAGTATCGATATCACTTTCTTTTATGGCTGGTGAGGACGGTGATGAGACCTTATTTGAAAACTTCAAATTAGCCAAGAACGGCAACTTTTCTCTGATTCCAGGACTCAAGCTCAGCAAAGAATCAGATATCAAGATTGCACTGAACAATGGGTACATTTTGAGACCTTCGGGGCTATTAATACCCATTCCAGTAACGAGTTTCGCGAGCTTTGCTGGAGAGAGAGACACCATAGATATTATCATGACATGCTCGATAGTGGTAGCATGGACACTGGAGCCTCCGCCATAAAGAGACTCGAGTAGTTCTATCCATGCTCCAGTGACGAATTTTTCAGCAAATTGCGTGCTGTTGGATTTTGCATTGACTTTCTTGTGGTCGCCTCGGCCTGCTCCAGTGATGTTTATGACTTGTGCTTTAGAAGCTGCTATGCTCTGGCCCAATAGGTGCGAGAGCGCTTCAAGATCATGATGGCTAAACTTGCCAGAAGTGATAATTGTCTGAAGGTGAGTGTGGATCAGTGGAATAGAGCTTATATTACCGGACTTTTTGTTGTCGTTAAGCTTGGATTTGAAAGTTCCATCCACAAGGGACCTCACAGTGGTACCGTTGCCTGCTGCGTAGATGCAAATGAAGTGCCAAACCGCCTCGCCAGTGAGATTAAGCTTGACTATGCTGTATGATTTCACGAGCTGGAAAACTAGTGCTCTTAAAGATGCTGTATTTGCTTTGATATCAGGATTGATGGCTCCCAAGGAGAAGATCCTGCTGCCCTCCTGTGAGGTTTCGGAAAGGAACACTTTCACAAAATACTGAAGCTGTTGCTGGGTCCGAACAGATAACTTGAACAGTTCCGGAGGGTCTACTAGAACCTGTAAAAGTTGATTATATGCTTGAAGAAGATGCACCCATATCACTGGATCCTTGTCTATAAGCGAGGACCGAAGCTCAAACGGCGGATACTGCGGGATTGGAATATGGACATCGTCAGTACTCATTAGCAGTTCGACTCATAAAATGAGTCTTGCGAGATGTTGAGCCTGTCTGCAGGTCGTGGCTAATCTATCGCTATCTGCAGGCCCGCGATGCGGCAGCCCACGTTGGGTGCGAACGATAATGTATTGTCAATGGTGGCCCAGAAATTTGTGGATCTCAATGAGCCATTAAACCCCGAGGCCAAGCCCACGTTGGCGAAGTCCAGCTTGACTCCAGAGTACGCGGAAGCTTCTCTTATTCTTCATGGTGACTATTATCGTCAGCTTCAAGGATCATGTAATCGGTACATTTTTTGGCACCCAATTTCAATGTCAATATGGGTGGTTGGTTTGGTAGCTGCTGCCGCCTATTTTCTTCGAGACTACTATGCCATTTCGAATGGACTTCTAGATTTTTTCGCTCAGTTCGTTGCTCGCTCCGATATGAAATTCGAGTTGATTTACCTCTTACCATGTACGGTTTTGATATTTGCCTTCATAGGATTGAGTGCCCATCTCTTGTCGGACGACTTGCGTGATATTGCGGACAAGCTCGACCAGCCGGATCGGATCGAGGAATTGTACGGGTTTGACTTGAGAAAATTCGCCAAAGAGGACCCCAACCTGAGATTGTCACCCAAGCAGAAAGCCCTCCTCCAGAATGGTGAAAATACTCACTTGATTGTGTACAGAAACTCCCCCATCGCTGTGATTACTTTGAAGCCGTTGTTAGACAACTCCACTGAAGCCAATTACTTTGTACGAATCACTGGTCTTCACGTTAGAAAGGTGTTCGTCAAGGCTGATTTCCACACCCTTTTAATCGACTGGGCCCTCTTGAGATCCAGACAACTTTTCCACGAGTACCTGAAAAAGAAGCTGGACGTCGACTCGTGCAAGATCAACATCTTGGTCGACGCCTACTCGTTCGACAAGACGTATATTAAGTTTCTTCAATCTCGGTCTTTTGGCCGGGTTTCTTCGTCAACTTTGTTAGACAAATCCAAGAAGGGATCCAATCTCATCCAGTCACTTAACAAGCTTCTTGGAATCACCAGAGATACGTTCGGTGTGACTATCATTGCCAAGAACGGCGACGAGGACCCATTGTTGAATGCAATCAAGACTGTACCATACTATAAGTCTTCTCAACCAAACCAAGTGAGAAAGCGTAAATAATTATGTACATAACTTTTAATGCTAATCCAAGAGACCTGCATGCTTTTTCCCTCTCTTCATTGCCTTTCGAGACCTATAGGCGATAGAGCCTACCCAAACGACACCCACAACAGCTGCGGTGTAGAGGCATAGCTTCAAACCAAATACCACCTTTTTCACCAACCGGTTGAAAAAATTGGCATTTTCGTCACCATATAATTCTTTCCGTTTTTGTCGTTCCCGCTCCTTAAGTCTCCTTTCTGCGTTTTTCAACCTCTTTAGCGTACGTCTCTTGGTGGTAGATTTTTCCTTTTTGAGAACTCGATGCCTGCCTCCGCCAGCCTCTTCCTTGGCTGCTTCCTCATTGGAAATTTCCTGGAGCTCGTCAATGGAGTCTATAAACCCTCCCTTGCCATTGTACAACGCAAACATTCTATTTTCCATCAAATCAACATTTTCAGACAAATCGCCGGTTTCGGCACTGAACCCCAAATACTTGATTGCGGGCAATCTGACATCAGAAAGAGTCACACAGTTGGACCACTCGTCAGCAACGTTGTTGTAGTTGAAATCCAATGAAAAATAGCCATTTTTGGTGTAGACAATACGGGCTTTGGTCAACTCACTTCTTGGGTTGAGAACTGACCGGGCAGTACATCCAGCCAATCTCGTTTCGTACCCGTCTGTATCCTTGTTGTATGGAGTTACACCATTGCCCATCATCAAGTTCACAAACGGAAACTGGCCCCTTTTGCCATTTTTGTAGGTATCGACAAATATTCCCAATCCATTAAAATTGTTCTGGCAACCAAAAACATCACCAGTGGGCAATTTTCTGTCGGTAAACCATATAGCAAAGCCATCAGCAACTAATTCTCGGGCCTTGCTATGGATGTGGAACGTCAATTCCATTTCAAACGACTCGGCTTGGATGGGGAGTTTCAGAAAAATGCTTCCGGCTTGGTGAGGATTATCAGAAGTCAATCTCATGAACTCATTATTGCGGACAATTGTTGTTCCCAGAACATCCCAATTCTTTGGCTTCAACGTGTTCGGATCCAAGTAGGGAGGAGCCAAGCCATGGGCCGTTAATTCCACTTTTTTGATGCCAGCAAGACCTTCGTCTTTGTTCTGGAACATTGAGTTGATTTCTTCCGGTGACAAAGAATCATCGGAATCTCTCGGAAAAATCAACACATAGAGAACTATGAACACGACGAGTGTCAATGCACCTTTAAAGGTCTTGGATCTTAAGATCGAAGCCATGGCCATGGTAGTCCGCACGTGGAGAAGAAGAGCAAGTGCGAACACAAAAGATGGGTGCAAATGGGTGGGGAGGTGGAAGTGAGAAAATGTGGGGGAGAAGAGAAGGAAGTGAGAAGGGTGGGGGAGGTGAGAAGGAAGTGAGGAAGTAGTGAAAGGGTGGGAAGAGTAGAGTGGGACACCAAAAGTCCCAGGAATGAATCATAAATTCTTATTCGAAAACGATATGAATCCTTGTCTATATACACTATGCCAAAGCCCGAGTCTCTGCAACTCAAATTCACACAATCTCTTCATATTACTGGCCAAATACAACCGTTCGTATGGCCGTCCAAAACGTCTCCTTTTTTTCACCTTTGATTTCACTCATGATCCGGTCGTAGTAACGTGGGTTTCCCTTTGGTTTCAAGAGCTTGTCGTCCAATTTGTAGTACCTCTTATACTTGTCGTTCACCAAATTGCGTAAAGCCATATATTGTAATCTCATGTCGTGGTCCAGGATATTGGAGGTGATTTCTTTATTCGAGAACCGATCGATTTGGGTATCTTTAAACGAGGCATAGTGCTTTATTCTGTCCTTGGGAAGCGTCTTGAGAAGTGAGAGGATCTGCTGGACGGTGGGGGTGGATTTGGTTGACATGATAGTGACGAAGAAAGGCTTTTGTAGTTGAGACCGATGTCAGTTAGTGGTGTATGGATGTACAACCGGCACATTTTGCGTGAAATTTCGGATAAGGTTTTCTACAATATGGTTGCTCCAGTGCCACGAGTAATCGTTATTAGACATGGTCAAACAGAGTGGTCGAAATCTGGACAGCACACCTCCATCACTGATCTTCCATTGACGGATTTTGGTGTGATGCAGATGCGTAATACCGGAAAACAGCTTATTGGAAATTCACCTTTGCAGCTTATCTCTCCAGAAAACTTGAAATATGTATTTATTTCCCCTCGAAAGAGAGCCAAGCAGACGGCAGACCTCTTGTTGGAGGGTTTGGATGAAGAAACGAGGCAAAAAATTCAGATAATTGAAGAGAACAATGTTCGAGAGTGGGAATACGGTGACTACGAGGGCAAATTGACCAAGGAAATCGTTCAATCCAGAAGAGAACGGGGAGTAGACGACCCTTCTCACACATGGGATATCTGGAGCGATGGCTGCGAAAATGGCGAAAATCACCAGCAGGTTGCAGACCGACTCGACAAAGCAATTGCCAAAATCAGGGACATTCATCGCAAAGCATTGGACGAGAAGAAACCTTGTGACATTGTAGTGGTTGCTCATGGACACAGTCTTCGTTGTTTTGTAGCAAGATGGGTGGGTCGTCCTCTCAGCTGCAACCCTCAATTAATGTTAGATGCCGGTGGCGTGGGGGTCCTTAGTTACCAGCACCACAACATCGACGAGCCAGCTATCTATCTTGCGGGAGCGTTTGTTGTTCCGGTTGAAGAGGAGGGAAAGAGTTTATAATTAGACATTAACAAAGTGGTCATTCTGAGAACTTTGAGCACATGATAGATTATTTATACATTTTAAACCCTATTCGTACATCTTCAAGAAACTCGTTCCATTCCTTTTTGTTATTGATAACACTGTTCGTTGTCGCTTCCCGTTTCCTATCAAACGCGGCTTTTCGCGGAGATGCATGGTGTGCACATAAACCGTCTCGGTGGAGTCGGCATCGCTTCTCCACGTTGATGCCGCACAAGTCATTTTTTCTGGTTCATATAAAAGTCGAAATAACTTGCAACAACTTCCAGACCAAAATTTTTGTTTAGTTTACTCATGACTGTGCCTCAAATCCCAGTATGGTTAGATTGTGATCCCGGTAACGACGACGCATTTGCAATCTTACTTGCAGCCTTCCATCCACAATTCAAGTTGGTGGGTATATCTACCGTTCACGGCAATGCTCCGTTGTCCATGACCACCCACAACGCTTTAGGGCTCCTTGAAGTGCTTGGACTCGAACAAAACGAAGTCAAGGTATATGCCGGAGCCGAAGTTCCACTTGTCAAGAAGCCACATTATGCCCTTGATGTCCATGGAAAATCGGGCATTGGCGGGGCCCAGTTACCGGAAAACCCTCGAATCGCGGTATCGAAAGATAAGGACTATTTGACGGCAATGAAAGATGCAATTGAAGCATATAATGGTCAATTGTGTATTGTTGCAACTGGAACATTGACCAACTTGGTGCACCTTTTTCAGAAATGGCCTCAGCTTAAACAATCAGTTAAACTCATTTCCATCATGGGAGGAGCGTTTGACCTTGGGAATGCCACAAAGTATGCCGAATTCAACTTTTATGCCGACCCGCACGCCGCAAAATTCATTGTCGAAGACCCACAACTCTCATACAAGACGGTGCTTGCACCCTTGAATTATACCCACAAAAGCATAGCCAATCTGGTAACACGGTCCAAGTTGTACAATCCAGAGAATTCTGAGCTCAATTCAAATCTCAGGCTGACATTTCACAAAATTCTCATGTTCTATTATTCATCTTATATCAAGAACCCAGCTTTCATTGAGGGTCCACCGGTACATGACCCTCTTGCATTATTCCTGGTGATCAAAATGCTTGCACTTGTCAACGGAGAAAAACCATCCAAATTTGAATATCATAGGGTGGATATTAAGGTTGTGGTAGATGGAGAACATGAAGGTGAATCAGTGGCCTGCGGTAACAGTGAACTGGGAGTGGTTGTGGGCGATAGCACTGATTTCGGTGAGTTCTGGAGCTACGTGGAAACAGCTCTTCGAAACGCCGACCACCATGTGCAAGGCCATGCATTGTGAGCCTGGATTGGTTTCTTTGATTAAGCTACTTTTGTAAGCTTCTCTTCAGTGCTTTCTTGTTCCTCTGGGCTGAGACCACGAACCGTCTCCACGATAACCTTTCCTATTCTTGGCTGCAAATCCGCCGCCCAAACAACATCTAAATGTGAATAATCAATGAGCTCAACCACCTTTAGGTTTTCATTGGTATATGATGGCTCAAAGTCTTTCATGTGGCTGGCCAACCGTTTTCCATCAACTAAAAAGTCCTCGCCGCCGATAAAAGCCACCATCGGTACAATAAACAGGACATCATCAAACCATGATTCTTTGTAGGGAAAGTAAGTTTTAGAGTCGTCTTTTTGTAACTTTGCGTCGGTAAGTTGAGGTGAAAAGTGAGCATCTGTCTTGTAAGCCTTTGCGGGCTGCAACTCATTAGCAAACGATTGCGGTACCCACTCTGCTAGCCACCACGACATGAGTTTGGTAGAGACAAATGTCACGTTAAAGATGAAGTGAATATGCCAAAGTTTTCGGCTTGGATTCCATTTTCTTCCATTCCAAAGAAACAAAAACGAGAACATGACATATGACATGTAGCTGAAGAATCGAGTGGAGTAGAGATTGTTTCTAGCGAACGTGATAAGACGAAGAAACGAATAACGACCAAAGATCCATCTGAATGAAGATTGGCTTCTATGGCGCATGAACCGCAAAAAAGCACGGTTATGAAACAACGGTCCGGGGTAAATTGCTGGCGCCAATGGAAAAAAGTATCGTACTTTACGATGCCATTCATCTAGTTCTGAATTTCGCAACATCAAAAAGTTCTGTGTACATCCTTGCAGGTGTCCTATTAGAAAAAGAGCTTCATGGTGAGGTTTGTGGCTCAACACATTATCTATCAAGCAGGGCATGTCGTAATAAGCCAACTCACGCACATCCCAGTCCCAAAACTCCTCATTGTACATCAAGTTTCCCTCGATGGTTGCATGGAGAGGTTCGAACCAGCACCGATTATTTCCTAGCCAAACGTCGTGGCCTGCTTTGTGGAGATAAAACGCCAACGATTGGTATCCACCGCTGAGAAAAGCTCCCGAACACGAAAGTAGTCCATGTTGCAACAAAAACGGTTCACGTTTATCTTTATCCTCACTAGATTCTTTAGGGTCGAACAAATTATGAAGTATCAAAATATAGCCATCTTTTGTCTGAACTCGGTATTCGTGTAAGTCAAGACCCAATTGCAAAGCATAGTACCTAAGGTCATTTTTTGCCTTCATTTTCTTGAAATCATGATATGGACCTTGATCATCTACGATAGACAGAGGGTCCAGTTTTTCATTTCCCTTCAACGTTTGGTAGTAGTGATACACCACTCCGCCCACGGTGAGCACAAGTACAAAGATACAAGACAGAAAGTACGAAACAAACAATTCAAGATATCGCAGCCATGTATAACCAATGGGAGTTTTAGGAGGAGGATTTAGGTTCACTTTTGTACTTTTCATCTAGCATTGGAGAATAGGAGCAGGGTTTATTAATGACGGTATTGTGGAGTGCTTTGAATTGAAGTTTGGTAGCGTAATGTTATTAGATGGAACATCCGGAACAAGATTAGCATAATTGACCGCGACACCTTGCTTTCCTGCCTAGAATCGATGCCCTGGCGCATCGGTTCCTACTTCTCTCGCCCCGTATCGCATTTACCCGCTTACTCAGACGGCCGTTGCGGTCGCCGGTTCAAACCAGCGCGGGTGGGAAATTCGGTGGTTCTCTCCGTCCACGGAGGCAGGTTTCTGCCTTCGCACAAAATGCTCCTGAGAGCGTCCTGGCGCGAAAGCGCCGGGCAGGGCCATCAGAAATCAGTCGAGTTTACTTGGCATGGGAGGCTCTGCGGACGGTTGGTCATGTGTATGAACATGGCTATTGAGTGCAATATGCGAACCTTGAAAAAGGCACCCGATACCGATCATCGTGGTGAGAGCGGTTTTTTTTCGCTCACCATTGCGCGCAAATACTAAGCATTTAAGGAGAGACAGAGAGTTTAGCGAGAGAAGTGACACTGATCAATGGCTCGCTTTGCCCACCATTGCTTGGGCCTTCGTTTACGCCGCGTGCTGTGATTTACCGACAGCCCACACCCGCACCGCACCCGCACTCGCACTTGACATCCAAAGTAGAACTACCCTGACTCCATGATCTTTGCTAGCATACGACGAATCTTTGCGTCGTTTAGAACAGAAGAGGAAGAACGAATGTACTCGCGAAAAGCATTCTTCAATCTACTAGGGTTTTTGAGCTCGTGTGTACTTTTTTCATTTGTAGCCCAAAAGCTCTCGCAAAATCCTGGAGAAATAGCGAGAATCGCCCGGGCCAATGCCCTCCTACAAGCTTCCAGTCCATAGATGGAACGTTGTTTTAAGCCATATATACAAGTAATACATATCTACTGTACAATTTTCACCGCAACAACACCTCCTTGGCCATTTCATATGCTGTCCATGAAATTGCGGTGGAAGGCACATTAAAGATAATTCTTGGTTTGAGGCCCCTGGTGAACGCCTTGATTCCGCTTTGCTTGTACATGGTGCTCACGGCGCTGGAAAAGCCGGTGATGTTTCGCAACGCAGTGTTGGTGGAAATGCCCTTAGTTTGAAGTGCGGTTTTGATGCAATCGAACGGGTTGGTCAAGGCAGCAGCAATGCCTCCAGCCACTCCGCCCGACACACAGTGGAGGTAAGGATTGTAGGTGTTTGTGGGGTTCAATAATGACGACGAGTACTCGTAGAAACCAAAGTTCAATGCCGCAAACGGAATGTTGGTGAGTAACGTAGTGGGATAAGAGATGTAGAAGGCGGAAAATCCTTCTTTCTTATAAATATCGCTGGCGTACAGCAAAAGCTTGGCAGAAGACAGTTTCCCAGAGTTGGTAGCAGCCTGCATTCTTTGTTTAAGAACATCGAATGGAGTCATCAATGCATCCGATGCAATTGTAGCAGCAATTCCAGCACCGCTGGCTATCAATGGGTGGGTTTCGTCGGTGACAATTTTCAGGGTTTGTGGCGAATTGGTCAAGCGGTTGACGAGAAGTGTTTTTGTGGCCTCGAACACTGAAAAGTAGACAGCATGAGCTGGGCCTGCTCCTAACACCACCGACGAAACTCCGTGCCAAAGAGCATAGGCGCCTTCTGCCGACGAGATTCTCGAGATGGAGGAGATTAAACTTTTGGAAATAGGAGTGGAAGACAGCATCATTTGCATTCTTGTCTTGATGGAGTCGATGGGGAACATCACGGTGTGCTCCATTATTCCAGCAAAAGCACCAGCAGTCAAGTGAGCCGCGAGCGAAGCATCGTCCGGGAGAGCCTCATAGTCGATCTCGATGGTGTCGTGGCCAGGTTTGACGGACATGGTGGAATTTCTAGATTTTTATAGCCAATGCACCAAAAATGGTGGGTTGCTCGACGGACTCCAAATGGAAACGATGAGCCTAACGATGAGTTAGATGAGCTTAAAATGACGTGTGCAGCACAGTGGGGGGCCAGTGAATACACGGGGTGGAAGGCGGAGTTCACGGGAGAAGGAGGAGAAAGTTGACGGCGTTTGCACTAGGGCCGAAAATCGAGTGCCGAAGCGGATATGAAAAATTCGCGCACGAGTGAAAAACTTCAGAATTATTTTGTACTAGAATATAGACTTTTGCTCGGGCACTATGGTGTTCACCTTTCCAGAGGTGATACACAGCATCACGTTGTCCACCACAAACTCCTCCATCTCTTGTATAGCTTCGTAGGTATGGGTGCCCATGTGGGGTAAGGCAACGACATTGGACAAGTGAAGCAATTCGGAAGGAATCTCTGGTTCGTGCTCAAACACATCGGATCCAAACGCCCCCACCTTTCCAGATTTGAGATGGGGCACAAGTTCGGCTTCATTGATGATGGGACCACGAGCAGTATTGACAATGACGACACCATCTTTCATGGACTTGATGACTTTGTCGTTGATCAAATGGCGGGTGTTGGCGTTCAATGGCACGCTGACCAATATAACATCGCTCTGCTGCACCAATTCGTCGAAAGAAACATATTCAGTACTCTTTTCCAACTCGGGACTCAATCTCGACCGGTTGTAATAAATCGACCTTTTGAACCCAAACGGAGCCAACCGGTCCCGAATAGCACGACCAATGCCTCCCATTCCCAAGATTCCCAAGGTTTTACCTACGGGATCATGGCCCAATCGGGCTCCAGCACACTTTTCTCCATTGGGCCATTTACCTTCAAGAGTCAACGAAATACCATGTTGAAAGTTTCTCATGGCTGCAAGCACCAAGAACACCGCCGTGTCTGCAGTGGGGGCTTCCACGGGCGTAGTGATATTGGAAATTTGAATTTTGCGTTCACTAAATGGATCCACATCTATCTGGTCGTAACCAGCTCCACAGTGAGCAACACATTTTACCAGCAGCGGTAATTTTCCAGCTAATTCAGCATCAAAGCGTCCAGTTTGACTGACACTGGCAAAAGTTCTTGTAATATGGGTGATATCAGAATACTTTCCTTTCAAGTCTTCAAAGAACTGTTGTCTATCCTTGGAGGTGCATTCCACCACTTCAGCCATTTGAGACAATTTTGCCCATTTTTCATGAGCAAACTCAACCTTTCCCAATCTTAAAACCTTTGCCATTGTTTTATACTGGGAGGAAAATTTAAACATGGGAAACCACCGGTTTATAAAAGGGTGGTTGCGAAGAGTGCGCGCGCCCCCACGCCAGTGAAGGGTGGGGGATCCAGTTGACTCGGACTGTGCGGAGGACCGGATAGTGGGTGCAAATTGGGTAAATGGGTACGAATCTGCTGGTAAGCTGTTTTCTCACGACATAATCTGCATTCTCTGTATGCTTCCTCTCTATGCTTACTCTCTATATACTTACTCTTATTGGCTACACTCACAATGTTTCTGGTAACTTCTTTGTCTCTACTCTTATCTCCCTCCTCTCTCTCTCAAATTATAAGGTGCGAGCCACGGTAAGGCATTCTGTCTACGCTCGCTGCTGCTACAGTCTCGTTGAGCGGTACCCTCTCTGGGAACCCATCGAAACTCTTAGCATAAGTAGCTACCGAATGAGCAATGAGTCTGGTGTTCAACAACCAAATTTCATGGTCTGGATTCGACAAGTCATCGCATGCTTGATGGTAGCATGGATCAAGCCATTTTTTCACTTCTCCTCCGTACTTGGCTTGTTCTTCTGGAGTCTTGTACTCGTCTGCTCCAGTCGCAATTCCACCAGATGGTATACCGGTCTCGAGAAATCCAACATAATCGGATCTGCCATCGAAAGGTGTCAAAGAATAGTTCAAGCCGTGGCTCACGTAGTAGTCGATGTACAATTGCTTCAAGTCGCCAGATCCAGCAGGGTGGTCTTCGTTGTTGGCATTGTACACTTGGAGCTCATAGTTGGGGGATGCCATCATGTCGTAGTCCATGAACACTCGCAACTTTTGGTTCTCTTCAGGCGACAAATTGGCAGCGTAGTAATTGGATCCAATGAGTCCTTCCTCTTCAGCGGCCCACCACGCAAAACGAACCGCATTGTTCACCTTAAACTTGGTCAATTGCTTCGCAACTTCAAGTAAAGAAATGGTTCCTGAACCGTCGTCATTGATCCCAGGTCCAGCTCCCACAGAGTCTGAGTGTGCTCCCAATGCCACCACATTATCGTGGTCACCATCAACTGTTTCTGCTACAACGTTCAATGTGTGAACGATTTCCACTTTGGCGTCAACGTACAAAGTCACTTCGATCTCTGCCTCTGGATCAGCTTCCAACTTTTCAAGATAAGGCTTGGCTTCTTTCTCGGTAATGGAAACCGTAGCCACCTCGTTGCCCGTATGGTCTCCCAACGTACCGGCAAGTGGACTAGGATCATAGATGATTGCGCCCAACGCACCAGCATTTCCAGCGTTAATTGACTTGGTTCCGAAAGCACATTCACCTCTCTTGATTATCACAATGTTGTCGGCCGAAGCAGCAGGGAAGTCCAGGGCAAAACATCCGTAGTTGGCCACAACAATCAACTTACCGTGAACAGGCTTTTCTGCTCGAGTTGGAGGTGTAAGATCAAACGCCTTGACACTTTTGGCACTAATTCCGTCAATCAAAAGGGAGTAGTCGTTAATTTTGCCGAAAAGAGCTGGGAACTTTTGCGTCGAAACATGATAAAACCCCTTCAATTTTTTGAGCTCAGACAAGATATACGCAATAGTTTTCCAATGTCCCTTCGAGCCAATGACACGGGTAGGGTGACCATACTGCTTAATTGACTTCTTGGAGATGTTATAAAGCTTTTCGGCGTGGAGACTGATGGCTTCGTCGGTAATTAACAGCTGTAATTGTTCGGAGTCGACCTCGGGTTTCTCGAACAATTGCATAGCATCGACATTGGCATCGATGTCAAACACCTTCTGAGTCACTGGGACGGCCGCAGTGGTACTTAAAGCGACGGCAATTGCTAGCACCGTTGAAAACTTCATGTTTAGTGGTTGGGAAATGTGGCTCTATTTCGTCGAGCGATGCTTATCGGCGGAAACGAGCACGTGACTTCCGCGGGACAATGAGATAAGTGAGCTGCACTGCTGCAAACTGCTCAGATTCTCTCAATTATATTCCTCTCCTTTTTCTCAATTCATTTCTTCTCATTCTCTAATTTCTTTGTTTCTTGTTGCGCTTCACCTTCACCTTTTGCTGTCCCCCAAATCCCCCAAAATTGAAATGGGCTCCCCCACCACCTTGGTTCATAAACTGGCTGAAAAAGTCTCCGTTGAATTGAAATCCAGGTCCTCCACCATGTTGAAATCCACCACCTCCTCCTCCGGCTCCCCGAGGATCATTGGGATCATCTCCTCTGTCGTAACGTTCTTTTAACTCTTTGTCTGACAAAACTTCATAAGCTTGATTGACCTCTTGCATTTTGGCTTCCATCTCCTCTGGGGTCAAACCACTTCCTTTTTGCTTATCTGGATGATATTTGAGTGTCTTGGCACGGTAGGCTTTGCGAATGGTCTTTTCGTCGGCATCTCGGCCGATATCTAAAATTTTGTAGTAGTCCTTTTTGACATCATAACTGTGTCTTTGCTGCTGTTGCTGCTGTTGGCGCTGCTGTTGTTGGCGGTGGAATTGTCTTTGTTGTTGCTGCTGCTGTCTCGCATGCACTTTTCTTTGGTATTCTTCTATAATAGCAGCTCTTTTTTGAAACTGTCTTGTGTGCTTGACTTGGTTATTAAACAGCTCCAACATATTGTGTGCCTCTTGATATTTCTTGTTGGCCAATAAAGTATCAATTTCTTTGAGGTATTTAGGAAGAAACTTGTTCTCTGGTACATCGTGTACCTTTTTGCAAAACGACTCTGCTTCTTTTTGTCTATTTGTTGAAACGAGGGCTTCACATCCGAGTCTGTCAATATCGTGAACAAACTGAAATTCTCCTTTGAATTTGGAACCCAAGTACTTCTTGACAAACCCTTGTTGTTTGTAAATCAAATAATCGTAATTCGTCTTGACGGAATATGGTAGTTTTTTCGATTCAAGTTTGGTCACCTTGAGCTCATCTTTAAATAAAAAGGTGGCAATTTTTTCGAAGTCTACCTGTAAATCATCCACCTCTTTGGAGGATCCCTGCTCTGCCACGACGTACAAGTGACCAAGCTGGATCGAGTAGGCCTCTAATACTTTGAGAAAGTCGCCATATTTGGAATAGAACTTGGATTCTCCAGTGCAGTCTTTGAACTCGTTATCAACCTTTATACACTGCTTGATATAAGTTTTTGCCTGGTCAAACTGACTCGTGAAATAGAGCAAAAACCCGGCTATCTCCTCGTACCACGAAAGATTCGATGACTTTTGGTGTTTGATCATGTGAGCAAGGTCCCTGATGATAAGTCTATAAGTATCAGGTGACAATTCACCATGTTTAGAGCACTCTAAATGCAACTGGTATGGTGCAAATCCAAGAGGAGCAAGTTCAATAGCTCCCTGGGCGTGTTCCATGCACTTTGGGTAATCTTTTGTAGATTTGCACTTTTCTGCTTCTTCCATCTGATGGTTGTAGGCGGCAATTTTCTCCTTCACAACAGACTCTTCGGTCTCATCTAGCACTTTGGTGATTGCCATGAGTCCGTTGACGTCTCCTCGTTCCATCATTAACTCAACAATTTTTGTTCGGGCCGGAACCATTGATGGGTCCAATTCAAGTACCCGCTTAAGATCATCAATGGCACGAATTTCTCGGTTTAAACTGAGTTCTATCAATGCTTTTTTATAATACAACTGAGGCAACTGAGAGATCACCTTCAAGTCGGTTCCAGTGTAAGATTCGAGATCTTGGACCATAGAATCGTAGTGGTTCAAGACATCAAAAGTCGGTCCTTTGCTAGATAAAAGTGAATGAGTTTTATCGATGCGTTCTAGTAAGTTGTCGTGGTTACTACTGGCGGCAGTGAGAGCCGTCAACGTCAATAACAACGCAGAGGCGAAACAAACCATGGTATTGATGAGGTGTCGCTAAATGCGATCGCTAATTGCGGTCGCGCATGGAAATTCGAAGCGGCTATAGACGGAGTGAATATTTATTAGTCGACTACTTGAATAATTTGGCAAGCGACACTGCACCTTCGTCGTTCTTGGACATCACCTTGGCCACTGCCAACTCAAAGTCTTCTTGGGTAACGTGGATTCTTCTTTCTCTCAAGGCGTACATTCCTGCTTCCGTGCACACACCTTTGACATCGGCACCGGAGCAGCCGTTCATCTTTTCTGCGATTTTTCTCAAATTAATGCCTCTGGTCAAGTTCATAGACCTCGAGTGGATCTTGAGGATATCAGTTCTGGCGCTCACAGTGGGCGCGGGGAATTCGATCTTACGGTCGATTCTTCCAGGACGAAGTAATGCCGGGTCAAGAATATCCAATCTATTGGTGGCCATGATGATCTTGATATCCTTCGAGCTCTCAAAACCATCCAATTGGTTCAAAAGCTCCAACATGGTTCTTTGAACCTCGGAGTCTCCACCAGATGAACCCTCCACTCGGCTCGATCCAATCGAGTCTATTTCGTCCATGAAGATGATGGAGGGTGCATGTTCCCGAGCCATAACGAACAACTCACGCACCATACGAGATCCTTCACCGATATACTTTTGCACCAATTCGGACCCCAGCACCCTGATGAACTTACACTCGGTATGGTATGCCACCGACCGAGCCAAAAGAGTTTTTCCCGTACCTGGCGGACCATACAAGATAACACCCTTGGGCTGGGCAATACCAAGACTTTCAAAGAGTTCCGGGTGTTTTACCGGAAGTTCGATCACCTCTCTGATTTCCTTGATCTGTTTGTCGAGTCCTCCCACCATGTCGTATGTCGAGTCTGGAACCTTTTCCACCATCATCAACGACACCAATGGGTCTACCTTGTTAGGAAGGATCTTGTGGAGGTCGTAGGAGTCTGCCTTCAAGCAAACTCGCAATGATGGTGTCAACTTTTTGATATCGATATCCTTGGAAATGTTGACAATGTATTTTCCTTCCGGGTGAATCTTGACCAAAACCTTTTTGAGCCCCATCACCTTGACTACTTCGCCCACATACGACCCTGGCTCTTGTAAAAGTCGTAATTCGTCTCTCAATTGTCTGACTTTGTTGTTGAGTTTGTTACGTTGAGCTTCAAGACGACGCAAATTTTGGGTTGTAGTTTGGATCTTTATCTCTGCATCTTGGATCTGCTGCTCGAAGAACGGCTTGATGCCGCCCTGGTGCACATAGCGGTTGGTTACTTCTGCGGTCATTGTGTGAAAGGTGGTGAAGATTGCCTCCGAATTGTGAGAACAAGTTGTGGCACGTGACATGATCGCGAGCGAGCGAGCTTCCGGCGAGCTTCCGAGCTAGCGAGGAAGCGAGATAGCATTGTGGTCAGACTACAAAGGTTATGTAATGGTAGCTACATTCTTGAACAAATGATATCTATGGTACAGTAATATGAAAGTACTACGAGTGTAATTTTTGTTTCTTCTCAAAATTAAATCAAACTTCTACAGTCCTAAGGCTTACTGTAACTGTTAGTTAGCCTTATAATGGTCTTGAGCTTTACCGATTCATAATCATTATGCAACATCACACATTTTCACTGGCATATCATGGTGTCTCCTAGACAGTATTTAGCAATTCCTGAAGTTCTTCAATTTGCGGGCCAAAGTTACTTTCGCAGCCTCGTTATCAGTTTGTCCTTACCATCATAACTTCGCCTGCAAGTCTCTATGAAGTCGTTCACACAGTCAAGATTCAAAAGTCATCTAGGTCCACATTTAAATTCACTTTTGGCGGATTTGGCATTAGTTGCCAACAAGACAATATCATTGAATTCAAATCAAATCATGATCATCGGTTCAAAAGGCAGTGGCTAAAGGCGATAGGAAAGCCCTAATTTTTTTCATTGTTCGTCGTCCCACTTTTCCATCGCTTCAGCATAAAGACCAGAGCAATATACAACGTGCAATTTATGTTGTTCAGACTCTTCTTTTCCAAGAACTTGTTTAATTATGCGGTTCTGCCTCCTGTTGAATTCTACGGCGAAAGGCGTAAGTAATGTAATGACAATGACATCGAAAATAACACCCATTTTAACAAGCAAATAGTTTCCCGGGCAATAAGGTTGGCATCACTTTTGTAGGCAGCACTAAGCCTCTATCTATACTAAACTGTGGTATGAAGTTTACGCTTTAGCGATAGCCCGTTTCTCAAAGGACTGCATATAATCAATGGGCTACGAATAAAGAAAACTATGACGTTTCACTCCATGAATGGGACATATAAATTTATTTCGAGATCCGCTCAAGTTAAATCTCTCTTCCTATAGAGTTTACTTTGTACCGCATACACATGATTAGAACGATTGACGCTTTTTCAATTCGTCATGACCATCATTTTTGGGCTTGTCCTTTTCAACCACTTTCATACACATGGCCTTCACTGTAAATTGACCCAAAACCTTGCATGCCTCAGTAGCAAGCTTCCTTTTATTGCCATTTATATGCACCCAATTATAGCTGCCCTTGGTGCCAGGTTCCCATTTGTCGCATCACTTTTTAGCCTTTTCTTCCCAGGTTTCCCTCGTCAATACTTCTGCATTATGTGAGGCCAAATAGTAAGTCAAAGTTTGATTTAAAACTTCTGGGTAAGTATAGTTTCCGTCCGGCCATATCAGTGATTGAACGCCCCAAAACTCGGGAGTAATCAAGCTGCTAACTAAGTCATACGCTGGAGCATATTCCAACTCACGTTTTGCCGTATACCCTTCGTCAATGCAAATTGAGTAAACTTGCCCTGCCTCAAGTCGTTTACCACCATCAGCCTTGGATTCTTCGTAGACATAAGTGAGGCAGGTTGCACAGTCTCGCAAGTGATTACTCGCAGAGACTAATTTGTTGAAGAAAATAGCCACCAAGCAGACAATAATCGTATATTGAGCAACAATCATGGCGAACAGATAATTCAGAAAACATGGGATTATTGCCGTACCTTTTTAAATGCCTTCGGCATCCCTGAGCCACTTCAGCCTTCTTTGCAACGGGGCGCGAGGGGCGTCTCCCAACGCCTGTTGGCCGCTCTAGAACTGTTGCTAGTCATGACAAATATAGTGGAGAATTTGATATGACGCAACATTCAAAATTGATTTGCATGGCAACTTGATAACATCTAGGAGCGGGCAGGAATGCACTTGTATTGAAATACTCGGTAAATGGTTGCAAAGTTCAAGGTGCATAACAATACAGTAATTTTCTCTATCCTTCTCGACTAGCGGATGGTGGTTATTGTACCATATTATTCACTGTAAATTTGGTTACGTTTCTAGATCTTGTCCACGATAAAGACTTGAAATTTGTATCATGACGATCTCACGCTTTCAAATATCAATGTGTCCTTCCTATAAAAGTGGCAGAGTGCATCAAACCTACGATCTTCAAATCCGTCGTTGTCTCGACATCAACCATATATTGGCAACTGATAAGCATGCTCCAGAACTAGTGATATTACGAAGACAGTGGTCAATGTACCATCTCTTCACAAAACATATCCAATTTACTCTGAAATAGCTGCAGTGTAATGCCCCAATCCAGAACTGTTTCCGACCTCGGCTAGTTACGTAGCGGGGTATATTAACGCTAAGTTTGCATGAAATGTTGATAATGGTAGCACTTTTGATTCATCGATGTAAAGTCATTCTGACCTGCACGGGACTATTCTTTTCCATTTGCAATTGTCAAAGTTAGGACTAAAAAGACATAGAATAGTTCTTTTCCTGGACTTGTGAACTACTACTTTTGTGAATCAGATGCATACGTCAGAAATCCTTGCAGCATACTTTAGAATTGTGCATATGCAAGTTGCCCATGCCCCAGCATTCCATAACTGTGGGATGTGCACGTTTTTGGTAATCTAGCTGACTTTGTTGAGGTCTTTTGTCCTCAGGATTGAGATCCTCAAGAGCCTATGACGGTGTGCTGAATCGATGCAGAATTCAAGGTTGTCCTGTCAGAGAGTTTGGCCATGATAAGCTGATATGCAAGATAAGCGTCGAAGGCAAGTTATCGCGTGAAGGTTGTGAGCGCGTGCATATCTAAAAATATGTCATATTGGGTGCCCTAATCTAGAGGACGTCTACGAAGAATTCTAAAAATAGTGAATTTTGAGTCGAAACAGCTTCCTGAATACGGCGGTGAGATATACCGCGAGCGTTCGCACTAGCTCTTGTGTATCTTTTTCTGCTGTAGTATATCTTCATGCGTTTCTACTTATGTCGTTTTGAACTTACAACAAGTTTGATGTACAATTGAGGTAAGCATTCGTAAGTGACATGCGGTATTTGAGCGGAATGTTCACAACTACATCAGTGACAGATAGATGTACTCTGTTGTCAAGTTTTTTTTGAGGCTTCAAATTGAATAAATTGCAAACAATGCTTGATAAAAAAAAGAAATAAAGGCGGAATCTAACATTATGTTATAGGGGTGTTTTGTAACAGGACAGGGGTGGGCTAAGGTAGATAAGCTAACTAGAGTTCAAGGGTATGATGTGTGGAAAGTAAAGAATGGGTACGGATTACACGATGGAATGTTAACACCCTGATTCATTCATGTAATTTCATGGTTCTATTCTGCCCGCTTCTTGTGCTAAATGTAACATGTACAAGCTCAAGTGTGCCGATTTCCATTCCGCTCGGTGAAGTCTTATGAAGCTATTCTGTTTACGAAAGTATTTGAATGTACATCTGATGAGAACAAAATTGCAATTGTTGTACGAACAACACAGATTCAAAAGTGGAGGCTCCACTTGAATTAAGTTTTCACCTTCTTCGTATGCGTGGATCGGGAAGGTATGACAATATTAACACCCACCAAGCAGTTCAATTCTACAGCTTAGATTCCATTCACTACTTGCATTGATAGTAGATTTGTTAAAATCTGCAAAAATCAATTACGTTTCACCAACTAAACTCGAAGGACAATACACTAATTCAGCAAATTCGATGTTTTGGTGTATCTTCGCCTTGAATTGTTACTTACAGAATGCAACAATGATCGAGATGGCTTAAGAAATTGGTTATGATGCTAGTGATGCACTTAGCTGTCTAATATTCTCAAACTTCTCATTTGACAACTAAAGATAACCATGATATCTGACAAAGAGCCATCAGAAATGCTTAGAACTGAGCAACAACGTTCAATCGCGACGGTCATTTAGCAAGAATTGAGTCCGTTGCTCTACGTACTTTAGCAGTCGTCAGCACTGTATATAACCTCAGCCCTCCTGCATTATGACGACCTCACGCGGGTCGTGACTGGCCAGGATTTGGTGCGAATTTGGTGCGGTGGAATTATTGCAAATGGAAGGGTTGCAACGTCCATGAGAGTGGTGACGGCACTTTTATGGGTAGTACCGGCCATGGGGTATACACAATACTGCAAATGTGCATGCACAGAGAAGGCGTCTTTGGTTCGTGTGGTGGAAAAGTGTTTGGATTGCACGTTAAAGATGTGCCAGAATGTGTGTGAAGAGGAGGTTGCGGATATTGGTGTGAGTTGTTTCCAGCGAGAGTCGTTGAAGGAACAGATTGTGGTGTATTTGTTCGCGGCAACGGTGGTGGTTTTGGTCGGTGTAGGGATGGTGAGAGCGCGAGCAACTAGGTAGACGAATGAAAATAGATATACAAGTAATGTAAGTAAGGGTATACGAAACAAATTACGGAACAAGTTATACGGAACAAATTGTAGATGTAATATATGAGTTTTTCTAGCTTATGGCAATCACACTCTTATGCTAAACAAACAATTTAATTTATTGCTACTTTATCGTTTGTTCTGCGCTCAGGCTGCGAACTGCTGCCAATAAAATAATGAAAATCAGTCAAATTAAAAAACCAACTAAAAACCAAATTCAACCAAAATCAAGCAATACCAAAACAATACCAGAACCAATTCAGACTTACATATCTACTTTCTCAATCAATTCCTTCTTCTTCTTTCTCTTCCTGAACCCTCCCGTATCTCCGCCTGCTCGTCCACTCTTGGCCGCGCACGACAGCATAGTGAAATTTTTTTTCTGTACACCGTGATTCCACCACTCGTCACCCAATTACTGAGTGACCCCTGGCTGATACGAAGGCCGATTGCTAGTGGAATCGGCTCTGGAAACCTCGCTGAACAGACTGGATTGTCTTTCACACGCCAAAGTCTCGCTGCTATCGAATTGCATCGCGATCAATTCATCCGTCTCAGACTACCCCTCGTCTTTGACCCATTAATAGTAGCTTTGCCATGAGCGACGAACAAGGCAAAGACCAATCGGCATTGCCGCAAGACCACCACACCAACGGCGGACCCAAAAAGTACAGAAATAACTCCAATAATCACCACATTCCTCACCACATGCCGCAAAACCACCCACTGAATCACCATCAAAACTCTCCCAACTCTCGCCCCTACCGCAAGGGAAGTTACAACAAGGTGAACCAGTACTACAACTACCCTCCAAACATGTACTACGGCTACTATCCTTATGGATATCCGCAAATGGTGCCTGGAATGCAACCCATGCAGTACCAGCAATTGCCTCCCGGAGCTCCACCATCATCTTCTGGTACTCCTGGTACTCCTGGAACTCCTGGAACTCCCGCATCCATTCCTGGATCTGCTCCAGGGTCTCATCCAGGCTCGGTTCCTGGATCTCATCCTGGTTCGGTGCCTCCAACCGCACCTGTAATTGCTCCAGTTCCGGGCAGTGGAAGTATGTCTCCGTATGGAAACAAGGTGAAAATCACCACCAAGGATGGCAAGCAAGTTGATTTGGAAAAGAAATTGGGATCCTCTACTTCTGGAACCTCGTCGGCTTCAGTGACCCCAGTTGCTTCGCCAGCAGCATCGGCGGCTAGTGTTCACAAACCTGCACCCGTTCCTTCAACGCCTGCTGCTTCGACTTCCTCTGGTGCTACTCCACCAGCCTCTTCAAGCTCAGCTCCAGCTCCAGCATCTGCTGCCTCGTCTCCGGCCAAGCTGTCGATTGCCGAGGAATTCAGACGCAAGATTCTCGAGCGGGCTCAGGCCGCTCAGAAGGAGAAGGAATTGAAGGAGAAGGAAAAGGAAAAGCCCGAGACCACCACTAATACGCCAGTTGAGTCCGAGCCAAAGGAGCCAAAAGAAGTGAAAGAAACTGTTAAAGAAGATGTTAAAGAAGATGTTAAAGAAGCTAAGGATGTCACTGAACCTGTCAAGGATTCTGAACCTGTTTCGGTCAAGGCAGAAGTGCCAGAAGTTGAAGCTCCTGTCTCTGAGAAGTCAGCAACTTTCCAAGTTGAAGAGCCTGAACAAGTTCAGCAAATTTCTGAAAAAGCTGTGGAAGAGGCTGAACAAGCCACTCCTGCCGTACCTGTTCCTTTCAGCTCTGAAGGAGAATGTGAGTGAGGATGTTGCGGCGATTTCTCCAGCAGTGGAAAAACAAAATGAAGAGGAAGAAGCTCCAGAAACCGAAACTAAGGGAGAAGAAAAAGAAGAAGCCGAAGCCAGCAACGACGAAGGTGCTGATGAAGACGAAGAAGGTGAGGGTGAAGAAGATGCTGAGGCTGAAGATGGTCTTGATCTTTCTCAATTCTTCCAGCGTTTGCAGGAAGTCAAGCCTATTGAGGACCCTTACTCCATGACCTATCCAGAACCATTTACTGGTGTCGATCCAAAGTGGAAGAGCGAAAAGGCATTCAGATACGATCCTCAATTTTTGATTCAGTTCAAAGATGTGGTTCAATTCCCCATAGATGAAGAGTTCAAAAACAAGTTGGAAAGTTTGGGCATCACTGCTGGCAGAAAGGCACCCCAGGGTGCTCGTGGTGGCCTGAATCGGTTTGGTGCTGGAGGAGCACGTTTTGGACCTGGAATGGGTAACAGAGGCCAATTTTCTGACCCAAGACAAAACTCCAGAAACGGCTCACGCAGAAGAGGAGGAAGCAGTGGTGGTCCATCGAGAGATAAGTCTACGAGAAGGGGTGCACCTTCTAGAAGAGGTGGACGTGATCACAAAGATGATGGAATCACCATTCCTCCAGAGGAGATTAAGCCATTGGAGAAGAGTACTAATAGATGGGTTCCTAAGCCAAGAGGAGCTAAGGCCGAGGTCAAACTTGCTCCAGATGGCACAGAAATTTATTCTGAGGAGGATATTGAAAGAAAGGTCAAGTCTCAATTGAACAAATTGACACTTGAGATGTTTGAGCCTATTTCGGACGCTATTCTCAAGTTGGGTGACCAATCCAAATGGGAAGACGATGCTAAAACTGTCAGACAGATCATATCGCTTACGTTTGCCAAAGCTTGTGATGAGCCTTATTGGTCGTCTATGTACGCTCAATTCTGTGCCAAGATGTGTACTCAAATGAGCGATGAAATCAAGGATGTCAATATTCGCCTCAAGAGTGGAGATTGTGCCAGAGGAGGTGACTTGGCTAGAAGAATTTTGTTGACCACTTGTCAGACCGAATATGAGAAGGGATGGAGTGACAAGTTGCCCACGAATGAAGACGGTACACCAATTGAGCCTGAAATGATGTCTGACGAATATTATGCCATGGCTGCTGCCAAGAGAAGAGGTCTTGGATTGGTCAAGTTCATTGGTCACTTGTACATCTTGAACATGTTGAACGATCAAGTGATCTTGCTTTGTTTGAGAGACCAGTCGAGTAACGTCAAGGATCCTTCTGAGGACAGTTTGGAGAACTTGGCGCAATTGGTCAACACCGTCGGTGCTCGGTTGGAAACCACCGAGAAGAACAGAGCCGTGCTCAATATTGTGTTCGACAACATTCAGACCATCTTGGACAACTGCAAATTGTCGTCAAGAATCAAGTTCAAATTGATGGACTTGCAAGATTTGAGAGCTTCGAAGTGGAAATCTGCCAAGGCTGACGCCGGACCAAAGACCATTCAGGAGATCCACGAAGATGCAGAAATCAAGAAGTTGGAGGATGAAAGGGCTGCGATTGAAAGAAGGCGAAAGAACAAGACTGAGTCTCGGTCCAACTCGAGCAAAATGGGATCTTCTTGGGGCAGTTCTCCTGCTCTCAAAAAGGATCCTCGGGCAACCAAGGACTCACGAGGGTTTACTGCGGTTCAACCTCGTTCTCAGTCGTCTAGACAAAATCTTGCATCACCAGTGGACAGTGCCAATACCACCGGCAACACGGTGTCTCCTCGGGAGAACTCCAAGCGTAGTGAGTCGATTCAAAGCGCTGCAAATATGTTTGCTGCTTTGGGAGGAGAGGAAGATGACTAGGTACTCGGCGGTTTTTCTGTATTATAGCACTTCATAGGCATTAACATATTGATTAAACATAGCTACTTAACCACTTCTTGGGTGCCATTTGTGTCTGTGAAACCACCTTTTTCCCTTATCCTCGTCAGTGTCGGTTTTCTCGTTCAATGGACTAGCTTCAATAGGACTGTAGCGCATTTCCGCGTCTATCTCGTGCGACTGAGACTCGATGGAAGTGTTGGCAGCTTCTCGCAAGTTATTTGACCTTTCTCCAACTTGTTCGATGCCTCGAGCGAGTGCAAGGTTTGCTCTTATCCACACTTTGAGTCCCAGAAGTATAAGCATCAAGAACGACTTGTTGGACCAGGAAATCACACAGTGGATCTCGTATAGAAACAAGTTGAGTAATCGCAATAAAATGAGGATAATTCGAGCTTCGAACGAGAGAGTTTCAAGAACCACCTCTATGCCGATGCCAACATGAGCTTGGAACAATTGACCAAGATTGGACGTAGATTCATTTTGTTCTTTCATTTGTCCTCGTTTTCAAAAATATTTGTGTTTGTGATTGGCGTGCCCACCGAGTACATATCGCCCAACTCATCTGCATTTGTGACGGGAAAAACCTGGTTCTCATCACCAGAACTTATTTGCGGGGGTTGAAGGAGCGAGTCGACCAATTCTAAATCGTATTCAACTGGGAAGAATTGTTCGGCCTGTGGTTGAAAACTCGAATTAAATCTTGTCGACTTTTTCAAAAATTGTAAGGTGCTCTTGAAAGATAGAAACGGGTCCTTTTTTGATGTATCACGCTTTGGACATTCCACTAGCCTTTCGACACAATCTGAAAGAACATGGATCACATCAGAAACCTCAAAAGCTTTGACTATTGAGAGGGTTTGGCGGAGTATAGAGTAGTCACAATCCGTGTAGAGCACAGTAAAAATAACCAATTGCTTTGCAATGAAAAGAGGAGACTCTCCCCTGTGCAAAAGTTGCAATAAAATCTTTATTGCTTTCACCTTTAAATATTCCGTCTTGGTGATCAAGTCCGAGCCATCGAAAGACCTTTCAGCGTCTTGATATTCGTCGTCCGAGTAGTCCATTCGTTCACGAAATGTTCTTCTGATTTTGGAATCGTCAACTATGGTTTTTCGTTTTTTGGGTTTTGGTTTACACTCATTGATGGTGCTGAAAAAGTGCACAAGAAGACCATTGTTTTCGACATGATTTAGTCCGCCGTTCTGCCGGTGCAATTCCTTCAAGAAAGTATCTACCAGCTCCGAGGTTACCACTATAGGGTCGTAGGTGCCGGTATATTTGTGTGCATCACTGGACAAATTGATACTGACCATTTCTATCATATTGACGGCCGAGCGTGCGTCGCCTTTGCAAGTGTTGATAATGTGGTTGAGCACTTCAGAAGAGAACGAAAGAAACTGTTTTCCGTAGACTATTCTACGACGAACATTTTCGTACAAAGCTGCCTTCTTTAGAACGCTTTTCACTTCGTCTTTTGTGAGCTCGTTGAGCTTGAACAACTGGCACCGAGACCGAATCGCCGGACGTAGTCTTGTCGCAGGGTTGAAAGTTGTGGCACCCAAAAACACAAACAACCCTTCTTCTACAAACGGAAGAAGAAAATCCTGCTGAACTTTGGAAAATCTGTGGATTTCGTCGATAAAAACGCATACTCGTAAATGTGGAGTACCGAGTTTAGTTCGTTTTCGATTTTCGTCCCTTATTTCGTTCAGTAATCGTCGTATTGTAGACACGGTAGCATCAGTAGCCGACAATTCCACCATAACGTAGCCCGCTTCCTTTGCAATAATCGATGCCAAAGTTGTCTTGCCGACGCCCGGAGGACCATGAAGGATCATTGAGGGCAAATATCCTAGACGAATAAAGTTGGTAATTGCCCCATTGCGGTGGTTTGTGAGGTGGTTCTGGCCAATATATTGGTGTAGAGAGGAGGGCCGCACTAGTTCTGTTAGGGGTCTGTTGAGATCATCATCCATAGAAAGATGAAAGGTGCGAAATGCGAAAGATGCGAAAGATAAGAGTGCGAATGGGTGCAAATGGATGGAGTGAATTAATGTAGGAGTTTGGATTAGATGATAAACGGATGAAGCAAGATTAGAGTAGTAAGATCTAGTAATTGAATTCAATTTTTGATTCAAATTGATTTTAGATGAAATTGAATGCCTAGAGTTATTCACTACAGTGCATTGTCTAATGCAGTATGACATTAAATGAGATAAATTAATGTACAGCAACGCTGTTGTTACGTACCGAAATAATGCAGTCGAGAAATGAAAGTCAAGTCCGTCGCTCGCCGTTGGGCGAGTCGGAGTCGGAAGAATTCTTTTGATTTGCAGCCGACACGAAAAGATGAAGTGCTTTTTGCGGCGAAGTGATATTGTTTGCAGTTGCAAAGCTCATGAGAAGCCGGAGATGTGCCATGGTATCGCCGATCTGGGCTACACGCACCGCATTTTCGGGCATACCTGCGGTTTCAACGGCTCCAGGCGCTGAAAATTGGCTCAATTGGTTCAGATGGCCCAGAATGGATTCTGCCGCTTTCATGGTCAATGTGGCCGAATGGGAGAGCAACGAGGTGTCGATCCATTCGATGCGGAACTCGCGACTCATGGTGAGCTTGGTGGTGCCTTCGATGGTCAACACCGAACCATCGCTGTAGTGGTAAACCATGGTCAACCGTGACACCATCCAGATGGAGCCCAGGTTGAGAACTTGGAATTTGAGTCCTGGAATGGCCAAAGTGAACTTATCGATTGAGGTGGAGTTGCCCGTACGGCTGGCTTGGGCGGCTTCGAGGAAACATGCCGACAAGAACCGAGGCACCACTGCCGATGCAAGCTCGACTCCTCGCCCTAGTTGGCGGAGCATTGTCATAGGACCGGTAGAATCAGATTTGGAGGAACTATTAGCCGAAAATGAAGGTGCCACTCCGATTCGAACCACCGATGTGGGAGCCATATGGGTCTGTACAACCTGAAGCCAGAACCCTGGAGTAGCCAAGTGGCTTATCGGCTCGTTCAGCACAAACTCCACCAAATCGAGGAGCCGGATAGCAGCAGCGTTTCCAAGGTGCCGGCGGAAAATTTTGGCATTGAGTTCGGCCTGGGCCGCTTGCATCGCCGGCGGAGGAGGAGGAGCTGGGCCTTCTGGGTGCGGCGACAGGCTATGGTTTTGCGGTGTTGGCGGAGCACGGCCTGTTTGTGGAGTGGGTTGCTGTTGCGGAGCCATTACCGGAGTTATAGTGGGTACTTTATTGTATGGCGGTTGTGGTTGGGACGCTAGTTGCGGCGTATGTCCGTGAGAATTGCTGGCAGATGATCTTGTTCCCGGTGCCAGGGTCTGGAAAGTCATTCTTGTGGCACTCAGCGGCGTAGCTGCCAGCACCGACGTGGCTCGCTGCATTCCTGGTCTTTGGGTATAGTACATGGGGCCAGAAGAAATTTGGCCAGGGCCAGGACCAGATATTTGACCAGATATTTGACCAGATATTTGGGGAGCATTTGCTGTTCCATTTGCGGCAGTCCCAAGCAGAGCGTGTGGGTGAGCTAGTCCTGGGGGTACTGGTGGAATTTGGCCCTGAGGTCCAACCATTCCATTACCAGATGGCATTGTACTTTGTGATGAATTTGGTGCCACGCCCGGCAAGCCGGGACCCATGCCCATGTTTCCCATTTGTATGGCTTGGTTGTACATCTGGTTGTATACGTCTGACGGCACCTGGCCCATCATCTGGTTCTTCGTGACATTGTTCATTCGGCGAACGAAAATTTCCTGTGGCGGAGCAAGGATAGCAACGATTTGAGTAGTCTACCGTGTTTTGGGGGGTTGTTTACAGTATAGTTTGCTTTTGGCGTCGTAGAAACGGGTGGGTGTACGGTTTGATACCGGTGTTTTTACCTTGGTGCACCCTGAACTGTGATTGAAGAATTTGGCGCGCGGCGTTATTTGCAGGCGCCGCGAAGACTCACAGTCAGACGACTCATGACAGAATTTAAGGAAACGAAAGAAGGAACTCCGTATTTTGAATTCTTTTGATTTTGAAGTTTATTGGGTCTCGAAGTAGTATATTGTGGACTCAGTTGGGCTTTACATAATGGAAACTCGAAGAATGTAATGAGTCATGACTCTCTTACTAGCTTAAGGTTTTTGACATTTTCACGGCTATTTTTGAGTCAGTCTTGACTCCAAGTACTTTTGAATTGGCAGTTTAGCTTATAGTGATACTCGAGTTTCTTGACTCAATTTATATTTTTGACTTTTTGTAATCTTGGCTAAATCTGACTACCATGAGGTTCCTAATAGTTTTACTTAGGCTTATCACGTTTTTTTACCATGATTCTCTGCATAATTGTGCTTCTAGAGATTACCGCATTGGAGTGTGATTTCTGGCTTTAATAGTGTAGACTCATCATACACTTTTGGACTAAGATGGCTTTCTGAATTTCGACATTTTTGACTTCACAGGTGTACTTTGTCTCCATTTACGAGGGTATTCCTACCTTCATAGGAAATTCTTTCTCGGTATCTTCCAGTTCATTAATCGTATTGTACCAAGATTTGACATCTACATCTTCTGTCTTGGTGCATAGTCATTGCAGACTCTTGACTTCTCAATTTTGGTTATCTCTTTCGTTCTTTTTTTTCACGCCCTTTCGATTCCCAACACTTCACCGTCCTTTCTGCTTACCCACCGGTTCATTGCCGCATGGTTGATCATAGGACGTCTCGGACGCAGATCCGTAACCTCCTCGTTGTCCTCCTTGGACTCACCACTTCTGGTTTTCGTGGCTCGCCGCTTAAGAAGCTTGTTGACGGTATCTTGTTTTTCTTCCTCCAATTGCTTGTTCTTCAAATGCTGTCGTCTACGAGCATTTTCTGCTTTTCGCAACAATGTCTGTTGTTCTGTTTCTTGCTTGCGCTTTGTATTTTTCTTATCAAGATCCTCGAGTTCCAAAAACAGCTCCGAAGCACTGTTGCCATTTTCTTCTTCAAGAAACCGCCGTCTTTGTCTCTCGGTCATTTTGGAAACATCGGGGTTATTGTGTGGATCGTACTCGGCTTCTTCGTCGGTCAAAATGAGATCTTCGTCCATATTGTTCACTCTTTGTTGTTTACGAGCTGGAGGTGGAGTTTCAGTGCCATCCGTACTCTCTTCTTCTTCATTGTAAAGCGTAAGTGTGCGTTTCTTTACCGGGGCCCTGGTCCTCGTACCAGCTCGGGAAGCGCCTCCTCTTCGTGGTTTTGGCGAATCGTCATCGTCACCATCCAAATCCAGGTCGTCGTCACCATCTTCCACATTATACTTGGTGTCATCACTGGGCAGATTTTCGTCGTCTTCCTGTTCTTCTTCTGGTTCATCGTCCACTGGTTCCATTTCACTCAAGTCGGACTCGTCATATGGCGGCGACGACACGTCTTCATCGCTGGAACTGGACATAATAAAGTGGAATGAAATGAGAAATCTAAATGAGAAATCGAAGAAATTGAATTGAAAGTCGCACTGAAGTTGCACTTAGGTAATGCACTGAATTATTCAATGAACTATAAGGAACTATCCACTAAATAACAAAGTAGTCCACTAGGTAGCCTGAATAAATCAGCCTAGTAATCAAGTACCACTGAAATAACAACAAACACTGAATCAGTGGAAATCACTGAACTACTCATAATTCACAACGTAGTTCACTAAGTAATCCATAATCCAAGAGTCCATTGAAGAAATCAACTAAGGATTCACTGACTTACCACTATTCGAATCCGAGTTTTCCACTAGTAACCCGAATTAGTTACTGAAACCACTGAACGATTCCCCTGTAATGAAATAGTCCACTGAATCAAAATCGATTGAGAAATTACTATTGTGCTCCACCAGGTAATTACGGAATTACCCACGAAAGACACACACTTAGTGACCACTAAGTATCTGCTAAGTAGTCCAGTAATCACCAAGTAACCAGTACACCAGTACTCAGTAGAAGTAGTTCACCAAGTAACAAATTAACCAGCAAAGATTCACCACACAAAGTAGTCACTGAACCGTGTCTACTGAATAAGTCCAATGGTCCCTTGACTAACCATGAACACTGACTGGTCACCAATTTATCTCACTAAGTGCCACTAGTCAACTAACTCAACTACCATTAATATTTTTTGGTAGTCTACCACTGGAGTCCTCTCTCTGACAATTAGACATCGCTCTCATATCTGTCCACTCATATACAACCCCTTGATGCTTCGTATTTCGTTGGTGACTTCCAGCACATAATTTTTTCTTCTCAAAGTTCCTGTAGTCTTGTTCTCCGCTTGGCCAATGAAAAGATCATCAAACATGTCCAGATCCGACTTGCTCTGAAACTCTTTGACCAAGTTCAGTACAAGTTTATAATTGGGCATTTCTCCCACTTGGTACGCGTGACAATCCAGAAGCCTACTGAGTAACTGGTTGAGTTTACTGGTCAATTTTCCCTGGCGTAACCGGTCGTTTTTGTTACGTTCTTCCTCCACCTCTTCGTCTGTTTTTGTGTTTAGGGAAATGTGTGATTGGGGAGTTTGGCAAACTGCATCAGCATATAATTTGCCCGATCCATCGTTTTTGTTAATGGCAACTATTGGTATATAGGTGACTTTTTCCACTAATTTCAAGTAACAGTCACGCAATTTACCACGATAAAACTCCAAAAGTTCTAATCTCCTCGCTGCTGTAGTTTCAAGGAGCGGTTTAAGTCCAAAATATCCAATCAAATATGCCATCGTCAAAGCTATAGCCGAACCATGGGTAAGTTTCACAAGATATACAAAGAGCTGTGACCTCTTACGCGTTTGTCCTGCTGCCAAATACGCAGAAACATCGTAGGCAGACTCCGGAATCGTCAAAATGGGTACACTCATGATAATGAGAATCTGGGGTATCCGAGGTTTATATCTTCAGGTTGTGTGCAGGTTCGTTTATATACAGTATATCTTCTTAAGGTGCTACTCTAGTACATCTCCCACCGAGGGCACGTACGGCTGGTGTGAATCATGGTCGTGCTGCGTTTGCTGTGTCTTCTGGCCTTGGTGCTGTCTTGGTTTGCGCTGCCTTGGGTTTCGCGGTCGAATCGCGCTCGTGCGTGCGTCCTCGACTATTCCGGTCACAGGCTGCATACGCAGATGGGCTTGCTTGAGGTTGTCTATTTGCTGCTGCCTTCGTTGCGCGCTCTTGTTTTTCGCTGATTGTGCTCTCGCGGCCAATCTTGCTTCTTCTTCTTCTGTGGGCGTCCACTTTGATTGCAAAATGCGACGAATGGCCTCCGGCAGCACCTTGAACAAATTGGCAAAATCAATGGTTTTCATATGTGGCATTTGTTGCTTCAAGCTTCGTAGATCTTGCATCTGAGCCCGTGAAAGTCGTTTAGTGGGATTCCAATTTCCATACCGTTTTCGATGGGCTTTTTCTCTTTTTTGCCATTCTGGTAGCTGGCTTGATTGCTGTGAATCTTGTTTAATTGGGGCAGGCGTCGGGCGCGGCTTAGAGTAGAATCTACATAGCGACAATCCTCGCCTTAGATTACGCAACCCAAACATATGCGGCCTGCTGATCTGCAATGTACTGTTAGTTCTGCAATCCTAGCTGACTGCAAATGCAATGCGATGCGGTTGCATGCAGTATACTCGACAAATCTTCTGCTTATGTAAGCGTCCACATTTCTCCTCCACTTTCAGACTCCAATTCTCAGCAGGTCACACATTTATAAGCTGTTCTTCCTCGCTATTCCTTTTCTTTCTAGATTTGTTTTTTTTTCTTCAAAACTCTCATTGCTACATTTTACCCATACCCCACCAAAACAATAGTCCGCACAGTGCTCAGGCCACCTCCTCATCTTTGATTTGATAACCGTTAATTAGCCATGAATTTTCTTAGAAAGTTTTTGGGCAGTTCGCCCACTGGAGAAGTGGCTTCTTTACCTTCCGGAAAGCTCTTTTTGACGCGGTCGCCACTGTCACCTAAAGGCGAATTCGAATGCTTATATAATGATGCCTATGCTAGTATTCGTCAAACCACCACCCCATTCTACTATCAGCTTTGCATTACAAGGGTGTACCAAGAGGGTGAAGATCTTGCTGGCGGAAACTATGAAGACTCGGATGACGACGATGGCTTTGACTCTTCGGATTCTGCGAAAAACTCCTCGTTGGGTGGTCATTCGAAAGATGAGTGGAGTTTTGCAATCATGGAAGATCTTCAATTGAGACGGTATGAAAAACCAGACTCGTCTAGGGTGATTGCTTGGAAGGATATCAATGGCGACGCGGACGATATGTTTGAGTTTGTTATCGATGAAGACTGCAAGTCTCAAGAAATTGACTCTTTTATGCTCGCTCTTTACAAATGCGTCTTTGAACTGAAATACCGCATTAGTTCTGAGATCATTACGTCAATGGACCAGCTTTCGGAATTCAATAAGGCTCTGCCAGTACACAGCACCGACCATGGATTGTCGGAGTTGAAAAATCACCAAATAACTTCCAATCCTGAAACAGAATCGGAGTCCGAATCGGATACAAAAGGAGCTCCAGTTGCGCCCGCTCCTAAAGGCAATATCATCTATACTACGTCTGTTGTGGAACTTCATTTGTTTGATGCTCAAGATAGCAAGTTTAAACTTCAATTGCCGTCGTCTAATGTTACACTTGACATAATTCATGGTGATGGATTCAAGTATTATGTCAGTGTATCCAGTCGTGACAGTTCTAAACCCATCACATTCGATACCATCATCGACAAGACCATGAACCCCACATTTAATTACAACTTTTTGTCGTTCATCTTCAACTTGCATGTAATGCGAGACAATATTATGTGTCCGTTCTCGTGGCTCGTCAAGTTTCCTACGTTTAATGAGTTGCTGGTGTTCCAAAACCACTTTATGCGTGCATTGTGGGAATCAGTAAATAAAACTCAGTGGAATAAGGTTACGGAGTCCGAACAACAGTACGTTGTTGATGCTTTCTCCAACATCAATTTAGACGAAGAGTCTGAATTTGAGACGGCTGATTCAGGTGATGAGTTTGACGATGCAACCGAAGACGCAGATATTGACGACAAGATTGAGCGTACTCTTCGTGGACCATCTACCGAAAAGAAACTTTTCGTGGACTCAGATGACGAATTTGGAGATAAAGATGGTGATAAATCCTATGCTGAGTTCCGTAACCAGAAGAATGCTAATAGTGAACTCGCGGTGGGTATGGCTAATGACAGAACTTTTGTCGCTCGAGGTAACACTTTGGGAGTATTCACAAACCGGGACAAATTACAATTTGAAACCACAATCAATGGCTTGGAGACGCTCGATGGAAAGACACTTGAAGCCAAGAATATGATGCTTCATCAACAAGATCAGAACATGATCATGTCTGGAGCCGGTGACAAGCTCTACAAGATGGATTTGAACAGAGGTAAGGTGATTGAAGAGTGGAATGTTTCCGACAAGGAGCCGGTTGTGACGTATGGCCCCAATTCCAAATTCTCGCAGTTGACAAACGAACAAACTTTTACTGGTATCTCGGCTAATGGTATGTTCCGAGTTGATCCCAGACTTTCAGGAAGCAAGCTCGTCAAGGATAATCACAAGGTTTACAAAACCACCAATAACAAGTTTCTGTCGTTCACGACTACTGAAGACGGGTACATGGCAGTTGCTACTGCTAATGGAGATATTCGTCTTTATGACAAACTAGGGGGCAATGCAAAGAGCAAGTTACCATCGTTAGGAGATCCGATTATTGGAATCGATACATCGAAGGATGGAAGGTGGATCTTGGCCACCTGTTCCAACTATTTGTTGTTGATAGACGCCATGGTTGGTAGAGGGCAAAAGAATGCTAATTCTCTCGGATACGTCAAGTACTTTGATCAGGACAAAAAACCAGTGCCTCGGCGGTTGACGATTAAACCAGAAGATGAAGCATTTATGAATATGGAGACAAAGGGTAAACCGGTGCAATTTACCAAGGCGTATTTTAACACTGGAAAAGACACCAAGGAGACCACAATTGTCACTTCGAGTGGACCGTATGTCTTTACGTGGTCGCTCTCCAAAGTGTTACGGACGAAGAAAGACAACCAAGTTTATCGGGTCAAAAGATATCCTAATCCTGTTGTTGCCGATAATTTCAAATTTGGAAGTAATACCGATGTCATTATTGCATTGGATAACGAAGTTTCGATGATTAAGAAGAGCAAACTTTCCAAAGCCGACAAAGATTCCTTGACGGATCCCAATAATGTTGTGAAGAGTGAATGGTAGACCTAATAGTTAGAACAGAAGGCACCCAAGCTATGAAAAAGAAAGGTACTTCATAGTTGGAAGAGGAAGGTTACCTAATAGTTGGAAGAGAAGCACCCATTAGTTGGAAGAGAAAGGTACCTAATGTAAGGGAGGTTCCTAATAGTGAAGACGGTACCCAATAGTTGGTACCTAATAGTTGGTAATAGTGAGGAGTAATGTATTGATGTATAGAATATAAATAATTCACCAAATTTTGAACGTTCGTTTCAACTCGTCTACCCAGATAATCCGGAATGCATTCATCTTGTGGAGCCTGGTTGGAGTATACGTCAGGGCATCCATAGATTTTGTAGGTTCGTGTTCGGCCTGGTACGGTATTCGATTTACCCTTGCGTGGATTCGGCGCACCCAGTTGTTGAATGCAGGCGAGTCCACGAGAAGGTAGTAGAAATACTCCTGGAGGGAACGGGGCGGCGGCCTAGGCATTAAAGATGTATGTGATGCATGCAGCAAACCGGATATCGATGTTCCTGCAGGCAGGCGCGCACCCTGTGAAGTTCGCGCACAGAAACCGCCACGACGACAAATGATTAGTGACGATCAGTTGAACAGCATAACGTTGACGTTTGGGTTTGCGTCCATTGTGTTGATATTGGTGTACCATGCGATCCTGACCAACATGAATGCATATAGGAGTTAATAAATGAGATGACGACGAACAGTAGGTGATTAGATGATGATTACGAGAGTGAAGAGGAATGAAGATGTAAATGAGGACGTGAATAAAGACGAATGAGAGAGTTTGGAATAGATCAAGAGACTTGAAAGCAAAGCTTTGAAGAGATGAGTGGTTCTTGGGATTTTGAGGAATTTGGGCTTTGGTGCATTTTGATGATTTTGGATTGTAAGCTGTCGAATCTGGGCACCATTTCTAATCTGCCGTTTACCGATCTGCGGTGCATAACCATCAGTGGGGTTACGCAGAGGAGTTGCAGCCGGTAAGTGTCAACATACATATTGTTCACATGCGCATCGGCGGTGACGTATCTTATCGGAGGAAATAAAGCGGGGGTCTCATTTGAGGGGAAATTCAGGGACCATTAGCCACGGAAACCTAAACCTTAACTTCTTTGCGTTGATCTTCTCTTTTAGCAAATTACAAGTCGACGATCCACCGTAAATCTTATGCATGTGCTTGTCGCAACACACACCTTTTTTTTTAACCAGCAGATTCAGGACCCCGCGGTGATCTTTGATGCACAAGTACTCTGCATCTCCGATCGTTAGAATACGTAAGCGTACCCGAACAACAACAATAAAAAAAAATTACGGTGAAAAAAAATAAAAAATTTCCCAAAATCGAGCACATCAACTACAACAAGATCTTAGATCAACCACCCAACTTACCATCTGCTATTCCATGGCTCGATCATTGCATATCCTCACCTCACGCAATATGTATTTGATATGCATGGGCCAAGATATGGGCTAGTTTAAGCGAGATATCTGCACGTAGCACTAAGGTTTATCCCGTTGGTTATGCACCACCTGCATGCCCTATATCTATATGCCGTACGTAGTCATTCAGATGCACTTTTGTGCGCATTTATTGCGCGACACCAGCGTTACCTGCATTAAAAAAAAAGTGTGGAGAAACAGCATCTGCCCCTCCTTTGCATTATATTAGTGTGGAAAATTTTGCAGTAAAAATTTATTTGCCATCATTGATTCACAATCATCTTTGCCACCACTTGTCTCCACTGTGGCTTTAATATCCCGATTGCACATCCAACCACCAGAGATCCCACCGAATAGATAAGGTGTTCCTCGGAGTCGGCTATCGTTTGTTTTGAACCCCCAAAATATTTTTGTTGCACTCCAGACCACCGGTGGCGGTACATGTCCATTCCATCCCTAGACGATGTCCTCCACGATCGTAGCACCTCTCCTTACACAAAACCCCATTTTGCCCAATTTCTCTCGTCGGTCCACTGTCTTGAAAATTTGGAATTTGTGTTGGAAGTGTCTCAGTATATCGATTTAGTGGAGGCCAACAACCTTACATCCCATCCCAATTTATGGGTGTCCATCCGGCGCACGTTTATCGTGGAAGATGCCGCCAAAGAAATCAATCTTCCTTATGATATCAGAAACAAATTATCCACTATAAATCACCCGGAATTGTGCTGTGTCAAACGAGCACGCCAAATCATTCACGAGATTCTCCTTGACTTGTATAACGAGTTCGCAAAGCGTGTCACAGTCACCTGGGACCCCAGATATTCGGCGTCGCTAGAAGTGACGCTGCGCCGCGCTCTGGAAATAATTTCGCCAGAGAGCGACCACCTGCCACTTGTCCAGGTAATTCCCCGGTCGGGGTCATTTTCATACTATGATGAAACCGCCCGTGTACGCCAACAACAACTATCTCCTTCGACCGATTCCGACGTTATTATTTTTGACGAAGAAGCGGAAATCGGGTTGGACAAAAGCCGCAACAATAGCACCGGATCCACGTCGCTGTCACGAGGATCGTCCATTGGCTCGTTGGTGGACTCGTTGAAAAACAACGATATGATGAATTGGCGGAAGGCTGTTCGCAAGTTCAAGTTGCGGCGCTTTCTGAATGAAGAACCTCAACGCCCATAGGGCTCATGACTTATAGACTTATAGACGATAGATATGAGATGAATGTACTAATTTACAAGCGAATGATGCAAAAGATGTAAAATACAAATTGTACCACTAGAAGAGTAAATTTGTATCAAGTTGTCTACAAATATCAGATCGCATATCTCTATATTCCAGATCGAGCTCGTTCCTTGAGCATCTTTAGCTCATTATCGGATTTTTCACTTCCTTTCTCTATAATAAGGGTACGAAGAATTCTATTCTCCACCTCCAATTGTTGGATTTTGTTTTCAAATTGTTTTATTGATTGATTGAGATTGGAGATTTTATCTTCCATCTGCTTCTCCTTCATCTTTTTCTTGATTCTAAATCGTGCCGAAGCCGCCGTATTGCGCCTGCGTTTATCAAACTCGGACGCATTGTCTTCTTGATTTGAAAATGGCGTTTGTGGTGTAGGAGTTTCAAACATGGTTGTTGATTCTGATTTGATACTGATGGCATCATCAGATTGTAACAGGTTATGTTGTCTGACGGGAGATTGGTACTGAAGATTCCTCAAGTTCATAGACGACGATTGCCCCATCATTTCAGGATCTCCACCAGCATTTTCGGGATTTATACCATACACCTGGTTTCCCTGCGAATGCTGATGTTGTGCTATCAAAGCCGATAGAAGATCGATTTGATTTTGCGATAATCCCGCCGATTCCAACGAAGATTTTGCTCCTGGCGGAACCGGAAACTTGGGGAGCAGAGAAAGATTGATATTGCCAAGAACATTATTCTTGTTCGCACCAGTGCCAGCACCAGTATTGTATTGTGCATCTATCGGTGATATGTCAAGTGGGTTCATATGTGGATCTGGGGCACCAAAATTGTGATCGAAATCATTCTGGTCACCGCTCGGTCCTTCATCTTTGGGTTTATCTTCATCTGGAAAGATGAACGAGTCGTCAGCAAACGCAGCAAGGTCGATTGAAAGTTGACCATCCATATCCAAGTTTGGAGTTTGATCACCAGCAGTAGAATTCGACCCTGAATTGATAAAATTATCAATATAAACCAACTGCTCCAATAAGGCAGCAGAGGTTTGATTTTTATCCTTTTCCATCGGTTACACTATGAATGCGAGGTGGTAACAAGTGGGGCCAAAAAATGGGCCAAGAAAGTGGAAATTAAACACAGTAAATCGCCAAGAAACAAACTCGGTACAAATGGGGGTTTCAAGGTACAAAGAATTTGGAAGGTTAGATGGCTTCAATGTTAATAGTTGCCAGAACTATCACCGCATATCACGTGGAGATGGCGCGCCATAGTGTGGCTGATTATCTCAGCGCGGCCACGGCCGTTATCGAGCAGCGAGCCGTGAGCGTAGCGATCGGTTCGCGCGGCTAGCGTAGGGGCAACGAGGGGCCACGAACGTAGGAGCGACGAGCGTAGCGATCAGATCGCGAGATTGGCCACAGCGTGCCGTGAGCTCACAGAATATGATAAATTGGTTGAGATAAATTTAGGCTTTTTCAACTAATGAGCTATCTTTGCCAGGAGCTATAATCAAAGCCGATTCTTGACACCTCGGCGATTATATTTGACAGTCTCTCGGTGATTAGTGATGTAATGAGCCAAAGCCCTCTGTCTTCTCCTTATGTATTCATAAATCATAGATCGCTGCGACGCAGCCTTTTATATGTGAATATGTACCTGGTCACGATTTGCAACCACTTGCACTGGAAATTACGCCAGCTCTAATGTCCCTGTATCCTTTGGTCCTGCAATGCGCGAGCAATCTGCAGCCTACTCATATTGCACTCAATATTCTGCAACCGTTCTGCAACTTCTCATAATTTGCATCTGCATTCTGCAACCGTCCTGCGGTCCTGCCGCTACTCACGCTGCGCCGCCAACTTTGGCCCTCGTGAGAGGCAGCTGGTGCACCACCTTCAAGCGGTACTCGGCAAACGTTCTGAAAGAGTTGCCGTGAGTTGGTTTCCACCGTCCTGTCAATGAAACGGCTTGATTTTCCACACTGGATCCTAAACCCGTGGCCGATTCACTTGCAGCTCCTACGGCATTGTTAATCAAGTTGTAGGCCGTGGAAGGCTTCTTATTGAAAAGAACTTTCGATACTGTTGAAAAGCTACGCATAGATGAAGAAAAAAAATTTTTCGGGCTTTCGATTCTTATAGCATGTGGCGGGGGCCGATTTCCGCGCCGGTGCCAATGGTGTGATCGCGATAACCACGGCACGTGCGGGCGGTTTCCCCGATCTGAAAGTGTGCGTAATGTCGAAGGTGCGTGGTGCGAACTGTGCGAAAGTGTGCGAAACTGCGCAAATATGTGGTGCTATCCTTGGGAATTAAATGCCGGCGAGAGGTGCGAGCGATGAGTGGGAAGACTTGATGGGAACAAAATCGGGAAAATAAAAAACCGGTAAGACAATAGAAAATAAGAATAGAAATAAATGAGAAATCATCAAATACGAAATTTACTAGTCAATCTCAGAAAATAGATACAAATTCTTCTACAAGTTCCTCTTTCAATCACCCGTCCATAAAACACCTTTATCTCAATTCTCAACTCTCAACCTAAAATTTCAACTCAACTCTCAATTCTCGCAATCTCACCACTGTCTCTGCGATGACTCAACGCCGATACCGCGCTCGCTTGGCACATGCAGGTTCGGCGTTTGAACACCGCAGACCTCGGAGTCTTGTCCGCCGAAATGCTCAGATTTCTCGCCATTGGGCAGCTTCAGCACCCTAAAAAAACTTAAGGGGACAACTCCACCCATGTGCAAACACCTCATTTCCTCAATTCCTCTAAATCTCATACGCTTCACTTCCATTCTCCATGTCGTTTTTCGCTATTTCGGAGTACACCGCGGCGCGCGCTCGTAACCCTGATATCGCATCGGCAGCCAATCATCCGGCCGTTCGGGATGCGTCGCCGTGGGGAACTTGCATCGTTATGCAAGGCCCTTGAGTATAAATAAGTCGCACTGGCCAATTGGTAAATTTTTGCTAGGTTTAATTTCCAATTGTTGTCAGGTATACTGGCGGGTTACTAGGCTTATCTGAGAGGGGAAATTGCTGCTGATAAGGTGCGATAAAATCATATAAAAGCTTCTTATCCTTTAAGTTTTTACCCTTTTTTACCTTTATTACCCTTTTTACCTTTCAATCCAGTTTTTCATGACTTCGCTTCTTTCCACTAGCTCGTCAGGCGACCACGCCAAAATCAACCAGATGCGTCGCGAGTCCACCGTCATGGGTCCCATGAACAAAATTTTGGTCGCAAACAGAGGTGAAATTCCTATCCGGATTTTTAGAACTGCCCATGAATTGTCGATGCAAACGGTGGCAATTTACTCCCACGAAGATAGATTGTCGATGCATCGACTCAAGGCAGACGAATCGTATGTGATTGGTCACAAGGGTCAATTTACCCCCGTGCAAGCGTACTTGCAAATTGACGAAATCATCAAGATTGCCAAAACTCACAATGTCAACATGATCCATCCAGGTTATGGATTTTTGAGTGAGAACTCAGAGTTTGCTCGCAAGGTTGAAGAAGCAGGCATTGCTTGGGTGGGTCCTTCGTACAAGACCATCGATGCCGTCGGTGATAAGGTGAGTGCTAGAACCTTGGCTATCAAAAACGATGTTCCGGTGGTTCCCGGTACTCCCGGTCCAATTGAAGATGTGGAGGAAGCCGTGAAGTTTGTTGAACAATACGGATACCCTGTTATCATCAAGGCCGCTTTTGGTGGTGGTGGAAGAGGTATGCGTGTGGTGAGAGAAGGAGACGATATTGCCGATGCGTTTAAGAGAGCCACTTCCGAGGCCAAGACGGCGTTCGGCAATGGAACCTGTTTCATCGAGCGTTTCTTGGACAAGCCAAAACATATTGAAGTCCAGTTGTTGGCCGATAGCTACGGAAACGTGATCCATTTGTTCGAAAGAGATTGTTCGGTTCAAAGAAGACATCAGAAAGTGGTGGAAATTGCTCCTGCCAAGAATCTCCCTCGGTCGGTCAGAGACGCTATTTTAACCGATGCTGTCAAGTTGGCAACCCTGGCTAACTACAGAAATGCTGGAACCGCAGAATTTTTGGTGGATGCTCAAAATAGACACTATTTTATTGAAATCAACCCAAGAATTCAGGTTGAGCACACAATCACCGAGGAAATCACCGGGGTAGATATCGTTGCTGCTCAGATTCAGATTGCTGCCGGTGCTTCTTTGCAACAATTGGGTCTTTTGCAAGACAAAATCACCACCAGAGGCTTTGCCATTCAGTGTAGAATCACCACCGAAGATCCAGCGAAAAACTTTCAACCTGACACGGGAAAAATCGAGGTTTACAGATCCGCAGGTGGAAATGGAGTCCGTTTGGATGGTGGTAATGGATTTGCTGGATCGATCATTTCACCACATTACGACTCGATGTTGGTCAAATGTTCTTGTTCGGGATCCACTTTTGAGATTTCTAGAAGAAAGATGTTGCGTGCTTTGATCGAGTTTAGAATTAGAGGTGTCAAGACCAACATTCCCTTTTTGTTGGCTCTCTTGACAAACGAGACGTTTATCAGCGGGGACTGTTGGACTACATTTATCGACGACACTCCTTCGTTATTCCAAATGATAAGCTCTCAGAACAGAGCCACCAAGTTGCTCAACTACTTTGGAGATTTGATTGTCAATGGGTCTTCGATCAAGGGTCAAGTGGGTGATCCAAAGTTGCTTACCGAGGCTCTTATTCCTGAGATTGATGATCCTAAAACTGGTAAACCCATCGATGTGGACAATGTGGCTCCTCCTAGAGGCTGGAGACAGGTTTTGTTGGAAGAAGGACCCGAGGCTTTCGCTGCCAAGGTTCGTAAATTCAATGGTACTTTGATCATGGATACCACTTGGAGAGATGCTCATCAGTCACTTTTGGCTACCAGAGTCAGAACAATTGATTTGCTCAATATCGCCCCAACCACTGCTCATGCTCTCAGTGGTGCTTTTGCTTTGGAGTGCTGGGGAGGTGCAACGTTTGACGTTTGTATGAGATTTTTGTACGAAGATCCATGGATCAGATTGCGCAAGTTGAGAAAAGCGGTTCCCAACATTCCATTCCAAATGTTGTTGAGAGGTGCCAACGGAGTTGCCTACTCTTCGTTGCCAGACAATGCCATTGATCATTTTGTATTGCAAGCGAAAGAAAATGGAGTTGACATTTTCAGAGTGTTCGATGCTTTGAACGATTTGGAACAGTTAAAGGTTGGTATTGATGCCGTGAAGAAGGCTGGAGGTGTTGTGGAAGCCACTGTTTGTTACTCGGGTGACATGTTGAAGCCAGGCAAAAAGTACAACTTGGAATACTACATGGAAGTGGTGGACAAGATTGTTGCAATGGGAACCCACTTTTTGGGTATAAAGGATATGGCTGGTACTTTGAAACCCAAGGCCGCTAAGATGTTGGTGGGAGCAATTAGAGCCAAGTACCCTGATCTTCCCATCCATGTTCATACCCATGACTCTGCCGGTACCGGTGTCGCTTCTATGACTGAGTGTGCCCGGGCCGGAGCAGATGTGGTAGATGCCGCATCCAACTCCATGTCTGGTATGACTTCTCAGCCATCTATTAGTGCCATTTTGGCTTCATTTGAAGGAGAAATTGATGGTGGATTGCTGGAATTGATGGTGAGACAATTGGACAATTACTGGGCTCAAATGAGATTATTGTACTCTTGTTTCGAGGCCGATTTGAAGGGACCAGATCCAGAGGTTTACCAGCACGAAATTCCAGGAGGACAATTGACCAACTTGTTGTTCCAAGCACAGCAATTGGGTCTTGGTGAAAAATGGCTTTTGACCAAGCAAGCTTATACTGTTGCCAACAAGTTGTTAGGCGATATTGTCAAGGTTACTCCAACCTCGAAGGTTGTTGGAGACTTGGCTCAGTTCATGGTATCCAACAATCTTACCGAGGAAGATGTTAACAAGTTGGCATCTGAACTTGATTTCCCCGACTCTGTTTTGGACTTTATGGAGGGTTTAATGGGCACACCATACGGAGGATTTCCCGAACCATTGAGAACCAACATGTTGGGCAACAAGAGACAAAAGTTGACGTCGCGTCCTGGACTCAACTTGAAGCCAATTGACTTTGAAAGTGTCAAGCAAGATTTGATTTCCAAGTTTGGCCCGGATATTTCAGAGTGTGATATTGCTTCGTACATTATGTATCCAAAGGTGTACGAAGATTTCCGCAAGGTGCTTGACAAGTATGGTGATTTGTCAGTTGTTCCTACCAGAAGTTTCTTGAAGGGAAGCGGCATCAATGAGGAAATCGAGGTGGATATCCAGCAGGGTAAGAAGTTGATTATCAAATTGTTGGCAGTGGGAGAAATTTCGCAGCAAACCGGTAGTCGTGAGGTCTTTTTCGAATTGAATGGTGAGATGAGATCTGTGACTGTGGATGATAAAACTTCGTCTATCGAGACCAAAACCAGACCCAAGGCTACCCAGCCCAATGATGTGGGTGCCCCAATGGCGGGAGTTGTCATCGAGGTGAGAACTAAGCACGGATACGAGGTGAAGAAAGGAGACCCCATTGCGGTGCTTTCGGCGATGAAGATGGAGATGGTTATTAGTTCGCCGGTTTCCGGAAAAGTGGGCGACGTTCTTGTCAAAGAGGGCGATTCGGTCGATGTGAATGATTTGATCACCAGCATCCACAAGTAGTTATTTATTAAGACAATTTAAAGTATCATAAATTGTTAGTCAAGTAGCAACTAAATACGCATAACTTGATACTGCCAGCTAATGTCACTTATTTGCACTGGTAAATGTCACTAATGTCACTTATGGTTCATTTGCTTGTCATCAATGAAGCCTAAAGTCATCTCGTTCTAATAGTCTTTCGCATCCAATACGCATGATCGGATTAGCCATTCTAATTTACAATCTAATTTATTCATTCAGCTCTGTTATTCGTGTACTCATCTCTTCGTATTAGGCGTTCGTGGCCGCTTCACGCCTCTTTTTGTTTCTCGAGCTTCGAGCTTTCGAGTCAATTCTTCGTTGTCTTGGCGAAGCGATGCCAACGTTTCTGTCAATTCTTTCTCCTGTTGAAGCCGCGACTCGATATATCCTTCTTCCTCCTCTAACTGCCAATGGGGGTTTGTCAAAATGTCTCTGGTGAAGTTTGTTTGTGAAAGTATTTGGACCCATTTATTGAGAAGTTTTTGTGTATCATCCGTGGCTTCATGAGTGATGGCTATATTTTGTCTGGTGGTTCTGAGAGTGCCTATGAGGTCTGACACGGCGGCATTGACGGTCTCGAGCTGCCTGAGCTCTTTTTCAAGAGCAGCGTGTCTGTCGGACATCGAAGGTGCTAATAATTATTGAGTGCGATTGAGAACGGTGCGAATTGAGAATGCAGTCCGAACTTTGAGCGCGAAAATCAACTCGTTATGGAAGACTTACCCACCCGGTGGGAGGTGGAACTCGAGTTTGTGCAATCTCTTGCCAACATCCAGTATCTCAGCTACTTAGCCCAGAACGAGTATCTCAAAAAACCAGAATTCTTGGCGTATCTCGAATATTTGAACTACTGGAGACGTCCGGAATATGCTCGTTATGTGGTTTATTCCAATTGCTTGCACATTTTAACATTGTTACAAACACAGGAGTTTCGTGACAATATCGTCAAGCCTGAGTTTATTAACATGTTGATGAACGATATGGTGAAGCGGTGGCAAGATTCTGATGATGTGACGTTCACACCGACGGAGAATGGGGAAAAAAAGAGTGAGGGTGAAAAGGAGAAATAGAGAATACAGAGAAGAGAGCTCAATCCAGAGATGAAGAAGACGAAAACAGCCAAGGAAAATGAATACAGAAAAAATAACCTGAAACGAATCAGAAGAACCAACAAACCATTCAGACGACTAGACGACTAGACGACTCAACAATGCGCGCTTTTGTTCCTCCATTGAATTCATTCTTCGCACTGTTTTCACCGACTCTCCGCGCAACCTCTTCGCAATCTCTCGCAGCAATCTCGTCTCCCAACCATTTCCACTTCGCGTCCATTTATACACCACTTTACCGCGAACCTTTACGCCACCATGGCAAACACTGAAACGTATAATGCCCACTTTCAGTGGCTCCACTCGATACCCATGAGGCTAAAGCAGTACCGAGTGTCGTTGGCTGAATTCCTGTTCCTAGTTTCGTTTCCTATCAACTTTATTGTTGGCAAAACCATCCATTGGTGTGGTCCCGAAGAAGAGGTGTACAACTACTACAACAACAAAAACAACGTGTTCAACCAAATTTTCGTGAAAAGAGGATGGTTCTGGACGACGGTGGTGTTGGTGGCTTTCTATGGTGTTATCTTCACATCAACAACCCACTCCTACATTAAAGACACTCCCTACTCTCAGAGAATGCACTTGTTACGTCGCACATTAATGAGATATTTGGTGATGACAGTGTGGTGGGTGTTGTTCACCCAGTGGTGTTTTGGGTTGCCACTCATGGACAAGGTGTTTGTGTATACGGGAGGTAAATGTGCCAATGTTCTGTCGGCAGCGGTTGCGGGAATGGAAGCATTCTTCACAGCCACTTCGTCGCCAGCGGTGTACGAGTCCAACAAAATCACCTCATATATGTGTCGCCGGCTAAAGGGAACGTGGCAGGGAGGTCATGATCCTTCAGGGCATGTTTTCTTGCTTACTCATCTGTCGCTCTATCTCTTTCACGAAATCTTACCGTACTGGGACTGGAGTCGAGCACAGGCCGCGGTGACGAATTTCCGGTCGCACAACGGGCTGGTTCGCGAGCTTGTGTTGACGCTTCCTCATTTGGTGGTGGCGCTGCTCATTGGGTTGTGGTGGTTCATGCTTTTGATGACGAACATCTACTTTCATTCTGTGGGGGAAAAGTTTGTGGGGTTGATGTTTGGATTTGTGGCAGTAGCGGTGGTGTACTATATGCCGCGATGGAGATAGAGCCGCGGCCAAAGAAGATTAGACGAGATTAGACGAGACGAGAAGATGCAAAGAATTAGGAGACGAGAAGATGCAAAAGAATCAGGAGACGAAAAGATGCAAAAGAATCAGGAGACGAAAAGATGCAATAAATAGGATAACGAGCTACATGTACAATATTATTTAGTTAAACCAATGGCATCCACACCTATATCAATTGGTTCAACTCGTCATCGTTTGACAAGTAGCTAGAACTCTCTTGTCTCATACTTTTGACTGAATTTGTATGAAGTATCTGTACCTAATTCGGTCCAATTCTCAAATACTATAACTCTACAATAATTCTATAAATCTTCAGCAACTAATTTCCATCTTAGTGTGATTTAATCCGAGAGATATTAGGACATCGCTGCCGCGCGAAATCTCCCATCAGTTTCCTCCACTTCTCCACCCCTTCTCCCTTGTTTGTGTGCACTCCAGCGCGCGTTTCGCGTTGGAACACGAAATGTTTCACTCTTTCGCGTCTAGCTATGTACGGCTAGCGTGAGGTTTTTTCGGTGGTTTCTTCTCGTTCTTTCTTCGTGGTCCTTGTCTTTCGTTAATACCCAATGCTCCTCGGGTTCCTACTCTTGTTTGTACGAGCCGTGGCTGCCTCCGTATACTTGGGGTTTCCGTTCAGTGAACAGCTTCCCAATGTGGCTCGGGTCAACCAATCCTATACTTTTACTATGGCGAACACCACCTACAAATCGTCCGACGGAACCGTGCTGTATTCGGCTCTGAACCTCCCCAAGTGGTTGTCGTTCGATTCTGGGTCGCGTACGTTTTCAGGAACGCCGTCAAAGGACGATGAGGGCACGTTCGAAATCACCCTTTCTGGAACAGATTCTTCTGACGGGTCCACAATATCCAACAATTACTCCATGATAGTCTCCGCCGACAAAGGGTTGCACTTGACGTCGCCAGACGTCATGTTCACGCAAATTGCCCGCTATGGAGACACCAATGGCCACGACGGGTTAGTGGTGAAACAGGGCCAGCAATTCAGTCTTAAATTTGACTCTTCTGTGTTCGAGTCCGACTCAGGTGCCACCCGAAGCATCGTAGCGTACTACGGACGGTCGCTGGACCGGGGATCGCTTCCCAATTGGATCAATTTTGACTCAAACACCTTGACTTTTTCAGGTACCGTTCCCTATGTCACATCGGAAAACGCTCCGTCCATGGAATATGGCTTCAGCTTCATAGCGTCCGACTACAAGGGCTATGCTGGGTCCGAGGGAATCTTCAAGTTGGTGGTGGGAGGCCATCAATTGAGTACATCGTTGAACGAAACCATCAAACTTAACGGTACTCTTCGCAGTGAAATTGACGAACAAGTGCCAATTCTCTCGTCTGTGTTTCTAGACGGCAACAAGATTTCCCGGGATAACATTTCCACCGTTTCTGGCGAAGATCTCCCCGATTATCTCCACTTCAATCTGGACAATTATACCATCACTGGTGAGTTTCCCGAAAAGTCAACGTTCGACAACTTCACCATTATGGTCTACGATGTATACGGCAATTCCGTCGAGTTGCCATACCTGATCGATGCCATTGGCTCGGTGTTCACCGTCAAAGATCTCCCCGATGTCAATGCTACTCGCGGTCAATTCTTCTCGTACCAATTGATGAAGTCCATTTTTACCGACTACAACAATACCAAAGTTTCGGTGGCTTTGGACAATGCCAGCTGGCTCACCTACCATCAAGACAACATGACATTCAATGGTATTACTCCCAAGAAATTCGACCTGTTGACCGCCAAGATTACTGCAGAGTCAGACTACGATGAGGAAACAAAGTCGCTTAATATCAATGGTGTCGACAAAACAAAGACGTCGTCTTCCTCCTCGTCTTCCGCGACCTCATCGTCTTCGTCTTCACCTACACCTTCATCTTCCTCGACCGAAGCATCTAATCAAAACCATAAAAAGTCATCTGGTATAAATCGAAAAGCCTTGGCTATTGGATTGGGAGTTGGGATTCCGGCATTCCTCATACTTCTCGCTGCATTGATCTTCGTTGTTTGCTTGTGCAGAAGGAGAAGAAACACCAACAAAGACTCCGATAATCCAGAAGCTGACATGAGTAATACTACTGCGACAGGTTTCGCTGCCAATGAGAAAGGTACCTCGGAAGATACTGCTAGACAGGCTGGAGTCCTAGGTGCTTTGAAGTCCACAAACATGGAGAGCAATTCCACATCTTCGTCTATCACTCACGTCGATTCTCATTCTGACGAAGACAGGTTTTACGATGCTACTGAAAAGCCACTCAAGTCGTGGAGAGCAGACGATGTTTCCGATGATGCCAATGGTGGTACCGCGGCTGGAAATGCTGCTCTCTATAGAGCCTCGAATGGTTCTATGAGCACCGTCAATACCGAACAATTGTTCTCGGTGAGGTTAATCGACGACAATTCGTACCGGCAATCCAATCAGTCGTCACTTCCCGCTGGGCAATTTATGAGCAATGGCTCTTTAAACGCCTTGTTGAACCGAAGCGATTCAGGCAACTTCCAACGAATTGATAGCGATGGTAATATCATTACTTCCCCCAACCAATCCCCCAAAAAGAAGATCTCCAGGTCTCCTTCTGAAAACCTTCATGTCCTCATGGAAGAGTCCGGCAGCCGAGACGTAAGCGGTAGCAGCCATAATAAGCAAACGCTCGAGCCACAAGACAAACCTAGTGGAGCCAGCAGCTTCAAATTCTTGAATCGTTTCAATGATTCGGAACCTAATTCAAGCAACCCATCTGCATCTTCTAGTGACCAACAAATCAGCCAAAGCTTGGTAGGTGACTTCAAAGCTACAAGACACCAAGACGGAACTTTCCAGTGGTTGGACAATTCCAGAGAGAACCTCTTACCAGAAAGCCCGCCCATTTCCCCGGTCAAGGCACGGCCAGTTTCACAACATTCTAATGGGAGCAGAATCAGCATAAACAACTACGTTGGAAACAAGGCCAAATTGGTGGACTTTACCAGAAAAGGCAGTTTACGAGAGTCTGCGTACGAACCTGATTACCAGTATCAGGAAGAATCAGCACAGATTCAAAACGACAGTGATTAGCTCAAGTGACTAACGAATAAGATGTATAATTAGGTAGTAATGGAATTAATGTCTATTAATGGACCCGTGGTAAGGTATCGACAAAGAGGGCAGTATCTTGGGCTCTTCTTCTTCCACTCACATACTCCATCATTTCAGAATATGTCTGAGGAATTACCAGGCAGTATCCTGGGTTGTTGTCGCCCAAAGCGTTTTTAGGCACGAAAAACGAGTATATGAACGAACCAGCTTCCTTGGCTTTGACACTGCTCAAGTCTTTGATGGTGGTATCTACTTTGACCTGAATCAAAGTTCCTGGTTCAGACAAGAACGCATCAGGATTATCGGAGATTTTATTCGTGGCTGGCAACTTGAAGTTGAACGGAGTATCAGCATCGATATCGCTTGGTCCCTCGTGAATGTGCTCGGTGTAGGTTACGGAAGCTGCCATTGAAAGCACCGAACCGACAGGAACTGGGTTCTTGAAAGTGGTGGAGTCCAAAGACACAAACCTTGGGCCGGCGGAACTGAAATCTGCCGCAGCACAGTAGGCCAATTCAAACGTTTGTCTGAGCAAATAGCCACCGAAAATCATGTAGGAATGCCTGTTTCTGTATTGCGGTTGCATGAAGAGTGTGGAAGTGACTCGAGAGTCTTTCATGAATACCAAATCGCGAGTCTTAGACGACGACCCGAGCGCTTTGGACGAGTTCCACATGTCGTAGATAAGTCTGTTTTCCTCGTCCGTGGGTCTCATTATGCCCTGGTCCTTGGCAGCCATTTTCTTCTTCGCATTATGAGACTCTGCTCTTCTGTAGTCGATCCACTCCTGTTCAGAAACTGGCAAAAGACGGTTGATTGCAAAAGATTTGTGGGTGATGGGGTTTCTGGCCACAAACGTGAAGTTTGCAGTCAAAAACACATTTTCTTGTGGGAGAGTTTGCTCGGTGATATCTTGAGGAACCTCGTTTTCAAAAGCGTAGCCCTTTACGGAGATTTCCATAGACGACCGTCCGGTCCAAGTGACCGAGCCGGCTAGAATAAAGTTGTAGTTGACAATCTCGTCCACTTTTTTCACCATGTAGATACGATCAACCGAAGCAGTCACATTGACAGGCTCGGCTGGAGCACAGTGACGGTATGCGATTCGGCCCGCCAAAGCATCCAAGTCCTGGAAAAGCTGGCCCGCTCTCAACCGGCCAAAAGCGTTGATATACGAGTCACAAAGCCATTTGTCGTCTTTGAAAGGAAGATTCAAGTACGTGAAAGATTCACTTCGGGTTTTTTCTCCAACATCATAAGTCTTCGGAGTAACGTACGAATAGCTATCCAACACCTTTCCCTCGGCCAATTGTTTCTCGCGCTCTCTGAGAGCATCTATCCACGTAGCCTTGTTTGGAATGTCCTGCGAATCGTTCTTATCGGCAAGAACCGTGGCAGTAGCATCGGCAGCTGCCGATGGGTCATCGGAACCGGCAGTGTCAGGACGATGAAAATTAACTTTTGTAGCATTGAAACGTACGAACTGGTACGCCAGAGCACGCGACACTCGCGAGACTCTCAAGCTGCGAACAGCTACCGATAAAGTTGTGGGTCGCATTGATGAGACACTGGATAGTGGAGGCTTTTATATCTTATCGTTCCACACAGACCCGGCGGGTCACGTGACGAGACCCGTTGGGTTCCGGGCCATCCCCGCCCAGCGATGCCAACAGAACAGATGCCAACATCGGGAAAATAATTGGTGACAGCAAGAGATTTATGAATTGTGAGCGTTGTGAGATGAATTTGGGGCAGTGGGGTGCATTTGCAACGGTGTAGGGGCATCGATGGAGTCGGAAGATGAGCCGCGCCGGAAAAATTGTGGATAAACTGATGATTAGGCTTAAAAATTTTGGGGGATACGAATTGGCTCTTTAGCAGAAGGGTCAACTGTCAAAGACAGGTCAAGTATGAGAATAGGTGAATTGGGCACAGTTATTTTGGGGTTTCCGTTTATAGAGTGTGTTACCTTTGGTTGCAAATGGGTGCGAAAAGTATTTGGAGCAACCCTCGAAAACCTGCGATCGGAGGTCATATTTGAGTGAGAGACACCGGATCAACTTGACAATTAATGGAAACACAGGAAACTGATGGAGAATTGTTATATGAGGTACAAGTCATATATAATGTACACTCGCCCGAAAGGTGCGAATAATCGAATACGAAAGATTTGACAGTGGCCTTCGACTTCAGTCCTCTCCATTTATCTTTAACTAACAAAAAATGGTATGATATTTTGAACAGATTCACATGATACTCAATGGATGGTATTGTTCAAACTCAAGATGAGGTGGAGCTTGCCACTAAGCTATATATGTTTCAGCATCGTAACTAAATAGCTAAATAGCCAAATGTAGATCCCAACTGGTTTTTGCAGTCGAAGGTGGTGGTTGGTGGTTGGATGTCCTCCTTACCTAAGCCGGGGTTCAATGTCCGAGTCGTGTGCGACCGCCGGTCTTCATCGTTCCGTTCTTCTTTCCTATCACTACATCATGGCTCCAAGCAAGATCTCTGCTGTAGCCCGCACAGCCAAGCATGCTTCCGCATCGTGGCAAGCTGCCAAGTCGGCTCCAGTTTCTAGAACACTTTCTAAAGCTGGCCAATATCAAGCATTGAGAATGGTCGGTGGTTCCAGAGCTGCCTCATCTGGGTCTGGACCTCAAACCATGACGGTTAGAGACGCGTTGAACTCGGCCATTGCCGAGGAGTTGGACCGTGACGACGGAGTGTTTTTGATGGGAGAAGAAGTTGCCCAATATAATGGTGCCTACAAAGTTTCACGTGGATTGTTGGACAGATTCGGAGAGAGAAGAGTGGTTGATACTCCAATTACCGAAATGGGATTCACTGGATTGGCAGTGGGTGCTGCGTTGGCAGGGTTGAAACCAATTTGTGAGTTTATGACTTTCAACTTTGCCATGCAGTCGATCGATCATATCATCAACTCGGCCGCGAAGACCTACTATATGTCTGGAGGTATTCAACCTTGTAATATTACCTTCAGAGGTCCCAACGGTGCTGCTGCTGGTGTTGCTGCTCAGCACTCGCAAGATTACTCGGCATGGTATGGTTCCATTCCTGGTCTTAAGGTGATCTCTCCTTACTCTGCTGAAGACTACAAGGGATTGATGAAGGCTGCCATTAGAGACCCTAACCCAGTTGTGTTCTTGGAAAACGAAATTTTATACGGTGAATCGTTCGAGATGTCGGAAGAGGCATTGAGCCCCGATTTCGTGTTGCCCATCGGTAAGGCCAAGATCGAAAAGGAAGGTAGTGACCTCACCATGGTGTCGCACACCAGAAACGTTGCCCACTGTTTGGAGGCTGCCGAGATCTTGCAAAAGGAATACGGCGTCAACGCCGAGGTCATCAACTTGAGATCCATCAAGCCATTGGACGTCGAAGCCATCATCAACTCGGTCAAGAAGACCAACCATTTAATCACCGTCGAGGCTGGCTTCCCTGGTTTCGGTGTTGGATCCGAGATCTGTGCTCAGATTATGGAATCCGAAGCTTTTGACTACTTGGACTCTCCTGTCGAAAGGGTTACTGGATGTGAAGTGCCAACTCCTTACGCTAAGGAATTGGAGGACTTTGCATTCCCTGATGTCGAGGTGGTGATGAGAGCCAGTAGAAAAGTATTGGGTTTATAGACTAAATGTACGCGTGAGAATGTCTTGTGCTGTCCATAGCTAAATTTGAGAAATTGTATATTGGCAGAAGCGGTATTTGATATCATTGGCATAAGCGATAAGTCGAGTCGTACTTTTCGAGTCGACTTTTCGCACTTACCCCATATTTCCGCGAAATTCATCTGTCCGTATGTCGAACAGTATCCACAAACGCCATGGCGACCTGACCCCCACGCCTGTGCATGTTGCATTCGACGAGGAGAACGATGGCTTGCTACCGGTATCTGTTCCAGAAACAAAATTCAGCCCGAAGCAAAATGCTAAATCGTCGAAAAAATTATTACCCATAGATCGTCCGGCTTTCTTGGTATTATGTATACTATATCTCCTACAAGGTGTGCCTGTGGGGCTTGCGTTTGGTTCCGTTCCCTTCATTCTCAAATCAAAAGTATCGTATAGTCAAGTGGGAATATTTTCCTTGGCAGCATATCCATATTCACTCAAGTTGTTGTGGTCGCCCATAGTGGACTCAATTTACTCATCCAAGGTAGGACGAAGGAGATCGTGGATTATACCGGTTCAGGCCGTTTCGGGAATCACTCTCATTTTCATGGGTGCTCGTATCGACAAATTGGTCGATGATCCAGTGAATAACTTGGTTACCATCACCACCTGCTTTTTCTTGCTTGTGCTCTTCTGTGCTACCCAAGATATCGCCGTTGACGGATGGGCTCTTACGGTTTTGTCGCCTGAATGCCTCTCTTTTGCATCGACCGCTCAAACAATCGGCATCAATTGTGGGTATTTTTCATCGTTCACGGTGTTCTTAGCCCTCAGCTCGCCAGACTTTGCAAATCGCTACTTGAGGTCAATTCCTGTAGACCGTGGTCTCTTCTCGTTGGGACTGTATCTCACGTTTTGGGGCTACGCTTATCTTGTGGTGACGGCATTGCTTTATTACGTACCTGAAGATCCTCCACACTTGAAACAGATAAATCAAGCCAAGTTGATGAACGAAAAGGCAAAGCTGGACACCGTGTATAACCATAAATCTTCATGGTCCGGGGTGTTGAAGGTGTATCTGTCCATGTACCAGGTGCTCAAGTTACGAAACGTACAAGTGTACGTGGTTATTCTTCTCATCGCCAAATTTGGTTTTCAGGTAAATGAAGCCGCTACCAACTTGAAACTTCTTGAGAAGGGCCTTTCCAAAGAAGATCTCTCTATCACAGTGCTCATTGATTTTCCCTTTGAAATGATATTTGGCTACTATGCTGGCAGATGGTCAACTGGTAAATCACCCTTGAAACCATGGCTACTAGGATTTGGTGGCAGATTACTTTCGGCAGCTGTGGCACAACTTATCATCTACTTTTTCCCCAAGGACGGAGTCACCAAAGGTTACTTTATCTTAATTATTTTGCAGCATTTGATGGCATCTTTCATGTCCACCATCCAATTCGTATCTCTCTGTGCATTCAACACGAGAATTGCAGACCCGGCAATTGGTGGTACTTACTTGACTACATTGAACACGATATCCAACTACGGTGGTACGTGGCCCCGGTTGTTGATCTTTTATTTCATCGACAAATTGACCATAGCCAAATGTGAACCTCCAGCAAATTCTACTCCATCCACATTGGCTCAGTTTGGATTCGACGCCAATACCGAACCTTTGAAGGAAAAGTGCCGCCAGCTCGGCGGACAAGTCACCATCTTGCGTGATGGATATTTCTATACCAACTTTTTCTGTATAAGTTGTGGAGTCTTAATTCTTCTCTGGGTTAAAAGAAAGCTCACCTATCTTCAAAGTCTTCCTAACAGTGCATGGAGGGTAGACACTTCATAGACAATCAAGAACTAGATGCGAGTTTGTAGTGGCTTCTATGTAGTTTGATCGACAGAGCTTCCACTAGGGGTCACCTCGAGAAAATCGATAGGCAGAAACGGCACTTTGGAGTCGTCGAGCATTTTCTTAGAGACTGACGAATAACTTTCCACTATGGAGGGGATTAACGATGTGGATAAGTCTTTGGCTATAGGACGGGGCACTGATGGTTTTACCGGAGACGTGGGATATGAAAAGGACCCCGAGCGACCAGAAAATGAGTTTCTTGAGAAGCTTCTGATGGTGTTGGTGAGAAAGTTGGTTTGCGAGTTGGTCGAGTGATTCTTTGACGATATCAGCACGTAATGTTGAGGAGGTTCCACGATGGCCGTGTAGCTTTTAGGGGAGCTGAGAAGGCGGGTATGTTCGTTTGGAAGAGGTGGACCATGTTCAGCGGTGGATGGTGAAATCTGGTCTTCAAAATTGGAGGTGTACCAATCGGGCTTTTGGAAATGTAAAGGGTTTTCTGGTGTAGTTGAAGGAGCTTTATCACTGTAGTATACTTTTTGCATTATGATAATGGCATCGAAAATGACAGTTCCTAGACTTCCCACAACAAAAGGAAGCTGCGACCAGAACACTGTTTCCAAGTCATCATTGTAGTATTGCACGGAAATCAAGTACAAGTTGATTACAATGGAGGTTGTGTAGAGCAAGTTTCCTGTCATGGCGAGAAGAAAGAGAAAAATCGACGTGCCCTTGGTTGACTTCAAGTTGTAGTTCTTGACGATTTGGGGAACCCGAGCCAGCAAGTAGAATCCAGAGCATGTCCAAGCCAGCAACTTTCCAAGATTTGCCCAATTAAAATGCAAACAAATAGCCAGCGATCCCGCAAGGGCCACTGGAGCAGCTTGGGCACCAGGAATGGTGATTATAGCAGACCCCAAGAGCCTCGAAGCTAGTGAATGGGTACCTCTCCGCTTACGTTTGGGACTTTTCGTCAGGTTGGTGAAGGGAGACTTCTTTTGGGAGGCCAAAAGCCGGTCTCTAGGGGATTTCCAGGCGTGGTTGGACGCTCGAATGGCGGATGGTGATTGCAATAGATTGTGAGGAATGCGATGATGAGGGAAGACCCTGGTATAATACCAGTACTGAATGCCCAAGATGAGGTCTATGAAGCAGTAATAGCATGCCAAAGACGTTTGGAACGGAAGTGCTCGTGTTAGAATGCATCCCACGAGATTGGTAGCATCGCCCATCATCCATGAAACTAGGAACAAGAACGATACTCCAGAAACCGACTGATTGATATGATTCTCCAATATTTGCGGAAGCTGTGCAAAGAGCCACACAGACACCGATAGTATGCCCAGGTATCGTGAAGCTTCGGCCAAAGCATGAAGATCCAAATTTACAAAAAACGATGAATGCATGGTAGGTGTATGTCGAGCATTTGATGTGGTGATTTTGGGAGTAAGTGATGCTCAGAAATGTATGTGTAAGGGTTGGTGTAAGGTATGTGGAGTGTTAAATAAGTAGGGGGGCTTGCACCGAAACCTTAGATCAATAAGTGCGATCGCTTATCGGAAAGTTTTCTGCGCTGATTATGCGCCGAAAAATGAGAAAAGACAAAGGTATGCGGCTGAAGAACAAATTTTCAAAAAGAGGGGATATAGTAAAAAAAATTTTTTGGTTCAACTGTTTTATTACGGAATGATATTACCACAGAATCTTCGCAGTCAAACATTTCTCTTGACTTTAAGCTTTTTGCATCCGCGTCCATGTGCCCAATTGGGCAGTCCGCGCATCGCATTTACTCATCCTGTCAACGGCCACTAGTGCAGGAGATTATCGCATTTTCACCATGATTGAGGTTCAGGCCAATGATCGTCTAGGCAAGAAAATCAAAGTCAAGTGCTTGCCCGAAGACACAGTAGGCGACCTCAAAAAGATATTGTCGCTTCAGCTTGGTACGGCTCCTGATAAGCTTGTATTAAAGAAAGGGTACCAGGTTTACAAAGACCACATCAGTCTCGAAGACTACGAGATCCACGACGGTTTTAACTTTGAATTGTATTACGGGTAGTAGATGTACATAGTTCTATAAGAAATACTCGACAATTTGCGACGGCCGGCCGTAGAAGCCGGCAAACATGCCCGGGGCCTGCCCGTCATCTTGCATGCCATTAACACCTTTTCCAACAACGGTATCTTCGTCGTTTTCTGGCGATGCCTCGAATACGTTGAAGTACTGGCCAGCAAACACCCCTTGCTCGTTGACTTTGCCATCGCTGCTGGTGTCGGTGACCTCGAGAACACTGGCCTTGTTTCCGCACCGGTAGCAGTAGTTGGGTGCCAGCCACACTGTTAAGCATTTGCCGCCCCAGTAGCTCACATAGCCCTCGTTACATAACTGGTGTGCCCGCACGAGCTGGGATAATCCATTGTCGTGACAAAACTTGTTCATGACATCGGCGCCGAAAAGGTAGCCAGCACCTCTCGGCGATAACTTGAAGTCAAGAATCTCGGGATCGGGGTCTGACCACACCAAATCCGCCATGATCCCATCATGAGGGATCTCCTTGAACCTATCGGTGGCCCTTATCTGATCTAGTCGCTGGCAGCTGGGCGACAAACCTCCGTGGGTAGCAAATACTCGGCCATCGATGGTCGCTCCCAACGGGAGATAATCAAACACATCGGTGATATAAGTCCAAACATCTGAGCTTCCTTGGTACTTGTGGAGCACTTCGGTATAAAAGCCATAGTTGGTGGTGATTGTACGTGATTCATGGTTTCCTCTGATAAGAAATACACGCAGAGGATACCGAAGTTTAAGTGCGATCAATAACAGAATCGTTTCCACTGAATAGTAGCCTCGATCCACATAATCCCCCAAAAATAAGTAGTTTGTATGTGGTGGATACCCGCCGATTTGAAATATTTCGAGTAAATCATGGTACTGGCCGTGAATATCGCCCACAACGGTGATGGGAGACTGGACCAGAAGGATATTGGGGTCGCCCAATAATTGAGATTTAAGGTTGTGACAGAGTTGTTGAACGGTTTCCGGAGGTAGCAACCGCGGGGGCTTGTGATCCAGGAGCTGAGACAAGCAGTGGTCCAAATCTGGTATGGGGATTTGAAACGGTATCGTCATTCATAAAGAGACCGACGTGAAAAATGCGCGAATGTGAACCAGTTGCAAATTAAGCGAGGTAGTAAAAACTTGTATCTACAAGACTAACAACAATAGCAGCAAGAGGCAGAAAGTAGCAGAAAGCACAGAAAGCAGCAGAAAGACATTTATAGAGGTACATTTATAGTGGGTAGCTCATGCCTTGCCAAAGTTGACCACCTCCTCGATAGAATCGTCGATCACCTGGAGCCCTTCCTCTATCAATTCGTCGGGAATGTTCAATGCCGGTACCAATCTTAACACATTCAATCCAGCACTGATCACAAGTAATCCATGATCTCTGCACTTCTGTACAACATCTCCTACCTCTACCGAGTTACCGAATTGTAACCCAAGTAACAATCCTTTACCCTTGACTTCTGTAACATGTTCTGGGTACTTGTTGGCAATCTTGGTCAATCCTTTTATAAACTTTTCGGATTTGTCGTTGACGGCTTGCAAAAATTCTTTATCGCTAACCTTATCAACCACATAGGTGCCTATCCTTGATCCCAATGGATTACCTCCGTAAGTAGTACCATGGTCTCCTACCTTGAGCACCTTCTCTATCTTTTCTGAGATCATGGTTGCACCAATAGGAAATCCATTTCCTAAAGCTTTGGCCATGGTTACAATATCAGGGTGGGCCTCAGCTGGCATCAGCGAGTGAGTCCACAACGAACCTGATCTTCCCAATCCACACTGTATCTCATCGTAGATGAGCACCACATCATTTTCATCGCAAAGTTTGCGCAACCCAATCAAAAACTCAGTATCCATCACCGTCACTCCACCCTCACCTTGAATGGGTTCAATGATCACTCCACAAGTTTTTTCCTTGCTGATCACCTCCTTGACGCTGTCTAAATCGTTGGCTTTAGCAACCTTGACTCCAGGAACCAAAGGTGTGAAGGGAGCTTGGTATTTGGAGTTGGTTGTCACAGACAACGATCCCATTGAACGGCCATGGAACGAATTTTCAAAAGCGATAAACTCATATTTGTCGTCACTGAAGCTCTTACCGTACTTCCTTGCAAATTTCATCGCTGCTTCGTTGGCTTCGGTTCCAGAATTACACAAGAATACTCTCTGAGCTTCTTGCATTCCCCCGGAATTCAATGTCTTTGTAACAAGCTTGTTGGCAAGCTCTCCCGCATGCATGTTATAGTACAAGTTCGAACAGTGCACAAGAGTATTAGCTTGGTTGGCAATGATTTCAGCAATTTCACTATTAGCATGTCCCAAAGCGGTTACGGCAACTCCAGCAGTAAAGTCAATGTACTGGCGATTTTCCAAATCGTACAAATGAGATCCCTTCCCATGAGTAACTACCAAGTTGGGACGAGCATAAGTGGTGACCGTGTATGGCTTAGATATCGTGTTAACGTACTGTCCTGTATGAGAGTCATCGTTGGGGTCAGCGTGGGTCACTTCTTTGAAGTTTGTGAATGATTGTGAAAGACTACGACGAGACCAATGAATTGTTTGAGCCTTGAGCAGCTGTGTTATAGGCAGCTGGAACAACCTGAGGTTCTCAGGTACCCGTTTTGGAATAGCCCTTAACATGATTAATGTTATCTTCCCCAATTTTCGCTCGTTTTTCAACCCATACAGGTGCAGGAAAAAGTTGACTCATGGGTCCACTATCTAGTAATGTCAATTGTGAGCTCGAGCTGAGGGCTAGCATACTCAAGAGTGGCAATCTTGCGAGAGATAAGTCGGTTGATTTCGAATCTAAACCGAGATTCGTCGTCAATACTAGCACCGATCATCAGGAATTTCAACCCCACCACGAAAAGGCGGTGATTGAACTTTGTAATAAATAACTTGTCAACCGTAAACGATTTCTTGAAGCCCTCGATAGTGTAAATGCCATCGATGATTTCATTTTTTAGGTTGTAGTAGTCGTAACTTGAGTAAGGATATGACAATAAGAGTATTGAACCAAGCTTACTCACAAGTCTCCATCCAGTAAAGCACAAGAGGCAAGCAATGGTCAAGGTAGAAGCGTCACTAATCTCCAAGTCTATCTTTGACGTGAAAGCCTCTGGTATAACTGGAAGTAATGCGAGGCCAATTGCAAAAAGTAGAGTCAAAAAATGGGTAGGATGCTTGAGTATCACCGACAATACCGGTCGTATGCGACCCTCTCCTCCCTTCTCTTTCCCAGTGGAAGATATCATTTCGTTAATCCGATCGGACGCAACAATATATCTCGAGGTTAAGAGGGTAAAGATGATGGTGATACACAACGAAACCTCGTATGCAAACATATTTTCAATAGTTCCGCCGCCATGAATGTGATGAGACAGATGCTGGTGGGCCTCTTGGTCAACTTGCGGGTCCTTCACTATCCACTCAATCACAAACTCCTCGCAAAAGTGGCTAATTAGGTCGCAGCCCACCATGATCAAAGAGGTACTCAATGCAAACCCGGCGAGCACCTCGAGGCGTCCAAGTCCAAATGGATAAGCGATTGACGAACAGCTCCAAACTTCAAAATTTGACATCACATCGACAAGCACTATTACCAACGACCCAAGCGAATCGTACACGACAAGATGAGCAAGAGTCGATAAAGATGCGAGCTTGAAATGAAACCCAACTATAAATAAAGCCACCGCAAGCAAAAGGTGACACACCGACCAGGCGAGCTTTATCTTTTGGTGAGATGTCAATGAAGAAACCGACTCCTTGAATGTGGGAATCGGATGCAGATCTGGGATCATGGCTTGATTCGCGGATACGGCAGCAGGCGGAGGTTCCTGGAACAAGTTCATAGACACCGACGAGTGCTTGTATTTGTGACCTTTTCTGTGGGCAGTTTTCACCTGGAGCGTTGGTCCCGAGCCATTTCCATGGATCATTAATTCCTGGGGCTGGAAATTGAAAGGCTGAGGAGACTTTGACGGCGAGGAAGATCTTCGAACCGGCGACTTGGCCCTATAATTGCGACCATTGCGTGACGGAGACGTGGCTCGAATTGGAGAACTGGACCTCGAACCCGACGGAGGAGCAATCGGCGCCGAAGGAATGTACGACCTTGTGGAAGCAAAATACGCTGAGTTACGTGCTCTTGGAGTGTTGTTTATGCGGTGAGCAGGACTTCCGTCTTCCAGTATTATGAGTTGACTCGTATCCATGTCGAAAACAGACTTTGGTCTCGGTGTCCGATTAGAGAATGTAGTGCGTTGGGGAGAAGCTAGCGATGAGTTTGAGTACCGTCTGGGTATGGGACTTTGCTGGAGACCAATTGTGGGTGTTCCGGGAACGCTTTCGGCGGCGTGGGCATCGTATACGTCGGAATCCCCAAGTGAATCGGTGGAAAAATTGGCACTTTGAAGAAACAGGAGATTAGGTGGGTTACTCAAAATTTGGGTTTTTGTTGTTCCATATTGTTCACCATCAGATATGTCGTCAGGAGGATCGATCTCGGAAGCCATTATGATTTAAAATGGTATTTTTGGGTTGACTTCAGACGATCGGTGAAATTGTTTGTGCGACCGCGAACGTATGTTGGTGAGCGCGAGATGCGGCTGAAGGCTGCAAAAAGCGAAAGTTACAGAGTTTGAAACAGCCCAAAAACATAAAAAGAGCGGAAAATGACACAGACTTTGATCATTTTGACAAATGAATTATCATCTTTTTAAATAACCTACTAGTTTCATATATTAACTGCCCATCATGAAGCAGTCGTCCTATGGCACTGGAACTATTACTTCATTTCCTTGTGTGCTTCTTAAAGCTTAAAGAGGATTCTCTCGCAACACATACGCACCAAACATCAGGAGGTTTATGCAGCTGTCGTTGAGGTCTTCGGATCCATTGGTAGAGCCTTCGATAATCTCAAAACTCTTGATTTTGAAGGGCTTGACTTTCTCACTTGAACTTCTCTTCTTATCCACTGGCACGGCCACAAGTCCTGAATCATTGAACGCAGCAAAATCTGATCCGCAATTGAGCTCTTCCTCGTCAAGCATAATCGAACATGCCTGGATTTCTTCTTTCTTGTACGCTTCGAATGGATTTGAGGTGCTTGGTTCAGGTAGGTTGAAGATACGGGAAATTGACGAGATTGCATCATTAACAAAGAGCTGCTTGCTATGTTGCTCCGTTGGTGGGGCGTCAATCTCCTGGTTTCCGTTGAAGTCATCCTGTGTTGCAGCCGGAGAGTTTTCAAACATTCCATTTGCTTGAAGCGTAAGTGCCAGTGTCAAGGAACTCTTCATGAGTAGTAAAAGGTCATACAATAGAATCCGTAGACTTTCGTTGTTGGAGGAAAGAAAGTTAGACTTGAGTAGCTCGATCAAGTTACGAACAAAAGTAAACTTCTCTCCATCTTTGGTTATTATCGTGGTAATCAATGGCACTTTGTGAATGATGATTATTCTCAAGTATACGGAAATTGCATTTTGTAGGTCAACAGCAGTGTTTTCATCTATACTTGGCGACTTTGCGATTGGAAGGAGCTCCTGCAAAAACTTGTTCAATTCAGTAAAAAGTTCTCCAGTAACAGCGTCTCTGGTATACGAAACAGAAAATTTCTTGAAAAAGTCCTTTAGTATTGGAAAGAGGTTCTCCCCTTGTTCGGTGCACAAGGAGAGCCGCCCTCCGTCAAACTTCGTGCATGTCAAAAACTTGGTTTCAAGAACACGCAAAAACATATACTTGTACTCAGGACCACAATAATTAGTGATCTCACCAAAGAAAGAGTTATCCTTCAAAAGATCACTGTGAAACGAGTATAGCAAACTTTCGGTAATGATTTCAATCTGCCTGGAAGCTTCCAGTGTTCCCAAGTATTCCAATTCATTCAGGGTGATAGTCCTCAACAAAATTTGACATATAGGTAGACTAAATTCGTTTGCTACCTTTCCAAGGACAGGAATATCATTGATCAAACTGATGCTAGAGTCTGGCGAGATACCTGCTAATTCGTTGCATACCCTTATTATCTCTGAATTTGTGAGATGTTTCACTAGTTCATCGATGACGTCCCTAATGTGATAAAGGCAGCAACCTCTTAAAACTGAAAGCATATTCTCCTTTAGTATTTGTTCGACAGGAACATGAGACTGTGTGCGTTTGAAACTTTTCAATATAATGGGAAGCACAGAAACCGAATTTTTTGTAAGATAAGTCTCCCGAAGAATCTGGAGCATTACTTGCTGATTAGAAAATATACCAGTCCTAACATTCTTTCCAAACAATACTTGCATGATTGTATCGTAGTTGCTTTCAGCGGAGAAGCCGTAGTTTTCACTTGTTAGTAGCTGGACAACGAGCAGATAATCGATGAGCTCGTAACAAAGTAGCTTTTTTAATAAGAGAAGTATTTTTGTTGAATCACTCATTTCACCAATATGAGCTTTGATGAGTGTGCTCACGTCTGTAGATTCTTTGCTCGCTTTAAGTAGTCTGTCGTGGTGTACTATCAAACGAATCAAAGACACCTCCTCGTCGTATTGAAGGTTCCCCAAAGTTTCATCAAACTTGATAAGTAGTTGTGAAAAATTGTCAAGAACTGTGTTTGAAGCCAAAGTAACCTTCAATGTCTTACATGACTCTCCAAGTTCTTCTTCGCTCAATAAGGGAACTGGTTCTGCAATGATGTCATCGAGAACAGTCTTGAGGTCCTCAGTAGAAGGAGACACATTTTGCCAAGGATTAGACCATTCTGCTATAATCTCGGTGGAGCTCAATGCAACCGTACCTTTATTCTTCGGTTTCTGCATTGTCTTGTGGTCCCAAACCGAGCTAAATTGCAATTCACTCGAACTGATCATCGACTCAAAAAATATCCATATACTTCTAAACTTTGTGTAATCGAAGTCTCGAGACTGAAGATCTTTATAATGGAGAAGAATAAGTTTCATTAGTTCGAGAATCGTAGGAACTTCGGAAGGCGACGTTGTGATGTACTTTATAAGTTTGAAGTGACGAACAACCAATTTCGCTATGAGATATAACGAGTCAAGGTAAAAGATAATTATACCGCCATCGTTTCTCAAAACTAGCTTGATTATTCCCTTGAAAAATACCGTTAAGTTGTCACAAGCACAAAAAAGGTCATACAAAATGGAAATCGTCGAGGGGTAAACGTGGATAAGCTTGGTGGAACTCATGATGGTATTTTTGAGTTGGGTAGTAAGCCAGTTTATCAACAAGAATTTCAAACCAACTTCCAAATTTTGGAAATATTCAATACCCGAACCTTGAACGAACGCCTTTTCTTTGCTTTCGAGTAGATTCTCAATGATATTTTCTTGCAAAATAATTTTCCCCGTATCAAATTTAGTTTTGAAATTGAAATCGTCCAGTACCCATTTTCTCAATATGCTGTCACATTGCTTGTTATTTGTCACTGGGAGGTTTTTCAATATACTCAAGTGAGTACTGATTTCATTGTTCAAAATGAGCTTTTGAGAGCTTTCCTCGGGCGAGACGTAGAAAACTCCCGATGCAATGAGTCTCCTAATGTATGAAGATATAGTGATAATTTTTAGCTGGTACAACTCATTGATCAAGACGTAAAGACTATACGATTTGATCTTCGCTGTAGGATCTGAAACCACTTGGTATATTATTTCAAGAATTTCACTTTCAAATTCGGCTTTTTTCTGGGAGTCAATCCGCTTGTACAAAACCTTTCCTTTGATAAAGTTGCAGGCAATTAATATGCCCTGACTCGAAATTGCACTATCTCTGTAGTCGGTAATACACCAGTGTATCAATAACTTCAAGTATATGCGCCATCGGCTATTTTCCTGTTGGGGACGTAAGAGTATAGCCAAGCCATCATCCAAACGATAACGATCTAGCGAATCGACAATTTTTAGCAAATCACCTTGGCTTCTGTTGATGAACCAATAATCTGCCTCCGTCGATACCAGTTCATCTTTTGTCGTTTGGGACAGATACTTGGCTTTGGTTGCAAAATCGTGCTGCTGCTCATTAGACACTGCCTGAATATGCTTGGAATTTAAGATCAAGCTTTCATTTCTATACTTGATAGTTTTGAGTTGATCTTTGATGAGTTGAACCTCTTCCATTTTCGAATCCTTGTCGTTGAGCAATATGCTTGATAACTCTTCGCTGGTAAGCACCCAATAGTTAGGAAGGATAAACGTGTTTGAGTTGTGCTTGAATAGATACTTGATAGACTCTGCTACCAAATCGAGAATGGTCAGTTTCAACTTGGAAGGTAAAGCGTTGGAGTTTTGTTTTTGGGGTGGTTGTTTTGGATTGAAGGTTGATGCACGTCGAAGGAAATAGTAATTGAGAAGTAGAGCCTCGCTTAGTTCTTTGCACAAATAATCCAAAGGAAGTATCACCTTCCAGAATGATTTAATAAGCATGAGTGCAATTAATCTTTGTCCATAGTGTTTTTCGATACCGTTCAAAAGATCCAAGTGCTTATCTGAGTCTTCCCATGACATTGAAATCAATTCTGACACCTGCTTGGCTTCCAATGGAAGACCCTCTCTAAGAATATTGATGATGCACGAGAGAAAAAGGCGTCGATCTATAAGGCATTCCAAGTACAACGACTGAAGATACCGCAAAAGATAAGATAGTTTGGACATATATGCCGACTTTTTCTCTGTCAGGCTAATGCCATTCATCTCTCTTGCAAATTTTTGAACGTAATCGGCGACCTGTTGGGTCCATTCGTGAAGCCAGTGGAGTTCGTAGTTGACAATGGTGGAAGTAAATCTGGGTCCTGTCAATTTTGCGTGATACTTCTTTTTAAGCGCTTGTATTTCGGAGTAGAGAATGCATTTCGTGAACCATATAGCTCGAGGTAATGGCACATTTTTGTTGCACATGCTTTCGACCAAGATTTTATTCCTTATACCATGCGGAAGTTTGCCAGATATTTTGGACAATGGGATTTCGGGGTCCGCAAGGTCACGGAGCCAGGCTTCTTTCTTCAGAGCCGTGAGAGTGACACGGGGAGGTATCTTAAATTGGTGGGTATCATGCTTGATTTTATTAATTGATTCATTCCGGGATTTAAATGCCCCGGCCATCATACGAGATAAATCCTCCAACGCTTCGTTTGGCAGATCTGATGACGAAAAGAGAGACGCCTGGACCAAACTTCGTGCTGAAGAATATTCATTTGGTACCGCTGGTGGCTCGTAATACCCTTTGTTCAAATACGATGCATTATTTTCTTTCAGTGCTTCGGCATCATTAAAGCTGCCTGGATCTGTGGGTGTACTTTCCCTCCACGGCTTGAAATCTGGATAAGAATGCTTGGTGTTACTTTCTTTTTTATCTTCAACTCCGACACTCAATGGATATATATCGAGATTCGGTTTATCCATCAGAAACTTCATGGCTATCAACTCATCTTTATCACTGGCAGATTGTGTTGAGCGGTTGCTGCTGAACAACAAGCTGTTCCTACTTTTATTCTTGGACATGGTTGAAGAGTATCATGTAAGTCGGAGGACGAAAGTGGTGATCTTTTCTGGGGAACTACAAATGGGTGTATTGGTGTCGCTTGGCATTGAATAATACCGATACTAGAACCAACACAAGAAAAGAGAAGTAGAAGTGTTAGAAAGTTTCTTTATAGCTTGTTACTTTGGCACATCGAACAATTGTTCATGAAATTTTGAAATTTTTTATATTTTTCTGTTTTGCATTTTTTTCATTTTCTTCAATTCTCATTGATCTTAAGAGTAGTGTTCTTTTAACGCTATATGTACTTTACATTTTTCTACCAATCGTCATCATCGTCCTCTTCTTCATCATCGCTGTCTCTCGTTGCAGACCTCTTCTTGAGAGCATCCGCAATAGATCCAGCAAGATTTGTCTCCTCATTTTTCTTAGCAAGAAGAGCTCCTGCCAATCCATTTGAAAGTCCACCTTCCTGTTGTGTCAGTGCCGCAGCAGCAGCATTCCCTCCTTGTTCAGGAACGGTCCTGGTAGTTGCAGATGGAGGTGGAGGAGGTGGAGGAGACTTGGATCCCCCAAGGTTCAGCGGTGGAGGACACTCGGAAATGTATGCTGTTGGAACCCAGCCCTCTTTGGACTCGTCCAACGATTTGGCCAATGACCATTGTCCGTTGTTCTGGGTGATGTATACAATGTCATTGGCACTCAATGCCATCGAGCCACTGACAGAACCATCGTAGTCATAGTTGGCCTTGAATGTGGGCCACTTTGGCTTGGCCGCTGATAAAGATGGAGGTGGGGGAGGAGCAGTCTTTTTAACTGGAGGTGCTGGAGCAGCCTTTTTAGCTGGTCTTGAAGGTGCCGTTGGGTTGGAATTGTGGTTCTGTACCACAGTGGCAGGTTGTTGTATGTTGACATGATTCATAGCAGCGGTCGCAGCGGTAACTGCTTCCTGATGGTTATTGTTCAAAGAAGGAGCAGGAGGAGGAACCTTGCGTACATGGTTGTTAGGCTGCTGGTGAACAGGTGCGACTGGAGTAGGGTACGAAGGTTGCTGTTGTGTTGCATGGCTTGGTGGAGCCACAGGTGTCCTCTGTTGGGAAGTAGGATGAGCTGGAGGAACGGTCCGTGCTGGAGCAAGACGCCCACCACGATTATAGTACTTGCTATAGTCCACTTTCGAAGATGTAGCTCTAGGTCTTTTGGGGTTCTGACTGTCGGGTGAAAGACCAGGACGAACAGAGACTGTACCCGACTTGTAAACATCGCCATGAATAGGAATGGTCGACACATCACTTCTTACAAACTTGACAGTGTGGAACTTTCCAGGCTTCTTTTGATATTCAATAGTGGGCCCAATCTTGATCGTTAAACCAGGATTGAGTTTCTTCAAGTGAGTGACCAATTCTGTCTTAAAATCAAGATTGATGAGTACATCTGGAGTTGTAGGTGTAGGCGAATGGAGGGAAACAGCTAACCAGTTGTCCTGGAAAGTAGAAAGACCAACGTAGTTAATACTGTTAATAGGAATCACAAACTCTTTCAGCAATTGAAGCCGTCTCTCAACGAGATTCTCCGCTATAATATAGAGCGAAGATCTACCCAACACAAAGATTCTTGGAAGTCTCTTTGAAGATCTTCCAAACTTTGATAAGAGAATCTCACCTTTCCCTGAAAAAACGACGTGCTCGTTGAGGCCAACCTGGTTCAATACAAACCTACCGAATCCAGAGCTGTAGTTACAACCCAAATAGTCACCCATAAAAGCTCTTGAACCGAGCATAGACATTCTTCTTCTTTCCTTTCTACCTTGCAACAACCCATTTCCATAGTCACGAAGCTGTTCAAATTGGTTACCATGTTTTTTGACTTTCCAAGCATTCTGAATAAGTCTCGCAGCATCCTCTTTACGTTTGACGTAGCGGCGCCATGCCCTCTGGATACGTGCCGCCATATTGTGCCAGTATTTGTCACGCATGTCTTCCATAGCAAAAAGGGTTTCTGGCGTCTTGATAAATACCTTCGAAGTTCCCATTTGAAACTCAGTGTCAGGAATGTGACACGACTTTAAGATTTCTCTGACGGCCGAAATATCATCTCCATTCCAGATGTAATCGCCTGCGTACCCAGTTTTGGGAGACAAAAGATAGAATCTCTGCACAAACTTGTCAAAGGTGGTACGATAGGCAAAACCAGCTCTTCTAATCCGCACATTCTCCTTCAATCCCAAATATTTCACTTGATGTAAAACTTGAGCATTGTCATATTCTTTGGGTCTCTTTGTCTGATTTGGTTTGATAGTTCTAATATAAGAGGGTTGGCACTGTGAAAGAGTATCCACCAACAAATTAGCACTCTTCTTGATCTTGTCGGACGCTGTTTCGGGTCTCTTCTTTTTATCAGTTAACACTGCCAATAAATCGGGTGGGAAGAGAACCAGGTTCACGAAGGTATTCTGAGACGTTGACAACATTTCCAAAAGGTCACGTAACATAGCATCCTTATTCTTATCAGTCATACCTGCAACATCGTATACCACGTCGCCGGCATAATGTTTAATGATAAATTTGCCTTTACGATCTTCAAAGTGACGATTGTTTGCTCCCACCATACTGAGTCTCTGAGCAAACACCTGGTCAGCAGCATCGGAGTCAGCATGTGCTGTTTTGATGGAGTCGTTCAAAGCAGCAAAAAGACCAGGTTGTGGGCGGGTTGCTTCTATAAGGTCACAAACGACTTTGTTGTTGAAGTAGTCGATGGGAGTCCACTTGATCTGTTCCTGAACGTATTCATCTTGTTCCGCTTTCAAAGTCAACTGAATAAAAATCTGCTGAAGTTTCTCGTTCACGTAGTTGATACAAATTTGCTCGAAGGAATTATGCTCGAAAATCTCGAAACCATAAATATCCAAAATACCGATAGTCTTCTTTTCCATCGCTTCTGCACGGCCACGGAGAGAGATATTCACACGCTCAACAATCCAGTCAAACAAATAATTGTAAATACCCTTCGCTAAAGCGTCTCTCAGGGCTGTTGCTTGGACAATGTTCAAAGGGACATGATAAGTTGAGCCTCGTCTCATACCGTGGCTCGTTTCGATAACTCTTTCGAGGATTGATTTCTTCAATACGTTGGCATCGACTTCAAGCAAGTATGCCACAAAAGTCGTCACTGTATCATCTCGAATTGCTGCGTTCCCATCTTCATTTTCCACAAAGGAAATGTTACCTATCCACAAGATCAGTGCCAAGGAACGAAAGATATTGTCCTGTTCCGCCTTGCTCAAGCCGATCGTATTCATAGCTTGCAACGTCTCAGCAAAGTCCTTACCATCGTTGATACCCTCAACGTCAATACATTTTGCAGCCGAAGTGTAGACGTAAGTCTCTGGGCCTTGAAGTCCAAACAGCTGCTTGTACTCTGGCGGACACAGCTTTGTCAATTGGTAAAATATATGGAAGTTTCGCTCGTTTGTGATTTGTGACACAACTCTCTGTTTCTCTAAAAGGTAGTTTGTTATATGGGCAGCCACAGGTTGATAGTTGGACGGATTGAAATAAATTTCGAGATATTTACCATGACGGGACGAATTGTTGTTTCTCAAAGTCTTGGCACATCCAAAAGATTCCAAGAGCGGATTCGTGGCGAGAACCATATCTTTAATCTGAGTGATCTCAGATGTCGTGGATACCTTATCATCTACAGACACATTGGCAATATATTGCATGATCTGCTTGGCGGCTTCAGTCTTGCCCGCACCTGATTCACCCGAGATAATTACACACTGGCTCTCTCCGTACGACTTGAGATGATAGTACATGGACTCAGCAATGGCAAACACATGGGGTGGAACTTCGAGTCGATTTTTACCCTTGTACATGTTCAAATACTCCTTTGTATATATGCCCAAGTCCTGGAATGGATTCACCGAGATCAACACATGGCCAATATAGGTATAGATGGTGTTGTTCATGAATCTCTTGTGTAAGTTGTCATTGATTGAATCATCGCTGATTTTGGACAAAAGTGTCAAGTCCGAAACTCCCACTTCCTTCTTCTTGTGAAGGTCAAATTCGGCCCTTTCTTGATACCAGACTTTGCGGGAGCCTCTTGCTTGGCTTTTGATCGGGCGCCACGCTTTACGATGGCCATTTCGTATACTTGAAAGGGTGAAGGTTTAAGTAGCGGTGGTCGGCGTGCGCGGATGACTTTGGGCTGTGTGTGGGTGCACGGATGTGAAATTATGGGGAACAAGATGGTACCTATAAATAACTACATACCAAAAACTAATTGAAAATGGTGTTTGATATCTATTGTACATACCGCTAGCTAGACCATATGCGTACCATTTTATCTTTGCCTCCTGAGGCAACTCTCTTACCATCCATACTCCAATCTACTGCATACACCTCGTCAGCATGTCCAGGCAAGTCTACCGAAAGTTTCCTGGTTCTTACGTCCCACACCTTCAATGTAGTATCTTTCGAGCAGCTAACAAGAAGACGGCTATCCGGAGACCATGCGGTTTGATATACAGGAGCCACATGGCCACGGAATGTTCCGATAAATGTACCTTTAATTCCATCCCAGAGCTTGATTGAATTATCAAATGAACTCGACACCACATATCTACCGTCCGGTGAAAATGAAACATGATTAACGAGCTTCTGGTGTCCGGTCATACGACACACAGGTTTTGACGATTTGAGTGGTTCCCACAAATACATTGTGAAATCATCACTTGCAGTGACGAGACGCTCACGCTCACTTCCATTGAGAACGGCCACTTTTTGGTACTGCTCCTTTGCCTTGGCAATGAGCTCTGCTTGTGACAACTTGGCGGTGGTTCCAGTGTGGTCGAAACCTCCACTTCTGAGGGCGTGGTCTGTGGAAATAGCTAGATGGTTTACCCAATGGGCATGGCTCTTCAAAATTTGCAAGCATTTACCTCCAGCGGATATGTCCCATGCCCGAATTGTCTTGTCATGAGATGCACTGTATATCAAGTTTGATCCTGACCACTTGACACAAGAAACGGAATTTGTATGGCCACTCAATGTCAATAAGCATACTCTACGAGTGGTATCCCAAACTTTGACACAACCATCCTTGGACCCAGATGCCAACCTTGGCAGGTTCCCTGGGGTCACCAAGTGGAGTGGCTCCCATGTTAAGCTGGAAACCCACTTGGAATGGCCTGATAAAGCTGAACCCAACGCAGCACCCAGCTTGGCATCCCATAGCCTTATGGTATTATCCATGGATCCGGTGGCTATCATTGTTCCACAAGGTGAATATGCAACACAAAGAACCCAGTTGGTATGACCAGTGAGTGTTTTAAAAGGAGTATGGGTGTTACAGTCCCAGATTCTTGCAGTGGAATCTCCAGCACCAGTACACATTCTCCCCGAATCGTTGGGTGCAAATTGACAGCACAATATGGTAGATCCATGACCAGCAATAGCATTACTGGACCTGGTTACTGGTCGAACCTTGAAAACAGCCCTAGGGGTATACACCATGGTTAGAAAATCTTCGGTAGTCTTAATCTTTGGTTTCAAGATCGAACTGTATAGGTTGTCCTTCACGTCTACGGTCTTGTCACCATCAACAACTGCGAAAGTATATGGTACTGCTTCATCTTCACCGAGGAGCTGGTTAAGTAACTGCTCCAATTGTTTTTTCGGTGATTCCACCAGGAACTCGAAAGAGATCCTCCTACAGAGTCACCAGTATCCGAAGCCTGGCCATTTTAATCATGACGTGCGGAAGATCCGCAGGAACGATGTCCACATCGCGGACTTTCTGGGCCTCCTTTTTCTGTTTCTTTGACGAAGGTGGAACGACGGTAGCCATGGCGAATTAATTCTCCACCTCCATCTCATCGCGGCTCATCAGACATCTGGTGTATGGATGTGTCGTTCTTTGAAGTTGACTGCAGGACAGGCATCAGCGGCTGCAAGATAGATGGTTCATCATCAGACGCTTCAATTTCCAGGGAGAAGTCAGGGATGAGGGCTCGAAGCTGGGATTCGCTTATTTCTGGAGAAGATGGGATATTAGCCGGCTGAAATTCATAGTCGGGTTCTGAGAGGTCTAAAAAGTGGTAATTTTTCAGTGCGGCTTCCCATTGAGTTTTGTTCAATTCATGGTAGAATTGTTGGTCATAATCGAAATAGAGTGTTTTGGAGGCGGTTGCAGTGTTTTGTATTTTAATCTCGAGAACCTGGACAAGTCTCAAGTTTTCTGACGAGGCAGATATTGGTTGGGAGACATAGCGCTTGTAATGTGGAGTTCGATGGTACCAATCTGAGTAGAAAATGAACCGAGCAGCAATATAGTTTGAGAATGAGCTTTTCACGTATACAGAATTATCGGAATCGTCCAAAAGAAGGTACCAACACAGGTCTTGTTTGGCGCTTGAATGGCTGCGAATTGAACGATGCTTGCGACGATTCTGGTGCGGAACTGTGTATCGATTGTGAGCTTCTTGGTAACTGCGAGTTTATGAACGAGAAGTTTGGCGTATCTTGAGAGTATGGCAATGATTTTGTTATAAGAAATCCTGTCAAGATACACACCAGGTTTGTGGAATATGCAAACTGGGATATGAGGCTAGTTAGGCTAGAAACATGTGACTGGAATTTCAACGACGGGTTTTCTCGTAGCAAATTGGAGGACGGAGGAAGCTCGGGATGATGAGTTTGTTGCAATAACGCAGCAGAATTGCGTGTTATGTGGAATTTCAAGAGTGCTTCTTCGCAAGCGGCGGAAAGTTGCAACTTGTAATGCTGGGCTGTTTCATGAAAATTCGCCACAACCACCAAGCATTTGCTTCCGGCGGCCTTCTTGAGCATTTCTGAACTAAAGAGGGTAAAGAGCTGGGCAAATGAGTTGGTGACGAAACATTTAATGCGATCAGACTTCCAATTTTTATCATAAGATGGGTGATTTTGAAGCCACAGCCAAAGGAATGGATGAAGTGTTTGAATTACGATCACCTTGTGTGACTCGTCTGCTGCTAGGTGAGATACCATGAGATTTGCAAGCATTGGATGGAGACCCGTTTTGGTTGGAGTGGTTTGGAAATCATAGATGGCACTTGTAAACTCAATTCCAAGAGAAGATAGCCCGGAATCCAAATGCTTGAACTCGTGAGCGCGTTTCTGAAGCTCTAAGAGTGTCACCATACTATAAAAATCGTGTCAATCACGGACCATATCCTAGCACAACCTCGAGCCCGTCCGGCACACACCACGATTTTTTAGGTCGATCGCAGACCCGCCCTACATACAGGCGAGCCGTCTGACGCTCATTAACCATTATACCCCACGAAAAGTCTTCACAACAATGGGCACACCTGGCCAGTTTGGAAGACCGGAGGTGGGAGCAAACGGTACTCAGACCCCAGCAGCAACAAATAGGCGTCCTTCTCTTCTCAAAAAACCATCGAGCTCCGGATTAGTAGCGGTGGTAGCAAACCATGGTTCTGGAACCAGTCAAAATCAGACCAATGGCGGAACTTCTGGCACCAACTCCGCTTCCGGACACATAAACAACACGAATCACGCAACCTCGGGAAAAAGAGTTCTGTCTGGAGGATCCAATGATGGTGGAAATCTGACCTCTCATTTGACACTGTCCAACTCTGCCACTCCTTCCAATTCCGCTCACAATCACACTCATTTGCCGCAGATTAATCGCACAAGATCACGCTCGCTAAGCAAGAACCAACATGGAACTGCCCATGCGCCGCAATATTGGGCACAGGAAAAAGTGTACTTGAAGAAACTTCGCAATCAAACCATCGATGACTACTATACCAAGGGTATTAGCGGAGCAGAAACAGAGGGCGAAGAAGAGTCTACAGTCAACGACCTGGAGGAAGAAGAGGATACTCAACAGGAATCGAAGGACATTCTTGCGGAAATTGACGAGGACAAGTACCAGATAGATCTCAGTTTGGCATTTTCCATGGTGAAGGATGGAATCGTCAACCCCCAATAAGGATATTTCTCAGCTCAGTTTGGACTCCAGCGATGATCCTGCTGTGTTAGAACGACTCGAATGGCAGTCTATGTTGACATCAGTCTTAACAGGCGATGTGGTGACATCCGAAAAGACCAAAATCATAGAAAGCAATTCTCTGGGCCGCAACCACGAACTGTCACAACTCGTCACCTACAAAGACAACTTGTGGTACGGAATCAAGGCTAAGCTTCTTGGTCGTACCGAGGACGATGAACGTAAGTTAATCGCATACAGACGAACCTTGGTCGATACGCTTATAGATGACATTCTTACTTATGAAATTGTGGAACTGGATCCTACGGTGGGTAGTCCAAGGACTCAGGTAATCAGGATTCTTGAGAGGTACGAAAAGTGCTGCGAGCTCTGGAAAACATTGGAAGATATGCGCCAGGATAAGCCGTTGTGTCGGAGCCATGATTTTGTCGATAGGATCGATGCTCTCAATGCATGGTTGAGTATAACCGATGCTATAGAACGAGAGAGTAACTCACTTCGTATGTGGATTGGAAATGATGAGCTTGATATTACCAAGAGCCCGGTCAATACTCCAAACTCTGAATCTCCTGCCACAACTCCTACCAAGGTGGTGAAAAAAATCTTTGATGAGGACAATAAATCGTTAGCAGAAAGATTGATGAAGGAGAAAGATGTCCATACGATATTTAAGCAGCGAATATTCATTCCGCTTGCTCCATGGATGATAAAGGCGAAGGATACCTACATTTATTTGAAGCAGATTTTCGAATCCATTAAGCTTCCTGATTACATCCACAGTCTCATTCAATTGTGCTTGGTGCCTATGAAACTTATAAAAGAAATCATAAACGTGCGATTAAAGTACGCTATGAAGTTACAGAACCCAACTTTGATGATGATTGACCAAATGCTCGACGACTTCAAATCCTACATTACCATTGCCTTAGAGGTAAAACTGGGGTTTATGCAATATTTCAGACCCGATGCTAGCAGGACGTGGATGCTACAAGAGTTGTTTGAGAGTGAATACCTCGAATTCGACAAGGCTGTGTTAAGTTGTGTGGACTACTTTTTGGTTCTATTAAGCAAGAAACTTTTGGATGGCTCGCGCTCATCAACAAACTTCAGAACCTTCAAGGAACCAGAGGAGTTGGAAGAAGCTTGGAACTTCTTGAGGTGGCTTGGAGACTACGTTGACGGCGGTAGTCCTGTCGTCTCTGTCCTGTTCACCCATCTTACGCTGAAGTTGATTCACAGGCTTCTTGCGTACTTCAACCATCAGATAAGATCTCCACCACCAAATCTCAAGTCCAACAGTACAGAATTAATACGCTGGTATAGCTCGACCAGTGAACATTTCGGACAGTTGAGGAGAAAATTGTCCAGATTCGCGGGTGAAATTTCGAGGACTTTCACAAACTCAATAGTGTATGAGCTTCACGGAAATCAAGGTCAGCTCACCAAAGAGTTACTTGATGAGCTTCGAAATTCGGAACACTTTTTAGTGTATACTGGCACTGTCGAATCCCAAGGTACCTACTTCTTCGCTAGCCCAGAACTTATGGGCCGAGAAACCGAGATATACCGTATGATTCACGGGTCGTATATCGGTCTTAGTGTGAACGACTCCAATCAATTTGATACGTTCTTGGACATTCTCAATATGGACGAAAAGCCGAGCGAGGTTGACGATCTCGACAATAACGTTGCATTACCATTAACATCCCAATCTAATGATCTCGCATACGTGCTAGCCATTTGTCCAGCCAAACCAATTGTGTGGGAAGGGGAAGTGGTTAGAATCAATACTGACGAGGTACCTATCAACGATCTTAAGGTTGGACAGGTGCTTTTAGTAACCACCATGCCGTTCTACAGTTTGGACATAATCAAAGAGAAATTCACAAGTATTTTCGACAGCTCGAAGAAGATTGCGTCTGCCATCAAGCAGCTGGAAGTGAGATGCTCACTTGCCAAAGTCCACTACGATCTCTCCAAAATCGACCGGTTGTTCTTCAAGATGACGTTGGCAGTCCTAGACTCTGTCAGAATAGTGAGAAGTAAATGTCTCACCATGGCGCCTGAAAGCGACTTCCAGGAGCTTATTAACAATTACTTTATCTATGCCCGTGACTATGGCCGGAGCTCCATCAAAAACCTCGATACCTCACGAAAATCCACCGTGATCATGAAATTGATACAGCTATCCATCGAATGGGTGAGTTTCATCAGCGATGATTGTATACCCACAGACAGAAAGACGTTTCGTTGGTGTGTGTTAGCGCTAGAGTTTGCGATGGACATGACACGCGGATTCAACGTTCTTGTATTGGACGAGGAACAATTCTACAAGCTCAAAATGAAGGTTGCAAGATGCATGTCGTTATTAATTTCGCATTTCGATATCATGGGTGCCAGGTCCAGCGAGGCTGAAAAGAAAAAGCTCTTGAAGTGGACCGCACTGAGACACAGAATCGAGAACAGCGCCGACGACGAGCTCATTTTGCAAGCTTACCGAGATGATGTTATGGGTCAAATTGAGACTATCGAAGAGTATAGAAGAGAGCTTCAAGACGGTCTTCTGACTGTGGGCAGAGTATTGGAGGTGACGGATCTGGAATACCAGTTTGTTACGTTGCTTGCTTCGTCATTTTCAAGTGTGTCTATAAGATGGCAAAAGGGCCGTTTTATTGGCGGAGGTACTTTTGGTAGTGTGTTCTCTGCGGTGAACTTGGATACTGGAGGAGTCATGGCAGTCAAGGAGATTCGGTTTCATGATAGCCAGTCGATTAAGAATATCGTGCCGTCTATCAAAGATGAAATGACGGTGTTGGAAATGTTGAACCATCCAAATATTGTACAGTATTTCGGAGTCGAGGTCCACAGGGACAAAGTGTACATTTTCATGGAGTTCTGTGAAGGGGGTTCGCTTGCAAGTTTATTGACTCACGGCCGCATAGAAGACGAAATGGTGGTTCAAGTGTACACTTTACAAATGCTCGAAGGATTGGCATATCTTCACCATTCAGGTGTGGTTCATCGTGATTTGAAACCGGAAAATATCTTGCTAGATCACAACGGAGTAATCAAGTTTGTGGACTTTGGTGCTGCCAAGGTGATAGCTACTAGTGGAAGAACTAGAACCAGCGGAAGCACGTCTCGCAGAGGAAGTGCTGGGGGAGATAATAGCGATAGGTTAAACTCCATGACGGGAACTCCCATGTATATGTCACCAGAAGCGATTACAGGATCTTCCAGCAGCAAGAGTGGAGTCGTGGATATCTGGTCTTTAGGGTGCTGTGTGCTTGAAATGGCTACTGGTCGTCGTCCATGGGCAAACCTCGATAACGAATGGGCCATCATGTACCATATTGCTGCTGGACATCAGCCCCAACTTCCTTCGTCGGACCAGCTCAGTGCCGAGGGATGCCGTTTCCTTTCCAGATGTCTTGAGCACGATCCCACAAAGAGACCTAGTGCTATGGAGTTATTGGCTGATCCTTGGATAGTCCAAATTCGACTCGCTGCGTTTGATTCGTCCGAGGCATCCAGCACTCCATCTTCCGAGCAAGCACCCGAAGTGAACTAATTGACTACATGTCATTTCACCGAGTATTATATATTTTATTTACAGGACGTTTCTAGTCAAACGTTATGATTTTCATCAAGTACTTTCATCACTTCTTGAACCACATCTCCCTTTATATTAGCATAGCCTGCCGTCCGATTGACCACAATATGTTGCGGTTGTATATGTGGCAAGGTAGCAAGCAAGTCTCTCTTGAATCTGTTAACATCTCCCTGGATTCTCTTGACCTCAGTGGTAATCTTGGTGTTTTGTACTTTTTTGTAAACGGGCCAATGTCCAAATTTCGACTTGTGAATCCAGTATGAGTTTTTTCCGAAATTGCTATTCACCAACTCATCGCTGGATATACTAGAAAGCGCAGGGAACTCGTACGGAGCAGGCGCTTTTACTGGAGTTTTCACTCTGACCGCTTTAAAAACTATCGATGTGGGCTTCATGAAGAATCAGGTTGACTTGAAAAATTCAACCATAGATACGTTATCTGCAGTACAAAAAATGTTACCATTAAGTCATATATAAAAGAGTAGCTAACCGGCCGTTATAGCGCCCTCTATCGGTAGAAAAGCTGCATCTTCTGGTTTGTTGCTCTTGTAGTGCACCTTCATGTGTTTGGTCAAGTTTGAAGATTCTCGGAACCGTTTTCCACATCCTGGCCATTTGCACATCAACGGCTTTTCGCCTGTATGCACCCTATTATGGATCGAAAGACTGGAACTGGTAGAGAACTGTTTTCCACAGACATTGCAGGCGTATGGTTTCTCGCCTGAATGAGTCCGCATGTGCTGTTTAAGCATATTTGCAACTGCAAAACGAGCGCCGCAGATGTCGCACACGCATGGTCGATGCTTAGTATGGATGAATAGATGCCTCACTAGTTTCTGTCTCTGTCGAAAGTTTTTCCCGTTGTGACGTTCACAGCCCATCCAGCAACAATCGTACAGCTTTTGGCCGGATTTGAGGTGTTCTTCGAGAAGATGGTTGTGAAGTTCCGCGGCAGAACCATGGCTCTTCCCGCAAGGCACCGGCACGCCATTTTCTGTATGGGTTTCCCATTTACAGGTGAAAGTTGGATCTTCGACATGGTTACATCGCAGATGGGCATCTGTAGGCCTTATTTCCATGGCGGTGATATTGTAGTTTGACGCCTGGCCAACCGGTCTTATGTCTAGATGGTGGTCAGTGGTGGTGTTTTCGAGCGGAGATGAGTTTGCTGAGAGTTCTGATGAGCTTGGTGTCAACACATTGTTCTTGTTTGTTTCTGAGTGTTTCTTGTGGACGTTCACATGGTTTATCAACGAGTTTAAATCGGAATCCATAAAGTTGCAATAGTTCCATTCGCAGTGGTATGGCGCCTCGCTTTTAACGTCTGAGCGGGAGTATTCCTGGCCAATATGGTTTTCCAAGAGGTGCTGTAAGAAGGTCTGGTTGGTGACGGTTTTATGGCAATTTTCCCATTCGCACAAATACTCTGGGTACGATATATCTGAAAGCGACTTGAGTGTTTCGTTGAAATTGTTGAATTGGACATAAAAGTCAAAGTCGGACATCACGGGGTCTTCAGACCCGATAGGAGGGTTGGGAATGGTGGTGTGAAAGCATGACTGGTGGATATGGTGGTGATTTACAGAGCACGGTTTAGCATCGGAATCACACTTTGTTGAAGCATTTTGCTCTGGAGCAGGATGGCATTCGTGAGGGAAATGGAGCTGCAACTTTGGTACCTTGAGAGGGTCCGAACGCAATTTTTTCCGGGGCTGTTCCTCACAAATACCGCTATGAACGTTATTGATCAAGTTTTCAAAAATGGGCCGTTTGGAGAGCTGAAGATCACATAAATTGTTCTCGTGGTCCTGATGTTCACCCGAGCAAGCAGGGTCCTTACAAACCAAACTAGGACATACAGAATTTGTCGAGTCACAGTTGGGATCTTCACAGCATGAAGTACAATCGTAAGTGGAGTAGGCGGTTTCATCGTAGCATTCATGTTGCAGACACTGATCTCTGGTATCTTGGCAATTGGTGAAGAGACAATCATCAAGCTCATTGCAAAAAATTTCATCACAGAGTGCCAATTCTTCAGATTCTGGACATAATTCAACTTTGTCAGCGGCTTCATCTAAACCATGATGATGGTCATGATCATGATTATGAATATGTCCATGGATATGTGTATGATCTTTGTGTTTGTGGATGTGGCCATGTACGAATCCGTGGGTAAGGACCTTTTCCGCCAGTATCTCTTGCATGGTGGAGAAAAAACCTGGTGAACCGAGAATAACGGATGCAGCCGTACGGGGTACCTGGGTGGTTATCGCACGTGACCTGGTGGGATAAAAATTAGGTGAACGTAACTCCGTGAAAAGTTGATTGGAGTTGATTGACTTCGGAATTATGTGACTGGTGTAGGTCAAACTTGGAAAAGTGTGATAATTTGAGAATATTTACCTATTCGACTGGATAGTGTAACCGATGCAAATGAGCTGAGATAACGTGAGGCCGTCGGAATTCCTGTATGTGAATTACAGTTACTGAGGAAGACTGCAATTGACGTAGAATGAGCAAATAACATTTAAGCCATTGGTAAGCCATGTTCTAGCCGTCACTGCTAAAAATGAGCAACATCAACTCACATAACGGTACCGTATACACGAGTCCAACTCAATGCTATTTTTTGGGTAACTTTTCATCTCAATAAAACTGGCTGGATGGGATACATTTCCTCAATCTGGAACACAAGTGATATCGGGTGTCCGCTTTTAGTCAGATACTCCCAAAGAATGATGCAAAATATCAGATTATCCCAAAGAATGAATACTATGTCTTTGTGCATTCAATGCTAGGTCACAAGATAGATCACAAGATGACCCAGCTCTTAAATCGGTCAAAATGTTGACTCTCTCAATTACTTCTACGATCGAATTGTGTTCTGATCTCTATATATAGAACTGTTTTGGATTTCTACATCAGCTAAAGCGCGGTGCATACCTCAGTTGAGTTTTGACTGGCTGCGAAAATGGCTTATGGATTTCGCGATGTATACCGCGAATAATCTGGGATGCCAAGATTCTTCCGCGCTGAAAATCGCAGTTCCGCTCACTGGCAATAACGTGACCATGATCGGCCAATACGGCTTTGTTCAATGGCCATTGTTCTCTAATGGTGCATAACTGCGTGCAGTGTTATCTTCCAATGCATAGGGTTTTACGTTTGAAATGTATGGACACTCGGAGTGAGCCCATACATTGCGGAATACGCAATGGTGCCGATCCTTCATTTTCGTCCATTTTTGAAGTTCGAGACCGTGTCGGGAACGGGATTAAGCTCAAATCCTAACTTTAGAAAAAGAATCTTGCATTTCGTAACCTGACCCGATTAGGCAAGATATCAATATTGCGATGATCTCCCGCGACGCACTAACGCAAATCCGATTCCTCCCCACACACAACGCCACAGCGAACGATCAGATCATGATGCACCTAGCTGCCTTTCCATCGGATTACAATCATAAATCTTCAAGACAGTTATTAGATGCCAACTTTTACCGGACAGCAAAAGAAACACTTGCTACCCCCTTGCAGTGTCGCGACATATATTAAGTATGCGGTGCGAGCCTGATGCAGGTTCATGCAAATGCATGCAGCTCGGTCTAGGCTACATCCGAACAAACGAACAATAACTCAATGTTCTAATTTCCTAACGCGTAAATTTACATCAGGGAAGGTTGGAGTTTAATTAAACAATGGCACTGCGAACAAGTTGTTTATTTTTTGCAGCTTCTCCCTTCCTCACATATACAACCCGATTCTTCCGTACTCATTATTTGAAACCTTAAATTTATAATTATTTTCCATCATGACAATAAAGTTGTTGGAGAGGTGGAAACATCGGTCCCATGCTCCGCCTTCAAATACCATTCGCAAATCAAAGTCTCGCGAGTTGCTCAATAAGGTTCTCGGCCACAAATCCCCTGCTCAACATAGCCATAAACCGTCACCAGATTCTGTGCAAATTGACCAACCCAAGCTCAAGACCATCACTGAACAAAGTATCCATTCTGTAGCACTGGCATGCTCCAGCGATATCTCATCGATCATTTCTCCATACCAAGAACATCAACCAACTGATTCCACCATAAATGGATTTGCAATTGTTCTGACACCACCTCAAGAACAGCCGTCTATCAGCGAGCCTCCACATATACCTGCCGCCACCATATATGCCGAGGATATCGATAATCTTTCATTTTTGCATGATACTGTCGATGGAGTGTCTCACAGTACTGCCCGCAACTCGCTACAAAATGTGTCATTTCAGCCGGAGGAACTGACCGATGTTGGCTCGCTCACAAATGCCAAAATCCAGGTGTTTAAACCTCACCGCAGTTCTCGAAGGAGCCTCAAACTCGTATCGCCAGCTGCAACTGCTCCGTCCATCGGAGAAGTGGACATAGTACAGCCAATTGTTCCAGAACAGCCATTAGCTGCTGTCTTCGAGAACCAGAGTCCAATAATACGATCGCCACTTTTAGGAAGTGATACTGACGAATCTACAACCAGCGATCTCTACCGACACGAAATGGTCGAGCTCGTTAATAGCAACCGAGCTCTTCTTGAGAAAAAAGAGCGAGAAATTGCGGTGTTGAGAGAACTTCTACAACAAGAAAGACGAATAAACTCGTATCTCTCGTCGCCGCAACAAAAGCATAAACCACAACCATCATCTGGACGCAAATTCCGCCCCAGATTCATTCCCTTGGACATTAGCATTACCAATTCTGAACCCTCAGAGCCACACACGAAACCTTCTGCCCTTATGGAACCGTTTGACCCACGGCCGTTCGAGATCACACCCAGACTGGCAGAATCGCCAAAACAAATGGATAATACAACTCCAAAAAGCCGAATGTCTACGACCTCTTCAATTTACTTCTCTGCATCGGAAGATACCATACCTAATATCTCGACACCCGAACTATCAATCGTACAAGAGATGAACAGCATGGAAATAACCAGCAAGAATTCAGTTCTGGAACTTCGAAGTTCTGATAATACTTATACCCTTTCGGCCGAGTCGCTTGGGTTCCAAAGAAAGGAATCAAACAGCACAATGGCATCAGATTTACTAGAAATTAGTCTTTCGATCAAAAATTAATATAGATACCCAGGTTATGAATTCACCTATGACCTAACCTAAAATTATTGTAGTTCCTTGATCTCAGTTTCATCAGCAACCAAGCCCATTACGACCAAGTACATGTTCAAATTGTTCAAAAGATTTTGCTTCTTGTAGAGATTAGCCAAGTCCGAGTTGTCAATAGCCTTGGCTCTGCTCATAACACCAAAGATTTCATCTCGTACCTCATCCACGATAATTCTTTGGTGGCTCAATTTACCTCCCAAAGAAAGAGTAGCCAAAAATTGCCAAACATAGTTTTCACGAGACGAACCGTCATCCACATCTTCAGGGTGAGGAGGAAAGATAGCAGCAATTCTAGATTCCAAGTTGGAGAAAAGTTCATCGTAACATGAAGACCATTCAGATAAGTCAGTAGCGGAAATTTGTCCCTCACCCTTGATCAATTCAGCTCGAGATAACAAGGTAGTGATGACGGACAATCCGATCTTTGTGGTAGAGACGAAAGAGACGTTGTTGTGTTCGATCAAAATCATCAACAAGCCAATGATTTCGTTGAATTTGAATTCCTGAACTGCGTTCATCAACACTTTAGAAAACGTCAAAGTGTAGTGTTCAACCAACTTCAAGATCTTGGAAGGTACAACTTGGTCTGGGTAAGTTGTGTAGGAGCCATGTTTGATCACCAGCAAGTTTTCAAGGTTGGACATGATCAAGGTGGTTATGGTCAAGACCTGTTCACGGGTCAAGAACTTGAACAAACGAGGCAAAATCTTGAGCATCTTGTTAAAGCTTAAAGCCTGGATGAAAGGATTGATCGTAGACTCCTCGTCGCCCGATGTCGAAGGGTGGTCAAGAATGTGTAAAGACTCCCAAAGATCGGTAGTATCTACGTCGGGGTTCGTTCTCGAGGCACTTTCGATTGTCATGATATTGTTGATGACAGTCTCAATGATACTCATGATATCCTTGTGCGAGTATGTCTTTCTCAGCTGAGTATTAGTCAGTTTGACACCTCCTTCAGCTTCACTCTTTTCTCTTTGAGCTGCCTTACTGAGAATTTCCAATTGTTGTCTTGGCTTCTTTCCACTTCCAAACGAAATTTTACCCAACGCACCTTCTCTCGCATATTGAGTGAGCTTTGGTCTTTCCTTGGCAACGGTAACAGCCTTTTGAATCTGCTGCTGCATTCTTTGTAAAGCGACATCGGCCCTCTTATAACGGCCTCCCAATCTGTGGCCACTTTGATCCAAATACGCTTGAGCAATCGAGTTGTTCTGATCGGCCTGTTGCTGCAGAGGGTTTGCATTGGCCTTGGGGTGGATCACCTTAAAAACTTGAGCGTAAAAATCCTCGTTGTAGGGATCATCCGTAACAATTTGCGACAATTGGAATCTAGTGACAAAGTCCTTGTCCTTGGGGTTCATGATACCAGAGTAGTTCATGATACGAGCGACCTTTTCGTGTCTCTTGGTGGCTTTTGCCTGTTGTTCTGGGGTCATTTCAGCAAAGCTTAAGCGACGAGGTGCAGCCTTGGAAGACAGTTTAGCACCCAAAAGTGGGAACTGGTTCAAGTCTTTGGGTTCGGTGGAAATCGTCGAAACGTCAGCACCCACGGAGCCAGAGGCAGAAGCGGAAGCAGAAGTAGAAACCCCTGCCAGAGAACCAGATTCCGGTTGAGGAACAGGAGCTTGGGTTGCTGGAGCCAGTGCCAGCGGAGCCAGTTGTGGTGGAATTTGCTGTGGCACTTGCTGCACTTGCTGCGCTTGTTGCAATTGAGCCTGGGGTGGCATCTGAGGGTGCATTTGCTGCGTTTGGAGTGCCTGTGGGTGTCCTTGCATGGGCATGGGCATCTGTTGGTGCATCTGCTGAGCAGGAATATGCTGCTGCATAGGATATCCAAACTGGCCCGGAGGCGGCATATACTGACCCATAGGCATCATGTAGCCACCGTAGCCCGGAGGCATCATTCCACCCATCATATATGGATGTGGAGGCTGGTGAGGTTGTTGGGTGCGATGGTCAATAGCAGTCAATTGCGCTTCGATTTCGTCCAAAGACAACACCGTGCGTTCTTGCGGCTGTCCCCGTTGCTGGATTGGCTGCATCGGAGGTTGTTGTTGACGAGGTTGAGTGGCAGGTGCGTTGCCAGCACCCCAAAGATCGTTCATGAACTCATCGTCATTAATGGGATGAGTGGCTGCTTGAGCATAGCTGAGGGTCTGCGAGGGTACGGGCGCCGGCTGGGAGTGGTTTCCATTGGCAAAAGCAAAATCCTTTGCCGGTTCGGTTGCTCCAAAAGTTTCATCGTTCAACGCATCGTCGGCACCGCCATCTCCCAAACCATCATAAGTGTCCTGGAAATCATAACTCTCTTGGTTCAGGTTCTGTTGGCGTAGGTGCGGCGGCACGCTTGGATCAAACCCAAAAAAAGACATATTTTTTTGGATGTTCAAATGGGATAAGTTTCAGCATTCAGTAAATTGTCCTTGTCATGTCGACAATTTTCCGGTGTGCATATAAGCACAGCCGCATTGGGAAGGTGTCAGACATGGGTGCAAATACTTTAACCACCAAATACTGGCATACACTATTTACATCTATAAACCATATAACTCTACTGAAGCACGAGTCCTATGTAAACGACAGGAGTGCACTTGTAAGCTTCACCACCATCTCATCCCATTCACCCTTCTCCTCACTGAGAACAGTAATTGCTCCTCCGGCTCCAATCCGCCATAACTTACACTGGTCCAGATTGTGCTTGTCGTCGGTGTAATGGAACACAGAACGAATGACCACCGACCAAACCGCCTCGTCGGTGACAGACCAGTACCCACAAACTCCACTGTAAACTCCTCGTCTACCTCCATTGGTTATGGGCTGCATCGCTTCAATATCTTGAAGTAATTCGACAGATCGCTTTTTTGGTGCTCCCGTCATGGATCCGGGCGGTAACGAGCACTCAAGAACATCTATTCCATGCTTGTGGTCAATTTCTCCTCTAATCACACTCACCAATTGGAACATGGTGCTATACTCTTCTACCGACATGAGCAGCGACACCTCCACTTTGTCTACATACAGATAGAGATCATGGCGGATGAGATCCACAATCATGAGGTTTTCTCCCATTTCCTTGGGTGTCCGCAAAATGTCCGTAGCGGCTTTGAGATCAACTTCGGGCGTTTTCTTCACGGTACCTTTTATAGGACGGAATTCAACCTTGCGTTTTCCTCCACTAGTTTGTTGCCATGAGAGAAATCTTTCAGGTGAAGACGATATAAGAATGACGTCCTCAAACAGCATGAAACACGAGTATGGCGACGGGTTTTTGCGAAGAGTGAGTATAAGATAAATTTCCCACGGATGGATCTTGGCGGGAAGTTTCAACTTCAGTTGTGTTGTCAAGCAAAGCTCGTACGAGTCTCCACTATGGAGGTACTCCTGGCACGCCTGGAACTGCTTCTGGTAAGTATTTCGATCGGGAAGTTCAAATTCAATGTTCTCGTCTTCAGCGAGATCTTTGACAGAAGATGCAATATTCGCTAAATTTATCACAAGTTTACCGTCATTTTCGGCACCCAGCAATTCATCTGACATGTCTTTGCACCATTGAGAATCATCTGGTTTGATGCTTAGCAAGTACCACTGGTTGTTCTCGTGGTCATATACCAAAGAACGTTCTATATGAACCAATTTAAGATCAGGTGTGGACCCATTTGTCATCGATTTTAACTTCTCAAACCTAATATGTTGTCCCTCTTCGTAAGAAGCCAATCCCATGTATCCTCCATAGAAGGGAAGTTTCTGGTGCTTGTCAAACGTAGCTGGGGGAATATAAGCTTTTTCAAACGTCTTTTTCAAGTAAGACCATATATCAGCATGGCCCAGCCCTTGCAAATCAAGACGCTGTCTTTCTGGCAAGCCAAATTTGCCCAATTCGACAATATTGTTCTCATCCGTAGAGTGAGTAATTACGCACGATTCGCCAAGAACGGGAAACCCAATAATGGACCATTGGCACGGATTAGACGCCGAGTTCAAGAGGAAGAAGTCGGTCTTGCCGGACTTTTTATACAAGTAGTCACAGATGGCCACAGGCTTCGCCGTAGGCAACGAGATGGGAACCATGTAGTATGCTGTATCGGTGGAAGGCTCGGGAGAATGAAACTTGTGGTCTTCCCTATACCTAATGTCGAAGCGACGAATCTCGTCGAGTAACTGCGGTGGAGAATCAGCAGCTACATGTGGATATTCCTTGGCAATAGCATGGAAATTTTTCACGAGCTCGATTCCGGAAGACGAACAAACTGACTCCGGGTGGTATTGGACTCCGTAAATAGGAAGCGACCTGTGTCTTCCAGCCATCAATACTCTCGTTGTGGTGGAGCCATTGACATCGTCACAGTATGCCAAAGGCACTATATCGTCGGTAAGGTCCTCCATAGGCACATGCAATGAGTGGTATCTTACACACGGTGTTTTTTCCTTTGTGGGAAAAAGTTTATGGGAAACACTCGAGTCTGTGTCGCTTAGTGGAATCACATCGTAAACCTGGCCGTGTCTAATCGAATGTAAGCGGTTTACTCGGTTGCCAAATTCGTAGCACATACTTTGAAAACCGAGACAAACGCCAAATATCGGCACCAAAGTTGTTCCAGGGTTTTGCTTGTAGTGTTTATAGAGCCATCCGGCAATCCCCACGTCTTTAGCATTCTCGGGGTGGCCAGGACCGGGACCTATGACGATGTACTCGAACAGCGGAAGATACGATTTGACAAAGTCTGAGTACTGTTCGGGCTCGAAAGTGTCATTGTGGATGGTTATCACCTCTTCACCAGTGCTTTCTGCGATTAGCAGTCGTAAGTTGTTGGTGAATGAGTCATAGGAGTCTATGAGTAGAATCATAGCTCTTTCTCGTTGCGAAAACCGTTATGAAAATTCGCTCAGCCGCACCGAAAAAACACCACAATTTTGCGGAGGGATTAAATGTGGGTTTCGAATTGGATTTCGAAGTGAATTTGGAAGTGTCGTGGTTCAAGATTTGTTCTACTACAGTTTTTGAGTTTCTGGTATATTTTCGGTTTCTAATCTGAAATCAGTTTTCGTTGCTATTGCAATCTATAGCAGTTTCGCAGATTATCGCATTTATTGATAAATCTTTTGAATCCATTTCTCGTAATTTTATGTATCGTAGATGTTCTGACTAAAGTTGGTTCCATTCAACTCCTTTCCCAAGTTGAAAACCACTCCATTTAACCCAATTTTTCCAAGAACAGGTGCCCCGCCATAGTCGGTTCCTCCGTCATTAAGCTCGTCAGCCTTGCCGATTTCTATGTCCTCGGCGTCTCCTCGGTTCAAAAATATCATTCTTCTCACCACGTTTTCCCAGTAATGTGAAATCGATTTGGCAATGGCAGATAACGGTAATATGTTAGAATTTTTAAACTTGCACTCGACTTGGTGCTTCGATTCCACCTCGTCTTCATCGTACTCGGCTCCTTCGTAGACATGATGCCCAAGACAACGGAAAGGTCCCCATCCAGGTACAGTGTGGAGATCCCATTCAATCTTGCAAAGAGGAAAGTTATCGATATCCAAGTCAGTTCCGCCAGGATTCATTCTTTCGCTGAGCTTGCCTGCTATAGCCGACATCAACTGGCTGGTAGTCAAGTCTTTAAGACGGCCGAGCTGGGAGTTGTAATACTGGTGCAGCATAAGAAACTCATCCAACAATTCAAGCGTGGGAGTACAATGTTCACATTTGCACCCGTTCCACAATAAATTGTTCATGGCTTGCTCATAGCACGCAAACAGATGGAGAAGATTGGGGAACACTATGATGGGGTGGACAGCGAAAACTGTGCTAGCATTGCCTTTTTTGACATGCCTGATTGCATCGGGAAGAGTTTCGGTGAACAACTTACGCCGACGAAGGTAGTTCCCTTCCAAGCCGTCTTCCAAGATTCCGTTTTCGGGAGGGCTATGGCGGATGGAAACGTACCATAACCGCGAGAACTGACGAAGAAATGAAAATGTTATTAGGTCAAAATTCTCGCAGAATTTATGCACATAAGTGTGCTTTTGTTTGTTCAATTGTCGGATTGCAATCGAAGAAATCGGCGCCGTTGGAGGAATAAGACCCAAGAACTCAGAGAGGCAATCTTGGTTGCATGCCTTGTTATCACATCCCAAAATAAGCTGGGCACTCTGCACATTATACCACTTGATGTTCAATGTGGGAGTCTTGTTTCCATCGATATCGTGATAATGAACGACAGAAACATGTTTAGGAGCAAACACGGTACCCGTAGAAGCCGCCATTTGCGCCAAGGACCGCTGGGTCGAGGCGTCTTCAATTATGATCGACTCGAGCTGAGCGAGCACCAAACCTATTTTATCTGTCCATGGGGTCTTTTTCGCCAGCTCTGAAGCTAATGCAAACACAACCTCCTTGGCGTTGACCGCGGCAGCCAATTGAGTATAATTATCAACCACAATGCTGTTCCATTTGGCAAAATCCACGGCAAGTCTTGTCCGGACATTTTCCAGTTTAACATACAATTTGCGGAACGATGGCTTCGAGGAAGTCCCTATTTGAGGGTCGATCTTTTGTACTATGTCTATCAACAGCTGAAGGGACTCAATTACAGCTTCGTCTTGAAGATCGGTCGTCACATTCAACTCTGAAATATAGGTTGCAAGTTCAGGGTTCACAGTTATTGATTCCACAAGTGTCCGAAGCCTAGCATCTATCATACGGTAATGGTGACCAGGAGCTAGTTTGGCATTGCTAAAACCACAAATTACCGTCTGGGTGGCATCAATGAAGTCATTCTGACGATGACATGTGGACTGTAAAACAGGTTCAATTCGAACAGTTAACCGTTTATAAAGCTTTCTGCAACACGGCTGGTAGAATTGGTAGTTGGTTTGTGCCAAAGAAAGGAGGTCTTGTTGAGGAAGAAGGTCTAAAATGCGTGCAAGAATGTTTTGTGGAAGCAGCTCGAGTGGCATTAAAGTGTTGGGTGCGCATTGAATTATGGTTTTGAGAGTATCGAGAAGACAGCAAGATAGAAAAATACGAAAAAGAAAAGTTACGATATAGAAAAGGATACAGAAAGAAACAGGTACAAAACTGAACAAATTAGAACAAATAAACTGAATAAGACAACATATTTCAGTAAATCTAAAGTTGACCAGTCAGTATCTTAGTTACTTCTATTCCTTCGTTTCTAATTCTTCTCCCTTTTTCGTATCTTGAGCCCTTCCTTCGTTTCCTACACCGTCTTTATCCTCATTTATTACCTATACAACTTCATGCATTACTCGTCCTTGATGCCGAGAATAGCCCGTCCAGTGTAGTACAATGGAAAAACAGTGCTCACAGTGAACAAAGCATAGAATGGGAACACCACAAACTTGGAGTGCTTTCCGCGCAACCACAAACGTTTGTCCGAGGATTGGTAGAGCTTTTGCAATTCGATGATTCTCTGTGGGTTCATGGTGATGTTAATCAGTTCATTTTTTGCGCTCGTCGATTGGCCCAAGACCGCTTACGTAAAGAACACGTGACCATACTAATACCAGGCAAAGGTGGTGCTAGTCCAGGTCCAGGTCGACTTGGATGACCCGCGGCCTTCGCACGATCAATTCGTCTGTGTCTTCCGAGTCGTTTTCATGGCTTTCGTCGTCGTAATCGTCAAAATTGGAATTATGAAATTGGTCGAGTGCTCGTTCAAGATCGCCTCGATCTGACCCCGGATCTTCTTCGCCGCTTTCAAACCCGTGCCACTCGTCGCTATCGCTTCGTAGATCGTTGTTGATGTCCGAGAGCTCGCGGGCGTCCAAAAAACTGTCTTCTGTATCGTATTCATTGGGTCCATCGAGATCTTCATCCTGTCCATGGATCACTATTTCTTCATCATCTTCGTTGTAAGCGTCGCCGTCGTCTGAATCAAAGTAGTCGTCGTCGCGTGGCACGCGGAATTGAGCACCGCAGAACAAACATCGGCTACCGTGGGCTTCCCAATGGCAATTTCCACAACGCGGAACCCCATCGGACCGGTCTATGAGTGTCAATGCTGACTCAAAAGCGTCTCCAAATAGCTTTTTTCGGGTACTATCGTGCTTATAGCTGGCAGTGGCTTCGTCTCGTTGAGCTTTTATGGTGGCAGCGTCTTTTCCCAACGCTATCAATCCATCGCTGATGCTATGGCTGATCTCTTGAAGCTGAACATTTAGGATTGGTGGATGTTCCAAGTTTTGTCGACACGTAGGACAGTTCACCTTGTTGGTAAACCAGCTACAAAGGCACCCGTAACAGAAGGAATGGCCACAACTGGCTAAAAATGGTACATGCATGATCTCTGAACAAACGGCACATTCTACCGTTCTTTGAGCCTGGGCTATGATCCCCACTAACATTTTGGGGTCCTGAGTTAGTATAGCTCAAAAAGTACTGGAGCAAATAGACTGGAGGCGGGATGTGGATACTTACCATATCATCCCATATTCGGAGGTATTCATCTAGAGAAGTCATGGCAAGCGATATGAAGAGGTGCGGGTTGTATTGGGTTATATACAGGAGATGGAAAAGAGATGGAGACAATGACGATCCAACACTATCATGATATCTTTCTTCCTTTCTTCATTCTAGTTCTTTCGTGGGTCTGCCATCCATGTAGTGAGCCATTGGAACATTTCGTGTACCTTGGCATTGACTTCAATCTTATCATGATCGAGACGTATTCTTATATCTCCAAGTAGACCTCGAAGTGACGAAAGTGCACGATTTCCGTCATCCAGTTTCACTCCACAGTTGGGCTCATCCAGTTTGTCACAGTTCTTCTGTTTTTCCAGTTTGAGCCTTCTCACAAGATCCTTCTCTATGAATTGACACTGCTTGTACAAGTATGGACTGAGTACCACCTCGTCAATTGGAAAGCTGTTGATGGTATCTATCATGCGAGAGTAATGGCCTTGTTTCAAATAGTTGCGTAACTGAAGATTGAGCAATACCATATGGGTGCGATCGTTCATTTCTGTGATTCTCATGGAGTTCAAGAGCTTATTGTTGGTACGATACAACGACTTGTTCAAAAGCATTCGTCCGAGCATGATGATATTATTGGAATTGAGTTCTTCGAATGGCTGTGCTTTCACGTAGCTTTCAAGCATAGACTTGTCTTTAGTCAATTGCAAATTAAGTATGGCGAGCTTGTCGTAGTCATGAACAGGGAACCTCATGGCTTTCAAGTATTGCAATATCTTGGCACGATTTTGTGGATTCAGTCTTCTGAACGTCGTTTCAATCACTTTGTAGTCGGGCTTCACTCCTTTACGCATAACATCTCGGAAACCACGACCAATTCTGAAATCAACCTGAATCGCAGCACTTTGGCGCTTTCCATGGACGGTAGGCTTCCACTCAATACGTTTCCAGTTTGAAGATTCATATTTGCGACTATCAAAGCTTGGCGGTTCCAAGCAGTATGGGGTGAGCTGAGAGTCCAAGCGTTTTACTTGAAGTGCTTTCAAAATGTGGCTCAACGACAAAGGTGAAAAATACCCACTCAGACGTACAAATTGCTGAAATTGCTCGGCGAATTCTTGCGCATGGTAAGGATAAGTCTTGACGAACGAGGCAAACAAGTCCTTCAAATAGGTGGCATCGAAGCTGGCATCGGACTTTTGAAGGTAATCCAACAATGGTAGAAATTGGTCATGACGCACAAAGTATTTGCTAATAACCTTATGGATGGCGTCATCGTGTAGAAAATCTTTTTGCAATTTGGAAATGAAGCTTTGTACCATAGCCAAGTTTGAAAATTTCGAGAAAAATAACACCATCAGGTGAAAAAAGTACTTTACTTCTGCTGGATCGCCAGACTCTTTTGCACATTGAAGGATACTCTCCGCCGTTGCAAGGTCTTGGTTTGTGATGGTTTTTTTGAAATGGGTGGGCTCTCTCATGATAATGGAGGATTGTAGGTCCGCGAGGCGAACATGCATGTTGTTTTCGAGGCCACATTTGAAAATGACATTTCTCAAAGATACAATTTCTTCTTCGTCGCCATACTTGGCGTATTCATGAATCAAGATTGCCATAGTCTTTGGGGTGGGAATTCCACACAGAGATCTTAACCATGACTGAAAAACGTGAACAACGTTTTCAAAAAGCGCCAGCACAGATACAAGTTGGGAAACCACCACTTCCAACACTATGGGATCCACTTGTCTGCCAAGCGTCAACAAGTTAGAAAACAAGCCCTTGGTGAACTCAACCTCGTAGTTTTGGATCAACGAAGTGAAAACGTAGCTCAATGTGGTGGCATCGTAGGTCTCATGGTTCAAGTAGGTGAATAGCAACTGTTGAAGTTTATCCATGTCATTTTGATGGTAGCATATTTGCACGTAAATTTCTTGGAAATCCTTATTTCCAAACAGTTTGGGCTCGTAGAGTTGGCAGATCTCGTACAAAATCGGTATTCGTGTTCTGAGCTTCACATAGTAAGGAGTGAAAAAATTGAGATGGGGGTCTTTCTCACTTAATGACGGTTCAGGATACTTTTCCAAAGTGAGTTTATGGTCCTCCGGTTTCAAGCACCCTTTTATAATGGCCACTAGCAGCTCGGTGTCTATGTATTGGTCGCGGTCAGCATGCAGTTTAAAGTTAGATGCAATTTCTTGTAGGTTGTTCGTTTCAACGAGTTTGAATAATTTTGACTTGAATGCAGATTCTGAAAATGATTTGTGTTTTGCCAGGACATCTTCCCAGCTCTCCTGGTGGTCCACAGGATTTCTAAATGCCATAGAAGAGGCAGGAAGTGCTACCCATTTTTGGGTTGATTGGTTCTGTTCATATTGACGATCCAGAGTCTCAGTTAGCTGAGTTATGATCTTTGCGGGAATTTCCTTGGATGCATTTTTGAACCATTGGGAATACGACGCTTCCAAAAGCTGTGAATTGGTACAGAAAGGGTGATTTGATGACTGGAAAGTGGGTCGAAGGTTGACGGCTCTGTAGTTCTTAATATTGAATTTTAGATTCCGAAGCGTGTTAGATAGCGGGAACCGTCGCATTTTGTAACGACGTTCTATGTGTGTATAACAAGCGAGCCAACCGGTTAGCGGGACAACATGTGACGAAAAACGATGATATTGCTTCGGAGCTTCTATGAGTGGCTGTTTCTGGCGATTAAAATTTGTCGCGATATACAGGATGGTGCGATTCTGGGCAATGAAGACGAGAGAGAATGGTCAAGTCGTTACTTCAAAAGGGCTTACAGAGCTCTTGATGTTGTAGTGGGTGAAGAAAGCAGAGGAAGAGAAGCAGTTTATTCGGTTATCGTTGAAAATTGTGGAAATACATTTTCTTGAAAATTGCATAAACCTCAAAATTTTTATTCATCAGTATAGCTAGCCATTCTTAGTCACTCTCGACTTGACCAGACTTGACCAGATTCACCCAAGAATCAACCCTCTTAACTATCACTCTTCTTGCTACTCTTTTCCTCTTCTACTAGTAGTTCAGTGCTCGTTTACCTGCAGGAAGACCGCGGCTTACCCCAGAACCCCACTCACACAGCTAACACTCTTACTATCATGAGTGGATGGCAAAATCGGCTTGGTCCTCAAGGAAGGGCACTTCTCAACGGTAGAAGAATAGCTGCTACACATTCTGGACCCTCGTTTGAGCCTTCTTATTCCTCGGTTCATCCGCAAGATTTGGACTTTTTGGTCAACGATTTGAGAAACCCTCCAAAAGATATCACTGTTCGCCATATTTTGAGCTACTTGTACCAGTATGTTCCGTATGTGAAGAAACAGCACAATCTCCGAGTAATAATCTCTAGCTTTCTCAACAATCCCTTGTGTTTTGGTCCACTGGCAGACTTTGAAAATAACTACTTGATTATCGAGGTGTTCAAGTTGATCACCGATACTAAATTAAAAGTTTCACGACCCACGTTGAGTGTTAAGGACTGGTATATCATTGTGGCACGAGAACTTACCAACTTTGTCTCATATTCACCTCAAGAAAATGGATGGAAAGTGCTTCCTATCATTGCTGGTATCTGCCTCTCCAACAAATTGAGAGACGAATTGTATACCCATGCTAACGTTTTGCAGTACAAATGGTTCTTCAAGGAGTGGGATGACCGTATGCATACTCTTTTCAGGAAATCTTTGGATTATTCCCTTTCTTCGTCGCTTCCTGCGACGATCACCAATTTGAGTCTAATTTGTCTTGCAGTAAAGTACAACAAAGACGAGAATGTGAAACGATACATCCACAAGGAGCGAATTCCATACATTGTAGCGGGGTTGTCTGAGCTCATCTTGACGAATACGAGCGTATATCAGAGGTTTTTTGAGGTTGACCCATCGCTGGATTGCGAGCAATTCATCCAAGCAGAAATCTTGCAGAAGCCCGTTCCAAAAAATCTCAACCGCCTTTCGTTCCTTTTAGAAAACTGCCTCAGCGAACTTTCGATCAACGACGGCTGTAATGACTTGATAATTCAGGTTCTAGACAACATAATCTCCTTCAACAGGACCCTCAATCATTTGACCCGAAACTCTCAGTTCAATCAACCTCCACCTCCTAGTTCTGGAGAGTCTGGTCCACACGAGCAATTTTGGTTCCACATGAAGACAATTCTTTTTGGCCAGATCCTAATCTTTCAAGGTATTTTGAACAGATTCTTAAAGTCTAGCACTGATAGTGGTCTCACCTTCTTTGCTAACCCATTTAAAAGACATGTGCCATACTTAGTGGAAAGAGAATATCGTGAGATCTCCTTAAAGATATTGCAAAACCTATACTACATAAACCACATTCTAGTTTCCATTGGTCAGGGTGGCTTTGATAGTTACAATTTCGTATATTACTTGTCTCTTGAGTTGGCACTCAGCGAGGACCTGTCAACAAGAAGATTTGAACACATGACTCGGACTATGATAAGTCATTATGAAGAGATCAACTCCAATCCCCACGTTCTCAATCGAGACTATGTTGCAAGAGCAAAAGTTCTTTTTGTGTTCGGATTATGGGAGAACTATTTGCAACAGAACAAGAAAAACGATGGATACATCCATGAGGTGATTTACGACACAACGTTTCATCTCGTGCGAGCAGACTTGTATAATGACCACGCAATGATCGAAGCTGGACACTCGGTGCTATTGAATTATTTCTCCTACAAGAGGGAAGTGGTAGACATCAACGAATCGCTCAAATATGTGAAGTTACTTTTTCTGCAATTTCCTTCGATTCTTTCTTCGAACCAATTGAGCATTGCTATCGAGACTCTAGGGAAGAAGGTTCTTTCTCGTCCGGTGGTATATAAAGACGGCCCGTTCAGAAATTCGGTGGAAGAGTTTCTTTGGTTTTTGTTAGATGAATGCAGTGCAACACCGTCTGGTATGCCGGTAATCTCTAAAGACAATGCCTTTTCATCGGCTCAGCCTGTATCCGAGATAGACGCAGCATCTACCATGAGCCATATCGACGAGAAATCAAGCCCATCGACTGACATAATTGACCAGAATAAGAAGAAGAAACCGAAAGATAGAGTCAAGTATGCATTTCTTCCTCCAAAGACAAAGCACCGACCCACACACCGCACAGTTTCCGAAACCTCTCGCGAGGCTCTTATATCGTCATTCATCAACTTGGTTCCCTACTTTCCACTCTCTAGTTTCACATTTTGGTTAGACGAAATCAAGAAGCAAATCGACGTGAGTAATGGACCAGAAAAAGAGTACCTCACAGGTGTTTTATGGAAAGTTTTGAGCGAAAATTTGGACTTGAATCGGTGTGCGATCGCATTCGAGTGGTGGTATGAAGGTGTTAGAGCCGTGGAAAGGCCCGAGATGGAAGTAAAGTTGTAGGATATGGGTATAGGAAATCGTTAGTATGCAGTACAAATATATTCAAGCGATGAGCGCGATGAGGTCGAAGGAAGCGACATAAAATGGCTAGGAAAAAGTCTGCGGCAAAAAGAGCCAAGGAAGAGGCTGAAAAGAAGACTTTGGAGTCCAACGAGAACAAGGAGGTGCAATCAAGTAGCAAGGATGAAAATCGGGTTCAAATCGTAGACAATCTGGAATCAGAGGACGAGAGCTCATCAGAGGAGGAAGATGAATACGGAGAATTGATAACTGAGGATGTGGAGCAAGGCATCAATAAGGTTCTCGAGGCTATTAGAAGCGACCCCAAGCGTTTGCTTGATGAAAAAGTCAAGTTTTTTGACGAAAATATTGAACAAAATGGCACCACTGAGAAGAAAGAGAAGCCCATGTATTTGAAAGATTATCATAGAATGAACTTGCTCAGCGGAGGATATAAGGGCGCTGATGAAGACGAAAATGAATATGGCACCGTCGATGGAGAGAAGCCATTCGTGGTTGCGGAAAGAGAGGAAAGAAACCAACTTTTGTCTGATATAAAAAATGCTGTTGAGGATGGAAGTGATGATGATGACGACGATTTCTTGGTCAAGAAGGGAAATAAGGAAGACGATGAAGAAGATATACATGTTACCAAGTTGCCAGATGCATCCAACCAAGAAGAATTTCTCAAATCGTTTTTTGATCAGCAAGCGTGGATTCCTAGAAAGAAAGACAAGGTTATAAATTTGGACAAAATTGACCAGCAAGATGAAGAAGAATTTGACGAAGCGGTTGAGAAAGTGGAGCACGCATACAATTTCCGTTATGAGGAAGAAAACTCGGCTGAAATTCTTTCGTATGCTCGTAGTCAAGCAACATTACGGAGATCAAAAACCAACTCAAGAAAAAGACAGCGAGAAAAGAGGCAAGAAGAAAGGGCCCAAGAAGAGGCAGAGAAGCAGGAAGAGCTCAAGAAGCGGAAAATCGCCAAGGCCAATAAGGTGATGGACAGGTTGGCTCAGATCAAAGAAGCGGTTGGAGAAGAGGTTTCAGACGAGGTAATTGAGAAGGTGTTTGGTGACTCGTTGCTCAAGGATGATTTTGACGATGCTGAATGGGACAACAAGATGGCAGAGATTTTTAATGAACAGTATTATGGGTCTGAATTGAAAAAGCCCGAATGGGACGAAGACGACGAAATAATGGCTGAGTATCATGAAAACGAAGAGGAGAAAGAAGAGGAAGAGGAAGAGGAAGAGGAAGATGAAAGTCCCGAATCCAAAGTTTCAGAAAAGGACGACGAGCCATCCAAAAAGCATAAAAAAGACAAAAAATCAGACAAGAAAAAGGCAAAGCAAGAGAAGAAAACGTTGAAGGAAAAGGCATTGAGTATAGTAGAGTCGAATGCGACTCAGATTCTCGACGAGATAGAAGAGGAGAGAGGTCGCCTGAAAAATGATGAGGTCAAATTCAAGTATCGTGAGGTTTCACCAGAAACCTTTGGACTTACCACGAGGGACATTCTTGTTGCTGATGATAGTCAATTGAACAATTACATTGGTCTCAAGAAGTTTGCACCTTATAGACCCAAGGAATTGCGGATGAGAGACAAGAGAAAGTACACCAAGAAGAAACAACTTCAGCAGTGGAGAAAAGAGGTGCTTCGAGGAAAACATGATATCAAAGGAGACGAGAGTGAGATATGGATACCGAGGGAAGATAAGCCCAAAAGTAAAAAGAGGAAGTGATTCAGAAGCGGTGTTAGATAGGAGTTGTACCAGCGGTGTAAGATTAATGTATCTTACAAATCATCATTTGAGTCCTTTGCGAGATTGTGTTCGGACTGGTAAGTCTCAGTCGGAACGTTACTTCATGCGATTTATAATTGTATGAGATTATGCTTATGTCTGTCAATTTGACATATTAACTTCTTACCCATTTTTTCCTTTTTACATCTTTACACGAAAACATTTTGATCGGTATTAAATTAAGCTCTTGAAGGTTAGTTAAATTTAATGTCATTCTTTGTTTAGCTTTAAATCAAAATTCACTAAAGTAAGCTCTGTTTTAGTATTCTATCATAGATGTTCCACGAAAATCAAAGAAGTATCCAACCTTGTGCCTGGGTCTGCATTTGCAGAAAGCTGTAGTACGTGTGTCTACAATGAAACTACTTCGTTGGTATCTAAAGAGCAAATGTTACTTTCATATAGAAAAAGAAGCAATGCAGATTCAGGTCTTCAAACAGAATATTCATCAGAAGTATCATGGTTCGACACTACACGGCACCTCGAAACAACGAGACTTGATGAGAGCAAGCTCCATCTTGCAACAGATTTTGAAAGAGAAAACAATAGTATTTTAAGATATAGGATGACCCAAATGCTACCTAAAGGAATAACATTTGATTGGCAGACTGAATCATTTCCTGTTCACCAGGAGTGTTCACTTTAACTTTCACCGGTGAAAGCCCAAACTCTTGCATGCCCTCGTCTCCGCCGGCCGCCAAAACGTCGTCGATATCTGCCCTCCCAATGTGAGTAGTCTCACCTGGTCCTTGCGGGAACCCTGGAAAATCCGGTGGAGTTGAACCTTTCAAAAAAGTCTCTCTCTGCTCGAAGACATAGTTGAGATTGATTTCACACAAGGGAGAAGAAGGAATGAACAATACTGAAGAGTCTTTCACTCCCTGGTGAATAGGATCCACCATGTGGATCAAGTCACAATGCCAGAAAACGGCATCGCCTGCTTCGACAGTAGGAGTTGGAATCATCAAATCACCGAGCGATAATTCAGGGTGCGTTTCATCATTGAACTCCTGACTCATTCCGGGAAAAGCACCAGGGAAAGTTGGATCGAAATTGATGTTATCATCGGAATCGAAAAATGGCCTCAAGATCCAGTACGCCGTGATTTCCTTAACTAATGGAGCAAACAGAATGGTACCATCTCCCGGTGCGATTTGTGATAACGCTAACCACCCTTGAAAAGATCTGAAAATATTGCAGGCGCCGGAAGAATCATAACGTTCCATATTCGTGTTAACTCTATGAGTCGCATCAAATGGATCAAAATCCTCCCACTTTCCTTCAAAGATTGACTTGTAACACTGACTATACTCCTCATCCTCCCATCTTTCTAAAGAACCTCCATCTGCGTGTGGTCCCAAATTGAAAGTTTCATCTTGAGGCTCTCTTATATGGACTCTGTCCGCATACGAAAGATTCCACTCAAAGGAAATTCTTGTATCCGGCGAAGCATTCCACAAGCCGTTCAAGAACTTCATAGTCTTCAACATGTGTGAGTGTAATCTAGCCTTAATTTGAGGTTTCGGCCAATACAACTCATAAACAACTTTCCTTTCCAGAGGAAACCCTCTTGTTTGTGGGTTAGCCAGGATATAGTTGCGCAATTCTGCATCCCAAGAGTTTGCTTCTTGCTTAGGAACAACTCCCTTGATCACCACAACGCCTCGTTTATGAATTTCGGCCCTTTTTTCGTCACTCAACTGGTCCAATTCTTCAAAATTCAATTGAGGAATCGCACCTTCACCTAGTTCTTTAATCTCTTGGATCCCATCCTTTAATGCTTTCTTTACTCTGATCCAACTTTCCTTGAGAGAATCCGGATCTCTCACAATAGCTTTTTTGATATCACTGAACCTGCCATCCAATGGTTTTGATGTTTGCGTAAATGAATCAAAAACTGAAGAAATGTCTCCGTCAGGTCTTACCCTCGCTTGGGAGAGGTCACAAATTCGGTATTTAGAGTCACAGTTGGCCATATCAGAATAGAGTATAACACGAGTGGAGGCATCTCATTCCACAGTCGCTTTTATAGCATGGTTCTAGTAGAAACTGTGTACCAACACCTTGTTCTCCAATTCTGTCAAGCTGGTAACCCGCCCATTTATCGGACGGATTACCACTTGCGGTACCTTCCCCTCCAACAATTGAACTAGTCTTTAGTGCTACCGCACACTATTCACGGTAGGTATACTGTTTCAGGCTCGGTAGCACTTTTCTGTCGGGGTAATGCATCGTATTCTTCGCCGTAATGTGATCTACACCAGACTCCTCTGTGAGGGGAAAAGCGTAACTCATTTTGGAAATCCGCCCGTCAAGTGAATGTTGGAAATTTTATGGGGGTATATGTGTATAATTATCCTCTAATTGGCGGGACAATTACTTGACCACTTATGATTAGCTCCAATAATATCAAAAAACCAAGATTCATTTTGGGTTACTTGGCCGTTTCATATGTCTTGCCATTTATCATATCTTACAGGAAATCTGCAATACCAGGTGTGCCTACCTATAGGAAAAGGTAGTGAATACTAGGTCAAAACTCATCAGGCTTTCCCATATGTTGAATGACTGATGTACGTGACAAGGTATTATTGAGAATATCGAAAACGACGAGATCAACGCGGCTGCGAAATTGGAACTTGCAATCAGTGCGATTTCACGAATTTCTGATTCTTGCAGAATTAACATGTTACAACTTTCAGCTAGTATATGCTTAGTGTCTCAAACTCATTGCTTTGGTCAGTTGACTAGTATCTCGTTACTAGTACTATTAGAATAGAAAGTATCTGTAACTTCAACTAGTTTCTATTGTACTCCTAAAGTACAACAGCATAATATTATTAGTGCATTGTTCGTTGTCCCAAATAGAGTTACTGTATTAAGCTCAATTCTTCCTTTAGACCGATTGACGCCACCAGCCTCGAAAGTTCCGAACACAATACAGCCAGTTTCGGAACATAAATATCATACGTTTCGGGTTTTAGTGGCATCCGAACCGATAGCGAAAGTCGCGGCGAACCGACGGAGATAATGTGGAACTGTTGTGCTCGCTAAAACATACCGTCATGATTAGTAATTTCAACAACCACAGTTGGTTAGATCATATAGGGTTCCGGAGGTTACTTAGTATCCGAAGGGCAGCGCTTACGCTAACATAATTTGACGTGAGATCTCCGTAATCTCCGTGCGAGAAATGAAAAATGAAAAATGATAAGAAATGAGTAATGAAGAGCAATACATGCAAATTGTAATGGAAGTATTAACCGTGGTATGCAAACCGTGGTATGCAAGGATCAAGTAGAAAGTATTCAGTATACTAAATCATATACTAATCTACAAATTAATTGGCTTTGAGGCTTAGCCACTCGGGTTCGGAAGATCCAACGGCCCTGACGTCTTTTTATAATCTTCAGCCTCACACATTTTGCGCGGTATGCGCACCTTCCGAAGTTCCGTAAACACTTTGCACCCAAGGAGTTTGCGCGCGGACATACCACCTGCAGGACAGCGATGGTCTTGGCTTTGGCTAGCCCATAATAGGCACTAGGAATGGCCATTGCAGGAGTGGTGAAACACGTGGTGGATACTATGTGGACCATGTTGATGATCGTAGTCAAAGAAGAACCAAAAAATTGGATTAGTTATCAGTCTTATGGTTCTCGTCTATGGGACCCCCACCAAATACGTCTCATCGAAAGAAGGCTTGACTGCGCCGCATTATTATGCATGTTGTGTACGCATCCGCACTAAACCTAAACAAATTGCTTTTACGGCATCCAGCCACCCGCACTTAACAAGCCATCGGCTTTCGGAACTTATGGGGTTCCGCTGATTGCAATTTTCTTTTGCTTCGTATTTCACGGAACGATTACTCAGTTTGCGTTGCATTTAAAAGTAGCGCCACTCCCGCAATTTCAATAATTATTTCTTGCACTTGTTCATCTTCTAACAAATATATCTGTCAATTGCAGGTATATACCATCCTGCGATTGCTTTGACACACTTATCAGATCTTGAATTTTCAATAAAACTACAAGTGCTAGAAAAGGATGTCACAGAGCGAAGAGTACAAGGATTCCAGGTACTCGGATGCTGCTTCGTCCAACAATGAGGTAGAGGAGTATCAGGGTTTTGATGATGCTGCTGATAAGTCGATTAGAGAATTGGCTCGTACCATCACCAATACCAGTATTAACATGTCCAAAACAAAAAGCAGTGAGGACCTTATTAGATACTTGAGTCATATGTCCCAGGTTCCTGGTGTTGAACCCTACAATCATGAAGAAATTGAGGAAAGTCTCAACCCAGAATCTGATATGTTTAATGCTAAATTCTGGGTGAAAAATGTTAGAAAGTTGCTTGATTCCGACCCAGATTATTACAAGCCCACATCGTTGGGAGTGGCTTACCGTGACTTGAGAGCCTATGGTATTGCTACTGACTCCGATTACCAACCCACCGTTACATCTGCTTTGTTCAAGCTTGGTAAGGATTATATCAGATCGTTGAGAAAGCAAGATCCTTCGATCTACTTTGATATCTTGAAGAGTATGGACGCTATAATGAAGCCTGGTGAAGTCACAGTTGTTCTTGGTAGACCTGGTTCGGGTTGTTCCACCTTGTTGAAGACAATTGCTGCTCATACCTACGGTTTCCATATTGGAGAAGAGAGTAAAATCACCTACGATGGTTTGACCATGAAGGATATCGAAAAAAATTTCCGTGGTGATGTGATCTACTCGGCAGAAACCGATGTTCATTTTCCTCATTTGTCTGTGGGAGATACTTTGGAGTTTGCTGCTCGTTTGAGAACTCCCCAGAATAGAGGTAATGTCGATAGAGAAACCTATGCTAAGCACATGGCTAGCGTCTACATGGCCACCTACGGATTGTCCCACACTCGTAACACTCACGTTGGTAACGATTTTATAAGAGGTGTCTCGGGTGGTGAACGTAAGCGTGTGTCGATTGCCGAGGTTTCTTTGAGTGGTGCTAACTTACAATGTTGGGATAACGCTACCAGAGGTTTGGACTCTGCCACAGCTCTTGAATTTATCAGAGCATTGAAGACTTCTGCCACCATTCTTGACTCTACACCTTTGATTGCCCATTTATCAATGTTCGCAAGACGCTTACGAATTTGTTCGACAATGTGGTTGTGTTGTATGAAGGTAGACAAATTTTCTTTGGTAAGGCAGATGTTGCAAAGAGCTACTTTATGGAAATGGGATACGATTGTCCTCAACGTCAAACCACTGCTGATTACTTGACATCATTGACCAATCCTGAAGAAAGAGTGGTGTTCTCAGGTTACGAAGACAAGGTTCCAAGAACCTCAGTAGAGTTTGAGGAATACTGGAAAAAGTCTCCACAATACGCTGCTTTGATCAAAGAAATTGATGAACACATGGCTAATGTTGAAGGTAACAACCATAAAGAGCTGTACCACAACTCGCATGTTGCCAGACAATCTAATCACCTTTCTCCAAGATCTCCTTACACTGTTTCTTTCTTTATGCAAACTAGATACATTATGCAAAGAAACATCATGAGATTCAAAGGTGATCCTTCGATTCCTATTTTCTCCGTCTTTGGTCAGTTGGTTATGGGTTTGATTCTTTCTTCCGTGTTCTACAATCTTAACCAAACTACTTCCTCCTTTTACTACCGTGGTGCCGCTATGTTCTTCGCTGTGTTGTTTAATGCCTTTGCTTCCTTGCTTGAGATCATGTCTCTTTTCGAGGCTAGACCCATCGTCGAGAAGCATAAGCAATATGCATTATACCGTCCAGCTGCAGATGCTCTAGCGAGTATTATTACCGAGTTGCCTGTGAAGTTGACGATGTCCATGTCATTCAACTTTGTCTTTTACTTTATGGTCAACTTTAGACGGAACCCAGGTCGTTTCTTCTTCTACTGGTTAATGTGTGGTGTTTGTACCTTGGTTATGTCTCATATGTTCCGTTCTTTGGGTGCCGTTTCCACTTCTTTGGCAGGAGCTATGACTCCAGCAACTGTCATTTTGTTAGCCATGGTTATCTACACTGGGTTTTGTCATTCCTACCCCTAAAATGTTGGGATGGAGTAGATGGATCAATTACATCAATCCTGTCGGTTATGTTTTCGAAGCATTGATGGCTAACGAGTTCAGTGAACGTGCTTTTGACTGTGCTCAGTTATGTTCCTTCAGGTGGAGCGTACGATAGTGTATCATTTGCAAAAAAAGGGTTTGTAATACTGTTGGACTGCGTGCTGGTTTGACTATCGTGCAAGGAACTGATTACATTGCTGAACAATATGAATACTATAACAGTCACAAGTGGAGAAACTTTGGTATTGCTGTTGCATTTGCAATTGTCTTTTTGCTTGTCTACATCTTGTTGACTGAGATTAACAAGGGTGCTATGCAGAAGGGTGAAGTCGTTTTGTTCTTGAGAGGATCCTTGAAGAAACACAAGAGAGAGAACGCTGCTAAAGCTAGCCATGCTAAAGATATTGAGGCTGCTCCAACCAACGAAAAGGTGGAGATGAAGGATCACTTGGACTCCCAGAAGTACAGTACTGACCACTCTTCTTCCGACATTTTGCCAGAAAACGGCAACATTTTCCATTGGAGAAATCTCACCTACGAAGTCAAAATCAAGTCTGAAACCAGAGTGATTTTGAATCAAGTTGACGGATGGGTCAAGCCTGGTCAGTTGACTGCGTTGATGGGATCTTCTGGAGCTGGTAAGACCACTCTTTTGAACTGTTTGTCCGAACGTGTTACCACTGGTGTTATTTCTGATGGTACCAGAATGGTGAATGGCCACTCATTGGACTCTTCGTTCCAGAGATCCATTGGTTATGTTCAACAACAAGATTTGCACTTGCCAACATCCACAGTCCGTGAAGCTTTGCGATTCTCTGCCTACTTGAGACAACCAAATTCTGTTTCCAAAGCTGAAAAGAGCGATTATGTGGAGTACATTATCGATTTGTTGGATATGACCACCTATGCTGACGCTTTAGTTGGTGTTGCTGGTGAAGGTTTGAATGTGGAGCAACGCAAACGTTTGACCATCGGTGTCGAGTTGGTTGCAAAGCCTAAATTGTTGTTGTTCTTGGATGAACCTACCTCTGGTCTTGATTCCCAAACTGCCTGGTCTATTTGTCAATTGATGAGAAAGCTTGCTGATCGTGGTCAAGCCATTTTGTGTACTATCCATCAGCCATCAGCTATTTTGTTGAAGGAATTTGACCGTTTGCTTTTCTTGCAAAAGGGTGGAAGAACAGTCTACTTTGGTGACTTGGGAGAAAACTGTTCGACTTTGATCAACTACTTTGAAAAGTACGGTGCTGATCCTTGTCCAAAGGAAGCAAATCCCGCCGAATGGATGTTGCAAGTTGTCGGTGCTGCTCCAGGTTCGCATGCCAAGCAAGACTACTATGAAGTTTGGAGAAACTCCACTGAATACAAGAAAGTCAACAGTGAATTGGACCGCATGGAAACTGAATTGTCCAAGCTTCCAAGAGACGAGTCTCCTGAAGCCCGCAAGTCGTATGCCGCTCCAATTTGGACCCAATATTGGTACGTCACCTGGAGAGTCATCATTCAAAACTGGAGAACTCCTGGCTACATCTACTCAAAATTGTTTTTGGCTCTCTCGTCCGCTTTATTCAATGGTTTCTCGTTTTTCAAGGCTAACAAGTCGATTCAAGGATTACAGAATCAAATGTTTGCGGTGTTCATGTACATGATTCCATTCAACACCTTGGTTCAACAAATGTTAACATACTTTGTGAGACAGAGAGAGGTTTATGAAGTGAGAGAAGCACCCTCTAAGACATTTAGTTGGTTCGCATTTATTACAGGTCAAATCACTTCTGAAATTCCTTTCCAAGTTGTTGTTGGTACCATAGCATTCTTCTGTTGGTACTACCCAGTTGGCCTTTATCAAAATGCTGTTCCTACTGACACTGTGAACGAACGTGGTGCCTTGATGTGGTTACTCTTGACATCTTTCTTCGTTTACACCTCCACCATGGGTCAATTGTGTATTTCTTTCATCGAACTTGCTGACAATGCCGCTAATCTTGCGACATTGTTGTTCACCATGTGTTTGAATTTCTGTGGTGTTTTGGCTACTCCCGAAGCCATGCCTGGATTCTGGATATTCATGTACAGATGTAACCCATTCACTTACTTGATCCAAGCTATTCTTTCCACAGGATTGGCCAACTCCGACGTGGTTTGTGCTAGGCAAGAACTTCTCCACTTTAAGCCAGCCAATGGCCAAAGTTGTAAGGATTACATGGCGCCCTACATCAAAAAGGCAGGAGGATACTTAGTTGACGGCGGATCGACATCCACGTGTCAATACTGTCCTATGTCTTCGACCAACACTTTTTTGAAGTCTATCAACGCTCTTTACAGCGAAAGATGGAGAAACTTTGGAATCTACATTGCATTTATTGCAATTAATATTCTTTTGACGATTTTCTTCTACTACTTGGCTAGAGTGCCTAAGGGTAACAGAGAAAAGAAGAAGAAGAAGAACTAAACAAATACCATTAATAGATTAAATGTATGCTTTTTAGATTGATTATACGGAAACTACTGCGGTTTCGCGACCCCACAAAATCTCGAGCCGAGCCGATAATTTTCGCACCCAATTCGCGCCGGGTCGGCACATGATATTCGGGTTAGAATAGCCGTATTATCATCGTTCAATCTTGGCTTCTGAATCTGTAAAAAGATCCAAGTATACTCCCACTGTATCTATGAGTGCCAAGGAACCCCCAGCACCAAGATCGCGAAGTCCAACCTACTCGTTGGCTTCCATCGATTCGCTGGTTGATGGCACCGCAAACCACAATATAAATGAAGATGGTCCACTTGGGCTTGAACAAGACATAGAAGCACAAAAGGAACGTCACTACACGGCCTCGAACGATGCTTTGGCCAGTCGCATTCAATCAGCACTTTCAACAAAGAGCAAAAGAGTGCCAGTAAAACAACGACGAGGTCTCTTGAGCTGGATTACCGTCATTCCAGAATACGAAGATGCTCGTGATTATCCTGACAACTTGAAGGCGGTGCTCGTGTTCATAATAGCTTTTGTGGCCACCACAGGTCCTATGGGCACATCAATCTTAATGCCGGCCATTGACGATGTCGTGAAAGACTTGGAAACCTCGGTTGCAATCGTAAATGTGTCGGTTGGTGTGTATTTATTGGCACTAGGGATCTTTCCCATGTGGTGGTCGACGTTCAGTGAAAGATTTGGCAGACGGAGTATCTACATTATCTCGTTTACCCTTTTTTGCTGCTTCTCTATTGGCGCTGCCCTATCTCCAACCGTCCAGGTATTGATCGGTTTTAGAGTGTTGTGTGGCATGGCGTCGTCCTCGGTCCAGGCAGTGGGTGCTGGAACGGTAGGCGACTTGTACTCGCAACATGAACGAGGCAGAGCCATGGGGGTGTTTTATTTGGGCCCATTAATGGGACCATTTCTCGCACCTATTTTGGGAGGTGCCGTGGCCCAAGCATGGGGCTGGCGAGCCACCCAGTGGTTATTGGTGATCTTCTCTGGTTGCAGTGCCGTATTTGTCATCTTTGGCTTGCCTGAAACCCTCCGAACTCAAGACTCTCTTACGGCAGTTCGAGACATGCTCGCCAAGCGTAACGAAGAAGAAACTTCAACTGACCAAGAAATCGAAACAGGAATTCCTGCCAACATCACAAACACTCCAGGAAACCATGATGTCGTCGATAAGCAGCTTCTGAGAAATATTTCACGAATGTCGGAAGAACTCTCTCGACACCAGTCGCTCAATGTTGACCATGACGCATTCGACGATGCTGTAACCGACACAGTCATGCCCACATTAACAAGACTCACGACTAGCAGGTCAACTTATTCACGAAGAATAGCCCAGGAAGTGTACCAGGATAAACTCGAAAGAATCAGCAACACACATAACAACAGCATTGCCCTGCCAGACCATGAGAAAATGACATGGAAAGACGTTCAAACCGCTACCTATGATGTTCTTATACGTCCTCTTCATGCTCTTGTGCTTCTCACTTATCCGCCTGTCTTTCTTGTCATCACCTATTCAGCAATTTCTTTCGCTGTGGTATACTTCTTCAACATGACAATCACCTACGAATACGGTAGGCCGCCTTACAACTTTTCCACCATTATAGTGGGACTCATGTATATTCCCAACTCGGTAACATACGTTATGGCTTCTATAATTGGAGGAAGATGGAACGACAAGTTGTTGAGAGACTATGCAGACAAGCACGATGGTGAATTGGTTCCTGAGTCTCGTATATCTTGGAATGTTGTGGTTGCAGTGGTACTCTTTTTCCCAGCTTGTCTTATCTTTGGCTGGTGTCTCAGATATGGTGAACATTGGGTGACACCTTTAATAGGTACTGCCATTTTTGGGTTTGCTTCAATGTTAATTATCGGAACAACAGTTACATATTTGGTCGACACTTTACCAGGAAAAGGTGCAACTGGGGTTGCACTAAACAATTTGTGCAGACAAATCCTCGCTGCCATAGCCACATTTGTAGTGGAACCAGCACTTAGCACTATTGGACCGGGCATCTTATTGAGTATTCTCTTGGGCATCATGACACTTGCAGCAGTAACACTCGTGTACCTCAAAAGAAACGGACAATATTTTCGAGAACATTACGAATTGGCAAAGTATTATGACAAACTATAGTCCTATTTACCTTTCAATGCATTCCAAAACATCGTCAAAGAGAAAATCGATATTGACACCAACATCTTTTAGTTGGCTCAATTGTGGCTGCAAAACACCAAGAAACTTATCAAACAACTCTGTATCTTTCACCTTGTAGATTTTCTCCTCTGTTTCCAAGTCAGTCTTCTCATGGGCCAATAAGTTTCCATAAAGATGTTTCTTCACAATATCCACTAATCTCGAGACTTCTTCAATACACCAGTCGATCACTATACTAGAGTCAACTTTTCCTTGCTTATCCTTTCTTATGATTGGCACGATGCTTTGTTCGTAGTTGGTCACCACCCGTTTTAAAACCGACGAGTAGATGATAACCAAGTTTGACAAATAGTTTACAATGTCTAGTTTAGTGGAGCCTTGTACACCAACTATCGACCGCGATACGTTGGTCGAAAGGTAAGATGACATTGCCTGCAAGTAAAGATTGACTCCTTGGTCAAGCTCGTCAAAACTGGCAAATAATTCGATTATTTGCCCAATATCGTTTTGACCAAGCCGCGAAATATTATGATTCAAATCGAAAGCAAGGCATCGCTGAACATTGACTTTTCTGTTGTCAATTTTGATCTTAATAACGTCAATAAGAAGACGAAGTTCATCTGCAGAGGCTTTGGCTTCAGCATTTGTCTTGGAGTTGATGCTGTTTTCAACACTGACCAACTTCTGCTCAATATGGCGAATTAAGCCAACTGATTCTGTGTATTTGTTATGCGCCACTTCAATGTCGATCTCGTCCAACTTGTCTTCGATTTTCTTCAATTCGTTAAAATATTGGATTTTTTCTGTGTCCTTATTGTGGATCTTGTTGAAATCAAGAGAACGGTTTCTCGAATGTACACGCGAACTGATATCCTGCAAAACGACATCCATACTCTGCCTTTGCGAACTGCGTCGTTTGGTCTTTTCGTCGATACTCTCGGCGCTTTCATAATGTTTAAATGAATCTCTCAACTGTCTTTTCTCTTCATCGTGATCAACCTCTCCATCTAAATCGATGGACCTTCTGCTATCAAGCACCCGATCTCGTTGAAGCAACTCTTTCTTGCCTTTATTGTGAGCCTCTATTATCTTCTTGAAGTGGTCGAAACGATCGGTTTGAAATACATAACTGAGTGATTTTGCTTTCACGTTGACCAAATAAACCTTTTTATCGTCCTTTTCGCCACGATGCGACGAAGGTTTTGAAACTTCCGTCATACTGACTTCGTTTAATGGCCAGCAATGAGTAGCTTGTAATCTTGTTTTAGTACTTGAGCCCTCTTGCATGGCAGATGTCTTCTTCGTCGCTATCAATATGAGGTCATTAAGCACGACTATGTGTACTGTCTTTGTGGGCTTCCAATTACCTACATTGATCTCATGCCACCTCCCACTTTCGGTGAGAACATGACGGCCAGGAAGAGGTTGGATGAATTTTGAGGCACCCTCAACATGCTTGAAAAGCGATCTGAGTTCATTTTTCCACATTTTTTCCAACACCATGATAGAGGAACGATCTTTTCTACGAGACATAACCAGTAAGCCCTTCGAGGAAGCTGCTGAAATGGTACTGTTTGAAGACGCCGATGGAGCTGGCACCTCGTGTTCCAATTCTATTCGACGTTCTGCTGCTTCCTTAAAATCGTCAAGGATTTCATATAGTTCCTTGGTCGTGACTCGTAATTGCAAAAGCTCCTCCTTGGTGTCCTTGAGGTCGTTCGTGAGTTCTAAAATGTAGCGTTGGTTCTGATTGATATTGTTCTTAATTTCCTTCGTTAACACTGCCTTTTTCTGCTTAAGAATCTTATGAAAGTCATCAATTTCCTTTGCTGTACCGCTTCCAAGAATTTTGTATAACTGCTCTTCCGAATTTTCCTCTTTTTCCTCCACAAACAGAACCGCACCTGAATTATTCGTCATGGTCTTGGAAAGCTGAGGCAAAGGAGGTGCGCCATTCGCCTGCGAAAACGACTTCCTATGCGGCCCCGAGGCAGCTGCCAAAGCTGACGCATGGATACTAAGCCGACGGTTGTTTTTCCGAGCCGTGGCAGCGGGATCTTGCGCAGTTGAACTTCCATACGGCATGCTGGGCACCTGTAACAGATCATTTTCTACGGAAGTATTGGCATTAGCATAAGGATTTGCGGTCTTGTGAACTTGCAGAGCACGCTGCCAAGGCGCACGGCTCTTGCGGTATGCAGCTTTGACGTTAAATTCCATTGCCAGGTCGACTTGTTGTGCTGATGGAATATTGATCTGGGTGAGGTGCGAGGTGCGGTGTGTGGATGTGTGGTGCACCGATGTCCAATGGTGTCAAGCCAGCGATGGTCTCAAACAATTTTAAAGCGTCATGTCCATCACCAGTAATGAGTTGAACTACTTGGTGTGGCGGTATCTCGAGGAGTCGGGGCATGATTTGGCTGCGTATGCACTAAATAAGCTGTCTAGGTGCTCGGAGGTACAAGAATTGAAACCTATGGACAACGATGTCCAGCCTGGTTGTTTAGTAGAATTGGTTCAAAAAGGTATACTATATGGATTGGTGGAGAAAGATAGCAGAAAGGAAGCTGCTTTTAGCTTGTGGGGAGCCTTGGCTGAAAAGGAGCTAGCTCGACTAAATGGAACCACTATAGTGGAGACTCGAGTAAAGACTGATAATGAAGACATTGAAATGAACGGAGATGGAAATTCCACAAAAGAAGCAATTTCCAAGACCGAGAAGAAAGAGACAAAACCGGTCATAAACCTAGAACCGAAAGTGACTTTTGGCGAGACAATCTCTTGTCTGTGGCATCCACTAACTGAGGTGTTGGCGTATGGACAGAAAACCCTGACAGCCGTTATTAGTGCATTCAATGGCGACCAAATTGCCGAATCGGTAGAACTATGCCATCCGATTTTGTCTGATACAAAGCCCGAGATCAACGTTGTATCTTGGTCTCCACAAGGAACCGTAATAATATCCGCAGCCACAAATGGAGAACTTCGAGCGTGGCTGCCGGATGGTAAGCTCAAAAACATAGCCACTGTACCTGGCGGCGGAGACAGGACATTGTGTACTCTTTTGTGGAACACCAATGGTCAACACTTCATTTCCATCGATATGAACAACGAAGTGTGTTTATGGGACGGAAACCTCACATTGCTCCAGCAAATACAGCAGCCAGTTTCCTCTGGTGTAGCGACATCTTCCATTGAAGCATGCTGGTTAGACGACTTCAAATTCGCTGTAAGCTCCGGAAGAAGGTCGATTAAGATATACTCGGTTTTACCTGCCGGTTCGACCGCCGTAACCAAACCTATCGGCTCACTAGCTGGCCACGAAAACGGAGCCACCATGTTGAGTTTCGACCCGGTGTCGAGATATCTCGCATCTGCGTCCGACTACGACTACCTCATCAAGATATGGCACAGCAACTCGTCGCACGACGCTTTGACGTTGAACTCACCTGAGAGTCTGGTTGACCATCGCCATGGATCTCCTCTTGTGTGTCTTTCGTGGATCGCTCCCTATGTATTAATGAGTGTTCTGATGGAAGGCATAGTCAACATCTGGGATGCCAAGAGTGGTGAGAACAAGAGTAGCACCCGTCTTTTTGACGTGAACAGTGGTCGGCTACTTTTCAATGCACAACTCTCGCTCAACTCCAAGTTCTTGGCATGTGGTGATAACCATGGTCGAATAAGCATATGGGAGGTTTCCGATGAAGGACTAAGCCAACGCGGAGTATATGAAGCTCAGGTGGAAAAAGCATGTGTGTGTGATGTCAAATGGAACATTCATTCACGCAAGCTTTGTGTATCTTACAATAGTGGCCCCAGTGTAGTGTTGGACTGGGACGAAAGTTAGGCAGTAAGCCATGTACAATAGTGTATTAATATTAAATTTTACGACTCTTATTTCGTTGCCAGCGAAACAGCCAGTGTTACCAGCGACGCAACGTTCGACAACAAACTCAGCTTAGGGGCAGAGCCGGTGTTGGGAAAGAACAAGTCCAAGTAGCAGGTGAATAACGACACGATTGCGAACACAATTCTCAAAAATGGAGGCTGAGCGTCGGCTGGCTTTTCGCCATTGATGGGCTCATTCAAGTACGATTGGATAGCGAGAAACAACGATGCCCACGACAACAATTTGTTTCTCATGAACATGGCCGCCATGGGCAAAGATTGGGCAATCATCCCCGAAGCCTCTGTTCTTGGCTTTGCGGGTATATGCTTGTATCTGGGTTAGCACAGTTACAAAAACACCGAGAAAAAAGAACCAGGACTTACGGAACAACCAAATCTGAACGGACTACGTTGGAAGACATGGTGAGAATTGGCGAAATTGAAATAAAGTGCGCCTCTCTATCGGGAATATATGCAGGTGCACATTATGGCTGCAACTTTTCATGAACAATCGATGGGGTGTTTATAGGTCAATTGTGTCAATTTCGTGAAGGAGGTCTTGTTGGCCATAGTATATGCCAATTATGGCCACCAAATAAGCAAATGTGTACTTTGTAGTAGAGTCGAGTTGGTGGTTGGCTCTGGTGTAGATTCGGATAGCTTTTTTGGCAGTTTCTCGTAAGACAGCAGTCTCTGAGTAGTCTAATGGTGTGTCCAAGCGCACTAGAAGAGTGAATAGCCATAAGGAGAGGTTTGGAGAGGTTTTGGCACTGAGCCATTTAGTGGCATAGACAATAAGTTTCACCACGGAGGAGTGAGTAAGAGCCATGAAATAGGTATGTTCTGGTGGTTCCGAGCCCATAATGAGAGTTCTCCATTCCACAGAGGTGTCCGGATAAGTATAGGAGTTTTTTTGTTGTGACTGTTTCATATCAGTTTTCTGGTCCATAAATTTGTCCATCACCGTTTTGGCCCATATTTGAAATTTTTTATTAGATTCAGGTTTATCATTTGTAAGAGTCGAGCTTTTTGATATATTTCGGTCTCTTGTCGCAAATACCACAGTTTCATCACTCAATGCCTCTCGTCGAACTTCCTTCAAGTAGTTTGTCACATCAGAGTCACCCTCCATAGGGAGCACTGGATGCGACCCAAAAGCCTCATCTAACGGGCCCTGGGTATATTTTCCTATATTTGCATCGTCTTCTGATTCTCTGGCTCGCTTCAGGACTCCCGACCTTGCTTCGCCGATTCGTTTGCTCATACCTCCTCCTCTCTATCTTTGTCAAAACAGATGAAGAATCCTGCATTTGGCAGCGCGATGCCTCTCCAAATGCGAAATGGCAACGAATCTCACTTTATGGATGCAATTGCAGATCGGGTAGTGACCGACTTTGGGCACCCCGAAACATTTACGGATGACCCATCGCTTCTCACAGTGATCTTGGACTTGAATCCGCTAGGATGGTACAACATCAGAAACAGAACCACAGTAAAAGAGGTAACCAAGTCGTTGATCGTATTCATGAATGCCCATTTATCGTTGAACAATTCCAATAGAGTGGCCTTTCTCACAGCATCTCCTTCTGGGGCCCGCTTCTTGTACCCTAATACAATGTCAGATCAAAAGGATACCGCAAATACATTGGTAAATCGGGGTATGTATCGGCAGTTTCGAATTGTCGACGAAACCGTTTTACTGGAACTTAATAACGAGTTCCAAGCAGTAGCCCAATCTGAACTCACAGATTACAAGTCCACCGTATCGGGAGCATTGAGCTTGGCTCTCACGTATACCCATCGAATGCTCACCTTGGATGAGTCCATTTCCACCACCACTGCATCTGCCATCAGCACCTCCACCAATGTTGCCTCTAACTCGTCTGCTGCCGGAGCAGGCTCCACCGGTGCCAGCAACCTCATATCTATGAAGTCACGGATTCTTGTGGTTTCGCCCGATGATAATGACGATATTCGGTACATTCCAATAATGAACTCTATTTTTGCAGCGCAGAAAATGAAGGTTTCCATCGATGTGGTGAAACTCGGCTCCAAGGACGTATCGTACCTCCAGCAAGCAGCAGACGCTACCAATGGCGTTTATTTACACGTACAAAACCCCGAAGGTTTAATTCAGGTACTCTCTACGGCATATTTCATCGAGCCTTCACTCCGGCCATTGGTGGTGCTTCCCACCAATTCCAACGTCAACTACCGAGCGTCTTGCTTCGTTACCGGCAAATCCATAGACCTTGGTTTTGTCTGCTCCGTGTGTCTTTGCATCATGAGCATCATACCCGACCTGGGAAAGTGCCCCACTTGCCAGTCGGAATTCGACCCCAATATACTATCGCAGCTTCGACGGTCTCCGGCGGTTCTCCCCAGGAAAAAAAGAAAAGTTGACCCGCCCAATGGAACCCCAGCAGCCTAGCTTATTCCATGATCTATCACTCTAAACTGGAAGTCCCGGGGATAACCATGTTTATCGATCATATGTAGCCGTCGCTTCTGACGATCAATACACAATTTTTTGCACCCTGAACCATACTCGAGGCATCGATACACCTTCTGACCCTGCTCTTTCTTGATTTGAAAGAACGGATCGTGGTTTTCCTCGATGTGGACTTGCAAATAGGCATCGCTGGGAAATCTACGTTTACATTCGTTGCATTGATGGTAATGATATCCAAGTATATGAGCCTCATATTCATCCTGAGAGGAAAATTTTATGTTTTTCTGGTTGCAGTTGACGAAGGGACAAGGAAACGACTCGCTGAGAGTTCTCAGAGATTCATTATTGGACTCCTCATCTCTAGCTCTTTTCATGAATTTGATTTCGCAGCAGTTGCTCATCCTATGCAATGTGCACACCATAACTAAATATCAATGCAATATATTACAAGCTTGTTCTAGCTCTAAGTACGTCGCTGAAGGTCTAGACACCAATATCCTCGTTCCAGTCTTGTGGTCTTTCCTTGATAAACTTGGCCATCAAGTCTTTGCACTCCTGGTTGTTGAGGTTCACCACCTCAATTCCCAGCTTGCGAATCCAGTCCTCGGCCCCCATAAAAGTCTCGTTCTCTCCCACCACCACACGCTTGACTCCGTACATAATACAGGCGCCGGAGCACATGGAACATGGAGACAAAGTGGTGTACATGGTGCAGTTTTTGTAAACGCTGCCCTTGAGACGACCAGCGTTTTCCAACGTCGAGATCTCACCATGCAAAGTGGCCGAGTCCTTCTGGAAACGCAAGTTGTGGCCACGGCCGAGAACAGTGCCGTCTTCACTGATCAAGGCTCCACCAATAGGAACTCCGCCTTCTTCGTATCCTGGTCTTAGTACTTGTGGATGGTAGATATGGTAGGACCTAACACTTACCTTTCTTGGCTTCTTCAATAGCGATAGCTAAGCCCTTTTCGTCGTCAAATGCCATTTTGGATAATATAAGATGAGATTGACAAATTCTGTCGCTTAAACCTCGGCGCGCGCATTGCGCGCGATTAGCAATCCTATTTGGGACCATATTGCGCTCTGATCTCATCGCAGTGTTTCACTTGAAAGTGCTTCACTTGAAGGCATTGATACGGCCCATTCTGTCCACTGTAATTACTAAACCTTCTCTTGTCGCAACCGCACCAGTCACTATATCGTCGTGGTAACTCAAGTGTTCACCAACCACTTTATCCTGTCGTTTTTCATTGATAATTTGCATCGTGGAGTTGATCTTTGTGCTCGTAAATGTCGAATTTGTAGATATGGCTTTTGATTTGGTAGGATCTCCGAGGTTCCAAACCACTATCTCACCGCCCTGGGTGCTGGTAATCATGTAGTGTGAACGCCCATGTTTGACATGCTTGAGAGCTGTCATACTTCTTACCACAGTTTCTGTGGTGAAGTTCATCACATCCTGAACCAACTGCTCGATTCTGATTTCTTTCTTGGGCTTGTCCATAGGAATCAACTGGTAAGACTTTATCTGCGGGTATGCCACGTACGAGCTGTATATCTGTCGACACTCGAATTTGGGAACCTGCCAAATGGAGAAATCCGACTCTTGATCTCCCGCAACCATGGCAAAGTATTCCTCACCATCTCTCCCGTAATCGGTAAGTGCCAGTAAGATTTTGATGGGAAACCTCGTTCCGAGCTCACTGCTCTCGTCAATATCGAAATCCATGTCAAGTCGCCAGGTTCGAACTTCAATGTGAAACCGAAGATCCCATAGACTGAGTATACCCATACTTGTTCCACAAATGAGCCACGAATGATCCGAGCCAACTAAGAACGTATTGATGGCTCCATATTTCAACTTGCTTTGTAGTTCGTACTGCTTTTCCATTTTGATCACATCAAACCCAATGAATTTGGCCATTGTAGTCGAAGCAATGAGAAGATCTCCTTCGCCATTTCCAATCTCTAGTTGTGTAACATACCCATCGGCGGTCAAGTCGAGCTCATAGCTTCGGATCTGCTTCAACCCGTGGTACCTGATAGCCTTCTTGTTACCACGAACAACCTCAATTCGAAAGATTAAAACTCGCCCATCTATCGTGGAAACGGCTATGACGTTGCGATTGGGTAAAAACTTGATTGAAGTTATCAGCGAGCCGATTTTGGTCAAAAGTGACGAGCTTCGAACCGAAACCTCCTTCTCGAGTTTTGATGTATCCCAGACTCTTAGCAAACCAGAGTCGCTGCCGGTGACGAAAAAATCAGACCTAGGACTCACTTCCAAGCACCGGATAGCATCGATTGAGCCCAAGCTGGACTGTGAGTTTATATGTGACAAAAGTAGTCCACCGAAGTCCCAGTCTTCGTCGCTGATGGTTTCGGCGGATTTCTTAACAACCTTGCCAAATTCAGGAAAGCTGTTCATGGTGGGAGTGATTTCAACTCCGTTCAAAAACTTCAAAACGTTGGGGTTCTGACCGTTATAACTGTGCTTGACATTGGCCGTGATAATCTTCTGCTTGTTAATATTTAAGACATGGTGACTGCTAGTCGTTTCCTTGGTCGAGTGTAGGTGATGGTGGTGGCCAGCACTCTTCGAATCACCGCCTACTTCAATCTCTCCGTAAACGTTGGCCTGAACGGTTTCTAACGACGCTTTAACCGTCTTGAAGTTGGGGAGAATCAAAGAATTCGAGTCCCGTCGAGCCAGATCCTTTAGTTTTTTCCCATTCATGTCCATGTCGAAAGAGTCACTTCTGGTTTCCATTCGGTTGCTTTCAGCTACTTGCTCGGTTTTGTAACACACCTCAAAGAAGACATTGTGTGGGGTGATGTTCACCTTACTGTAGTCGTACTGTTTTCTATTCGATGTGGAATAGTTGAAGCGGCTAACATGATAGACATATTCTCGCACAGCAAGAACCTTCCATGAATCTCGCTCGTCGAGTCCAGTCGCCTTGAGCTTGAGTAGCCACTGCTTATCTTCTGCTGATAACGGAAGGGAGTTTCTGATCGCCATAGGATCGTCGTGTCCAGACTTGGGAACATAAACTGATTTTGATGAGGGTTTGACAAAAGGTATACTTGTCTTTGATATCCTATTACCATAAGCGCCGGTCAATTGTGAAAAAGTTCGTTGCTGCCAGAATAAAGATTTGGCAGTAGCATTTAACGACCATGTAATGATCAAATCAAACACTTGTTTGCTAAGTGGTTTCACGAGGCAAGGGTATAGGGTATCCCAGGAAATTTCTGCTAGATCAAACGAAAGATATTCTTTGATAATTGGGTACAAAAAAGTATACCTGTCGGCATACAGTAGGTTATCGCTGATTGCAAGTACTAACGACAAGACCGATTGTCGAATCCACTCATTGGGATGAAGTAACAAGATTATCGAGCTGGTGAGCATCTCCTTGTATATCGAAAGAGAGTTGAAATCGGCTTTTGGATTGACAACTCTGGCTCTGACAAACTTCGAAAAGATTTCTAGTACTTTGATCACCACCAATTGCTCAGAGTCTCCCAAAGTTTGAACAAGAAGTGGTAGCAAGTACTGATGAAACGTAATAACTCCCAAGAACGGACCCACTTCTAAAATGGACCCTAGAAAAGCCAAACGTAAATCTTCGCTAGGATCATTGAGGAAGGTTATCAAGTGCGGTAGTATAATATCGTTGGATTTGGCAGCTCCAAAGAACTGGCACATTGGAAAGATGCTGCGGACAAAGGCAATCTTGACATGGGCAGATGAATCGGTTAGGAGCTGCAACGCCAATGCTTCGAAATCGTTGTCTAGTTGAGATTTTGGAAACACTAGATTATTATTCATTTGAGCTTCGGCAGGAAAGTATTGGCTAGTCTTTTTCATCGAGTTGCTTTTGAAGTTCTTGGCCATCATCCAGAACTTTCTCGATGTGCTTGCTAGGATCGGCAAACATGAAGCTAATGTGATCCGAATGAGACAATGTTCCAGCTTCGAATTGCTGGAGCTGAGCAAGCTAGAAAGCTTTGGCAACAAGTATTCTGGAAACATGTGCAAATCTATGGGGGGAATCGCCGAACACGACTGTAATATTGTTGTGATCGAGACAAGCGTTTTGCATACTACTTTAGCGGCAAAGTTATCGATGTTCGATTTGGGAACGGCTTCCTCGATACGTTGAGAAGAAGTTGAATTTACTCGATCGATGAATTCGTCGATGAAACTGCAAAGGTATGGGATTGAGCAGTCAAGCTTACACTCATCGCTGACTCGCTCGGAAAGAGCCACGACAATTTCACACGCCTTTAATTTGGATTCTGGTTGCTTCAAGGTTCTCATCAACGAAAACACCAACTTGAGAATAATAATGGCACCATGGTCGGGAGTATCAATGGCGCTGCTAGGTTTAATTTTGTAGTTTTGGGGTACACCAGGAAGAGAAAGACGTAGTGGCGCCATGTCGTTTGATGGGTGGTAATCGTAAGGTTTTTCGTCATAGTTGAACGCCAACGACGACGTTATTTTTTCAAAGTTATCGTAGATTTCAGTAATCTTCAAGTCGCTGATGGTGACGTTGTCGTTGGGCTTATAATCTTTGTGATTGTTCAAGTTCATGCGAGCCATAAAGTCGTAAAGGAAGTCGTAAAAGTAAGAGGGAAACCCCGAAGCTCGGTTATCTTGTAATATTGAATAGGCCAGAGGTCTATTTTCAGGCTCCTTGTCCACTAGATTGCTAACAATCTTTCTCACCAGTGGATCGGAGAGGCCAGAAAAATTCGGTCGATAAGAATTCTTCAAATACTGGAACATTTGCGATAGAGTAAATGTTGGTTCGCCATCATTATACAACTCGGCAATCAGACACCCCAATGCAAAAAGGTCCATTGCATCGGTTACCATATCCTTGCCGCAATACTCTCCTTCATCATTGATATTGGACACTTTTTTGTGATTGCTCAGAGCGTAGAATCTTTCCGGAGCCAAGTAACATACTCTGCGTCCATTGGTATCAAAATAGAACGAAAATTGGTTTGGGTTATCCTCAGGAATGAAGGTTGGTTTTATGTTGCCGGAAAAGTCCGAAAGTGCTATCCAATTGCAAGACGATACAAGCACATTTTCCAACTTGATATCTCCATGATGAAGGTGAAGAGTATCATGTAAATAGTGGACGGCCCTAAGCAACTGAAATGTGATGAAGAGCTTTTCTATCGGCTCCAAAAAAGGTCGAATTGACAATCTATCGTATAAATTCGTCTTCATAAACTGTCGTATCAAGTAACCAGCACGATCAGTCTCAATTATTTTGTGCCAAGGAAGAACATTGTGGGCTCCAGCTAGCAAGGAAGCTTCTTTAGCAGTCAATTCGGAGATCTTTCCGAGGTTGATATTGTAATTTGACGTAGTTAAGGATGGTTTTATGAACACCTTGATGACCACCAATTGGCCAGTGGCGATGTCAATTGCCCTGATAGTCTTGAGAAAACGAGAATTATTGACCATATCCACATAGCGCCAGTCTCCTAGAACATCTATGTACGAAGATATGGCGACGGTGGGAGCCGAAGGCGCCAATAACGACAAACGTGCTCCCATACTAGTGATATCAATGAGAAGTAAAATGCGCGGCTGTCCTGCGTTTTAGCTACACCTTGGTAGGCTACATTCTTCTCTCTACGTCATGACATTACTAAATTAAATCGATTGAGTATACATTTAACTTAGTTGACCAAAGCAGAAGCAGTGGCAGATTCGTACTTCCAGTTAGGAGGCAACACAGCGACAGTTCTGTAGTATCTGGCCAATCTGTGGATTCTGGATTCGATCAAAATCAATCTGAACTTGGAGTCCTTGTCCTTTCTGTTTCTCTCCAAGTGCTTTCTGACAGATACAGCCTTCTTGATCAAGTAGTACAAGTCTTCAGGGATCTCTGGAGCCAAACCGTTGGACTTCAAGATTCTCAAGATCTTGTTACCAGTGACAATTTTGGACTGAGAAACTCCGTGAGCATCTCTCAAGATAACACCGATTTGAGAAGGAGTCAAACCCTTTCTGGCGTACTTGATGACTTGCTCAACGACGTCATCGGCCGACAACTTGAACCAAGCTGGGGCGTTTCTCGAGTAAGGAGTAGCGGAGGAAGAAATTCCTTTTCCCTGAAGTTAGTAGGTGTCTACAAGGGCAGCAACATCATCTGTGTGACGCTGAAGCTGGATCCCAAAAATTTTAAATGGTGGAGTTGAAGCATCAATAAAAGAGCGTACCAGTCGGATATAAAAAACGACATGCTCTTGAAAAGACCAACAACTGATGTGCCCACCATTATCACAGTGCTAGTAGCATAGCTTTAAGCACCGCAACGGCATACATACATTAGAATGCATACGACCCATGGCGGCTGATTATTTGATGAAGAGAAAACTGAAAAATTTTCGCGAGTTGAAGTTTGTGCGAGAAGGTCGGGTAAGCGGTGTGTGCAGGATTAGGGCTAGGACATCAAGGTGATGAGGGAGAAGATAGTACGAAAGACGGCTAAAAGAAGATCGAAAGGAAGAGGGCTGAAAGCAGGTTGAAAGAAGGTTGAGAGGAGACTGAAAGAAAAGGAAGAATGTCGTAATAAGGTAACAGTAGTGTTTAACTCATTTGAGCTTTCGGTCACTGATTCCAGCGATTTTTGGTTCTGTTTATTAGTTCGTTTGATCGTTTATTCTTGTAGCTGAACCATCTGTTCAATCGTCTTTGCTAATCTTTTATTGTGACAGTTGTGTGCGGGTTTGTCTTATCTGCAGTACCTATTTCGTCAAAAGGTCTTCAAAGTCATCGAATTCGTCCTCCTCCTCTATTTCCAAAAGTCTGTGTTAGTTGTTTCCATTGTGTTTCTGTTTATACTTACTGTGAGACACCCGCTTTATCGCGCATCATTTCTACGGCACCAGCGTACAACATGCGGCTTTCCTGACCAGAAGTACGAGGCCTCCAGTACACCAATACCAAGGGAGTTTTCAATCTGCCATCACTCGTTTTCAATGGATACGAAACGACTATATAGCGAGGAGTGTTGTCAGGCAAGTCCTCGGCGAGTTCCTGTACAGAAGTGTAAATTTCATCGGAGTCTTTTTTAATTTCGTAAGTTTGTTTGTCAATCACATATATGATTGCCTGCATCAGAGAGACCCTTGAGCTTCCAAATCGAAACTTGCGAAGCTCCGATAATGTCTCTGACGAAAACTCGTACAACGAAGGCTAAAAGTTAGACAATTTCATGGGGGTACACCGGTGTACTTACCATCAGAATGAACAAAGTATCTGCAGTACGCCAAATTTCGAATTCGAAATTCGCGATAGTGCGCCTCGGTGCACCATTGTGGGGCCGTGTGCAGTCGGCACCTAAACAGTAAAATCAAAACATCGGGGCATCGAAGCTGGAATCCTACAACTTTGTTGTTTCATAAGAGCACCAAATTACAATCATGCCTCGCAACAGGGTGAATGTGCCATTGGTGGAGTTCTTGAGAAGTAAGTATAGGAGTGATTGTGTTCCAGAATTGCATTGTCATTTGCAGCCATCGTTTGTGATAGAGATATAAATTCGGTAGTTTTTATGATTTTTGAAGAATTTCTCGAGTTGATTTTCGTATCTATTGATCTCTACTAACCCAGACCGTATCTATCTTGGCGCCTATGATTATGCTCCGCCAGATACAAAAGATCTAGTATACTTTACTGTGGAAGATGCTCTTCCGTATAACTCATTTCATCTCGATTTCGGACCTCTTCATATTGGTAGCCTTTATCGGTTTGCCGTGGTGCTTCACAACATTCTTAATGAAGATTGCAATCAGGGTAAAGCCATAGTATTTTACAGCTCTACTGGTCCCAAAGAAAGATCTAATGCCGCCTGTCTTTTATGCTGCTACATGGTATTGGTTCAGCTGTGGTCTCCCCACCAGGTTCTTCAGCCTATTGCGCAAATTGATCCGCCTTTCCAAGGGTTTCGTGACGCCGGCTACTCAAACGCAGATTTTGAGATCACCATCCAAGACATTGTCTATGCCATGTGGAGAGCCAAGGAAAGAGGCATGGTGGACCTCACCACATTCAACTTGGAGGAGTACGAGCAGTACGAGCGTGTGGACCAGGGGGACTTCAATGTCATATCCAAAGACTTTATTGCATTTGCATCGCCCCAGAGCCGTAAAGGTCTAAACGAACCGTTCAAAAAAGTACTCAATTTTTTCCTCGCCAACGATGTCCAGCTCGTTGTCCGACTCAATTCTCATCTCTACGACGCTGCCGAGTTCACCCGTCGTGGCATCCAGCACATCGACATGATCTTTGACGATGGCACCTGTCCCACGTTGGAATATGTCCAGAAGTTCATCGGGGCTGCCGAAACCGTTATTCACAACGGAGGCAAGATTGCGGTCCACTGTAAGGCTGGCCTTGGCCGCACCGGGTGTCTTATCGGAGCCCATCTTATTTATACTCACGGGTTCACCGCCAACGAGTGTATAGCCTATATGCGGATGATTCGTCCGGGAATGGTGGTGGGTCCCCAGCAACATTGGCTTTATCTTCACCAAAATGCGTTCAGAGACTGGCGCCATACCATGTGCTTGGACAATCGTCCTGACGCTTTTATTGGAGGTCTCTTTCCCTTGACATCTTACGACGAATTTAAGGCACGAATGAAAAGCGAAAGAAAGAAACAGCAGCGACTCCAAACAGCGCCCAACTCGTCGTTCGTGGCCGACTCGTCGTTCAACACCCCAGTTCGCCGAAGAAAAATCTCCGGTGCTCTCACCGCCAAGATTCAAACTGCTGTACCGCAAGAGCTGCCAGGGCAACCACGTAAATATCGAGAAAATCGGGACGAATATCCCACCCATGTCAATAACTCAGACGAAGAAAACGATATGGTGGATGTGCGGTCGCAGAACCAGACGTTTGCAGACACCGAGGTTGACGACGAGATCAACAATTCTGACGGAGTGGTGTTGTATAACAAGGATACCTCGTCACCACGACGGGAAGCCTCCAGTGACTGGAAAGTACTTCGTTCCATTTCTGTCAATAGCCAGCAGCTGCCGGTGCTGCTCACGAAAACCACAACCACCACCACAACGAGAACCGTCAGCACCACGCTTTCGTCGTCACCTTCGTCGCCCGGAAGTAAGACCCCCAAGACTCGTAGTGTGTCTCGAGTAGGTGCTACGCCCAAGCCGAGAATACCATCAGGCGGCGTAAGAAAGGTCAGCGGAGGGAAAAAGATTGCGTGATGAAGAGCTGTTAATGAAAGTGTAGATTATATCGATTTTATTCTTGTTCCTCGTAGGCGGCTTCCACAACCTGGAAGTCCGGGTCGTCTACGTATTTGAACGCTACTATATCATAGTCAGTAAACGTAACCCCAGCCAACGTGCCCTCGTCGACTTCAATCCAGTTGTTGTCGTAGGGCGCAGACTTGTACTTGGGTAGAGCAATGCTCAAACCGTCGATTTCAACATTTATTCCAGTTTCAGGTTTTTCACCCAATTCATCAGTAAACTCAGATTTCGGTATTTCTATGTCTTCTTCATCTTTAATCATCTCTTCATCTTGAGCCGTGTCATCGCCTTCGTCCTCAGGCTTGAGTCCGCCACTTTCGTTGATAATGTGGACCAACAGTTCTTTGATCAAATTGTAAGTCGACTTTGTAGGAGCCAATGGAAGAGTAAGGATATAGGTTGTTTTGGCTCGTTTGAGCTTCAATATGGTCACATCTGCGGTTTTCTTTTGTTTTGGAGGCTGGGTTAGTATTTTGGGGGAATTGATTGCAGAATCAATTGCACACATACCATTGAAGTTGAGTAGATTAATCTTGAATTTCGCAGCTTCGCGAATTTATCGCGGCTCGATTTTCATCTACTTTCTTTCTTCGACTCACTCATGGATGGCACTCCTTGGTTCAAGACATCGCCACGCCACCGTTCTGCTATATAGATCGATTCTTCGTGGCGCTTCTCGCTTGAAGAAGACTTCCCTTCCTGAGTTCATATCCAATGGAGAAATTGAGCATGAATTGCAAAAAATGAAAATCGATCCAAAATTGTACTTGCAATATTTGAGCCTGGAAGTGAAGTATACTGCTCAGGACGAGTTTCGTGCTCGCGAGCGCAAGGCTTCCGCTTCCAGTTTGCGCAACAAGATAGAAAGTGCTTCGGTTATCAGTGAACAATTGAAGCTGGTGAATCAGTCCAATGGAGACAAAAAAGCATGGAAAACCTTCTTGGAACTTTTGATTGCACATAGAAAGAAAGCTTTCCGCGAACAGGAGTGGAGGGTAGAGAACATAGAAAGGAGAGATGAGCTTAGGGCGGCGGATCCAGCATTTACATCCCGATGGATGCGGAAGAGAAGAGCTCGGGAATCTGCTCGCATATCAGCTCGAAAAGCAAGGGAAAAGAAAGAAAACAGTAACAAACCAAAACTTCTGAAAGACGACAGGTATTCTTCACACTTGTTACGACGATATCTCAAAACACTTCAGCTTCGAAAAGATATTCCACTTCCACACCTTTTACCATATACACCCATTGACCACCAGTATACTACAAATACTCCCTCAGCATCGATAATAATTCCAGGTTCTACCAAAAAAAGCGCCATTACCGCTGCGTATGACTCTGAATATATTGAAAGCATAGTTATACCTGGCTTGGAGTACGATATTAACCAGCACCATTACTTGGAAGATCTTCGTAAAATCGTCGAAGAAAGAGGTCCGTTCAAAGTCAAGATCAATTATACCGGTGCTGGACTCATGTCAATGCCATATATTCGAATGCCGTATCGCCGTCTGACGGCTATGAAAAATATTGCCATGGATATCAAGAAGCTGATGTTGGCACTGCGGATCAACAGTATTTGGAAAATAGCCGACTCGAAGTTGCCGACGCTGGAGGTGAAGCTCAAGGATGGGAGCTATGCTGTCAAAGGCTGCAATGGGTTTGGCGAGGAAGAAAGGATGTTTCCTAGAGATTACTATTTCAATCTTGCAATTTGGGAAGATTTCTATGAGCATTCATTAGCGGAGAAAATCAGAAAACAAACCAAAAACGACTCAGAGCACGAACAAGAACAACGACCCGAAGATAAGATTTTGTGGACCACTTTTATAGAGGATACAAATGTCGCTCTTCGGGAAGAAGTCAATTCATTCTTTCAAAAGTACCGGTACTTGAAGTCGAAATCCTCGCCTCTTCTAAGAATCCAACAAGTGCTCCAGAAAAAGCAGCTCAAGCACTATGATAGCCAGGTTCAAAATTTCGCAGCCATTATTGAGCTGCTCAACAGAGACAGGGTTTTCAAGCACCTGGAACTTGTAAACTCAAGAGAGGTCAAAACCGCCTACAAAGATTACAACGGTCAAGACGGGGTTCCACACATTGAAAGGGTTGGTATGGGCATGCAATTGGCTGATTATCTCCAAGAAAAAGGATACCGGTTTTTCAAGTGGGGCATGAAGTTCGACAAGCGGTTCAAATTTTAGAGAAATAGATATAAATCGTGAATCATGCTGTTAGACTACGTAGCCTCCAAAGCTCTTGTTGGACGTTACATATCCGTCAATGCTTCGGGATAGATTGTTATTGAATGGTGCTTGAGAGTCATTATCGACATCTTCCTCGTCTTCTTCGTCCACAATGGCGCTGTCTCCGTCGAGCCCACCCTCCTTCTCCACGATATCAAAGTCCTCGAGAAGCTGGATCAAATTCGAAGTGTCCTTATTGTCGTTATCTGCAATATGCATGCCGTTCATCATCGTTATCACATCACTGAGAGTCTTTCCCAGACCCCTAAGTTCCTCATGTTTCTGGAGAACCTCCTCCAAGAGCTTGATTCCGTTCTCGTACCATTGCGGAGGGGCAGACGGAGAAAATGGCGGGGTGGTGAGAATGTGTTCTCTGGCAAAGAGGGCCTCTTCTTTGAGCTGGTTGCGATAGAAAAGTGAGGCTTGGTAGTGTTCCTTGCAACAAAACTGGCTCAGAAACGTATTGGGAAGGATTATTGACGGTTTTCTATTGTATATCTGAAACTTTGTGGTGGCTTGAGGATCTCCATTGGCGGTAGTTGTGCCGTTACTATTGGCAGATAAACGCCGAACTTGTCTTTTTGGTGACTGGTCACATACTATGTAGCCACACTCGTGCTCGATGTTCCGTTCCTCGATCAACTCGTCGTAGCTTTGCGGAGTGAGAAATCTACTCAAAAATTTAAGAAGATTATAGTCGACGTTGTGGTCGAGCATGAGCTCAGTGATCATCAAAGTAAGCTTGGAAGCATCTCCAGGAGACAAAAGAGTGCCTGAGGCATAGCTGGCCACCTGGGGCGCAAAATCAGCAATCGAAAGCTGTTTCATTTCGGTTCATTGGGGTAAATAATTGGGTTGTGTTCAGACTGGATCTCGTTGGTGTATTGCTGTCCCGCGATTTCTTGATCGTTCCTGTATGGTGCCAAGCGGTGCAGTGAGGTGCCAAATCCAAATCTCTTCTTTTTGTCCACCAATTTGGATCTTCATGGGTAGAGAGCGATCGAAAAGACCTCTTCCGGGGTCCAGCTCGCGCTCACAATCGCATTCGAGGTCCCGCTCTTCGTCTAGGTACCTGCTGGGACTGCTGCCAGGAGCTAGTCTTCGTCAGCGGTCGGCCACAACCGGTTCGTTTTTGGATTTTATTTCCGGTAAAAGAACTCCGCCGCCTTCAGGAGGCTCGCACGTGAAGCCTCAGCACAAGATATACTCGCTATACCGCTTAATGATGCTAGAACTCAACTTGCCGACGATAGACCACCGTCTGAACGAAGTGCCCCAAGTCACATCCAATGACGAAACTTTGGAACAGGTTGTAAACATGGTGAAAGTGCCATTGGTGTTGGAGAAATTCATGTTGTTTGGTCTTATGGTGTGTCTCAATTCGTTTTTGACGATTTTCACCTTGGTACCGTTGAAAATTTGCATAGTTTCGTGGAGAACTGTTGACAGTTTGATCCTGCGAGGCCAGAAACTCGATGTTGCACCGGAGCTTCGTGATAAGAAAGGTCATGGCTCGCAACTGTACGGTACGATTGTGGTGGAAAACTTTCGCTACATCAAGAAAGACTTGTACACCACATGTATCATTGGAGCTTCTCTCTTCATCCTTTCATTGCCATACTTTGATATTTCCCGACTATATCACGATGTTCGGGGCCAGGCCCATATAAAGCTCTACGTCATGTTCGGTGTGCTTGAAGTGGCAGACAAACTTCTCTCTTCCATTGGCCATGATTTGCTCAACATTCTCCACGGCTTGACTTTCAGTTCCAAACTCAAATCGGGTGCACCAATTGCATTGTTTTTCATACTTTCCGTGATATATCTTTCCTTGCACTCCTACGTGCTCATCTACCAGGCAGTGTCTCTCAACGTGGCGGCCAATTCTTACTCTAATGCGTTGCTCACACTTCTTCTTTCCAACCAATTTGCCGAGTTGAAAAGTTCAGTGTTCAAGAAATTCGATCGTGAAGGGTTGTTTCAGGTGACCATGGCAGACCTTACTGAACGGTTTCAGCTCTCGCTCATGCTCGGAATCATAGCTATTCGCAATTTGCTTCAACTCAATGGTAAGTCCATTGGTCTTATTCCCAATAGTTGGAAGAGCTGGAACACCTGGATTGGTGCCATATTTGGTCCTAGTACTGTGGTCATAGGCAGTGAAATCCTCGTGGATTGGCTCAAACACTGCTATATCAGCAAGTTCAATAAGGTGCGGCCCAGGGTATACAATAATTTCTTGTACGTGCTAAGCTTGGATTTTGTTGAAGTATTCAAATCGGCCCCCAACGTTTCGGCTTCACCTCTGCATGAACTAACCGACTATGTGATTCTTACCAAGCGGATAGGATTGCCGCTTTTGGCTTGTATTGTCTGCTTCTTGCGGATGACTCTTCCTGATTTGAAGCGGTTTTTTCTTTTCAGCGACTCGTTGACATACTCCATTATTTCAAGCGTTGGTCTTCTTGTGGTTGCGTTCTTGACTTTGCTTTTCGCTAGGCTAGTTCTCGGATTGCTTGTATTGAAGTGGGCTAATAGGATCAAAACTCAACATAGACAGGCTCAACAATTTCTTACTAACAAACCCCCAATTTCTGCTGGCAGAATCTTGGGGTCGCTGAGCATATCGCTCAATGTGGACGAAAGTGCAATCGAAAGCGATTCGGAAATCGGTTCAGAAATTGAAGAATATGTTCCTTCACCGCGGTCTCCTTTCAACACTTCCTTCACTCCAGGCGTACCAAACACAGAGGCATCCTCTATCAACCCGCTATCTCGTTCGTACTTGTACGATGTCGGAGAAAAGATCCCACCGACAGTGGAAGAAATGAGAAATAATAATGATAAAGGCGAAGAGGGCTTGGAAAATGTAATGAGATACGAAATGTCCAGCAAACGAATCTGGTGATGAATGTACATTAGTCATACGAGCTATACAGAATAGCTATACAAGAGTAGCTATATACATGCTATATACATGCTATATAATGCTTTCTTCACTTTAAAAGTGCTTTCTTCATGGCTTCGTTAATGTACGCTACAGCTTGCGGACGTGGACGTTTGAGACGAGCAGAGAACAAAAGACAGCCCGTAAGCAATGCCAAAGCTCCTGCTTGGTGAGCGGCAGCCAATGGAATAGGAACAAGGTAGATCAAGGTAGTGATACCAAGACTTACTTGAAGAAGAACCAACCCCATCATTCCATGGAGAGCCCTCTGAGCCGGCTTGGGAATATACTGTTTTCTCTTGATCACAAACATGTGAGCTGCCAAGATGGAGAAGAACGTAGTTGTTGCAAAGATTCGATGGACCAATTGCACCGTAGTGGGATTTTCAAGAAGATTTCTCCACCATAAATCTGAAAGATCTTCTTTGCGAGCATAAACTGGAGACATCAATTCTCCACTGCTGGGCAAATAATCATCACCCATGTGAGGGAAAGTATTGTAGATTAAGCCGGCATCTAATCCAGCAACCATTCCTCCAGAGAGAGCAGTGATAAACGTCAATCCAAGCAAAGCAGTACCAACCGTTCTCACTGGTGCGATTCTAGCACTCAGAAGTTGAGCAAACACTTTCTGTACTTTTTCAGGCGCCTTGGTGGCTTGCTTGAGCCATTTGTTCTCGTTGATAATCTCGAAAGCCAGCCACAAGACTCCCAAATAGAGAAGAAATGCTGCTCCCAAATGGGTGGTGAGTCTATACTGAGAAACCGTAGGTTTCGATCTTCTTTCCGTCAATTGTTCCTCATCCAAACCAGACTGAACCATCCACCAGCCAATTGCTCCTTGTAATCCTAGAAGGAGTGTGAGTCCAAAACACAACCGCTTTGTTCTGGTATTGAGTCTTCCTGTTCCCCAAAAGTAGAGTCCTGGCAATATGAACGCCATGCCTATGGCACGCCCAACAAGCCTATGGCCCCATTCCATGCTGTAGATGAACTTGAACTCGTCCAAAGTGATGTGAGAATTCAACAACTTGAATTCTGGCAGGTCTTGGTACTTTGTGAACTCCACTATCCATTCTTCTTCATTCATTGGAGGAAGTGTTCCTGTCACTGGTTTCCATTCCGTGATGGACAAGCCCGATTCCGTGAGCCTGGTCAAGCCCCCGAGAACCACAATTCCAAAGATAAGTCCCGAAGTGCCTACAAGCCAGTACCCGATGACTTTATCGGTGATGATGTTGGAAGGTTTAATTTTTGGAAAAGTTTTAGTGACACTTTCTTTGGAGTTCACCAGAAGCGTTGTGTAGGTTCTACGGCCCTTAAGTAACCCCTTTCCAGCGTTTTTAGGTCCCAAATTTGTGGTCAATGATCTTTTAGAAACCACACTGTTCCACAAACGAATCATCCATTGAGAAGACCGAGGAAAAAGCAGAGCCTTTGGTGGGCCCACAAGACACGGACGACACCCCTTAGTCTGTGAGAGCGTGCGGAGCACCGCAGGGTTCCCAGAAAAGAAAAACCGAGACCTTGAAAGCATGGCACGTTGCACCAGTGAAATTTTAGAAATTTGTCACCCGATAATTGGTGTCTGGGTGTGGTATGGGGCTGTCTGAACTGTAAAGTTGCAGCCACAAACGTCATAATAGTGATTACAAGTGGCGAGAGGTTCAATTGCGATAAGACGTTTAAAACAAGTATTTGAAGTCTGTAGGATCTTGAATTTTCAAGTTTTGTTGAATTTTTACATTTTGCAATTGTGATGAATTTTACGGTAGCTTCACACGAGGCAGAAATATTGGGTCAAGCTGGGATTATATATGCCATGTTATTGGGGGGAACTGCCATTATTGGAGGTATTCTGTTTGGTATTAGGCAATTGACTCTTAAAGAGCTGCCAGACACAAAAACTACGAGTTTTGCAGCCAAAGACATGGCCGATGGAATCGAGTTGAAGACCATTGAAAGTGGTGAATCGGAATCACAAAACAGCTCCAAGAGCTCACCCGAGTCAGAGCTCGGCAAGACCGACGTGATACGTCTTCTAGACTCCGGGAATACTTTGCAACGCAGTCCTATACGTCTTTCTCCAATCTCCAATTGCTGGACAGCCAGCGGTCCGATTTCGCTACGATACGACGAAATTCCTTGGCTGCCTATTCCACAGCGCAACAATTGGCTAAAGGATCTTTATGATGTCCAGAAGAGTATGGCTCAAGACACTTTGGCATTAAAAGAAGATTTGCAAGCACTCAAGAGCATCAAGCTTTCGCAATGTGTTTATCCTTCAGTGGTGATTCCGCCGATTCGGTTCCTTTCTGTGTGGAGAGCAAACCAGGCAGTGGAAGAAACCAAGGAGCTTCTTCTCGATCCCAGCGTTGACAAATGCACAAAAACTATTGGTTTGGTGCGGCTTTCTGGGCTTGCAGCCGCCAAGGCTTTTTCATTGGCAGTGAACCCTTTTTCTTTGTACTCGTTCCAGGCGCTTATTGAGCAATTGGTGGACACTGGGTTGGTTTTCCAGATCATTGCTCAGCTGCCCCAGCCCAAATACAGTATGCTTCTTGTGGTGGATATAGTCGCTAGTTATAGCTGGCACGTTTGGAACGATGCCCGAAGCAAGGCAGCAGCTTATGGTGGAGCACGGGTGATGGTAATACGTACTTTTTGCAATTTGCTCTTAGGACTCGATGGAGAAACCACTCCACAATTTGTGCAGGTGAAGCTCAGTATCCTCTTGGAAAAAATGATTCTGACGACCCGGTGCCACGAGTACCTTACGGTGGTGCCCATGGTAGCACAAGCAATCAATATAGCTGTTGGGGGCCGCACAAAAACGGTTTTTTACGATGCACTCTTCGTGATTGTCGTCAAGCATCGGCAGTGTTGTTTGGAAGATGAGTATCTCCAACAGAACACAGTTCTCCAACAAGTAATCAGCGATGGCTTGGCATCCCACAGCCCCAAAGAGCGCGAGAAAGCATTGAAATTGCTGCAAGAAGTGTCAGGTCAAGTGATGGTTTTCGCAGCCAATGCAGCCGCGGATACCCTGGATTTGAGCCATGCAAGTGCCGGGTGATAGGAAGCGGTGCTGGGATGTATGCAGGAAAACAATCGGTTGCGTTCATGTGAAGCTGTCAACGGAGATGGAGAGCGAGGAGGAAGTGGAAGAAACCAATGGAGGCAGTCGAACAAACTTGATAAGTTGGGAAGTCAAAAGTGAGCAGAAGGGTTAGATGATGTAGAAGTACAAATATAAAGTAAACTTGATGCTTTTTGGCGGTGTGGTTAGGGTTCCCCCACCTCCTGCCTACAACGGTAATCCATTTACATATGCTTCGCACCGCGGAGTTGATATAAAAAGTGGGGACAGCCATTTTCTGCAATTTGCGACTTTCCTCACTATGAGTGGAATTGAAATTGCTGCTGCGGCCGTGCTAGGCTCACAATTGTTGGACGCAAAGTACCACGTCAAGGAAGATTTGCTTCTTACCCAACATATCATCAGACATGCGGTGCCATACCTCATTGGATGTGCCCGAGGTAAAGCATCTTTTTGGTACTACTTTGAAGAAACCGCCAAAAAGTACCCGAAAAACAGAGCGGTTTCCTTCCCTAGACCACGTAAGGACGCTCCACCAGTGACCCAGGATGCTCAGGGATTCAATATTTACGATGACCAGTTTGTTCTCGAAACTTACACCTACAAGGAACTCTACGATATGGTGTTGCGGTTGTCCTATATTTTGAAGAATGACTACGGGGTGACTTCGGATCAAACCATCTCGGTGGATTGTATGAACAAGCCGCTTTTCATCATTCTTTGGATGGCGTTGTGGAACATTGGTGCGATTCCTGCTTTTTTGAACTTTAACACAAAAGACAAGGCGTTGGTGCATTGTATCAAGATTGTTGGCGCCACCATGGTGTTCATCGACCCGGACTGCGCCGACCCCATTAGAGAGACCGAGGAAAAAATCAACCAAGAATTGCCCAATGTCAAGTTGCATTATCTCAACGAACCCGAGCTTCTTCGTGTGCTCAGCGACAAGTCTAGACCCAAGTATAGAGCTCCCGACAACACCAGAAGACCAGAGGACAAGGACCACTCGTGCTGTGCTTTGATCTATACCTCGGGTACCACAGGCTTGCCCAAGAGTGCCATTATGTCATGGAGAAAGGCATTCATGGCATCGGCGTTTTTCGGTTACATTATGAAAATTACGAAAAATTCCACCGTTTTAACCGCAATGCCGTTGTACCACTCCACGGCAGCCATGTTGGGTGTGTGTCCCACGTTGTTGCTTGGTGGTTGCGTTTCGGTTTCGCAAAAGTTCTCGGCGTCCACCTTCTGGACTCAGGCCAAATTGTCCGGAGCCACCCATATTCAGTACGTTGGTGAAGTGTGCCGCTACTTGTTGCACGCCAAATACCATCCTGATCAGCTTGCGCACAATGTTACAATTGCTTATGGAAATGGGTTGCGCAGAGACATCTGGCTCGAGTTCAAGCAGCGGTTCCACATTGAAGGAATTGGCGAGTTCTACGCATCCACCGAGTCTCCCATCGCTACTACCAATCTCCAGTATGGTACTTTCGGAGTGGGGGCTTGCCGGAAGTACGGAGGGTTGATCAATTTGATTCTTTCGATGCAGCAAAGATTGGTCAAGATGGACCCAGATGACGAAAACGAAATATGGAGGGACCCCAAAACTGGCTATGCTGTGCAGGCTGCGTACGACCAGCCGGGCGAGTTGTTGATGAAGATCTTGAATGCCAAGAAACCAGAGGAGTCGTTCCAAGGGTACTACGGGAACAACAAGGCTACTTCTTCAAAACTTGTTCGTAGCGTTTTCAAAAAAGACGATGCCTGGTTCAGAACAGGCGATTTGCTCAAGATGGACCAGGACGGCTTGTTGTACTTTGTTGATAGATTGGGAGACACTTTCCGGTGGAAATCAGAAAATGTGTCTGCTACAGAAGTTGAAAATGAGTTGATGGGTTCCAAGGCCATGAAACAGTCGGTGGTTGTTGGTGTGCGAGTGCCCAACCATGAGGGTAGAGCTGGGTTTGCCGTTATAGATCTTGTGGACGAGTTGAATGATCCAAGTAAGCACCCTCAAGCATTGGCGCAGATCTACAATCATATTAGCAAATCGCTTCCCAGATATGCTGTTCCCCAGTTTATCAAGTTGGGGTCTGAGATTCAAGCTTCACATAACCACAAGGTGCCCAAGAACCAATTTAAGAACCAAAAACTTCCCAAGGGAGAAAGCGGCACCGATGTGATCTACTGGTTGAATGGTGACAAGTACGAGGAGTTGACAGAGGAAGCATGGGGCCTCATCATGAGCGGGAAATCGAAATTGTAGCTGAGTGTATAACACAAAATAACGACGTATATTCTTACTGTTTATCGGAAATGGCAACTACACCGGGCAATTCTTTACCTTCCAACAATTCCAACGAAGCTCCACCTCCGGTGGAAACGTGCGACAACTTGTCACTGGCACCAAACTTCTTGGCAACGGTAGCAGTGTCTCCACCTCCAATGATGACGGTGTTACCTGCTTCAGCAGATTTGACGGCAGCATCCAACATCGATTTGGTACCTTGAGCAAACTTGTCGAACTCAAACACACCTGGGGGACCGTTCCACACAATGGTCTTGGCCTTGGCAATAGTTTCAGCAAACAAGGCATTCGATTTTGGACCAGCATCCAAACCCATCCATTTGTCTGGAATACCTTCTTCTTGCGTAGCTGTGGAAGTTTCAGCGTCCTTGTCAAACTTGTCAGCGGTAACGAAATCAACAGGCAACACGATTTCAACGTTGTTCTTCTTAGCCTTGGCCACGAGGTTTTCCACGTTCTTGGCTCCATCTTCATCAAAGAGAGACGTACCAATAGACATATTGTCCAACACCTTTTTGAAGGTGAAGGCCATACCACCACCAATGATCAACAAGTCAACCTTATCCAAAAGGTTGTCGATCAATTTGATCTTGTCGGAAACTTTAGCACCACCCAAGATAGCCAAGAAGGGTCTAGTAGGGTTTTCCAAAGCCTTTGCGAAGTACTCCAATTCCTTGGCCATCAAGAAACCAGCGGCTTTTTGGGGCAAGTCGAGACCCACCATAGACGAGTGAGCTCTGTGGGCGGTACCAAAGGCGTCGTTAACGTAGACATCGGCCAATGCTGTCAATTGGCTTCTGAACTTCTTGACGTCTTCAGCGCTGGCTTTTTGCTTCTGGCCGTCGACTTTTCTCGAGCCCTCCTCCTCGGCGTGGAATCTCAAGTTCTCTAACAAGAACACCTGGCCATCGGACCCGCCATTGACAGCTTTTTCAACCTCGGGACCAACACAGTCCGACAAAAAGGTGACTTTTTGGCCCAAGAGTTTCTCCAATTCGTCAGCCACAGGAGCCAACGAGTACTTGTCAGCCTTCTCACCATTAGGACGACCCAAGTGAGAAGCCAAAACCACAGCTTTGGGTTTATTTTCCAAAACGTATTTGATAGTTGGCAAAGCGGCCACAATACGCTGATTGTTGGTGATGGTTTTTCCATCCAATGGGACATTGAAGTCCACACGGATAAACACACGCTTTCCAGACACATCGAGGTCCTTCACAGATAACTTGTTCGATAAAGACATGGTAATTCTAGCAATCGATCGGATTATTTTCGATAGGCAGCAGGGTGCTGCTCCTTATATACCGCACCACCGGATCTCGCCATTTGGGGCCGGACGCGACCACCCCGGGCTAGTTACATCCGCACACCCGAAGTTGTGGAGAGACTCAACTCACCGGTGCTTGGGTGTTCGAGGTTCATCTTCAGTAATCTTCATTAATCTTCATGGACAAATTATTACAGTGGTCGATCGCCCAGCAGTCCGGCGACAAAGAGGCCATGGCCAAGATCGGCCAGCCGGACCCCAAGATGCTTGAGCAGCTTTTTGGCGGGCCAGATGAACCGGCGCTTATGAAACATGCCATGACGTTAATTTCCAGCGACGAAGCTCTGATGGAAAATAAAGAAGTTTCGTTTGAAAACTTTGAAATGCTCATTGAAAACATGGATAATGCGAACAATATTGAAAATTTGAAGCTTTGGCCCAGTTTAATTGCGCAATTGGACACCAAAGTGCCAGATTCGTTGCGAGTGTATGCCGCTTCATGCATTGCCATTGCGGTCCAGAACAACCCCAAGGCCCAGGACGATTTTCTTCGTCATCCCGAAGGATTCAAACAAGTTTTGGCTCTTGCGGAAGACTCCTCCATCGATAAAGAGTTGCATTTGAAGTGTCTTTCTGCCATTTCCTCGGTTTTAAGAAACCACCAAGAGGCCTATAACAGGTTTGACCAGCTCAATGGGTGGAAGATTCTCAAGTTTAACAAGGACGCTGACCACAAGTCGAAAATCAGAGTTCTTTCGATCATGTCGGCGGTCCTTTCCACCGGTCTTGACGACAAAAAGACAAAACATATTCAAGATGAAAACTTGACCAATTTCATCGTTTCTGTTATGCAGAAAGATGGTCATATTGGCTGTATAGACAAGGCACTCAACATCATCACTCAATTGTCACAGCTTAAATACCCGTTCTCAGCCACCGAAATCAGCGACTTGGTTCAAGGTTTGGAAAGAGTGGAAGACCTTCGGGACCAATTGACGTTGGACGACTTACACGCCGCAAAGCAAGTAGTTTCCTGATTCTTTTTTGATCTCGTACTAACATAGCACTTATCTCACCAAGGAGTACATCACCTCGATTAATGAAAAATGAATAGAAATTATATTATCCCTCGTAAACCACCTCTTCAGGATCGTTGGACGTGAACAACACCTTCATTTGCTGCATTCACGGAAAGGCGGAACGATGTTTTTTCCGTTAGAATCCTGTGCCCCAAAGTGCCATGGTTATTGAGTTGCTCGCATATTCGTGACAAACTTGGATAGTGTTCGAGAAGACGTTCGGCTTTTGGCTCTGTCATGAAACGAAATTGACGCATACTTTGTACGAATGTAGACCGGCTTCCAGTTCCCGAACGAACAGTTCCCAAGGTTCCCAAAGAAGTACGTTCGTACTTGTCGTAGATCCGTCCTGCTATAGTGTATGTGAACGAATTGAGCCAAGTAAGAGCTTCTTTCCCGTTGCGGACGGGGAATATATTCACCTCAAGACGAATTTGGGTTTCTTGAACCATTGACTCTACGTCTTTAACCGTCAATTCTTTCTCTCCTAGCTGATGGTTCAAGGTTCCCAAACTGGGCTGGCCAAGTACTCGGGCTTTGTAGCGTTTGTTCTCTTCATTTCGTATTTTTGCAAGGTACTGGTCGTAGCCATCGACGAGAATAATGACGTGAAACTCAACCGACGAATTTTCAGTTTGGGCCCGGGCAATCACTCGCCGTATTATAGTGTCAAGCGACCGATCCTGAATGTGTTTGACTATTTCTTTGGCGTCGTAATACACTACCAATATTCGTTCTCGATATTCCGTCAACTCGCAAGGAATGAAAAGATCTCGCTGGGGATCGTAGGATGCTTGAACCTTGCGTTTCCATGCAATTGTAGGGTAAGTATCGGACACAGCACGCACTTCCAGCTCTGCGAATTCCGTTTCAATGTCCTCGTTTTCGAAGAATTTACTCGAGACCAGATTGCTGATTTCCACCACCATTTCGCCCAAAAGATCGGCTTTTTTACGGGTGACCTTATTGGCGTCGCGGAGCTGTTTGGCGGTATACGTAGGCTCGGGTGGACGATACGACGACTTGAGTGGTGACGAAGTGTAGGAAATGGGATCAGAAAAGGAGTCTTTGGCCACATTTTTCGATACTTCTCTTCTCAGGAACGTACTCGCCGAGTCCACAATGGAGTCTCTGTCTTGTGTGGCGATCTCCAGACTGTATTTTCTTCGTTTCGGAACCGGAGATGGTTCTTCATCGGTCTCCGAGAGCCAAGTAATAGCATCCAAAACATTCTTGTGGACAACTTTTTGGCTTACGGGCGCAGGACTCGACGAGAGGATCACCACAGATGCCTGTTCTGGGTGCCGAGGGCCCCTGGGGCTCGGATCATCGGAATTTCTGGAGTTAGTTGTGCGTTGAAATTTGGTGAAAACACATACAGTTCAATGATTTGATGGGAAACATCTGAATCCAAGCTGATGACCAGATTGGGCATGGAAATAGGATAGGAATAAGTAACGCCAAAGAGGCTGAAAAATAATCTTGGTGGGTTCTTTTATGAGCTTGTTGCAACCCTAACGCGAGTTGATGCGATAAATAGAATGTAAATAGAGGTGGTGTGTGGATGTGCGGATTATCGATTTGGAGATTTTCTGATTTCAACACAGTGGGTTGTATACTAGCATGGCGAGGTCCCGATCGCAAAGTTTGACGTTCAATGGCCAGAAAAGCGATGGCGAGCAGCGCAAGAAGAGACAGGCTGTTTCGGAACTCAAAGAAGTCACCAACTACCTTAAATACGAGTGGCCCCAGCTTTTAGATTCAAAAACAAACCCCATCGATTTGGCAGTTTCCCTCCTAGATAGGTCTTCTGTGGGGCTAGCACACCGTCTAGACGACTTCCATGACATTTCCAAACAGACTCAGCAGGCATTGAGAAATGTGGTTAGCCAACACCATGAGGTTTTCAACAACAGCATCGGGTCGTACCATCTTTTACTTTCCAACATTGACAATTCACAGGCCGATACCGAGGAAATCAAACAGCTTTTGGAGTCCACGACACGCGACATCAACGACCGCAGTGATATGCTCCTGGAACTTAACCAAACCTCGGCGCGTTATACCGAAATGATCGAGATCTTGGAAGCGATGAACGACTTGACTTCAGTTCCCGACAAAGTGGACCAGCTTATCATCGACAAGAAGATAGACAAGGTGTACGACGAGATATTCAAGGCATACAGCGTGGCGGAAAAGTATAATTTATGGACTCTTTCGTCTATGAACAGCACTCAGAACTACCTTGAAATGCAATCCAACAATTTGTTTGACATGATAATCGACGAGTTGCAGAACGAGATCTACCTCCGCAACACCTCAGCGAACCTGGACTCCGAAGCGGCAGCGTGGCAGCATTTTACGGCCACTTCCAATCCGCAATTGACGTCATTCAAACTCCTTGTCACCGAGCTGGACACCTTGGAACAATTTATTTACAACTCTGCCAACTTGGACGTCCTGGACGTGGCCGAAGCGTTTTCGGAAAACGTGAAGGAGTTTGTCAACGTTCAACTTCCGTTACTTCATAGCCATTCCAGTAAGAACGAAGGGGATGTCAACTATGCCATTTTACTTGATTCCAAACTGAACAAAAATACCGAGTCGTTCTATTACATCTACCTGTTGCTCAACACCGCCTCGCGACTCAACCGTCTTCCCCAGGCCATCGAGGTCCTTCATAGTACCACCCAGCAGGAATTGGGACAAATGTTCTCTCGAATCACCGAAGAAACAAAACTTCGAAATGTCAAGCAGCTTGGAAAATTGGCCAAACTTCTGAATTTTGACCAAACGAGCTCATCGGAAGATATCGTTAACGGGAACAACTTTAGCGATGCAGCGGTGTCGATTTTAAGTGACTTGTTCTCGTCCTTGTTCGTGAGTTGCTTGGCAGTGATGCAGCGTCACAAAGTGATCAGTGAGATAGTGGACAAAATTGAACTCCTTCAAAGTCTTCCTACAACCAGCACCTCGTTTTCTCGTTCTTCTTCGAGATCGGCTCAAAGAACCTACGATATCACTCCAATATGGAACCATATGAAAAAGGAAATGCAGTCGCTCATTATAAGTTACACCTACGATGATCTATTTCACGGGAACCAGGCCAACGAGGGACCATCTGGCAATGCTTTGCTCCACGAACTCAATCGAAACGAAGTGTTCAAGTTTGAAAATATTACTCCTGACCTGATAGCACAAACTAATGACGACATGAGAAGCATTCTCCAAGAAAGATTTCCAGGATTTAGTCTTTCGTCTGGTCGATCTGACCGGTTCACAGAGCCCAACGAGTCGCCGTATATCAAAAATGAAAATACCACCACAGCAGTGGAAGTGTTGGTGCCAAAAAACATTTTCAATATGAGAGTGATTCTCGACTTTTTTCTCATATTCACTGCGGGCAGTCATAGGATATTCGTTGATTTTGCAACCGAAGCTCATGGGCCCGAAAACCGCTCGGCATCGCAGTTCTTTGAGACATTCATGAGTACTGTTTTTGCACCCAAATTGAGAGATACTTTTGATGGGATCTTTTATGAGTTTGTGGGAAACTATAACCACAGGGAAGCCCACGAGCAAGGATCCGGAGCAACTCTGGCTCTTAGAACAGAATTGCACTTTCTCGAGTACCCCGGGTTTGGTTCTGCATTATCAGCGCTCACCCAGAAGAAAATTTCCATTTATCAGAATGCCGTTGATTTCAAACGCTTGCTCATTAGTGCATGTTCTGTGCTCAACACTTCGCTTTCGTTTCGCTCGAATTACAGCGAAATCGTATTACACCTTTTAAGACAATTTTCGTCAGCCTATGATCACTTTTATGGCGAGCTTCTCACCCCAGGCGGAACCGATTTTGTCAACTACAATGTGTCTGAGACACTGAGTCGTCCCAGTCTGCGAATAAATACCTGGATGAGAATCCCTGCTCTCACAGAGATTTCTGGAGTGATTCTTCAGCAGTCGGGCAGCGACCAAGAACTCAAAGTTTTGGCAGCCAAAGAAACCGAAATTATGCTATACGACTCCAGCGCTTTCGATATTTCACAAGACGACTTTTTCGACAACGAATCGTTTAAGCATGTTTGTCATCTTCTTTTAACTTCCACTTGGATATTGACGTGGTTACCTACGCTTCTCAAGCAGTCAGCAATGAGCGACTCTGCGAATAGCGAGAGAGCATCGCGAGTCGTCAAGCTCAGAGACGAATGGTGTTTCTTGGAAAATGGTCGGGTGAATGTGGTGGGCACCAACGAAGAGGAAAATGTGTTTATTGCTTTGGACCCAGCAAAGGCAGACTCGTTCTACAAGGTTGTACGAGCATTTGAAACTATTCGCGACAAGACCCTTTTAGCATTGCGGTACGATTTGCGGTGCAAAGCCATCTACTATATTAGTCGCTCATACAGAGAAGGAGAATGGCTTCCTATTAATGCTCCTGGAGATGCAGATCAGTATATTGGACAATTTAACAAGGAGGTTTTTGCGGTGGACGACAGATTGAACAGTGTTTTAAGCGACTTGGAAAGAGAGGGTGTATTCACCGGTTTACCTGAATTTATAAGTTCTTTGATGATGCTGGGCACACAATTGGTTTCCAAGATCAACAGCAACGGTATCAAGCGGATTTTATTGAACATCTTCACCCTTCAGCAAATGTTGAGGAACATGATGAAAAAGTCAGAATCTGTGGATTTCACAAAAGTGTCGATATTCTTTGAGTTGTTCACCCAGTCGGAGCAGACGTTGGTGAACCGGTTTGAAAAACGAGATCTAGGGTTCACCAAGAACGACATGTTGGAGTTGATACGGTTGGTCTACAGTGAAAAATTGGGCGACGGAGGAGGAAGCGCCTTCAACAAAAGTAAGTACAACGAGCTTCGAAAAAGAGCTGACGATATATTCGGATAGATATCTATAAGGAGTGGTGAGTTGTGGTAAAGTGTTGTGAAGTGTAGTGGAATGGAAAGTAGCTTAGTCTTGTTCTTCTGATTTGTACTTCACCATTATCTCGTATAATCATTAGCAGTGAAACGTGGAACCCAACGGCTTGAGGTTCATTCGGTCCGATAGTCTCTCAAAGACAAACCGGCCAACTCCCAAGCCGAGAACCACCGCAAAGAAGTACGTCAAGGTGTACGACATGGCAGCCAACATCAACGCAAATCCAAAGAGATCCGGCAAGATGCACAAGGCTAGACGGATGGCATTGCGGAACAAGCTAGAAGCAAATGACAAGCTGGGTGAAGTTTGGTTGGTTGTAACCTCCGCGGCTACTTCTGAGTCTGACGATAATTTATTTGTCTGAACTGGCCCGCAGCAATCTGAACGAGACCCCACAGGGGTCAATGTTTCCTGACCAGGATGGCACTCGACATAGGTTGGGTTTTTCCACACAACCAGCTCGAGGTAGTTTCTCACGAACTCTATGCCTCGGGTAAGAAAACCAACCACAAACAAGAGCAAAAAGATTCCGAAAGCCTGGCCCTTGTTACTGGCAGTAAGGGTTTTGAACAACACAGGATAGTTCTTGTACTGGGTAGTAAAGTACATGTGCATCAGTTCCATATCCATACCATGGTCATGATCCATATCCATACCGGTGGAAGTCGACATGGAACCCATTGTGGAAGAAGCCATATCCATCATGCTGTGAGTCATTGAAGCCATTGAACCCATCGAGGAGGAAGCCATATCCATGTGGCGCTTAACGTGGTGCATTATTAGGTTTTGGAAAATGGTCGGGGTAAGCTGGTAATTTATACCTTCATATTTGCTCGTGAGATGCCTGTTTTCGGGTCGAATGTGAGCATTTTAAGTCACGTGCGCGCATCGACCATCGCCGGTTACGGCTATTGATCGCCTCGTACGAGGCCCGGGCAGCGATGAGTACCACCCAAAACATGGTCATTTAGCCAGTCCTGGGCCAGGAACCGGGCCCCACACGCTGCACACAGGCCATCGAGTGGAATCATGTCGGTGAGAGTACTATGACTTCGGCCGCGCGGATTATCGAATTTGAAGTGAGCACGAAGAAGGTGCTTTTTGTAGTCGTAGGGGCGATTAAACTTTCCAGTTTTGTGTGAGCACGTAGAGCGCGGGTAGACACACTTGAAACGGCCAACTTCGTCGTGGATACGCATGTGCCTCGTAAGGTCTCTTGAGATGAATTTTTCACAAATCACACAAACCGAACCTTTCCCCGGTTTTTTCTTCTTGATAGCGTCTTTGTTGGAACCGATGGAAGATATCGAAGCGTTGCTCTGGTTCGAATCGGTGCGGTGGAACGTTGGTCTTTCGATGTCGAGGTGAGATATGTACAGTTTGGCGAGCGGCACCGGTTCGACGTCGAATGGATCGGGATGATATTCCGGAGGATGGAAGGGAAGTGGCTCTAGTTCTGGTTCAGGAACAAACTGGGCGAATTCCTGATCGGAACCGGTATTGTTAGCCATATCTTTGGACGAATTTGTGCTCTTGCGCTCCAAGCCGGTATCGTAAAAGTCAAAGTAGTCGTTCTGGATGGATGTAGGAGGTTTCATGAGAGGTGTAGTGTCTGTTTGAAACTGATGGAGCCTGTAGTCGTCTCCTGGAAACCCCTCCAAATCGGGATCTTGGATGCGAAGGTGGTCGTCCACGTCGAAGCTGGAATCTGAATGGGACGAAGCCAAGGGTTCTTTGAATTTCAGCAACAATTTGTTGTCTAGATTGTCTAACGGGATGAAAGTGGGTTTTTTCTTGGGTATCACGGGCGGTTTGGAGGCACGGACGTGGAGGGATTCCTTTGGTTTTGGGTTATTTGGAGGCGCCAAATCGTGGTCCTTGGGGGTAGCTGGGGTGGAGTCGTGGGCAGAAAAGTCAAAGTAGGTGAGAAAGTCATCGGGAGACGATTCTTTCGAGACATAGTTGATGGTTGCGGAGGGAAGCCCAGACACAAACGACACTGTCTCGGGCTGTTCTGGGGCGAATCGTCGTTGGTTTTGCATCGGAACGTGGAGGGAGGATCCGTTGTAGATGTGGGGGATGGAGTGGGGGTTATGTGGGAGTAAATTTTGGTTTCTTGGGTCGATTCTGTGCTGGTCGTGGTTTATGCTTTGATCATGGTTGTTTTGGCTTTGAGTTTGTGGGTTTTGGCTTTGACTTTGGTCGTGGTATCGAGGAAGAAACAGGGTGTATTGGAACCTATCGTTGTAAAACTGGTCGAAATTGGCATGTTGCCACATTTTGGTGGGATCAGGACTTGCGGGGTTGTCGAAATAGCGACCGTCCTGCGATTGTAGTTTTCGAGGGTCGTCGTAATCAGACGTATTTGTCATTTTGAGTGGCTAAGAATGTGGTGGAGTGGTGTGACATACAATAAGAATAGCCTGGGGCACCCAACTAAAGTGTAACACTGTTAAAATTGAAAGGCCAGCGAAATTGGTGTGGTGACAAAATGAATAAGGTGGAATGTTTTGTGAAGAAAACGAATAAATTTGTAGTTCTTCGAGTAGAAATTGGTTCTCCTGGTCCTCTTGATTGTATAGAAGACGGTAGTTGATCACAAAATCTTAAAAAATTTGGTTTGCAACAACCGTTTATATGTAAAGGGAGCAACAAGTGACTATGGAGTGGGGATGTGCGGGTGTGGTGTATGGGCGTGCCATTTTATATGTGGGGGCGCAGTGACCACCGCACCGAGTGGTTTACGGATGTGATGGGTTTCAGTGTAAGAAAATATTTGGGTGGATGCTCATAACCGAGCGATCGAGCCGCGCTAGACAGGGATCTGTGAAACGGCGTGCGGGCACCAAGACGGGGTGCAACATGGGTGCAGAATGACTGCAGAACTGAGCTTAATTGCGCAAATGCAGCAGCAGTACCTTAATGCAATCCAATCTGAATTGCTGCTGCTCTGCGCTGTTTCTGCAGTGTATCTACTAATTTGAACTGCTGCTACTGCTCTGCTCCGCTCTGCTCCGCTTCACTCTCAATGTCTCATTATCTATTTAAAAATCGTCCATATATGGACACCTCTTCGTTATATCTCCCGTCATCACATGGTCCTCGAGCCACGACGCTCCCAGAAACCTGAGCCCGCATTGACAAGTTCCCCAATACGTGAGCTTACCACTGAGGGTGTGATGTTTTTTTATTTCCGGATCATCGAATTCAAAATGGCGATTTAACAAGTGCTTCTTGAAATCATACCGTCGGTTGAACCGGCCCAGTTTGTGATTGCATTGACCTTTTGGGAACTTGCATTCGAACCGCGAATCCAGACGGTGCGTCCGCATATGCCGACTCATATCTCTGGTAATTTTCTTGCCGCAAACGGAACAGAGACTGTAGTCTACACATGTGGTTTCCACCATGGGGAGAATCATGCTGGAATTGGCATTAATCATACTGGTCATATCGGGGTACTGATGCGGGTCCACCGGTGGCTGATCCGCCCCCAATTCTAGTGGGCCACTTCGTAGTATTTGAGGCGACAATTGAGGCCGCGAAGAATACGAGTATTGAGGACTCGATAAAAAAGACAGGGGCTGGGTGGGGGAAAACGAGTCGAGGTCGGGGTCGTCGTGGCCGCGGAGCTGACCAGGCAAGAAGCCAAGGGAATGATTTTGTTGATTAAGGGCTTGGATCTGTTGACTAAGGGTTTGACTAGTTTGTTGATTAAGGGATTGTTGATTAATTTGATTTTGGCTGCTTTGTTGTTGATTATTGGTTTGGTTTTGGTTTAATTGGCTTTGTTGTTGGTTGTGGCTTGGTTGACCCTTCAGCTCGGGAAGCTGGTAAAGGTGATAAAGCTCCCCGTTTTCAAAGGTATTGGAAAAGTTGGGCAAAACAGCTTCGGTATAATTGAGTAATTCCATAGGCAATGTAGTGATAGGCTGGTATTAGTAAAGCCAGATTCGGTTACAATATTAGAACGGCTAATTGAGGTGTAATCGCCTTATCACCTTTATATAATTATGGCCATAAAAATTATGAAAAACGACCAATCGCCCTTGGGTCTGCTATTTAAAGTTTCAAATGGCTATTCAGCAAGCAACGATACTCTAGAATCCAAGGCGAATATGCGATTCGTCGTCTGTGGCTCTGCCGCATTGAAATGAGTATGCATACGGCCAGTTGCGGCCCACATGAAACCATGCATGAGAGGGGGCAGGAAAAAAAATAAAAAAAAGAACCTCTGGAAAGATGTGGGAGACTAACATGAAATTGCACTTTTAGACCAATTTGAGTAGACTGAGGAGATGAAGTGCCGAGACCAATACACTCAATGATCAGTAGACAATAGGATGGAACATGAACAAGGGCCTGAACTCTGGGGTGAACCTTGGGTGAACCATGGGTGAACCATGCAGACCTTCGACTTCGACATGCAGCTGCACATGTAAGCGATGACCGAAACGCATTTGTAGTGCATCGAGGCTAATTTACGCCGCCGTTCTTTTCGAATATGTCCGCATCAGAATTGCTGCAGCCTGCACCGAACCCAACAGCACCGATCGGAGGGGAGAAATTCCCAAGTGGGGTAAGGGTTGTCTGGGCGTCAAGCGCAGTCGCTTATTTGCGTGGCGGCATTGCCTAATATTTGGGTGCTTGTCGTAAGTGACTACTTGTGATTGGCTTTATCAATATGCGCAATGTGGAAATTTCAAGGCCGAGAAATATTTTTTAGTCTATACAGATCTCTAGGCTTGTGAACTACTTTTAGTTTCAGCACTGACGTCAGTGTTGCGGCGCCACCCAGAAGGGTTTGAACCGAATAGCAAAAATGTTCATATGATTATGATTCGTAATAATACTCTTGATAACATTGAGAAATAACTTCATTCTATCGGAGAACATCCATCGGAACCTTACATAAAATTGACACAAATGGGTGAGATCTTGCGGTTGCACCTGCAGCAATAGGAGATCTCACCTCATCATCTAACGGCCAACAAATTTTAGTAACATTAGGCGAGCATATCCGATATGGCGATCGGTGATCTTCGGTGAAAAGTAATAAAAAGACCGATAAAAGAAATTGAAAGAGGTGAAAAGAAACAAATAGGAAGGAAAAGAAACAATTATACCGAAGAGAATTGATCGTCCAATATTGATCGGCTAGGCAACTAAACAATGCAAAAGGTGCATTTCGCTACGTTAACGAAAGGTGGGGACGACGACATACAATATAAAAAAGATGGGCATACGAAACAATGGTCATTGTAATAACCGAAAAATAATAAATTCATTTCCGGGTCGCCAAGTAGACGAATTCATTTCAAGCCGACATGCCGCTCGTAAGTACGAGGTAAGCGTCACGAGAAGAAACCTGTACCCTGTGCGGCTCACCCTGCATCAATTAAATTGCGCGAAATGAAGTACAGGAAACGGAAGATTCTAGGCATATGCAAAAATAGAGTCGGCATATGCATATGCAACAGGTACGAATGAGGCTCTATTGTGGACTCTCGGAATTACTGGGAAGGAGGAAATAAATCCGTAACGTGCAGATTCCTTGTGGTTTCGCCAAGAATTTTGTTCCTCGAACCGACTGTCGTCTCTGCAAGAACCCCACTATTATCCGCCGCCAATCTTCTAAAAGTTACTGAACAATTTTGGGATGTAAATCGCCAGCAACTCCGGCGCTGTATGCAGGTCTCGTCAAATTTCATTTCCATGCATCGAGCGAAACTGTTTAAACCGAAATGTTGGGAGGGAAACTTTTCTAATCTCCGTTAAAGTTGTCGTGTAACGATCACGTGACTATCATCGAAGATGTTTGAAGTAAGAATGTAAAGTTTATTTTAGATGATAACGACTAAGTTCTGGGCATTTAAATTTTCCGCTTTCAGCCTGAAATTTAGTCTTTCAATGTTTTGAGGTTCTCATTTTCAGAGACTTTCTCAATTATCAATTTCAATTCTCATTTTCGGTGATTTTTTCAATTCTCATTTTTCAGTAATTTTGAAATATTGCTCGCAATTTGCACCCAATATTTCTGCAACTTTTCATGTAAAATTGAAAAGCGAACTAGTCGAGACCGTCGAATATGCATGAGCTGCATCAATGCCAAAAAAGGAAACGCTAGACGAGAATAATGCATGTTTTGCGGAATGCAACTAAACTATGATACAGGCCATGTGCAAGACTAGTGCGATTACGAGGTTAAAGCTACGAGACTAAGAGATCAGAGACTCAAGAGGATTATTCATTTTTAGTTTTGGAAAACTTAAAAGTCTTTGAATTTGAATTATAAACTTCAACTGGCAAGTGGAGCGAAATAGACGATTTCTGAGCCGAATGTGGACTTGTTAGCCGCTTATTGCTATTTCGAGCAATTTAAATTTCAAATCTAAAAACGCTTCTCACCAGTTTCGAATTCAAATTTATTCCAAGGTCCTCAGTGACAAGAAAAGATTCAGCACTGAACAACAGTATTACCAGTTTATCTTCATCTCGTGTTTGAGCGGCATATCACGTGACCTTTCTATTCACGTGACCCCATTTCGCAGTCACCGCCGGGTAACTCCTCTTCCACGACCCGCGCTAACAAAAATTTTTCATATTTTTCATCATCTACCAACCACTACAACATGGGTGCCTACAAATACTTGGAAGAGCTTCAAAGAAAGAAGCAATCAGATGTGATGCGTTTCCTCTACCGTGTCAGATGCTGGGAATTGAGACAAAAGAACGTCATCCACAGAGCTTCTAGACCTTCCAGACCAGACAAGGCTAGAAGATTGGGTTACAAGGCCAAGCAAGGTTTCGTTATCTTCCGTGTTAGAGTCAGAAGAGGTAACAGAAAGAGACCTGTTCCAAAGGGCGCCACTTACGGTAAGCCAACCAACCAAGGTGTTAAGCACTTGAAGTACCAAAGATCTTTGAGAACCACCGCCGAAGAGAGAGTTGGTCGTCGTGCTGCCAACTTGAGAGTTTTGAACTCTTACTGGATCAACCAAGACTCCACCTACAAGTACTACGAGGTGATCTTGGTCGACCCATCTCACAAGGCTATTAGAAGAGATGCCAGATACAACTGGATTGTCAACCCAGTGCACAAGCACAGAGAATCCAGAGGTTTGACTTCCGCCGGAAAGAAATCCAGAGGTATCAACAAGGGTCACCTTTACAACAAGACCAAGGCTGGACGTCGTCACACCTGGAAGAAGCACAACACTTTGTCGTTGTGGAGATACAGAAAGTGATTGGACGCTGGAGTTGTGGATGCTATTTGGTGTCAGGTTTGCTGTGCTGGTTTTCCAGGGTTTTCTGTTTTTCGGTCAACGTTTGGACTTCCTTGGACTAGACTTGCTTCAGCTTTGCTTGGCAGTTAATACAAATCTCTTTCATCTCAATGATGTAGAAGCGTAGACACACTTTAAATTTTCTCTTCTCTTTTTGAATATTTCTCAGGAAGCTTGTTGACGGAAATTGTCAGCAATAAAAAGGTGATGTGGTATTGAAGCAGATCGGAAATTAAATCCGAACAATGGATCTAATGGACTTAGACTGAAAGTCAATTAAAGTAGAAGACTGAAAAGTAAAAGAATTAGTAGAATTAATGAAAGTGACAGAAAACCAAAATTATTCAATATCAAAGAAGAAAGTCGACTTGTATATCAAATTCAAGTCTTTGCACTGCTCAATGCTTAGTTCTTTGCACTGCTCACTGCTTCACAGTTCGCAGTTCGCAGTTTCGCATTCCCACCCAACCACCACTGACTCGGCCCCCCAATTGACCGCGAATAATTAATCACTCCTCAACACTTTTCGTTTGCTACATTTCAATGACAAAGCACACTAAGACCGCCATCTTGTCTGTGTACGACAAGACAGGCTTGTTGGACCTCGCCAAGGGCTTGGCTGCCCAAAACGTCCGGATCTTGGCTTCCGGTGGTACTGCTAGAATGGTTCGTGATGCTGGATTTCCGGTCGAAGATGTTTCTACAATTACTAGAGCCCCGGAAATGCTTGGTGGTAGAGTCAAGACACTCCACCCTGCTGTGCACGGAGGTATTTTGGCGCGTAACTTGGAAAGTGACGAGAAAGATTTGCATGATCAAGGCATTGAAAAGGTGGACTTTGTGGTGTGCAATTTGTACCCATTTAAAGAGACAGTTTCAAAGGTTGCGGTGACTATAAACGAAGCCGTGGAGGAGATTGATATTGGAGGCGTGACCCTCTTGAGAGCAGCTGCCAAAAACCACGCCAGAGTCACCATCTTGTCGGATCCAAACGACTATGCTGGATTTTTGCAAGAATTGAAAACCGGAGAAATTTCCGCTCCAACTCGTAATCGTTACGCGTTGAAGGCATTCGAGCACACCGCCGACTACGACGTGGCCATCTCGGACTTTTTCCGCAAACAATACGCCGAAAACATCTCGCAATTGCCTTTGAGATACGGCGCCAACCCCCACCAGAAACCAGCCCAGGCTTACGTTTCTCAGGGCGAACTTCCTTTCAAGGTGTTGTGTGGGTCTCCCGGCTACATCAACCTTCTCGATGCTTTGAACTCGTGGCCTTTGGTTAAGGAATTGAGTGCGTCGCTCAACCTTCCAGCCGCTGCTTCGTTCAAGCACGTTTCTCCCGCCGGTGCCGCCGTGGGAATTCCTCTTTCCGACATTGAAAAGAAGATTTACTTTGTAGAAGACATTGAGAATCTCTCGCCGTTGGCCAATGCCTACGCCCGTGCTCGTGGAGCCGACAGAATGTCGTCGTTCGGCGACTGGATTGCCCTTTCCAACATTGTCGATCTTCCCACCGCCCAGATCATCTCCAAGGAGGTTTCCGATGGTGTCATTGCCCCAGGATACTCGCAGGAAGCACTCGATATCTTGAAGAAGAAAAAGGGTGGAAAATACTGCATTTTGCAAATCGACCCCAACTACACTCCCGACACTTTGGAGTCTCGTCAAGTGTACGGAATCACCCTCCAGCAGAAGAGAAACGACGCCATCATCAAGGGCTCATCTTTCAAGGAAATCGTGTCGAAAAACAAGGCCCTTACCGAGCAAGGTGTCATTGACTTAACGGTGGCTACCATTGCTCTCAAATACACCCAATCCAATTCTGTGTGCTACGCCAAAAACGGTATGGTGATTGGCTTGGGAGCTGGCCAGCAATCCCGTATCCACTGTACTCGGTTGGCAGGAGACAAAGCCGATGCCTGGTGGTTGAGACAGCACCCTCGGGTTCTCGCATTCGAATGGGCTAAGGGTACCAAGCGTCCCGACAAGGCCAATGCCATCGACTTGTTCGTCACCAACCAGGTTCCTACCGAGGAGCCCGAGAAGTCGGAATACGAGTCCAAATTTGTCAAGGTTCCCGAACCATTGACGGCGGAAGAGAGAAAAGAATGGTTGAACAAAGCCTCGGAAGTCGCATTATCTTCCGATGCATTTTTCCCATTCCCAGACAATGTGCATCGTGCTTCCCGTTCGGGAGTAACGTATGTGGCTGCTCCTTCGGGATCGGTGATGGACAAGGCCGTTTTTGCAGCTGCCGACGAATATAACATGGTGTATGTGGAGAACCAGATCCGGTTGTTCCATCACTAGAGGAAGAGAGAGGGAGGCTCAGGAAAGAATTAGGAAGTTGTAGGAAGAAGTAGGAGAGGCAGTAGAATAAAATACTCAGTTTAATTTCTTACTCTATTCACCACATTTGTTCTGCCAGTTCGCATTTTTCGCACTAAATCTCATTTTCACCGAAAATCTTAACACGTCGAACCATGGCTTCCGAGTACACCTATGACGAAGACGGCGAAACGTGGCCTTTTTTCGTGATGGCCGTGCTCTCCTTCGCCCTAGTGCCTCTCACAGCAAAATGGGCTTGGCGAATCGTTTCCTCAGACCGAAAAAAGGTCAATGTGCCTGGTGCCATCGACCACACTTCCACGTCTCTTGGGTTAGAAAACGCTGGCAGCATTGGTGATTTCAAGAGAAAACGTACTTCGGACCGAATCTTCAACAAAACTTTGCTTGTGGTGGTTTTGGGCTGGGCAATCGTTGGATATATTGGATGGAACCATACCAAGGAAGCCAACCTTCAAGGAACATTTGACCCGTATGCTATTTTGGACGTGGCGATGAATGCTTCCGAGAGAGAAATCAAGAGCAAGTACAGAAAGCTCTCGTTGAAGTTCCACCCGGATAAACTTCCTCAGGATATTACTGATGCCGTCAAACAAGAGATGGAAGCGGCGTTCATCAAGATTAATTTGGCCTATAAATCGTTGACAGACGAAGTCACCAGAAACAACTTTTTGCGCTACGGACACCCCGATGGACCTCAGGACGTCAAACATGGAATTGCACTTCCCAAATTCTTGGTGGAAGGAAAGTACTCGCCGCTCATGGTGGTGATTTACTTTGCTTTGGTGGGTCTTTTGCTTCCTGTGGTTGTGGGTCGCTGGTGGTCCAATGTCAAGGCCCACACACGTCGAGGACTTCATGTAGACACGGCTGGGATTTTTACTCGTAAATTGACCGATAGAAACCCGGCAAAAGCGGCCACTCCAAATATGCTTCTTGAGTGGTTGGTGCAAGCCCACGAATTGAAGGAGGTTACGGGGGATATGGAGCCTGCTCAAATCAGAAAATTGATCGATGCTCACTTCCAGAGACAATCTGGACCTTCAGATTTGCAAAAACTTCAAATCGTTGCCAAACTTCCCAACCTTATAAATGGCTTGATAGATATTGCCAACGTGTTTCGTCAGTTTGACGTGGTTGCTACGGCAGTTGACCTCCACAAAGCTGTCGTTCTGGCCGTTAACCCTTGTGGAAAGTACCAGGAACTTCTCCAGCTTCCTTATGTTGACGAAAATCAAGTCGAGGCCCAGCCGGTCAAAAGACTTGGAAAACTCTTTGCTATAAAAGAAGACGAAGCCGGGAAAGCATTGGGAATTACCGATGCGCAAAAGCTCAAGACTACGCTCAGCATTGCTGCACATATTCCTTCGCTTCGGATCCTCGATGCTTCCTTCAAAGTTCCCGGAGAAGACAAAGTTACTCCTGCTTCCAAAGCTCATTTGGTAGTCAAATTTCTCGTAAAGTCTCCACGGTTGAAATCATGTCCTCGTATTGACGACGAAAGGCTCAAAGAAGTCGAGACGATGGAAATGTTAAGAAACCCTCTCAAAACCAATGATGAGGAAACTTCATTGCCGCACGCATATGCTCCATACTTCCCAGAGCCTGTTGCTAACAATTGGTATGCATTCATTCTCAATCAAAACGACAACCGTATAGTGGAAGGCAGTGAAGTATGCAAGCTTGAAAACATCGATTTGCTGAATTTGAATCTCGCACAAGAACTGTGGATTTCTGGCAAAGAAGGCGAGGTTAAAATCAGCACATTCAAGATTCCACTTTCGCAGCCTACAGCCTCTGTACCCGGAGTTTCTCACTATAGATTGGTCATGAAGAACAACGTCTACTTTGGATCGGATGTTGATATTCCTCTTACTTTGGAGGTCAAGCCAGTACCACCCAAGATTCCTCTGAATAAAGAAGCCGTCAGAGATGATTCCGATGACGAAAGCGATATTTCTGACCCAGAGGAAGACTCACTTGCGGGAGCTCTCGCTGCCTTACGTGGAGGACCGGTCAAGAAAACTGAACCGGAGGAAGAAGATAGCGACGAAGAAGTGTTTACGGATATCAATACCGACACAGAAGACGAGAGTTGAGCGAGCTGGAGCTAGGAGGTAAGTTATATATAGCTAAAGATAGCTAATGAAGTAGATACTGAGAATACGGTGAAGAGGAAGAATATAGATTGAAGAGTCTGGGATTACTTGTAGAGAGTATACTGGAATAGTAGATTTGTAGAAAATAAAGATTCTGTAATTTTGAGAAATTGCACATATCAAACTATGAAGAGTTGGTCTATGGTCAAATGAAAATTTATAGCTGAATGTCTAAAAAAATGAATTCTTAGAATAGTACTAGTTTATAGTGAAAAACGGCTTTATCATTTTATAGCGGAGACTTGTATATTGAACTTACAGTAGAAAAACCTCCATACCAGAAAGACATGCTTATCTTCAGAAAAAGTTTATTCAGAAAAGTATGAGGTTATCTTCAGTATTCTGAAACTAATCTTTCTTCCATATTATATTTTCATCCGCAATATAACCGCATCGGGGCTATCAAGGCCCTGATCCTGATAATATTTTGGCACATTTTCCGACAATTCAAACCCTCGTTTTTTGTACCAGTCCACAGCATGAGTGTTACTAGCTTGAACATGCAAGAAAACTTCATGAATGAATCTTTTTTTGGTTTCTTCAATGACATATTCAAGTAATTGTGATCCGATTCCCAAACCTTGATACGCCGGTAAAACAGCTAGCGATTCCACGTACATGGCATTGGGAACGGAATTGACCGCTAAATGATGCTGTTGGGTTTGAGTATGAGAATTGGACGAATGCGATGTATTAAACGGTTTTGCTTTAACACCTCCAACTGGTATTTCAGCGTAAAAACCCAACTGCTCAACCACACCTTTTTCCAAGCAGTCTTTGTACCACTGATCTGGAAACGTTACTGGAAAACATACCTCGTTTATCTTTTGAAAAACTCCAATATTATTTGGAGTGATATCATCCAACGAAACGATGCTGCGGCCCATGCTGTCAAAATGCAGTGGAAGCCAGTTGCAGCCCTCGAGAAGTCGGAGGTGATGCTGGCTTATGTAAGCGCTACGGTCACCGACTCGACCGAATGAACTTCAAAGATGCAATTGAGTCAATTGAGTACTGAGTTCGGTTCTATATTCAGTTCTAAACCTTCTGGTATCACCAATTGAGAAATCTGGCGGCATTTTCCCGATTCGTACAACTTTACCAATCACACGCCATTTGTAACCGGTGACCGCGAAGCCTGTGATTGAGTCGGAATTCAACTACCATCGTCGAAAATGATTACCACGATTCTCATTGTAGGATTGATCCTTCTTATTCTCAGAACAGTTATCAATGATTTCCGCAGTTCCAATCCTTTGGAAGAGCAAGAAAAAGACGAAACCGTGCTTGCGGGAAAGTTTACCCCACAAACTCTCGCCAAGTACAACGGTTCTGACAACCCTCGGATCTTCATCGCAGTGAAGGGCCGGGTGTTTGACGTGACGCAGGGAAAGACATTTTACGGGCCCGGAGGACCTTATGCCAATTTTGCGGGGAGAGATGCTAGCAGGGGTTTGGCGCTCAATTCGTTTGAGGAATCGTGCTTGACACCACTTGACGAGCCCATTGACGATTTAAAGGGATTGACAAAGGAGGAATTGGAGTCTTTGGAAAACTGGGAGGACCACTTTGAGAACAAGTACAAGGTGGTGGGGACCCTCGGAAATGAGTAAGTGAAGAAGTAAGTAAGAAAAAAAAGTAAGGAAAAAAAGTAAAGTGTGAATGGTAAGAATTAAAGTATAAATGAAACGTAAGGTTTAGAAACGGTATGAACAGCTCTTCTAGATTCTGACAGACAAGACCTTTTCGTCTCTCTTCCTCGCTTCGCTCGGGCTCGTCTGGCTCGCACCCAGACACCACCAACTCAAACTCAACTCATCTCTCTCACCAACAACCATGAGCTATCGTGGCCGCGGAAGAGGAGGTTTTCGGAACACTTCGGGCCCCAGACAGGGCGACATAGACCAGTTTGCTGCGGCAAACTCATTTCCGGTTCTGATAACCGGATGGACCGGCGCTACGGTTGAAGAATGTGTAAAATTCATCTCGAGAAAATGCCGAATTTCGGTTCTAAATGCCACTTCCGACGCCGCTGGGGTAATGCACGGGTACGTCAAGTCTCAGAAGGACGCCGACGACTTGGCCAATTGGTCTGGGGTCAAATTTGCAGGCCAACTGCTCCGGATTTCCAAGGACTTTTCCGGACAAGGTGGAACAAATACTGCCATTGAAGCCATTACCCAGTTTCTCCAGTCACGCTACAACCCCGGAATGAAGATGTTGAACTTGGCACTGGTGCTGCAGGACCCCAATTTGGTGGCGAAGGGGTTTTTTGGGTCGGTGAATACCGGGTCGAAATTCTTTCCTGCTCTCATGAAAGTGGCTCTGGATCTCAAATTGGACGTTGAAACAATTGATCTTTCGGGAAACGACTTGAGCGACTTGTCGGCGATCTCGGCTATGGCTCCAACCTTTCCCAAACTTCGCAACTTGAGCTTGCAAAATAACAACTTCAAGTCGCTCAAGGTGTTTGATCCATGGAAACACAAATTGTCGTTTCTTCGCGAGATCATCTTGACGCAAAACCCCATGATAGACAACCACACCAACCCTGCGGACCGAGCCTCCATCAATGGCGAACTTATGCGACTTTTTCCTAGGCTCATAGTGCTCAATGGTGAGATAATAAGAAACGAACAGACACTCATGGCCAACCTCACGTTCCCATTCGAGGCACCCGAACCTATGTTTTTCCTGGACGAAGAAATCAGAAACATGTCCACCAATTTTATTACCAATTTTTACAATCTTTGGGATACAAACCGGAATGAGCTTTTGGTGTTGTACCAAAATGAATCGCAATTTTCCATGCAAGTTGACCTGGCTCATCCTCACATTACCGAGGGTGGTCAGGGTACTGACTTTGGATACTACCTCCCCAACTCGAGAAATTTAGCCAGGGTTTCATCGACCAAAATTCGCCAAAGCAGAGTTGCTATTGGTCCCGCCAATATCTCGAAATTTTTTGCCCAGCTTCCACGGTCTCGTCACGAACTCATACAAAAGCCCCATCTCTACAGCATGGAGAGTTTCCGGTTTCCTCAGCTCAACGGAATCATGATGACATTGCACGGAACATTCGAGGAAACCGCCGCACCAGACAACACCGAACAGGCCAATTCTTCAGCTTCGAAAAACAGGTTCCACTACCAAAAGAACAAAAAAACCCCATTATCGCCTAAGAGCTTTGACAGAACATTTATTGTGATTCCTGGTCCCAATGGGTCTATGATTGTGGCCAGTGACTTGCTTCTCATTCGTCCTCCAGGAGGAAATGAAGCCTGGTCTGCTACACCGTCCACACCCGCTTCAGCAACCCCCACACCCACACCAACTCCCACAGCAACCCCCACGCCAAGTGGTCCCACTACCGCTGATTTACCAGCAGAAATCAAGGCCAATCTCAATCCTGGACAACAGGAATTACTTGTCAAGGTTCTATTGGAAACCAAACTTAACCTTCAGTATGGTATTTTGTTGTGTGAACAAAGCAGCTGGGACTACCAGCAGGCCACGGTGAACTTTAAGAACTCTGTGGGGTCGTTACCACGAGAGGCATTCCAGGTGTAAAAAGGCGAGTGTAGAAACTCAAAAAGTAATCATCATAAGTAAGACTATAGGACAAACAAAGACAAATAAAGATAAACCAATAAAAACAATCACAAACAGATTATAAGCCCATATACCCCAGCAAATATGCATTACACATCCTTATCCACTTGGTCTCTCCACCTCCATTTTGCAACTCGCGTCCTGTACACAGCACCCATCTCTCATCTTCGACCAACCACTGTCTTCAACATGGGCTACAATATAGCCATGGTTTCGGACTTTTTCTACCCCCAGCCGGGCGGGGTGGAGTTCCACGTGTACCATCTATCGCAAAAGTTGATTGATATGGGCCATTCGGTGATAATTATATCTCATCACTATGGAGATCGAAGAGGAATCAGAACTCTAACAAATGGCCTAAAAGTATACTATGTCCCATTTTTGATAGTATATCGAAGCAGCGCCTTTCCTACAGTGTTCCTGGCGTTCCCTATTCTCCGCAACATCTTCATTCGAGAAAAAATAGACATCATTCATGGCCATGGAAGCTACTCAACTTTGTGCCACGAAGCCATTCTTCACGGCAGAACCATGGGACTTCGAACCGTGTTCACCGACCACTCGCTCTTTGGATTTGCAGACTTTACGTCCATTGTGGGAAACAAATTGATGAAATTCACCATGAGTGATGTGGGCCATGTAATCTGTGTGTCCAACACTTGCAAAGAAAATACTGTTCTTCGAGCATCTTTGGACCCATTGAGTGTTTCTGTCATTCCCAATGCTGTCGTTTCTGAAGATTTCACTCCACTAGACCATCCAAGAGACAGCAACGAAATCACAATTGTCGTAATTTCTCGGTTATTTCCTAATAAAGGAGCCGATTTACTCACAGCTATCATTCCCACCATATGTGCCGCTCGTCCAAATGTACGATTTTTGATTGCGGGCGATGGTCCTCGATACCTCGATATAGAGCAGATGAGAGAAAAGTACGTTCTTCAAGACCGGGTCACCTTGATAGGCGGAGTCAAGCATGAAGAAGTTCGCGATATCATGGTAAAGGGCCAAATCTACCTTCACCCGTCTTTAACGGAAGCATTCGGCACGGTTATTGTGGAAGCTGCCTCGTGTGGTCTTTACGTAGTCACCACAAAGGTGGGTGGTATTCCTGAGGTGCTTCCCAGCCATATGACTACATTTGCAGAACCAGAACAAGAGTCGCTAGTAGAGTCGACACTATCAGCTATCGATCTTGTGCAATCAAAAAAGATAGATACTTCGACTTTCCACGAAGAAGTGGCCAAAATGTACAGTTGGCAAAATATCGCCTTGAGAACAGAAAACGTCTACAACTCATTAAGCAAAGAAAACGAGCCATTTTTGACCCGGCTCGAAAAATACCATTGTTGTGGGGTTCTTGTGGGCAAACTCTTTGTGCTTTGCGTGGTTGTGGACATCTTCATATTGGCCATCTTGGACATCTTGTATCCAGCTGAACATATAGACATCGCTACCAAATGGCCCAAAAGACGGCAAAAGAAAAAGGCATAACTTCGCCCTACCAGATTCATCGAGCGAGCCAGAGAGAACAAACTTCAACAAGCTAACTGAACATAGTTCACCCAGTAACTTAGCCCTCTAATTAATGATTGATGACTTGAAAGCACTTTCTCTCATTGCTTCGTAGCGACATCTTTCCTCCTTTTGCACTGCAAGAATGTACTCTGCGTTCTCTTTTCGAGGCACCCATTCGTTTGAAAGCCTGATTCTTACCGGCTTGCAACTTATGGCTAACTTTTGAAGATAATGCCCACAGTCGCCTAGTGGATTTATGTGACCTTTCAACTTTGGGACGAGAGGACCAAAATCAACTTTGTTGGTTGTTGGTTTATTTTCCAAAACCACCCGTCGTAAAAACTCAGCTTCACTTTTATATGCTAGGGCTCTCAAAGAGACTTTCTTCATACCAATTTCGGCATTTGGGTCTTTGTACAAATCCGCAAGATAGGATTCGAACTGTTGAAAGTTTGCAAGTTCTTTTTCCAATTTAGATTTGGAAATTTCCAATTCACTGAGTTGCAGCTTAAGGTCGCTATGTTTTTGCTTGATCTCCACCAACTCGTCATAAACAGTTTTGTACGATTTTTGGTGGTTAATATTGGCAGTCTCAAGGGCTTTGTGGAGTATATCGACATTGATCTCAAGATCGTGAATCTTGCGAAGACGATCAGCATCCACAAGTGGTGGTTTGGGATCGGTGGTTTTGTTGGACGAAAGGGCCTTATTCCTCTCTTGAAGCTTAAATTGAGGCTTTCGTTCTTGGCTTAAAAACTTGTTCAATTGGGACAACATTTCAGATAGTAAATCTACTTTAGAAGGTTCATTATTATGGATATTGTCCATCTTTTTATACCACGAAAAATCAAGAGTCTCAAACTCTGCATCGTCATCAACACTCCATTTTTTCAATTCTTCTCGAAACGCAACCAATCGTTGAATATAGCTGTCAATATCACTGGACAGGAAATCACCAAAAGTTGACTTTAACAGTTCCAAATGTAACAAGCAGTATTCTATAGTGAACTGTGTGTGGAACTTGCCATGAGGAACCATTTCGAACACCTCCAAAATAAACAGGAGAGTAAACTCTGACCCATCAAGGTCATATTCTTGTATCTCTATGTTGGCAGATACTTTGTCAAGCGTTCGAGAAAGAGACTGCAACATCTGATCATCACCCCTCATCAAGTTCCACTCCAATGATGTCACTATCAATCTCATACACCGCTTGAGGGACTCGTATCTGCAAACAACCTGGGTGTTTAAAGGTCTCATATGACGTAGACGACTGATAATCACTTGGGTTAAGTATGTGATCTCGTTGGCAGTATAGATACAGTCAAAAAACAGAGACTGTGGGGGCTGAGCTAGACGAAAAGATTGAATATTAGGTCTTGAAATTGGAGTTTCTGCAATCAAAATGGTGTCAGCATGGACATCTTTGGCAAATTCCTCAAGTTTTTCACGAAGGTGCTTATTAGAAACTTCTAGCTGTTGAAGCTGAGCTTTTATCCTGTCGTTTTCTCTGCTCATTTCAGACAAAGTATTCTTCAAATCAGACTCAACTTCGGCATGTTTCTCCTCGAGCCCACGATCCAACTCTACTAGTTCATTAAGGTCCAAAACTGTGCTTTCTAGAGTTTGGATCTTGGCAGTCAATTCGTGGTTTTCTCCCGTAAGACGATCAACGATTTCATCAACATTTGAATTTGTATCCAACTGTGCTTGTAGAGAGTCGATTATTTCTTTCGAATCTGCTAGTTTCTGCTCAAGTCGAGAAAGAGACGCCAGCTTCAATTCTGACTGTTCAGTGGTTTCTGTAAGTGTCTGAATTTGCTTCAGCATTGCCAGTAATTTTTCGCTGTTGTCTTCAAGTTTCTGTTCCAACGCCTTATTTTTCACCAATATCAGTTTTATTTCCTCTTCTGATAAATCGGACACGTCCACTTGGGCAGAAACTAGCTGCTCCAACTGCCGGTTGAGCTCCGACTCTTCCATGAGAGCTTCAAGTTCCAGTTTGAGCTCATTGTACTTTACATGGAGGGAATCGAGTTCCTGCCTCAATTCTTCGTTTTCGGTCTCAAGAACCTCCTTGTCAACAGAAAGCATCTCTATCTTTGATTCAGCAGCATCTACGCTTTTTTCTGAAGCTTCAAGTTGCTTCTTTATAGCTATTAGCTGGTGATCTACCGACCCCAATAATTTCAGGTTCTGATTAGAAAAGCCATCTGAAGACGGATTTCCAACTTGGTCCCCATTTTCGGAAGCATGTCGTACCTTTGACTCTCTCACGAAGATTCCATGGTTTGGAGGACACAGAAAATAAGAAATTCCACCAACAGAACCGTCATTTTTTCCCACCGGTTGTGTCAATTCCACGCCTACCCAAACCCCAGGTGCAAACTGCGTGCGCCCATAGTACCGGATTGTGCCATTTCCCGCCTCCAAAGTCACATTTTGTCCTACAAACATGCAATTGGTTCAAATAAACGGAATGAGATTTAAGTTGATTTAGCGACTCAAATCGAAATGGACTGCATGTAAACTGACAATCGCGTTTATCTCAAAACACATCTAGTAGTCGTTACAACCTGGTCTGGAACTATGAGTACTCCTCAGAAGCGCAATGCCAGCAATTTGAAACAAGAGCTACTCAATGAGCAGAAACAAGAAATCAGAGAAGCGTTTTCGCTTTTCGATATGAATAACGACGGGTGTTTGGATTACCACGAACTCAAGGTCGCGTTCAGAGCACTCGGCTTCGACCTTTCCAAACGAGAAGTGTTGGATATTATACACGAATACGATACCGACGACCGCAATTTGATCACATACGAGAACTTTTTCCAAGCAGGTACGTAAAAAAAAGGAGAATGAATACGACTTGAAAAGAGATGAAGTGTGATTTAGTATCGCTTTTTCGATGCCAAGTTCTGGGATTTATGACAGATTTGTTTACTAGTGGGCAATTGCTCGCTGGCATACTCCTTGTCTTTTTCTTTCTGTGATTTTCTTTCTTCTTTTTCTTTCCTTCATCTTTTCTCTACTAACACAGTCGGTGAAAAAATAATCAAAAGAGATCCCCTCGACGAGATCCGCAGAGCATTCAAGCTCTTCGACGACGACAACACGGGCAAAATCAGTCTTCGTAACTTGCGACGGGTAGCAAAAGAATTGGGTGAAAATCTCACCGATGACGAACTACGGGCCATGATTGACGAATTTGATCTCGATGAAGATGGAGAAAGTAAGTAAACCAGAACTACAAACCACAACAGCTCACTAACACAGTCAACGAACAGGAATTCATAAACATATGTACAGAATAGCCTCTAATGTATTATACCTTATACGCCCATACACCAGACTGGTTTGAACAATTTTAATTTTTCATCCATTTCTCAACACATCATGTCGTGGAACACTGCCAAAAAGCGGTTCCAGAGGGACATAGACAAGTACCCAAAGGCGTTACGTGATGTCTACCTCGCCAAGACAAACAGGTACACCCTTCCCACGTTTGAAACGAAGCAGTGGCCCATTCCCAAAAATCAGCGTCGCAACGACCTCGCCAAGATCGGATTGGCTAGCGGAGATTTGGCGTATATAACCGAGGGCGAGAAGAAAGGAACCATCTCCAAAATCTTCCAGTACTCTCCTGAACTTGACTCGGTGCTTTTGGCCGACGTAACTTCCAAAAAACTCATTCCTCCTCAGAATTGGGTCGAGCACCAGAACAGTCATCTCATGGATTACCCAGAATATGTTCCACGTAGCTCCATCAAAATTGCCGCCAAGGACAAGGATGAGAACGGCAAGGTGTACTATGTGGTGGCTGACGATATAGAGTATCGTGACAAGTATTACGACGACAGGTACAAACAATGGCTTCCTCGCAGGTTTGTCAAGCATCATAAAACCATCGAAATTCCATGGCCCAATCCTCCGCTGGAGCCCAAGGATGACTATCTCTCCACCAAGGAACCAGTGGTGCTTGAAAAGACCTACGAACTTCAATCCTTGGCTATTTCACCAGTTCCAGCAGATGCTCTCTCGCAATTGAGAACTCCATATTCCCGCCATAAAAAGAGAGTGCTCACTGAAATCCAAGCCAGAAAGATGAATGCACCCTCCATGCCGCTCTCTGACGAACAGAAGATATATCTCGCCAAAAAAGCGGCAGAACCTCCAAAGACATACAAGCCTCTTAGTGATGAAATCAAAGAGTTTATTGGCGAACGCATTGCTGCTCACATGGAGACGATAGAGAGTCCCGCTATGAAGCGCCACTTGGAGGCGTTGTCTCAACAAAAGATCCCCAAAGACCCCAAAATCCAAGAGTAGAAACTGTACATAGAAGTAGCTAATCATCCTATATCACAACTTCTCGTAGTCTAACTTGCCCTCCAACTTCTTGACGTCGGCAACCTTACGGACCGCCTTCATGAGGTCGTTTTGTATAATGTAGTCTCGCTCGTCCCGAATAGCAAAGAACCCTGCCTCGGTGACAACATTACGAATATCAGCACCATTGAACCCATCACTCATTTTAACGACTGCCTCGAAATCGAACTCGCCCTGCTTCGATACCTTGGATGTGTGGATCTTGAAGATTTCAAGACGACCAGCCTCGTTAGGCAAGCCGATTTCGATCTTACGGTCCAAACGACCAGCACGCAACAACGCAGGATCTAATGTGTCGGGACGGTTGGTGGCCATAATAACCTTTGTCTGGCCCAATGTATCGAAACCGTCCATCTGGTTGAGCAACTCCATCAAAGTACGTTGAATTTCACGATCAGCCGATGTTCCCTCACTGAAACGACGTCCACCAATGGCATCCACTTCATCCATGAAGATGATACATGGGGCATGTTCCTTGGCGTAGGCGAACATCTCTCTGATTAAACGGGCACTTTCACCGATATACTTGTCGACAATGGCCGATGCAGGGGAAAATATAAAGTTGGCACCGATGGTGGCAGCCACTGCCTTGGCGAGCAATGTCTTACCGGTTCCTGGAGGTCCATAGAGCAACACTCCCTTGGGCAGCTTGATACCCACTCTGGTGAAAAGCTCGGGGTTCTTTAACGGAAGCTCAATCACCTCACGCAATTCACGAACCTGTTCGGTCAATCCACCGATGGTGTTGAACGATATTTCACCCGGCTCAAAAGTGGTCATATTGTACACCAATGGGTCCACTTCACGAGGTAAGATCCGCATGATGGTCAACGTGGTCATGTCCAATGCCACTCGTACTCCATTTTTGAGACTTTCTTTCTTGATTGTGTTACGGCACCCGACAATATACCGTGGCCCCGACGATGCTTTTACAATAAATCTTTCGTCATCCAACTGTTTCAACACCTCCCCAATAATCTGGCCCACCAGCTGGAGCGCCTTGATATCGTTTTCTGTCTTGTCGTAGTCCTTGTCGAGATCTCGTATACTCATTCGCAACTCCTTGAGTCGAGCGTCCCATCGACGATGTTCCAAAAGTTTGTCTTTGAAACGAGAAAGCGCCCTCTGGCGTTCAGTGTCGACTTCTGGGGCCGGATCTGATGCGGAAGTGGCGCCACGATCGCCGTTTTCTTCGTTTAACGCTGCCAAAAGCGGGTCTTCTTCTGCCATTAGGTGGCGGCGGGTTCGCGATTTTGAATCTGGAGTACCAGGCAGCGGGTGCACCGGTGTAAACCAACACCTCAGCTTAGGTTTTGCGATCGATGAACTAACCCAGTTGATGGAGTTCCAGGCAATAATTTTGTGTGGCAAGGGCCATGGCCTAGCACCGTTTACGAAAGTGAGGTCGACGGGCGTGCCCAAGGCTCTTTTACCCGTGGCTAATAGACCTATGGTGGAATATGTTTTGGATTGGTGCCAAAAGGCATTTTTTCCACTGGTGACTCTTGTTTGCAATGGCGAAGATAAACTGGAAATAGCCGCTGCTGTGGACGCGTATCAGGCCCAGGTGGGCGCTGATCAAGAATGGCGGTGTAAAATTGACGTGGTGGACGTTTCTGTTGAAGGTTCAGGTGACGCATTGTACCATATGTTCCAACAAAAGTTGATCCACAGGAAAGACTTTGTGGTTTTGCCCTGTGACTTCATTACAAACTTGCCTCCACAGGTTCTCATCGAGGCGTACCGCAATAAGGCCGACACAGACGTCGGATTGGCTGTTTGTTACCGCAATCAGTTGGACATCGAGGACAAAAAATCTACAATTTTCCCAAAAAATTATACTTTCTACACAGATCCCAGCCTTGACGATAATGCTAATTCCCAGCTCTTGGACGCTTACTCGGCAGAAGACGTCAACTTTCATAAATCTCTTCAGATACGCACACAAATGTGCTGGCGGTATCCGAACTCTCGCATCAGTACCAGGTTATTGGACTCAGGAATCTTTTTCGGGTCCAGTGACGCCATAACAAGAGTGTTTGAGTCGCACCGCACCAAGTTCAGTGATCTGTACTTCAAAACCAGATCCGTAGCCAAAGTTGTACGAGATTTTGCTCGACGTTCATGGAAGCACAAGAAACCGCTCGATACTGTTGGGTTCACAATTCTCCCCGAGCAAGCGATGTTTTTCCGCAGCAACCACCCCTCTGTGTTGATGGAGGCTAACAGACATTTCATGAAGGAACGGGCCAGAAAACAAGGCCAAAGTCATGCCAGTTTTGACAAACAGTCTCGTTCGGCGGTGGGTATCGATTCTCTTATTGGACCTAATACCACCCTTGGAGAGAAGACCAACGTCAAGAGAACTGTGGTGGGACGAGACTGCAAGGTTGGTGACCGAGTCAGATTAACAGGATGTCTTGTGATGGATAGTGTGGTTATAGAAAACGATGTACAATTGGAAAATTGTATTATTGGAAAAGGTGCTATTATTCGTGGAAAAGTCCGTCTTGTCAATTGTTATGTGGAATGCACCAACGATGTCGTCGGAGGAACCAATTCCAAGGGAGATACCTTGTTATGTCTTTCACTTGACGGGTTGGACGAAGATGCGTTGGAGTCAGATTCCGACTCGGAATCGGGGTCTAGCGACGAGAGCGATTACGAATACGAAGGAGAGTACGACGATAATGCCGACGGGTTGTTTGGGTATTAGAATCTCGATAGTCTGAATTTCTAGACATGGGCTCTAAGCCTGGTAAATAATGCAATCAGGATCATTAATCATTAAATGCTCTATAAGTGGAAAGAAGAATAAAGTTCTCCCTCTTCGTTTTCTCTCTTCCTTCTCCTTCTCTTCCTTCTCCTTCTCTTCCTTCTCTTCCTTTCCTATTCATTCTTCCGCCGCTTGCGGCCGCTGTCGCTGTCGCTGTCCGAGCCAAGATCTGCCTTGCTCCATGGCTCTTCCTTGCTGATCCGCGGCTTTCGCCGTATACTGGCTCTCTGCTTGATAGAATGTGCTACAGAAGGAGGGGGTATTCCCGGGTAAAAATGCTGGGGAGCCGCCAATTGCGCTGGGGCAGAAAACACATGGTTAGGAAGACGAGAGTTTTCAAGTAGTGGAGCCACAAGTTCGGGTAGGCACTGGGATTCAGTAACGGGACTCGAAGCCATTTCCGAACCGTTCTTTTCCTTTTCGTCGAAATCTTCTTGATCTTGTTTGCGTATTTCTGCTCGTCTCGTCAATGCCCAATCTTCAATATCTTCACCATTTGCAATTGCCACCAACAAATCATCCAAACAATCGGTATACCCCTGGTCTGCTGCACTCACCAGCTTCTTGTTGGCAAGTCTATAGAGCCTTGTGACTGCTTTTGCAGCGTTCGAAAATTCTGACTTTGCTTCTTCTGGTTCATGACTGTTGTATAATGCTGCCACAGCGTTCGCTGCGTTCTTGAATTCCAATGCTAGTTCCCGCGACAACCGTTCTGTAGCTTGCTGTTGCACGGAGGGTGCAGACGGTAGGTCTGACGATAAGTTGGAAAGGTCCATAAAGAGGTGATGAGAGGGAGCGATTTGATAGCGCGGTGGTGCACGGGTGCGAGCGACGAGGAAGACGAGGAGACGAGGAGACGAGGTGGAAAGAAAGTTGATGGGAAATGAAAATAAATAAAAAATGAGTTAAAGTGGATGAAAAGTAGTAGAAGAGGTCAATTGAGACAACAAATAGAAATTAAGTCGTTTCTAAAGCTTTTTATAAAGTTTGCGTATAGTTGCAAAACATGTAAATATCATAATTTAATTCCATTTCAACAGCAATTCAGTAATAACAATCCAGTCAATTGCAATCCCCATTCCAATTTTTTTCAACTCCATTACTTTCCCACTTCCTTCCCTTCGTCGCTTCGTCGCTTCGTCGCTTCGCTCCTCAACTTTCACACCCGTGCACCGACTCTCATATTCCACCTGGCCTCACTTCTTTATCGCATCCACAATGGTCAAATCGACACTTATATATCGATATGACGGTACGTACCATATTCTCCGCTCATCCATACTCCCCCAGCTAACCCAGCTCTTCCCCTTTGTGGCTCTGTAGACGATAACCAGGATCCTGGTTTGATGGAACAGAAGAAGAAATGTAAGATTCTTATTAGCAGAATCACTCCCAATTCCGAACCTCAGGCTACCGTCGAGTCCGGAGCCTACAACTTGCACTACCAGATCTCCAACCAAATCATATACTTGTGCATTTGTGACAAAACATATCCTCGTAAACTTGCGTTTTCCTACCTTGCTGAAGTCTCACACGAGTTTGAAAATTCCCATGGCCAGGAAGCTCTTCTGGCTTCAGCACGGCCCTTTGGGTTCAGTTCGTTCGATAATTTCTTGAGCAAAACGAAAAAACTTTATCAGGACCAAAGAGCACAATCCAATTTGGACAAGTTGAACAACGACTTGGCCGATGTCAAGAAGGTGATGACAAAGAATATCGAGGATTTGCTTTACCGAGGAGATTCGTTGGACAAGATGAGCGACTTGTCGTCGAGTTTGCGTAACGACTCCATCAAGTATAGAAAGCGGGCCCAGAAAATCAACTTTGATGCATTGTTGAGACAGTATATTCCAGTGGTGGGAGTGCTGATTTTGTTTTTGTTTTTGGTGTGGTACATGTTGTTGAGACGATAAACAACTGCGCTATATGCTATCACCATTACTACTAATACAATTGACTATATATGACTATATCTAGCGTACGATAGTTAATCATTTGAATTCGCACTCGCGAAAGAATCAATAATTACTATTTATACTGTATCCACTGTTTCCACAATTTTCCCAATTTTCACTCCACCACTCCACCACTCCACCTCGTATGCTCCCCCGGCCCCAATTGGGCTCCAAGAAGTCTCTTATTCTTCCTAAACACACCTCAGAGTTGGCGAGCGATGCCACCACTCAGCTCACTGTCAGCAATATAAGTTCCACACCAGACGAAATTCAGCCCCTGACTTCTGTGGTTTCAGCTGAAGAACCCGATGAAGACGACGACACAGAGGATCTCCAGAGCATCTTGCACTCTTATATACGAAAAGACAGGTCTCCGAATAACGGCGACGAAGTTTCGCTTGCGAAGATGAATTTGGCAAGTTGTGAAAACGTGCCAAATGACGAGTTTTTGACAAAGTACGTGCTTCTGAGCAGACTGGACCAGAAAGAGGTGTTCCACCACAAACTCAAGCATTTTTTTGTACTTTCCAATGCTGGAAAACCAATCTACTCGCTCAATGGTGCCGACAAGGTGATAGTGGGATTCATGGGTTTAATTACAGCACTCGTATCTTCTGTGGAGGAAACCATGGACCAGCAATTGCAACACATAAACTATGGTGAGCTGCAAATTGTCATTTATAATCGAGAACCACTTATTTTAGTGGCTGTGTCCAAACTATATCACGAGAACAAAACCCATCTTGCACTGCAACTCGAGTATATTTACAGCTACTTGCTCTCCATATTGTCCAAACCAGCGATAACTCGCAGCTACCAAAACAGAATGAACTACGATCTCCGCAAAGTGTTGACTGCGTTGGATTTTCAAAACCTCGATGGAATTTGCACCCAATTGTCATATGGTCAAATTGTGGAAATGGGCATACTGGGTGTGTGTGGGCTCGAGTTCTTCACTTCACATCTACTTGACTCGGCGTTGCCGAGCATTCGCATAACAAATACGGTTCGAAAGAAACTTAACGGTGTTCTTCAGTCGTGCCGCAAAATTAAAGAACCAGAAACAAGGTCGGTCTTATCGTTGTCAAAACACGACGACGTGGTCAGCGATCTCTTGTTCAGTCTTCTAGTGGCTCCACCCAACAAAATCATTGGACTTGCTCGTCCCAAAAATCACCAGTTGTCTCACAGAGACCTTTCAATTCTCACCTACATCATTTCTTCTGTCACTTCAGACGGCAATTCTTCGTCAGAGGACTTGTGGATTCCCGTGTGCATGCCAGATTTCAACAGCAATGGCTTCCTCTACGCATTCATCAAAAATTTCGACTTGGCTTCGTATGTGGTTGTGGATGGTAAGAATGTTCCGCCGCAACCAGTTCAAATTGTGCTTTTAAGCAGCAACAAAAATACATTTGACACAATGCAAACCATAGCAAATAACATTCTCAACGACATCACCTGGAGTGAACTGCTTAGATGTGGTCTCAGCGACGATTTGGTATCCAGCACTCAATATCCTGTTGGGGTAGACCACTTTGTCTTCAAGCTGGTAAAGCATAATCAGTTCATTTCCAGTGATATGGCTAAATGGAGTGCTAATGGCACTTCAGCGGCATCTATTCAGCTAACAAAGTTTCTTTCTACGTTGTACAATTCAAAAAGCGAGCCTATAGGCGACCCAGAGTCCCCAGACAAAAAATTGACATATTTAAAATGGAACTTTGACGATTGGTCTGTCACTGGTTTGCGGCTCTCCGATACTTCTTACGAGTTCTACAGCTTGTGCAACCACTCAATTGTATCACAGGACCTCATCAACACCAGTATGACCATCATAAAGTGGTGTCGAAACAATATCAGACGGTTGACTTTGGAAGAGGCCATTTTTTGAATATCTACTTCAATATAACCAGCTCCGCACTCTTGAACGAGTCCGACAACTTATCCACATACTCCTTGTGTAACTTTTCAAAGTCCTTCAACATTTTCTCTTCGTCGTCGCTCAACTTTTTCTTCTTCTTAGTGAACTTGGTTCTAACTTCCGCTCTTATAGATGCCAATGTGAGTTTGCCAGAGCCATTTTTGAACTTCTCGTATACTCCCTTGAGCTGCTTGGCGCTCTCTTTCTTCGACTCGACCGTCAATGGCGGCAATGGAACCTTGAGTGCCAGCTTGTTGGAAGGATCAACTTGTGGGTTCATATTGAGATTGGAGCCCAAAACCGCATTGATGATACTCTGGGAGTTTGCCGTGTCGAACACAGTGATCAAGAAATTTCGACCTTTGATGGAAGTTTGTGCTACTGACGTAAATGGCTGAGGACCAAACTCGGTGTCGACACTCAAATGGTCAAAGATCAGTGGACTTGTTCTTCCAAGTTTAGCCTCGTTAGCCAGTTTGGAAAACTTTTCAATGACCTCGTTCATCTTCCGTTTAGCATCGTCAAAGTCTATTTCTGGGGTTTCCCCTGCCTCTTCAGCGTCATCTTCTTTACCTTTTGTATTTTTCACTTTTGAATTTTTCACTTTTTTGGCTTTTGCTAATAACGAGGTTGTGGTGCCAAAAGCACGATATGAGTGAGTAGCGTACCAGTAGGCGGTAGTATGGGTCGTAAGTGAGCCCCGAAGAGCATGGCGAACTGTAAAAATCAGAGTCCGTAACATCTTTAATTCAACGCACAGTGAAAAATTTACCCCACAAAAACTGCGAAAAAGTTCAGAAAAATTAGGTAAAAAGGTACCTACAATACTAGGCTAAAAACCTCATTCTATATTCCTCACTCTATATCTTGTATCTCTATCATCTCCATGCAATCATGAACTTTCTAGTCTATCCAAAACGCCCAAACACGATTTGGCTTCTCGTCCAACCTCACCGCCTTCTTTAACCAAGTTGGTCAAATTCTTCCTCAATGGTTCTTGGAATACATCATGGACAATTTTCCGCCGAGTATCCAAATCGTCAGTGGCTAAAGACTCTAGGGAAGCCAACGAAAACATATCGTCGGCTTGTGGAGTTTCTTGGGTGAAGAGCTTTAGTGATGCATATGGATGAGGGTTTGTAGGCAACATATAGTGGCTTGTTTGTGGATGGATGTAGTTTATAGGAACCAGTGTGGTTTCTGCCGTTTTCTGGAAGAGCGTGGACTCCAAAAACCGCAAAAGTACTGCTAAATGGCCCACTCTGGCTTTCTTGGATGTTCCTCCAATTGACGAACTGGTGGTAACTGCAAGAGACAAAGACTTCTTGTCGTCACGCAAGTTCCACGACATAATCGTAAAAAAGGATCTGAGTGTCTTGACAAAGTACGAGCGAGCCACCGCTTCCAGGGCGTGCTGGAGAACTATGTCCAAAAACTTGGTGGATGAGCTTCTTATATCTGGCTGGATATGAGACATTGCCGAGTGCACGAAGAGGATTACGGAAGTTATGTGCAAATCGAGGAGACCAGACTGGGTTTCGGCGCATTTTTGAAGCAAAGAAGCAACTTCTTCTCGAACCTGTTGAGATGAGTCGTGAACGAGAGGCATGATACTTGAAAGAATTTGCTTGTAAAGTGATGGGTTTGAAGGAAGTTGCAGCAGAATCGACTTCAAAACTTCCTTTCTGGTTGTGCTAGAATGGTGTTTTGTCAAAGAAAGTTGGTGAAGAAAGTCTTTTTCGTCATTTTTATCGGACTTTTGGGCGATGGATTGGTTGGGAAGCGAGATGGATTTGGCCACAAACGAAGTATCTGTGTGATTATCGGGCTTTGCCTTTGTCTTTCCAACCCGTAGCTTGGGCTTGACAAAGTCTTTTTGTTTTTCTGTCTTTTTCTTGGCCATTACTGTGGAGAGATCATCGCGATGAGCCAAATGGTCGCGAAATATCAACAAAAAATCAATCTTGCGCGCTAAAACAATAATAACACCTGACGACGATGGACAGGTTCCAGTCACTTTCGCTCCACGAAACGCTGCAAGATGACTATATGGACATAGACAATTACGGATATGTTCCCGGAGACGACTCAACTTACCTGCAAGATGCAGAAATTGAAGGGTCTTCTGGAGATATTCACCGTGGTCTAGGCGGTTCTTCTACACCACTTCGCTATGATAGCGATACAGATGAGGAACTAGAAGTTGCACCAGGTTCCGACGGTCAGGAAAATAGCACTTTTGAGGGCTCAGATCACGAATCCACCAGTTTTCTTGCTGGTATACTTTCTCCAACTGAACTAGGTGCTCGTTTAGCAGTTGGCAAACAACTTTTATTGCCTGCTCCGGGAGATAATATTACGGCAGAGGGTTCAGAAGACGAAACCGATCGAGAAAATCAAAACGATAGCGTTGACTATGAGTTCGATACGTCCAAAAATGCAACCGCTCTTGCCAAGGTTCCTCCAAAAAACCTTAGTGTTTTCCAAGACAAGGTTGAACGTCTGTTTTTCAAGCAGGACTCTCCGGTAACTCATTCTTTTGGGTCTCAATCTCAATCTTTGGGCAATTTGGGCACACAGAGCGTGGGGTCTGGTAACAGTTATCATCTCAATGGAGTCCAGGTACACCACCACCATTATTATTACAATCCTTTCGAGTCGAAAATACGCCAAAGGGATACGCAATTGAAGTCAAAGAAACGACAAACTTCGCAAATTTCCCATTCAAAGTCTACGCCAATTTCTAGCCAAGTATCACAGATCCTGAAACAAGAAACTTTGCAGATACCTAGACACGATATCATCATGCCCCATCCTTGGGATCGCCGGTCGAGTCCTCAGGTCCGCACAGTGTATGTATTGTCGCTGTACCTTCAGCTTGTCGTTAATATGGCTGCGATTTTATTGGGAGCATACATTGTCTACAGTATTATTACCACCATTAAGCATGATATTGGCGAAAAATTACAACAGGAAGCATCTCACCGGCTTGTGGAAATGGCTGCTTGTCGTCGTGCTTACCACGAGAATCAATGTGATCCAGAAACCATTGTTCCTGCCATGGAACAGGCATGTGCACATTGGCAAAAATGTATGAACCAGGATCCATTTAGTGGTGGGAACATGTCCCTGGTAAGTGCTCATACTCTCGGTATGATAGTCAATTCTTTGATTGAACCATTAGGGTTTAAAGTGTTGGTGGTGGTGTTATCGTTCACGGTGGTTGTGTTTGGTTGCAACTTTGGATTCGGGTACTTGCGGGCCAAAGCGTACTGGGGAAATGAAGGGAAGAATTAGGAATAAGGAATAAGGAAAGAATAAGGAAAAATTGAGAGTAATGAAGGAATAAGGAAAGAATAAGGAAAGGGGAGAAAAGATATCAGAATCGGTTATCGACATTTTCAGGTGCTTTGACTTGAGAAGCTAAGGCTTTCTTTCACTCTTAAGCTGAGCTTTTATCGAAGCGCACCTTTGATGCTCCTGATCACAATGGAAGAAAAATTGCTGAAGAAACTGTGGGGGTAAAAATGACTGAAACTATCGCCAAAAATCTGAAAGAAGATAAGCTCGAGATGGAACATGAGTTTTATGTGGCTATTATCACGTTTCATTATGGCTGGACAGCACTTCTCGCTCCTGAAAAGATTAAGGATTATATGTGGTTCATGGAATGTTGGATGCTGATGAAGAGTTCTTCAAGAAGACTGGTGAGCCATTGTTCTCGTCGCACATGTTGGATTTGTCTGAAGAATCCGATGAGGAGAACATTGGTGGTGAAGAAGATGGTGTCAACAACGAACGTGCAAAAGGAATCGTTGTACACTTTGCCAGAAACCGTATACAAGGTTTACGAGCTCTTTCCCCAATTGGTCCAAACTTTTCCATTGCCGCTGCTTTCGGTAACGTGCACGGTGTCTACAAGCCAGGTAATGTGCAATTGAAGCCGGAAATCGTGGGTGAGCACCAAAAGTGCGCTAAGGAACAAGCCATTGTTTTTGGTTTTCCATGGTGGATCCGGTTCGTCGCAACAGGAATTCGACACCGCCATCACCCACGGTGTGGTCAAGGTCAACTTGGACACTGACTGTCAATACGCCTACCTCAGCGGTGTTTGTGACTACATTTTGAAGAAGCAAGACTACCTCAAGCAGTTGGAAACCCAGATGGAGATGGCAAGCCCATCAAGAAGTACTTTGACCCTAGAGTGTGGGTCAGAGAAGGTGAGAAGATGAATCAACGAGGCTTTGGAGATTCACTACGACGCTTATAACTGACATTTTATACGGTATAGTGTAAATTACCTAATTGTTCTGAATACTGAAGCAAGTGAGAAAATGAAATCAATTTTGAGATATTCTGCTTTTGAATTGAGGTGAATTGCATGGACAGTAGCATGGGATGCCTCTAGTAAGTCATACAATGCCATACAGCCTTTGACTAGACAAGGCATCAAAAAAGACCTTGTCGCATTTGTACTCTACTTTGACACAAACACAAAAAATATAGCTGTAATACTTTCATTACAACTATATATCTTTGCTATTGATTGCTAAATGAATTTAAAGTTAGGATTTATTGTGTTAATCTCTTGTCCAAGCCTGGTCGCATTTTATGCTCCCTTCGGCGAGATGGAGATTAAAATTCCGCTTGACAACTGGATCTGGATTGCAATGCTATGCGTGCGTGGTACAAGACTTCGGCTCGGGGTTTTTCGAGGTCACTATCCATTGATCTTAAATGCTCTCAACTTGGTTGCACTTGGCCTATACTTTGTGCCTAGCTTCTATCAGCTTCAAATTATACGGCCAATCCCAGAATCCAACTGTATGTGGAATTTTAATTTTTGGAAGCAAGTATTGAGCAGACGACTGAGCAATAAATGAATTTGAGCAAACTGACTAGTATTGATAAAGAAAAAACTGCTTCGCGAATTTGCAGCCATTTTATAGAGCTGGTGTACGGGTGTATTGGTGTACTGATGTATTGATGTATTGATGTATTGATAAGACGAGAAAGTATAAGAAAAAATCAAGACGAGAATGAAGTAAACGGAAAGTGTAAAGATCTAATTGAGTAGAAGAGGTGGCGGATCTGCTGTCTGGACACTGCAATAGAGAATCACAGAACTAATTCCGGCTATTCAATGCCGCAGACCCCCAAGTAAGTTTTTAGTTGAACACTTGCCATCGGCTAGTAATCCACTAAATCCTTCAATGCTCACACACAGAATCGCTAGATGTCTGATGTGAGACTGTTCAGTCATTTAATTTGCTTTGTCCTGCCGAATCTAAGGCTTTTTTTACGCTTAAGCTGAGCATTTATCGAAGCACTAATATTTTCGAAAAATGACTGAAAAAACTGTGGGTTTAAAGCTGACTGAAGAAACTATGGGTGAAAACTTGACGGAAGAAACTATGACCGAAACCCTGTATAACGATAAGCTCGAGATGGAGGCAGTGGTTGTTGTGACTTGGATCATGTTATGGTGTGGCTGGTTAGTACTTCGCGCTGATAACAAGCTTGGGGGTTATATCTGGTTCTGTTCTGCAGCTTTTCATTCAATCGGGGCCGCAATATGGATAGACATGGTAATCGCTTCCATTCGAAATACGCAGTCACGGAGAAGCATTGAAAATAACTCATTAATGCTTGCCATGTGCCTTGTATCATGTCTTGCGGTTTTCACTCGCTACTGCCTAGCAGAATAATACAAAGATTCTTCGCTTTTGCTATTAATGATATTAGCAGCTTATAAGTGAAATTGAGTATGTTTATCTCTTTACTAGTACCTTGACATATTAACTGCAAGCTTGTCGCTGTAATGGTACCTACAGACTTTGGCAACTAATGTACTTTACAATTAACCGGCATTACCTTTTGGTTTTGCATGATCGGGATCCGGAACCAAATACGAACGGAGGCCAAAATCAGCAGTAATGTGCCTCAACTTTCGGTAGACTCCAAGTCTGCCGATAATAGTGCAAGGTCAATTCTAATTAGTCCGGTAAACCTTAAAATGTCAGTTATAAGCGTAGCAGTAAACTTTTGGAGTTACCCCACAATTTGGCTCGAAGCCGCACATTCGTATGTATGCAGCCTCGTATCGTGCGCATATTCGTGCAGCATCAGTTTTAATCTTTGTCGCTTTTGGTGACTGACTAGCTGCTAAGTAGTAAATAATTGAGAGGGAAGAATCTTTGAGTTTTATTACTCTGCTATACATATCGCATAATATCATAATAAAACATAGCGTAGGCAAAGAAGACTTTAATCCAATGTGGCTCCTTATGTCGAATGCAAGCGATTACGAGGTCTGTCCATATTGCAATATTGATCAAATGAAATGCTAACCAGATATAGCCCCCATGCATTTTACAATGAGAATCATGACAAAAAACATCTTGATCATAGTCACAAAACACACTGCCGTCATCTTGACCTTATGCTTTTTCAGATATTTGGCCTTATCATTTTTCAAATCTTCGGCCATAGTTTCTTCAGTAGTATTGTTCATTTATGATCAAATTATCAGAGGTGGGAAACTCAGGTTTTAGTAAACGTATATGACAAATAATCTGCCAACCTAAAACGTGAAAGGAAGTGGCAGACTCACAATTATAGCAGGTCAAATTTACCCGAAAATGGCTATCGCACAACTGATTCTGCTATCTTTTCTACTTGAATTCTTATTCTTTCCGTTTCATGCTCTTCTCAATTTTTCCTTATACTTTCTATTTCAATACTCGTACCCACTTTGAAGACCCAATCCATAGAAACTGGAACTGAAAACAATCTTGCCCTAATTCCGTTTTTGTAAATGTAAGATACTTGTTTAGTGTAGGTATGTTACTGCTTTAATGCATAAGCGCTCGCAACTCCAAAGTTTAGAATATTGCAACCAATCTATAAAGAGAAGAAAATTCTCAACAGGGAAATTTAAGCAAACAATTTAAATTACTATAAACTATTATAGGATCTAAAGGATAAAGCGATTGAATCTAGGAAGATTTTGATCGATCTTTAGGGATCGGATACCTCAAGAGAGACACTATATAGTGTTGGTGTAGATTCCACATAGCTCACAGTACACCACTACACCACTACACCCACGGTGAAGGATATCATCACGTGCGAACGCTGCCTATTATGAAGAGAGAGAATAAGGACAGTGTAAGGAAAAATTGAGAAGAGAATGAAGTAAACGGAAAGTATAACGATCTAATTGAGTATAAAGATTACAGGTAGGCTGAACGCTTTGATAGAAGCTTCCACTTTCTTTCGGTTTGGCAGATTATTGTCGTATACATTTACTTAAAAACTGGGCTTCGCAGCCACCTTTGATAATTTCGAATCGACAAAATTTTGACTGAACAAACCATGGCGACTCTGAGTCGCCGGAGCCTCCTATTGAAAGAAAAAATTCTTAGAAAATATGAAGAAAAAAAACGCCAGAGGAAATCCCTTGATGTCGGACTCCAGGAGGAATGCCCTGATGAAGTCATAAGAACGAATAAACGTTGGAGTTATTTCTGGTTTTGTTTTGCATTGTTTGTGATATGTAAAAAAGTGGTGGATACAGTAAGGGCTTCCCGTGAGCCATTAAAAATTATACTCAGGTTTATTTGTGTTGTGACATGCGTTGTGACATGTTGCATCACTTTCAATTACTTCTGCCCATCACGGAAGATAACTATATCCGGAATTATCGATTTACCACTCCACCCACAGTATTTAACTGATGGTGAAGTTTTTCAGGTAATTAGTATGTTAATTTTATTAACTTGCCCATCCCGGAAGAGCACAGAGAAGAATGAAATCAAAAACGAAAAGGATGAAATCAAAAAGGAATAGATGAAAACGAAAAGGAAATAGATGAAATCAAAAAGGAATATGCTGAGGTAAAATTACTTTGTGTATAGAATGACTAGAAATGGTGGATCACCGTTCATTTTTTCTCGTTTTTGTCTTTAGTAATGTATGTTCTTCCCACATACTGTTCATGAAAGAAGAGAGAGCAGAAGGTTTAAGAAAAAACGAGAGAATGAAGGAAAGGAAAGTATAAGGAAAAATGGAGAAAAGATAGCAGAATCAGTTATCTCAGAGTCTTTTTCAGGTTCTTTGACCTTCGAAAGCTTCCACTTTCTTTCGCGGCTCTAGGTTTGGCAGATTATTTGCTGTATACGTTTACTTAAAACCCGAGTTTCGCAGCGACCTAAAGGAAGAAAAAATGCTTGAAATTGTGAAGGCAATCTTGACTGAAGAAACTAAGCAAAGCGACATGCTAAAGTTGCAGGGTATGTACCTTTTTACTACTATGATATGGTTTCTTAGCTGGGTAGTACTTCAGGCTGATGAAATGTTTGGAGGATATGTCTGGTTGTGTTGTATAGCGATTCATGTGATATGTACTGGTTTTTGGTTAAACATTGTAAAGGATTCCCCTCGATATGAGGATCCATGGTGTATGAATTATAGCTTACTTTGTCTTATTGGGTGGCTTGTGTCATGTTATGGGGTTTACGATGTCTACCGCCAAGCAGAGTAATACAACTATAAAGATTCTTCGTTACATCGTTTAGTACTTATATTTGCAGCTAGTCAGTGAATTGATATGTTTATCTTTAGTAATTGTATTTTTCGTCAGCGTACTGCCCCTTTTAAACAGCATAGCTTTCTATTTGGTTGCAAATTCAGCCGCACGCTGCGGCCTAACGATAAGAGGCTGCATATATACGAAGGTGTGGCTTTTACCGAGACAAATTGTACACCAGTACACCAAAGGATTCCTTATGACCGACCTTTTCACAGTATCACTCTAGAGCTCTTAATACTTTAAGCAAGTGATGCCAATGAACAATTTCAAGAGATTATATCAAGTATTCTACTTCTAGGATTTAGGTGATAAAAGACCATTGATCGTAGGTTTTGTTGGTGTTATATGCAGGAATTCCCGGATCTTGAAATCCTACCAGGTCTGACATAATCAATTATTAAGTAATTCTAATTTAGGAAGTGGAAGTTTGTAGAATTGATGACTATTAACTAATTAGTTAAACGATGATTCTTCATCATGGGATGAGCCCATATTTATAGTCAGTCGAGTAGACTGTTTAGGAAGTTTCCGAAAATATTTCCAAAGAGTGAACCGATTCCGATTCTTCCTCATTGGGTTGAGATTCAGCCGGATCGGTTCATAAGTGTTGATATTCCGTCTCGGCGATCATTGTCTTGAACTAGACGACGACTAATTAGTCTTAGGAGTTCGACGACGATATCTTCGTCTTCTATCGTCTAATCCGCTAGATTTGAGAATTGGTGCGGACACCTCATATTTCAACACCGGGTTTAGTGTTATATGCAGTGCCTATGGCTGCTAATATGTCTATCGATGATAAAGTGATACATCATCAACCCCATTTGATAAGGAGGGTGACCTCTGATCTGCATGCAGATACGGTGGCAAAATTGGTGGTATCCCCGCTTTGCCAAGCTATAAATATGGGACCCATTCCAGGGGATAAATTCCAATCCTTTATCTCATTAATACTTCTTGATCAGAAATGGAAAATATGACACCAGAAAAGGAAGGAATGAACGTAATTGAGCCCGGAACTAAGCCCGGAATTATACCCCAAGCTACGCCCGACTTTCCATATTGGAGAATGTGGCCATTTGGGTATATTTCATTAATTTTTTTATATGGGGTCCCATATTTGTTCCATGATTTCTTCGAAGAAAAGATCGATGCTCCGGATGGAGCCGAGCTTACTTGTTTTATCTGGTGTGCGGTGTTAACTATCGACCAGTTTGGTGCCCTAAAAGCTTCCTTGAAACGTAAGCAATTAAAAAGATTTTTACACGGATTATTCACTTTGGCTATTTGCTTGTGGGTATCGTACGACTCCCACTATCGGCTAGAACATTCAACGTATGAAACTAGATTTGATGTTTATGCTTCATGTCGAGCTGTGATTGTTGCCTTTATCATGAGATATGCTAAGTTCTGGTAATTTTGTGTTTGTAATGGCTAGACTTGAAATGAGTGGATCTCCGTTCATTTCTTTTGCTAAAATTGGGTATCAAACATTTGCTCTCCTTAGTTAAATATGTTTTCTGATTTATATATGTTTGATACCGTTCGTCTTAGAATGTCTAGATGCTAAAGTGATGCATCATCCATCACGGAGAAGTAACCCCGCATTGCCACCAGCTATAAATATGGGTAGCTCGCACCACGTAAATCTCAACCTTCATCTCATTAATACTTCTGAATTTTTCGATCAAAAATGGAAAATACGACTACAACAATTACAGCCGTGACTCTGGATGACTGGAGAGCAGACTTGAATGCAACACTATTACTGATTGTAGATATCCTTCTGGTACGCCAGGAGGCATACCCTGGTGAAGTTGAAAGAGTGATTAAAGTTCCGAATTATATCTGGTTTGTGATTACAGTCATTTTTGTGGTAATGATTTCAAGAGAGTTGAATGCCCTAATCGTTGCCTTTCGACGTGACCCAAAATTGTTTATACTCAACTTAATCATTGTTGCGTGCATTTTGGCATGTTTTTTCGCTTACCTTTACTACTTCCCAGTACAGAGACCAACTATAACCGGGATTTTCGATGTTTGAATTATTAGCCATATTAGCTGTGAAATAATGCTGAGCTATAATAATGTTTGGAACGGCTTAAATTGACTGGAAATGAGTGGATCTCCGTTCATTTCCTTCGCTAAAATTGGGTATCCAACATTCGCTCTCCTTAGCTAAATATGTTTAGCTTTATTGAACAAGAATTGAAACTTATCAATTCATTGCAATACTCACGAGCTACGATGTGAATGCAAGACAATTCTTTCTGCCTTATCCTGAAAATTAAAGATCGAGAGCCAGATTATTACTTTGAAATGCTAGTATCGAAAGTCAAAAAAATTGACCATGGACTGGTCAATATAACGGTAAGTACCTCCTAAATTTACTCGTCAATCACTAATAGAATTGCAAGTTGGCCACGTTCTCTAGTGGTACTGCTGTGGGAGAGTAAATTACGGAAATTTTGCAAAATTCTAAAATGTTGAGAATTGTGAGCACTTATATGGAATAACACACCTGCCGTGGAACAGTAAAAAGTACCCTACATTTACAAAGAATGGAACTAGTTGGGTCTTTAAAGTGGGTATGCGTGAAATAGAAGGTAGAAGGAGAAATTGAGAGAGTGAAGTGATCGGAACGTATAAGAAATTGAGTAGAAAAGATCAGTTGTGCGATAGTCATTTTCAGGTGCTTTGACCTGCGGAAGCTTCGAATTTTTTCACGGCTCTAGGTTTGGCAGATTATTGGTATGTTTACTTATGAATGAGCTTCGCAGGTCACCTCTGATTAGTTGACAAATGGAAGAAAAAATGACCAAAGAAACTACAGAAGAAAAAAAAATGACCAAAGAAACTACAGAAGAAAAAAAAATGACCAAAGAAACTATGGAAAAAATGACTGAAGAAACTATGGGGGAAAAATGACTGAAGAAACTGTGGGAATGACTACAGAAACTGGAGCTGAGACTCTGCATAAACTTGGGCACACGATAAGGGAAATTTTATTGGGCCTTGTATATTTCCTTTATTTAGCCTCCATGACGATGTCATCTTACTACAACGCTGACATAAAGAAAAATGATGAGGCTCCTCGCGGTTATCTCCGGATCAGTTCTGCAGTTTGTCTTGGGTAATGCCATTTGGATTGATAGCATAATTGCTTCCATTCGATATAAGGTTATAGTAGGAGGACTTGAATTGAACTTGATTTGGCTTGTGGTGTTCGTTGCATCATTAGGTTCCTTGACTTACAATGGCTACATATCATAGTCATGACATCAAAGGTTGGTGAGCTTTCCTACTTGGTTGCAAAATCAGCCGCGCGCGGCGCGCTAAGCCCACACGATACGAGCTGCATATATACGAAGGTGCAGCTTTTTCTGAGCCAAGGTGTACATGTAAAACCAAAAGATCTACTATTTCGCTTGTTACCTGGCATTCTTACAGCGTAGATAATCACCTAATTGCTTTTGAATACCTAGTGAGATCAATGAAGTTAATTTTGAGACATAATAAGTCTTCTGCTTTTTATATTTCAGGCATGGATAGTTGTTGAGCTACGCAGGAGTTCCATTAGATATTCATCGTGATATGGCACAAGGACAGTATCGCCGGGTAATGGTTCCACGCTCTGAAGAGAAGAAAATTTTCAATAATGAATCAAGCAAACAATTTGAATTACTAATTATAAACTATTATAGGATCTAAGGGATAAATTGACTGAATCTAGAAGATTTTGATCGATGTTTACGGATCGGATGCCTTATTAGAAGGCACTATATCACCAATATAGTGTTCGAGTAGATAGATATAGCTCACGCAACATTACACCCACGGTGAAAGACATCATCACGTAATCGGTTAATAATCCAACAATTGTCACGTGGCTCATAACGCGGTTGCAAAATATATTTTCGCATTTGTACTTGATTTCATCTTGATCATGAGAACGCCACCAGTGCAAGGAATGACTCCCCCGCAAGCGGAAGAGCTGAATCCACTCCAATTGGAAGGAATGACTCCACAACAAATGGTAGAAGGGATTAGACAACTTCTTGAAGAGAGACGACAACTTAATGAAGAAAAGATTAGACAACTTAATGAAAAGAGTCGACAACTTGAAGAGAATCGACAACTACTTGAAGAGAGACGACAACTTAATGAAGAAAAGATTAGACAACTTAATGAAAAGAGTCGACAACTTGAAGAGAATCGACAACTTAAAGAAGAGATTCGGCAAAAAAGGGAAGCGATT